GCAGCAGCGCGAGTCAGCCCGACAGGCGCGACGGCAGGCCTGTCCCGCGACACCCGCCCAGCGTCCCTGAAAGCTGCTGTGGGAGTGGTTTGAGTGGATCGCGCACCTGTTCGCGAGGATGCGGGGGTGCTGAGCCGCCCGAGCGAGGGCCCTGGCTGGTGCTCATGTCGGTGCCACGGCTCCGTCGCAAGCGCGCGATGCGCACCGCCGTCGCGCTGCGCGGGGCGGGCAAGAGGGCGCCCGTCGAAGAGAAAAGGTCGCTGCCTGGAGCGCGGCGTGGGGGCGGCGCACGTGGCAGCGCGCGTGGGACGCGGCTCGCACTGGCGCTCGGCGGCGATTCAGCGCGCCTAGTGGCGCCCGGAGCCCCCGGCAGGCCCGTCGGGGCCCTGCGTCACGGCCCGGGGGCCTCGGGGAGCGGGTGGCGTGTGCCGCGCCCGGAGCGGTCTGGAGGGGGCGCGGGCGCGGCGTGCGCGGGCAGTGGTGCGCTGCGGCGGTGGATCCGAGCGGCACGAGGGCTGGGCGAGGCCCGCAGAGGCGCGGCAGGGCGCCTTGTGTGTGGGCAGCGGCAGAGCGATTAGGGGCGTCGTGGGGCGTTGAGGGGCGACGCTGGGGTGGAGGTGGCGGGGCATGATGCGTCGAGACATGTGGGGCATACACGGGCAGACGCCGCCAGGCCGCTGGGATCACGCACACGCGTTGGACGGCACCTGAGGGCGCGGCCGGGAGGACAGCGGGTCGCTAGGCGGGCGGTGAGGCGTTGGCGGGGATGGCTGCCGTGCCGGGTGCGGCGAGCGCGTGTGCGGCGGCGAGGCAACGCTGCGGGGCCGCGCATGTCGCACCTGTGGGAGCGCGCAAGGCCCAGGGCTAGCTCCTGCACTGTGGGTGCGAGGCTGGCCCGACCGAGCAGCGGGGGCACGTCGGTGTGGACGCGGCGTCGAGCACAGGGCACGGCGGGCAGTAGGCGCGGCCTCGACGCAGCTGCAAACGCGACACGCAGGACATGGCCGCCAGGCGGTGTGCGACGTCGTGTGACGGCCAGGCGATGCTACGGTCATACATATGTCACGGTCGGGTCGGTGGGCAGGGGCAGGGTACGTCGGCGCTCCTCGCGGGCGCCCGAGCTGCCGCGGCCCACCACACGTCGCGTCAGGAGCAGATCAGGAAGCAGGAGCGCGTGCTGCTGGGCGCGGTCACGCAGGAGAACGTGTTCGTGCTGGCGGGGGTGGCGGTGGTCGGGCTGGCGGTGTTTATGCTGCTCATCGCGGGGCCGCCGCCGTCGAGCGAGCTCGCGCGCCCGCAGTGAGCTTGGTGGATGCGCGCTGCAGGCATCGGGGCTGTGAGGCCGCGAGACCGGACGGGTGCGAGCGACGCGCGGGGCAGGTGTCACAGGTCTGGTGCGGGTGGCAGCCGGATGCCGCCGCGTCGCCCCCGCATCCTCCTCCTTGCGCCCCATGCGTGTGTGTCTCTGTGTGCGCTGAGCCCCTACTGCGCGTCGGGGACGCTGGTGCTCCCGTCCATCAGCACGATGCGGGGGTGCGGCAGGCCGACCTGGCGCACGCGGGTCGTCCAGAAAGGGCTGTCAGCGAACTCGCACCACTCCACGTCCAGCAGCTGCAGCGTCGGGTGTCGCTGCAGGGCCCGGTACAGCGCGGCCGACGTGAGCTCGCCCATGTCCGGGTTGTCCATGAGCGACACGTGCAGGAGGTTGGTGTTCCCAAGCAGCTCCTCGGCGACCTGCGCCCCGCACGCGTCGCTGATGTGTGCAGACTCAAGGACGACGGAGCGCAGGGAGGTGCTGCGGCGGACGGCGCGCGCGAGAGACAAGGCGCCGTCGGTGTCGCAGCCGAGCCCCTTCAGAGACAGCACGCGCAGCGCCGGGTGCGTGGCGAGGCCCTGCGCGAAGCTCTCCAACCCTTGGAGGAATACTTGGTCGTTGTATGGATCTACCCCGTCGATCCGTCGGTGGCAGGCGAGCTTGAGCGTGTGCAGCGTGGAGTTGCCGGTGAGAATGTCGCCGATCGCCACCGAAGTCTCGTCCTCGAGGAAGCTGTTCTCCTCCATCAAGAACACCTCGATCTTGCTGCGGCCGACGGCGCGCAGGAGACTAGTCCACCCCGCAGGCCCGATGAGGTTGCCCGACACGTCCAGTACGCGCAGGGTGGTGTTGCCGGCGAGCGCGTCCGCGACAGAGAAGGCGGCGTCGTTATATACGTCGTTCCCGACGAGGTCCAGCACGCGCAGAGAGGGTGTACGCGCCAGCTTCGCCATCAGCGCGCCGTCTTCAAACATTGTCTGGTCGCCATAACGTAGACGTACTTCTCGCAGAGGCAGGGCAGGGCTGGATGAGATAGCATCCACCAACTGCTCGGCGTCCTTGGCGTCGTGCAAATAGCAGGAGTCGAAGGCGAGCACGCGCAGCGTGGTGCTGTGCCGCAGCACCGTCGTCAGACTGGCCAGATCAAGGTCGGAGACCCAGTGGAGCGACAGCTCCTCGAGGCTGTTCTCTTGCGGCAGCATCAGTGGCTGCAGTTGCCGTCCACCACGGCCGTCAAACATATGCAGCTTCGCCACGTGGCCGCATCCATGTCGATTTACTGCATCGGTGAAATGTCCCTCGCGGTCTTGCGGGCAGCGCAACGCAGCCAGCGTTCCTGACGTGAACGCAGCCTCAGCAATCGCCGCCATGCCCGTCTCGCAGTCGCACAGGGCCCCGGTCATATCTAGCTCCCGCAGCGTCGGCGACTTGCGCACCAACTCCGCGATCGCGAGCGCTCCTGCCGTCCCGAACTCCCGGGCTGTATCGGCTTGTGCAGGTTCTCCGACTGACTTGTCTTGAGTTGACTTGTCTTGAGTTGACTCGACTGTTGCCCTCGCCAGCGACAGCTTTGTGATGTGGCCGACCACCGCCGGAGCCTCGAGCATCCCGGGAGCGGCGTCGAGCTGCCACGGCTGCACCCTCAGGCCAACCACGCGCAGCGGCTGGGTGCCCTGCTCGGCCGGCAGCTGCAGCATGCGGGCCAGAGCCCTCCTGCACTCGATCCTGGACCCCATGTCCTCGTCATGCAGCCCCGCACGACGCGCCGCGGAGTGGAGCGCCGACGCTTGAATGAGGTCGAAGCGGGCTCCCGCGAAGTCCAGCTGACCGACGTAGCTCGAGCCGGGGCTCACGCGGCGAGCAAGGCCGCGCAGCAGCGCCCCGTGCGGCGCGCGCAGGTCCAGCACCGGGATGGACGGCCTGGCCTCTGTGACGACATCCAAGCAGGTGTCGCTGTAACATAAAGTCGCCTGTCGTCTCCACACCATGTCCCCGACTGCCGTCGTCCTCCCGTGCCGCATCAGCGCGAGCAGACACCCCCAGCTCGTGAACGCCACGCTCAGCGCCGACGTCGCCGGCACAAGGTCGAAGATCTGCGGGACCGTGTCCAGGACGTCGGCGAGACACGGACGCGCCTGCACAGCAGCCGCAGCCCACCACACGATATGTCATCAGCGTGCGTGGCACTCGGCGCCGCCCGGCCGACCGCACGCGCGACGGCGACGAGCTCCGTCATGCACATCGAACGTCATTCGACGCGACACGGAGCCCCACACGCGCGCCCAGGACCGCGCGACCCCGCCACAGATACATCCGCAGCAGCGCGAGTCAGCCCGACAGGCGCGACGGCAGGCCTGTCCCGCGACACCCGCCCAGCGTCCCTGAAAGCGGCTGTGGGAGTGGTTTGAGTGGATCGCGCACCTGTTCGCGAGGATGCGGGGGTCCCGAGCCGCCCGAGCGAGGGCCCTGGCTGGTGCTCATGATGGCGCCAGCGGTTCCGTCGCAAGCGCGCGATGTGCACCGCCGTCGTGCTGCGCGGGGCGGGCAAGTGGGCGCCTGTCGAAGAGAAAAGGTCGCTGCCTGGAGCGCGGCGTGGGGGCGGCGCACGTGGCAGCACGCGTGGGGCGCGGCTCGCACTGGCACTCGGCGGCGATCCAGCGCGCCTAGTGGCGCCCGGAGCCCCCGGCAGGCCCGTCGGGGCCCTGCGTCACGGCCCGGGGGCCTCGGGGAGCGGGTGGCGTGTGCCGCGCCCGGAGCGGTCTGGAGGGGGCGCGGGCGCGACGTGCGCGGGCAGTGGTGCGCTGCGGCGGTGGATCCGAGCGGCACGAGGGCTGGGCGCGGCCCGCAGAGGCGCGGCAGGGCGCCTTGTGTGCGGGCAGCGGCAGAGCGATTAGGGGCGTCGTGGGGCGTTGAGGGGCGACGCAGGGGTGGAGGTGGCGGGGCACGATGCGGTGAGATATGTGGATCATACACGGGCAGACGCCGCCAGGCCGCTGGGATCACGCACACGCGTTGGACGGCACCTGAGGGCACGGCCGGGAGGACAGCGGGTCGCTAGGCGGGCGGTGAGGCGTTGGCGGGGATGGCTGCTGTGCCGGGTGCGGCGAGCGCGTGTGTGGCGGCGAGGCGACGCTGCGGGGCCGCGCATGTCGCACCCGCGGGAGCGCACAAGGCCCCCGGGGCTAGCTCCTGCACTGTGGGTGCGAGGCTGGCCCGACCGAGCAGCGGGGGCACGTCGGTGTGGACGCGGCGTCGAGCACAGGGCACGGCGGGCAGTAGGCGCGGCCTCGACGCAGCTGCAAACGCGACACGCAGGACATGGCCGCCAGGTGGTGTGCGACGTCGTGTGACGGCCAGGCGATGCGACGCTCACACATATCACGGTCAGGTCGGTTGCCGGAGCCGCTGCGACGTCGGCGCTCCTCGCGGGCGCCCGAGCTGCCGCGGTCCGCCACGCGATTGGCGTTCTACGCCGTCGCCGCCCCCCGCTGCGAACGAGGCGTTCCCCATGCCGCCGATGAATTCCTGCGAACCCCCCGTTCCGACTCCGTCGCACCCGCTCGGGCGATCCGTGCGTCTGGCGCGCGGTCACATGTCTCTTGAGTTGCGGCTTGTTTAAAGTGGCACTTTGCGCCGAGCTCCGACGCGCCGCTCGAGCTGTACGGGCTCATTCTACCGCGCGCACCTATGTTGCGGGGCCCGGTCCGTCGACGGGGCGCATCGGCATCCCCAGGCCTGCCTCGCCGTGATACGTGTGGCCCAGGATGTCCAGGCGCTGCGGTTTCCTGTGCTGCTTCACGACCCGGGAGAACTGCGGCAACGTCTCGCCGCACAGGGACGGGTTCTCGTTCAGGGAGACGTGCTGCAGGCCGTCGTTCAAGCGCAAGGACTCCGCCAGCAGCGCCCCGTCCTTGGTGCTGATGCCCGCGCCCTCCATGGTCAGCTCGCGGAGCCCCGTGTTCGACCGCAGGGCGAGGGCGATGGAAGCGCCGAGCTTCTCGAGGAAGTAGAGGTTCTTGAACGACAGGATTCTCAAGGTGCGGTTGCATGCGAGGCCGGAAGAGAACGTCGTGTCTTTCAACCACATGCCGTACCGATACGTGCCGACGGACTGGCAGATGAAGCACTGCGACAGCTGCGCCGCGCCGCCCAGTTTGAGCGACCGCAGCGTCGTGTTCGAGCCGAGCATGTCGCCGAGAGTCACGGAGCAGGGTCGCCTGTTGCGCTCCATGGCAAAGACCTGCAGGGCGGTGCTCTCCCCCACGGCGTGCAGGAGCCTGTTGACGCCCACCTTGCAGATCACGTTCCCGGACACGTCCAGCTCGCGGAGCGTGCCGTTCTGCGCGAGCGCTGCTGCGAGGTAGCACGCCGCGTTGCCGCCCAGGTGGTTGTCCTGCAGGCTGAGCGCACGGAGCGAGGGGTGCGTGGCCAGCATGGCGGCGACCGCCTGACCGCCGTGGTCGGTCATCTGCACCCTGTTCAGCCGCAGCTGCTCCAGGCGCAGGTTCGAGCTGCTGGTGATTGCCCCGCACAGCCTCTCCAGGCTCACGGTGCGAATGCAGCTGCCCGACAGGTCGACGTTCCGGAGCGTCGAGGTGGTGGCGAGAGTCCTGAGGTGCGCGGGAACGTTGGCTCTGGCGCACACGAGCAGGTCGGTCAGCTTGTCGAGTTGGCTGCCCGCCAGCGATGTGATCGCGTTGGTCGCAAACGCACAGCCCGGCAGGCTCAGGCGCCGGAGGTTCTCGCCGCTGCGGCGCTGAAGATCCTCGCCGCTCCATCGCTGCATGGCGCATGCGACGAGCTCTTGGCCGGGCAAGCACCACCTCATGTCGCAACTGAGGTGGAGGCTCTCGAGGTTGCGTTCTGCGATGGCGTGTACGAGAGCCCGCGGTCCGATGGCATCGATCTCGATGTTGTCGATCTTGTATCTCGCCACGGTCTCGTGTGGGTTGCCGAGCTGGAGGTGGAGATGACGCAGGCGCGGTAACATCCTCACCAGCTTGGCGACGGCGTAGAACATGTCGTCGTTGTCCGCGGCTTCATCACTCGCGGACAGAACGAGGTGGAGGGTGTGCAGCTGTTCTGCGTTGCAGAGTGCCTCCATGAGCTCGAAGGGCTCGTACAAACACCACCCAGCGGTGGGGAGATGCATAGTGACCTTGGTGACGTGACGACGCACCGCCGGAGCCCCGATGAGCGAGAGCGCCACCGCCACACGCTCGTCGAACACAGCACGTGATACGTCCCTGGACAGGAAGTTCGACGGGACGTCAAGCGCGCTCACTTGCAGCGTCGTGCCTCGCGGCGCCGGCAGCTGGAGCATGCGGCCGAGCGCTCTCATGCGCTGCGTCTCGGTCGCCACGTCCTCGTCACGCAGCCCCGCTCGACGCGCTGCCGCGTACAGCCCGCGCGCGCCGTGGACGGAGAAGCGCGCACCGCACATGTCGACCTGACCGAGGAAGAGCCCGCCGACGCTGGTGCGGAGAGCGAGGCCGCGCAGGAGCGCCCCGTGCGGCGCGAGCACGCGCAGCACCGGGCGCCGGAGTCGCTCTTCGTCGACGAGCGCCAGCCGATGATCATGCTGGTCGTCAGGGCCTGAGCCCGGCACCGTGTGCCACTCGACGTCCCCGACGATCGTCCGCCTGCCGTGTCGCAGCAGCGCGAGCAGCCCGCCCCAGCACGTGAACGCGAGGCTCAGCGCGGAGGTCTCTGGCAGGAGGTCCATGATGTAGGGGACCTTCTCGACGACGCCGATGAGAGCTTGAGCCTGCGCAGTACCCGCGAGGCCACGCATGATATAGTGTCAGAACCGAGGGCGCTCGGCGCCGCCCGACCGACCGCACGCGCGACGGCGACGGCCCCCGTCATGCAAGTCGAACGTCATTCAGCGCGACACGGAGCCCCACGCGCGCGTGCAGGGCCGCGCGACCCCGCCACAGATAGATCCATAGCAGCGCGAAGCCGCCCGACAGGTGCGCAGGCAAGAACGCCCTGCAACAACTGTCAAACATCGCAGAGAGCGGCTCTGCGCATACTTTGAGAGTGCGTTGCGCACCTTTTCGCGCAGGTGCGGGGGTCCCGAACCCTTGAAAGGATCGTGCTGGTCCAACGCCATCTTGACGTCGACGCTGGCGAAGGCAGCACGCGTTTCGGGGGCCGAAGCGATGCCGTCGTGCGGCACTGGGCGGGAACCTAACGGCGAGGGATCGCGACTGCCTTAGCCTCGACGTGCGTCGCGAACCCGGCGCGTGTGCCGCGGCCTCGCCGACCGGGCAGGGCCATCTAGCCCCGGTGGGCGGGAATGGACCCCCCTTCCTGTCGTGTTCTACTTTGCAACAGGTCCGACTCGTCCGCTGCAGACCTGCTCGCTCATGGGCTGCGCGGGCGCACGGAGGACAGCATTCGCAGCGAACGCCCGGTCGTCTGGAGGGCCTCCTCGACCCTCGTGCGAGTCCGCAGCCCCCTAGTTGGCTTGCGACGTAGCATCAGTGGCCCCTACACGGCGAGGGAGGGAGCGCTTGGTCGGCGTTCGATCGCGACTTCGGAGTTCGAGGAAGTCTGGACGCGGGGAACGCGATCGCGTGCGCAGGGGTGGTGTCGAGAGGAGCAGCGAGGACGGAGGAGGTGGTGCCGGCACTGCCGAGGCGGGGAGGGGGCAGCGCTGCGGCGGGGCAGGCGCGATGAGTTTCCCGAGCAGGCCGTTGCTCGAACACCACTTCAGGAGGGTCGTGGCGTACGACATGATCTACAAGCTGCCGATTAGACAGGCGTACGAGGTGCGCACCACCGCGCCACCGCCCTGATGGCGCTCGCCAGGGCGCGGTCCGCCCCGCTCGAGCCTCCTCGCCGCACGAACCGCATGACAGCATCGCCAGGTCGCTTCTGCATGACGCATCGCTTGCAAAGTCGCGACGATTGCGCGGCAATTGCGCCTCTGCCAGTCCACGAGTGCCTCACGCCGCGTTCCCTTGCGGCACGCCCCCCGCCTGCGCCTCCACTGGCACGAACGACGTCAAACGTGCGCGTTCCCGGCCGGAACCGAGCGTCCCCTTTCGTGCCTCGCAGATGCCGGAGCTGGACAAGGTGACGCTTCACGTCTCCCGGAGCCGCGCCCTGAGCGACCTGCGCTCGCTCCTGATCGGGCGCGCGGCGCTCACGATCCTGTCAGGGCAGGAGGCCACCATCACGACCGTCAAGAAGTCCCAGATCATCCGGGGCAACCTGCGCATGATGAAGGGGCAGACCCTAGGCACCAAGGTCACGCTCCGCGGCCGCAGGGCGTACGACTTCCTCACCACCTTCCGGAACGAGATCGTCCCGAACCTCTCCAACGAGTACCGCGGCGCCGGGATGGACCGCACCGGCAGCATCGGCTCCGGCACCGCCGTGGCGCCCGCAGCGCTGCGGGAGATGCACCCGCTGTTCGACGCGTTCCGCGGGTTCCAGTGGACGGCCTCCGCGAAGCGGCCCAAGCACGGCCGCATGAAGGTCATCCACGAGGACGTCGCGGCGCTGCTCTTCTCGGGCCTCGGGGTGCCCGTCCGCGGCAAGGGCGCGCACGACGCGCAGGCGCTGCGGGACGCCGCGGACCGCGAGAAGGAGGCGCGGGACATGGAGGCCGCGTCCGGGAGGGCGGAGGAGTAGCGTGCCACGCGGCGCGGGCACCCGCCCGCCCGCAGCAGCCTGTGATGTCACAACAACGCGACGCGACGTCCGCCGACGCTGGCCCGGTGTCACGCGGCGCGGCTCCCGACTACGTGCGTGTCGCGGCGCGCCTCGTCCGCCGCGCGCGCCCCGTGTTGCAGTCCCCCGGGGGGTGTTGACCGCACTGCTCTCAGAGGTACTTGACCATCTGACGCTCCTTGGCCTCGAGGCCGCACTTCTGATAGAACGCGACGTTGTCGTTGCTGCAGTCCAGGATGAGCTTGTAGCAGCCTGCACGGTCGCCGCCACCAACGCGGGACGCCGGTCGGCCTGTCGTATGCGCGTGCTCGCATCACCACGCGCGCACCGCGGCCGCAGCGCCAGTGCGTCGGTCGGACCGCGGCGCGCTACGACCCGGTCGCGTGCGCAGGGCGCAGTGCGCGCGGCGTGGGCGACAGGCACGGGACGGCGCCGGGAGCCACGCGGGCACCAGCGCACCTTCGAACTTGGCAATGTCAAGGGAGCGGTTGACGAGGAGGCGCCCGAGGCCCTTCCCGCGCACGGACGCGTCGACCACGACGTCCTCGACGTGCGCGACCTGCCCGCAGGAGTGGATGAACTTCTGCTCCGTCATCACCGCTGCTGTTGCCACCAGCCGGCCCGTCTCCACGTCCTCGATGACGTACACGTGGTGGCCGTGCCGGCGGTTGATCTCCTTCAAGCGCTTCCTGCGAGGGATGGGCAGCAGGAGCGGCGTCGTCGCGCAACGGCGCGCCTCGACGGACGTAGAGCACGCGGCAGGGAGCCGCTCGTGCGCGGGGCGTCGCGCACGTCACGCCGTTCTCGTCGGCCACCGCAGGCGGGTATACGAGCAGTGCGGCGGATCTGGCAGCGAGAGGTGGCGAGCGGGCCGCACTTGAAGGTTTCTTCGGTGACTTGGCCCACGTCGGTTAGCTGCGCCAGCAGGTCCAGGAACCCTTTGTGGAAGTCCCCGGCCTCGAGGTCGCGCACGACGAGGCCGTTGACGGGGCCGCGCTTCGGGAGCGTCCTCTTCGGCCTCCTCAGCGTCAGCTTTCGGCCCGTGACCTTTGGGGCCAGCAGGTAGGCCGCTGCCGCCGTCAGTGCAAGGCGGATCATGGCTGCGAGGCGCTGCGATCAGATAGATATATCAACTGGTATTCCAGCAGCGCCAGAATATGCCCGTCTTGGTCCACGTCTGGGCCGCAGTCGGCGCCCCAAGGCCTGGTTTCACCCGCTGGTCGTTCTGGCACGAATGTGTCGCCGCGCGCGTCCCTCAGCTCGCTTTTGTTGCGCGAGTCCGCTGCACGCGAGCGCCACATGCCGCACGCGCCGCTGCTCCCCCCCGACAGCCTGACGCGACGACCCGCGGTGGCCATCAGCCCCCCGCCTACGTCGGGTGCCCCGCAGCGCTGATGCCGGAGCTGCGGCGAAGACATTGCCCCTGCAGCGCCTCCGCATCCTCCAGTTGCACTACACGAGCCCCGTCCTCATCCAGGCGTCGCTCACCGTCGCGTATTGTGCGCATCATGGCCGGACGCCTCTCGTCCATGGCCCTCGCCACCGGGCGGCAACTGCTCGCGAAGGGCGCGCCGCGGGCCAGCCGCGCCGTGGGCCACCAGGGCACGACGCAGGTCCGCGCGCTGCTGAGCTGTACGGACGGCACGAAGTGGAGCGAGGCCGGCGACGAAGTGACGCTGCGCGTGCCGATTCCCGACGGCCTCACGCGCGCGGGGGTGGAGTTCGAGCTGCACCCCACGAGGCTGTCGATCAAGGGGGAGGGCGCGACGCTCGTCGAGGTGAGCGCGCGGCCCCGGCGCGACGCAGCGGCCGCCGTTGCGGTGGGCAGCAAGCTTCTAGAGGAACACCGCAGCGGGGTCTCCTGCGGGACGCCTGCGACGTTGATTCCCAGCGCGTGCAATTATCACAGCCAAAAGGATGCGCATGGTCGATCCGTCGAGTCAAAACCTTGCCGGTTGCGACCCGCAGCGCCGCCAGAGCCTGTTGCGGTTGTAGGGACGGTCCAACGGCGCGTTCGTTCGCGCCGGGGGCCGCGGTCCACGCGCCGGCCGTCCGCACCTCGCTCCGCACCGGTCCAGGCCCTGGATGCGTGTGCCCCCGGACAGACCCCCCCCACCTTCGAGGCACGCCGCGCGTCCCACGTGTCGCGCCGTCCGTGCGCCGCGGCTTTGCAGGGCGCGTTCCCCGCGGGCCAGGAGGTGGAGCCGGGGGAGTCGTACTGGTCGATCGAGGAGCTGAGCAGCGGCGCGCGCATCCTGGAGGTGGCGCTGGTGAAGAAGAACGAGATGATGCCGTGGGGCGACAAGCTGCTGGAGAGCGACGCGGCGGACACGAGCGTCACGAAGCGCGTGTTCTTCGACGTGTCCATCGCGGGGGAGCCCGCCGGCCGCATCGAGTTCGGGCTGTACGGCAACCACGTGCCGCGCACGGTGGAGAACTTCCGCGCGCTGTGCACGGGCGAGAAGGGCGAGGGCGCGGCCGGGAAGAAGCTGCACTTCGCCGGCTCGAAGTTCCACCGCATCATCCCGCAGGCACGCCCGGCACCGCACCGCACCGCACGCGCCCCTGCAGTGTGCGTCGCGCTCTGTGTGCACCTGAAATGGCCTCACGCGCGTCCGTCGCGCGGCCCCGGCTACGCAGTTCATGATCCAGGGCGGCGACATGACTGCGGGCGACGGGACGGGCGGGGAGTCGATTTACGGGGAGAGTTTCGAGGACGAGAAGTTCGGGGTGGACCACGACCGACCAGGGCTGCTGTCGATGGCCAACCGCGGGCCGAACACCAACGGGTCGCAGTTCTTCATCACGACCGTGCCGACGCCGCACCTCAACGGCAAGCACGTGGTCTTCGGGGAGGTCACGGGGGGCATGGACGTGGTGGACAAGGTCGAGAAGCTGGGCAGCGCGAGCGGGGCGCCGAGCGAGGAGGTCGTGATCACGGCGTGCGGGGAGCTGTAGCGCGCGTGTGACGCCGGCCAAGACGTCAACCTCGGCGTAACAGAGCCCGGGGGGTGCTTCGGGGGGCGTCACCCGCATGCACGGTTTCCACGTCCGGGGGGCGTCGCTGTGGTCGCCGCGAGGTTTCAACTTCGCTGACCTGCGGCGGTTGGCGAGGGCCAGCTGCGGACGGCTGGCAGGTCCAACGCCAGCCGTTGGTCAGCATCAGACACCAACAGTCTGACGCACACCAACCTACTCCCTCGTCTGACGGATGCGGAAGATCTTGCCGCCGCGGGTCCGCAGCACCGTCTTCATGCGGAACCGCGCGATCCCGCGCCGCAGCGTCATCACCACCTCCCACTTGCCCCCGCGGACCTGCAACACCTCACGCGCTGTGATGTATGTGAAGGCAGCGAGGGCGCCAGCAGCAGGGCGCGCCGTCGGCAACACGCAGCCGGTCGGGCAGACGTGTTCTCGTCTCACCGGGGTGGGTCCGTCCACGTGGACCATCTGCCGCGCCTCCTCCTCGGTCATGTTGCCCGCGCGGTCCCGCAGCGTCTTGGCGTTGTCGATGGCCAGATTGAGCCGGCGGACGACGTTCATGCGGCCCGCCCACTTCGCGTTGTCGTGGGTCACCTGTGCCGGGCGTGTGGGCACGCGGAGCGGGAGCGTCGGCCGCGGTGGGAGCACGGCGCGAAACGGCCGTCTCGCCGCGGTGGGATCTGGACGCGAGGGGTATCGACTGCGTGCGAGGCGTGCGCACGAGAAGCTGGCTCATCGCAGGGCGGACTTGAGCGGCTCTGGTCGCCAGCCGCGGTGCGCACCATGCTGATGTTTTCTTCAAACAGGGTGCTGGAGACGGAGTTGGCCCACTTGTTGTCGTTCGCCTGTATGGCAGCCATGTAGCTCTTCATGAAGGCCTCGACACACTCTCTGTCCCTCGGGTCGACGGCAGGGCCCCCCTTGTCGTCGCCGCCCGTCGCGCTGCCCACCTCGAGCTCCTTCGCCTCGTTCGTCTGCGAGGAAGCTCGCACGGTCTCTTCGAGGGACAAATCACCTCCGTACATCTCCATCGCGTGAACAAGAACGCCAAAGCGGGCGTTCGCGCCGTGTTTCGCTAGCTGCACCGGCCTGTGTGGACCTGAAATGAAGTGTTCGGTGGGCCGTGCGCGCCCCCTGCGTTCGTCTACAGGTCTCAGTGCTTCTGCACGGGCAGCACCTGCGTCGTTCCCTCGAAGATCAGCTCGCCCAAGACCTGCCCCACGCGCCCGGCGAGCACGCTGCGACCGGCGCTCTGCGTCGGAGTCGTGCCAGTTGTCCCCGACACGGGACCCAGCATGCTCCTCTCCGCCCTGCTGCCATCCGAAGCCGACTGAAGAATGGCGCCTGGCACGGGGCGGCTCATCAGCCCCCCGCACACCTCCACTTCAGCGCCCTGCTCCCACTGCTCGAGATCGCTCGATTTCCGCGTAGGCCCCGCGCGTTCCGCCGCCCCCGACCCGCTCCCCGGCCCCTGCTCCTCGCCCTCCGCCGGAGCAGCCCGCTCGTCGCGCGCGGACTCCTCTCCGGCCGCGCGACGTGTCTTCCGAGGCAGGCACCTCTTGCCAACGTTCAACATCGACGACACGAGACTCATCGCGCCCGCAGCCGCACTCCAAGGCAGCCAGCCTCTTCCTCCAGCTCTACCGAGGTACACTGCGGCGCGCGCGGCAGGTGACGTCCCGTAGAGCCCGTCCAAACAGCACCCCTGGGTTCTCTCTCGGATCTCCGAGGGCCTCCGCGCCGCGCCCCAAAACGCCGCCCCCGGCCGCTCTCGCCTCACTGCCGCCCTGCACGACCCCAGGCGAGTAAGCCTTCACCTGACAACCTCCCCACGCGCCGGAGACCGCACGCTGCCTCACACGTACGTTGAAGCCGGGCGAGCGCGCAGTGACGTCCGCAGCGCGGTCCTGCGCGCGCCGTCAGTACCCCGCGCCGTCGATCGACTGCTCCTTGATGATCGCCAGGTCGCGTTCGTCCCGCGCGACCACGTCCTGCAGCCGCTGCAGCACCTCGACCTGCTCGTGCAACACCTCGAACAACGACTTCAACGACGCCGCGTCCATCATGCCCTCCGACTCCCGCAACGCGCCCGTCTCCTTCGCCATCGACCTGCGGCTCACCGCGCCCAACTCCCTCGATCAACGAACCTGCCGGCGGTGACGCGTGCGCGCGCAAGTCGAGCGGTTGCGCGCGGTGACGGGACCGCCGGGCGCCAAGTCGCACCTGGCGCGGCTCTTGGCCATGATCTCCACCCCCTCGGCGCGCGAGTGCACGTTCGCGCCGGTCCGCGCCCCAACCGACGCCTCGAGCGCGCGCAGCCGCTCACGCAACGCGTGCATCGCGCCGCCGTCCGCCGCGCGCCCGCCGCGCGGGCCCATGGCCGCCTCGAGCGCGTCGAGGTGCCTGAACACCTGCAGCAGGTCGAAGATCTGCCGCTCGTTCGTCGCGCGCACCGCCTCGAGCCGCTGCAATACGTCCGTCTCGTATGTCTGGCGGAGCCGTTGCGTCAGGCTCGTCATCCCGGCGAGCCGCGCGGCGTGCTCCTTGAGCGTCTCCTCCTGCACCCTCGCGCGCGTCATGAGGTCGCGGAACCCCACCGCCATCACCGGCCAGAGACGCTCGGGGTTGTTGGGACCCCCCGCCGCGCGCACAGCCTCCTCGAACTGCCGCCGGTCGACGCCAGGGGGCTGCACGCGCGCCGCGGGGTTCTCGACGGTGTTCAGGAACAGCGCGCGGAGCTTGTAGTCCGGGTTGTCCGCGCGCTCCGTGTACGCGCGGTCTATTGCTGCCAGGTCCGACAGCACCGTCGGGTCGATCCCCGCCGCTTGCCCTGCGCGAAGGGGACAGCGCTGGCGCGTTGCGGTCGCGCGCGCACGGCGGGGTCGCGGGTGGGCGGGGTCGCGGCCGGGTGCGACGCGCGCGCAACATGGGAGGGCGCGCCCGCCGTGATCGGGGGCGGGCAGGGGCGAGCGCGCGCACCGTCGGTCGCCGTGCCTGCGGTGGGGGTGCCGAACGGCTGGCCCTGCTGCGGCTGGCCTCCGAACAGCCCGCCGCCGGGGGTGCTTTGGGCGGGGGTTGAGGCGCCGAACAAGGAGGGCTGGGGCGCGGAGGCGGCCCCAAACAGGCCGGAGGACCCGCCGAACAAGTTCGCTCCCGTGCTGGCGGCGCCGAAGAGGCCGCCGCCCGTGCTGGCCCCGAACGGCGTGGATCCGAAGCCCAGCGAGGCTGTTGACGTTGCAGCGCCGAAACTGAACCCCCCCGCGCCGCTCGCGGGCTGGGGCGTTCCCGATCCGAAGCCGAAACCTGTGCTGGGCGCAGAGCTCTGCTGGTTCGATCCGAAGAGCCCGCCGCCGGCCCCGGAGAAGGCAGGCTGCGAGGACGCCCCAAACGAAAAGGCGGAGCTCGACGCGGGCTGAGCCGATGCCCCGAAACCGAAGGCGGGCGTCGAGGCAGCGGGCTGCCCCCCCGACGCCGCGCCGAAATTGAACGCCATGACCGCCGCGGGCGCTAGTCTACTGGCTCGAGCTGCTGCTCAGGCAGTCCTGCCGCGCGGGGAGGTGGCCGCGCGACTACGTGGCCCCACGTACAAGGTGGCGAAATTGTGAGGCCCCGTGAACCAGGGAACGTGTCCGCTAAGCCCCTCCGTGGTTCCCTGAGAGGCGAGCACCTCGAGTGAGCTGCCCGAAGAAAATCAGCTTTGATGGCGTGGGGTCGCGCGAATTACGAGATCGCGGCCCAGGTGCAGGATGTCACGATCGATGGCGTGCCAGACGCGTGGCCAACGAAGCAAAGACGTTCACGAAGGGACCCCGGGCTGGTGAAGAAGGTCTCAGCGCGGGACACGGCCGGCGCACGGGCCCCCGGGACTCTGGGCAGGGAGGGAAGCCTCGAAACTGGAGAGTGGGAATTGTGCCGCTCGCGGGCGGCGGCAGCGCCCCTTTCTTCGCCGGGCCGTGACGGGCGTGGGCTTGACGTCCTGGAGGCCTCACGGCACAGGAGCACAGGCTGTGATTCCAGCTCAATGCTCCGCGTGCGACGACGACGCCGCCATCCTGACTTCATCTCTCGCACAGCCGTCGGTCGTACAACCGGAAACCACAAGAAGGTGGCGCGCCGCACCGTGCATCACTTCTGTCTGCCGTTCGACGCGTGAGAAGGCGTGCAGACGAGTCACGAGGCCGCACATTTTAGAGCACCGTCCCCGTACAAGATGGATGTCGCTCACGCCGCCCGTGCGGAGGGGTGCGGTGTGCACGCGCTGCGTCACCGGCGGCACCCAGTGCGCAGCATCTTTGCGCCCCTGCCGCGCAAGGCGCCCGTCACGCGGGCGGAACGCCCCGCTGGCGCCTGCCTGCACTCCTTCAAGCGTGCTCCGGGAGCGCATTCCTGCCCACGCGGCCTGGTCAGGCGCGGGCGCTGCATCCGAGCCTCGGCCACCGCGGACAGAGCCTCCGAGCCCTCGGAGCTGCTCAGGCTGCAGGCCTGGATCAACGAGTTCGGCGAACAGCCCGCAAAGCTCACACCGTCGACACTTCCGGGCGCGAACAGGCAAGCCGCAGCTCCACCCAGCTGCCTCCAACCCCTCCAACCACAGCACTGTCTCTCCCGCTCGGTTCGCAGCGGACCTACGCCGCACCGGCCCCCAACCTCGCCGCCGCGACCGCGTTCCGTTGCGCAGGGGGTGGGGTCTCGTCGCGGACGAGAGCCTGAGTCAGGGTCAGCTGTTGTTGCGGGTGCCAAAGTGGGCGATGATGACGGCCGAGAGCGGGGCGGCGTCCGCGCACTGCGGCGCGCTCATCGACGCCGCGAACCTCTCGGAGTGGCAGGCGCTCTGCCTGCACCTCCTGTGCGAGTGCGCGGCGGGAGAGCACTCGCGCTGGGCTGCGTACCTCGCCGCGTTGCCTCCCCGGGACAGCGACTGGCACCCCCTCCTCTGGCCCGACGAGCGCGTCGAGCTGATCAGGTACGCCACGGCCGCAACAGCCCGTCCAGAGATTCACGCGGCAATACGAAAGGCGGCGAGCTGTGCCTGCGTAGGACTTGTCTCGGCGCTCGCGCCGCCTGAGGCAGTCAGTGTTGCGTAGCGGAGGCCGGGGTAGGACGTGCTCCACCGCGTCGGTTCGTTATTATGTTTCGAGCGTTTTCCGAATCGAACATACATATCTATTTGTGCAGGGGTTCGTTTATGTCTGAGACGCTGCAGCGGCGCGTGGCGGAGGTGCTGTCCGACGTCGAGGTGCTGGTGAGTGCGGGCGCGAACGAGCTGCTCGTCGCGGGCCATCTCTCGGAGCCGCTCGTCACAGAGCGGTCGATGCGGTGGGCAGCGGCGGTGCTGCTGTCGCGCGCGTTCAGCCTGAGCTTCGAGCGCGACGAGTTCGACGTGGACGACGACGACGACGACAACGCTATCATCCTCCAGGACCCGCAGGCCGCCGAGCCAGAGGCTCTCGACGTAGAGGTGAGCTGCAACAAGCACAGTCTCACGCGGCACGCCCGCGCTCTCGGACGCCTCCCACCGTGAGCCCGGGCCGTGCTCTCAGCCAGCTCGACAGAGCGCTCCCTGCCCCTGCGACGCACTGACCAGGCCGCGCGACCCTTCGGCCGTTGTGTCCTCCCCCCCCCGCGCAGGACTTTGATCGATCGGGGTGCGACGGGTTCCTGGAGCCGCCCGTGGACGCGTCCTTCCTGGACGACTCCTTCTCGGACGAGATGCCCGGGCGGTGGGACGCGCCGGCGCCCGCGCTGGCGCTGGTCCCGTGGGCGGACATGCTGAATCACTCCAGCGACGCAGGGCAGTCGTCAGTGCTGCGGTTCAACCACGGGACGCAGCAGGCGACCCTGCGCGCCCACCGCGACTACTCCCCAGGTGACCTGCCGCCCCCGAACCCTCTCTGACCGCGCCGCTCGATCCAGGGATCGACCTGGGTCCGAGGCTGGTGCGTTGGATGCGTGTGGCTGCAGGAGAGGAGGTGTTTGATTCGTACGGGCCGCAGAAGTCCCCCTCGGAGCTCCTGATGGACTACGGCTTCGTGGACGCTGCGAACCGCAACTTCTGGGTGGAGGTGCCCCTCGCCGTGCTCGCCCGGCCCGCGGGCGCCGCGGCGCAGGCGCTGTTCGAGGTCGCGCTTCTGGGGGACTTCGGCGCCGTTCTGGACGACGCGGGGCCCGACCAGGCGATCCTGTCGTGGGTGCGCGCCGCCACGGGGACCGACGGCGAGCTGGCGGAGCTCGGCTGGGACCCGGCGGGCGGCGCGATGGGCGACGCAATGGCCGTGGTGTGGGAGCTCGAGGAGCCCGCACCGCGCGAGTGGGAGGCGAGGATGTACGACCACCTGATAGAGACGCTCGACACGCAACTGGCCAAGTGAGAACACGCCGCCCGAGCCCGTTTCCGCGCCGTCCAGGAACATGAGCTCCTTGTGCGCTGACTGCACTGGCGTTTCCGCGCGTTCGTGACCGCGCAGGTACCCGGCGTCGCTGGAGGAGGACCAGGCGCGGCTGGCGACGGCGCAGCTGAACGAGGGCAGCGCGGTGGAGTGTTCGATTCGCCTGGCTCTGATGTCGGAGAAGATCGCGTTGAGAGGCAGCCTGGAGCGGCTCATGGAGGCCCGCAAGCGACTGTGAGGCCGCCGACGATCGATGCGTGCGCTCTCGTGCAGTTTCACGACGACCGAGCGCGGGCGCTGCACGCGCGACAGCAAGAAATCGCAGCGGCACTGCATGGTGCTCAACGCCGCGTTCGCTGCTGGCTGGGGCGCGCAGACTGCATGGGCCGCATGACCGCAGCGTGCAGGGTATCTCCGCTCGGCGTCCGGATGCGTCGCCCCTCCTGGGTGGTGCAGGGGGGGCCTTGAGTCAAGGGGGGGCTCATTCCCGTCAGACGGCGTCTACAGGGCGCCCCTTGCGGCGTCATTGCCGGGCGCGGCGCTCGTGCGCGCGCGCAGTGCGTCCTTTGCAGCTGGGAGCGTTCGTTGCAGCAAGATGGTGAAGCCCGCCGTCGACTTGTCCGAGGTCTCGGTGGCGGACCTCATGACGGAGATCGAGAGGCGCCTCGCGTGCCAGAACAAGCCCGAGAAGCGCGTCGTCCTCGTCGGTGAGCCATCGCCGCGTCCTCGCTGCCGCAGCTCCCCCATCGCGCCCGTCCGGCGACGACGCGCGGCGCCCGCTCTCTCTCGTGTGCGGAGGCGTCTCCCAACGCTGCTGTGGGGCATTCCGGGACCATCGCCGCTGTGCATCAGCCTCATACGACATGTATCGTTCCCTTCGGTCGTACTGCGTGCGCTCGTGCGCACCTGGAGACGCCCGGCCGCAGCGACCATTGCGTGCCTGGATACTCCCGGCCCACACATCGGGCAAAGACGTGCTGCGCGATCACAGCCGCGCTCCACACCTGCCCTGACCCCGCATCTCCCTCCACCCGCGCGCGTCGAGCCCGAATCCCTCCATGTCTCTGTCAGTCGGCGCCAGGCCTGTTCCCGCCGGCTCATGTGCTGCACCGCCCCGCGCCACCCCCTGCAGGCCCGCCCGGATGCGGCAAGGGAACGCAGTCGCCCATGATCAAGAAGGAGCACTGCCTGTGCCACCTTGCGACGGGTGACATGCTGCGCGCGGCCGTCGCCGCAGGTTGTTCCCCTTGCCAGCCCACCTCCGGGGCATGGCAGACCAGCGCGCGTTCCAGCGTCCCGTACAACGCCCGTCCCCGGACGTTCGTACTACGCTCGTCCCATCGCGGCCAACGTTAGCCCGTCCGGCGCGCTGGGCAGTCGCGCACCGCCCACGCGCTCCCGCGCTGCGCTCTGTTCGCGCGCAGGGTCGCCGATGGGCAAGAAGGCGAAGGCGGCGATGGACGCCGGCGCGCTCGTGAGCGACGACATCGTGGTGGGCATCATCGAGGAGGCCATTCAGAAGCCGGAGTGTCGCAACGGGTTCATTCTCGACGGGTTCCCGCGGACGGTGCCGCAGGCCGAGATGCTCGACGACCTGCTGCAGCGCAAGGGCACGCAGATCGACAAGGTCCTGGACTTCAAGGTGCGCGCGCTCCCCCGCCGAGCGAAGGCCTCGCCGCGCGTCTGCGCGTGCCGAAGCTGGTTCCCGCCGCGCACAGACGAGGGGCGCGACGCGCCGCGAGCCCGGCGTGGCGTGCGTCGCGACGCGGCGCCGAGGACGTGCGTTTCGCGCGGCGCGTTGCAGGTGCCGGACGAGGTCCTGGTGGAGCGGGTCACGGGTCGGTGGGTGCACCCTGCGTCGGGGCGGTCCTACCACGACCGGTTCGCGCCCCCGAAGGTGGCGGGCGTGGACGACGTGACGGGTGAGCCGCTGGTGCGGCGCAAGGACGACAACGCGGAGACGCTGAAGAGCCGCCTCGCTGCGTTCCACAAGAGCACGTCGCCGGTGATTGACTACTACGCGCGGCTGGGCAAGGTGGTGCCGCTCGACGCGAACAAGGAGACGACCGCCGTGAAGGAGCAGATCCGGAAGGCGCTCCACACCGATAGCTGATGGAGTGGGCGCGTGTAACGACGCTGAGCGAGGTCAGGGGGGGTCTCAGGAAGGGGGGGGTAATAAAGCTGCTTGCTTCGGCGGCGCCGCGTGTCGAGAGGACGCGGGCAAACACGGTCCTGTGAGAGCCTGTTCTGAGCAGTGGGCGTGGCGTGCACGTGGAGCAGCGCCGTACCGCACGTTCAGGGAGTTTGAAAGCGGCAGGGCACGAGATGCTGGCTTGGACGGGCGGGTCCCGGAGAGACGCCCGCAAGAGCGAGAAGGAGAAGAAGAAGAACCCGTGGAAGCTGCGAGAGAGGGCAGCTCGTGCCCCAGCGCAGGACGAGAAGGGCGAAGACAAAGAAGGGAACCAAGCACTGGTGCGACTGCGCGTGACGGCGGAAGCATCGCGTGAGCTGCCCCTGCAAGCACGCTGCTCGAATTTCGCACCTACTGGTTTGTTCTCGCAGGCGCGCGGGCTCGATAACAAGGTGCTGCGGCCGGTGAAGACGTGTGGCACTCTGAGACCGATTCAGTTCCGCAGACCGCGCGCCGCGGACGTGCCGCGCGACATCGAGGAGCTGAGCATCAAGGCTGCGAAAGAAGCCGTCCGGTCACAGCGAGCGAGGCAGGGGGAAAAGGCCGCCGGGCTCGTGCTCAGCCAGGACAGTGGCTCGCAGCTGAGCCTGGACGAAATCATGGAGCACGCGCCTGCGGAGCCCTCCCTGGAGAAACAAGGATCGCGGCGCTCCCACCACCACCACGCTTGACGCGTACGGCCCTCGCGCAGGACACGCCCTTCCCCGAGCATAGCCCGGCTCGAACGGCGAAACATGCGACCTCGAAACGAGCGCGTGAGTCAGTCAAAACGGCCACCTCCCCTCTCCGTCAAGGGTTTCTGACCCTGATTCAGATGTGACCGAAAAAGACCGTCCGACAGAGTGGCGCAAAAACGTGAATTTGAATCTCCCACTTCAGGCACTGGAGCTGACGTGGGCGATGCTGTGAGACGTGCTGGGCACTGTCAACGCAATATGCAAGGAGACCTTCCAGGGTCTTGAGCGGGAGGCTGCGGGGCCGCACTTGCGCGTCAGGTTGCCAGCGAAGGGTGCGATCGCAGTTGCAAGGAGAGGGTCGCCCACGCGCCGCATCGCAGTGCAGCGATCGCGCAGATACGTGCCGCGACGCTGGAGTGCCGCCCTTCAGCGGCGCCGGTCGTGACTTGCAGCCAACAGAGGCGAGGGCGCGTCGGGCAGGTTTGCGCCATCGTCTATTCTCTCATCTCCGCATCTTGTCGGAGCTCCCTGGTTGTGGAGCTGCGGCACTCCGCGCGGTCATCAAGGCCGAATGTCCTCGGCGGGGCGAAGCGGTCCAAGAGATGCGCCGGCAAAGCAGCTGAGACGCGCGCAAAACCTGTTCCGGCGTCACACACAGACGGGCTGCGCGGCGTCACGCGTTATCACGCCGCTCGGTCCCGCACTGCACACACATGTAGTACACGTCCATTCCCTTCACGGTCGCCTGCTGCTTGTAGACCGCCTCCTTGTGCCCACACTCCGGGCACTCGTAGTCGTTGGTCCTGCGCACACGCGACCGCGTCGGTGGCTCGCGTTCGAACAGCGCACGGCCCCGTGCGCGACGCTGAAATCTGTGTGCGGGCGCGGCTTGCGTTCGGAGCGCACGCGGCCCTGCGCACGGGCTACGCAAACAGGTGCGGCGTACCTTGGGAGCGTCGGGTCGTCCGTCATGTCCCCGCGGATCATCTCGCCCTGCTTGGAGTGCTTCAGGACGTGCCTGTACGCGCACCCGTGCTCCGCGTCCTCCTCGTACCCGCAGTTCTTCGCCTTGCAGCGGTACACCAGGACCCTCCGCTCCCTGCAGGAACGAACGGGAACGGCGTGCGCGATACGGTTCGATGATGGTGGGTATGTTATACGTCGTGCGTGCAGAGAGACGCCGGGAGGCGGCTCAGAACGCGCGCGGCTGCGTGATGGAAGCACTAGCCAGCTCTTCTTGGCGCCTTGCAGCGTTGATGCAGCCAAAGCTGCGGCACATAAGTATTCAAGCTTCTTGATTGCTGTTCCTAGCACTCGCTGCCCAGAAACACTGAGATGGCGGTACGTGGTGGGAGAGCCACGCACTTGTCCTCCTCGGCATACAAGAGGTCCGACGTGTTCGGGCAGAACCGGAGACGCGGCTTGCAGTCCTGGCTGGCGTTCGCCATCTATGCCCTCTCGCCCCTCAGCGCGCTCCCCTGCGCCCCCAGCGCCTCAAGCAACCTCTACGACCGCGTTTCTGTTCCACGCAGGAGTTCCAGCTCCCGGGCTGCAGACCTGTGCAAAATATCGACGCGAACTCGGCAGTGCTACAATATTCTGAGACCGCCCGCTCCGCCCGGGCGGCAATCAGCGCGGGAAGCCTCGTCCGCGAGCCACAGCGGGGCGTTTTCGTCCCTCCTACCGCACGCTCCTGGGAGACTGCCAGGACGGCGTGATTGCGAGCTAGCGGCACCGTGCAGCGCACAGGAGCGACTCCCTGGATGAGGACCCGTGCATCGACGGCAAAGCAAGCCGTTGCCGGACAGTCTCGCACCCGAGGACGCTGCGCTGCGCTCTTGTCCCGGTCTCTGCCGCTCCTGGCCGCGTTCGCGCTGGGGTTTCTCCTCAGCACCCTCCCCACTCCTCGTCTACCACTTCAGCTCGCCCAAGGTGCGCCGGCGACGCGACAGACTTCTCCGTGCAGCCACTGCGCGCGTCCAGAAAGTTGTTGAAGTTGCTCTCGCGACGCCCCCGCTGCGTGCAGCGAGGGGTTTCCGCGTTGACTGGCCGACGAAGATCCGATAGCACGTCATGCGGGTGCTCATGGCCGCGTGCACGGCGACGCGTCGCTGCGGTGCTCTTGCTGCCAACCCCGCGCGCCACTTCGCCTGCGCCTGCCACGGTCCCCGGTCGGCGATGCCGCTGCCACGCGCTGGGAGCGTCCCGGCACCTCTTGCAACACCAGCGCGCCGCACCTGGCACGTAGCTGGCCGGCCAGGTGCGGGTCGCGTGGCCCGTGCACCCAACGTTTCGCCACGTCGCCTCCGCTTCGCCGCGATCCTCGTGGTCACACCGAACCTCTCCTCCCTCCCGCTCTCGCTCCCCTCGCAGCGTCGGTCCCTCGCGCAATGTCCGGGGGCGCGGCGGGGCCCGACGGCACGTCGTTCGTGGCGTGCTACGTCACGGTGCCCTCCCAGGACGTGGCGGAGAAGATCGCGGGCCCGCTCCTGGAGCAGCGGCTCGCGGCGTGCGTGAACATCATCCCGGGCGTGCAGTCGATGTACTGGTGGCAGGGCAAGGTGGAGAAAGACGCCGAGTTGCTCCTGATGATCAAGACGCGAGCGTCGCTCGTCGACAAACTGACGGAGGCGGTCGTGGCGCTGCACCCGTACGACGTGTGCGAGGTGATCTCGGTGCCGATCACCGGCGGGAACCCCCCGTACCTGACGTGGGTCGCCGACTCGACATCCGCGGGGGCGGCACAGTAGGTCCTGCCGTGACGGGTCGCTCGCGGTGACGGATCGCCCGACCCGAGGCGAGGGGAGATGTCACAGATTGCCCGTGTGAGCCGGGAGGGCGCGAGGAGCAGACACGCACGCGCACCACACAGCTGCGAAGTGCGCTCCCGGGACGTCAACACAGGGTGTGTGCTCGATCATCGTCGCGGACCCTGGCGGCCGCTGGTGCGCCCGCCGTGGAGCAAAACGGTCCGGACGGGGAGCGATCCGTCCCCGAACGCGCCTCCGCGGGGCAGCGTCATGGCCAGCAAGACCGTGAACCTAGACATGCAGGGCGATCGCCTTGATCGAGCCTCCCAAGGAGCAATAAGGTTCGAGCGGTGGCGGGTTTCGATCCACGCGACCTCGGGGTTATGAGCCCCGCACTCTGCCTCTGAGCTACACCGCTGCCAGGCGCTGGGAGGGAATTTCGACGCAACCAGGACGATACGCGTACTTCCGCGTACAGTCCACATCATATACTACTTTCACCGTCGCTTGCATGAGTTTCCCGACCAGTCGTCCCGACCGCCGCCTCCCGTAGCCCCGAGTCCCGCAGCGTCACGCCCCCTCGCACCCGTTGCGCGCAAACTCGTCCCCGTGCGGCGCCGTCCTACGCCTCCGCGGCGGCCATCCCCGCACGCAGCGCCTCCCACTTCGACGCCCACGCGTCCCGCCCCCCGCGGTCCTCGCGCGCCGCCATCGTCAGCGCCATCAGCCGAGCGCACTCCGCGGCCTGGGCCGGCATTTCAGCGTCGTTGAAGCTCGCGCACGCCGCCTCGAGCTCGCTGCACACGTCCGCCATGGCGTCGCGCGACGGCACGCCGCCGCCCGGGCCGCTCACGAGCCGCTGCGCGGCGCGCTGCAGCCTGGCCTCCCCGATCAGCCGAGCGTCTCCGCTGCTCAAGCACAGCGGCAGCGCCTCGTCGCACTGCCCGGAGAGCATGGCAGCCTCGGCCCACGTCCGCCGGAGACCCAGGGTCTCGCAGTGGTGCCTGGCCGCCGCGGCGCACTCCAGGGCCACGGAAGCGCGCTCCGCAGCGGCGTACACGCGCGACAGGCACACCAGCGCCAGCGCCGCGGACGGCCGCAGCCGGCGCCCCGCACAGAATGCAAACGCGGCCTTCGCAGCCGCCTGCGCGCGCCCCGCGTCGCCCTCCGCGAGCCGCGTCTCCGCCTCCCGCAGCATCACGTCTGCGCGCACGTGCGCGGGCACGAGCGCGTCCGGCGCCGCAGCCACGGCTTCTTGCAGCGCATCCAACGCCTCGCGCGCCCTCAGCACCTGTCCGGCCCGCAACGCGCGCGTGTGCAGAAGCATCAGCTCCGCCAGCCGCAACCGCGTATCGCCGTCCACGTCCGCGCCGTTCCCGCTTCGCTGCCGTGCGACCTCGAGCACGCGCAGGCCCGCGCTCGGCCCCTGCGTGTCCGCGACGTGCATTGCGAGCGTGGCCGTGGCGGAGGCCCGATCCGCCGCGGACGCAGACGCGAAGTGCACGCGCATGAAGGACTCGAGCACGGCACCCGCCATGGCGCCGCACGCGGCCTCGCGGTGCGCGGACGCCTCGAGCAAGAGCGACTGCCCCGACGCCGTCCGCAGGGCTGCGCAGCTGGCGCTGGCCTCCGCGCCGACGCGGTCCCCCTCGCCCTCGTCGCGCACCAGCGCGGTGCCAGCGCTGCCGGACGTCAGCGGGGACGCGCCCGGCGACGCGGCGCTGGCGTACGCGGCCACGACGCCGCAGGCGTACCCGAGGCGGCGGAGCACGATGCCGGTCCCCACGAGCGCTGCTTCGGGACGTGCTGGCCCGCCCCGAATCAGGGTTTCCGCGGCGATGGCGAGCCGGGCGTACGCGACCACGTCAGGCAGCGTGTGCGTCTCGGCCTGCCCCAGACACTGCCGCAGCAACGTCGTGCGCGCACTGCCGCGAGGAACTGCGAACACAAGCACTAGAGATTGCCATCAGATGGAAGCAAGGGCGCGCACGGGCGCAAGCCACGATCGTCAACGACGTCGCCTGGAACAGCGCCGCGAGCTGAGCCGGGCACGTCATGGCGCGCAGGCCGCGCCGGGGCCCGCACCTTCGTTCGCCGCGGCCCCGCCGAGCAGCCGGAAGTCGTCCGGCACCTGCGTCGCCTGGTCCCCCTCCTCGTCTTCGCCAGCCACGTGGCACAGCGCCGCCAGCAAGTGCACGAGCGGCCCCGCCCGCCCCTCGCGCTGAGCCGCCGTCATCGCTTCGCTCAGACATCGGCGCGCCTCTCCGTGCAGCCCCAGCGCCGTGTGCATGCTCGCGAGCGCCAGAAGCGGCACGTGTCCGCCCACGACCGCCTGGCCCCGCCCCGTCGCCGTTGCCAGTCCGTAGTCGTGCCGCCGCCGCAGCGCCTCTTCCGCGCCCGGGGCGTCCCTCCCCAGCGCAAGCGCCTGCACCTCCGTTTCCAGCGCCGCGAGCCAGTGCGCGGGCCGCCCCTGCACCTCCGCGCTCGTCGCGCTGTCGCCCGCGGCGCCGCTCCGTACGCGGCGCAAGTCGTCCGCGCACGCGCGCCAGCGCTCGTCGTCCTTGTGCAGCGTATCCTGCGCGCGCGACACGTGCTCCGCTAGCCACGGATCGAACCGCATGTGCGTCGCGGGCGCCCCGCGCGCCCACGCTGCCGCGTCGACCGCCAATTGGCACACCGACTCAAACGAGAGCTCCTGCGCGCCAAGCAGCCCGGCCATCAGTGAGCTTCATCGCGCCACGCGGGGTGCGACGCCACCTCGCCCGCGCGTGCCCGCATTCATGCGTCGCACCTGAAACGCCACCAGGAGGCGCTGGGCGAGCGTCCCGAGCGCCGAGTGCTTGTCGATGACCTGCCAGTCCACGTCGATCTCCTCCTCCGCCACCTCGACCACCTCGCGCGTCCGGCTGGCCAGCTCCACCAGCGCGTCCACAGAGCTCTCCGCCTCCCAGAATGCCCCGCGGAGGTCCTCGAGGAACGACGCAAACGCCTCCCTGTCCGGAGAGTCCTCGAAGCGCTGCCTGCGCCATGCGACGGCGCGGGGTTCGCGCCTGAGACGCTGCCAGCGGGGCGTTGTTTCCGCGCCAGGGAACTGCCGGGCAACAGGGCGGGCGTCCATACGACGGCATGCTCGCTGTTTCCGAGGAGCTCGATGGGCGAGACAGTTCTCTGCAGCGTCTGGGGGCTGGGGTACTCACGAGACGATGCGCGAGAACTCCGCGTAGGTAGGCTCGAGCACGTCCTGCCCCCACGCCCACTGGTCCGTCAGCAGCTCCGTCAGGCTGCGCTTCGTCGAGTCTGACAGGCCGTCCGGGAAGTTTGAGTCATAGTAGGGTCCGCACGCACAGCGTACCTGCAGGAGCGCGGCCAGGTACAGCTGGAACGGCGTCGCCATCGTGGCGCTCCCGCCGCTTCTCTCGCACGCGTCACGCGGCCCAACCGCGCCCAAGACGGCCCGCGGCGGAGCACTCCACGAAGTACAGCTGTGCCGCGGGCAAGAGCGGCGATCTGCGCGTCGACGTGGCCGGAGCCCTGACATGGGCGCCAGTGCAACTGGGAGAGCCCGACGGACGCGCAGTCCGTCTCCGGGCACTCCCGTGCTTGAGGGGCGCGCGCGCGGGTCTCCTCCGTCACTCTAGCGTCGCCGGAAGCCACGCGTCAGACCGAGCAGGGAGGGCAGCGCGCTGTTCGCACGCCACGCGCCACTGGCACTCAAACCTGCTGGCGAGCTGGCCAAGCAGGCAGGTGGGCGCACTGAGGAGGAGCGACGGCCCCACGGCGCACGTCCGTGATGAGAAATGCGTGATTCGACGCGAAGCGCTCATCTTCTAGCCGTCTCTTCGTGATTCCGGCCTTGGCGGAGGCAGGAACAGAGCCAGCGCGGCGCTCTCTCCCTTGGGACGGCCGCACACAGCGCGATGGGGCGCAGGGGAGCCGCGCCCGCGGCCGAAGAGGGCACCGCGGACCTAGTATCGGTCGGTCAGATGCTTTCCAAGCCGAAGTTCGACAGGGACGCCGCACTAGAGGGCCTCGAGGTGCGAGCCTGCTTGAACGCTGCAGAGATGGTCCGCCGCGTTTCTCCACGCCCGCGGCGTGCCGCGCCGCTCGGCGCCATGTATTCGCGCCACTGCTCGCTCACGAAGCGTCTGACGCGCCGCACGTCCCGGGGCCACGCGCGGTGCAGCGGGCTGCGGCGTGCTTGCGCAGAGCGGCACAGGGGGACGCCAGGGTCCAGAAGGCGTCCGTGGGGCTCGAGCGGGCGCTGATCTCCAAGCACGTTCTCGAGCACTGCGACAAGGGAGTCCGCACGCGCGCGGCGCTCTGCGTTGCGCTCACGCTCAAGCTTCACGCGCCGGACTGCCCGTACACCGACGCTGAGCTCGAAACGGCGTTCGACCTCGTCGCGTCGACCTTCTCCGCGCTCGAGGACGCCTCCAGGCCGCTCTACGGCGAGGTGCGCACCGCCCCCCGCCCACGTCCGTCGCCGCAACGCCCCTTCGCGGCCACGCATTCAAGTCCCGCCTTTCCCGCACACGGCCGCGCACGGCCGCGCCCGCGCGCCAAACTCCACCACGCCCCGTCTCGATTCATTTCCCCCGTCCCCGACGAGCGCGCGCCCGCGTTCCCCCCCGCAGTCGCTCGCGGTGCTGCACCTCCTGGACACACTCAAGATGCCGCTCCTGCTGCTCGACCTCGAGACCCCCGACGCCGCCGTGTCCCTCGCGCGCACGCTCCTGGACTCGATCACGGACGCCAGCGGCGCGGAGGTCCTCGAGCGCGCCGGCCGCGTCCTGGCCGCGCTCGCCGACGAAGGCGCGGACTTTGCGGGCCTCCCGGCGCTGCTCGAGACGCTCCTCGTGCACCTCGTGCCCCCGCGCCGCACGGAGTCCCCGCAGGCCGCGGAGGTCGTCCGCGACGTGCTCGCGCGCTGCGAGGCCACCCTGGGCCCGCCGACGGCGGCGCTCCTCACCGGGGTCGTCGCGCGGGCGCCGTCGGCGCGCGGCGTCGCGCCGGAGCTGCGCTCGCACGTCACGGAGCTGCTCTTGGAGCTGCACGCCACGTCGCAGCCGATCCTGCTTCCCATCGTCGCGGCGCTGAAGCCGGAGCTGACGTCGGAGGCGGAGGACGCGCGGCGGGGCGCGGTGGCGCTGGTGGGGCGGCTGCTCGCGTCCGGCGGCGGCGAGATGGCGGCCGCGTACCCCGACCTGCTCGAGGCGTGGGCGCGGCGCGGGGTGGACCGCAGCGCCGCGGTGCGCCTGGCGGTGCTGGAGCAGGGCCGCGCCGCGCTGTGCGGCGAGCAGGCGGCGCTCGGGGAGGCGGGCAGGGCGGGGAAGGGCGCGTCCGGGAGCGCGTGCGCGGAGCTGCGGGCCGCGGCGTGGCGGGTCGCGCGGGACCGCGTCCTGGACGGCGACGAGGGCGTGCGGGCGCTGGCGGTGCGCACGGTGTGCGACGCGGCGGCGGGGGGCGCGCAGGGCGGAGAGGCGGACGACGCGCTCAGGGCCGTGGCGGAGCGCCTGCGGGACGTGCGTCCGGGCGTGCAGGGCGAGGCGGCGCGCGGCCTGCTGCGGGTCTACCGGGCGCGGGGGTGCGCCGCGGTGGCGTGGGTGCCCGGGGCGGTGGCGGCGTCGGCGGTGCGCGTCGCGGAGGTGCGCGCGGCGCTCGAGGCGGAGCCGCTGTTCCCCGCGGCGGTCCCGGCGGAGGCGGTGGCGCGGCGGTGGGTGGAGGTGTGGCAGGCGAGCGGCGCGGTCGAGCGGTCGGCGCTCGCGAGGCTGCTGCGGGTGCGCACGCGGGTGTGTGGGGACATGGCGCGGCTGCTGGAGGCGCGGCGGGCGGTGCGCGAGGCCGCGGGGAGCGGCCGGGGCACCAAGGCGGCGACGCTAGCGGCGGGCGCGGACGCGGGCGACGTGGCGCGGCGGCGCGCGGCCGAGGCCGAGGTGGCGGCGCTCGCGCAGCGCGTGGCCGCGGGGCTGCCCGTGGGCGAGGCGGCGGCGCTGGTGCGCGTGCTGTCGACGCACCTGGACCGCAAGCTCTTCATGGCGCTGGGGCGGTTCTGCGACCCGGACCTGACGGCGGCGGCGGCGCGCGACGCGACGACGGAGACGATCCAGCGGTGGTCGGCCGCGGGGCGGTCGGACGCGGCGGCCCGGGCGGCGCTGACGGGCCTGTGTCGCCGCATGTCGCCGGTGCTGCTGGCGGCGCCCCACGTGGAGGCGCTGGTCGCGCTCGCCGCGCAGGAGGACGGCGAGGCGACGTGCGGGGCGCTCGTGGAGGTCGCGAGCGCGCTGCCGGACGCGGTCGCGGCCCGCCGCGCGCTGCTCGTGCCGCTGCTCGCGGAGAGCGCGGGCAGGCCACGCAGCGCCGCGCTCGCGACCGCAGCGTGCCAGGCGCTCGCGAACGCGATGCGGGGGCGCACGGCGACCGCGCGGCGCGCCGACGCGGAGCAGCAAGCGGACGGCGACGACGAGGGGGGGTCTGATCGCTCCGCGCCCGACACCGACGACCCCGGCCGCCGCGACGGCGACATCTGCGACCTGCTCGGCGCGCTGTGCGGCGGCAGCGACGCTCGCGTCGTCAAGCACGCCTGCAGGGCCCTCGCGTCCTTCGCAGCCGCGGAGGCCCACCGCGGTCCGGACCAGCCCCCGCTGTCAGGCCGCGCCGAAGAGACCCTCGGCGAGGTCCTCCGGGACGCCGCCGCGCACGTGTCGTGCTGCAGGGACCCCGCACACGACGCCCGCGTGCCGGCCAGCTACGCCGCGATCGGCGCCGGCGCGCGGCTGCGCCCCGACCTCTACGAGGACGTAGCGCAGGAGGTGGGCGACGCCGTGCTGGGCGGGGGGCTGTGGCGGCACGCGGACCGGCGGCAGCGCGCGCCGGGCAGCGCCGAGGACGCGGCCGGGCCGTCCCGGCCGGCGTCGGCGCTCGCGGCGGGGCTCAGGCGCTGACGCGCGCTGGCCGCCGCCGGGCGCCGGCGACGCGCCGTGCGTGGCGGCGCGCGGGCAGCTCGCCCCGCTGGTCGACCTGCTCCTGACGATCGGCGACGCGCAGGCCGACCCGGCGCCGGACGCGCTCGCGGCCCTGGCGGCGCCCGACGCGGCGTACGTCAGGCTCAAGGCCTTTGGGTGCCTCCTGCACGCGCTGCGGCGTCTCGGGGCCGCGGCGCCCCCGGCGGCGTACGTCGGCGCCGCGCTGACGCTGCAGGACCCCGACCCGGCCGTGCGCGCCGCCGCCGCGGCCAAGACGCGCCGCGCGCTGTCGGCCGCCCTGCAGCTTGCAGCGCAGCGCCCGGACAACGGCACGATTCTCGCCGGCGGCAAGTGGGCCGCGATGCTCGCGCTGTGCAACGTGGACCCCGTCGCCGCGAACCGCGAGGCCGCCGCGGGCGCGTTCGCGCAGTACGTCGCGGCCCGGCGGCGCGCGGCCGCGCAGGAGCTGCAGCGCGGCGGTGCGGGCGGCGGCAGCATGGCCGCGCAGCCGGAGCTGTGTCTGACGTACGCGGTGTTCCTCCTCGCGCACCACCCGGACTTCCCGACGGTCGGGGAGGTGCGCGACACCAGCGGCGCGGCCCTCGCGCCCTTCCAGCAGATGCTGGCGCCGCTGCTGGGCGCGCTGCTCGGCACCGCGGAGGACTCGTGCGAGGCCGGGGCGTCGCTGCCGCTGGTCCGGAAGCTGCTGCGGGTGATCAAGCACTCGGAGGTCACGGCGCCGGGGCTCCGCGGGGAGGAGCCGCGCACGCAGGAGGTGCGGGAGCTGGCGGACGTGGCGCTGCAGATGGCGGCGGCGGCCGAGGAGGTCATCCTGGGGCCGCGGGGCGCGACTGCGACGTCCGCGCGCGCGGCGCCGTATCCCGGGGACGTGCAGCTGCCGCGGTGGGTGCTCCGCGCCGTCGCGGTCGAGGGGGGGAGTTTCGCGGACGGCAGCCACATCCCGCGGGGGCTCGCTGCGCCTGACATGCGCCCGCACTTGGGCCTGGCGAAGAAGGGCGGCGCGAGGCGCGGCGAGGGAGCGGCGAAGCGCGGGCGCCAGGGCGCGGAGGTGGGGTCTCCGCCGCGCGCACGTTCAAAGCAGGCAAAGGTGCGGTCGCCGGACGCGGCGTCGAAGCGGCGGCGGTTCGGGGCGGAGGCGGTCGGGTGCCGCGTGGAGGTGTGGTGGCCGGAGGACGAGGGGTGGTTCGCAGGCACCGTCGAGAGCTTCGACGAAGCAAGCGGTGCGTAGCACAACCATGCCCTGCCTGCGAACGTGCACGCGTGCCTTGTTGGCTCAATCTTGGTGCGTTGCGGGCATGTTCTGAGTGCGTGTGGTTCTTTCGTGGCCCCGTGCAGGTCGCCACCGCGTGGCGTACGACGACGGTGACGTGGAGCACCTGTTTCTACCTCAGGAGAGGATCCGGTGGGAGGGGGGGGACTCTCCGGGCAAGGAGGGGCCCGACGCGGGGTCGCCGTTGCCGCCAACGCCCGCGCGCGCCACGCGGGCGCTGCGGTCCGTCGCTGGGAACACCCCCGGGGGTGCGCCGCCGTCGGAGAAGCGGCGCACGGTGCGGGGACGGCAGGGACGCACCCCGCGCGCACAGGAGAACGCGACCGCGGAGTAGCACGCAGCGGCGATGCAGGGGCATGGCGGATGGGGCGGCGGCGGGCGTGAGGAAGGGCTTTCAGACCGGCAGAAGCTATGATATGAGACTTCGATCGAAAACGAAATCGATCACGAGGCGAGACGAGTATCGTCCATGTTCGGGCGCGGCGCCGGTGTGAACACGTACCGCTCGCACTATTGGTGAGCCGCACGATGTGCCGGTGTGCCGGCCGGGGCGGAACGAGTTCGTTGCAGCTACCATTCCCGAACTTGGAAATAGGAACACAATTCAACACACGTTCCGCGCATGAATAGAGCTTGAAGACTCGCATTAAATTGGGACGCGGTGGTGTGCTCTCACATCGCGGCGGTCATCGGGTGTGGTCGCCGTGCGCACCGTTTTGCTTTCGTGGTTTCAGGCGTCACCTCCGTCGGATGACTTTTTCGTCAGCTTTCAGCCACGACACCTGCTGATTTCGCCCTGACCTACTCGACGACGATTCGCGGGTACCTGCAGCCCTCCTGGGGTAGACCTACCTCCCACCTTAGGTGGGAGTGCAGACTGCAGCCATCGACGATCAGGCACAGCAGCTGCAGCACCCTGTTCGTCCTCAGCGCCTCCTTCATGCACTTCACGCCCACGGTCTTGCCGCTCTCCCCGTCGAGTGTCAACCTCAAGACCAGCAGGTCCCGATTGCTCTTCAGTGCGTCAGCCAGCAGAGGGGCGTCGTCGTCAGTAAGTCCGGTTTTGTGCAGGCTCAAGGACCTGAGAGCCCGGTTCGAGCGTAGAGCACCCGCGAGGCGGCTGCCTTTGCACCTCAGATGCTCGATGCTGAGAGCGCGCAGCGTGTTGTTGTGCGCCAGCCCGTCTGCGAAGGAGTCCAGCCCGTGGAGCTCCACGGGGAACGCCCAATTCCGAGTATCACGCCCAAGCTGGAGGACTCTGAGTGTCGTGCTCCTGGATAACTCGTCGCCGATGGTCACGACCCCAGCGGTAGGAGACTTGTTATCCACCATTGAAAAGACCTCCAACCCGCATCCTGCGACGGCCTGTAGGAGCTTCTCGAAGGCTCGCGGGCCGAAGCAGTTGCCGGAGACGTCGAGAATGCGGAGCAACGTGCTGCTTTTCAGGCCCCGCTCGAGATCCTCAGCTGCTGCGTCCGTTAACCCCATCCTGGTCAAGCGGAGGTCCACCAGCGTGCTGGTCGCCGCCAACATCGAAGCAATCGCCGAGCAGTCCTGTGCATCCCGACTGGATAGGTGCAGCCGCTCCAGGGGCAGCGCCGAGTTGCGAGCGACCTCGGCGAACAGTCTAAAATAGCCTTTGAAGTCGCAGCTATTCAACTCGAGCCGATGCAGCCTGTTGCTCGTCGCAAGCAGGGGTGCCAAGATGTCGTTGTGGTCGCCCTGACTTGAACAACGGCAGGGCCCGATTGTCAGCTCGACGAGCTGACTGTCAGCGGCCTTCGTGACCAATCCAGCCAGTTGTTGCTTCGACCCCCCGAAGCGCTGTAGGCTCAGGTGCTCCACGGCCCCGGCCCCGTACGCCATGAAAGCGTCGACTGCGCCCAGGCCCTGCTCCTCGAGCTTGAATACCTTGACTGTCCCGATCTTGAACACCGCTTTCGAAATGGTGTTGATTCCCGTCCTGCGGCCAGGTGAAGCTCGCGCGATACCGGCCAGGTGAAGCTCGCGCAGGCTTGCTGAGCCTCGCACCAGCCGTGCCACGGCGGCGTCTCCTTGCGCGCCGATGTCGCAGTCGCGGATGTCGAGCACCCGTAGCGAGTGTGCGTTGGCCAGGAGTGCGTTCATCGCGCGTCGCGCATTCAACTCCTTCCGATCGAGGCCCAGAAAGCAGAGCTCCTCGATGATCCCGCACACCGCTCGCGTCTCGAGGATCGCGCAAATGCCATCGTGCATCGCCGCGCGCATCGAGTTGCTGCCGGGGACTGGGCGCCCGTTGGTAGCACTGCAACACAGCCGCCGCACGCGCACTGGCGCCATGCCCGGGTCAGTGCTCGCCTCCAACACGCGTGCGAGAGCGCTGAACGACGTCTGCAGCTCGTTGTCGTCCACGCCCGCCTCCACCGCCGCGTCGTACAGCGCTCGCGCATCTTGAACGTCGACGTGTGCTCCATACGCGGCGGCGTCATCAAGCAGCACGAGCCTCCCGACGTACGACGTGCCGACGCAGATACGGCCCGCCAGACCGCGAAGCAGACCGTCGACCGACGAGAGCTCCAGGACGGGCGTCACCAGGCGCTCGTCTAAACAAATAAAAAACCTGGCCGGGGAAAACCTGTCCACGCTTTCGACGCGCAGGACCGAATTCGAGCCCCGCCGGCTTCCGTTGCCGGTCCAGGCCCACTCCACGTCGCCCCGCACCACGCGCCTCCCGTGCCTCAGCAGCGTCAGCAGCCCGGCCCAGCACGTCGCGGCCACGTTAATCGCCGCACGCTGTGGGAGCTGGTCGAGGATCTGAGGGCCCACCTGGGTCAGCACCTCCTCGAACAGCGCGTGCGACCGTACCTGCGTACACGAGGGGTTCTACTGCACGTTCAAGACCTCGTCGCGCGAGCTCCAGACCGTCTCAGGCGACCGAATCAGCGTTGAAACAGCACGCGGCCTCCGCCACGCAGCACCCTGTGCCCGACGTCGGTCGCTCAGCGCCTGAGACGTCGGTGCGAGATTAATCGCCCGCGCGAACGGCGACTGGCGCCTCGTAAAGCGATGCCGGAGCGCGGCGGGGCTCCGCTTTCGAGTTACATTAGTGTTCGACGGAGCCTGTCAATGGCGCCCGGACGCCGCACAGACACCCCATCAGCGACACAGACAGCAGCATAGTGGCCTGTACGGCTTGTCTCGACCGCAGCGGGGTGCGTTGAGAGACGAACGTCAGCATTGGGGTGCCTAGCTGCTCCTCACCTCGTCACGCGGCGTTCCGATGCCCGAGGCGGGCGGCGCGTCCTGATTCATGACGTCTCGGAGGTATACTGCCTGTGACCGTCGCCAACGAGCGTGAAAAATGCCGCCTAGACGCTCATTGGACCGCCCGACCGGTAGGTAGAGGGGTCCCTCAAAACACCTCCGGCGCTCGACAGCCGACGGTCGGCGACCCCGTTCCCAACGCGATGCGCTCGTCGACGGCGAGGCACAGCCGCACTGGCCACCCGGACGACCGACTCCGCCCCACTCACCCGCGCCCCCCTGACACGCGCGCATCATGTTGTTTGACGCCGACGGGTCGAAGGGGGCGACGTGCGGCGCAGCAGGGCGTCCCGCGGCCGCCGCCAGGACGCTAACCTTGCGCCCCGGGCGCGTTGCGGCGCCGGGGCGTCTCTGGCTGTGTCCGACACCAGCGCCTGACGCAGCAGGAGCAGCGCGGCCAGGTGGGGCGAGCTGCGGGCTCGAGGGCGGCCGGGGCGGGCGCGCGTCGGCATCGCCGGTGCCTGCGATCGCCCTGCGTCTTCGAGCTCTGGCGGGAAGAGGCGCGAAAGTGTCCTGGTGAGGTGCGTGCAATGCCCCGCAGGGTTCCTCGACTCACACGCCGTCGCTGGCGACGTCGCGGCCCGAACTCCCCGTCGGCGAGTCGCCGCGACGCAGCGCGCCCGGTGCAGCTCCGCGGTCGCGATGCTGGACCCCGTGCCGCATTTCGCGTCGCGGAAATCCGCGAGGAGCATCCAGCTGTGAGGGGTCAACCGCGAACGTCGCTGGCACGCTCGCCGGGGCCCACGACCGCTCTCTGCTGGCACGTCGCGCAGGAACAGTGTTGCGGGCTCTCTCGGCGACGTCAAGCGCGATGCCTGGAGCGATGGTGATCGGCGGGGCGACCTGCAAAGCCCCGGGCGCTCGCGCACCCCAGCGTGAGGCCTCGCGGCTACCTGCGGGTAAGTCCGACAGCCTGGCCGCCTCAGACACGCGGCACATAAGTGTTCAAGTCCGTCCCGAGCTTCCTGGTGTGGGAGGGCCCGTGGCGCCGCGGCCACGCCTCGCTGGCCCCTGTGCCGCTCGTTCGCCAAGCGAGTACGACAACGGTCGCCAGCGGGCTGCGCTGCGCGAACGCCACGCGACTGCTGCCGCGCGGGAAGTCCAGGGTGCCGTCTGCCTGCTCAGCGCGGTACGCGACGGGCTGTGCTCTGCAGGCGCGGCCGGGAGGGCATTCGGTGGGGCGCTCACCATGGGCGGGGCGCTCCATGCTTCCTCCGTGACTGTGCGGCGCCGGGTGGCGGCGCGCGCGGTCATGAACGAAGGCAGCAGCGCCGAGGCGTCCGGAGACACCATCGAGCCGGCCCGCAAGCTCGTCAGGCAGCCGGGGTCGACCACCGGGCCCTTCAACGTCCTCATCACGGGGTCCACCAAGGTGCGCGCGCCCGCCTTTGCACTCCATCACGGACCCATCACCACGAAGCCTCGAAGTACCCTCGTTCCATCCGTTTGCAGCCTCCCCCGGCCGCCCCGCGACCCACCAAAGAGCTCAGCTTTGGGGCCCCGAGCGAGCGTGCTCCTGCCGCCACGCCGGACCATTCCGCGCCCCCCCGTGCTGTCGACGCGCGCAGGGAATCGGCCGGGCGCTGGCGGAGGAGTTCCTGAAGCGCGGCGACAGCGTGCTCGTCTGCTCCCGCACCGAGCGCAGCGTGCGGTCGGCCGTCAAGGACCTGTCGTCGCGGTACGACCCCGAGCGCGTGCGCGGGATCGCCTGCGACGTGTCGGACCAGGAGTCGGTGGAGCGGCTCGCGGCGTTCGCCACGGAGCAGTTCGGTGCCATCGACCTCTGGATCAACAACGCCGGCAGCAACGGGTACAAGTTCGAGGCGCTGAGCGAGTCCGAGGGCGACATGCTCGAGGAGATCGTGTCGACGAACGTCCTCGGGACGCTCGTGTGCTGCCGGCAGGCCATCCGCACCATGCGCGAGCAGCCCGCGGGGGGGCACATCTTTCTGATGGACGGCGCGGGGGGCTCCGGGACGCCGACGCCGCGGTTCGCGGCGTACGGGGCGACGAAGCGGTGCCTGGGGCAGCTGATCAAGTCGCTGAACGCGGAGCTGAAGACCGCGGCGCTGTCGGACAAGGTCTGCGTGCACAACCTGTCGCCAGGGATGGTCACCACGCAGCTGCTCATGTCGGGCACGGACTCCCCGCAGGCCAAGTGGTTCATCAACTGCCTGGCCGAGGAGCCGCACGTCGTCGCGCAGAACCTCGTCCCGCGCCTGCGCGACGTCCCTGCCGCGTCGAAGAAGAACGCCGACGCTAGCGGGGCGCTGTCGTCGCGCACCGTGGCCTTCCTCACGCCCGTCGACGCGGTGACGCGGATCGGGTCGCGCATTTTGTTCGAGCGCAGCCGGAACCGCTTCGTCCAGGAGGAGGGCGACTCGAGACTCCCCCCCCTCGGGTGACCCGCTGATGTGATCCCGTTGAGAGCGAAACGAGCGCTGTTGGTGGTCGTGACAGGGGCGGAGAGTCTCGTACCAGGAGGGCACCACTTTCATGTGCCTGCAGGGTGACTGCGCGACGGTGCATGCTCCCAGAGTGTCACTGCAACAACAATAAAAGAACGTTCCGGCCCTGGCCGGCCCGCGATGGTCTCCTTCGAAGCGACGACGCAGCAGCCAATGTCACATCCTCGCCCATCCGCAGCCTGCCACGCGGCGACAGCTGCGCAGGCCAGTCAAACTAATCCTCATCTGCGTGCAATTTACAGCCCGCGTGCGGCAGCTATGCACCGACGCCCTGCGGCTGTGCCTGCGGCGGCGCGGGCTCGCACACCGCGCGCACGGCGGGGACCGTCAGCCCGGCCCTGCACCCCGGCAGCCACAGCCACAGCTCCGGCAGCACGGCGGGGCCAGGCTGGCCCGCACGCATCCGCCACGACAGCTGCACCGCCTTCTTCGGCTCCAGCTGCACGTCGACGCTCCGCTGGTTCAAAATCTCCACGCCCTGCCCCTCCCTCAGCCGCGCCTCCAACACCAGAGGCCCCTCCGTGCTGTTGCGGCACCGCACCGCCCAGTCCAGCTGCGCCCCCGCGTGCAGCGGCGCCACCAGCCCGACCTGGACCACCTCGACCAGCGGGAACTCAACCGCCAGCTTCGGGAGCGGCGCACGCATAGAAAGCACCTCTCCGGTGCCCTCGCTCCCTGACGAGGGTCCAGCGGTCCGCGGGGAGCAGCGCTGCCACTCCACCACGAGGTCGCCGAGGTGCTGCGCCTGCTTGCGTGTGCGCGGGCTCAGGCCGGCCTCGGGCGGCGCGGGGGGCTCCGCAGCGGCGCGCGCGGGCATCACCAGGGAGAGCGTCGCGCCGGCCGCGATGCGCGTCGGTCCCTCCGGCATGCCGATCGGCGTGTCGAGCGAGAAGTGGAGCGTCTCCTTCCCGCGCGTCTTGAGCTGCGAGCACAAATATCAAGCCGCATCGTGAAATGATCGCTGCACATGGGCCCACAGGGTTGACACGGGGCGCTTCAACGTGACCACGAGCTCGTCAGGCTGCGCAGCGGCGTTCGCAGGGGGGCCTTCGAGCGAGTCGAGACGCTGCTGCGGCTGCACCCAAGCGCAGCTCATAAGTGGCTCAAAATGGCTCTTGGCAGAGCCACTTGAACGGTGTTTCGAGATCGCTGGAAGGCAAACGGCAAGTCTCGACCGACGCAACATGCGCGCTCTCTGTCTCGCTCTAGCCGCGTGCAGTGCGAGCGACCGGGGCTGTGCGGGCGCACCTGGATGGAGACGCGTTCCAGGAGGATGTCGGCGTCGTGGGCGGTGAGTGCTGCAACGAGCGAGAACGGCCGCCCCGCCGGGACGCTCAGCGCGTCCGTGGGCTCCGGTGGAGCCAGCTGCGACGGCATCAGCATGTGCGACCCCGCGGGCAGCATGGCGCTCCACGTGACGGCAACCGGCGGCGAAATGTGCACGATGGCCGACGCCTCCGCCAGCGTGTCGCGCCCCCTGCCGACGACCTCGCTCCCACTCCCAACGGATCCCAGCGCACTCGTCGACCGGGGTGGCGTCCGCGCGGCACCTTCGCCCTCCTCCGGAGCCGGAAGCAGACTGCAGGTCACCTGCAGCGGCCCCGGCGCGGGGCAGGCCAGCCGGACCGTGAACGACGCACTCAGCCGCTTCGGTGCGCCCATGCTGCTCCCCTCGAGATCTGTGGGGGCGCCTGCCTCCTGGATGCCAGACGGCTCAGCAGCCTCCGGTACCGCCGCGCCCGCCGCCGGCCACGGCGCGAACTGGGCGTCCGCAACACCGTCCCAGCGCACGAAGGGCTCCACATCCGGCGGCGAGTACCCCTCGTGCTGCGCGCTGACCGCCAGAAACACCCCCCCCACCCAGACAGACGCAGCGGCCTCGATGGCCCCGCGCACCTCGACGTGCGAGCCGGACAGGGCCTCGCCGAGCTCGGGCTCTTGCAGCCGCAGCTCGGCCAGAGCCGCGGCGGGCGCGCCCCCCTCCATGACCCCCGGAAGCAGCGCGCCCTGCGTTGCGCGCGCCAGCGCCTGGAGCGACCGCTCGATGGCCGCCCGCGCCGCCCACGTCCCACCCGCCTCCGCAGCCTCGCCGTCCAGCGGCGGCACGATCGCGGACGCCGACGCCGCGCGCCGCATCGCGTCGGACCACGCCGGCAGACACCACTGAAACGTCACTCCCCCCTCGCAGACCACCCTCAAGAACGAGGCCTCCACACGCCGCATCCCCGTGACGGGAATGTACGCGTGCAGCACCAGGGGCACTCCGCGGGCGAGCGACAGCGCGCCCGTGCCCTCCGCCGTCGCTCCGTCACCCGCGACCCCCTGCAGCGCTGCTGCGCTCGCGGGCTTGCTCCCCACGCGCACCTCGACCTCGCAGCCCGCGACGGAGATGGTCCCGGGGAGCCGGCTGGTCACGATGACGCCGAACTCCGCCGCCGGACGCCCCGCCACGGCCCGGCAGAACCCGGCCCTGACGTCAAAACACCCCGCCAGCATCGACCCGGGAAGCACGTCCGCCGCGGCGCCCTCCGCGGCCAGGAGCCCGAGCGCGTCCCGCACGGCGCGGGCGCCGGCCTCGTCGTCAGGCCCCAGGCTCGCGCGCTCCAGCTCCGCCCTCGCGCGCAGGCCGTCGTCGCCCGACACCCCCGAGGCTTGACTCAGCTCCCCTAGCGCGGGTGCCAGCAGGCAGTGCCAGCCCTCGCGCCGCAGGCCCGCGGCCATGGACTCGATCGCCGCCGTCGGGGGCCCGCTGTCCGGCGCCCTGAGCCCGGACTGCAGCGCGCGCGACGACCGCGGGCAGCCCGAGGCGCGCAGTTCGCGCACGGCGGCGGCGCACAGCTCCGTGAGCGCGCCGTCGGCGCACAGGTCGTGCTCCAGCTGCGCCCGCACGACGCGCAGGAAGTGCGCGTCCTTGAGCCGCTCTCCCGTGTCCGCGCGCACGATCGTCCCGACGTACAGCCCGCTGCGCGCGGCCACGTCGCCGTCAGCGTCGCCAGCGTCGTCCGCGGCATCGGACGGCCGCGCCGCGCCCAGAAACTGCTTCGCGATGCGGGCCTCCTCGAGTGCGAGCGACAGGAGCTGGCCCGTCGACAGCAGCGGGTCCCGCAGGTCGCGACCGAGGCCGTTCTCCCACCGCGTGAGGACATGCGCGGCGATCTGCAGTTGGCGCGACGTCCAGGACGCCAGGAGCGCCGGGAGCGTGTCGTCGACGCAGGACGCGGCGCCCTCGCGCAGGGCCAGGTGCCGCCGGATCACGTGGACCGCTGCACGTGTGTCAGGGGGGGAGTGTGCTAAAAGACACCCCAGGAGCCGCGCAAACACCATCGACAGCACCTCGAGGAGCTCGAACCGGTGCTGCGGGCCGAGCATCGGCGAGTGGAGCGACTCGAGCGAGTCGTACACGCCCGAGTACCCGCGCGCCGCGGCCGCCCAGTCCCGGCACGCCTCGGCGCACGCAGCCGCTTTGATCAGTGGCTGCACGGCGCGGGGCGCCAGCGTCGAGGACGTGATCTTGCCGTGCTTGTGCCGCGCCTCCGCGCCGTAGAACGCGAGCGCCTGCGGGGCCAGCGCGACGGGCTAGCGTGCTATCGAGCCATGGTGGTGCCAGAGCATGACACGGTGGTGCGAGGCGCACGGGCACGCGGGGGCGGCGCCGAGACGGACCTGGTCCCAGATGATCGAGGCGAGGTGCGCGACGGCCGCGTGGTCGGGGTCCCAGTTGGCGGGCACCACGCACACGCAGCGTTCTTCCACCGCGCTGTGTCGCTGAATGGCATACACGGCGTCGTCCGGGGGCGCCTGGGCCTCTTCGTCGCAGTCGTCGTCGACCAGGGCGACGGCGATGCGGACTCTGCAGGGGGAGCGGGGCGGGTCAGGTGCGGTGTTCGAGCTGGGATGGGGCAGGAGGGGAGGGAGGTGGGAGGGGGGCGGCGGTCTCTGTGTGCGGACCTTCGGTGCCTGGCGGCGGTGCTGACTTCCTCGAGGATCGACATCTCCGTCATGGACGTGGCTTCGTCGCCGAGCACGCCCTGCAGCGAAAGGACGACCACGGCGACACCGGGGCGAAGCCGCTGGAACTTCTGGAGCCACGCGGCCTTCATGAGGCCGTTCACCGTGCGCATCGGAGGCTTCTCGACCGTGTTCGACCCCAGGGTCTCCGCGGAGAGCCCTGCGCCGGCGTAGGAAGAGGGCGGAAGGCTGTGAGCACTACGCCGGTTGTCGCCGCGTTCACCGGCGCACCGAGCATCTTCGTCGCATCGCAGCCTTCCGGTCGGCGCTCCACTCGACGACGCGTGCATGGGGCATCGAGATTCACTGCACGTCCCCCGAATATCACGCGGCGGGCGACCCTCTGCGCGGGCTCAGGTGCTGCTTGCCTGCCTCGGGGACAGAGAGACACTTGCAGCGGTACTGCCCCGGGCTCTCAATGATCGTCTTGAGGGCGCTGTGGTGCTGTTCGCCGCCAATCACCGCCACCAGCGGGCGCAGGACCTCGACGTCGACATCCATGGCGGGCGACACCGCCGTGGGCAGCGCCGCCTTCCACGGCTGCGACATGACGCTGCTACAGCGTCGCTCGGCGACACCTACGCGGGCCGGTCCGTGCAGTCGTGCATGGCAACCATGCGAGACATGCACTCTGTGTGTTGCTCTCCAGGCAGGTCGCCTTGCGCTCCACGCAGCGCAGTCAGCGCTCAAACATTGCCGCGTGGCCGGACCGGACTGCGGAGTGCCGTTGCGGCGTCCGTCCGCAGGCCAGTGCGCCGTCTTCATGCCGGAAGCCGAGGTAGTTACCCAGTCAGTCGCGTCAGCAGTCGAGGCCCGGAATCCGGCCTCGTTGCTGGGCGAGCGCGGGCCTGCGCGTCAGAACTTGGATTCCTTGACCTCTCGAGCGGTTCAAGCGCCAAGCTCTTCACTGCACGTCACCCGCGATGCTGCGCTCGGCCCCAACTCAACAGTGCGCGGGGCGCGTCCCTTGCCATGGTGCGCCGCGGACTTGCACGTCCAGTGCGAGAAACGAAACTCTACCGCTATGACACGCGCTGCCAGCACCGCTCCACGCGGTCCCACGCAGCCTGTACACCGCTGCCAGGACCGACCTGTCCCTGTCCAGCAACCTCCCCGCTGCGCCTCGCGTACGCGCGTGACACCTGGCCCCCGCTCCCCTCGTCGCGCCGCACCGCGCCCACCAGCGCGCTAGGCGGCCCGTACACGCCGTGCGCGGCCCCCACGCGGCGCCACGCCCCTGTTCCATTCAGCGCCAGCAGCGGTCCCAACCGCCACGCGCCGCGGCCGCGAGCCACGCCGCATACAAGCCGCACCCCGCCAGCTCTCACAACCACCCGCACTCCACATCCAAGATTCTGGCCTGCACCACCTCCCAGACCCCTCTCCCCCCCCTCGGGCCCCTGCCCTGCACTAGGCGCACGCAAGTGCCCTCCTCGCCGTGTGCGCGCTCCAGGCGGTCGCGCAGCCCCGCGGCGGCAGCGCTGCGGCCTCGCACGTCCTCAGCCGGCCGCGCCGCGTCCCGTCCGCGCAGAACCCCGGAAGCACGCGGCGGTGCGCGGGCCGGCCCCGCAGCGCGCCCTCATGGATCGGATGGCGCAGGGCGGGACCGGGCCGGACTACTCGCGCGCGAACCAGAACCTCGCGCTCGAGCTCGTGCGCGTCACCGAGGCCGCGGCGCTCGGCGGCGGCAAGTGGATGGGCAAGGGCGACAAGAACGCCGCTGACCAGGTACGTCCTTGTGCTGCGACTCGCGACGCCCGGCTGGGGGCCCGCGGGCACGGAGGCGGCCGGGCGAGGCGTTTCCAGGGGCTCAGGGGCGGCGGCGTTGGTGTTTGCGCGTGCAGGCGGCGGTGGACATGATGCGGAGGGTGTTTGAGGCGTGTGTGGGGGTGCACGGCGTGGTGGTGATCGGGGAGGGCGAGAAGGACGAGGCGCCGATGCTGTACAACGGCGAGCACGTCGGGGACGCAAGCGGGCCCCTGATGGACATCGCCGTCGACCCGATCGGTACGCAATCGCCGCGCGCCACCCGCGACACGCAACCGACCGCCGCGACGACGCGCGCAGCGCGCTGGCCGCCGGGCGCGTCGCACAGCTGGCCACGCACATCGCGCACGCTCACACGCGCTCCCGCGCCCCGCCCCCCGCAGACGGCACCACGTGCGTCGCGAACGGCCGCAGCGGCGCCATCGCGGTGATCGCGATGGCCGAGGCCGGCTCGATGTTCAACCCGGGCCCGTGCATGTACATGGAGAAGCTCGCCGTCGGGCCGGACGTGCCCGCGGACACGGTGTCGCTCGACGAGTCCGTGGCGCACAACATCCGCGCTGTGGCACGGGCCAAGAACAAGGCCGTCGACGAGGTCACCGTGGTGCTGCTCGACCGCCCGCGGCACAAGCCGCTGATCGACGAGATCCGCGCCGCGGGTGCGCGCATCCGGCTGATCTCGGACGGCGACGTGGGCGGGGCGATCGAGGTGGCCAAGGACGCGTCGCCTGCGGACATGCTCATGGGCATCGGGGGCACGCCGGAGGGTGAGTCGCGACGCCGCCCGAGGCCGCTCTGACCGCAGCGGCGGTGTCCCGGTCTGCGAGTGGTTGTGTCTCTCGATGCCATCAATCAATCCGACCTGTCTGGATGATGAAACTTTTTGGGAGTTGATTTCCGGTGGTCGTGACTGCGCCGTGCCCCGCTGCTTCGCTTCGCTGTGCAGGCGTGATCGCGGCGTGCGCGCTGAAGTGCATGGGCGGGACGATCTACGGCCGGCTGTGGCCGCGCGACGACGCCGAGCGCGAGCGCACCATTGCCGCGGGGTACGACCTCAACAAGATGATGCGCACGGAGGACCTGTGCAGCGGCGAGAAGGTGTTCTTCGCGGCGACCGGCATCACGGACGGCGACCTCCTCCGCGGCGTGCGGTACCACTCGGGCGGCGGCGCCACGAGCAGCGTGGTCATGCGGGGGGAGTCCGGGACCGTGCGGTGGATCGAGACGCATCACAAGTGGGCCAAGCCCAGCGCGACCAACCCGATGTTCCTGACCTCGGACGACTCCATGCACTAGACTCCCCCCCGCCTGCGTGCTCCCCACGTGAGATGCAATGCTGTGTGTGTGTGCTCAACCCCGGCCCTCTGTCTTGCCCGATTGGGCGACCGGGGCCAGCGGCCCGCCCCCGGCCCCGAGCAGCCGCGCGAGTATGCCTGCGCAGCGGCCCGCTTGTAACACCGTCAGGGACTGCCACACCGCTGTCAGGGACCCCACGCCCCCCAGCATCGCCGTGCCGGCTCCGCCCGCAGCGCAGCACATCGCTGCCGCCATGAAGCCGAAGTCCCCCGCCCCCGACAGGATGCCGTCGCCGACGAACGCCACGGAGTTGAGCGGCTGCATGCCCGCAACCCATCCCAGCGACGACTCCGCTAACCGCCCCACGTCCTGATCGGTCGTGAACCCGCCGATCAGGGCGCCGCGCGCGCACCACAGCCCGCCGCCAGCGACGACGCCGAGCGCGAGGCCGTACGCGAGCGCCCGGCCGGCGATCGTGCGCGCCATTGCAATGTCGCGCCCCCCCGACGCCTCTGCCACGAGGCCCTGCGCCGCGACCGCGATCGAGTCCATCGTGAACGACAGCAGCATCCACCCCTGGATCGACACCTGGTGCGCGGCGACCCCGATCGCGCCGTCCGGCCCGTGCGCCACCTCCGCAGTAGCCAACAGCAGCATCGCTTGCAGCACCGAGGTGCGCAGAATCAGCGCCCCGCCCGCCCGCACGAGCGGGGCCACGTCGTCCCACGACGGCAACCGCGCGCCGGACTCCTCGAGCAGCCTCGCAGGGCCCCCGATCTGCGTCCTTCGAAGCTCCGTGAGGTACCACGCAGCGCCGGCCCACTCCGAGACAGCGGTGGCCGCAGCGGCGCCGCGGACGCCGAGGCCGGCCCCGAGCGCGCCCTCCGCACCCGGGAGACCGAAGATCAGGATCGGATCCAGCACGAAGTTGACCAGGTTGGCCCCGAGTGCGATCTTGAGCGGCGTGCGCGTGTCGAGCAGCCCGCGGAAGACGCCCCCGCAGGCGTTGCTGACGAGCACCGCTGGGAGGCCGAGGGCGCGCACTTGGAGGTACCCGAGGGACTGTTCGAGGACGCCACCGTCGCCCGCGGCCCCGCCGGCGACGGCGGCGAGCGCAGGTTCCCCGAAGGTCTCCAGGAGCACGCAGCAGGCGCTGCCGAGGACGACCGCGAGCGTGATCGCCTGTCCCGCGGTCTTGCGCGCACGCGCGTCGTCCTCGGCCGCCAGCGCCTGCCCTACAAGCGGTGCGGTGGCCTGCACGACACGGAGCCCGAACCGCACCCGGCGCAGTGGGCGGCTGCAGGCGGCGGCCGAGCGCGAGCGTCTCGGGCCGCGCGCTAGATGGTTCGGGTGTGAGTAGTGGGTCGCGCGAGGGAGCGCACCTGTGAGAGGAAGTTGAAGCACAGGAAGGCGAACGTGAACACGCTGTTCGCCGGAGCGAGGCCCGCCAGCTCCTCCGCCCCGAGACGCCTGCGAGCACCGGCAAGCCACGCGGAGCTGCTTTTCTTTTCTTTTCTTTTCTTTTCTTTTCTTTTCTTTTCTTTTCTTTTCTTTTCTTTTCTTTTCTTTTCTTTTCTTTTCTTTTCTTTTCTTTTCTTTTCTTTTCTTTTCATCGGTTCTTCGCCCGCGACACACATTGTGGCCTCTGCGCCGGTGGCCCCCCGGGCACTCCCGCTGGCATTCCAGGGTGGGCAGGGCCACAGGGTGTCCGATGTGCGGGCGCGACCGTACCCGACGAAGGCGGTGTCCACCACGCCGAGCAGGGGGTCGATGGCCAGCGTGCCCAGGGCGGGGGCCGCCAGCGACAGGATACGGGCGTCGAGCGGCCCGAACCATCGCGTGTCTGCGTCAGGCGAGGACGCGTCTGACTGCTCCTGTGCGGGCGGCCGCGCTCTGCAGCGCACTGGTGGTCCTTGGGACGACCGCAAGACCCCCCCCCTGGGCCTGTGAGGTGGGGACCTCAAGGCCTGTGTGTCGCATAGGGTGTATACTGGATGTCGTCGCATAGGTGCAAACCGCGCGTGCGCGCACTGCAGCGTGCACGGTCTCCGCCACACGCTCGCCAGGTTTCCGGCTCGCCCGCGACAGGCAGCGCCCGGCTTGGGCTCTCGCGTCGCTAGCGGCTTGTTTGACGATGGCCGGTTGAATCTAGCTCCGCGCGTGCTCGGAGCGCGCGAGAGATGGGTGTGGAGGACGCGGCACTGCTGTGAGGGGTGGCGCTGGGTGCATCTGCGGCCCTGCGTGATTGAGGCGACGTTGCTTCTGTGCGCGACGGAGGTATCGGAAGCGGCACTATGTCACACGCGCCCCCGCCCATCGTCCCCGTGCGCGCCCCCGAACAGGACGGGCCCGTCCAGCTGACGCGGGAGGTCTCGCGAGGCTCGACGCGCGCCGCTGTTGCGACAGCCAGTCAACACACTGCGCGCCGCTGGCGCGCCTTCTCACCACGTTCGCGGCCCGTGATTCTCCTAGAAACCGGTGGGTGCGACGCGCGCGGCCAACCACCAGAGCGCTTTGCATGGGGCGATTCCTGCGCCAAGGTACCTGCTCCCTCGCTGCCAGGCGCATCAGCGGTCACCGTCGTGCTGGCGGGTCGAATGGTGGCGGAACGTCGGGAATTCCGCGGGGGTGCGCCGCGCATGCTCGCGGGAGTGAAATAGTGTGTGGAGCGCGCTGTGCGTGCGTGGCGGGCTCGCGCGTGGTCGGGCGATCCGCTACTGGCGGGCGACACAGACCACGTCCGGTGCCGACCTCGCGCGCAGGCCGTCGCCGCTCGACCAGGCGACCCGGGGCGGGCAGAGGTGGGCAGCAGAGATCCTTCGCCGTGCTGCATCGGGGGCATGATTTGCCGGTTTCCGCGCGCGACGCGTAGGGCGTGCGTTCTGGCTCGCCGGTGGCGCGGCAATGCGCGGCAGTTGGAGTGCGCAGGGACTCCCCGGGAGTCTTTTCCCCAGTCGGGCTGTTGCTGCCGCCGCTCGGCAGGCCTAGATTGGCCCGTCCGCGCCGCGGCGCCGGCGCAGAGTGACGTCTCGCGGTCGGATCACTTCTTCCCCCAGTCGTCACCAGACCACGCTGTGCTGAGTCCGCCAGGACGGGACCTGGGCGCATCCTTTCACCAGCAGGCCCGCCGGATCGTCCAGTGCTACAGGGCAGCAGGAAACAATGTTCGCGAACAATTTCGCCCTTCTGGGCGATGACACGGAGGACATCAGCGCGATGGCCGCGAAGGCTGCCCGGGAGGCGGCCAAGGCCAAGGCTCAGGCCGAGAGCGCGCCCGCTCCCTCCGCGAGCGCCGCCCGCCCGGCCCGGGGGGGTCGCGGCGGCCGGGGCCCCAGGAACGGGCCTGCGGAGACCCGCGACGACGCCCCCGCGCCCGCCGGTCGCGCCGGTGGCAGGTGATCCACCCGAAACCCCGTCACTGATCCCACGCACCCACTCAGGGGCTCCAACGCGCCCGAACTCAGCCTCCCAGATACGAACATACACGGCGCGCATTGCGTTGGGGCGCCCCCCCCCGGAGCGGAAGCCCCGGCGCGCCCAGGGCTGTCGGCCCGAGCCGCTCGACGGCAGTTTCCTGTCAGCAGCGCCGCCCGGCCCGCGTGGCGCCGCGCAGCCACCGCGTGCCGCGTGAGTGATCCACGCTCGCCCCCCGCGGTGCGTAACGGGCCCTGTGCGGGGCTCGCGCGACGCGCTAGAGCCCACCCCGCCCGCCATCATCGATGGGAGTGCAGGGGTGGCCGCGGGCGCGGCCGCGGCCGTGGCGACCACCCGCACCGCGGTCGTGAGTACGATCGCCGCGACGGCACCGGGCGCGCCCACGAGAACAAGAAGGGCGGAGCCGGCAAGGGCAACTGGGGGGTCGAGGGCGAGGAGGCGCAGGACGCCGCCACGGTGAGGCCCCGCCCGCGCGCCCGCCCACCTTTCCACGAACCTCCGACTTTCTCCCATCCACGGCGCGCGCGATCCGCGCCCGAGCGCGCCGACGCCCGCGGATCTCGCCCGGCCCGCACATGGGCTCAACTGCCTGCGCGCTCCCGCCGCCCCCGGCCGCGCTGCGCCCGCGGCGCCCGGCCTCCGTCCAGATCCCGCCGCCCGCACGCCCGCGCGACACATCGCGTCCCGCGCCCCGCGCGCCCCCACGCGCGCCCAAGCACGGCAGCCCACCGCCGACCCCCCTCCGCCCGGCCGCCCCCGCAGCCCGCCGACAAGCTGGAGCCCGAGGCCGAGGTCGAGCGCGAGGCGGCCGAGCAGCCCGCGGAGCCCGTCGAGGACGAGCCGAAGCAGGTGACGCTGGACGACTACCTGGCGGCGGAGTACGCTGAGAAGCGGGCCGCGCTGCAGAGCCAGATGAAGACCGAGCAGCGCACGGTGGACAAGAGCCAGTTCTCGGGCATGCAGAAGGTCCAGAAGGCCGAGAAGCTGGCGGAGGACCTCCTGGACGGGTTCTCGAGCAAGGACAAGACCAAGCAGCACCGCGTCAAGGAGCTCAAGGGCAAGAACGTGGTCAACGTGGACATCAAGTTCTCCGACGGGGGGCCCGCGGGCGGGCCGCGCGGCGAGGGCGGCCGCGGGCGCGGGCGCGGCGGGCGGGCGGGCGGGCGGCCGGCGCTCGAGGCGGCCGTGGCGGGCGCGGCGGTGGCCGGGGGCGCGGCGGCCCCGGCGGGCGCGCGATCGACCTCTCCAGCGACGCGTTCCCGTCGCTCGGCTAAGCGCCTGCGCTGCGGGCGCGCGCCTCCCCCGCACGCGGGTGACCCCTGCCTCGACCGGACCGCTGGCCGCCCCCCCCGCGGCACCCACGCGCCCCGGGCGCACGGGGACCGACCGGGGGCGCGGCTGGCACTGGCGTCGCGCGGCGGCTGAATCAGATCTGCCGTCCGCCGGTGCCATAACCCCCCCCCCACCCCGACCACCACTACCCCAGACATCACACCCCCCCCGCCATGCAACGACGCGCCCGCACACCCACGGCCTCCCGAGAACGCTGGGAGTATGTGCGGCCTCCGCGCCCGGCCCGCGTCGCAGCCTGGCGACCCATGCCGTCTCGCGCGACCGCGGTTGCCGACTCGCTGCGCACCCGTCGCGCAGCCTCCCCCTACACCCTCTCCCCCGACGTAGCACCCCCCGGGACCCACCTACGCCCCCCTGCATTGTCTTCCCATGAGTTGTGGGCGACGCAGCTCGCGCACGTGCCGCCCGTGCTCCGGCTGGGCTTGCAAGGCAGAGACCTCTCCCCTCCGCCGCCTGAGCGCGCGAGGCACGCTGCCGGCAGCGTCTTCCTCGACGAAGCGAACGGGACTCTCAAGAACCGGGAGCGAGCAGCTTCCACCTGGCTGCGTCACCCTGCCGCTGTTGCTCGCCGGCGACTCGGCCCTCGACGACAGCGAGGGCGCTTGTGTCCGGGCTTGGGGACGTCACCCGCCCCCGCGCCTGCTGACTTAGAATATAGTAATCCTGTCGCAGCAGGCGGGCCAGGGAGCGCTGGGCGCGGGGCGAGACCTTGGAGTCCCCCCCCTCTTGCCAGCCTGTTGCCGGCTCCAGCGGTGTTGTGACGTTGTGTCAATGCGGCGCGCTCGGGACGGCCACGAGGAGTCAGCTGTCATTGGGATCTTCGCGTTGCTGCTTCGGCGACCCCCGTCCTGGTCCTCGTGGTCCCTTGCGAACGCGTGTCGCCGTTGTCAGTGACTGCAGCCATCACGTGCTCTCATGACGTCACGTGGCTGGCAGGGACGCACGCGCAGCGCGCTACGTTACATCCTGGCGACGTAACATCCTATCAGCTGCTTTTGTCGCCGATCATCATTTCCTCGATCTCTTCGAGCGACTTGCCCTTGGTCTCGGGCACCGACAGGTAGATCGAGGCCACCGCGAGCACCGCGACCGAGCCGAACGCCGCGTACGTCAGCGACTGCCCGAGCACCTCCTGCATGCTGGGCAGCACCAGCGACACCAGGAAGTTGCTGCCGAAGTTGATCAGCGTCGCCAGCGCGATGGCCTGCCCGCGCACCGCGAGAGGGAACACCTCGCCCACGATCAGCCACGAGATCGGGCCGAAGGATATCTGATACGCCCCGACGTACAGCAGGAACGCGACCAGCGCCACCACCGGCCCCGACGCACCGAGCAGGCCGCCCTGCGCCGCCGCGAGGGCGAACAAGCTCGCGCACAGCGCCGCCACCCCTCCCAGCAGCAGCGGCCGCCGCCCGGCCTTGTCCACGTACAGCACCGCGACGGCCGTCATGATGAGCTTGAACAGCCCCAGCACCACCGACAGCCCTGCACGCCACGGAGACAGCTGCGACCCTTCGGAACCACCCCGACAGAGGTCGTGCACCAAGACATGATCCGGTTCCCCCCGGCTTGGCCGCAGGTCGCCCACAACACCAACACCGCATGCACGCGGGGGAGCTCACCGGTCGACTCCTCCGCCGTGCCGAACCCGACGGCCTGCAGGATCTGCGCGGCGTAGTACAGCACGCTCGGCTGCCCCGTGATCTGCTGGAAGAGCATCAGGCTCATCCCCGCCCACAGCGCCGCGCGGTATCGCGGCTCAAACAGCGGCCCAAAGTCCACGCCCGCGCCCTGCCGCCCCGCGCCGGCGAGCGCCGCCATCTCCTCCACCTCGCGCTCGACGTCCTCCGCGCGCGCCGACGCCCCGCGCGACCGCGCGAGCGCCGCCCGCGCCTCCTCGCGCGGCCGCCCGGCAAACAGCATCCAGCGCGCTGACTCAGGAATGAGCGACATGCCCAGCACGAGCAGCGCCGCGCCCGCGCCGCTCGCGCCGTAAATCATGCGCCAGCCGCCCACGTCTCCCACGAACGAATATCCCGCGAAATACCCCAGCAAGATACCCAGGACAATGGCGCACTCCTTCAGCGAGATCAGGAGCCCGCGGACCCGCGAGGGCGCCGTCTCGCTGATGTAGGCCGGCGCGGCGTGCATCGCGAAGCCGATGCCGACGCCGTAGAGCACGCGCCCGACGATCAGCTGCGGGTAGGAGGCCGCGGAGGCACACACCACGGCGGCGGTGCCGTAGAGGGCGCCCGCCGACAGAAGCTCCGTCTTGCGGCCGAGGCGGTCGCCGAAGACCAGCGCGAGCACGGACCCGCCGAGGGCGCCGAACAGGCTGCTGGAGACCACCAGGCCGGACTGCACACTGCTCAGCGCGTACCAGTCTGTCCCTGCGGGGGGGGAGTTTGTGTCAGGAGATTTCCACGTCAGGGAAAGTATCCCAACTGAGAGGCTCCAGCCGCGCCAGCCCATAGGGCCGTGCGGCACCCGTGCCGGAGTAGTTCGACAACACATATGAATATCACACCTCTGCGACAGTAACAACGGGCCTGAGCAGCCTGGGACCAGGCTTCTCCTGGAGCCGAGGGGGCCAGCGGACCGAGTGGGCCAGGAGAATCCTGGTCCCAGGCTGCTCAGGCCCGTTGTCACTGTCACAGAGGTGTGATATCCATAAGTGTTGTCGAACTACTCCGGCACAGGTGCCGCGCGGCCCTATGGGCTGGCGCACGCGCGCGTGCCGCGGAGTGAGCGCGGCGGAGACCAGCGTCACGACGGCGGGGTGTTGACTGGAGGCGTGCGGGCGTGTGTGCCGGGGGGCGGGTGCGGAGGGTAGCCTTGCCTGCGGTCTGCGCGCTGGTGAGGGACACGAGAGCGCCGGACGACGACCCGATATCATAGCCGAAGAGTGCGCCTCCGAGCGCGGGGAACAGGAAGAGCAGCGTCGTCGCGAGGAGGTCGATCGGTGCGTCCGAGCTGCTGGGGCTGCCTCCTGGGCTGCTGGCACCCGCGCGCGGGGAGACGGACGCGCCGCGAGAGCATCCGGATGTGCGCCGCGGCGACAGCAGAGCCTCGAGGTCCCCGCTCATGGCGCGACGGGGCCGGGCGAGGACCGAAGACGCCGCGGTGGGGCGTCTAGCAGGGAACGCGCTGCTGGGTCGCACTGCGCTCCCAGCGGAGGAGCAGTGGCGCGCGCTCGGGCTCGGCCGGGCAGCACCCAACATGGGCGAGGGCTGCTGGCCGCGATCAGTGGTTCTATGGCGGCGAAACACTCCCTTGATTTCTACACACGACCACCGCGGCGTGCAACCTCCAGCGCGCGAACGCAGCGCCGTTCGCGTCGTGGTCTATGGCCGCGTGGAGCCCGAATGCGACGCTGTCATCGCGCGCGGCCACGCGAGAGCCCCTTGACGCCTGGTCCGGGCCCGCGTGCCCTGCGCTGACGTGTGTTGGGTGGGAGACTTCCCCGCACCTCAAGCGGCTGTCGGAGGGCGAGATATGCGCCCGTCGCGCGCGCCCTGCACAGAACTGGAATTAGTCGTGCTCGGAAGGCGACGTTTCGCGGTGTTTGTGGAAGCACACAGTCGCCCGAGGGTCGCAAAGCTCAGGCGGTTGGCAGAGACCTGTCGTGCGCGCGGCCGTGGGCGCTCGGGATCGTCGCAGGACGGCGAAGGCGGCCCACGCGCAAGTCGAGCCAGGTGCGATCGATGCTTCGTTGCGTGTAGCCGGCACAACGTCGTGCAGCTAGGTGGAGCCGCAAGAGCGCTGCGACGCGAGGTTGTGCGCGACACGAAGCGCGTGTACGCGGCGCCAGGTGCCGTGTGGCTGCGTACGGACGGGTTTCATCGCTGTCTTCTTGCCGGTTGTCCAGATCACGGCAGTGAGTGCGGTGTGCGCGCTAGGAACGCACTCGAAGCGTCATCATCCCTCTATCATGACGCTTGGGCCGCTGTACCGTTCCCGTTCGAGGATCTCAATGGATTTACGCCGACCCGTGGCCACAGCACGATGGTATGAGTAGGCTCGGATCGCTGTTGGGCCCACAATTGATTCCCGCGAAGAAGAAGCAGCTACTTCGTCTTCAGTCCACTTGCACCCTTGCTTTCTCGCTCTCGGCGCGCCAGAGCGCGCGAAGCGACCGCGCCCTGCGTGCACGATGCCGATCGTTCGAAGCCCACCACACAGCGACCCCGCATTGAGCTTCTGTGCAGCCCAGACGTCGCCTTCTCCAGCGCACCCGAGGCGGTCGTGAGCCACGCCCGGGCGCCCGCGTGGCAGGAAACCCGTCGCCGACGCCGACGAGTCCATCGCGGGGATGACCGGCGTCGAGGCGACGGAGCAGGCGCCCTCTGTCCCCACACACCCCCCCGCAAAGCAACGGGCTGCCCTGGGAGTTGCAGTGGACCAGACGGGCGAGGGGGGCTCCCCGCCGGGGAGCGGGAGGGACCCGGACTCCTCCGAAGCCGGATTCCATCCGTCCTTCCTCTACATCCGCCCCGAGGATGTCGTCCGCAAACGACGCGGCAACGTCCTCACCAAGGCACGCCCCCCCCGCCCGCAGCGGGCAGCGGCGCCGCCTCGGGCTCTCTGCGCACTCAACGCCCGCACATCCTCGCCCCTCCCAGCGGCCGTCCTCGCACAGCCCTGATCCCCCCCGCCGCGGCACCTCGGCGCCTCGCCCACCGCGCCCGTGCTTCCCGCGCGCGCCCACGGCGGCCCTCGGCCCCGCCTGCCCCCGCAGGGCACCCTCTTGAAGGCGGACCACTTCCCCGGCTGCCAGAACAAGAACCTGCGCCCGCTCGTCAGCGGCGCCCCGAACTACCGGCAGGTCCCGGGCCTCCCCGTGTACGGCGTGGCCATCCCGACGCTCGCGGGCATCCGCAACGTCCTGGAGATCATGGGCGCGGGCGACGGCGCGCGCACGGTCGTCTGGTTCAACATGCGCGAGGAGCCCGTGGTGTACATCAACGGCAAGCCCTACGTGCTGCGCGAGGCCGACCGACCCTTCTCGAACGTGGAGTACACGGGGATCGACTGGATGCGCGTCGAGGCCATGGAGCAGCGCCTCCGCGCGGACATCCTCGCGGAGGCGCGGCGCTACGGCGGGTCGATCATCGTCACGCACGAGAACGATGACTCGCAGGTGGTGTCCACGTGGGAGCCCGTGTCCGACGTGGACGTGCAGACGCCGCGCGAGGCGTACGAGGAGCTCGTGCGCGAGGGCTACCGCGTGGTGTACCGCCGGGTGCCCGTCACGGACGAGAAGGCGCCCAAGGCGACGGACTGCGACCTGCTGGCGCGGGAGGCGTGGCACTTCGCGATGGAGGCCGCGGTCGAGCAGCGGGACGGCGGCGCGCGGCGGCTGGTGTCGAGCGCGAGCCTCGACGCGCCGGGGGCGCCGGAGGCCGTGCGCGGCGCTACGACGAGCTATGCGGAGGGGCTGCGGGCGCCGGGGGAGAGCGACGACGACGTGCTGTCCCCCGGGGCGCGCGACGCGGGCGCGGCGCAGCGGCGCGAGCAGCGCAGCGACGAGGAGGCGCGCGAGCGGTCCACGTGCTTCATGTTCAACTGCCAGATGGGGCGCGGGCGCACGACGACGGGGATGATCATCGCCTCGATGGTCCTGCTGCACCAGAAGCAGCTCATGGCGCAGCCGCTGCCGCGGTGGCTGGACATCGACGCGGTCGCGCGGGGCAGCGCGGCGCGGCGGGCCTCGCTGGACTCCCCCCAGGGGGGTGCCAACACGAAGATCGACGACGAGTCGCGGCTCAAGGAGGGCATGTACGCCGTGGTGCGGTCGCTCATGCGCGTCCTGCAGAACGGCGCGGGCTCCAAGGCGCTGCTCGACGACGTCATCGACGCCAACAGCGCCATGCAGAACCTGCGCGAGGCCATCGCGGGGTACCGCACGCGCGTGCTCAAGTCCTTCCAGTTCGAGGACGAGCGCTCGCGGGTGCTCTCGGTCTGCCAGGAGTACCTCGAGCGCTACTGCGTCCTCCTGACGTTCTCGTCCTATCTCCTGTCGCGGGACTTCTGCCCGCTCAACATGACGCCCGCCGCGCTGCGCACCGCGCGCGTGCCGGTCGTGTCGTTCGAGTCCTGGACGGGCGCGCGGCCGGAGCTCTCGTCGATCCTGCAGCGCATGCTGCGGCGCAACCCCGTCGCGGCGCTGGCCATGCACCGCGCGGGGGACTTCGTCGACGCCAGCCGACACCCGCCCGCCGCCGACACCTCCCTGCGCATCGCGGGCATGCTTGCGGAGCGCGCCGGCGCGGTGCTGGGCCCGCACACGGTGCTCAAGTACGACCACTTCCCCGGGGTACAAATCCGCGGACTCCCCAAGGTCGTGGACGGCGCGCCGAACTTCCGCGGCATGGTCGGCATCCCGGTGTTCGGCACGGCGCTGCCGACGGTCGACGGCGTCGAGCGCGTGCTTGCGCTCATCGCCGCGCAGGGCAAGCGCGAGGGTCCTACGCTGTGGTTCAACATGCGCGAGGAGCCCGTCGTGTACATCAACGGTGCGACAACGACGACCCACGCCCTGCCGCCTGTCTGCGTGCGCTGCGCCCCTTTGCCTCGCGCCCTCGCGCGCCCGTGCGCCCTTTCACACCTGCCGTGTTGTTTTTGTGTCGATTGGCCCGCAGGCAACCCGTACGTGCTCCGCGACGAGGAGCGGCCGTTCAAGAACCTCCAGGAATACTCCGGGATCACGGGCGGGCGCATCGAGGACATGGAGGCGCGCTTGAAGGAGGACGTGCTGAAGGAGGCGGCCGCGCACGGCGGCAAGATCCTCGTGGCGTACGAGTGGATGCCGCCGGCGGACGCGGGGCAGGGCGGCGCCGCAGCGGCGGACGCCGGCAAGGACGCCGGCGAGCCGACGCAGCAGATCGAGGAGGTCTGGCAGCACATCGCCACGCCCGACGCGGTGAAGACGCCGCGCGAGGTGGCCCGGTGGGCCGACCAGCGGTACGCCGTGGAGTACCGGCGCATCCCCGTCACCGACGGCAGCGCCCCGACCGCGGGCGACCTCCAGGACATCCTGAACGCCGTCGAGGACGCCCCGCTCGACAGTCCGATGGTGTTCCAGTGTCAAATGGGAGTCGGGCGCACCACGACGGGGATGGTCATCGGAACGCTCATCCACCTCGCCCGCACGGGCCGCCTGTCCGCGATCGCGCGGCTGCCGTCGCTCACCCACCTCGGCCCCGCGCTCGGGCTGCCGGCGTCCGCGGAGGGCTCGCCGCGCGCGGGCGAGCAGCTGGCGCCGATGCTGCGCGCGATGGAGACGGCGTACTGGCGGTGCAAGCACCACCGAATCGACCGGCTGCAGCGCGGCCTGGCGTTCACGCCGGGCGAGTCGGAGTCGGAGAGCGACACGGACGAGGAGGGGGGCGACACCTTCAACCCCGGACAGAGCGACCACGGACCGCCGCGTGCGCAAGGACGGCCGGCAGGGACGCCCGGACGGTCCACGAGCATGATCGTGACGGCCACGCGGCAGCTCGCGGCCGCGAACCTCGCCGCGAGCGAGTCGGGGGGGGTGGCGCGCGCCGCGCCGCTACCGGCGCCGGTGCGCGGGCGGCACCTGGTGCACGCGGGGCCGTCGCTGCGGAACGACGGCGACTTCGGCGTGTTCGGCAGCGAGGGCGACGAGAGCGACTCCGGCATGGAGTCCCCCCCCCAGGCCGCGAAGAAGCGGCAGACACCCCCGCCTAGCCAGCTGGGGCCTGGGGCGGCCGCGGAGGCGCCGACGAAGCCGCAGGGCGACGAGGCGCCCGTGTCGCAGGCCACGTCGATGCACGAGGGGTCGCTTCGCAGCGTCGGGGGCGACCACGAACGTCACGACCCGCAGGAGGAGATGCTGCGCGCGGGGGCGTACGCGGCGGTGCGGCGGTTGGTAAAGCTGCTGCCGGAGGGCCAGGAGATCAAGCGCGTGCTGGACGAAGTGATCGACGCGTGCTCGGTGTGCCTGAACCTCCGCCTGGCCATTTCGAAGTACCGCCGGCCCCGGAAGACCTGGGGGTGGTCGTGGCGCAACCGTGCCGAGGTGCACCCGAAGACCGCCGCGTTCCGCCGCGGCATCGAATACCTCGAGCGCTACACGGAGCTCATCGCATTCTCGTGGTACCTGCACGCCCACGGCCAGGGCGTGCACCGCAGCGTCACGTTTGGTGATTGGCTCGCGGGGCGCCCCGACCTCCTCACGGCGCTGGCGTCGATCCGCGAGAACCCCGCGGCCGCGCTGGAGCTCGAGGCGTACAAGACGAGCCCGGCGACGCTGCAGTCGTCCGGCCAGAGCAAGCTCCCGTGGCTGCCCCGGGGGTCTGAGGAGACAGCCCCGGCCAAAGCGCTCCCCGAGGTGCCGAGCTACGGCCAAGTCCGGTCCGGCAGCGTCTTCCAGGTGCTCGAGGCAGCCCAGCGAGACCTCAAGGTCGGCACCACACACCCCCGCCACCCACGCCCCTGCCCTCACATCCAACCCCGCCCAGCGCCCGCTCACATCAACCGGCCCCGCCCCGCCCCGCAGGACGACGAGCGCGTGAGCCACAAGGAGGAGGAGGCCCTCCTGCGCCGCCGCCGCGGCCTCCTGCTCACGCGGCGCACCATCCTGAAGAAATACGCCATCCCAGTGAAACCCACCGCGACGATCGTGACGCCGTCCGCGGTGGCGCCGCACAGCGCCGCGCCGAACGTCATCGAGCTCGCGGGCCTCCCGATCGTCGCCGTCGCGAGCCCGACCGTCATGGGCCTCCGCGCGCTGCTCGACCTGCTGGGCGCAGGCCCGCAGCCCGCAGGGAAGCTGGGCGCGGAGGTGGTGCTGCTCGACCTGCGCGAGGAGCTCGTGCTGCACATGAACGGCTTCCCGTACGTGCGGCGCGACATGGCGATGCCGGCCGCGTCGCTGCACCACGCGGGCCTGCAGGCGTGGAAGCTGCAAGAGCTGGAAAACCAATTGAAGAACGACGCGCTGATGGAGTGCATGCGCTCCGGCGGCCGCGTGCTCGTGCACGACGAGGTCGCCGTCACGCGCCGCACGGGGTCGCACGCGGCCGCGCAGGCCGCCGCGGAGGCCGGTGCGATACCTGCCAGCCCTGGGACGGACGGCGAGACCCTCTCCGGGCCGTCGGGCGCGGCGTCGCAGCGCAACCTCAGCGAGGGCCAGGAGGCGGCGATCGCTGGCGCGATCGCGGCGGTGCCGCGCGGGAAGGACGACGTGAGCCGGCGGTTCGAGGAGGGCTCGTCAGTGCTGCTGCCGCGGTGGGTGCCGGTCAACGTGAGCAGCTTCGCGACGGGGATCTGCTCGCCGCTCGACGCGGCGGAGTCGCTCCAGGAGGAGGGGTACGCGCTCACGTACGCGCGCGTGCCGCTCTCCCGCGAGCGCACCCCGCAGGCGTCGGACATTGACATCCTGCACCGCCTGATCACCGTCCCGCCCGTGGCGCCGCCGCCCGGCGCGGCCCCGCGCGAGCGCAAGTACGTCATCCTCTCGCGCACCGCGGACGGCTCGTCGGTGCGGTTCGTGGCCGCGATGCTGGCGCTGCACGTGGAGACCCTGCGCAGCTCGGTGCGGCAGGAGCCCCCCGCGGACCGCGCGTGGGCGATGTCGCCGCCGCCCTCGCCCGCGATGGTGTCCGGGCACGGTCCGGCGGCGAGCGGGCCGTCTGGGAGCGGGGGGGGCTCGGGTCGGTCGGTTCCGGAGCTGCGAGCGATCAGCAGTTTGGTGCGGGTGCTGCCGCGCGGGGCGGAGTGCAAGGCCGCGGTCGACGAGGCGGCGCGGCGGTCGGCGCGGATCGGGAGCCTCGTGCACGACATCGCGGAGTGCGCGCACGTGGTGCAGGAGGGGCGCGAGCGCAAGCGGGAGGCGACGCCGCAGACGCCGCACGACACGTCGCGCGTGTCAGGTGGGTCCGCGGCGCCGAGGTTGCGATCTGTTGCGTGGCTGCGGGGCCGCGATGCACGGCGTGCGCTTTGCGTGGATGGTTGCAGGGAACTCACGGGTTGGGTGCCCCCTTTCATGTTTGCAGTCGCGCGGCAGCTCGGGCTGCACTACCTGAAGAGGTACTTCTACCTCATCACCTTCGCGTCGTATCTCCGGGAGGCGCCGGGCGTGCCGTTCTCGTCCTGGGTGCACAGCCGGCTGGAGCTGAAGCACTTGATGTCAAACCTGTCGCTGACGGACTGAGAGCGGGGCTGGTGGGCCGCTGACTATCGTGTGAGTCACAGGGGAAGGCGGTGCGGGGTCGCCAGCTGTCGTAGCTCTTGATGACACGATGCGCGCCGTGTCAGCACCGTGGCATCAAACTAGCAGCGGGAATTCACCTCCCGAGACATACCTGCGCGCTGTCGAACCGCACGCAGCGCACGCCCTCAGAGGCGCCGCCTCAACCGACGCGCACAGCACCGCGCAGCCGCATTCGAGCAGCGCAGCCTCGCATTGCAGCTCTCCGCTTGACGGCACTCCTCGCGCCCGCCGCCCCCGCCCCCGCCCCCGCCCCGCCGCCGCCCGCCCGCACCGCGCACCACGTTCTCCGTCACAGCAGCCCGAGCTACGCGTCGAGCTCCGACAGGTCCCCCAGCTCTGCCAGATCCATGTCCAGCTCCTCCAGCACGTCCGTCAGCAGCTTGTCCGACAGCGCGTCCGACCCCTGCCCCGCCCCGCGCGCCGCCTCCTCCGCCGCGCCCTCCTCCTCGCCCACCTCCGCCTTCACCCCCGCCTGCGCCATCCAGTCCGCCAGCTCCCCGTCCTCCAGGCCGGCCTCCCCGGCCGCCGCGGGCCGCAGAATGTCCCCGAGCAGCAGCTGCTCGTCGTCGCGCCCCTCGTCGCGCGCGCCGGCCTCGACGCTCGCCGCCCAGGACTCCCCCATCATCCCCGCGGGCAGCATGTCCTTGTCGCCCATGTAGACGTCGTTGAACTGGTCCATCACGTCGCGCTGCTCCTGCGCCTTGACGTCCGACTCCGCCGCCAGCATCGTCTCCGCCACGCGCTGGTTCCAGTCGTCGAACTCCTTCTCGAGCTTGAAGTGCGCGCGGATGAAGGAGGGCAGGGGGTGCGGGGTGCCGCCGCGGTGCTCCTCCTGCTCCACGTCCTGGAGGACCTGGGAGAACTTGAGCGCCGTGAGGTACCGGTTCACGCTGCGCTCCATCTGCGTGTGGTGGATCTCCATGGCAGCCTGCTGCGCGCGGTCAATCTCGAACCGCCGCCGCGCGTCCGTCGCGAACCGCACGCCGTCCATGAGGTACGCCCACGTGTCGGGGTCGACGCCCTTCTGCAGCGCGGGCGCGGAGCGTGGCTGCGCTGGGCGCGGCGTGCGCTGGAGCGGCGAGGAGGAGTGGTGAGTGTGCGCGGGTGTGGTGGCGGCGGGGAGGGGCGGCGGACCTCGGCGGCCTCTTCGATCGTCGGCAGGTCCGCGTCGTCGAGGAGGGGCCCGCCGATGAGCACCGTGCTGATGTCGACGCCCTCCCACGGCTGGGAGGAGTTGACTGGGTCGTGGCCGGGCCCGTCCCAGTAGCTGCCCTCGTCCTCCAACTCTCCCGGTGGCGTCACGTCGATGATATCGTCGTACTTGGGGTCCGGAATCATGCCCTGCGCGGCGCAGAAACGCGGGTCACGCACAATGCGGCTTCAGTGAGTGCTCACCTCCTCCTTCTGGACGAGGGACGCTGAGGCCCCGGCATCCCAGGACGGGGAGGAGGGCGGTGATGCTGCCCCCGAACAAGCGGTGGTCTCGCATTGCGCGTTCGCACTCGGCCTACAGAGGACTACCGTGCTTTGCCCCCACTGCACTCCTGCGCGCCCTCTCTGCGCTCGCGGCGCAACGGCCCCAACGAAGACCGCGCAGTTCTCCTCGTCACGTGAACGTTCTCGCAGTCGGGCAGCGCAGGCGCATCCCCCGTGCAGCACACCCGGGCGCTGAACCTCCACTATCCGTCCGCATGGCGGCCATCGCGCGTTTCCCGCCCCGTGACGCAGCGCCCGCGTCCAGCATCACGCGCCCGTGCTCTCGTCATCCGCAACACGCGAGCGCGACGCACCTCGATCTCCTTCAGCGACCTCTGCCGCGACACACGCTCCTCGTCACTCATCTCCCCTTCACTGTCGCTCGCGGCAGCGTACGCGGCCCGGCGCGCCCCAAGCCGACCCCTCCACAGCTCAACCCGACCACTTTGGCACTTCGCCGTCCTCCCGGGGCCCCGCGCCAGCCCCGCTCGCTGCGGCGCTGCCGGGCCCCGCCCTGCACACTGCAAGCACCCTCCCCGCTGCGGCCGCATAGTGATGGCAGAGGACGTGCTGCGCGCGTCGGGCCTAGACCGCGCGCGAGTGGGACATCGCGTCCCCGGAGTCGCCCTGAAAGCGCCCGGAAAGCTCGCCCGCGCGGCGCTGAAACTACCCCGCACACGTCCCCCGCCGCCCCGCAGCCCTCACGCGCGATACCGGACGGACGCCTCGCGCGCGAGCACGAGCGGCGGTCCGTGTGCGATCGCGCACCGTGTCGCGCGGGCACCGCCGTCGCAGCGTGCCAAACGTGGTGCGCCCTGCTGCTCCACGTGGCGGTCGCGCGCTGCGAATATACGCCGCTACGGCCGCCGCGGAGGGCGCGTGGATGCACCGTTTACGCAGGCAGGGCGGTCACGGGACGCGGCACCCTGCACATGTTGCAGGGTGGGCTGGATGCCAGCCGAGTTGACTGGCAGTAATAGAACACAGAATGCACGCCCGGGGCCTCTACGCGGGCTGCCGCGGCCTCACGGGGCCCGCGCCGTGGCGCCCAGTTGAAGATGCAGCCGCCGAAGCCGCAACGGCACGTCTGAGATAGACGGCGAGTGCGAGACAGGTCTACAGGCTAGAAGCTGGCCGGCACCGGCCACCCCCGGCTCACAGTTGGCGCAGGCCCCGCCCGCACGACACGGGCGCGCGAAGGGACGGACACGGGCGATGTTTGGCTGTGTTCGCGGCGGACGCGTCTCGAGGGCCTCCGCGCGGTTCGATGACCCCGGAACAGTGTGTCACGCAGTGGCACCCCAGCGGCTCTCGTCCGAGGACACGGCGCGGCCCCGGTTCACCGACGGAGGGGCCGTGGACTCAGGCAGCACAGCCGTGGTGCTGGTGCTCCACGGCGCGCCCTCGACGAGCGCGCAGCCCACGGTGAGTAAGCCCCAAGCAGGAGCCCGGCTCTCTCCGCGTCGCAGGCGCATCCGCGCGCCCGGTTGGTGCCGCATGTCGCTCTCCAGCATGAACCGCGCCCGCCGCGCCGCGCGCGCCGCCCGCCCGGGCCCGGTCGCCAGCGCGGCGTGCACGTCGACACAACGTGCACGCGACCTGGCTGCTTGGGGCCAAGGGGCACCTCGCCGGAAACGGCCGCAACGCTCCCCCTCGCGGCGAGCTGCGCGCTGCGTGCGGCCCAGTGGACTACGTTCTACAGCTGAGCCAAGCTGCGCGGCGAATTTCGCCCTCGCGCCCCGCGGCCATAGCTTCACGTCATCCCGGCCTCTCAACGGCTGCGCCCCGCTGCGACCCGCTTCTGCAGAACTTGCTCCGTGACGGGGAGTCGGCGATGACAGCGGCCTTCGCGGGCGCCTCGCCGTCGAGAGGCGGCCCGTCGAACGTTCGGCGCGGCGTGACGATGCCGAAGCGCTTTTGGCGGCAGGGCGAGGGGCAGCCCGCGGCCGAGCACCAGCGCTTCTCCCTGAAGCAGCTGCACAAGGCTCGCGTGGTGCCGTCGTTCCGGGGCTTCCTGCGACGCTCGTCGCTGTTCGTGAGCGCCAGCATCCGCGCGCTCACGCGCCCGCGCTCCCGGGTGCTGGGCGATGCGGAGGGCGACCAAGCAGCGAGCCGCGCCGAAGACTCCGGTGGCGAAAACGCCCTCCCGCGCGCCACGGCGCCCGTCCACGACGACAAAGAGGAGATCAAGGTCCCCGCGCCGACGCGTAACTGCTTCACCGGTGAGTTCCCGGGCCCAGCAACCAACCCACACCAACTGCGCCGCAAGGAGTAATTCCCTGCCGCGCGACATCGGCCCGCCGGCGCGTGCTCCCCACAGCGCTTCGCCCTTCCCCGCACGTCGCAGAGCGGGGGCACCGGGAAGAGCGGTCGTCGGTGCTGCGGCACAACCCGGCGCCGTTTGCGCTGCGGTGCCCGCGCGGCAACGCGCCCGCGGCGTCGAAGCTGAGCGCGCACACCATGTGCATGTCCGGCGGCACCACGGAGACGGTGTCCCGGAAGGCGGTCTTCGCCAACCCGGCCAAGCGCGGCATGATTGCTCTCGGCGGGTTTGTCCGCGAGTCCTGCCCAGGCAGCAGCGACGGCTCGCAGCAGCAGCCGGGCCACCGCAGGAGCCGGTCGGCCAGCATCGGACTGGGCTCCGACCACGGCGCCCACGCCGAGGCACAGGGGCCGGCCTCGCGGCGCACGTGCAACCCGTCGCTGCGCTCTCAGCGGCCCACGCGCAACGGGGCGACCGCGTGGAGCTAAGCAGCCCCGCGGGCCGCCGCAAGCGATCACATCGACGGCAAGACTCCGGTCGCGTCTGGCTCGATCGATGCGCAATACACCCCCTTGCTCTGGCACACCCCCTTCTAAGAACAAGTTGTAGTTGTAGCAACCCCGCCATAACCCCCTCCCCCCCGCCCTCTCCTGCCTGCGTCGAGCACGACTCTCGCGCCCGGCCCTGCCAGTGCAGCGGTCGCGTGCGCAAGCGAGCGTGCCTCGACATGCCAACAGCGGCGGCGCCCGGAGCGGGCCGCTGGGCACAGCCAGGCGTACACCGACAGGCGCCGGTCTGGCACGCGTACCGGCACGCGTGCTAGCTCGGCGCCCTCGCAAGAGTGATAGGCAAACGACGAAGGTGGCAACAACATGAACGACCCCCCCGCCTCTACCTATATCAATCCCGGCATATTTCCACCACGATGCTCCCGATGACGCCCTAAGAAGGGCACGGGCCGCTGCGCGCCAGTCCGGTCTGACTTCGCCTCCAAACGTAGCAGCAAGCAGGGAAGCTCCGACGGCGCTAATGCACTTGACCGCACATGTCTTTCAGAGCGGCGTGCGGCAGCATGGCGCGCCCTGCTCCGCCCGCCGCTCCGCTGTGATCGCACACTCATCCCGGACAAGGTCATGCTACAAGGAGCCACCGGAACTGCTCTTTCGCTAGCTCTGCCGTGCGTCATCTTCTGGACCTGCCGAATCAGCGAGGCATGGCGGTCACAGCTGCCAAACCTGTCGCTGCCAGTCTGGTGGGGGCTCACATAACTCGCCATCTAGTCGTATGATCTTTCCGGGGCCTGAAGCCTTGGCCGACGACGCGAAATATGTATCCCTTCACAAGGCCTTCTCGTCGCCGCCCTCCCGCGGGCCACCCACGGCCCACCTCGCGACCGTCCACGCAGACCCCGTTGACCCCTGCAGCACGCACTCCCGCAGCACCGCCGCCCCCGACCCGTGCGCTTCAGCAGGCTCCAGCCGCGCAAACATCACCAGCGTGTGCGCCAAGTCCAGCAGCGCGCCGTCCCCGCAGAATATACACCCCGCGCCCGCCCTCGCGTCCCCAGCAGGCGCCTCCGTCCGCGGCGTATCGGCTTCGCTCGCAGCCGAGGTCCACACCGGCGTCACGCGCGGCGTCGTCGCACCGGACAGCGCCGGACTCGACGCTGGCGACGACGCATGGTCGGGGCCGGGCGGCGCCTTGGTGTCCCTGCGCGGGACGCTCGGCTCCGCCAGGTCGCTGATCACGCTCCCGGCCCGCAGCCCTCTCGCGCCCGCCCCGTCCACGACCACCCTGGTCCCGCGCCCCGCTGCGTGCAGCGCCCAGCCGACGCTCCCGCGCACGCTGCACTGCCGCAGCTCCGCCGCGGCACCCCCAGCCACCCGGACGCCCGCCCCACCGCTGGCCGCCACCCGCGTTCGCACCGCCACCAGCTCCGCGCCCCTGCCCTCCGCACAGACCCCGTCCAGCACCGCCGACGCAACCACCACCTCCCTGAGCCGCATGCGGCTCCCCGCGCCCCGCACCGCGCACCCGCGCAGGCACCCACTGACGCGCACGCGCGCGAGTTCTACCTTGGCACCCCCCCGCGCCACCGCCCCGGCGAATCCAGTGGGCCCGACCGTCCCGCGCGTGACCGACACGTGCGCGCACCGGCCCGACACAGCGACGCCCTTCCCGGGCACCGGACCGACCTCGCAGTCCTCCAGGCGCGCGTACACGCAGCCCGCGCCCTCCGCCGCCACCGCGACGCCCGTCGTCGCAGCCTCGCCGCTCAGCGAAGACACCCGGCACCGCACGAGCGCGCACGGCGCGACCCCGGTGTTGCGCACGTCGACGAGCGCGCCGGAGAAAGGCGCGCCGTCCGCGATGACCGTTACGTCGATCAGCTTGCAGCCCCCGGCGCGGACCGCGATGGCGCCGCCCGCGCCTGCAGCGCCGTCGCTGCGGGCCACGTGGCGGCGAACGGTGCCGTTCCTGAGCGTCGTGCCGGGCCGCGTGATCGTGAGGGCGGCGGGGCAGTCGATCTGCGCGCCCCCCAGGTCGACCACTGGCGGGCTGTTGGCGCCAGCAGACACAGCAGCCTGCAGCTCCTGGAAGGTCCAGTGCTTGGAAATGGCGGGCCGCGCGCGGAGCTCCCTCTCTGTTGACGCCCCTGCGATGGCGGCGAGGCGCAGCCGCGCCGTGAGTGTCGCAGCGGGTCTGGTGCGTCCAGCAGGGGGTTGTGTGCCGGTGGGAGGGCGGTGGAGGGCCGCGGGGGCCGCGGGCGCGCGACGGAGGATGCTGAGGAAGTGGTGGGCGCGGGGCGGGATCGTTTGCGGAGCGGCATGGCCGGGTGACGGCAGGTGGGGCCGGCCGTGCAGCGGCCGACGTGAAGCCGCGGTGGTGGCGACGGGCAGCCGGGCCCGGCGTGAAGCGTTGACACGCGCGGGAGGCCAACGCTTGGCAGGATTGCATCCAGTACCTGACGGTAGGCGCCCACGGTGAGCGCTGTCGCGCGCCAGAGGCGCATTCCTCTCGGGCGCTCTGGAGCCCGTGCTCGCCCCCTGCCCGCAGGGCTGCGCGGCGGTGTCCGGCCCGTGAGTGTCGCCGGTTCGCGAGCGTCGCGACAGGAGGATGTGATGGAGCCCCAAGAAGCAGAGGAGGACGCCGATGCGCGCGGCTAGCGAGCTGCCCAGCAACGAGAGTCTAGGCCCTGCTGCGCTGACGCCCTGCAGGAGAGAACTGTACCCGTCCGCGACGAGCTCCGAGAGGGCCGATGTCGAGGATGTTATGTAGTCCATCTCGCGCGGGTCTGACGTGGGCGAACAGCCTCGGTTCGCTTGAATCAAAAGAGCGGTGAGCCCGACATGGCGCCGTGAGCGCACGCAGACACGCCAGCGGGCCGTCTCGCAGTTGTCCGCACGACGGGTGCACGAGTGCGGTGCCGCGGGCGGTTCGCGACCCCGGGAGGCCGCGCCCGGCGCCCTCGCAGTGCCGTCGTACCTCGTGGTGTCTCATGGAAGGCCCCCGGGCGGAGCTGGAGACGTGGACGCGCGGCGTCGCAGGACGCACTCACATCGACGCGTCAGCACGCGCGAGCTGCGACACCTCTCACGCCAGCGCGGCCGCGCACACGCCCGTGTGATGGCAGTTGTCTAGAAGGCGCTGCGTGGCCGTGTTGCAGGGTTGTCAAGCGGATTGGGATCGTGACCCGTTGAGAGTGATAAGATGCCGCTAGAAAGCGCTCATGGCGCCCGGGTCGTCGCCGAGCGCCGCGCACTGGGCTGCTGCACACTTGCGGCCAGGGTTCCCCCGCGCAGGGCGCCGCTGGGCGCGCCCATCGCACAGCGACGACGCGTCAATCATGCTTCGCATCCACACTTCCACCGGAGGCCACGACGCGCTCACGTGCGTCACGCACAAGAGGACGCGCGGCCGGAGTCGTCTCTGGCCAAGCTGGGCGCGGCCTTCACGCTCAGCGAGCTCGTGAGCGCCACGCGCGGCGAGGCCACGCACATCGCGGCGTGCGGCGCGATGAACGAGCCGTTTCCGGAGTCCGAGGACGTTTCGGGCACGATATGCACGGACACAAGAACACTGGAAGAAGGACAATGGTTTCTGGCGCTGCGCGGGGAGCGGTTCGACGGGCACGAGTACGTGGGGGACGCGGTGGCCAAGGGCGCGTGCGGCATCATCGTCGACGAGGAGGGGCTGGAGGCGGCGGCGGACGCGCTGCGTGCGGACGGCAGGGAGGCGCTGGCGGTGGTGGTGCGCGACACGCTGGGGGCGCTGCAGGTGCTGTGACCCTCGCTGACGCTCCGTGACGCAACGTGCTGACAGCCGCGTACACCTGTGCGGGGGCGTCGGTTTCGACGGTGCGTTGCGTTGAGTATGACACGCCGATGACAACGTGTGCGATTGTCGGTGTCGTCGTGGGCCTGTCCGCGCAGGGGCTTGCGCGGGCGGCGCGCGGGCGGTTCGGAGGCCCGGTCGTGGGGATCACCGGGAGCTGCGGCAAGACGACGACGGCGCGGATGGTCACGGCGGCGCTCGGGGGCGCGGGCCCCGGGCGCGTGCACTGCACGCGCGGGAACCTCAACAACCACATCGGCGTGCCGCTGACGCTGCTGGCGGCGCCCCGCGACGCCCGGTACCTCGTCGTCGAGATGGGGATGAACCACACGGGGGAGTTGCGCGAGTTGTCAGACATTTGCCACCCCACAGTCAGGTGCGGGAGAGGAGGGGTGTATTCAAGCGAGGCTCAGACCCCACGGCATGGAATCGCTCCTGCCCACCGATCGCGAGCCGTGTCGACCGCTCATACACACGTGCTGCGCCGTGCAGGGTTGTTACGAAGATCGCTGCGGTGCACGTGGAGGGTTGCGGGGGCGATGTCGCGGGCGTGGCTCGCGCCAAACGTGAACTCTTCGAGCAGGGCAGCCCCTCGGACGCGTACGTGACCGACGCGACCGGCCCTTGGGCGGACTTTCTGCTCGCCGCGGTCCCGCCAGGCAGCACCACCACCCTGTTCGCAGCACCGCCCGCCGGCGTCGACGCGGACAGCGCAGCGCCGACCTCGCGGGCTTTGTCGTCGTCCGTCGCCGTCTCTCGCGACGGCACGATCCGCACAGACGTTGCCTTGCAGTACCAACACTGGTCTGGGACTGTGTCTCTCCCCGGCCTCGGCGCGCACCTCGCTCCCGCCGCGGCCTGCGCGATCGCCGTCGCTGTCGGCGCGCTCGGAATCGCGCCGGACGACGCGGCGCGCAACATCACGCAGCACTTCGCACCGGAGGCGATGCGCATGCAGTTGTGCGCGCTACGCGGCGGGCGCTGCGTGCTCCTCGACGACGCGTACAACAGCAACCCAACGAGCGCCACCGCGGCGCTCGAAACCCTGCGCTCCCTCCCGGACGCAGCCCTGCGCTCCGGCCGCCTCTCGCGGCGCGTGGCGGTCCTGGGGCCGATGGTGGAACTGGGGCCGCTCGAGCGCGCCGCACACGAAGCGGTCGTCGATTACGCCCTAGGCATAGAGCCCACGTGGCTTGAGGGCTTTGGGAGCGGGGCGGCCCCGGGAGCGGGCGCCAGGGACGCGGCGGCACCTGTGGCGGTGGACGTCGTTGTTTTGGTCGGGCGGCAGTACGTGGACGTGTTCCGGGGGGTGCAGGGCGAGGTGTGCGGGGGCGTGTGGGCCGAGGCGTTCGAAGGGGGCACTCCGGCGGCTCGCGTCACGCCGGCGGGCGTGGTGGTCGTGTGGTGCGAGGACGTGGGTGCGGCAGAGGGGGGTTTGGTGCGGCTGCTCGAGGGGGGCGGCCTCGACGGGGCGGCGGTGCTGGTCAAGGCAAGCAGAGCGGTGGGGATCGATCGGGTGTGTCGCGCGATGCGGGAAGCGGGCGGTGAGGCGTGTGACGCGAGTGGCTGTGCGAATGCCGACATTCGGGACGTGACCGCGGGACGTCGCTCCCACTACCCGCAGCTGACGCGCGGCTACAGTGCCTTCTCGCCACGGTCGTGTACATGACAGCACGTGCGGGGGGTCTCTGCGGGGCACCACGTGGACTGACAGGGGGGGGGGTCGATCTCGTCGCTTCGAGGAGCCGCACCGGCGGGTTCGGTGGGTCGCCGAACGAGCGGGACCGTGCACTCCAGCCTGCGTCGTGTCCCTGCGGTCGAGGCAGATTGATTGCGGACGTCCACGTCCGCCCAAGCACAGAACCGCTTTTGGGCGCTATCCGTCTCGACAAGCGGGCACATTGCGCCACGGTGCATGATGAGGAGGATTTTGTCATCAGCACCATGCGCCTTGGCATTCCGGTGCCCGGTTAGACCAGCGTGCACGCTGTCCGGACGGTCAGCAGCCGCACTCAGCAGGCTCCCGGGCCGCCACGCGCGTGCGGAGCGCGAGTTTTCCCTCCGTTCCACCAGTGCCGACGAGCTGATCATCACCCAGCCCGACGACTGGCACCTGCACGTCCGGGACGGCCCGGGCCTGACCTCCGTGGTCCCCATGACGGCCAGCACCTTCTCCCGGGCCATCATCATGCCCAACCTGGTGCCTCCCGTCACGACAGTCGACATGGCCCTCGACTACAAGAAGCGAATCATGGCAGCTGTCCCCGAGGGCAGCAAATTCCAGCCTCTCATGACGCTATACCTCACCGGTCGGTAGCCCCCCCTCCCTGCAGCGCACAACGCGCATCGCACTCAGGGACGACCGCACCAGCCCGTCCCGCGGCCTGGCAACCTTCCCGCAGATAAGACGACGCCGGAGGACGTGTTCCGCGCCAAGGAAGGCGGCGTCGTCGCGTTCAAACTGTACCCTGCTGGCGCGACGACAAACTCCGACGCCGGCGTCACGGACATCGCCGGGCGCGACGAGGTGTTCAAGGCAATGAACGAGGCGGGGCTCGTGCTGTGCGTGCACGGCGAGGTCGTGGACCCCGTGATCGACATGTTCGACCGGGAGGGGGTGTTTATCGACACAGTCCTAAAACCCCTCCTCGACCGCGTGCCCGACCTGCGCGTCGTCATGGAGCACATCACCACGAAGAACGCGGTCGACTTCGTTCGCTCAGCAGGTGCGCGGCCCGCCAATCTCCACCACAGCGACGAAAGTCCCCACACACACTCACCTGATCTGTCGCCACACACACCGCCCCGCCCTGCGCGCGCTCAGCCGCACGGACCCCCCTCAACTCCGGCCGTACTGCGCCAAGCCCCGTCGCTGCAGGTCCGAAGGTCGCCGCGTCGATCACGCCGCAGCACATGCTGCTCAACCGCAACGCACTGCTCGTGGGCGGCATCCGGCCACACAACTATTGCCTGCCCATCCTGAAGCGCGAACTGCACCGCGAGGCCGTAGCCGGCGCTGCAACGTCCGGCGAGCCCTCGTTTTTCCTCGGCACGGACTCCGCACCGCACCCCAAGGTCTGTCTGTCCACCCCCTCACCTGACAACACTGTGCACATCATCCGCGCCCCGAGGCTCCCGCACCGCAGCGCGAACGTGACTCGACGCCTACATCCTGCGCGCAGGGTGCGAAGGAGAGCGCGTGCGGGTGCGCGGGGATCTTTTCGGCCCCGCACGCGCTCCCGCTGTACGCCAAGGCCTTTGAGGCAGCGGGGGTGTTGGACCGCCTGGAGGCCTTCGCGTCGCACCACGGCGCCGACTTCTACGGCATGCCGCGCAACACGGGCCGGGTGAGGCTGGTCCGGAAGCCGTGGACGGTCCCCGCCGAGCACGAGTTCGGGGATGCGACAGTTGTGCCAATGATGGCGGGGGAGGAGTTGGAGTGGGCAGTGGACGAGGTGACGTGGGGGACGTGGGGCGCGTGAGGAAGCGTGTGAGCTCTGCTTACATGGCACAGGCTCCGGGGGCTGCTGTTGTTGCGCGGCGGGCAGCCGCCGGCTGCCGTGCCGTCTCGACGCAGGTCGCCTAGTTCGACGGGGCGGGCGAATGCAGGTGCGGCAACGGCGCGTCGGCGTGGCTGCGTGCGGCGTCTGCGCCGCACTGCCGGGACCGCACCGTGCCGCGCGCCGTCGTGTTCTAGCCGCGCCGCCGCTCACCCGCCAGCTGCGCCGAGGGCCCGGGACGCGACGCGCGCCCGAGGAGTAGCGAGCGGCCAGGGTTGCTCTTCGGAGCGCCGGTGGGGTGCCCGTGTCCCGACGCGGGCTGCGCGGATCGGGGGCGAAACTGCGCATGCGGTCCGCGCCCGCCCCCCTGCCCCTGTGCTCCGCCGGCGTCCATCGGTGTGAGCCCTAAGCTGCGATTCGGATCCTTCTGCCTGCTCGGCGGCCTGTGCTCCGCCGATGGCAGGTGCGCCGAAACGATCCGGCGCGCCCCGCGCTGCACGCCGGAGAGCTGTTCCGCGTGCCGCTCCGCTGGCAGGCCCGCCGCGTCGTCGTGGTGCCCGCTGCGCGCCGCCGCGGGCCCCGACGGCGGCACGAGCTTCGCGTGCCCGCCCGCCGTCAGACTATAGCCCCCCGCCGGCCCCACAGGCACTGCAGACACACACACACGCGGAAAAATACAAATCATAAATCAACAAACAAACAAACGTATGTGTTCCTCGAACGCGCGGAAGCGTAGTCGCGGCCGTGCACAGCCCATCCCTCCGCGGGTGCGCGCTCGCTCACCTGCAACGGACGGTATGTCCACGTCGCGCCCGCTCTTGTATGCCGACATCGGGGTGCGTCCCCCGCCGCCCTGCGTGTCCTTGGGCGAGAACAGCTCTGGCGGGAGGTCCCGGAAGTCCGCCGGGGTGACGCTGTGCCGGCCCTGCTCGTGCTCGCCCCACTCCCCGCGCGACGCCGGCCGCCCCCGCCCCTCGATGTTGCTCGCCGTGCCTGGCCGCATGACGCCCTGCGCGCCGCCCCGCGACGCGCTCGCGACGCGGTCCGCGGCCACGCGCGACGACGGCCGCGGCACCACCGGCGCGGCGTGCCCCACGGGCGCCTGCCGTTCCCGCGTGGGCTGCCGGCCGTACGCCGCCGCCGCGTTGTCCGTCGTCGCGCCCCACAGGTCGGCCTTCGGCGCCGGCATCTCCGCCGTGCCTCCGCGCGTCCTGCGCCCCCCGCGCGACCCTATCAGCCCCACGTCCCCTGCAAGGCGCACGCGCGCGGGCCCACACAACGTCAGTGCTTGCGCACCCAGCAGCGCGCTGCGGGGGCTCCGTGCTCCGCTGGGAGCAGCCAGCGCGGTGGCCCTGCGCTCGTACCTCCTGACGTGAGTCCGCGCGACGCGGCGCGGGAGCTGTTGCGGGAGTTGGGCCGGTGCTCGTCGTTGTTTGGGGTGCCCGCGCGGCTCCGGCGCTCCATGAGGTCCATGTACTCCCCCACGGTCATCCCGGTGCACTCCTCCCCCTTCTCGCGGATCGACCGCTTCATGACGAGCCGCGCGCCCGACACCCCCAGGCCGTCCGCGTGCCCCTGCAGATGCGCGCTGGGGTCGCGTCGCGGGCAGCGTGAACGCGCCACGCACGAGGCTGCGACGAAGCGCCTGGCTTCGCTGATCGTGCAGCACGGGAGCCCCGGCTTGACGGGCGTGGATGCGCAAGGGCGGGGGAGGAATTCGGCTCAGAGGGGCGCCCTGCGAGGTGGCCGTCCGGCGCCCGGATGGCCCGGGAATCGACGGTGACGCGCGCGGGCGTGGCATGTTGCTTCCTCGTGGAGGTGTGGGGCGCACCGTTGCGTCGCTGGTCGCGCCGTTCGCGCCCCGGTGGGAGTGAGTGTCTTTGGCAGCATCAGAACGCACGGCGCGGTCGGCTGGATGGCTCATGAGGCGTTTCAAGCCCAGAGCCTCGTGGGACTGATACATCCCGGGATGCATGTGCGACAGTCCGCTCGGCGGGCGCCGCTGGTCCCGGGGCACGGGGGAGCGCGAATCGTAGAGCAACCCCTGTCCGCGCGGGTTGCCTCCTCCGCGGCTGACAGGGGGCGACGCCGCGTTCGGCGCCACGCTGAGGGACGCCATGGCCGACGAGAGAGTCGGCGCGCCTGGCTGGCTGCACGGCACGGCGAGCGTCGGTCGCAACAGGGTTGAGGTCAAAAAAGAGGTCATCGCGGGAAGCATGCGCGGCGCGAGCCCGAGACGTGCGCGTCTCTGCGGCAGCAAGAACTAAGGGAGGTGCGGGGCGCAGCGAAACACGCGTGCGCGGGCGCAGGGCCGCCGGGGCGCCGCTCGCCAGGTGCGGGAGAGGCGGAGCACAACGCCGGGCCCAGCCGCGTCGCGGGCCGCTGCCAGGCGCTCACCTGCTGACCCGCGCTCGCGCATCCCTGTGGTGCGCGGCCGCCGAGCGCTCCAGCCGCTCCAGGTACCCAGCCTCGTGGTGCCGGCTCATCCCTGCAAGGTCCGCTGCGTGTGCGAGCACTGATGCGCCAGTGCCGCCCCACAGCCCCCGCCTTCACCGCGCCTTCATTCCAGCGTAGCGTGCGGTCCTTCGCAGCCGCGAGCGGCCGACGTGTTGGCGCTCAGGCCCCGGGAGCGGAGCACGACCCTGCGCCTGTCCGGTGACGGATTCAGCCCCGTGCTTCGGCGCGGCGTGTCCGGGCTGGCAGGGCAGTGGCGCGAACGCGACTGACGCAGGCTCGTTCTGACGCCGCGCGCGGAGCCCGCCAGGCAACGAGCCTGCACACCCCGCAGGGGGTGGCGTGCCCCCGAGTGCGGTTGCAGTGGACGGGCTGCCGAGCGGGGAGTTCGCATCGCGTCGCCTTGGCCGGAGGTCGCGCCTGAGGACATGCAGTGCGCGCGGCTGCCTCATCATGGGCTCTCTTCGGGCTGCGCCGGACGTGCGGGGCCTCGGATGTTTCATCACGGGGGGTTCGATGGGGATTGGAGCGGCGCTCGGGGAGGCGCTGGTCCGCCGCGGCGCCTTCGTCACCCTGGTCGATCGTGACGAGCGCGGTCGAGAGGTCGCGAGGGCTCTCGACGCGCGGGGAGGGCCCGGCAAGTGCCAGTTTGTGTGGGCGGACGTCCGCGACCACCAGCAGAACGTGGACGCGGCGAGGTGGGTTTCTGGCCCCCGCGCCACACGCGATGTTCGCTGTCCGACAGCTCGAGCAGCGCGAACGCGTCGCATCGCGCCACCGCGCGCCCGTGTCGGCACGGTGAGCTCCTGATCTCATCGCCCGTGCCGGCCCGCGCCCTCAGCCAGCGCTGCCCACCCAATGCTGCACGTGCAGGGCGCATATGGACGCGTTCGGGAGGATGGACATCGCGGTCCTGAACGCGGGCATCGGGGAGTACGGCGACTTCGCTTCTGCGAGCACCAACGCCGACCAGTGGCGCGAGGTGGTCGACGCCGACCTCTCCGGAGTCGTCTCGGGCACGTGGGTGGCCATCCAGCACCTCAAGGCCGCCCCGGACGGCTCCCCGCGGCTCCTGGCCAACGTCGCCAGCGCCGGCGGCATCCTCCCGATGCCACACGCGCCCGTCTACGCGGCGACGAAGGGCGGCGTCGTGCACTTCACGCGCTCGCTCGCGGGGCTCAAGCGGCGCTACGGCATCCGCTGCGTGTCGCTGTGTCCGTCGTACATCGACACCCACCTGGTACAACAAGCCTTCAAGGTCATACCGCCGCGCGCGAAGCGGGCGATGCTCGACGTGGTCGGCGGCGAGCTCATGGGCTGCGACGTCATGGTCGACGCGCTCGACCGCGCGCTCGCGGACCAGGCCCTCAACGGCGTCGCCCTGTACATCTCCAGAGACGAGGGCGGGCGGGAGGCAACGTCCGCGGTGCTGCCCGACGGTGCGACGCTGCGCGCGACGCCCAGCGAGAGCTACCTGGTCGCTGCGTTGTGCCTCGCAGTCCGCGGAACCTCAACCTGGGCCTTGCGTGTCGTTCCGGGGATGCAGAGTACCACCGTCTGCTGCCGAATGGGTGGATCCGGCGAACGGTGTCGACGAAGGGGCCGCCGGGGAAGCGGCTGGCGCCGGGGCGGCTGTATCACGAGCTGACGGCGCAGCTGGGGCGCACGTCCGTGTTCGCGCCGGGCGCGCAGCACAGGGGGCTGCTGGCGCAGCGCGCGGCGTGGGCGCGCATGCAGGTGGCTTCTGCGGCCTGCCGCGGCGTGATCGTGCACGCGCTCAACCACGACTTCCGCGCCGCGACGCGCGTGGAGACGCTCCCGGCAGCGGCGAAGCCCAGCGGGCCCGGACAGGGACATGTGCTGTTGGTGCGCGTGTTTGCGGGTGTCAACGCATCCGACGTCAACTACAGCTCGGGGAGGTATGTCATGCACCGTGCGCCGCCCTGCGACCTCCCGCGCCCCCGTGTGCGGCCCGAAACCCCCCTCCCCCCGTCGATACTCCCCCCGCAGGTATCACAACAGCCGCAAGGAGGCCGCGGCCGCGCTGCCGTATCCGTCGGGCTTCGAGGCGAGCGCGGTCGTGGCGGAGGTGGGTCCGGGGGTGAAGGGAATCGAGCCAGGGACATCGGTGGTGACGATGACCTATGGCGGGTTCAGCACGCAGGTGGTCGAGGCCGCGCGCTCGTGCATACCCGTCGCGGACCCCGGACCGGAGGCAGTGGCGCTGGCCACGTCCGGTCTGACTGCGTCGATCGCGCTCGACCAGGTGGCGGAGCTGCAGCCTGGCGAGGTGCGCAGTGCTGCAGGGTCCTCCTGGGCGCGCTGTTCATGGATGCAAGCGTCTGGCGACGCACAACATACACACGCAATAATGCACTGGCCTCTCGTACCCGCGGCGCAGACGGTGCTCGTGACAGCGGCGGCGGGGGGCACTGGCCAGTTCGCGTGTCAGATTGCCAAGCTGATGGGGTGCCGCGTATTCGCGACGTGCTCGTCGCCAGCCAAGTCCGACCTGCTCAAGTCGTTCGGCGTCGACCGCGTCGTGAACTACAAGGAGGAAAACCTCGACAAGGCGCGTATCTGACGAACGATGCCTCTTGTGTCCTACCACTGCCGCATGTCGCAGTCCGGCGGCCGCACCGACTCACCGGCGACCTCGGCCGCCGTCCTCGCCGCAGGTGCTCGCGGAGGAGTGCCCCACCGGCCTCGACGTGGTGTACGAGTCCGTCGGCGGCTCCATGCTGGACGTGGCGCTCAAACACCTCGCCGTCCGCGGCCGCCTCGTCGTCATCGGCATGATGTCGCAGTACGGCGAGGGCTGGCCGGCCTCGCAGCACCGGGCCGTCCCTGAGCGCCTCCTCGCGAAGTCGGCGTCGATCCGCGGGTTCTTCCTCCCGGCGTTCGGCCCGCTGATCAAGCCGCACATGGCGATGCTCGCGGGCCTCCTGCGCGCGGGGAAGCTGCGCGTCGAGGTGGACCCGACGCCGTTCGCCGGGGTGGAGCGCGTCGCGGACGCCGTGGAGCATCTGCAGTCTGGCTGCAGTCGCGGGAAGGTGGTGGTGCAGATGTGCAAGCAGCTGCCGCCGGGAACTGGCGCGCAGGCGAGAATGTGAGCCCGTGAACGAGCGACGCGAGATCGGCCGCCGTGGTCCAATTGACGCATCGGGAACAACTGCCAATCGCTCGACCTTGATTGATTGTTTGTTTGTTTGATTGCGGCACAGGCCCCGCGGCGGCTCCTTCGCAGCGGCTCAGGACTCAGCGGCCACGTGGCCTGGTCGGCTGTTCAGGCCCCCCGTTGAGTCATCGCGTGTCGCACGTGGCGACCGCTGTCGACCTTGGGGGCTCCGAGCTGCCCGCGTCCAGGGGCGCGGGGGGTGATAACGTTCGTGAATCGCCGCCGCGCGGTACAACATGGTGCGGTGGTGCTGCCAGGCCTTGCCGCGCGGCCGAAGAGGTCCCTGATACGGAGGTGCTCGGTGTTTCTGGGAGAGCGAGTTGACTGTCGAGGCACGATGGACGAGGCGGCGGGCCCGGGGCTGCTCGACCTGCCGACGGACGTCCTGACTTTCTTTCTGGCGGGCGTGAGGGACTTCAGGGACGTCCTGAGCGTCAGGGGAACGTGCCACCGACTGAGGAGTGCTGCTGACGAGCGCCTGGTGTGGGAGGAGCGGCTGTGGAAGGAGGCGGGGCTGAAGTTGCAGGCACGAGCGCCCGGAGCATGTTCCTCATCGATGCGCTTCCAATCCGATCGTGTTGACGCGGTTTTCGGGCGCTTTTGTGCCTTCATTCCTTCCCAGCAATTTTCCTCGCCCGCCTCTCGTTCGAGGCCGCAGCACGGCCAATAAGTCGCGCCCCGGTACCTTTACTTCTGTCCAATCGAGTGCGCCGGTAGCATTCCCATTCGCATGCCAGCCTTCGGCCCGCTCCGGAGCAACCTGCTGCCCCACCGGGAGACGGCGCTCTTGCGCGCCACACCGCGCCGGGCGCGCGCGTTGACGTCTCCTCTTGCATCTCCATCTGGTCGACGAGCAAGCTCCCTTCCCTGGACGCGCCCACCACGCAGGGCGAGGGCGGGCGGCAGCCCCAGTGGCGCGAAGCCTACCTTGCCGTCAAGCGCCACGAGGCGGAAGCCTGCATCGCGGCGACGGGGGAGCCGACGGGGGAGGTCCGGGCGCCCGCGCGGTTCCGCGCGCTGCTCACGGACGGCGGCGTGGACTCCCAGAACGGGGTGTTTTGGGCTGACAACGCAATGGTGCCCAACGCGTGGGACGTCTTCTGCTCGCGCCGCGGGACGCGCGTCGGCCTGCTGGGCGTCTTGCCGCCGCCGGGCCGCGAGGTCTGCGAGCACGACGACCGGAATCGTCGCATGAGGTGGTTCATGGAGGAGTGTTGTCGTGGGATCGTGCAGGGGCTGATGCAGGACGGACCGAACGGGCCGGAGGTGCGTGGATGCGATGTGTTCGCCGCAGAACCTGTTCGGTCTGGACGAGGCCCGCAGGGAGCGCCGGAAGCGTCTGAACGTTTGCGTGTCCCGGGCTCGGCCGTTCCGTGGTGCAGGGGATCAACATCCAGGAGTGGTCGATGTCGGAGCTGGAGGCGCTGTTCGTGGAGCTCACGCAGGGGCTGATAGACGTGGACGCGGAGCAGTTCTTCGGCACCGCGGTAGGGCACTTGATGGCGGAGCCGTTCCTGAGCAGCCGGGGAGAGACCACCGACGTGACGACCATCTACCGCGAGCTCCACCTCGAGTGCGTCAGGGTCTGCACGGAGGTGCGCCGCGCCCCCGCCTGACCCGCCCATGTGCGCAGAGGCTCGCATGCACCGTGACATCCATAGCAAGTCGACTCCTTTGGCGCACCGCTCGTCGCTCCGTCGTTCGCGCGCAGGTCAGCATGCGCGTCTCGACGAAGGGGTTCTCGGTATGGCCACAGCTCATGTACGGCCCCAGCTCGCCAGCGCCGGACGACTGGCCACGCACCGCGCGCCACCTCCCCGTGCCCCAGGGCTCCACGGAGCCGCCGCTGGATGTCGTCTGCGACGCGGAGGTCGCCCGGCTCTGTTGGGACGCGGGACTGGGCCGGCGCGTCGCCGTGGCGCGCAGCGTCTGTCTCAGCCGACAAGGCAACCTCACGTGTCCTGTGCGCGACGGCATCATCCTGACGGGCCACACGCGGCCGCAGGAGGGCAACGCACCTCCCTCGCCGGCGTCGCGGGACGCCTGGCTGTTCTTCCCCCCGCCCCAGGAGGAGATGCGCCCTCTGTGGGGCCTGGCACGCCAGGGGCAGCAGGCGCTGGATGCGGCGTGGCCCGACGGCCTGCGAGAAGCAAAGACCGCGCTCGACGTCCTGAAGCTCGTTGCGGAAGGGAAGCTGCCGCCCGTCGCGGCGCAGGGCAGCCACAGGGCGGGGGTCTACGTGGAGTTTGAGGATGTCGGGGGGGGTGTGCGGGCAGGGGCGACCGCGAACGGCCAGAACGCGTCCGCAGCGAGCGAGTGGGACCTTCGGCCGCTGCTGTGGTTCTCGTTTCGCTCCGCGGAGGAGCTCCAGGCGTTCGACGACGAGCAGCGACGCGCGGGGCTGCTTCCGGGACCCCCTGACTCAGCAACAGCGGCAAACACCCCCGCCGCGGACCTGACGGGGCGGCACACGCTCAACATCGAGCTGTCCTCCCCTCGGGCGGCGGGCGCGGTCGCGGTGCTGCTGTCCAGCCCCGAGAATCTGATGTGGGCGACAGGGGACACACACCCGGAGCCGAACATCGACCTGTGCAGGATGACGCTGCAGGGGTTCACCGTGGAGCTGCCGGAGGGCACGCGGCCCGCCTGAACGGAGGAACGGAGCCTTACACTCCACGAAGCTCGGCGCTTCGAAACGTATTATGTGTAGCCACCTAATAGGCGATAGATTGACACGACCGTGGTAGACAACGGCCGCGGCTTCGGAGCACGCGCGCGGCGATCATCGCAGGGCGCGCAGTGTGATTTCGGCGCTCCGGAAGTCCGCGGTGGTCGTGGTTGTTCCGCGTTCAGCTCATGACTAGTTGAATGATGCTGGCTGCCTCGCTGGCGACCTGCGCCGCCGAGGGCCGGGCGTCCCGGTCCAGCACCAGGCACTTCTCCGCGAGGTTCTGCAGCTCCGCCGAAGCCGCGTCGCTCCCGCACTCCTCGGGCCATCGCACGTGGCCCGCCAGGACTGCGAGAGCGATGCTGCCGCCGCCCTCCCGCAGCGAGTGCTCGAACGGCGACTCCCCGGTCAAGCAGAAGAATATCAAACAGCCCAGGCTCCACACATCCGCGCTCGCCACGTCCATCGTCACCGGCAGGCCGATGCACGGCGGCTCGAACAGCTCGGGGGCGCGGTACGGGGCCGTGCTGTGCGCGGCCGCGTGATCCTGCAGCAGCCGCGCCTCCTGCGGCGTCGCAATCGTCTCCTCGCGCGCGCCGACGCTCCCGAAGTCCATCAGGACGGCGGTGAGGCCCGACGCACGCGCCAGCTGCGCCTCTGCTGACGCAGGGCCGCCCCGGGGGTCGGCGGCCGGCGCGCCTCCCCCGCCACGCAGCGGCCGCATTTCGCGCTCCATCGGCGCGGGGCTGCGCGGCGCGGCATGCCGCCAGGACGACGTGGACGCGGCTGCGGGCGCTGCGCTGTCAGTTGCGCCGCGGGCGCCGGGCGGGGCCCGAACGAGCACGTTGAGCGGCTTGATGTCGCGGTGCGTGAGCGGCTGATCGAGGGCGTGCATCTCGGCCACCGCGCGCGCCACCTGCAGCACCACGCAGGCCGCCTCCAAGGGCGTCAGCCGCGCCTGCATCGGCTGCCGCGGGCCGGCGCCCTCGGCCTTGGCGCGCCGCGCGAGGAAGTCGACGAGCGTGCCCTCGGGGTAGTAGGGGAACACGAAGAGCGCGACGTCCTTCGCTACCTGCAAGGCGGCCACGTGAACGACGACGCGCCGTGTGGGGACTCAGGACTGCATGTCTGACCGATGGCGCGCGAGGAGAAGCGACGCAGGCGGGGTGGCGCGGCCACGTGCGAGGGTGGCACGTGGGCGTCGTTACCTTGAGGTCCTCCCCGCTGCTGGGCACGATGGTGCCCGCGAGCAACTCCAGGCAACCCTCTTTGCCCTTCAACCGCCGCATCGCGGCCATCTCTGACTTCGCCATGTCCAGCTGGGCGTTGGTCTGGCACAGGACCTTCTTCACGGCCAGCATCCGCGCGCCCAACGAGCCGTCCACCTCGACCTCTCGCGCCAGAAACACTTGGCTGTACCCACCATCGCCCACCTGCGGCGCGTCCGGGCGCGAACGCATTCAACGTCCGCGGCCACCTGTACACGCACAACTGATCATCGACAGGGCGCAAGGACACGTGCGATAAACGCCACGGCTCGCCGCGTCACTCGCGGGGCGAGCACCAGCGCTCACGTCCCTCGGCAGACGCGCAACGTGCACCCAACGTCGCGTTGTGGCGCGGACCTCCTCCTTCATCGAACATACTACATTGGGGCGTGCTCGAGGCGCCCCAATAGGCGCGCCGGGGCGCGGTGTGCGCTCACCTTTGACACAAGCCTCAGAATCATACGCTCCACCTTCACGTCCGCGATACCATGGCCGAACCTCGCGCTCAGCTCTCGGGCTCGCTGGACCAAGTCACGGCCCGCAGAAAACACCGAGCCCCAGCATGACCCAACGTTTTCGAGCATGCTTCCTAACGGGCTGTGTGCCACACGCGCGTGACCGACGCAGCACCGCACTTTCACCGCCGTCTCAGCGCGGCGACTCTGGACACCCGCCGCATGGCGCGGCGCCGATCACGAGCCGTGCGCGCGTCGCCGCTGCGGCCTGACGAGGGGCCTTTCCCTCACACCACCAGCCCTACCTGCGGCGGGGGCGTCTTGTTTGGCGGCGCTGGCGGGCTGCGCGCAGTCCATTTCTCGAGCGCAGCGCAGCGTCGTCGCACTCTCCTGCCGCGCAAGTCCGACTCGGTCACAGTGGACCTCCAGTGCCGGGCAAGCAGGCAGCCCGCACGGCCTCGTCGCTGAGCGCAAGGGGGAGTCGCCAGGCGCGGATTCTCTTCGTGCCGGGGTGACTCGAGCCTCGGAACTCCTCAGAGCGACCGTTCCGCGTCGTTCGACGAGGCGCTCGGCGCGATGGTGGCAACGGGCACGGAGCTGAACGACCGCGCGGTCGGGCCCTGCAACCGGGAGGGCCAGTTCCTGGCCGCGGGGGACCGCCGGTACCGCGACCGTCCAGCTGACAGGGCGCAGGCCATCGACGACCGCCTCGAGGCGTTCGCAGGTGGGCACACAGACGGGGAGCCCGGCGAAAAAAAGGCGGGCTTGCTTCGCCGCGGCCCCGTGGCGCGCGCGGAGCCCGCTGGAGCCGCACAAGTCGCGCGCCGTGCTGCTCGTAGTCGAAACTCGCCGGGAACGCGGGCCGTGGTGCACTGTCGGCCCCGGTCGAGCGCCTGGCGTGCGTTGTGCTGCGGTACGCGCCTCAGCGTCCCCCGCCCCCGTGCCCCCCGCTCCCGACGCAGAGGCCTTCGCGAGCGCCTGTCCCGAGCCATACGAGGACAGCGTTGGCGCCGTCAACCCGGAAACGACCAAGGTGCGCCCGCAACGGCTCCCCTCTCCCGCTGCGCACGCTGCGCCGCGCAACACAACACACCCGCCCGCCCGCCCGCGCGCCATCTCCCAGCGTCTCCTACGCGCCCGCCGCGTCCCCGCCCGCAGGTCTTCGGCCGCGTGTTCCGCGAGGGCGAGGGGCGCCCCAACGAGAACATTCTGGGCATCGAGGGCAGCGTCGCGCGCTCGCAGGGCGCGTCCGCGCGCCTCGTGCTCACCAAGTGCCCCGCGTTCTCCGTCTTCCCCGGCCAGATCGTCGCCGTCAAGGGCACGAGCCCCTCCGGCACCACCCTGATGGCCACCGACATCTGCGCCAGCTACCCCGCGACGGCCGGCACGCCGCAGCGGACGGTCCCCGAGGGCTTCGCGTGCCGCGTGGTCGTCGCCGCGGGCCCGTACACCGCGCCCGGCGACCTCGCGTTCGCCCCCCTGCAGCGGCTGCTCGCACGCTGCAAGGACGTGCGCCCCGACATGCTCCTGCTGATGGGCCCGTTCGTGGACAGCGAGCACGAGCTCGTCAAGGCCGGCACGCTCGGCGAGGACATGACGTTCGCGGACGTCCTGAAGGCGCGCGTGCTGAAGCCTGTGTCTGACTTCTGCGGCAGCGCGGGGGGGGGTGAGACGGTGGTGCGCATCATGTACTCCCCGCGGGACGTGACCGCGGACCCCGTGCTGCCGCAGCCGCGCATGGACGACGAGCTCCTCGACGCGATGCCAGACGGGGAGCCTGCGCACGAGAACCTGAAGACCATGTGCAACCCCGCCACGCTGGCCGTCGGGGGCGAAGGTGCGCGCGCGGCCCCCGCGTGGCTGCGGCGCCGCGGTGCGGCGATGTCTGTGCCGCGAGTCGCGCGGCGGCGACGTGTCCGCGTCGCGCAGCGCTGGCGGCGCGCGAGGGACGATTGCTGTGTGTTGGCGGGGTGTTTGCAGGGGACGCGGAGGGTCTGGTGGTGGCGGGGATGTGCGGGGACGTGTTGCGGCACATGGGCGCGGTGGAGCTGTCCCGGAACATCCCCGGGGACCGCATTGCACGTCTGGCGGGGCACCTGGTGGCGCAGCGGTGCTTCTACCCCGTGTACCCGCCGATGCTCGACGCGGCGGCCGCGGACGGGGAGATGGACGCGAGCGTGATGGTCGAGCACACCGCCGCGGACGCCATCATGATGAAGGCGCTGCCGCATGTGCTGGTGCTGCCCAGCGTGCTGCCGCCGTTCGCCAAGCCGGTCGCGATCCCGGGGAGCAAGCTTGACGGTCCGTCGGCCGCGCCCTTGTTCATCCGCGCGCGCGTTACGCTCGGTGGTGCACCGCGCCGGAGTCACACACGTTCTGAATCGAACCATGCGCTCTGTGGCGTTGTGCAGGTCGCGTGCTGTGCATCAACCCGGGCATGGTGTCGAAGGGACAGTACGCGTCGCTGACCCTGTCCAAGGGGAGCGGCGACATCATGACGCGAATGCAATGCACGATCGAAAAGGCGTGAGGCAGTTGTGATGTTCATGGCACCTGAGCCTCTCCGGCCGCGACGTCCTGCCGCTCGACGCTTGCTCTGCGAGACGCAGACAAGCACGCGCGGGCCCAGGGGACACCGGCGCTCGCTCCACGCGGGCGTCTTGCTGCCTGGTGTCTCACAGCGCACGTCGCCAGCGACCTCCCGCTCACTTCTCCGACACGTACGCCTTGTTCTCGTTGTAGCGCGCCTCGCTGGCCACCTTTTTCCGGTTCCGTTCCTCGTACGCGCGCCGGTTCTGCACGATCCGCTGGATGATCTCCGTCGTGGTCATCGTGCTGGGGCTCTGCAGCGCCTCGTAGATGCCCATCTCCCTCGGGATGCGGTACGGGTCCGCCTGGCTGCCCCCGAGGATGCTCTGGTCCTGCAGCGCGCGCAGGTCCTCGCGGTGGCGTTCCCCGGAGGTGCCCTCGACCACGAGGCCGATGTTGTGGGTCTTGATGAGGTCCTCCGTGACGACGAGCGGCGCCCCGATGATCACCTCGTCGACGTACTTGCACGCCAGCACGCTCAGCGTGCGCTCGTGCACGTTCATGATCGGCAGGTGCGGCAAACCTGCACACAAATCAAATCATCACCACTCAAGGCCGCTCTCACGACCGCCACCGACCCACGCAACGACGCAGCCGGGTCCACAGACACGGGCAGCGCGCGTCTCACCTCCGTGCCGCTCCCGCACTTCGTCGTCGTCGTGCACGCCGACCAGTAAGAAGTCCCCTTTCGCTTTCGCGGCCTTGAGGACCTCCACGTGGCCGGCGTGGAACATGTCCCACGCGCCGTCGATGTACACGACGCGCGCGCCGGCCTGTGCCACGCGGTCGTCGCTGAACTGCACGATGCGGTGCGACGTCGGGAGGAACTTGGACACGCGCGAGGATGGCACCTTGTTGTTCGGCGCGTAGGTGCCCGGGAGGCCGTCGTCGTCGCTGTCCGTGAGGTCGCCCTCCGCGAACGAGTCGAGCATCGTCTGCCGCGCGCGCTCCTTGAGCTTGTGCAGGTGCTCGCGCGAACACAGCAGCATGCGGCCCACGATGTCCGTCGACGACACGCCCTCCGTCCGCTTGATCATCTGCGGCCGCGAACAGCACATCCACACGGCACGTCAGCGGCCACGCAACCAACACACGCGCCGCGATGTGGCCACAAGTCGCGCATGCGTCGCTCACGCACCCGGAACCGGCCCAGGCGCTTGGCGACCGCGTACACGTCCGTCCCGTCGGGCAGGAGGCACGGATCGTCTCCGTGGACGACGTAGTCGATCTTGTGCCGCCGGAACAACTCGGCCAGGAAGTCCTCGGTCAAGTTGTAGGGCACGTCGGTCAGCACCTCGTCGACCCACTTGATCGCCTCCACCATCGTGCGCCGCTCCTCGTTGTTGAACACCGGCGGACCCTGCACCGCGGCCGCAGCGGCGCAGCGCCGCGTTCGCTCCAAGGGCGAAAGCACGCCTCGCGGGCCCTACAACACATCAGGCGCAGTGCGGCGGGTCGAGTCGGCCGGTCTTACCTTCACGGCCTCGATCTCGCTGTCGGGAATCAAGCCGACGACGAGCACGTCGCCGCACGCCTTGGCTTGCCGCAGGGCGTTGGCGTGCCCGTAGTGCATCATGTCAAAGCAGCCGTCCATGTAGACGCGGATCGGCCGCCGGGCGCGACGCCGCTTGGCGTGCTTGGCGAGCCGCCGTGCGAAGTACGCCGAGATCGTTCCCGGCCGGTACTGCCACTGCAGACAGCCGGGAGGAGGCGCGGCGTGCGGTGGAGGGGTGCTGCTCCGCGGCCGACGGCCCGGGTGGTGGCGAGGCGGTGCGTGCACGCGTACCTCATATGGAACGTAGTGCTCGACCATTGTCATGATGCCGTAGTATGCGCCCATGGCCGCGAGAGGGCCGCCTATCAGCACCGTAGCAGCCCATGACGCGCTCTTGTCCTTCAGGCCCACGCGCTCGAGCATCCAGTCGGGAACGAGACCCATGGCGCCTGAACGTCTTCACCCGCGGACTCAGGCGACGTCCGGGTCAGGGATGGCCCGCTGGGACGGGCCGGCCGAGGGAGTGGCGGTCTTCAGCGGCCGTGCCTGGGCCAGGCGCCGCGATGAGGTGCTCAAAAGGGACGTGGCAAGTGGGATCCCGGTACAGGGCTCGAGTACGGTGCCCGTTGGATGGAAGTGGCGCGCAGGCCCGCTGCGATCGCAACCCTAAAGGCAACTCTGTGCAACGCGCTCTGGTGCAGCTGTGCGGCGAGATCTGAGGCGTCAAGTGGGCCCGGCGCAGGGAGAGCGATGCGAGGTGTTCGGAAAGCGCGACCCACCAGGCGCCTGTTCCAGCGCTGACTCGGTAGTCTCGCAATGGTGGTGCCTGCGATTGAGGCGTGCCCGGAACCCTGCTCCAGTCGGCGTCGACTCGGCGGAAGTGTCGCGGCTCATGTGCGCCGTCGACGTGAAAAACATGCGCGGAAGACGCAGCCCTGGCCCGGGGGACCCACGTTGGGGGGTCGGCCCTGATGCCCCCCCCGCCCGACTCAGACCCCGGTGACGCACGGCGAGAGGTGCCAGCGTGGCCGACGCGAACTGGCACTGTCAGCGACGCCGGCCGAGCGACGTGGTTTCGCCGCGAGTGTTTCCGAGCCACAGGCGGTTTCGTCGCAGAAGCGGGTAGCGATGCGGGGCCTCCCCAGGTCGTGACGAGGGTGCTGACCGCGGAGAGATGGCCCTCGTGGACTACTCTGGATCGCAGAGCGACCAGACTAGCGATTCCGAGTCCTCTGGTAGCCCCGCGGGAGACGTTCTGTTGGACGGCGGCACCTCGAGGGAGGTCGCTGCGCGCGACGCGCAGGCCGGTCCGGCAGCAAAAGGCACGGGGCAGAACCAGAACGATAGCGAGAAGCGCAAGAGGCGATTCGACAGCGTGACTGGGTCCGCCGTGGCCGCGGGGCCGCTTCGCGAGAAGGCTAGCAAGGGCAACGACGAGCGTAGCAAGCCCGTGGCGGCCACCGTGAGCCCCTCGGGCCTCATGGTGCCACCGCAGGCGAGCACGGCGCCCCTGCGCACGATCAACCCCGCAGCGACGCACCGGCGCGACCCTGCAATGCCCCCCTATGCATAATGCACACTGGAAACAACCGAGAGCTGCCCGCGGTGGCAGCGGAGCGCGTGCTCGGCCAGCGGCGCGACACAGGTGGCGTGGTGCGCGTCCGTGCAGTTGCGAGGGAGGGCGAACGTGTCGACGGAGGACCTAGGAAACATGGGCTTTGTGCGAGCGCCGGGACACGGGCGCGCCAAACAGGGGTCGGGAGCGGGCGCGGGCGGACGCAAGCCGAGCTGACCGCCGTGTGGGCCTCTGCCATCAACGCACGCGTCACACGCGGTCACGTTCGCGCGGTCACCGCCGCGCGTCGCATCAACAACAACACCTGCGCTGTGCATCCTCATGCGTACACATCCACTTCGCGCCGCGCGCCTCAGTCCTTGAACCTGCTCGACGCCTTCCGCCCCGAGTCCCCCGCGGTGACCGACGACCCCCCCAGCGCCCCGAACGGACTCCCCCCCTTCTTCGGCTTCTCCCACTGGATTCTACCGGGCGACGGCGTGCCCTTCGCGCTGTCCTTGCGCAGGGAATCCCCCGCCTTCTTCCGCGAGCTGTGGTGGCTCGACTCCTCGTACGCCCGCGTGAGCTCCGCGATGGGCCGCGCGCTCGCTGACGGCGGCGTCCTCTCGGGGCGCTCCGAGGCCGAGCCGAGACCGACTGCGCTGGCCCCGCGGCCCCGCATGCGCGCCGAGTCGCTCGCGACCAGCATGTCGGCGAACCCTACCGTCTTCCCCAGCCCGCCCCCCGCCGCGCCCGCGCCCTTGCCCTCCTGCGCCGCCACGCCCTTGCTTTGCGACGCCGGCGACGAGCCCTCCGCGATGGACTTGTCCAGCGCGCGCATGCGGTACGTCCCGGACACGCCGCGCGCCGGCGGCGACCACGCCTCGAGCGTCTTCGACGCGTTCGACAGCGCCGAGGCGATCGTGACGCCCCCCAGGGACGGCGCCGGCGGGAGCATCGGCGGCGCGGAGTCCGGCTCCACGAGCGCGTCCTCGTCGAGCGTCTGCCGGAACAGCGAGTCCACGGTCGACTCCATCGGCTGGATCGTTGACCGCAGGTTCATCTTCCGCAGCGAGTTGTTCAGCTTCTCCGCGCGCTCCTGCAGCTCCTGCATCTTGTCCACGCCCTCGTCCACCGCCCTCCGCACCTTCCGCCACCCGCGCCCGCCCCGCGGCGCGCCACCCTCCCCCACCGACTCCGCGCCCGTGCTGTCACGCCCCTGCTCCTGCGCCTTGTGGGCGACCTCGTCCTCGACCGCGCGCATCCGCTCGCGCGTCCGCTTCAGAAGCTGCGTCACCGTCGACTCCTCCACGTTCCGCACGCCGAACTTCACCTCCATCACGTGCTCCACCAGGTTCCGGAAGTCGGGCACCGGAGGCACCCCGCCCTCGCTGGCCTTCTCCGCCGCGCCGGCGCCGTCGGCGTCCGACCGCGAGCCCTGCCGCGCGGGCACCGTCGCGACGTCGTCCGCGTCGCTCCGCCCGCGCAGCGACTGGCTCGCGCCGTCGTCCTGCGACCCGTCGTCCCCGCTCGTCGCCCGCAGCGCCGCCAGAATGTCCTCGCGCGAGTCCCCGCGCGACGGCGCCCCGAACTGCTTGAAGAACTCGTGGATGATCGCGTCCTCCGGCATCGACGGCTTCGCGGCCAGCAGCGCCGTCGCCGGCTGCAGCTCCGACCCCCCGCCGTCCTGCTTCAGCAACTGCACCGCCGCGTCGCTCGGCTGCGGCTGCAGCGAGGCCAGCCGCTCCATCGGCGCCATGCCGTAGTACGCGCGCGCCTGGTCCGGCGCCCACGCGGGCATCACGCCGCTCCGGGGCGACCCAGACTTTTCTCGCAGCAGAGCCTTGCCCGACCCCGTGCGCCGGCTCGGGGTGCCGCGGGCGCGGCTGCGCGAGGCCCGCATCGGCGACCAACGGTCCCCCGAGCTCGTGCTGTGCTGCGACGGCGCCGCGTCCCCGCCGGGCGCCTCCCCCGCGCGGGACGGTCCGTTGCTGCGAGTGCGCTCGAAGCGGTCGATCGTCGCCTGCACGGGCGAGGCCGCGGGGGGCGCCACGGGCGTCGCCACAGGCACGGGCACCGCGTGCACGTGCCCCGGGTCGATCTCCGCGAGGTGCATCGCGGCGGCGGCCGCGGGAGCCCGCTCCTCGTCGCCGGGGAGGGGCGGCGGCGTCGGCGGGAGCGCCGGGACGCCGCGCTGCGAGCCGTCGTCCTCGCTGCTGTCGCAGAAGATCTGCGCGGGCGTGACGTGCCGCGAGAGCCCCTCCTGCTCGTGCTCGATGATCCCTGGGAGCGAGGAGAGCCTTGGCAGCCTGTCGGGGCTGCCCCCGTCGCTCTCCACGAAGCTCGAGCGCGCCGACCCCTCCTCCCCGCCGACCACCGTCCCGGTCAGCACGCGCAGGAGCCGCTCGCTCGCGCCCGTGATCTCGTGCCGCGGCCGCTGCGCGCCGCCCTGCGGCGACTGCGACGCCACTTCCTCGCGGTCGAACGCGTTGATCCGCGGCCCCGCGAGCTTCTCGAGGAGCGCCTTCGCGCGGTTGCTCGCGGTCTTCTTCACCAGCGCCGCCCTGGCCGTCTGCCACCGCGACGCCGCCGTCGCCGACCCGTCGCTGGCCTCGGCGTCGGCGTCGCGGGCCGCCAGCTGCTTGATGCGCTCGAGGAGGGTCGGGCGCGAGGCCCCCGACTCGAGCGTGTGCCTCGCGGCCTTGTCGTTGTCGCGGTGCTCCCGGCTGGCCTCGAAGATCTTCGAATACACCTGCATCCACCGAGACCCCCCCCCCTCGCTCACGGTGCCCTGCTCCGACTCCCCCCGCGCGGGCGGCCCGGGCGGCGTGGCCGGCTCGCCCTTGCCCGGCTCGGCCGCGCTGGTAGCTGAGCGCGGCAAGCGCGTCGGGGACGGCGCGGAGGCCTTGCTGGAGCCACTCAGGGGCGTGCCCACCGACACGACGTTGTTCGAGGTGCGGCGGATGCGGCCCGCGCCGACGACCATCTCGAGCTTTGAGGGCGACGCGCGGCCGCGGAACGCCGAGAGCTCGTCCTCCTCCGGCGCGCTGCCCCCGTCGGACTCCTCCAGCACGCCGTCCGACACCCCCCGGGAGGAGTGAACGATGGCGGACCGGGCGTCGGACACGGCGCCGTCGCCGTGCGACTGCGCGGGCCCGTCGCCGACCGACGGCTCGCCGGCGTCGTTGTCCTCGTCCTCCGAATACAGCGAGATCCCGTGTCCGCGAATGGTGAACTTCGACACCGGTGGCTCCTGGATGGACGCCATCGCCCCGGAGGCCTCGTGGTCGCTCTCGCCGCCGCTCCCGTCGCCGTGCGCAGTAGCCGCTCGGCTCCGCAACATCGTGGACCCGGTCGTGCGCTGCCGCATGAGCATGCGCTCCACGGCTGGCGTCGCAGCGTTGCTGCTCGCGCGCGGCTCCTCGCCGCCGTCGTCCTTCGGGAGCGATATCCGCCACCCGTGCTTGTGCAGCCCCCCGGGCGTGCCGGCCATCGAGTGCGACAGCAGCGTCCAGTCGATCGAGTGCGTCAGGTCGGCGCTGAGCGCGCCCCGCAGCCCCCGCCGCATCGACGGCGACGGGTTGCCCACCCGCGTGATCAGCGGCGCCCGCCGCAGCTGCGCGCTCAGCGACATCGCCCGCTCCACCGCCTTCCCGCCCAAATGCACGCTCTGCGGCGCCACCCCCGTCGCTGCCTTCTCCTGCGCGGCAAACGCCATGAAGTCCTCCAACCACTTCTCCACGCTCGTCGCCCCCTCCCGCGCCCGCATCTCCATGCGCGTCAGGCAGCTCTGCGGGACCTGCTTCGCGGCCACCATCGCCCGCACGTCCGTCAACATGCAATTCATAATGTCCTCGCGGATCTTCAACAGCGCCTCGTACGCCGCCAGGCGCACGCCCAGCTCCTCGCGCTGCGTCAGGAGCTCGAGCCGCAGGTGCGAGACCTCGCGCCGCAGCCGCGCGACCTCCGCGAGGAGCTTCTGTTCGCTCTCGCCGCTGCCGGGGAGCTTCCCTGCGCACCGTGGGGCGGCGGGGACGGTCACTCTGTGCCGGCGCAGCGGTGGCGAACGGGCGGGCGCGAGACGGGTTTCGGCTTTCGTTGTGATGACACGTGACGTTGCGGTGGTCGCAAGGAGCTGTTCCCAGTTGCGACCAACAAACGACACGTGGTGCTTGTAGGTAAGCGAAGTACAAACGACACGCGTCGTCAGCTCAGCGCATCAACCGCACACGGACGGACCGACAGGTCGCGCATTCGGCCGCCGCTGCAAGCGCTGCGAGCTGCGCCTTTCGTCAAGCGCCGCGACCCGGGACGGCCGCCTGCTTCATCGCACAGCTCCTCAGCACCGCGGGGGAGCCGGGGCGCACCTTGCGAGGTGTTCTTGAGGCGCACGAGCATCGCCCAGAGCACCTCTGGCCCGAACGCGTCCAGGTCCGGGATGGCGCCGACCCTCATTTCCTTGTCGGCCAAGAAGGCCTCGAGGGTCTTCACTTGCACCAAAAAGGCCTCGTCGCCCATCATCTCGGCCAGGTTGCGGCGCGGGCGGTTCTGCACGCGCGCGGCGCGCTCGGCGTACTTGAGCGTGTTGAGCGTCTCGTCCAGGTTGATTTCCGCGCTCGAGATGCACGCAATGAAGAGGGTCTTCGAGTTCCCGCCCAGCGAATCCTGGAGGATGCGCGTGAGCTTGTGGTCGCGGTACGGCACGTGCCGCTGCCGCTCCCCGGGTTTCTTGACCTCCGAGAGCGCGCTGATCACGTTGCCCAGCGACAGCAGCCCCAGGTTGATATTCATACCCTCCTTCATGCGCTGCCCGCGCGCCTGCGTCTTCTTCAGCCGCTCGCTCCCGGCGAGGTCGACGAGGTGGAACTTGCTGTCGACCGCCACGCCGATCGCGTGGTCGAGCTTGCGGATGCCCACCGTGAACACCGCGTGCGAGCGCGACGAGTGCTCGTTCAGGGCCGTGGTGCCCGTCGAACGGTTCTCGAGGCCCATCTCGAACACGCGCATCATGTCGTCCATCGCGCTCGTCTCGAGCTCGCGGCACCCCTGCACGAACACGCTCCCGTGCTCCTCGCGGATCTGCAGCTCGCGCCCGCCGCGGTCAAAGGTCGGGTCGCGCGACAGGAGGTCGCGCAGGTCGTCGTTGTAGATCTCCACGAAGGAGCACGTGAAGTGCAGCTCCTCGCGGCCCTGCGACTGCTCCTTGACCTCCTCCTGCGTGGCAACGGCCACGGCGCGGCGCGCTGCTGTGAGGCGCCGTGCAGCGCGGTCCGCGGGCGGCGACGGCGCGTCGAGGGCGCGGGACGCCGCGCCGGCGGCGAAAGGTGCGTGCGCGGACCTTGATTTGATACAGGTCGCGGGCCGCGCGCGGGAGAATGCCCATGTTGTCCTCGGTGAGCTTGGAGCGCTCGTGGCCCGTGCCCATGGTGAACGTCTTGCCCGAGCCCGACTGCCCGTACGCGAGGACCGTCGCATTGTATCCCTCGCACGCAGCGCGGACCATCCTGCGGGCAAGCGCGGCGCGTCACGCGTGTGGACCCGCGCGCCACAACGAGCAGGAGGGTGCGTGCGGCGTGCGCCTTGACTTACCCCATGACGCACTCCTCGTAGATCGCGCGCTGTGTGGAGTTGATGCCGTAGGCCCGATCGTACGCGAACTTCCGCGCGCTGTGTTGATTTCCTGCCTGCGAGAGCACACGCACGCCAGAGGAGCGTTGACGACGCAGACGTCCCGCGGCCGCTCCCGACCGCGACGGGCGCTCTGCGTCACGCCCGAGACGGACGTCGCCCCCGCGGGCGGGCGGCCCGAGGCGGCGCCCTCCAGCGCCGGCGCGCGCCCCCGGAACCCTCCCATCTCATGCTGGACAAAGAAGCGCCGAAACCGCCGGACTCGGGGCGAATGGGCCGCCTTGCGCGCACCTGGATGATGATGTCGCCTTTGCCGCTGCTCGCAGCCACCATGGGGCTCTGAGCGTGGATCTCATAGTCCAGGAGCGGCCGCGCACGCACCACCACCTTCACGTGCCCGTCGTCCTTCATGGAGAAGGCTGGCGGCGGGGAACCGTCCGCCGCGCGGCCCTGCAGACCGGCGTCCTTCGGGGGCGTCTCCGGGAAATGCACGGCCGTCCCGTTCCCGGGAGAGACGTCCTCCTGGTGCATGGAATCTCCCCGCGCGGACGACGCAGCCGGCTTGCCCCTCTCCGGGGTCGCGCCCCGCTGCTGCGCGACCATGGGAGGGGGCGTCGCCACGTGCGTGGTGTCGGTGGCGCTGCCCTCGCTGTCACGGTCCGCGGGGGGCTCGATCCTCAGGAGCTTGCCAGCTGTCACCGCGCCACTCATGCCATGCGCTCGCTCGCGGACCGCCTCCGACCCGCCCGCTGCGGGAGTCCTGCGCGCCGGCCCGCCACGGTCGCGCGGACCTGGCTGGGGCGCGCCCCCCTCGCTGGCAAGGGGCCCTAGAGCAACCGCCTCTCGGGCGCTGCGAGGCCGATCGCGGCCCTCCGGGTGTCTGCTGCGAGCTCCGGTCGGGCATGGGAGGGCCTGTAGTAGCACCTCCGCCCGCAAACGGCCCCGGCACCGGCCTGCGGGCCCGCCAAACGCCACGCGACCGAACTAAACGGTCAACACCCCGACACAGCCACAATCAGCGCGCCTCCCGCCGGCTGTGGACGGAGTTTTGAAGCTGCATCCGGGCCCGCCGGCCCAGTGCGCTCCGCGTGCATCGCGCGGGCCGCCCGACGCAGGAACACTTGGTCATACCTTCCCGCCGCTGCTGGCTGACTGGGCCGTCTTTCTGGGCTCCCCGGGCGCGGGCGCACGCCGACTCGCGCAAGACGCCCGCCCAGGCCCGCGTTGGCTCCCGGCCAGCGCGACACCGCCGCCCCGGACTGCAGCCCCCACGATGGCATCGAGGAGCGCTCGCGACGCGAGCCTCCTCCTGCGGGCGCCGGGGGGCACGCCGGGCAAGTATCCGAGCAGGCCGGGATCGGTCGGTAACTCGCTGAGGGGGTCTGGCTCGCTGCATGACCGCAGCGAGCGCAGCGGACGCTCAACGCCGCGGGCGGGGGGGCAAGTGAGCCCGCGCGTGATTCCCACGGCGGCTTTGCGCAGCCGCGGCCGCTCGGAGTCTCCCAATCTGATGCGCCCACACACGGCGGACGGAGCGTCCGCGTCTGGACACGCGTCCTCAAGGTGCGCCGCTCAGCACTGCATCCGCCGGGAGCCGTATCGGTCCGCCTGCGCGTCCCGTCGCGGTCTTTGCCCCAATCAAATGCCGGACAGCACGCCGCCCTGCACGTGTGGCGCCAGCGTGCCGGTCTGGTGTCCAGCCGGCGGCGCAGCCTGTCGTTTTCGCACGAGGTATCTGCACGGCCAGCGCAGCTCGCTCTGGGCCACGCGCGCGCCGACGGATCGCGAGGAGCTCCCGCCGATACGGCAGGTGTGCGTTGCGTGCCTGCAGGCCGTCGTCGGTGCATCGAACGGCGGAGCGCTTGGTGGGGGGGCGGCTTACAGCGATGCAAGACCAGGTCGATGTCCTGAGCCGGAGGGTCCGCGAGCTCGAAGATTCCAAGGCGCGCATGGCGAAGGATCGCAAGTATATGCAGGACAAGCTCGCGCAGACCGAGAAGCGCGCAACGCAGGCCCACTATTCCGCTCAAGGTGACCCCTTCGCACTGCGAGTTCCGCCGGCCCTGTGCGCCGGGCGCCCCCGCGAGCCCCGTTCATCGACTGCCCATGGAAGCAGCGAGGGCGTCCGGCTGCGTGCGAGGCCAACGCGGCCCCCAGATCGGCTCAACCCCCCCCCCCTGCGCACGTCTGCAGTGTTAGCTGCGGAGAAGGAGGACCTGAAGGCCCGGCTCCACGAAGTCATCTCAGAGAACACCCGCCTGGAGACGCGCATCCTGCAGCAGGGGCGCTCGATCATGGGCCGCCCGTACGCCGACACGATCCCCGACACCCTCCTGCCGTCGCCAGACGCCCCCCCGCACGAGCTCCTCGGGTTCGCCGGGCCGCTCGACACGCTGAACAACGCCAGGGACGCCGAGCTGAACCTCGCGGAGGCGCGGCTGCGCGAGAAGCAGCTCCTGAGGGAAATGAAGCACCACGAGGTGCGTCGCAGAGGGTTGCCGGCCGCGACGACGGCGAGACGGACGCAGACGCCGTGCCCGACCTGATGCGCCGAGGACATCTTGTCCCGGCGTGCCTCTGCTCCGGAAAAGCCGTCGCACCGGGCCACCGATCCCCGCAAAGCTTTCGTTATCATCTGGAGTTCTTATGTTGTGCAATGTGCGTCCGCAACGAGCGTGGTTCGCAGGCGCGCATCGCGGAGCTGGAGGAGGCGGCGGCGGCGGCGGAGCAGCAGCGGCGGCAGGAGCTGCTCGACCGGCCGGAAAGCCCCATGGGCGGGTCGGCGTCGGGCGCGCAGGGGCGGCAGACGCCTCCGGAGACGGTCGACGAGGACTCGGAGCTGTCCCTGCCGCGGTCGGTGGCGCGGAAGATCGAGGAGCTCGAGTCGGACCTGCAGCACGCGGAGGCCAAGGCCAGGGAGGAGAAGGCGCGGCGCGCGATGGTGCAGAAGCAAGTCAAGGACGCTACGCGCGCGCAGGGCAAGGCGGAGGAGGCCCTCAAGGCCCTCGCGGTGCGCCGCCAGTCCAGCGCCGCCCCGGCGTGCCGCGCTGCTCGGCGTGCGTGCTTCCACGGCGTGACGCGCACAAGAAAAGAGACACCTGTGTTTGTTTGTTTGTTTGGCGTCCTCCGGCGTGCAGGACGAGAAGGAGAAGCTCTTGTCGCAGCTGCGGCTCAAGAACGAAGAGGCTCGGCGGTTCCAGGAGGCCGCGCGCGCGGCGCGGGCGCTGACGCCCAAGCAGATGCGCGACGCACATGCCAAGGCGCAGGAGTACGAAAAGCGCCTCGAGGAGATGCTGGAGAAGTCCGTCGCCAGCGCCGCCGCGTTCAACGCCGCGCAGCAGGAGGCGAGCGCCGCCCGGGCGGCCGCGTCCGCCCGCGACGCCGACATAGCGGGGCTGCGAACGGAGCTGGCGGCGGAGCGGGACCTCGCGGAACGGCTCCGGAAGCAGCTGGAGGAGCTCCGGGGGGCAGGCCGGGGTGCATCGTGGGCCGGTGGGTCGCAGGAGGGGGCCGGGGACGTGCAGGAGCGGTTGCGGGCTGCGGAGGCGGAGGTTGTCCAGCTGCGCGCGGAGCTGGAGGCTGCGAGGTCCCGGGAAGCGTCTGGGCGGTCTCCGGGGCGGGAGGGGGAGGAGACTACCGCGGAGGTCGCCGCGGCGGTGGAGGAGGAGACGGCGCAGCTCCGCGCGAAGGTGCAGGCGCTGCAAGCGCACGCGGGTGCTGCAGCGAGGATGCAGGGGCAGGTGCAGACGCTCCGCGAGGCGCAGCGCATCGCGGCGCAGTCGCTGATCTCGGCTGTCGGGAGCCTGGGGGGCAGCGTGGCCCGCGCCCGCGACGCGGGGACGTGGGAGGCCGCAGCTGCTTGCGCGGAGGAACACATGCAGCTGCTCGCCGCGGAGCGGGACGCGGCGGACAGCCGCGTGCGCGAGGTCGAGGAGCGCGCAGCGGCAGCGGAGCGGCGGTGCGAGCGGCTGCAACTCGAGGTGGACGAGCTGCGCGCTGTCAACAAGAAGCACATGTTGCATGAGGAGTTCCTGAAGAAGATCGAGAGCGTTGCCGATGGCGATCGGAGCGCAGACGGCCCGGATCGCAGCGAGCGGGCCGGGGCGCTTGCAGCGGACGCCGCGGACCCGTTTGCGGCGCAGGAGGAGGGTGGGGGGCGCAGCGCGGGGCTCGTGTCGGACGTGCTGGCGCTCGGGGACGACGAGCTGGCGCAGCACGACGAGGAGTCGTTCCAGAACATGCGGGAGAGCATCCGCGGAGGCAAGGCAGCCGCGGCACTGCGGGAGGCCGGCGCTGGTGGTGCTCAGGGGACCGTGGTGTCACCGCTCGCGGACCGGCAAGCGAGCGAGGCGGTAACGGTCGGATCGATCTCTTTGTGGGGCTCGGGGGGCGATGGCGCGAACGGCGCGTTCGCGCAGACGCCCGGTGGAGGCAACGGCGTGACGCGTGGGATGCCTGCGGTGTCGCCGAGCCTGGCGCTGGCCAACGGAGATCAGGAGGGGGCAGTGTGGGGCAACGATGCGGGCACTCCGGAGTTGGCGGGCGCGGGGGGGGAGCGGAAGGCGCCGAAGACGTCGGGTTTGCAATCAGGGGGAGTGGGCCCGAAGGAGGACGAGGGGGACTACGAGGAGCACTATTACGACGACTTCGAGCCGGAGTGAGGGACGCGCGTGATGTGACCGACGGTATCGTTGCTGCGCGCCAGTACCGCTGTCGAGCCACGCTGCGTCTGGTCGCATCTTTCGGGCAGCGCCGTGCATGACGACAAGCGGCTGGCCAGGTGCACGTCAGCAGCAGCATAGAGCAGCCCAGGACGCTCGACGCCCGCCGCTGGCTGGTCAACATTGCTGTCGCCGGGCCTCCTGCACTCCCAAACTGCGCCCTGCGAGACCTCATGCAGGCATCCTGAGCCTGTGTCACAGATTTGCTCGACACTGCCTCGTGCACGATGGATCGCGCTCATTCTGAGCACGGCCCGGCAAGTCCTGCGGCCCCTCAGTGCCCTCCCTGGAGGTACACCAGGTTGGCGTACGTTCCCCCGGACCCCATCAGCTCCTGGTGCGAGCCCTCCTCGACCACCTTCCCGGTCTTCATCACCACGATCTTGTCCGCGTCGCGCACCGTCGACAGCCGGTGCGCGATCGCGATCGTCGTCCGCCCGACCATGAGTTTGTCCAGCGCGTCTTGCACGATCTTCTCCGACTCCGAGTCCAGCGCCGACGTCGCCTCGTCCAGCAGCAGGATCCGCGGGTTCCGCAGCACCGCGCGCGCGATCGCCACGCGCTGCTTCTGTCCGCCCGACAGCTGCACGCCGCGCTCCCCGACCCACGTCGCGTACCCGTTGGGCAGCGACGAGATGTACTTGTGCGCGTTGGCCGCCTTGGCCGCCTCCATCACCTCCTCGTCCGTCGCGCCGGGCTTGCCGTAGCGGATGTTCTCCGCGATCGTCGTCGCAAACAGCGCCGGCTCCTGGCTCACCAGCCCCATCTGCTGCCGCAGCCACGACACGCGCAGCGTCCGCAGGTCGCGCCCGTCCAGCGTCACGCTGCCGCTCTCGGGGTCGTAGAAGCGCTCCGCCAGCGCGATGATCGTCGACTTACCGGACCCGCTCTCGCCGACCAGCGCCACCGTCTTCCCGGCAGGCACGCTGACACTGATGCCCTTCAGGACGGTGATCGTTGGACGCGCCGGGTAGCGGAACACGACATTCTTGATCTCCATCTCGCCCACGACGCTGTCCGGGCAGTCACCGTCGGGCGACGACGGGTCCACCAGGGACTTTCTGTCCAGCGCAGTGAACACGTGCTTCACGGCGCCCATCGCCTTGCCTGCGCGACAACACGCACGAAAACGCACAGACGCTCAGTGGCACGAGCGAACAGGCATATGCGCGGCTCCGTGGAGCGCGCTGTTCGCGAGAGCGGCGCGGCGCGGGCCGGGGAGCGCACCGAGGTCTGGGAATGCCATCTGGGCCTGACCGAGGCCGATCGCGGCGAAGATGACGGCGAACAGCGCCTTCAGGATATCCTCGAGGTCGACGCGGCCCTCCTCGATCAGATACACCGCGAAGTAGAACGCGATCGCGTACATGGCGTACTGCAACATACAATCGCACACGCAACACGTGAGTCGGCGCTCGCCCAGACGACGCGGCCGCGCAGCGCTCGACGGCAGCGCGGCGGGGAGGCGCACCATGATGGCCTGCGAGTACCCGAATCCGATCCCCTTGATGTACCCGTGCTTCTGCACGAGCTTCCCGGGCTCCACCAACATGCCCCTGTACAGGTCCATGATCTTCGGCGTCAGCCCGTAGGCCTGGACGGCGCGCACGGAGCCGATGGCGTCCGACACGACCGTGGCCGCGCCGGCGTAGGTGCTGTCGAGCGCGTCGCCGAAGCCCATGTAGAACTTGGACTCGATGAGGCCGCCGAGGACCAGGAGGGGCAGGAGGCCCGTGATGAGCAGCGTCATCTCCCACGAGTGGATGAACCCGATGATGTACGCCGTCGCGAGCATCGCTACGCTGCCCAGGAGCACGGCCATCTGGTCGGACGCCGCGCCGCGAATGTCGAACGCGTCCTGCTGGAGACGCGCGCACAGGGCGCCTGCGGGGGCGACGGACGGCGCGTGGATACCGAAGTGAGGGACACGTGCGTGGCGGTGGGGACCGGAACCGGGCTCGCATGCGAGGTGCAATGCAGGAGGCGCACAGGCGGAGGGCGGGGGGAGTTTGCGCGAAGCGGTCGCACCTGCCGAGTGCTTGGGATGGTCGAAGTAGGCGGTCTCCTGCATGAGGAGGCGCCGGAAGAGCATGTTGCGCACGCGGAAGGCGAGCTTCTGTCCGGAGATGTAGAGCGCAGCGTTCTGCGCGGTGTAGGAGACCAGCGCCGCCACGCCCAGCAGCGCCATGTACAGCGCCCACTGGCGGCCGCCGCGCCGCACTTCGTCGGGGTCCGGCCGGTAGAACACGTCGATGATCTCCGACATGACAAACGCGAAGAGCGGCTGGATGGGCCCCGCAATGAGGCTCGCAATCAGCCCCACGGAGATGTACTTCCACTCGGGAGCGTTCAGCTTCATCACGCGCGTGAACGCGCCCTTCATCTTGCCCGCCGGCTCGTCCGGGTCCGCCGCGTCCGCGGCCTTGGCCTTGGGATCCTCCAGCGAGTGCCGGTGGTCATCCTTGCGGTCCAAAATAGACTTCGCGACCTCCATGCGGCGCGCCTTGTCGCCCGTCTGGTCCGCCTTGCCGCCCTGCGCGACGAGCAGGTTCGTGTACGCGCCCCCGGCCCGGCTGAGCTCGTCGTGCGACCCCTCCTCGACGACCTCGCCCGACTTCATGACCACGATCTTATCCGCGTCGCGCACCGTCGACAGCCGGTGCGCGATCACGATCGTCGTCCGCCCGACCGCGAGGGAGTCGAGCGCGGCCTGCACGATCTTCTCCGACTCCGAGTCCAGCGCCGACGTCGCCTCGTCCAGCAGCAGGATCCGCGGGTTCCGCAGCACCGCGCGCGCGATCGCCACGCGCTGCTTCTGTCCGCCCGACAGCTGCACGCCGCGCTCCCCGACCCACGTCGCGTACCCGTTGGGCAGCGACGAGATGTACTTGTGCGCGTTGGCCGCCTTGGCCGCCTCCATCACCTCCTCGTCCGTCGCGCCGGGCTTGCCGTAGCGGATGTTCTCCGCGATCGTCGTCGCAAACAGCGCCGGCTCCTGGCTCACCAGCCCCATCTGCTGCCGCAGCCACGACACGCGCAGCGTCCGCAGGTCGCGCCCGTCCAGCGTCACGCTGCCGCTCTCGGGGTCGTAGAAGCGCTCCGCCAGCGCGATGATCGTCGACTTACCGGACCCGCTCTCGCCGACCAGCGCCACCGTCTTCCCGGCAGGCACGCTGACACTGATGCCCTTCAGGACGGTCACCGCCGGGCGCGCCGGGTAGCGGAACACGACGTCCTTGAGCTCAACGTTCCCCTGCACGCTGTCCGGCGTCTCCCCCTCCGGCGACCGCTCGTCGATGGCCGGCACGCGGTCCGCGCGCGCCTTCATGCGCGCCCCCGCCATCTTCGCCTGCTGGAAGTACGCCACGTTCGGCCCCGCCTGCCCGAGCGAGAACCCGGCGATGATGCCCGCGAAGATGACCGTGATCACCTCGCCCGACGAGATCTTGCCGTCGGCCACGCGGAAGGACCCGTAGAACAGCGCGATGGCAAAGGAGCCCATGAAGCAGAACTGCAGCGCGCCGAGCGTGATGCCCTTGACGATGCCCTCGACGCGGCCCATACGCAGGGGCAGCTCGAGGTGCTTCTGGTACTCGTCGGCGATGGCGTCCTCCGCGCCGAACGCCTGGACGGTGCGGATGTTGCCAAACGCCTCCTGCGCGCGCCCGCCGGCCTCGCCGTACGCCTGGCTGCTGCGCGTGTTGAGCCACTGCGTGATCTTCCCGAGCCCGCCCGCGACGCCCGCCATGATGGGCAGGGTGCCCACCAGCACCAGTGCGAGGTCCCAGCTCTTCCAGAAAGCAATGCCGAGGCCGACCAGGCACGCCGTGATGTGGTGCACGAAGTTCCCGACCTGCGCGATCGACGGAGACGTGGGGCGCGCGCGGTGAGACGACGCGGGGGTCGCGAGCGCGGGCTGTGCATGTGGTGCGGCGCGGCTGGGCGTGCGGGCGTGCGGGCGTGCGGGCGTGCCTTCTCGCCGGTGCCGCGCTGGACGGCCGAGGTGTCCTCGGAGAGCGAGTTGATGATCCCGCCGGTGTCGCCGTCCCCGTCGAACCACGAGATGTCCTGACTCAGGGTGGCCGAGAGCACACGCATGCGCCAACGGTCCGCGATGCGCGCCGAGGGGATCGCCCACATCCCGACCTCGCAGAAGCACGCCACCAGCACGATCCCTGCAGCAAAGCCACCCACGGCACCTCCTCGATCATCATCAGCAACAGCAGTACACACGCCGCGTCGCGCGGGGACAGCGCCGCCATCTCCTCGGACCGTCGTCCCGCGCTTCCCCGGTCTAGTCTGGGCTCGGCGGTGCGTTCGGCGCGGGTCGCACCTGCCAGGGCGGCGAAGTAGATGCACATGAGTTCCACGTGCGAGGAAAAGTCCGCGTCCTCCTCCCCGAGGGAGTCGAGGACCTCCGCAAACACGATCGTGAACACCGGGAGGCCCGACCCGCCGACCGCCGCGCCGACGGTCCCCAGGGCCATCATGCCGATCTCCGCCTTGCTGCGCACGGCCACACAGCGAGAAACACGGGTGAGCGCCGGATACGGAGGTTTCCCGCGGATATCGAGGAGAATCCGTCGCGATTCGTCGATTATGGTGCAGGGATTGTGCGAAGGCGCGCGTGGACGCGTCGCGGCGCGAAGCAGCCGCGCGGTGCGGCGTCGGGTGAGGCGGGAGGCTCATGGCCTGATGTCGCGAGCGGCGGCATCGCGGGCGCGTGGCGGCGTTTCGCGGCGCTCGGGCGCGGCCGCTGCTCGTGTACGTACGTGGCTCCCTCGAAAAGCTCCCAGTAACTGATGCTTGGGACGTCCTTCTCCGGACCAGTGCTTCGGGTCGACTTGTCCCGCATGAGGCTCTTCAGCGCCGCGCCGAGGGACGCGTCCTGGTCCTTTCCGCGCGTTGATCCAGCAGCATCTCGGTGCGCCGAATCCGCCGCCGCGGGCGTCACGGCCTGCTCCGCTGCCGCCATGATGTAAGGTTCAGGAAACACTCGCCTATCGCCGGGACTCCGTTCACGCGAACCCCGGTCGGTGCTCGAGGACATTCACTGGGCCCAAGGACGCGTGCAGGACTCGGCCAGCGCGGGGAAAGACTGCTCAAAAGGCCGTGCCGCCCAGCGACGACGTGAGAGAGAGAGAGGGTCGCACTACGCCCTGTCAACGCAGGTGCGATCACGTGTAGTGATCCACTCAGGTCGTGAGTTGCGCTACGAACGGCGCGAGCGTGCCAAAGGAGGCCGCGCGTGGCTCTCACAGCCCCTGCCGCCGTCACCTCCTCTGGGCCCTCGCTGTGCCCGACTGTCAGGGCTCGCGGCGCAGGTGCTCGCCGAAAACGGCGCGACCGCGCGTAAGTCCTGCACATTAGCTCAAGGACATGCGATTCCGTCGTTCTGCGTAGCGCGCGCAAATTGCTGTTGATTGGTAAGGTCGAGCAGCCCCACATCTCATCGCGTCCACCACACCGCCTGCGCGGGATTGTGGTGCGCCCCGGCGCCGGGCGCCGCATGTCGGGATCACCGCAGACACTTTCGCCCCCTCGCGACCCCGCGCGGCGCCCACGTCGCCACCACAACGCCCGCCCTTTGTCACTCGCCACTCGTGACACGTGCGCCGTGCCCCGCACATCGCCTCAAACGCCTCCCGCCGTCCCGCATTGCCTGGTCCACGTCGTCGCGCACGTCCGAGGTCCGCGGGAGCTAGCACGCCGCAGCAGTGCGTGTTTGTGTGCGCATGTGACTGTGTGTGTGTTTGTGGGCTCGAGTGCGCCGCTGAAGCGCGTCGAGCACCACGCGCTCACGCGCGGCGGCCGGCGCCGTTCCGCGGGCTCGCTGCGTCGCGCGGGCCGCCAGCCGGCGAGGCCGCGCTTGCAACTCGCACGCAGGCGCGCTGGTGTCCGACTGGTCAGGCCGGGGCGAGGGGCCGCTCGAACGGCCGCGTTCGCGCGGCCCGAGGCCACAAACGCACGAGGGCAGACCGCGGTGTCCTTGCAACGGGCTCTTCTTCGCACCTGAGCGGGTTCGCGGACCTCTGTTGCTCCTCCTGACTGTCGTAGGCCCCGCAGCAGCAGCCCCGCGATCGGTTCCGGCCGTCCGGGCGCCCAGGGCTCACTGACGGCACCAGCGCGCGGCTCAGAGCGTCGCGGGGGGCCTTGGAGGAGCCACGCGCGGGGGATCTGGCTCGGGCTGAGGAGGAGGCGGGCTGCGTTGAGGTAGCTAGAGCGAGAAGCGAAGGTTCGCGCGGCCCGTTCCCCGGCCTGTCTCTACCGCAGCGGCCAGTATGCGCCCTCAACAGCAAGCACCTCTCGCGATTCCCGCGCGCAGGCGTCACGAAGTGGAAGTGGAAGCGCGATGTCCATTCTGACGTACAACGGTAGCGCGATCATTGCCATGGCGGGCAAGGACTGCGTTGCGATCGGGAGCGACCTGCGGTTCGGCGTGCAGTTCCAGACGCTCGCCACAGACTGCCAGAAGGTGTACAGGATGAACGACAAGCTCTTCCTGGGCCTCGCGGGGCTTGGAACGGACGCGCAGACGCTGTCGGAGCTCCTCAAGTTCCGCCACAACATGTACAAGCTGCGGGAAGAGCGCGACATGTCGCCACAAGCGTTCGCGCACATGGTCTCCTCCGTGCTGTACGGAAGGTGCGTCCCTGCCGCCAAACGCCGCCCGCGAGGCCGCGCCTGCGCCGCCGCAACCACACCCGAGCGTCTGACGGACGCGGCGGCGTGACCAGCGTGTCGGTTCCGGCGGGGCGCTGCCCGTTTGGCCCTCCGCCTCTCTGCCCCCCTCCAGATCCGCCCCGAAACGGCCACGACCTCGCGGCCCGGCGACGCGAACGGGCGCACTCTCCGCCAGACATGTCCCCTGTGCGCGCAAAGCGGCGGGACGTCCACGCTGCGGCCTCTCGCGCGAGCTTCCTCCCCGCTCCGCGCTCCCGTGCAGGCGCTTCGGCCCGTACTTCTGCGAGCCGGTGATCGCGGGGCTGGACAAGGACGACAAGCCGTTCATCACGGGCATGGACTCGCTCGGCGCGATGGAGACCTCGCCGGACTTCATGTGCGCTGGCACTGCGCCCGACTCCATGTGGGGGATGTGCGAGTCGATGTTCAAGAAGGACATGGAGCCCGAGGACCTCTTCGAAACCATCTCGCAGTGCCTCCTCACGGGCGTCGACCGGGACGCCATGTCGGGCTGGGGCGCCGTCGTGTACGTCATCACAAAGGACAAGGTCGTCGCGCGCACACTCCGGGGCCGCATGGACTAGGACCGCCGCGGGGGGCGCTCGCCCGGCGTGGTGCCCGTGTGAGCTCGATGCGTGCTGCGCGGCCGGAGGCGCGAGGTGGCGGCGGCGCGCTGATGTTGACTGGCGAGGGGGCGCGTGGCTGCTGGGGATGGCGCGCGGGTGCGTGCGTGGGCGGGGGAACGATGGAGGCAGATGGGTACGTTGCGGCGCGAGTGGGGCGTTGGCCTCGCGGCCATGCTGGGCAACAGTATTTCGCTGACCTACCAGCACCCTCGCCGCAGTAGTTCTTCGCTGACCTACAAGCACCCTCACCGCGAGGACGCTTGAGCGACCGAAATGGTACGGCAGGCGAGACTCACACAGCAGACAGGGTAGACAATGTGAGCAGTCATGCAGTCGTACACACACCTGCACGACGGTGAGACAATGCGGGGATCGTTCAGGAAGCGCACAGCGTGCTGCGTGAGTCTCTGAACGACCCCAGGTGACGACGGGCCTTTGTGCCTCGGTCCAGCAGCACGTCCAGAGTCCAACCGACATGAGTCAGTGTGCCAGTCCCCCCGGGGGTGTGTGCCGCAGTGCTGGCAGGCGGGCGCGTCGCGTGGCGGCGTAGATCGCAGGCGGTTGTCTTACATCGGCGGTTCTATGTCCGCGGCACGTGCCGCGTGCGACCGCGTGGTGGCGAACGTTCATGTTCGCCTCGTGTGGACCTGAGGGCGCGCAGCCCCGCTCTAGGGCCCAGGAGCGGCGCGACCCGCGGCGACCGCACCGCGCCAGGCCGCATGCTATGCTCGAGACCCCGTCGAGCAGACACCCACCCCCGGGCGTCCAATCGTGGTTTCCTTTCCTTGTTTTATTATTATTGTTTTTGTTTCTTATTATTGTTTTGCTATTGAACATTTTTCGTCATTGTTCTCGTCGTATACTTTTTATACCTTGTGCGCGCCCCGCCTCGCACGCGGCGGCAGCGTCCCAGGTTGCAACTCCCCGCCGCGTCACGTGAAGAACGGCGCCCCGCACTTGCACGTCTTCCTGTTGCCCATACACACCCCCTCGTACGTCGGGTGCTGCTTGGCGAACGACGGGTGCGGCTCGCGCTGCAGGAGCACCGCCTGCGCGGCCTCCCACTCGTCCGGGTTGCTCTCGAAGTACTTGTAACAGTTGTAGAGACGGATCGACTTGACGGCGTCGCCCACGGCGTCGTGCGCCTGGTTGCCCGGCCACCCGAGGAGGTGCTGCGCGGCGTGGTCTTGGCTGAACAGCGTGTACGACCCGTACTGGGGATTCCAGACCCTGCGCGGCGGCGGAGCGTACGCGATGCGAGGCGGGCGCTGGAGCGCGCGCCGTGCGGGCGCGGCGACGGCGCGGCTGCGGACGCACCTGTACAGCCCCTGGAGGTCCATCATGGACTTGAAGTCCTGCCCCTCCTTCAGCCCCAGCCACTTGACGTCCTGCATGATGCCCCAGCCCACTAGCACTGCGTCCTTCGGCAGCTCCTGGCGCAGCTGCGCCAGCGCTTCCTCCAGGGATATCTGCGCGGGGGACCACGGAGGACACCGGTCGCGCGGGCGGGACGCGCGGGGGCGTCGGCGGGCAGCACTGCGCGGAGGGCTGCGCACCCCGTATGTCTCGATGACTTTCCGGGTCAGACCGGTGAGTTCGGTGAGGTAGGACGTGACGGGGCGGTCCTGCTTGACGTAGAGGTTGAGCCTGACGTACTCGTTCTGGTCGACGAGCGATATCTGGCCGATGGCGCGGTCGTTGTGTGTGATGCCGGTGGCCACGCACTCCACGTCAACGCTGAAGACCTGCGTGGCGGGCACGCCGTAGTAAACTGGCCCTGCGGAGTCGGGGCAACGGGGGGCGAGGTCGCGCGGTCGCTCGGGGGCCCGAAAGGCGCGCACGCGCGCCAAAGCCGGGCCATGTGCAGGGCGAACGGCAGCGGCCGCAGCGGTGCGGGCGGGCGTCGAACCGCCGCGGACGGTGCGCGTCGCGGAAGGAATCGCGACAGGGTACCGGAACCGCGCGCGAGAACGGATCGCGCGGCGCGTGCGGCGGGGCTACGGGCCCGGTGGTGTGCGGCGTTGGTTGGCTGCCGCCCCGGTCGCGGCGACGGAGAACGGCGGCGGTGCGGACAGGTTCCGCTCCGCTCGCACGGAGCTCGCACACCGCGCTGGGCTGGCGCGCAGATTCCGCGCGGGATCCTCGCCAGGTGCCGGCGCGTCTGCTGGCTGCTGAGGGCCCACAGCGCGCCGTTCGTGCCCCCCAGCGCGAGTTCAGGAGGCCGCCCTCACCTCCGTCTGCGTACTGCGTCGTGGCGTTGGCGTCAGCCGTGCCAGCGTCCGCATTCACCGCCTGCATCTGCTGGGACGACATAGCGTGCCTCCACCCAACTCTGGCACCCGCTGCGAGGCCAAACGTCGCCCCGCGTTCCGTCTCCAGCTACGAGCGACCGAGAAGGGGACGGCGCGGTCGTCGGCGACGAAAACTACGACCGCCGCAGCGCGTGTCGCTCGGGGGAAGCAAGCGCAACAGGACAGGCGTGCTGGAGCGACGACAAAGCGCCTCACTGCCGACTTGCGTGGCGAAGGAGCGCTGTATCGCAACGACGGTGTGTGCGCGCGCCCCGGCCTCGCAGGCCCCTCTATCGCGCCGCAGACCAGGCCCGGAGTACCCCCGAGCCTCTCTCGAGCTCCTTCTCCTCTCGTCAGGCCCCGCGACCGGGTCCCGGCGTCAACCCCGCCGAGCAGCGCGCGTCACGGCAGTACGAGTCGCGAGGAACCGTTCGCGTCGACGCACAGCGAAACCGGCCGTTGTTTCTCCGGACAGAGGTGCACTCACAAGCTCCTGCAGCGCAGTGGCGCCCTGAGCTCCTTCCGAGGCGCGCTGGGCCGCACGCGACGGCGCGAGGAAGCCCGAGTCGCATGCGAGCTCTGGGCGCACAGAGATCTGCGTAGTTCCGCGCAGAACCAGCGCTTCGCACGTCCCGCTACACATTGGTGTGAATTCGCCGGGGGCGGGGGTTCCGGCGACTGCGCGGACGCGAGCGGCTGGTCCGGCGGCTCTCGCGGTGCACTGGGTGCTGTAGAGTCGGAACATCTGGGAGAGGCGCGCCGAGGGGCCCGTGCGAGTCTCCAGGGCGGCGGGGCGGCACTCGACTCCAAACGGCAGGGCGCCAGAGGGCCCGCTGCTCGACCGCCGAGGCACGGACGCGGCGCTTGATCCCGGACGACGCCCCCTCGTATTATGGCAGAGCTGTACGGCTTCCTAGGGAGACGCGAGATCGGTACTTTCCGCGCAGGTGCGCCCCCACCCGCCTGGAGCCACTTTGCCCGCGTCCACCGCCGTCGCCCGCGCCGTCCACGCGCGCGGGTGCCCCGTCACAGCGACATCCGGATGCGAGGCATCGCCCGGTGGTGCGAGTACGCTCTCTCGGGCACGCAAGAGGCCCCACTCGCACGCATCGGTTGCGCCGAGTCCTGCAGGCCCGCTGCGGCGGTCGGCGCAGGCCGCGTGCCCGATGCAGCCGTTCGCGCTGGACTTCCACAGCGACCGCTTCGAGGAGGTCATCGGCAAGGCGCGCCCCCCCCACCACCCCTCCCGCTGCGCCGCCGCCCTCCACACAACCGTCCTTCCGAGCGCGGTTCCGCGCCCCGTCGCTCGCGCTTTGCAGGTCAAGTCGCAGGAATGGGACCCGCGGGGCTGCGGGTGGGTCGAGGTCAACACGGGAGGGCGCCCCACGCTGCCGTTCGCCGTTCGATATAACTCGTGCTATCAGGGCGGCAAGCTGCTCGCAGTGTCAGACGAAGAGGGCTGGGTGTCCATCCTGGACACCTCCCGGCAGCTCCCGCTGTGCACCTACCCCGAGGCCGGCAGCAAGCACCGCGCCACCGCGCTCTGGCAGGCCCACGACAACGCGGTGTTCGACCTGGCCTGGCTCAACGTGAGACCCCCGAAAACACCCCCGCTGCCCGACCGAGGCGCGCTCCGACCGCGCACGCGCAGCGTCCACCGCAGACCGCCGCCGTCCGGCTCTGGAATCTCCGTGCGGCGTCAGGATGTTCGCAGAAGGCGTGGCGTGCCACCGCTGCCGCCGTGCGCGCTCTCGCGCCCCCCCGCTCCGCCACTCACCGCGCACAGGGAGCGACCGCTGCGCAGGAGGACCGGTGGATGCTCACGGCGTCCGGCGACCAGTTCGTGCGGCTATGGGACACGGACCGCGCGGCGCCGCTCGCAGCCTTCAAGGGGCACATGGGCAGCGTCAAGGCGGTGTCCGTGCAGCACGCGTGCCCGCACGTGTTCGCGTCCGGCGCCCGCGACGGCCGCCTGTGCATCTTCGACGAGCGCTCCCCGCTCCGCGACGCCTCGACAACGCCGCGCGTCAGCATCGCGGGACCGGCCGTGCGCGGCGCAACGGAGGCGCTCCTGCCCGTGCGGTGGGTCGACGACGCGCACCGCCTCTCGCACGCCCGGAAACGCCGCCGCGGGATCGGGATCGCGCCGGAATCCAAGCAGTCGGTGACGGCGTGCGCCTTCCTGCATGACGACCGCACGCTCCTCACGGGCGGCGCGGACGGCACCGTGCGGTCGTGGGACACGCGGATGCTGTGCGCGCCGACCGCGACGGCGGACGTCGGCGCGATGGACTGCTGCTCTCCGCACCCGCTGGGCGCCGCGAGCCCTAACATGGGAGCGCAGACCCCGGCGCCGCGGAAGCGCGGGGGCCGGCGGGCGCCCGGGTCCGCGGGGGCGCCCGCGGCGCACCTCCTGCTCCAGGACGGGGTCGTGCAGTGCAGGGCGAGCGCTGGGCGCGTGCACGGCGTGACTGCAGTGGCGCTCGACCCGTGCAGCTCCCGCATCGCCGCGTCCGTGTCGGACGGCCGCATCCTGGTGCTGGAGGGCGGGAACCTCGCGGGCGGGACGCAGTGCACGCTGACGGGCCACACGCCGAGCAGCTACTACGTGAAGTGCGCGTGGTCGCCCGACGGGCGGCACCTCTTGTCGGGGTCGGGGGACTCGCTGCTGCACGTGTTCGACACGCGGCAGCCGTGGGCGCCGCCCGTCGCGCTCGCGGGGCACCACTCCGCGGTCGAGTGCGTCGACTGGTGCAAGCACGACGTCGGCCAGGTGGCGTCAAGCAGCGAAGACGGCGTGGTGCGCGTGTGGTCGATACGCCGCGTGGGCGAGGCGCACCGCGCGGGCCGCGTGAAGGCCCCTGCGGCGAAGGCGCCGGCGCACGCCGCGCGGGGGTCGGACCCGGCGGCGGCGGTGGTTGCGGCGGTGGAGGGCGCGCGGGCGGCGGCGGGGCGGACGGAGGTGGCGTGGCCGGGCAGCGCGTCGCCGGGGGGCGGGAGCAGCATGGAGGTGTGCAGTCCGCCGCAGCCGGGCGCGGCGCTGACGGCCGCGGTCGCGATGGCGTCGGCGGCGGACGGCGGCAGCGACCCGTTCGAGCCGCGCGCGAAAGCGGGGCCGCAGAAGTGGGCCGCGGAGACGCCGCGGTCCGTGCTGTACGGCGCGAACGAGGCGATCCGCGCGGCGGTGCGGTCGCCGCTCGCGGGGCAGCGGCTGCCGTTCCCGGCGCCGGCGGAGGGGTTTGGGACCTGCTGCGGGAACACCCCCGGGGGGGTGTTTGGGTCCAAGGTGCACGCGATGCGGCAGCCCAGTCTGGTGGACTGCCTCGCGATGCGTGGCTCGGGCAGCGGGGTGGTGCGGAGGGGCGTCGCGGGGGACGTCGGGGGGGGTGTCGACAGCGCTATGTGCACAAGCAGTCCAACACAGTGCGCGGGCGCGGCGGAGAAGTCGCCAGGAGGGGACGCGATGCAGAGCCCGCCTTGGGGCCGCAAGAAGCAGCAGCGCACGATCGGCGATTTCTTCAGCTAGCCACGTCGCGCGTCGCAACACCGCAGCGTGCGCCATGTGACGCCACGTGACGCCGCCCGCGCCCTCAGGACGCCGCGTGCTCCGTCGCGGTCACACGCCGCACAGCGAGAGCGCCTCGTCGACGACCGCGAGCGGCTCCTCCTCCCCCGCGGTGGAAAACACCTCCCGTGCCGCTGTCAGTTCCAGCTTGGCCTCCTCCTCCTGCCCCGCGTGGAGCATGCAGAGGCCGAGGACGAAGCGGAGGTCGCCGGCGCGCGGGTGGTCGGGGCCGAGCAGCGAGGAGTGGATCTCCATGACGTCCCGGATCATCGCGGTCAGTTCTACCAGCTGGTGGTCGTTCAGGGGGGGGGGTGTCTGGTCCTGGCCGCGGTCGAGCACCAGCGCGCGCATGGTGTCCACGAGGATCGTCCCCGCCTGGTCGTGGTTCGCCAGCGACTTCTCGCGCTCGCCCAGCGCCTGCAGCAGCAGCAACGACGCAGTACGGCACACGTGTCTGTGACGCCACGAGGCGCCGACGTGGCCACGCGACAGCGCCACGCGGCAGCGCACTCCGACGAGCAGCGGCGACGCGGCGGACAGCGGCGGCCCACGGCCACGGTCCCCTTCGCGCCTGCGTGCAACGCACAGAGATGCCATGCGCGACGGAGGGCGGCGCACCAGGAGCGCCTTGCCGATGTTGTAGAATCCGAGCGAGGTCCGGATGTCGCTCGGGCCGTACGCGAGCGAGCAGTTGTACACGTCCTCCGCGAAGCTCTGCAGAGCCTCGCGCTGGCGGCCCTGCATCGAGTACAGCTGGCCCCACAGGCGCGCCTTCTGCGCCGCCATGACGGGCGTGATGTCTTCCTGCGGCTGGCTGTTGGCGAGGTGCGACGCGAGGCTCAGGAGGTCCTCGCACGCCCGTTCTCGCCGCATGCCCAGGTTGGCCTGCGCTGCCAGCAGGTACAGCGGGAACATCTCGAGGCCCCCTTGCCGGAACAGAACCTGCCCCTGCGCCACCGCGTCAAGCGCGACCGGGAGCGCCGACTCGTAGTCCCCCGCGGCCATCAGCCGCGCCGCCTCCTGCGAGCCCAGCTTGAGCAGCGCCACCTTAAAGGGCTCGACGAGGTCCGCGCGGCGCTTGTCGGCCAGGAGCTCCGTCACGGCCTCGGCGGGGAGCATCATGATGCCGCTGGCGGTGCCGCCCGTGCTCTCCGTGGGCAGCCCGAGCTCCGCGACCGTCGCCAGAACGGCCCGGCTGGTCTCGTGTACCTTCGGGTAGCGCCCCGCGCGCAGCTCTTGCAGAAACGACGTCGGGGACTGGTCGAAGAGCTGCTCCGCGATCTCCCCCATCACGAACATCTGCGGGCGCGGCGCGCGGGCGCGGAACGTGAGCGGGCGGGCGGCGTCCTGGTTGGGCATGTGGCGGTGATCCCGAGGGCGAGCGTGCTCGAACGGCGGCGTGGGGCGCGCTGCGCGCGGGCCGGGGGCTTCCAGGGGGGCGTCGTGCCTTTCCCCGGACGGTGTGCAGCTGGTGCAGCATCCGGTCGCCCAGCATGAAGCCCACATAAGCTACGGTCTTAGGTTGCTCCCGCTCCATCCTGGCGACGCCTAAATCCCTCCGCTCCCCTCCCGGCTATCCTTCCCCCTCAGCCTCGCGGGGCAGCGCCCAAGACCGCGGTGCCTCGCGCCCTCACGTCTCCCCACGACCCGTTTCAAGCTGCTCGCCCCTGTGTTGCCGTGTGCCGCTGCGAGGCCGTTTCTGGTAGCTCAGCGACGCGCGCAAACGTGTCCGGGACGCAGCCCGCGGCCGGCCCATGCGCTGCGTCGTGTTCCAGGCGGTCTGACCGCGCGCTGCTGAGGGTCCACGCACCCGACGCAGCGCGTCCGTCCACCAGGGCGTCTTGCGGCGGTCGCACTCGGCCCCGCACGCACTCCACGACCAGCTGCGAGGTGCAAGCGGACGCCGCATCGAAGCGCGGGCTCCTTCGTTGGCCAGCGGTCGCGTGACGAGTGCTGCGGGCAACAGACAGGGCGCGAGGGCGTTGAGGTAGCAGGGGCCTAGTCGAAGATGTCGGGGCGCCCGTCGACGAACCCTAGCGTCTACCCCTTCGGCAAGGGCTACAAGCTCGGCCACCAGGGCTACGACGTGTCGCCCAAGGCGTACTATGAGAGCATGCAGCACCCCTCCGGCTCGCCGTACATGCGCGCCTGGCAGGTGAGGCACCCGCCGCCCGAGCATGCTGTCGGCCGTGGGTGGGCTGCGCAGCAGGAGGTGTGCCGTCCAGGCCAGCGTGTGGACGGCGGCAGGCCTCAGCGCACGCTGAGAGCACACCGAAGCTAGTTGTGGCGTCGTGCGTGTTTTGCGCAGTGCGAGAGCTGCGTCGCCCGGTCGGAATGATTTGTTGCTGTCTGAGCGTGTTGCGTTCCTGACGTGTCTGCGAGCTCCGCGCGCGTGCAGTGGCTGAGGGCAAGCAACAAGCGGACTGTCGCTTTCGTGATGGCAGGGGCGCTGGCTTGCGAACTGGTGCGTGAACCCGACTCGAAAATACCGTCCCCTCCCACTCCACCCGTAGTACCGACGCGCAGATCCCCCTGCGAGGCTCCACACGGCTCGGGCAGCAGCTCGCCCACTGCCGCTCCCAGGCCTCCGCAGGCCCTCGACCGCGCGGCCCGCGCCTCTCACAGCGCGCCTTCGGGCCACGCATCCCAGCCGGCGCCTCAGCCGTCGCCCGGACGCGCCACCTGCGCGAGCGCCCGGCGGTTGCAACTGCTGCACCTTGTACTGCCTCCGCACGCCCGCTCGTCGGCTGCCCGTGCCGTTCCGTTCTCACACACTGTTGCTCACTCAGCAAGGACGCCGCGCCGCGCGCGCTAGGGCGCTGGGCCGCGCCGCCAACGCCGCACACGTGCCACTTCTTGTCTCTCTTCTGCAGACGATGGACAGCGTTTTTGGGAAGGTCTGGGACTCGAACAACAAGGGCAAGCAGTTCAAGGATCTGGTCGGCAAGGGCGTCATCGGGAACCACCCCATCCTGGAGGAGGACGAGTGATGCCGTGCACAACATGCACTCACACCGCTGCTGACGTCGCCCCGCGCCGCTGCGCCGCCGCGACGGAACGCCGCGCCACGGAACTGCGGTGGCGGCGCCGGGGGGCGCGCTCGGTGCGGCTGTGACAGACTGGAGACAAGAAGACAACAACATTCGTGTTTCCTTGATTCATGTTCCCTGCGTCGCCAAGTGGCTCTCGCCCTGCATCGAGGCCGGGCGGAGGCGAGCCCCGTGCGTGTTCGGCGCCGCCTGGCCCTGCAGCGGCGCCCGCCGGCGTCACGCGCAGGGGGGGTGTCGCACTGGGACTCCCCAGTCGTCGCACCATGCGACATTGGTGCCGCTGCCACGGCGCCCAGGGCACGCAGACGTCCGCAGAGCCCCGCACCACGCAGCATCCGTAGTTCGTCGTCGCAGCGGCCCTCGGAGACACGGAAAAACTATGCTCGCGCGCCCGGTGGTGGGCTCTCGGGCGGCGGTGAGCGCGGGGTGCGCCGCCCGCCGCCCCGCGGCGCGGCCCGCGGGCCTGAGCCGGCGCATCGTGGCCCGCGCGGAGGAGGAGGGCTCGCCAGGTGCGCCCGCAACGCACCGCCGCACTGGCCCTGTGCTGGGCAATCCTAGCAGGTGGCCGATACGCGCCGCACGCGCGCCGCGAGGACCTGTCGATTGTCGTTCCTTGATCATCTCGAGTACGATATGGCATTTCTTGGCGCTGTGACGGCGGAGGTTGTCGTGCTGCGCTCGATTGCGTCCTTGCAAGCAGCTGCGTGCACCGGCTTTACCTTTCCATGCACAAGGCCTTGGAAGCGACAGAAGCGGGGCGTGTGCGCTCGAGTGAGGTCTGCAGGGCCGAGCGCACCCGTCAAGGGCGAGGAGGAGAAGGAGAAGGCCAAGCCGGCGTCCGAGGAGCCGGTTTGGGTCCGGAGGGAGAAGGAGGCGGCCGCTGCCAAGGAGAGGTGAGTGCTTCCGTCGACAGTCACGCAGCGCACGCAGCTCGCACCGCCTCCACGCCCCCGATGAAACATCATCATCAACTACGCTACAACACACCGCACGCTCTGTCGTGTGCGTGCCCTGGGCGCCCGCGGGCGGCACAGACACAGCCTACGCGTCTCCGCTCGGCAGAATGCCTCACCCACAGCCTCCTGCGCGCGCCCCGACGCTCACAGGGGCGACCTGCCGTTCGGGCTGTACCTCATCGCGTCGTCCCTGGTCGCCATCGCGGCGATCGGCTCGATCTTCGAGTACCAGGCAAAGAACCCCATCTTTGGGGTTGTCCAGCCAGACTCCCCCCTCTGGGCGCCCATCCTCCTCTTCTTCGCCGTCACAGGTCCGCCGCACCCCCGTCTCGCCATCCTCGCGCCGTGAGTGCACAGATTCGTTCCGCGTGCTCTTCCTGCCCACGCCGCGTGTGCGTGTGCGGCGCGACGCTCCCCGCCTCCGGCGCGCGCCTTCCTCGCAGGGATCCCGTCGTCCGCGTTCCTCTTCTACAAGTGCATCAGCGTAGCCAACGCAGACGCCGAGCGCATGGACCAGATGGACGGCTACTGACCGCGTCGCACCCAACAGCCCGCTCCGCACCAGCGCGCCGGCTGAGACTCGACACGGCACGCCCGCGCACGCTGTGACTCGACACGGCACGCCCGCCCGCACGTCACGCGTCAACGTGGCCTCACACGCGACACCCCACCTCACCTCGCGTGCGCACCCCATCAGCACTCGGTGTCGTAGTCTGCGGACTTGCCCAGGCACCGCACGTACGCGCGCGGCTGCGGCGTGCCCTTCCCCTCCCCCATCACCACCCCCACCAGAGCCACGTTCAGCCGTTTCGCTTGCCGCGCCTCATCCCCGTCGTCCTGCCCGCCAGCCCCCCCCGACGGATCCTCCGGGCCCACCTCCACCTCCACGTCGTACCGGAACGGCCCAACCTCCTCCGCGGCGATCCTCGCCACCAGGAACACGGGCGGCAGCGCGTCGCCGTCGCGGGCCGCGTCGCCCGCGCCAGAGAACGCGCTGCGGCGGACGCGCCGCAGGTCGTTCGATACGCGGAGGGGGCGGTTGCTGCCGCCGCGCGTCAGCGTGTTCCCGGTCGCGGGCTCCATCGGGGCGGCCCGGCGCTCAACGGTGCACGAGACGTACTGTGCCGCGATGCCGAGGGGCTCCGCGGCCGCCGAGGGGAGCCGGGACGCCGGGAGGTCCACGATCTCGAGCGCCTCGATCTCGTACACGTGCCTGCGAGCGCGCACGGGCGTGCGCGGGGCCGTGTCGGCGACACACCTCCACGTGAACATCATGTGCGGTTTGCTGCCCCCGCCGGGCGCACGAGGCGGCTGCTGGGCAGGTTGCGGTGCGCGAGCGAGAGGGTGGCGCCGCGCGGCCGGGGTTGAGGCGCCAGGGGTCGGGCGCGGGGGCTTGGCGCGCTGTGCGCTTGCGGCGCGGCGGTGGGTGTGGCAGGCCGCACCTGCATTTGAGGAAGCCGCACTTGACCTCCACGGGCTGGTCGTCGTGCGCGGAGTCGCCGTCGCCCATGGAGACGCGGTCGCCGCCCGTGTCGCTGCTGTAGCGGCTGTGTGTCGGCGAGCTGGACCGAAAGGAGAGGCTCGCGGAGGGCTGCGTCTCCGCGGGAGCTCCCAGGACCGGCCCGCGAAACGACACCTGCATCAGGGGAGGGGGTTCCGCGGCCGATGCTGTGCGGGACCGCGCGGATCTGTGCGGCAAGAGCCGCGCAGCAACCACGGCAGTTGAGAGGAGGCGTGCGGGCAGCGCGGCCGGTTTCGCTGGGCCGCGCGCCGCGCAGCGATGCTGCCGATACAGGTGGGTCGAGGAACGTGGGGTCTGGATCGCGGGATCACCCGCTCGCGCGTGGGTAGCTCGGTAGGGCTGCAACTGCCTCGAGGGCGCGTGTCGACAACGGCGGCTCTTGGCGAGCGCGTGCGGCGCTGCGCGCGCGCGAGAAAGAAGCAGGCAGCTCAGGCTCGGGGACCAGGTCGCGTGTGCGGTGCGAACGCACCTGCTTCGTCGGCGCGGGGTCCCGGATGGTGCGTTCATTGAAGCTCACGTGCTTCGTGGGCTTTGCGCGCTTCTCGGAGCCGCCGCGCTCCGCAAACCCAGCCGAGGTCCTTGCGTGCCCCGACACCCGCTCGCTCGCCCCGTCCCCAACAGCGTCCTCGCCACCGGGCCTGTCGCTGTCCTCGGCCCGCCGCGTGTGGAGGATGCCCCTCGGCTGCGGCATTCTGCACCGCGAGGGCGCTGCCTCGCACGCCCAGCGCGCACGTCACACGAGTGCCCGTGCCGCGACGACCGAACGAGCCCGCTGCGGCGACTCAGGCCGCGGAACAAGACTGCCCGCCTTAGCAACACGCAGCGTTTCGCCCCCCGCTGAAGCTTCCTGCCTTCCTTTTTCACGCACAATGGTTCGCGCGCGCCGCAAGTGGCCGCCGGGGGTGCGCCGGCCCGCCCTCGCCGCCATGCGTGGGGTTGTATCGGGTGTTTCTGCGGGGGGTGTTGGGGGGGTGTTGCCATCAGGCATTCACGCGCCGCGCTGCTCGCTGGCCCGGACCGAGCGCGCAGTACCAAGCCACCGCGCACGGACGCCCCGCGCCCGCAGGGGGCGCAGGCACGGGCATCGCGAGGCCCGTAGACATGATATGCTGCTGGCTCGGCTCGTGCGCGCCGGCCGCCGAGCCGGCGCACCGCCGGAGCCTCGCACGGCGCTCCGAGGGTCGCTCCGTTTCGTGCTGCGTAGGTTGGCGATGCGCGTCCACGGTGTGAGTCAGTTGGCCTCCGTTGACATCGTCGAGGCGCGTTCGCCCTTGCGATACGCGTTGCATGGCGCCTCCTGCCCCGCCTGCACGACTGGCGGCCCGACGGCGTTGATTCGGGTGCACATCACGCGCAGGGACCGTCGTGCGATCCCGTGGATGCACCCGCGCACGCAGACGGCTCTGTGTGCGGCCGCCGTCGTCGTTGGCGAATCTCGAGCCGTCACGACGCAGGCATGAGCGGGGAGGACCTTACCGCTGTCGCCGCACCGCGCCCGTTCGAAGCGCCGACCTGCAGGACTGCCACCTGCGTCTGTCTGGCGGTATGCCCGTGCGTCCGTCCGAGGCGTTGCGCGGCCGACGTTCCCGGCAATGCGCGCGCCGAGCACGCGCCTCGGCACAGTCACGGGCTCTGTCGAGGCGTGCGGCTCAGCACGGCGTCTCTGGCGCGCTGCAGCACATGCACGTCCTGCTCTCGGCGCAAACGACCCCCTCCTCGGCCGTCCCTAGCGGTACGTGCGCACGAGAGCGCACATGTTGAAGTAGAGAAGACCTTCGCGTGCTCCCCGGGTCGTTGCTGGCGCGCTGGTCGCCGCTGTGGCAGTGCACTGGGCGCGAGAGCATCCGCCGTGCCTGCGCGGCGGGCCGTCAATCTTGCGGTCCCACGCGACCGGGGTCGTTCCGAGCGGGGCTGGCGGCGCGAGGCCGCGGTAGGAAGCGTACGGGGCCGCGGTTGCGGGGCAGCATGACGAGCAAGTGCTGGGCAGGGTGTTTGCCCGCCCTGGCCTTGCTGCTGGCCCTGCTCGCCGGCGTGGTCCGGCCGGCGGTCGCCATGATCGGCGAAGGGCGCGACGTCGTGGACTCGATGTCGATCGAGTTCCTCCTGGCGTACGGGTTCGAGCCGGGAGGCACGGGCTACGTAGAGGTTTCGGGTGCGCCACAGGCCAGGGGGGGAAGCGAGAGCCTCAAGCGCGTCCACAACCTGTACATGCTCCTCTGCAGCCGCGGCGGAGCGCTCAGCGTCATCTACGAGAGGTCCGTCCGCGCTGCAACCGCTGATATGCGGTTCCTGCCCGTGCTCATCCCAAACGACGCGAAAGCGGACGAAAACAGACACCACGTCGCGGGAAACCCGGCTGCAGAGCAGCAGGCCTTGTCACGCTCTGCTCTCCCGCGATCTCCCGCGCGGACGCCCAGCGACCGCGCCGCGAGGCGAGCGCGTGTTGCTGTGTTGATGGCACGGTGTTGACCCGCCCCCCCCGCCTCCCGCCGCGCTCGCAGCCGAGTGACCGTCGCGGAGATGTGCCGGTCGATGAAGATGACGGGAAATGACCGCCGTCTCGAGGGCTGCTCGTGGTTGGGGCCGCTCGACGGCAATCCTGGCCTGCGACGCCAGCGCATTGCGTTCCCGCGGTCGCCGCACAGCAGGGTGCTCTACCTCCTCGCGTGGAACTGCGGCCACGACGCAGTCGACCTCTCTTACAACTACTTCCTCCGCCAGGTGACCCCCGTCCCCCGCCGGCCCCTTGACAGCTCGCGCGACACAAAACACACGCACCGCACGCGCACAAACAGTGATCGATGCATCCGCGCAAGACTCGACGTGCGCGTGTGCTATCGTCCTGGCCGATGCGGCATCGTGCTGGGGGCACTCGCGCAACATGCCCTGTGTGTGTGGGCGCACGTTGCACGTGCCACCGTTGCACGCGCCCCGCCCGATGCATGCGCGCCCGCCGCCCCGCGAGCCACCCGGCTCCCTCCCTCTCCGCCGCCCGCGCGTCCCCCGCGCCCGCCGACCGCGCAGCCCCCTCCCCTGCGTCGCCGCAGCCCGATGGCACGTACCTCTCGACGACGCTCAAGCCCCTGCCTCTGGTGTCGATCGTCCTGGCGAGCGTGTGCTCTCTCGCGACGCTCGCGTCGTTCGCGCACGTCTTCGCGATGCGCTCCATCGCGACGCCCCTGCATTGGTCCCTCCTGGGCGTCACCTCGATCCTTGTCGGCGCCAACGCCGTGCGGTACCAGTACTGGGAGGACGCGGACCAGACCGGGCGGTACGACAGCGGGTTCGGGACCGGCGCGCTCACGCTCGAGGTGCTCGGCGGCACCGCCTTTCTGGTGTGGATGCTGGTGGCGTCGCGCGGGCTGTGGATCACGCGGCTGCGGATCCCGTACAGCGAGGTGAGCACGATCATGCTCGGCGGGCTCGCGGGCCTCGCCGGCTGGTACGGCTCGCGCGTGGGCGGCGGGGGCGACATCCTGACGTACGTGGGCTACGTGCTCCTCCTGCTGTCGATGGGCGTGTCGATCGCGGGCAACGCGCGCAACATCCGGTACTGCCGCGTGTGCGAGCGCGTCGTCGTCGCCGCGGACTCCGCGGCGTCCGGGCCGCCCACGGAGCGGCAGCTCCGCGCGCTGCCCGCGCGACGCAAGGCGGCGCTCTTCCGCCGGCTGCACGCGGTGACGGCGCTGTTCGTGGCGTCGCGCTTCGTGATCCAGATCGTCAAGCTGTTCGCGCCGGAGGTGACGTGGAGCTCGCACGCGATCGACGATGGCTCCCTCGCGGCCTGCGCCGTGCTGTGCATGGCCGCCATCGTTCTGCGGCGGCCCCCGATCTTCCCGAACGCCGCGATCAGCGCGACGCTGCTGTCCGGAATACCGCACTCGTGGACGTTCGGCGAGGTGCTCGACATGCCGCGGCAGGCGTTCGACGTCGAGGGGACGCGCGACGACCAGCATCTGCACGACACGGGGCTGGGCGCGCGGAGGGCGTTCGGGCCGTTCGGGGCGGGGGACGGCGGGGGCGCGGCGGCGGAGCACGTGGTGCAGATCGATCCGGAGGCGCGGATGGTGCGGAGCTACGTCGTGGTGGAGCAGCCAGGCAGCGGCGGGAAGGCGGGGGGGTGTGGGAGGGGTGCGGGCGGCGAGGAGATGCTGCTCGGGGCGGAGATGGACTGGGAGATGGAGCAGGAGGCGAAGCGGGAGCGTCAGAAGGCGCGCGATCGCGCGGGCGCGCGGGGCGCGGAGGGCGCCGAGGCAGGGGGGCAAACGGTGTCGGTGTCGGCGTCGGCGTCGGTGGGCGGGCGGCGCGCGCTGCGGGAGCGGATAAACAGCCTCTTGCCGCTGCTGTGGGGCACGGCGCGGGTGGACTCGGACGCGCCGCAGGGGGGGGGTGTTGTGGAGATGGGCGGGTTCGAGGCGCGTGCGCCGCCGCGGGCGGGCGCGACGAACGCCGGGTCGCAACGGTCGTCGCGTGGCGACACGAGGTCGTCGCTGGACGTGCGGCCGCCGATCGTGTAGGGTTCGTTGGGGAACAGACCAGAACGGTCGTGCTGTGTTGTGTTGTGTTGTGTTGTGCCCCTCTCTGTTGTTGGCACGCGCAGCGTTGTTGATATGTGAGACTGCCGGGACGGTGTCGGGCTGCGGGCCGCCGCCGGCTGACGCGGCCGCAGGCCAGCCAGCGATCGCAGGCACGCGCTAGCGAGGCAGCTGGGCATCGGAGCGCCGCGCCGTGGCAGCCCGTGCGGTGGCGTGCGCTCCGCCGGGCGGCGCCTGCTCCATGGTGTCTCGACAGCGTCGTGGTGGTGCCCCGCGCCCGTCCCCCGCACTCGCACGCGACAAGGGACACCTGTGTGGCGAGGAACGTCGGGATACTCTCACATGCGACGGCGGCAGCTGCAAGCTACACGTGGCTCCGCCCGCGTGCCGGCCGGGCCCTTCCCCGCGCGCCGCCGCGCTGAGACGCGTGCCGGCGCTCTGTCCGCATGCTCGCGCTGCGTTCCCGGGCCCAGGTGGCGCCAGCGACCGCGATGCCGCGGCGCAGGGCGGTCTCTCGCGGCAGCACGCCGCGGACCCTGCGCCTGCGCGGCGCGGGGCCGTCCAGAGCGAGCGCCGGGGCGGGCCACGTGTCATTTCCAGTGGCCGAAGCTGCCGGGCCTCCGCGGCCGCGCGAGGCCATGCAGCGACGCTCCGGGCGCGCCTCAGCGCTGTAGCGTGGCGCGCGCTGCGGGTCCGGCTTCGCCGCGTCTCGGTGCGGGTCGGTGCCAGCACTCATGAGGTGGTATAAAGGTCAAGCGCACGCGGCGGGTTCCGAGCACCTGCCGCATGCTAGGTCACCAAAACAGGCGGGCCGCATACGTGGAACGTCCTGGGCGCCGCAAGGACCCCGGTGGCGGCGCGAGGGCGCGGTACCGGCGGTCTGCAGTGTGGGCCGAACACCGACATGCGCGGCTGGCGTCGCACGCCGCGCAAGAGTGCACGGGGCCGTCGCCGTGGAGGCGGAACGGCTGTGCGGGGATTCTCCTCGCGTCACAAGCGGAGGACCCGTCGCGAGGGCGCGCGGATCGCGCAGTCGACGAGGTCAGACGGAGCGGGGGCCTGGCCTCAACGTGCGTTCCCGGGCCCCCGGGCGCAGGAGCGAGCGCGCGGCGGGCGGGGGCGGCAATTCTCGTGCTGACGAGTCCGTTGGGGCGCACAGGAACAGGCCACAATGAGGGTCAGCGTCCCACTGTACAGCTCCCATCGCCAAGTGGTGAATCCGTACTATCAGCTACAGCTTTCCGACGCGCACATTCAGGTGAGCGAATTCGCGAGAGCCTTCGTGCGCCCCCGGACGCTCGGGGCCCGCGGCTCGCATCCCCCGTTGTCCTCGTCGCAGTCGTTTCACGGGTCGGGCGCGGAGCAACCGCCGCCTCGACCCCCGCGCGGCCGCCCGCGCGAACACGAACGCACACGCGTTCCTCGCGCCCTGGCCGGGCGGCGACGCAAGTCACGGCCGCGTTGTTCGCGCCTGGAGGTTTGTCAGTCGTCGAGTGCTTTCCGGCTGGTTGGGCTTCCGCCCGCGGACTCGCGCGAATTCGCGGCGGCACCCAGCTCGCCCCCGCCTCCTCCCCGGATTCCGCGCAGGAGGACCTCGCGCAGATCGTCTCGAGCATTCCACGCGCCAAGACGCGACCCCTGCCGAGACGCGACCCCGCCGAGCACGACGAATCCGCGGCCCACCAGCGCGCCGACGGCCCCATCGATAACACCGCGCCGACGGCCCAGCCGCGCCGCACGCCCCAGGCCCACGCGGCGCACCTCGCGTCCCAGTCGGGCTCAGTCCAAGCCCAGCTCGCCTCCATCCAGCAGACGCTCCTCGACCGCCAGCAGGCCGCCGCGCAGCTCCAGGCCTCCGCCGGGTTCCCCCTCAACCCGCAGAGCGCCGTCGCGCTGCTCCAACACGCCCAGGCGACCGGACAGCCCCTGCCGCCTGGATTCGCCCAGGTGCTAGGCAGCGCCCTCGGCCTCCCCGGCTGGCCCTGCCGCACGACCGCCGGCGGCCAGCCGGCCCCCGCGGACGCCCTCGCCATGCAGCAGGTGCGAACCCTGCGCCGCGCGACCCCTCGCGGCCCCCGCGCGCGACGCACGGCGCCCCACTGCCCTCTCACCTCAGCCCGTGGCTCCAACAGTCATGCCCCCTTCAACCGCCAGCACCTCTGCACGCGCTCACGCCCGCGCGCCGCCGCCGCCCGCGTAGCTCGGCCTCAGCCGGGCGCCCCGCGCAGCGCCACCCGCCGCCCCGCGCCGCCCCCAGGCCCTCGCGGCGTCGGAGATGCAGCGCCTGGCGCCCAACGTGAGCATGCCGCAGCCGGGCGGCGCCGCGCAGCCGCAGCTGCTGCCGACGATGCAGGTGCCCGGGAACGCCTCCGCGCAGTGGCCCGGCCACGTCGTGCCGGGACGGTAGGCGCGCGGCCGCGCGGCGGCGCTGTGTGTGCGTGCACGGTCCCCGCCACGTCTTGGCGGGAGGCCCCGCGTGCGCCGCGCCGCCGCCGCGCCGCCGCCCGCCCGTGCTGGCCGTGGCTCGCTGTCCGAGGCCCGTCACGGACCAGCAACACCCCCCTATACCTACCCCCCTCGCCTGTACTTTGACCACCAGTGAAAGAGGTCGCTTTGTCGGACATCTGTCTCCACGAGAAGTGCCCGCACCTGGATATGCCAGAGCGCATCTAGCTGAGCATCCCAGAGCACCGCCCGCACCGCCGCGGGCCGCTCGCACGCCCCAGCAGTGCTGCACCTGCACCGCCCTCGCAACCACCGCGGTGGCGCCCGGCAGCCCCTGCCGCGCCGCTGCGACCGAGGGCGGGCGCGCGCCGCCCGTCCGGGGCCCCACCTCGCCCGTGGCGCGCCCCATCCGCGCGGAAACAAGTCACGTCGGCATCGCAGCGCGCCCCAGCACACATTCGTCCCTGGCGCGCCAGAGAGCTGTCCTAACGGCGCCCGCTACCCCTATCCACGCGTAGCCGCTGCTGTGACGACATGAACGATGGAACGCAACGCGTCGGACTCTTGCACGGGTGGTCATACTTCTACTTTGTTGACTCACGTCGCGGGCGCACGGCCGCTTCGAGGCCGCGCGAACGCAAGCACGCCAGCTAATACGGGCGACCGATCCCGCTTGCGTCCGGCGCCGCGAGGATCGACTATTCGGAGTTCGTGTCCTTGCAACCTCGCAAGCGCACCATCCCGCGCTGCGCGCGCCACCGCGCTGGCGGCTACGTCCACACGCGCACCTTGCCGTCCGCGCCGGCGGTCAGCATCCCCTCGCCCGTCGGGTGCACGCACAGCGCCGTGACCCCCCCCTCGTGCGCCTGCACCGCCATCATCTCCCGCGCCGTCACGAGGTCCCACACCAGCACGCGGCCGTCCTCCGACCCGCACACCACGTGCGCATCCGACGGACTCAGCGCGCAGTCCATCCTGCGCGAGCACGGCGCGAAGGAAGCCCTCCCGTCATCATGAGACGGCATTTCATTTCATCATCAGGCGCGTCCAATGCCGGGCCGCAGGGCGCCCCGCTCGCGCCCCAGGCGACCGGTCCAGCAACATGCGATATATCCTGCGCCATCTCGTGGCTCATGCGCACCTCGTAGCGTCGTTGCGATGCCCTTTGTAGTGCTGCAGCAGCGACCCCGTGGCGCGGTCCAGGAGCCGCAGCGTCGAGTCTGTGCCCGCCAGCAGCGTGCACTCGCCGTCCTGCGACACCGCCACGGACACGATCGGCGCCGCGGTCTCGTCCGTCACCACCCTGCCGCCCCGCACGTCGAAGCGGCGCAGCGTGCCGTCCACAGACCCCGCCACGATCTCCGGACGCGAAGCCGGGGCCGCAACCGAGGTCACCGAGTCCCGGAAGGCCTCCATGTGCTGCACGGGGCGGAACCCGTGTGCGCGGGCGTCCCAGATCTTGACAGCCTTGTCCTCCCCCCCTGACACGATCAAGTACCCCTCCGCAGCCAGCCTGCACGCGTTCGCCGCATGCCCGTGCCCCTCGAACCGCCTGCATGCGCCGTCCCAACGCAGGAGCAACGGTTAGTCGCGAGTACGCCACAGCAAATGGTCCACAACCCTGCGTTGCGCGCGGGATGGCTGGCGGATCGTGGCCCGCGCTGAGCGCGGGGAAGTGCGCAGCACGCGCCTGATCGTCCGCGCCGTCGCGACGTCCCAGTAGAAGATCTGGCGGTCGAGCCCGCAGCTCGCGAGGCGCGCGTTGTCGTGCGAGCAGTCGACGCTGCGCACCTCCTGCCCGTGCGCCTCGTAGGTCTTGATCCGGAGCCCCCTGCGACCCCGGAACGAAGCGAAAGCGTCAGCGCCTTGCGCGCCACGGGCCAAGCGAGGCTCACGGGGGCAGACTGGGGGCGGATGGTGGCAGCGGGTTGAGGGCCACGTGGCGCGGGAGGCGGCGCGCATCGCACGCGTACGGCACGGCGCTCACTTGGCGGGGTTCCAGAGCACGATGCTGCGGTCGCGGCCGCCGGTGATGCAGTAGGCGCCCTGCGCGTTGTATCGCACGGTGAGCACCGCGCCCTTGTGCCCTGCGAGCTCGCCGTGCAAGTCCCCGTTGAACGGTACCTCCTTCTCGACCGCTGTGTCCTCTAGAGCGTCCGGGGGAAGCTGCGGCCCGAACGCGACGCGCGGCGCCCCTCCGAGACCCATTTTTCAGCGCTTCAGCTGCCACCTACATCGCCCGCAACCCATCAACGCTGATGAACTTGAAGATATTGCGATTTACTACACAGTGTGATGCAGCTTGAAGTGCAGTGAGACGCCGTAGCCCTACAGAATCGGCCAAGGCACACCGAGCTGTTTGCCAGCTGTCTCGGCGATCAACGACTGTCCCTGTTCGATGAGAAAGCACGCCTGACACGCCGTTGGACTCATGTAGCATCTGCGCCGCCACCGCGCTTTCCCGGGGCCATGAGCGCCCTGTATCAGCATAGGCGGGGAGGTGTCCACTGATGGCGCCACCTCAGGCAGCAAGGCCGTCTGACCGCCCCCCCGAGTACGCCACGAGCTTCACAGTGCCGGCACTCTCCCGTCGACGCCATGCCATGCTTGGTTCGCCGCGTGCTCCCGCTTCCCACCTGCAACCACCTTTTGGCAGCACTCCTCCGGCAGAGACTTGCGGCAGACGAACCATACGGCGATCGCGCTCCCTGGCGGTGGGACTGTATCGACTGGTCCGCAGATCCGCGCTTCGGACGTCGGCACCGGGCTTCTGACAGTTATGGACGCAGGACTCCGCGCTTCGTTGGGGCATCAGCATGACTGACCGAGACGTCCTGACAGCGCATCTGACGCGTCTCAAGGACGAAGGCAACGCGAGGTTCACGTCGCGTGATTACGAGGGCGCGGAACAGCTGTACTCCCAGGCAATCGAGGCCGCTGCCAGCGCGCCAGGACACAGGGGCACGCACCCGCGCGCAGACCTGCCGCCACAGACCACGGCCGTCCTCGCCGTCGTCCACTCGAACCGCGCGCAGGCCCGGCTCAACGCGGGGCGCCTCATGCAGGCCCTCCTGGACTGCGAGAGCACCCTTGCACTGTTGCGACACATCGACCATCCCGCGGTCGCAGCAGCGGCGCAGCGGCCCCGGGCCAAGGCGCTGCATCGCAAAGCGCTCGTGCTGCGCAAGCTCGGTCTGTGCGCGTACGCCGAAGCGTGCGAGCGCGCGCGAGACGGGGTTGCGGCGCCGCGGCAGCAACAGACGCACGCTGCCGCACGCAGCGAGGGCTGCCACGCGCCGGGCGCCGGCGTGGCGGCGGAGGAGGCGCTGCACGTCGTTCGAGCCCCTCGGTTCGACCCCGGCGTCGTGCCCCGAGAGATCCGGCGGGGCTACGTGTTTGACAACCCGGAGGACACCCCCGACTGCCCCAACAACATCCTGCTGCTCCTCCACGGCGCGGGCGACTCCGCGCGGAACTTCGCCAGCCTCGCGTCCCGGATCCGGCTCCCGAACTGCTGCACGCTCGCCCTGCAGGTCCGCCGCACTCCCCCGGGGCGTCCAGCGGCGCCGCCGCACGCCGCCGCGCGCTGCCTACTCCGAGTACACACCGAAACCCGTCCCGTCGATCGATTCGTCGCAGGGTCCGATGCAAGTACCTCTGCTCCCGAACAGCTATGCCTTCCACGATTTCCTGGAGTCTGACATGTCTCCAATAGTCCCCGAGGCAGCCGGCCGGCGCCGCACCGACGCTCTCCAGCGCGCGCGGCTCGCGATGGAGGGTCTCGTCGCGGGCCTGCAGGGCGCGGGGTGGCGCCGGGAGGGCATTCACGTGTTTGGGTACGGCCAGGGCGGGACGCTGGCGCTCGAGCTCGCGCGGTCGCTCGCCGGGGCGGCCGGCAAGGGCGAGCGTGTGCTGGGCAGTGTGGCCGTCGTCGCTGCGTCGCTGCTGCCCGAGGACGACGAGGTGGCGAGCGAGATGCGGGGCGGCGGCGGTGCGGCGGAGGAGGCACGTGCGGGCTGCGGGTGGGCCCCGGTCGTGATCACGCACGGCGAGCGCGACGGCGTGGTGAAGCGGGCGTGGGTGGACGCGAGTGCAGCGGTGTTGCGGGGCAGGTACGGGTGCAAGGTGGAGGTGCTGACGGTGCGCGACAAAGGCAACGGGATGGTGGGCGAGGGCGTGCGCGACGGGGGGCGCGCGGAGAAGGACGCGCTGCTTCAGTTCTGGGCGCGGTGGCTTCTGCAGCGGGCGCCGAAGGGCACCGTCGAGGTCCAACCCCCCGGGCGATAGCACCTACTATGCAGAGTAGTAATTGACCACCCGCATGCACCTACATGTCTAGAATGTGACTTGATTTCGCGATCACACGACGCTTCGTCACCGCCTGGCCGCCATGGCCTGCTGTCTGCGCCCCCGCAGCGCCACGATTGCTCCGTACACGCCCGCCAGCACCAGCAGCGCGGCCGTCTCCTCCGCCACCGCCGCCCCCGCCTCCCCCGCCGCGCCGCCAACGCCGTCCAGCAGCCCCGCGACCGTCGCCGTCTCGAGCGCCCACAGCTGCAACAGCCCCAGCACCCCCACCACCCGCGACCCAATGTGCTCGAACTCGGGACCCCACACAAGCTTTGCGTACAGCTCCCTTGCTCGCGCACGGTCCTGCTTCACCCCCTTCCCCCGCGCGTGCATCCACGCGAGCGAGTGCAGCGCCTCTGGGTCGCTCTTGTCCGCCCCGCGCGCATACATCCTCGCGGCGAGCTTCAGGTGCGTGTGCGCCGCCCCGCCCTCCGTTTCCGCCGCCGCTGCCGCCGCGCCTTCGAGCTTCAGCCCGCTCGCCGGCGCGGAGTACAGCACGTTCCCGGCCTCCGTGTATCCCTCCGCGTACCCCGCAGCGCCAGCCCGCATGTACAGCCGCAGCGCCAGCTGCTGCACCAGCGCCCCCGCGCTGCGACTCGCCTCTTCGGGGCTCCCCGCCTCGCCCTGCGGCCGGATCCCGAGCGCGACGCCGTGGCGCTGCAGCAAAAACGCGAGGTTCAGCACCGCCGGCGGCGCGCCCTGCTCCGCCACGAACGCGTACGCTGCCACGCCCCCCCACACATCCCCCGCGTCGACGCTGTCCATCGCCGCCTCCATGTCGTCCGCCCAGCCCATGCGCTCCGACAAGAACGTCCGCAGCATGTGCGTCGCCTCCGTGCAGTTCGCCTCGAGCCCGTGCGGCCCCGTCGGCGGGCCATCGCCCTCCCCGAACCACCCGCCAACGCGCCCCGCGGGCCCCGTGCCGCGCCCCGTGCCCGGCATCGACAGCATGCCGAGGAGGAACGGCGCCTTCCAGTGCCCGTGGTCCATCGCGTCCTGGAAGTACCGCCGCGCCGCGGTGCTGTTCTTCTGCACCGCTCCCGCCACCCCCTCCATGTAATACGTCCCCAGGTTGATCATCGAGTCAGGGTCCCCGAGCTCGGCGCCGCGCCGGAAGAACTCCACCGCCGCCGTGTGGTTCTGCGGCACGCCCGTGCCCCCCGACGTCAGCGCGCCGAGGCCGTTCCACGCCGCGGGAACTCCGCGCTCCCCCGCGCGCAGAAACTGCTGCCGCGCCGCTTGGTAGTCCGGCACGCCGTTGCCGCCCGGGTGCTCCCCGCGCATGTACATGTACCCTAGGTTGAACGCGCTGTATCCGTCGCCCATGTCCGCGCCCTGCTGGAAGTACTGGAACGCCCCCTCGGTGTCGACCTCAGTCCCCTCCCCAGTCAGCTTCCGGTACCCGAGGGACCGCATGGCCTCGGGGTCGCCCTGCGTCGCGCGGCCCTCCTCGAACATGACCTGCTCGTCCGAGTTCTGCCAGTCGCGCCACTCGTACGTGTTGTCGCGGTGGCGCTCCCGCAGGAGCACGGGCTGCTGGGGCACGACGTGGTCGCCCGTCGACTGTGCGCGCTCCGCCACCGCCGCCGACTCCCGCGCGTACCGCGCCGCGGCCTCGTGGCACGACTTCGGCACCCCGCGGCCGTGCAGGTAGCGGTCCGCCAGCGCCACGGACGCCTCGCGCGACCCCGTGCGCGCAGCGATGTGCAGCGCCTCCACGGCGGCGCGGTCGTCGAGCGGCACGAGCGGCGACAGCACGCCCGACGCGGAGAGCGCCGCGAGCAGGAACAGCGCGTCCGCGTTCGCCGCGAGACCCTGGAAGTCCTCCCCTGCACGCAAACACACCCCCAGGAGCAACGTCAACGTCACGGCGAGCGCACTGCGACCCACGCCCCGGCGGGCTCGCGTAGGCCAGAACAGATCAGAGCGCGCTTCTCGGGCCCGCGGGCTCGCAAGCGGCGCGTCGCACCTGGGAACGCGATGAGGCCGTGTCCGTGGGGGTGTGCGAAGTTGTACCCGTGCGCCTGCGTCGTCGAGACCTCCTCCAGCGGCACCTCGCCCTCGAACAGCACGTCCCCGATGTCGCTGTGCGCGCCCACGGGGCGGTCGACCGGCCCGTGTCCGCCAGACGCCGCCCTGTCAGGAGCCCACTCAAAGGGCGACTGCGTGCCCGACAGCCCGGACTCCACGTTCGCGGTGGAGTCGTCCATCTCCCTGCACAGCAGGCAACGTCGCTGGCGTCTCAGGCGACGTGCGGGCGCCGCCGCGCGCCCATGGGCGGCTTTTGCGCGTGACGGGGGTGTGTGGGCGTACCAGAAGTGGGCGCGCACGAGGTGCTGGACGGAGGACTGGCGCGGGTGCGCGCGCGGGGGCTCGAGGCCGAGCGCCGCGTAGTCGATGTGCGGGAACCCGCGGTGGTGGTGCTCCGGGGCGGACGCGTGACGTTGCCACTTGGCGTTGAGCTGGGGGTCGCGGAGCTCCCGGCGGCCCGGCGCTGGCAGGACTCGCTCGTAGAGCTCTGTGTCGGGGCGCAGGTGGCGGGCGGTGGCCTGGTGAGGGCGCGGCGCGCGGGGCGGAGCGCAGATTGCAGGCGAGAGCTGGGAGGTGGGGACACGGACCTGAGGACAGCTCTAGGAGGCCCCTGACGGCGGCCTTGATGTCGCGCTTGGACTCCTGGAGGTACAGCATGTCTTCGATCTCGGCCAGGATGTCGGTGTCGGTGGACTCGGGGTCGTAATGGGTCTCGCGAGCGCCCCCGTCCCCGCCGCGGCTGCCCTGCCCCGCCACGCGATCGACGACGCGCAGGACCTGGCGCCTGAGCTCGTCGACGAGCGCGGCATCGGCGCGTCCAGGTCCCCACAGGACCAGGAACAGCACTGCGGGTGTCAGAGGGGAGAGGAAACGGCGGTGTGTGCGCGTGTCGCGGCGTCCAAGGGGCTCGGCCTCGCATGGGCGGACGCGCAGAATCGCTTGGCGTCCAGAAATTGTCGTGAAGACGAGAACGCGCGAGGCGAGCGGCACGGAGAGGCGACCAAAGGCTCTGGGTCAGTGTTCGTGGCCTCCCGCGCCGAACGGAGAGGGCCAAGCGCGCTGCGCTCGCGCACCTAAGAGAACGCCCCCGCATACTTTCGAGAACCCTGGCATCCTGCTCCTGGCGCCCCCACGGGCGTGAGGAGGCTGCTTCCTGCCCTGGGGACCTAGCGACGTCGAACGCGCCCCGTGAGGGCCGACCACGTGGCCACTGCCGCCCGCCCACGCGCAGCTGTGTACTACCGAGAGAAACCAGGCCCTGTCGCAGCAGTAACGGCCTGTCCCGAGGCAGCACCACGGGCCAGCCTAGCACTCAAGCTCACGCCGCGCTCGCCGCGCTCAGGCCCGCTCGAGCCCGTGACCAAGGCGGAGAGCGTGCAGCGTCGCGCTTGGCCGCGTCACTCTGGCGCGGGCGCGCCGCGAGCGCCGCACAAAGCGCCGCGGGGCCGCATTCGCTCTCGGGTGGAGTCTCTGGGGCCCTTTGGGGGCCGCGCGGTCGCGGGGGGGTGTTGGGGCGCGTGTGCGCGGCGCCGAGGCAGAGTAGTCCGTCGACGGGTGGTCGTGAAGGTCGATTTCCTTGGAGGAGTTCGCGTTTGGGGGGGGATCGAGCGCGAGGAGTCATCAGGCCGACGGTATAGCACATTGGCGAGGCGCGTCGAGGGCGAGCTGCGCGTCTCGGGCGCACGGCGCGTGAGATCACTGATTCTGGAGGCGGTCGTGCCGCTCGGCCGGCGAGGGGGCGGCCCCACAGCGCGTGAGACGCATCCCAGTAGCTTTCTTTCGTGGCGCGCTGGAGGGCTCGGGGCGCGAAGATGCCATTGCACCTTGATGCGAAGAGGGTTTTCACCCAGCGGTCGGAGCGGGTCAAGGGGCTCGATATTCACCCCACGGAACCATGGTTGCTGAGCAACTTGTACAGGTCCGTCCTACGCTCCCGCGCGCTCGCTCCACGCGGCCCTCGGCCGCGCGCCGCGCCAAAAAAGATCTCGACATGCGCGTACGCGCGGCAGATCGCCCCCGGGGCGCCCACAGCGCGCCCCAACGCAGTCGCCTCTTGCCTCACAGACGCGGGCCGCGATTTACCGCCAGCACACGCAACACCTCGCGGCCCAGACCGGCCACCAAGCAGCACACGCGCCACACCTCAATGCTGCGACGTCGCGCGCCCCCAGTCGCGCCCCACACTCCCCCCCCGGCCCTCCCTGACCTGCAGCGGAAGCCTCGTCATCTGGAACATCGCGGACGGGACCATGGTCAAGTCCTTCGAGGTCTGCGACCTCCCGGTCCGGGCGTCCAAGTTCGTGCCGCGAAAACAGTGGGCCGTCGCCGGGTCCGACGACATGCTCATCCGGGTCTTCAACTACAACACTATGGACAAGGCGCGCCGCCCCGCCCCCCGCGGCCCCACGCGCCCCCGCGCCCCCTGCCCGCGCGCTCCGCCTCCTGGCAGCCCGCCCGTGCGCCCCGCCCCGCGCGGCGCTCCCCCACCGCGCCGCACGCGCCGCCCGCACCCCGCGCGCAGGTCCACACGTTCGAGGCGCACACGGACTACATCCGCTCGATCGCGGTGCACCCGGCGGCGCCGTACCTCCTCACGTGCTCGGACGACATGCTGATCAAGCTGTGGGACTGGGACCGCGGCTTCCAGTGCGTGCAGGTCTTCGAGGGTCACTCGCACTACGTCATGCAGGTCGCGTTCAATCCCAAGGACTCCAACACGTTCGCGTCGGCGTCGCTGGACCGCACGGTCAAGGTCTGGTCGATCGGGTCCCCGATCCCGAACTACACGCTCGAGGGCCACGAGAAGGGCGTGAACTGCCTGGAGTACATGTCGGGCGGGGACCGGCCGTATCTCATCTCCGGCGCGGACGACCGCACGGTGCGGATCTGGGACTACCAGACCAAGGCGTGCGTGCACGTCCTCACGGGCCACGCGCACAACGTCTCCGCGGTCGGGTTCCACCCGGAGCTCCCTCTGATCATTAGCGGGTCGGAGGACGGCAGCGTGCGGCTGTGGCACTCGACGACGTACCGGCTCGAGCAGACGTTCAGCCACGGGATGGAGCGGGCGTGGGCGATCGCGACGCAGAAGGGCTCGAACAAGATCGCGCTCGGCTACGACGAGGGCGCGGTGGTGGTGCAGGTGGGCCGCGAGGAGCCCGTTGCGAGCATGGACCCCAGCGGGAAGGTGGTGTGGGCGCGGCACGCGGACGTGCAGGCGGCGAACATCAAGAGCCTGGGCGACGGCGCGGCGCTCGCGGACGGCGAGCGGCTCCCGCTGGCCGTGAAGGACCTGGGGAGTTCGGACAACTACCCCGCGTCGCTGCAACACTCCCCCAACGGGCGCTTCGTGGCGGTGTGCGGCGACGGCGAGTACGTCATCTACACCGCGCTCGCGTGGCGCAACCGCCACTTCGGCACCGCCACGGACTTCTGCTGGTCGTCCGACCCGACCGAGTTCGCCGTGCGCGACGGGACGACGCTGCACGTGCTGCGCGGGTTCAAGGAAGCCTCGTCGGTGCGGCTGCCGTTCGCGCCGGAGCAGATGCACGGCGGGCACCTCATCGGCGTCCGCAGCAAGGACTTCGTGTGCTTCTACGACTGGGCCGAGCAGCGGCTCATTCGCCGCATCGACGTCGAGTGCCGGGACGTCCTGTGGTCCGAGTCCGGCGAGTACGTCGCGATCCTCGCGGACTCCTCCTTCTACATCCTGCGCTACGACGCCGCGGCCGTCGCGGACCGCCTGGCCACGGGGGAGCCGATCAACGACGAGGACGGCCTCGAGGAGGCCTTTGACGTGTTGCACGAGGTGCAGGGGTCGGTGCGGTCCGGGGCGTGGGTCGGGGACTGCTTCGTGTACACGAACGCGGCGTGGCGCCTCGCGTACTGCGTCGGCGGCGAGGTCACCACGATGGCGCACCTCGACAGGCCGATGTACATCCTGGGCTACCTCGCGCAGCAGTCGCGCGTGTTCCTGATCGACCGGGAGCACGCGATCGTGTCGTACGAGCTCCCGCTCGCCGTGATCGAGTTCAAGACGCTCGTGCTGCGCGGCGACGAGGCCGGCGCGGAGCAGGCGCTCAAGGGCGTTCCCGCGGGGCAGATGGACAACATCGCGCGCTTCCTGGAGGCGCGTGGGATGCCGGAGCGGGCGCTCGAGGTCGCCACGGACCAGTCGTACCGGTTCGACCTCGCCGTGCAGCTCGGGCGGCTGGCGGACGCCATGCTGATCGCGCAGGCGGACGACAGCGAGACCAAGTGGCAGCAGCTGGGCGAAATGGCCATGCAGGCCGGGGAGCTCTCCGTCGCCGGAGACTGCCTCGAGCGCGCGCGCGACCTGCCCGGGCTGCTCATGCTCTACACGTCGCTCGGGAACCGCGAGGGCCTCGAGTCGCTGGCGGCGATGGCGAGCGACGCGGGGAGCTCGAACATCGCGTTCGTGTGCTTGCTGCTCCTGGGCCGCACGGGCGAGTGCGCGGACCTCCTCGCGGCGTCCGGGCGGCGCCCCGAGGCCGCGTTCTTCGCGCGGACGTACTGCCCGAGCCGCGTGCCGGGCGTGATGGCGGCGTGGCGCGAGGACCTGTCGACCGTGAACGCGCGGGCGGCGGCCGCGCTCGCGGACCCCGGCGAGGCCCCGGAGCTCTTCCAGGGCTGGGAGGAGTCGCTCGCTGCGGAGAAGCTCGCCGAGAAGATCGCAGCACGGCGGGACCCGGCGGGCGCGTACGCGGTGGCGCGCGAGGCGCTGTCCGTCGACCTCGTGGAGCGCATGCGGCAAATGGTCGAGGCCGGCGGGTCCCCAGAGGACGCGGCACCGGAGCCGGCGCCGGCGCCCGCGCCTGCGCCCGCGGCGCCCCCTAAGGCGCCGGAGGCGCCAAGCACGCAGCCCGTCGCGCCGGTGCCTGCGCCGCCGCCGCCGCAGGAGCCAGTACAGCCGGCGCCGGGCGCGTCGTCGGCGAGCGAGGGTGTGGCCGTGGTGCCGGTGCCGGCGCCGACGCCGCCGAAGGTCGAGAGCCCTGCTGCGGCGCCGCCGCCGCCGGCGGGGGCCAAGAGTGCCGAGAAGAGCAAGGGCGAGGAGGACTTGCTGGGGCTGGACGACGACCTGGCGGGGCTGGAGGTGGGCGACGGTGACGATCTGGACGACTTGGAAGGGGACGACCTTGACGACGAGTGGGGCCTGGACGACGGCCAGGATGACTGAGGGGGGGGTGTGCAGGGGGTGTGAAAGGGCCGCTGCCTCGCGTGGGTGCGTGGTCGGTTCGGTGAGCTGTCACACAGCGCGTTCGCTCTGTCTCAGCGGCGGCGTTGCGCTACGGGTTGGTGGTGGGCCGCGGTGGACCTGTCCGCTACTCGGGGAACTTGAAGCCCGGGATATCGATGTCGGCGACCTCGTAGTCCTCGTCGGTGAGCCCGAAGAGGTCCATAATGAACTTGGGCGGCTTCTTCTTCGGCTGCAGGTACCGCAGGCCGCCGCAGTCGCCGATGCCCAGCTCCGCCTGCCTGCGAGCGCGAGCGAGCGCGGAAGCGCCGCCTGTGAGGATCCGCGGCTCCCGAGTGTGGGTGGCCGGCGGGGCGAGTGTGGGCGGCATATATATATATACCTGTAGCAATACTTGTCCTCAATTGAGCGCTTGTTGTCCGACTTGTTCGCCTCGGACTTCTCCTTGAGCGAGCGGAGGAGGTCGGAGTTCTGGAACGCCTGCGCGGATATCGACGCGCGGGGGAGGCGGCGTTTGCGACTCGTACGGCAGCGTGCCCAGTGGTCACAGGCCGTGCCAGGCGACGCGCGCAGGATCGATGCAGCGGCGCGCCCCGGAAGGGTCTCTTGCATACAAGCATGAGGATTTGCTGGAGCAGGCGGCTTGTGCTGCATGTTTCGCGCGGCCACAGGGAACAAGGGTGTGAGGAAGTCCACCGGGCAACGGAGCCCGTGCTGCTCGCATCCGCACCTCTTCCGCAGCGGCGTCGGCCGCAGCAGCCTTCTTGCGCATGTCGCTGATTCCCCCGGGCACCTCGAACGCGAAGGGCGACTCCACGCTCTCCAGCCCAGCCGCGACCGCCGGAGCGCCCGCGCCCAGGGCGATCGAGAGGCTGAGAACCCCGACCGTCGCCGCGTCGCAGACACGAGTCTTCAGTGTGGATGCGCTCCGGCCCTCATCAAGGCAGCACACCACCGTCGGGCGGCAGCGCCCCCTGCTACGCACAGGCTTGGGCGCGGGCCGCGCCGCCGTCGCCGTGACTCGACACTGGCAAGCCATTTCCCGCCTCGCACGAATCCACGCGAGCAGCCACGACGCGGCCGCTCCACGAGGCATTCAGCGGGGAGAGGCTCCGACCTGACGGTGTGTCGCCCGCTGGACCGTCAGCCTGACTCGAGGCGACGCCGAGTGGGCGAAGCCGCATCCCTCTCCGGGCCGCCAACCTCGCCGCGGGTGCTGTCATCACGGCGCGCTCGGCGGCGCGCATGACCGTCGCCGTCATGGGCCCTCGCGCGCCATCGGAGTGTTGTCATTCATCAGCAGCTTCAGGCTCAACAGGCTGGCGCCAATGAGGGGAGAGTCTCACAAGCTGTGGCGGCTGTTGCTGCCTCGCGATCAGCACTAAGACGCGGGCACGGGGAAAATGCGCTCCGGTGTGGAAAGGCTCCGTTCTGGAACCATACTGGGCGGGGGGGTTGTGACAACTATGTAAGGTGTGGGCCCGGTCGGCGGGGGGCAGGAAGCAGGAGGGGCGGCGGAAGCGGGGAGCCGGCACATATGCACGGAGAGGGCGGGGAGGGCGGGGGGGGGGATCTGTTATGTCGAAAGGCACGAGTCGTGTGCGCAGCCTGGCGTTCGTTCGCCGCCGGGTCGGGTCGTTCGTGGTATGTAAGATTCGCGTGTGCGTGGTGGGTGCGTGCGCGCAGGGCTGTCATGGGTGCGCGCGCACGACGCCCGCGGGCGACCCGCTGTCGTTGTTCGACGACGGGGTCACGGCGCGGAGGAACGCCCGGCACGACTTGACGTCGTCCGCGAGCGACTCCATTCCCGTCAGTAGCCCGGCCGCGCCGGCCCGCCCCCCGCCGTCGCCTCCATCCGCCGCCCCCGCCAGGCCCTCCCCCGAGGGGTCTCCGAAATCAACACCCCCGCCTCCTGCGCTCTGCACGCACGGCCCGCCGACGCCGCCCCGGCCAGCGAGCCCGCGCACGCCCTCGATCACGCCGCGCGTGGCGCCCTCGAGCCCCTCGAGCGCCTCCCCGCCCTGCGCGCTCCGCTCCACTGGCCACGTCGCGGCGGCACCGTCCGCGCCCTTCGTCTGCCCGGAATGGTCCAGCTCGAGGTCCTGCTCGTCGAACAGCGACGACAGCGCCTCCGTCGCGCGCTGCGCCGAGCTCCGGAGGTCGGACAGCAGCCCCCACAGCGTGGCGTCCTCATCCATGCTCGGCAGCGCCAGCGCCAGCCGCTCCGGGTCGACGATCGGCGGCTCCTCGTCCCTGGACGCAGCCGGCTTGCTGCGGTCCTTGTGCGCCGCGCTCACGCCGCCGGACACGCGCAGCAGCGTGCTGCCGGGCGTGTGGCTGCCCTTGTTGCGCGTCGTCATGCTCGGGCACGGCTTCGGCACCACGCGGGGCTTCGGCGGCCGCGGGGACCCCGGATTCGAGCTGCGCGATCCGCTGCGGTTCCGCGGCCGCCCGGACGTCCGCGCGCGCGCCGCGGCCTGCGCCTGCTCGGCGAGCGCTGCCGCCTGCACCTGCGGCAGGGTGCACCCGGCGGCGGCGAGCGCGGCGCCGTTGTGCGGCCCGAGCGGCACGCCCTCCTCGGCCATCTTCTGGAGCGCGGGGAGGTGCCGTTCGGGGAAGTTCAGCGCCCGGAGCTCCCCCGAGTGCAGGAGGAGGCGCTCGGCAACGATGATGTCGTCCGCCGCGGCGGCCGCGGTCGCCGGGTCCGGGAAGCCGCGCCGGATGGGCATGTTGCCTTCCGACACGGAGATTTTGCAAAACCACGATCGGCCGCGGTGCGCGGCCGGGTACACGTAGCGGAAGCCGCTCGTGCTGCTTCGGACGACCCGCTGCGGAGATAGGGGGGGCGAGGGATCGGATGTCGGCGTTTGCCGACTGGCGGCGCGTGGCACGGGGTCACTCGGCGCAGGGTGGTTGTGCTCCTGGGGCCGCGCGGGGCGCTCGCGCGGCCGCGCCGGGCCGCATTTGATGCGAGCTTGCGCGCTGGATCGCGGGGCGTCGGCGGCGCGGCCGCGGGGGCCCACGACGCGTCGCGGGGGGCGGCAGCGGGCACAGCATGAGACGAGTGCCTGTGCGCGAGGGCGTCGCGGGCGTACCTTCGGACGCTTGGGTGCGTTCTTGCGGGGAGGCGGCGGCGCGGGCTGGGCCTGAGCGGGGTGCTCGGCTGCCGCGAGGCCGAACGGCGGCGAAGCGTCGAACGCGGTGTGGGAATCAGGGGGGGGCGCGGGGCCGGCAGCGGGGCCCGGGGCGCCGTCGAGGGACGGGAACGGGAGGTCCATGTGCATCAGTGAGGCTCCCGGGAACGGCAGAAGCGTCGAGCCGGGGTCGTGTCCGGCGTCCAGGCTCCCGTCGAGCGTCGCGGGCCATGCTAAGCTAGACAGGTCGTTTCGATCCGCCGTGGGCGGCGGGGACGGCACCGGCATGGCTCCGGGTGCGCCGTGCGGGGTGCTCCAGGAGGTGGTCGACCGGTCGGCGGACTGTCGCGGCTGTCCACGGCCCAGGGGCAGCCCCGCAGGGACTAACTCTGCTGAGCTGGAAGGCAGCCTTCGCGCGCTCCCTGGGCCGACGTGAGGTCCCGTCTCTCGGAAGAAAGGCCTCGAGAAAGTGAGTTATACCGCTCTCACGAGCGTTCGCCGCCGGGAGCGCTGCTGTCGCGTCATGCGCGGGCGCCCGTGGAACTTGCAGGCAGCCTGTTCGGACAGCGGGCGGCCGAGCTCAGGCCTCCGGGGAACGAGCTGCGAGAAACTGCACCGGCGCGCGCGCCCCGCCGCCCAGAGGCGCGTACGCAGCGCGCACCGGGGTTGTTTGGACCCGACCCCCCGATTCTCTCGAAGCGGCGCCGGGGCCCCCCCGCGCCGGACGGGCGCCCGCGCGATAGCTCCGTCGATCCAGTAAATCCCACGCGATCCGGCGGGAACCTTCCGCGCCGCCCCCACCGCCCCGCGCGGCCGCAATTCCGCGGCTTGCAAGTCTGAGCTCCTCGGCTGCAGCCCTGCGCGGGGCCGCTCGGCCGCACCGCGCCATCCGCGCGCCCCCGGCTCCTGCGGACACTCCTGGCCATCCCCCCCAGCGACTCTGCGCGCCCCAGCGAGCCCCACAGTTGCGTCGTTTTCACACATTCCCACCTCCCAGCTCCCCGCAGGCCTCCCCACACAGCCGGCTTACTTCGTGAAGCTCTCGAGGTACTCGACCTCCTTCTTCGAGCCCACGAAGAGCGGCACGCGCTGGTGCACCGCCTCGGGCTCGATGTCGAGCACGCGGACCTTGCCGGTGCTGCCCACGCCGCCAGCCTGCTCGGCGATGAACGACATGGGCGCGCACTCGTACAGCAGGCGCAGCTTGCCGTTCGGGTTCTTCGAGTCGCCCGGGTACCCGTAGATGCCGCCGTACAGCATCGTGCGGTGGAAGTCCCCGACGAGCGACCCGATGTAACGCGCCGAGTAGGGCTTGCCCCCCCAGTTGTCGGGCTTCTTCAGGCTCTTGATGTACTCCTGGACGCTCTCGTCCCACAGGTCCATGTTGCCCTCGTTGAACGCGTAGATCTTGCCCACCTCCGGCACCTGCGGCCGCGCGCACCGCCCAACAACACTCTCAGCTCCACACCGCAGCTACGCAACCACAGAGACAGACAGACGGAGAGACGGAGAGACAGGGCGCGCGGGGACGGCGCGGCTGGCCCACCTGGATGCGGTCGTGGGTGAGCACGAACTCGCCGACGAGGGGGTCGAGCGTGAAGCCGTACACGCCGTCGCCGACGGTGAGCACCATGATGGACGCGGACGAGTACAGGCAGTACCCGGCGCAGAGGAGGTTCTCGCCCGGCTGGCAGACGTTGACGACGCACTGCTTGACGACCTCGTCGGCGCCCATGCTCATGTCGACCTCGCAGCCGTCCTGCGGCGCGTAGATGCCAAAGATGGTGCCAACCGAGATGCCGGCGTCGATGTTCGAGGAGCCGTCGAGCGGGTCGAAGACGACGACGTAGTTCCCGGACGTGGTCTCCTCGACGAACACGGGCTCGTCCTCCTCCTCCGAGGCCAGCACGCCCGTCTTGCCGCACGAGCGGAGGCAGTTGGAGAAGACCTCGTTCGAGATCACGTCGAGCTTCTTCTGGTCCTCGCCCTGGACGTTCGTGGCGCCCGCGACGCCCGTGAGGTTCGAGATGCCCGAGCGGTTGACCAGCGTCGCGATCTGCTTGCACGCGAGCGAGATGGACGACAGAACGATAGCCATCTCCGAGTCAATCTGGCCGCGCTTCTCCTGCTCGAGGAGCCACGTGCCGAGGGTGCGCACGCCGTAGTCCGACGCCTGGACCGTCGCGGCGGAGGTCTCGATGGCGCTCGCGGCGTTCACCTGCGGCCGGGCGACGCGGGCGCCGCAGGGGCTAGGCATGCGCGCCTGGCGGGCGGTGCGGTCGCGCCCGGACGGCGGGGACCGCTTGGATGGGAAGAATGGGCAGCCAGGTTGCGTGCGCGGCGCTGGTGGTCTCGTGCGATGACGAGAATGCGGGCAGCCTGGCGGGAAGAGGGTGCCGTGGACAGTTGTCGCGGATTCGTTCGCAGGGCGGTGAGAACGGCGCTCGCGTCCATCTCTGGAGTCGATGGGCGCTAGGGCGGGCGTGAACGGCGAGGATGGCGCCAGGAGTCATCGGACGACGGATGAAAAGTAGATATCAAAGTGGGACTAGCAAGCGCAGTGTGCACGCACCTTGGCGGCGCCACGCCCGGCAGCGGCCGCGGCGACGTTGCGGGCCTGCGTGGGCACCTGCGGAGCACGCGTGAGCGGCGGGGCGCGTGGTTTGGCCTCGGATGCGCGACGGAAGCAGCATAGATCCCTGCCGTGCCCTTGCGAGGCCGCGACCGCGTGCGTGCTGTCCGGTGTCGCGGCTTTCGCGACATCTCGGCGACGAACGATCATGGACTCATCGCCCTCGGCGGGTCCGGGCTGTCGCGGGCCGTGTCGGCGCCGCGCGAGACGGTGCCGCTCGACACCGCGACAGCCACCGCCGCGCCCGCACGCGGACGGTCTGAGCCACGGGGTCGGCGCCGCTGCCTAATCGACATCGAGACCCGCCGAAAACGCCGCGACGAACGCGCGGCGGAGGCATCTGCGACGGGCGACGCACCTGGGCCGAAGCGGGAGCAGCGGTCGCGCGGCGCGTGCGCGCGACCTGGGCCTTCGCGGCCGCGAGGTTGGCCTGGAGAGTGATCTGCGACGCCATCGTGATAACCTTCAACCAGCGATCGCGCTTCTGTGCCGCGGCCCCGGCCCAATGAAGCCCCACCGTCGCTGCAGAAAAGCACCGAGACTCCCCCAGGGACGAGCACGGCGCTGACCGGCTCCGAACCGATCCCACTGGCTTCCTCTGTATCTGACAGCGCAAACACGCCCAGAGCGGCGTGTGTGCGCCCATCCGACCGCCAACACGCGCACAGGTGCAATGCAGACATCGCTTCGCTCACTGTGCCCATGGTACGTATTTGTTCGCAGTTCACACGGGTCTAGCGCCACGCCCACTTCATGAACGACGAAGATGAAGCAGTACGGTGTGAAATTTGCGGTTATAATGAGCGGGAGGATGCATCCAAGGTGACTGAAAGCCCGGCTCGGAATGCGTCGTAGAGGCTCGCCTGCGCGCTCCATGCGGGTCGAGTGCGCGCCACGATCATAGCAAGGCCGCCTGGATGGAGGATTCCGCCGCGGCTCGAATTCGGGCGCTTCGACGTGCCCGAGGGACGTGCGCTGCGCGGCGGGGGTGTATCGCGGCCCGGGGCGGGAACGCGCGCCGCAAACGAGGCCGCGGCGAGCTGTGACGCTCGGAGACCATCGGAGTGGCCGCCTCCCGGTGTGTGTCGGCCAGCCGTCGCGCTCGTCCGTGCGCGCGACAAACCATCTGGGTTGCCTAGGCTAGGTGCCGCCGCGCGGCGCACGAGCAACTAAGCACGGCGGGATGGCGGATCCCGTTAGCACGATCTACATCACGCTCGCGCAGGCGCTCAAGAGGCAGGCTACGCCGGGGGAGCTCGACTTTAAGTCCACTCAACTGGGCTCCGTCCACGCGCCGCTCTTCATGGCTACGTGCACTGTGCTCGGGAAGGACATCAACGGCGACGTCTGCAGGAAGATCAAGGACGCCAAGCGGAGCGCGGCGCTCGAAGCCGTCGCCTGGCTGCGGACGTGAGCTTCCCGTTCGTTCAAACGTGGTGATCGCGTCCGCGCGGCCGTGCCGAAGCGTCTCGGCCGAGCCCGGTCCATGTGCAGGCCCGAGGGGATCGCGACCGTGCGTCTCGCGGGGGAGTGCGAGCAGGAGAAGCGCGGCACGGTCGACGCACAGCAGGCTCTTGCCCAGAATCAAAACGGAGCCGTGCTCAGCAAGCCGTGCGTGAGCCAAATACAGGAGGTCATCCAGAAGACCTTCAAGCAGACTCCGAGCGAGGGCCACATCGCTTACAGCTATGAGGTGCCCCCCCGCGACGAAGTCTCTCACAACCAACTGTTGGTGTTCAACCACACCAGTGTGTGCCTCGCAAGTCCCCCCGCCACCGCGCGCGCCGGTGGCCGTTCCCGCAGTACAAGGAGGGTCCGCCGCAGGAATGGCGGTGCTTTGCCCGTCTCTTCCGCGGACGTAACACGTCCGTGTCGTCGGTGTTCACCACGAAAGCCGCCGCGAAGGAAGATGCCGCCCGCCTCGCCATGCAGTGGCTTGCCTCGCGGCCGGGCCAGGAGACCCTGAAGCTCCTCGTGCAGCGCAAGATCGACCTCACGGCCGAGAGCGACGCCCGGGCGGAGCTCCAGATGCCGCCGTCGTACGCCGCAATGGTCGCGGGCGCGCCGTTCGGGCCTGTGGAGCCAGCGCCGGCGCCCCTCGACGCCGCGGCGGCCTCGGGCCCCGTGATGACGGCGGTGAGCGAGCTCAACGAGCTCCTTCAGAAGGGCGCGTGTATGTCGGACCTGGGCCGTCTGACGACCAAGGACTTCGAACGCAGCGGCACCGACCACCGCCCGAACTTCAAGTGCCGCTTGACGCTCCTCGAGGCGACCTTCGAGGGCGAGTGGTGCGCCAGCAAGGACGCGGCCGAACAGTCAGCGGCGAAGCGCGCCACCGCGTGGCTGCGTACGGCCGCCGGGGAGGAGGCGCTCCGCACCGAGCGGTTCAAGAGCGTGCTCTCCGTCGCCTCGCTCGACGACCTCCCGGCGATCGCGCACGCCCGCGGAGCCGACGGCTCCGCGCCGGCGCTGTTCGCCCGCTTTGTGCCGTCGCATGGCGCGAGCATGCCTGAGGCGCTCGGAGACCTCACGTGCGCCGCGTTTTCGGCGCTGTGCTGCGGCTGGAGACCATCGGACGCGCCCGTCGTGGCCGGCGTCGCGCTCGCGTACCCGCACGGCCCGGGGCGCATGCTCGAGCTTGTCGCGGTGGCGTCGGGCATGACGGTCGCGCAGCCGACGTGTCTGCACCGGAACCTGGAGGCCGCGCCCGGCGTCGCGCTGCACGACCACCACGCCGAGGTGCTCGCGCGGCGGTGCCTCAAGCGCTTCCTCCTCGATGAGATCGCTCTGATGGTGGCGGGCACCCCGTCCAGCGCGCTACAGGTCGACCCCGCGACGCGCCTGCCGGTGCTGCGCCCGGGCGTGGAGGTGCACATGTTCCTCGCGAGCCCCCCGTGCCGCGCGGGCCGCGTGTTTATCTCGTCGCCGAAGAAGCGCGACGCTATGCGCTGCAAGGTCAGCGGCGGGCAGGGCGGCGTCGAGAGCAGCGGCGCCGAGCAGATCCTGGGCTCCCCGGAGCTCTCTGGCACCAACGCGAAGCTCCGGATCATGTCCTGCTGCGACAAGCTTCTGCTTTGGAACTTCGTGGGTGTCGAGGGCGCCCTGCTCTCGCAGGTGCTCGCAGCGCCGATATTCGCGTCGTCCTTCACGATTGGCGCCGCGGAGGAGCACGAGGACGAGCGCGACGACCTCCTGCAGCGCTGCCGCCGCGCCATGGTCGACCGGCTGCACGCGCCGTATGCGTCGACCGGCGCGCTGCTGCGCCCGGCGCCGGAGTTCCACCTCGTGCGCGCGAAGGCGATGGCGGCCGAGGCCGCCGCGGGGCACAACTCGCGCCAGCCGCTCTCGACGTATTGGTGCCGCGGGATGCCGGGACTCGCGGTGACATTCGTGGACGCGAGTCTGACGCTGGAGCCAGCGCTGGACCGGAACGGAGCGGTGCACGTCACGTCGCACCCGCGGATCAGCAAGGCCGCGCTGGCCCGGCGGCTGTGCGAGATCCGCGCCGCGTTGTTCAGAGACGCGCCCGAGCAGCTGCAGGAGTTGACGTACCGGCAGCTCAAGGGGCTGGCCGCGGGGTACGCCGCGCGGAAGCAGTACGCGCTCCGCAGCGCCGCGCAGCAGTACGGCCCGTGGACGCACGCGCCCGAGGCGCTGTCGGCGTTCCAGGTGCAAAGCGCCACGCGCGACCTGCAGCCTGGCGAGACGGACCGCGCCCCGGACCGGGGGGGGGGTTCCAGTTCGAGGCCGACGTCAGCTCGAAGGCCGACGTCAGCTCGAAGGCCGACGCGTCGATGGAGCCGATCACGCCGGCGAAGAGGTAGGGGAGTGGCCAGGGGGGGGGTGTTTGCATGAGGGGGTGTTTGCATGGGCCGTCACACGGTGGCGTGGGGCATGTTACCACAGCAGCGGCACGATGGCCCAGCGGTTGGTGGGGTAGTCGTCGAACTTGCGTTTGTACCATTTGTGGTGTTCGTGCGCTCGCGGAGCCAGATTGAAGAATGTGAAGCTGCTGAACGCCACCGCGGGGAGCGCGAACCCCGTCGCCGCCGCGTACCCGAGCCACTCCACGTTCTCGCCGAAGTAGTTCGCCGCCGTCACGAACCGGAACGCGCCGCCGTACGGAATCTTGTACCCGGTCTCCCCGGGCTTCCTGCAACCGACCAAACAACAACCACAAATCCAGGTCTTCCGTTGCACGCCACCACAGTCTACGTGCGCCGCCTGCACGACCGCGCTCGGAACGGCGCAGCGACGTCGTCCGACCAGGCCCGGGCGCTCACCGCAGCGTTCGCAGCACGTGGTCGGCGTGCAGGTTGGTGAGGCACCCCACGGCCCACACAGCGAGGCCCGCCGCGGCCTGGGCGCTCCACTCGCCGGTGCCGTCCGCGGCGCCGCGGACCGTCAGCAGCCACCCCTGGATGTACCCGTTCCAGATGCAGAACACGAAGGACATCACGAAGATCCAAAACGGGGTGGGCTTGCCGCCACGGATGAAGAACGGGAACACGAGGGAGCGCTGGAAGTAGTGGGCCATGAACGCCGCGTACAGCGCGGTGTCGGCGCCGCCGCGGAGGAACGCGGGGGTGTCGCCCGCGCCTGCGCGCCACGTGGCGACGGCGTGGACCGACATGAGGAGGGGGACGAGGAAGGACGGGACCTCCTGGAGGACCCAGGCGAGCTTCGCGTTCATGGCGAAGCCCCAGCCGCCGCGGTGGTACCTGCAGGCCGGGAGCAGCGGCGTGAGGCGTGTGAGTGTGGTGTGGGGTGGGAGGGGCGGCGTGCGGCGTGTTGCGGGTCGCTTGCCTGCCGTAGGGCGCGGTGGCGGACGGGCCGTAGAGGAGGTAGAAGAAGGCGGCCACTCCCGACACGATCATGCTCCAGCTGAGCAGCCAGATGTGCCCGGGAGTGCCATCTGGCCGGTCTGCTAGCAGGGGCGTGATGGCGTCAAGAGCGGCATCCATGACGCGCGCGGACATCGATATCAGATGCTTAGTAGTCCAGCGTCCTGTCGACGAATTTCAAGGGCAAGCGCGTCCACAGCGACGTCGGGGGGCGACGTTTTGCAGGGTGAAGCTAGGAAGCGTTCGTGCCGCGCCAGACGTGTTTCAGGGACTCGGCACGCGTAATCGTTCAAGAACTGCGCGCTGGCGGTGAATCTGCCTCGCGCCGGCGGTGCGGCGAGCTCCTGGAGCGCAGTCCGACCGCGCGAGGAGGCATTCGGGGAGAGTGACCTCGCGGGGCCTCACGCGGTCGACACACCCCCGTGAGGTCGTGCGGGCCGACAAGGGGCGCGTCGCTGGCAACCTACATGCACGGCCAGTCTACACGGTTGCTCGACGGCTGCTGCATTGGCTCACGGAGCAGTAAGACGCCTCGAGAGCAGGCGCATCACAAAGGGCCCGTTTTTGAGGTTCCAGGCGTCGAGAAGTGCGTAGTGCAACGAAGCGGCGTCATAGAGTACGCATAAACTGGCCTGTGTAGTGAGTACAGCGTACAGCAGGGGAGCGAGGCGCGCTGTTCGGGACAACATAGCTGGCGTCGCACTTCCACATCATGTCTTCCGCCGAGCCACAGGCCGGGCCGTCCGAGGAGAAGCCCGCGGTGGACGACAAGGCTACAGTTGACCTCGACGCCGAGCTCAAAGCCTTCTACGGGGAGGTCAAGCAGACGGACAGGAGCAACGAGGTGTGCCCCAGCCGCACCACACCGCCCGTCTTGCAGGCATTCCAGCGGTCGCCTCCCCCAAGGATGCGCAAAGCATACACCGTTCACCAAGTCCAACTGCACCGCTGCCCAGGCCCGCCAGCCCGCCGTGCGTCGCCCTCACCCGCCGGGAACTCTCGTTCGCCCCGCAGGTCATGCGCATCCTCAACTCCTTCAAGCTCAACCCGTACGAGTGCCTCAACTTGCGCTTCGACGTGGAGGAGAACGACATTCGGAAGCAGTTCCGCAAGGTGTCCGTTCTCATCCACCCAGACAAATGCTCCCACCCGCGCGCCAAGGAGGCTTTCGAGCGCCTCGGCGAGGCCGTCAAGCAGCTCACCAGCGAGGAGGAGACCTTCGCCGAGCAGCAGAAGGAGCTCAAGGCCATCCTCAACATCGCCAAGGGTGCGCAAGACTTGTCGACACTGTCTTCATGCATCAACGTCGCGCAGACACCTCCCGCGCGGTCGCCCTGCAGCGGCCCCCCCGCGCCGCGCACGCCGAGTCCGCGTCGCAGCTCGGGCCGAGCAGCGCGCCCGCTCTCGAACCCAGCGCGCGTCGGCAGTCTTGATTTCTCAACGTTTCGTACGCGCTTCGCCCCGTTGTTCGCAGACGAGGTCCTGAAGGAGCGCGCGGCGAAGGTGAAGCGCGACCAGGTCGTTCAGGTCGCGGCGTTCGTGCACGCGGAGGGCAGCGAGGGCGTCGAGAGGGACTGGCAGGCCTCGGACGACTTCCACGAGCTGTGGAAGGCGAAAGCGAGGGAGTTCCTGGCCAAGGCGGCGTTCCGGAAGCGCAAGGTCATCGAGCGGGTGAAGAAGGAGACGGACGCGGAGCTGCAGGCGGAGCAGGAGGAGATCGAGCGAAAAAAACGGGCGAAGAAGGACGAAAAGACTTGGGCGGCGGGGAGGGACGAAAGGGTGGGGTCGTGGCGGGAGTTCCAGAAGGGGAAGAAGAAGGCAACGTGGCGGGGGCCGAAGCTGCGCAACGAGGACAAGGACAACCTGTACGTGCGGCGGCCGACCAAGCCGCGGACGTGATGTGACGCGCGGGTGCCTGTGTTGGGCGGGAGGGAGCGGGGGGAGGTGCTGGGCGGGTCGACTGCAGGACGCGCTGTGGATGTGCCTGGTGTCGTGGCGCGCGAGTGGGCGCGAGTAGGGGGGGGGGTTTGCTGCGTATGACTGCTTGTGTGGTGGTAGGACAAGCACTGCCGCTGCCTCGGGTGGCCTGGGACGATGGGGCGAGGAACTGGCCGCGCGGGGTAGAACGGATGCAGTAGCACCGTGTGCAGCAGCTTCAGACGGTGTTTGACATGTCGGCGCTCGCTGCCGATCGGTGCCTGGTGCACGCTAACGGTGCGAGGGTGCGGCCTTGCAGGCAGCGCGCCTCGCAGCCGCGGCCGCGCGGCGGGTCCGCTTGCCGTGCAGGCACTGCAGATGTTGCGCGCAGCTCCGTCCAGGTTCTTTCCGACGTTGCCGAAGGTGAGCTTCGCCCTCCAACTTGTGCTGGAGAGGTTTCTGCACGATTCCGACACATATGGCGCTTCTTGTGCCAGTGAAGTGGTCGCAAGTGGCACGTATGTGTTGACACAGCCAGGAACAGCAATCATGCGCCCACAACGCGGCACAAGAAAGCCGCTGGAGGCATCCTAGCCCCCGCCTTCACGGCCTGCGTCCGCCCCGCCCCGCGCCTCGCAGCGGCCCAGACGTTCGAGCCGCGAGTGGACACGACGGTGCTGGGGGCACAGCTCGCCGTGCTGGGCCTCACGGCGGCTGCCGGGGCGTACTGGTGGTACGTGGTGGTGCCGAGCGAGCGGGCTGTGGTGGGCAGGTGCGCGCCGGAACCACCCCGTCCGCCCATCCCGCGCACCGCATACCCTCGACACACACTCCCGCTCCTTTTCTACTCGCTCACGAGCCTGACTCAGGCCCCAGTGCAGGAGCAAACGCATGGGCGGGATCAAGGAGTACCTGGACGACATCGAGGGCGACGAGGAGCGCGGTCTCGAGCGCTGGGTCTACACCGACTGGCTCCGGCAGCGCCAGGAGCGCGCGAACCGCCGCGCCGCCTCGCAGGCCCGCCGCGCGATGGACGCTGCCACGGCGCGCAGCGAAGAGGTCGAGCGCGCCAGCCTGGCGGCGGAGAACGGGGGCGCCGAGGACGAGGTGCCGGAGGGGTACACGACGAAGGACGCGCCGGAGGAGTCGCTGCTCAAGCCGGCGTACGAGACGCCGATGCCGGCGTTTTTCTCCCTCGACAACCCTCTCGTGACGACGACGCTGCTGGTGGGCGCGGGCGTGGCGATCTCGGCCCTCACACGCGGCGCGAGCTAGCGCGGGCCGCCTGCGCGCGCCGGTGGCGCGCACATGTACATAGGCGGGCGCGTGTGAGTGTCGCTGTGTCCGATGTCCTCACCCGTTCTCCTCGTCCTCGTTGCCGCCGTTGTTGCCGGTCGGCACCGCCGCGGCCATCGACCCGTAGCCGACGTCCGTCGCGTACGACGTGCTCTTGTGCTTGGGCGTGAACTGGAACCCCTGCGGACGAGGTTGCCGTAAGGAAAACTGCGTGTTTTGCATTCGCTCTCTCCAGCTCCACACATGGGCGTCAGAAACACACGCGGACATCAGCAGAGATACTGCGATCGCACAGGCGTCGAAGATACGCCCCGCCGTCGCCGTGCACGCGCGGAAGCACTCACCTGCGGTGCCGGGCCCAAGAACATCTCCGAGATCCGAATCCAGTCGCGCGGGTCGTCGCTCGACAGCAGCGTCTCGAGCTGCGACCGCCCGACGATGCGCGGCGGCGGCCGCCAGTGCATCCGCGCCGGCAGAACCTCGAGCAGCCCGACTGGAATGTACCGGTGCAGGTATGACAACCACTCGAGCAGGAACCGCCGCGTGGTCTCCACGCCGCGGCTGTCCGAGCCCCAGTGGTCGAGCCCGAACCGCGCGTAGTCCCGAATCATATCTAAACGCTCGCTCGCGGAGATATCCCAGTCCCTTTCTTCCTTGATCTCCGTAAACAGCCACGGCTTGATCAGCGCCCCGCGCGCGAGCATCGTCGCCGTGACGCCGCGGTCCGCGCTCGTGCGCTCGCGGTGCTCCTGCCACGAGTAGATGTCGCCGTTGCCGATCACCGGCACCGCGCCGTCGGCCCGCGCACACTGTGCGATGTAGTCCCAGTCCGCGAGCTTGGCGTACCGCTGCTGCCGCGTGCGCCCGTGGATGGTCATCGCGCTCGCGCCCCACTCGCCGACCTTGCGCACCAGCTCGTGCGCGACGTTGCGCGCTGACGCGTCGCTGGGGTGCGCTCCGTAGTACCCCGCGCGCACCTTCACCGTCAGCGGGCGCGACGTGAGCACGGAGCTCGCGGCGCGGACGACCTTCTCGAGCCTGCTCGTCTCGCGGAGGAGCGAGGATCCGGCGCCCTTGTTGCACACGAGGTCTATAGGACACCCGCAATTGATGTCCACGAAATCGCAATCGATGTTGTCCTGCGCGTCAGCGAATCAAGTGCCCGCACCCTCAGTCGAACCGCACGCTTCTACCTGCGCCGCGCCGCGCCGCGCCGCGCACCGTGCCCAACGAGAGCAGCCACACCGCACGCCGGGGCTACCTACCTCGATGAGCTGCGCGCAGCGCGCGAGGGCGTCCGGGAACCCCCCGCAGATCTGCACGCCGAAGATGTCCTCGCTCGAGTGCCGCCGCATGAGCGCCCACTCCGACGAGTGCCCCTGCAAGATGCACGTCGCCAGCGCCATCTCGCCCACCGTGATGTCTGCGCCGAACGTCTTGCACAGCCGCCGGAACGGCAGGTTGCCCGTCGTCGTCAGCGGCGCAAGCACGAGTTTCCCGTTCCAGTCGATCGGCTTGCGCTCCGCGGCGCGCCCAGCGCCGACGCGATACGCGCCATTGCCCTCTGACGCGCGGCTGACGTCGAAGAGCTTGACGACGCCATCGCCGCCGGAGTCAGGCGCGGCGTCCGTCTTCGCGCGCTTCGCGGGCTGCTCAGCGTCGCCGCCGGCGGCGTCCTCGGCCGGCTTCGGCGCCTGAGGGGGCTTGGGCTTCTGTTGCTTGCCGCGTAGCTTGACCTTGACGCCGAGGTCGTCCAGGACCGCGTCCGCGCGGGAGAAGTCGTACTGGTTCTTGCGGAGCTGCGTCTGGAGGTCCTTGTGCAGCTCGTTGACGCTACTGCCCTTCTCCGACAACGGCGGCAGCGGCACAGGCACGTGGCTGGGCAGCGAGCCGTCGTTCTCGACGGCAGCGCCCCTGATCTTCGGCTCAAGGGCCTGCGCAGCACACGAAAGCACCGCCACCGCGTTGCGCGACACGACGCTCTCGCGCGCAGATATAGGCGACATATTTCAGATAGTAAACAAAGGGCTTGCTGTTGCGTTTGTGGCGCGGTCGGGCGCTACCTGCGGCGGCGCAGCTTCGTGCCGGGGCGCCTCCGCGGCGTTCGGGTCGGCCGACTGCGCCGGCGGGTGCGCAGCGGACCAGCGGCACATGAAACCGTACGGACAACGTTCGTGCGTGTTGGCGAACGGGCAGTCGCCGGGGAGGTCGGGCGCCTTGTTCGCGAGGTACTCCTTGACGTCGTGGCTCCACCGGCACGCGGTCCCGAACGTGCAGATCCCCTTGGCGAAGTTAACGCACAGGCCAGACCTGTCCTTCTGCTGCCTCTCCTTGCGCTCCTTGATCATCTGGCGCTTCGACTTCTTCTCCACCTTCCCTGCGTCGTCGAAAGGGCGCGACGCGCGCGGAAGTCGGTCCCGGCGGGCGCGCCTGGGCGGGCAGCAGCGGGACGGAAATCCACCGATGACTTCTCGCGGCTGCGATGGCGAGCCCATGCGTCGACGAGGTGATTTTGGCCCGCCGCGAAGCAGCTGCGATGGCTCGTACCTGCCGCATGCGCTTGTTCCGCGCCGTTGCCCTTCGCTGCGGCCGCTGGCCGTTGATCGGAGGCCGGCGAGGGGGTCGTGCCATCTTGCGCCTCGCCCTGACTCTTTGGCTTCTCTTCGGCGGCGCCGGGCTGCTGGACGTCAAAGGCCATGTGTTCGTGCTTCACGGGCGCGATGCCCTTCTCCGCCAGCTCGGCCGCGGACAGCCGCAGCCATGCCGGCTGTTGTGCGGGCACTGCTGCCATTTCGACGCCACCGGGCGATGATTTCCGGATTATTTGCGTACCCGGTCGCTGGTACTGGCGCTGTGCATGCGCGAGGACCCCGTACGAGGCCTTCCAGGGCCGGGCGGGGGTGTGTCGACGATCGGAGCAGGAGGTCTGGGGGGACTGGCGCTGGGAGGCGGGCCTCGCGGGCCACAAGGGGTTTGGACCGCCCGGCGCACACACGCTCTGCTGCTCTCCACCGTCGCACGAAGCACGCGTCGTGACGCATTCCAGGCCCGGAGAGACAGCGTGCTGTTCCCACTGGCCATCGTTTGGACCGCGAACAGCCCGTGCGTCGCGCGCTTGATCGCCGGATAGGGCGCCGCGGGTAGCGACACTCTCGGGATCGTCGGGGGCGGTGCGGATCTGCCTCAGTGTAGCTTGCCAGATAGATTAGCGGCGTCAGAAGACCGGCGCACAAGGTCGCGACGGCCACGATGGAGGAGGTGGAGGAGCAGCTGCGCAAGCAGCTCGAGAAAGCGCTGGAGATCAAGGACGAGAACCCGCAGCGGTCCATGGCGGACCTCGAGGCGGTCATCCACAGCGGGGGGCCCGACCAGAAGCTCACTCCTGAAATCATCAAGGTCCGTCGCCTCCCCGCGCCGCTACGAGGCCTCAAGCAGCCTCCGTTCCAGCCCACGCCGCTCCGCATCTACTATTCCGTTTCCCCGCCCTGAGCGTCTCGGGCGCCCGTACGGCTCGCGAACGCGCCATGAAGCTCTCTGGCTCGCACGAACACCGCGCTTGCGCCGCCGCTGCCCCGCGATGCAGGTCAAGGAGGGCGCCATCACGTCGCTTGCGGAGCTGTGCGCGACGACCGGGCAGGCGGACAAGCTGAAGTCGCTCCTGTCGACGCTGCGGCCGCTCTTTGTGGGCCTGCCCAAGGCTAAGACCGCGAAGCTGGTGCGCATCATCATCGACTGCGTCAGCCGCATCCCCGGGACGCGGGACCTCCAGGTCGACATCTGCCGCGAGCAGGTGGAGTGGTGCCGCGCGGAGAAGCGCGCGTTCCTGCGCCAGCGCATCGAGGTTCGTCTGGCGCAACTCTACTTGGATTCCAAGGAGTTCCAGGCCGCGCTCGCGCTCATATCTTCGCTGCTCTCCGAGGTCAAGCGCCTCGACGACAAGCTCCTCCTCGTCGACATCCACCTCATCGAGTCCCGCGTCCACCACCTCCTCCGCAACGTCCCGAAAGCGAAGGCCGCGCTCACCGCGGGGCGCACGGCGGCCAATGCCGTCTACACTCCCCCCCTGCTCCAAGCGGACATCGACATGCAGTCCGGCACGCTCCACACGGAAGAGAAGGACTACAAGACGGCCTACTCGTACTTCTTCGAGGCGTTCGAGGCCTTCGCGAGCCTCAAGGATCCGCGCGCGCAGCGGGCGCTGAAGTACATGCTGCTGAGCAAAGTGATGATGGGGGCGTCCGACGAGGTGCAGAACCTGATCGCGACCAAGTCGACCGCGAAGCTCGCCGGGCGCGAGCTCGACGCGGTCGCGGAGGTCGCGCGCGCCCACCGCGAGCGCTCGCTGGCGCACTTCGAGAAGGCGCTGGCCGAGTACGCGACGGAGCTCCGCGGGGACCCGCTGGTGTCCGGGCAGACGCAGGAGCTGTACGACAAGCTGCTCGAACAGAACCTGCAGCGCATCACGGAGCCGTACTCGCGTGTCGAGGTGGCGCACGTCGCGGGGCTGATCGGGCTGCCCGTGGACCTGGTGGAGGCGCGGCTGGCGCAGATGATCCTCGACGGGAAGCTCGTGGGGACGCTGGACGCCGGGTCGGGCTGCTTGGAGCTGTTTGACGCGAGCGGGGAGGACCCCGTGTACACAGACGCCCTGACTGTGTTCTCGTCGCTGGGGAAGGTGGTCGACACGCTGTTCGAGCGGTCGCGGAAGATCGTCGCGTAGGTCGCGTGCGTGTGAAGGGCATTCGGCAGGGCGAAGGCGTGCACTGAGGGTGTCGTGTGGTGTCGACAATGAGAGCAGCGTGCGTGAGCCACGGGTGCGGTGGGGTGCCCGCGTGCATGAGAGCGCGTGGTAGCTCGCGTGATTGCGAGCGGCCGCTGTGCCCGCGAGGTGCGTGCTCGGGCGGGCCGGTGCGGCGGTGTCCAAAGAAGGGTGCGGTTGTAACGACACCCCCCGCACCATGGTCTGTCACGAACCGAAGTCCACGTGGCACCGCAGAGATGCGTGCTGTAACTTGACTGCAGTGTGTTGGGACGCCGACATCTGCCGCTGCAGCTTGCTCATCCTCCGCATCGGTACTCCACCGCGTCGTTGCTCTCGGCCCACCCTCTCCTCAGTCAATGTGACCTCCGGTTGGACACGTTTGTCGAACTGATTGTCCATCACATATCGTCGCCGGCCACAGCGTCCATCCTCGGTGATGCCCACAGCCCGCTGTCGGGTGCACTTCCACCGCAACACCCCCAACCTGCCCCCCCACCGCCGCCTCGCCTCCAGCATACAGACCGCAGCCCCGCACACGCAGCCCCGCCCCCTCACGGGATGTCCTCCCACTCCTCCCCCAACTCCCCCCACAGTGCCTCCAACCCCTCGGCCTCCTCGCCAGGCGGCGCGATCTCCATCCCGATCAGCGGCGCGAGCACCTCCGCCATCACGCGGTTCAGCTCGTCCACGCCCTCGCCCGTCTGCGCCGACAGCGGCACGACCGCCGCCGGCAGTGTGGGCGCGTCCTTTGCGTGCTCCTCCGCCAAGTGCTCCGCCACCTCCAGGATGCCCGCGCGGACCTCCTCGATGCGCTCCTTCACGCCCTCCACGTCGATCTTGTTCAGAATCACCACGTGCGGCCGCTGGACGTACTCGGGGTTGTACATGCGCAACTCCTCCCGAATCGCCCAGTAGTCCCCCCGGGGGTCTTCCACGCTGGCGTCGACGACCTGCAGGTTCGCGCGCGTCCGCGACAGGTGCCGCAGGAACCGCCGCCCGAGCCCGCGCCCCACGTGCGCGCCTTCGATCAGCCCAGGCAGGTCCGCCAGCACAGGCCGCGGACCAGACCCGCCAGACGGCAGGACGCCCAGGTTCGGCATCAGCGTCGTGAACGGGTACGGCGCGACCTCGGGCGCGGCCCGCGTGAGCGCTGCGAGCAGGGAGCTCTTCCCGGCGTTGGGAAGCCCTACGAGCCCCACATCAGCGACAACGCGAAGGGTGAGGTTGAGGGTGATCTGTTCGCCCGGCCCCCCGCGGGCGTCCTCGCGCCAGTTGACGTCTTCGACCTCGACGACTTCGACCGTGCCGTCGGGGCTGGGGGCGCGGCGCCCGCGGTTGGCGGTCTCGGCGCGCGACGGGCGGCTGACGCCCTGCCCGCCCATGCCGCCGCGCGCGACGACGACCTTGTCGCCCGGGTTGATGAGCTCCTTGATCAGCCGGCCGTTGCCGCTCCGCTTCACGACTGCGCGGGCACACAGCGCGAAAACACACGCGAGTGAACACCGTGCAGCCATGTCGCGCCGCGCGGTCGTGACTCGCCGTGCGCGCCGCGGATGCGCGCGTCGCCCACCTGTTCCCGGCGGCACGGGGAGTCGCAGCGGCGGCATTTTGCGCGGCTGGTCGACCAGGGTCGTGGTTTTTCTCTTCTTCGCGCCGCCGCTCCCCTTCGCCGGGTCCCCGCGAGAGCCCTTCGGCGCGGTGAGCATCTTCTTCCCGCGCAGGTGCAGCAGACTGTCGCAGGCCGGGTCCACGAAGAGCACCACGTCGGCGCCGTCGTAGCCGTCGGCCGGCTTGGACGCCGGCAGCCAGATCTGTTTCGGGGCGTTTCCGCCCGGGCGGTACTTGAAGTTCTTCACCCACTTGCCCTTTCCCTGCGCACATCGCATGCGGAGCGGGCGCGTGCGTGAGCGCGGGCCGCGGACGTGTGGAGCGGCTGTTATCGGCGGGTGGCGCAACTGCCGTCTCGTTATGGTAAACAGCGGTCAGCGCACCCGCTCTGCGATCTCGCCGTTTCCTCCGTCGCCCGCCTTGACCGTCACTTTGACCTCGTCGAAGACCTTGTGCTCCTCGTCCGTTTCGTCCCCGCGTTTGTCCGAACGACGCGTTTTTCTCGGCTTGGCCTCAGACGTACCGCCTCCTCGCCCGCCCCTGCCCCGGCCTCCCTTCCCACGGCCTGCGCGACACCGGACAGGCAAGCGGCATTCGTGATGGAGCAACGGCGCCCGGCGTCGTGCGGTGGGCTGGCCGGCCCCCCGCCAGAGCAGCAAGCCTGCTGCTCAACTCGCGCTGCACGGCGCATGCGCGCAAGTGGAACGAAGCGAACCCGCGCGCCCGCGCCGTGTGGGCAATGGACGCGCCGCCAGCGAGCGGCGCAACGTGTTTCGGGCGCCGGCCACGGCGGCGCGGGCTCTTCGCACCGCTGCGTTTGGACCGGAATGCCACCCTGCACACGCACTGCTGACGCGGGCCGGGCGCGCGGTGCGCGGCCAGGAGCGGGCTCGCCCTCAGCGTCCGCAGATGCAGCCCGTGCAGCGCCGCCAGGCACGGCGGTCTCGCCAACAAGTGTGCCATTGCTACGTGCGGCACCGAACGCCGGGCGGGATGCGGGTCTTCCGGCGTGATGCGCCCCCAACTGGCAGCGAGAGGGCGCGCGGCGCAGCGAAAGGCCCCGCGCCGCCCACGGCTGTCGAAATTCCCCGCAGGGGTGGTGTTGTGTGACGTGGCTGTCAAGTGCTCGGGCCAACGGGGCGCTCGTGGGCCCGCGGCATCGCGGCACGCGCGCATGCTCGAGCAGAGGACTCCCGTGATATCCCAAAAACGTCGTTGCTTGGATCGGCCGCCCTCGCGCGTGCAGTCGCCGGCGCTCTCTCTGCGTCACCCGAGATTCGCTGAGCACCGCGGCGCGGCCCCTGGCGCCGATCGCGCCGCAACCTCATGCGCTTCTGGCGGTTCTGCGTATAGAAGCGACGCCAGCCTGTCGAACTCCGGCTTGCGGAGCCATGTCGACCTGCACGGCCCCGATGCACGCCCGGGCAGTGTGCTGCCTCTGGAAGCAGCCGGCGCGCGCCCGTCCGGGCCTGACGTCCCGCTCAAGAGCGACTCTCTCGATGCGGAGCGTCCGCGTGTCGGTCGCGCAGCGCGTCTCGGGGGAGCGGCCGCCCGTGCAGGCGCCTGTGCAGCCCAGAGTGGACGTGCTCGGCCACGCGCGGCCCGCGCCTGCGAGCGACCGCTCACGGCCGCAGCGCGACCTCAACGATCTCGCACGCGCCATCATCGCGTCGACGGGCCCGCACGAGAAGCCGCTGGGCGGGGACGCTGAGGCGTTTCAGCAGACGGCACAAAAGCTCCTCGACAAGGGGCGGGGCGGCACCGTCGTGACCGCAATGGAGGCGCTTTCGCGCGCACGGGTCGACGTCGACGGCTTGGTCGACGTCAGGGCCGCGGCCCGGTGGGCCGCTGCGCCGCGCGGAGGGGACCACCCAGGACAAGTGCTGCGACTCCTCGCCACGCTGCCGCGCCGCGTCCAGGCCGCGGAGGCCTTCGTGATCGCCATGTCGAAGACAACGCAGGTCAGCCTCGCCACGCGCGTCATCGAGTCGCTCCGTGCGCCCCCGCACGCGGACGACCTGCGCGAGGGCGCAGGCGGCCACGCGACGCCGCGGATGGTCGCGGCGCTGGTGACGGCGTACGCCAAGCTCGGCCAGCCGGACGCCGCCACATCTGCCTTCTGGAGCGCGGTGCGCGTCATGAACACCCCCCTCGGTCAGGGAGACCCCTCCCCTGCCAACGCGCTCCTGAACGCGCACTACCAGGACCCGAACCGGGCGTTCACGCTGTACCGCGGGCTGTTCGGCGCGGACAAGCCCGGGCTGTACAGTCCCGACCAGGTGACGTTCAACACGCTCCTGAAGTCGTGCATGCACGCGGGCGACGCCGCGCGCGCCCAGGACGTCGATCGCGAAATGACCGCCGCGGGGCTCCGCGGCGACGAAACGACCTACGTGCAGCTCATCAAGACCTACGCGCGCGCAGGGCTCCCCGAGGCCGGTGAGTCAGGCCCCTCACGCACGCAAACCCCCCCCCGCTCCCGCAACATCCTTGTGCCGCCCTGACGCGACCGCCCCGCCCACGCATTCGCGCAGCGTTGAGCGTGCGCGCCCTCGCGGCGCAGCGCGGCTTCGGCATGACCCTCGGCATGTGGTCCGCGGTCATCCAGGCGTGCGGCAGCACGGGGCAGGTGGACCGGGCGTTCTCGGTGTGGCGCGAGATGGAGGCGTTCGGCGTCAAGCCGCGGCTCCTGCAGTACCACGCGCTGATCACGGCGTGCGCGAGCTGCCGGCAGCCGGCGCACGCGCTCATGGTCCTGCAGATGATGCAGGCGGCCAACGTGCGCCGGACGAGCGTGACGTACAACTTGGCGCTGCAGAGCTGCCGGCCGGGGCAGCAGCGCACGGACGTGCCTGTCGAGGCGCTCGTGCGCGCCGCGGAGGAGATCGCCGCGCAGATGCGGCGGGACGAGTTCGCGCGGCCGAACCTGCGCACGCTGACGACGATGGTGTCGATCTACGGGGAGGCGCGGATGCCGGAGCGGGCGATGGAGGCGTGGAAGGAGCTGCGGACGATGAGCTGGAGCGCGCTGGACACCCCGGCGTTCCACGCGGCGATCGCGGCATGTCGCGGCGCGCCTGCGCTGGCCCGGAAAGCCTACAGGACGTACAAGGAGGCGCGCGGGCACCGGAATTTCCGGCCGAAGGAGAACCGGTCGCTGTTCTTGACGGCGATCCAGGTGTTGCGCGAGGGCGGGCTGCTCGACGAAGCGCTGGACGTGTACAGGGACATGCGCGCCCACGGACACCCCCCCAGCAACGCGGTGTTCCGCGAGCTGCTGTCGCAGTGCGCGGAGCAGATTCTGGAGGGCAGCATCGCCGGGAACGGGGCCGGCGCGGCGGGGTCGTTCCTGGACAGCGTGGAGCGCGTGGAGGGGGGGAGTAATGGCAACAGGCCCCCCGCGCCTGCAGCCCACGCTGACGAGAAGGCGTGCACGCTGCAGGGCGGGTGCGCGGTGGACGTCGGGGCGAACCCGGCTGCGGAGATCGACCTGCACGGCCTCTCGATCGTGGAGGCGCGGGCGGCGGTGCTGTGCGTGCTCAAGGCCGTGCAGCGGCGGCACCGGTCGGGGGAGGCGCCGGTGCCGCCGCCGCTCATCATCATCACGGGCGCGGGGCGGCACTCCGCGAAGTCGAAGCCGGGGAAGCGGATGTCGGTGATGCGCGATAGCATCCACGGCATGCTGACGACAGAGCTGGGGCTGCAGGTGTCCACGGGGGGCGGGTCGGGCCGCGCGAACAACCCCGGCCGGCTGCTGATCGACAGCCGGGACCTCAAGGTGTGGCTCGAGCGCACGAGCGCGGCCAGCGCGGCCCTGACGGACCCCGTGCAGAGCGATGAGATGTAGGTGCGCAGCGAGCCGCCGACAATCGGGAGTTCGCGACTCAGCGTCACACGGCGGCTCAGCTTGCCGCCAGCGACACTCTGAGCACGTCTGTGCGCTTTCTGTGACCCGCGCTGCCGTGCAATGTCGTGTAACAAAGCACCAAGTCGCTGTTCGGTCCGTGGCTGCTGCTAAGAGACAGTTCGGCTGCTGTGTTCTCCTCTGGGAGCTGGACTAGTTCCCGAACAGCTTGCCGAGCAGCTTCTCGCCCGCGGACTTCTTCGTCGCCTTGGCCGCAGCCCACCCCTCCGCACCCTTGAGATCCACCACGACCGCTCCCACGTTGTCCTGGCTCTTCCGCTCGATCGCTTTCTGCACGCCACGCCTCCGGGAACCCGTCAGTCGCGATGGCGAACAAGCGCGTCTCGGCAGCGAGCCAGCAAGCAACGCGCAACTCAGGGTTGCAACCCGCTGCACGCAGCGCCCGCCGGCCACGTGCAGTCAGCCAGCACCGCCCGCGCGCAGATCTCGCGCTGCGCACCTGCACCAGCATGTCGGCCACCTCCTGCGCCGTGCGTCCGCGCGAGAACTCCAGGCGCGCCATGGAGACCACCTGCGCGGACGTCATCACGTCCCACAGCCCGTCCGTGGCCACCACGAGCACCTCGTCGTCCTCGTCGAGGTCCAGCTTCGCCACGTCCGGCCGCGTGATGATCGGCGACTCCTTGATCTCCACCGACTCAATGAAGTCAGCCAAATACATCCCCGACTCCACCCCCTCCTGCACGCACGCGCCGCCGCCCAGCGCGCAACCGTAAGGCGCCCCCGCTCTGCGCCCTCGGCCGCACCAACGACGCAAACACGCACCGTGCACGCTGCAGGTGCTGCGCTGCAAGCGCGGGGGCCGGGGCGCCGTCACCGCCGCGCGCCTCACCTTGAGCGTGCGTTCGAGCCCGTCGATCTTCCACTCCCAGTCCCCGAACGCCCTAGACACCCCCACCACTCCGAACACGCGCCCGTCATCGATCCACGCCCCCGACTTCTGCACACGCTCGATCTCCGCCACGACGGCCCCGCCGCGGCCGTACACGCGGTGCTCGTTCGACAGCGCGATCGCCTGGCCCTTGCGCCCCAGCACCGCGCGCGAGTCCCCCACGTTGGCGCACACCACCATGTTGCCAGGCCTCACCAGCACCACCGTCGCCGTCGACCCGGCCTCCCGCGCAACCGTCTCGTCGTAGTTCTCACGCAGGTGCTCGCAGAGCGCGGCGTCCAGCTCCGCGAAGGCCGCGTCCAGCTTGGCCGTGAACTGCACCCGGGCAAGCAGCGGCGGCAACATCAACAGTGGCGCGTGCTCGTGACGCCATCACTTGAGCTAGCAGACGGGGGTTAGAGACCCGGCCGGCTCCTGGCCGCGGGCCCGTCGCGGTGCGGTTGGGGTGCTCGCGGGCAGGCGTTCGCGGGGGGCGTTGCCGCGAATCGCGCACCTCGGACGGGCAGTCGTTGGTGCCGGGGATGCGTTGGTCCGTCGAGCACTGTTCTGGCTCGTTGAGGGACACGCAGCGGTCGTCCTCCTCGAGAATGCGCTGGAAACACTTGAACATGTGGTCCTTGAGGTAGTCGGCCGCTTCCGCCCCCGCGTGCCCGTCGTACACGCCTGCGCGCACTGATTGGGCGCACACTGTGAAGCTGGCGCGCCCGCGCGCGAACCTCGCAGGACCTGGCGGGCGAGCACCGGAACTGGACGTCCGTCGATACAGGAGCGCTACGGACCGGGGGCCGCCGCGTTCGGCCCGTGGCGAGGCCGCTACGGGGCGCCCTAGGGCTGCAGCGGTGCTCATTGCAGTTGAGCGGCCAAGCAGCGTCAGCGCGCCGCGCCAGGCGGCGAGGCCCGGCGCTTTCGGGTGCGCGGACCTGCGTAAAGGAAGCCGCACATCCCTTCCTTGATGACGTCGAGCGTGTCTTCCATGGTGTCCCGGACAGGACCCTGCGCAAGTGCACTCCCGCTGTCCAGCGCCACCACCGGGCGCGTGGCCGGCTCCGGTGACGCTCGCACGCGGCCGAGCGCGCGATGAGACCGGTCGCGCAGCGCAGGGGCGCGGAGCCGCGCGGCGGGAGCAGCCCGCCGCAGGACACAGCGCCCAGCAGGAGCGCTCACCTCTCGGGCGGCAATCGATGACATGGCGGCCCGTGAAGCGGGTCGAGGGCCTTGGCCCGTTGCCTGATCGCGAGCGTAGCCCGGCGCAGTTTCCGGGCCGGACGAAACGTGGTCAACTCCACGGAGCAGACCAGGAAACATAGCGGCACTTTGGACACGGAAGTATAACTGAAGTTCCCCTGACGTCCGTGATCCGCTTCCTTCGTGCGCGCGGCGCCGCCCCGGGGCCGCGGACTCTCGGCAGGGACCTCGACAGGGTTGTCCGAAGTACCTGCGCTCACAGGCCAGGCGCAAACCACTCTGGGCAAAAGGCATGGGCGTGTAGCGGGCTGCCTGGTCGCACTGGCGCGTCTCGACAGCGCGCGTGCCTTCGAGGTTTGCGGCGATCCTTGCCGCGCCGTTGCGGGCGCCTGCGGGCGGCGCATTTGCGGCGCGCAGCGAGCCGTCAGATCCTGGGGGCGGCCCACTGGACGCGAGGCGGCCCGCTCAACGCGCTCGGCAGGCGGGTGACTCGCCGCATCGAACTGCTTGGCAGGGAGCTCGTTCTGGCGAATTTGGCGGGCAGGAGCGGGCGGGGCGGGGTATAGAGGGCCGTGCGGCCGCCGAGTGAGGGGTAGCGTGTCGCGATGACGGAGTCGTTAGATCCGAACGCGACGCAACTCGCACGGCTGATCATCAGCGAGAGCTTCGGGGAGGTCGCGGAGACGGTCGCGAAGGTCCTGATGGACAATGGGCAGTCCAGACTGGATGAAATCGTGAGGGACGCCCAAATGAAGCCGTCGCTCGTCAAACAGGCGCTCATTGTGCTCATCCAGGTCCGCAAAAGCCTCCTTTCTGTCCATGCGCCACTTCCGTTGCCGAAACCCCCACCCAGCTCCCTCGGGCGGCGGCACCCCATCGCACTCTGCAGCGCCAATGCCCGTCCTCACAGGCTGTGTCACCCCCGCAACTCGCCGCAGCACAACCTCGTCGAGCCAGTCTTGTACGAGGAGGAGGCGCATCTGCGAAAGATCCGCTACACGCTCTACAAGGCCAGCATGCCCCACATTCTCAACATTCTACGCATTCCACGCTTCCTGCTACGCATCCAGTCCGAGCACGGCTCCGTCGCCGAGGTCCTCATGTCCACGCTCTTCTCCATCGGCCGCTGCAACCACACCAAGGTGCGCACGCGAGCCGCCTGCACGCCTCGCTTGCTCTCCGCAACACGTCAGCCTCCGCGCGCGGGCGCAGGCGCGGTGACGCTGCGACCCGCGCCGCACGCGTCCGCAGCTCGTCGACGCCACCATCCACAAGATCAAGGAGCAGGCGGAGGCCATCAAGGCTGAGCAGGAGGCCGCTGCCGGCGACGACGACGGCATGGACGTGGACGGCAAGACGCAGGACCGCGTCGTGCCGCCGACCGTGCCGGAGCGCGCGGAGGTCGCGCGGCTCCTCGTGCGGCTCGTGCGGGAGCGGTTCCTGGAGCGCGTGCCGCCGTGCCTGCTGCCTCCGTCGACGCGCGACCCGCACCAGAACGCCCAGACGAACAAACGCGCGCGGACGACGCTCGCGGGCGCCGCCGTGGCGCCGGACGAGCGCAAGCAGGAGCTCAGCCAGTACGCCCGCGAACGCTTCCAGATCCTCCACGGTACGCCAACCCCCACTGACAAGGCGGTCGCACCGTACGCTCGGAATCGCCTCGACGCGCATTCGCACTCACGCTCCGTGCTCATGCTAGATACGGCCGCGCTTCTTCGTCGGTCGCCGGGGCGGCGGCGCGCCCGCCGGTGCGCTGCGTTCTGCATGCCGCCCGACGCGCCTCTCAGCGCCCTCCCCTTCGCCGCAGAGATGCACGAGGAGGCGGGCGGGCTGGAGCCGGACGTCGAGGCGAAGCGCAAGGCCGCGCTCGAGAACCTCGCGCGCGAGAGCGGCGGTCCGCGCCGCCCGCTGGAGGTCCTGTGGCGACCCAACGTCGAGGAGCTGAATCGACGCATGCGGCACGACATCTGCGTCGAGCTCGTGCGGCAGAAGATCGGCACGGCCGCCGCGGGGGCGCTCCGCGCGATGCTCGTCCACCTGCGCACGCACGAGTCGGAGCTCCGACAGATGCGGTCGACGGCGATCGCCTTCACGGACGTTGTTACGTCGGCGAAGCGGCTGAGCGAGGCGGAGGGCGGGGCGGACCGCGGCGACGCTGTCGCGGCGCCGACGTCGTCCACGGAGCTGAACCAGGCGCTGCACGCGCTGTGCGAGCACACGATGGAGGCGGTGGAGGAGGTGGGCGAGGGCCCCGGGGGCACGCAGTACGTGGTCAACCACGTGCGGATCATGGAGTGGGTGCAGCTGCGGGAGGCGGAGGCGCTGGTGCTCGCGCGGTTCGGGCAGCACGGGCTGCGCATCGTCCGGATGCTCATGATGCGTCAAAGCAACATGGAACAGAAACAGATCGCGGACGCGGCGATGATCCGGCCGAAGGAGGCGAACGAGGTGCTGTACAGCATGATGCGGGCCGGGTGGGTGCAGCTGCTGGACGTCGCGAAGACCACGGAGCGGCAGCCGCGGTCCTCGTTGTATGTTTGGGAAGTGGATTTCTTGAAACTGTGCCACAGGATCGGATCGGAGCTGTACCGGACGGCGGTGAACCTGTTGCGGCGGCTGAATGCGGAGAAGGAGCGCGCGGCGGACGTGATCGCGACGGTGCAGCGGGTGCAGGAGGAGGGCGCGAACATCACGTGGACGGCGGGGCTGCGGCAGCGCATCCTGCGGTTCTCCAACGTGCGGAACACGCTCGAGACGTCGCTGATGCAGCTCGACGAGCAGATCGCGATCTTCAACGACTACTGAGACCCGCGGCGGCGTGCCGAGCGGTGCCGGCGCGCCCGAGGCGGCGATGGGGGTCGGCAGTGGCGGTGCAGTCGCGAAACATCGGGGCCAGGGGCGGTGCAGCACAGCACAGCGCTTGCTTGCTGGCGCAGCAGGGGCGCTGGGGCCAGGCCTGCGGATTTCCGCACCACCCGCGCTGTGATGCACTTCCAGCATGACAGGCGTGTCTGCACGGCCGATCGCCGCAGCGTTCGACACATGCAACCGCTGCAATAGTGTTCCTCATCAAGAGCCTCCTCGCACCAAGCCTCCTGTTCACTGAAAGCCGGGAACCAGGGCACATTGTGCCCTGACAGGTGCCGCGAGAGGGTGTCCGCGTGTCGATCCCCGCGTCGCCTGTACTGCGCGCGCCGACCTGGTTCCTGGCCGCCCACGTCCCGCTCCTCGCACAAACTACCACCAACTCACGGACAATCATCACTCATGATGACACCGCACGCCCGCGGGGCTCGTCACAGCATCCAACGCACCCGCCGCCCCCAGCGCCGACCCGGCGCGCCCTCACTTCACCTCGACCGGCGCGCCGCTCTCGTCCTGGAACACCACCTCCACGATGTCCGGGAAGCGGTCCTTCACCGCCGCGCGGATGCCCGCCGCGATCGTCACGGGCCCCGTGTACAGCACCGTGCAGCGCCCCTCGAGCACCTCGAGCACGCGCACCTCCCCGCCGTACGCCTTGATCGCCGGGCGCAGGCCGTCGAGATGCGCGTTGACGCCGTCCGCCGACGTCCCGAGGTCCTCCGTCGCCACCTGGATCACCTCGCGGAGCTGGTCGCCGAACCGGCTCCGCAGCGCGCGCTCAATGCCCATGCGCAGCGTGGCTTCGCTCGACGAGCACGACCCGCAGTTGCCTTGCATTTCCACGTACACGTTGCCGTCCTGCACCTTGACGACCTCGACGTCGCCGCCGTCCGCGAGCAGGAACGGCCGGACCTCCTCGAGGACCTCGTCGGCGGCGTCGGCAGTCAGGACGGGGGCCTCGTCGTCGGAGGCGTCGTTGGCGATGGAGCGATGCGCGGCGGCCTGCAAGAAAGGGCTCACGCGCGGCCGCTCCTCCGGCTCCGCGCCCTCGACCTCGGTGTCCGAGAGGTACTGCAGCCGCGTGAGGACACGTGTCGTCGGCACGTTGAGGTCGCATCGTGGCAGTACATCACGCATTCGTGGCCGATTGGTAGGCATGGCGGGACATCGACCGACGCGCGCGGTACCAGCTGCCGCGGTGCGAGCACGTGTACGGACGCGCTGCGGCGGGCGCGTGCATGGAGTCCACGGAGACGTGCGCGTGTTGGATCATGGCGCAGGACTCGCGCTGGCGTGTGAGCGGCAACCCGCGGACATCCGCCTGTCCAGCTCGCGCCTGGCCAGCGAGGCGGTTCGGGCGCGCTGGGCCCGCGTGTGGTTCGGTTCGGCGCGGGGATGCACGCGCCGAGTGTCGGCGTGGTGCGCACCTCTGAGGGGCCCATCCAGATGCGCTTGTCGGTGCCGTTGCCCGGCGGCGTCGTGCCGGCCTCGTTGATCCAGGCGCGCGCCTGCGACTCGCGGACGCTCTCCGTGGCCATCGCGTGGTTCTTGATCGCTTGCACGCGCACGTAAGCGAGCACGTCCTCCGTGCGCTCCCACGTGTCGCACACCGCGCGGATGACCGCGTCGGAGTGGCCCACGTACTGCAGGGACTTCTGGCTGTCGTAGCACGCGAAAATGCCCGGGAAGTCGTCCGCCTTGGCGTGTGCAGACAGCCACGCGTCCACGGGCACGATGGCAGACCCGTCGTTGTCGGTCGCCACGTCCGACAGGGGGGCGCTGCGCGCACGGGACCGTACAGGGAAGGTTGTCACCGGCCGTGGGACCCCGGACGGTGCGCTGCGGGGCGCCAAAAGCGCGCCGCACCAACTGCCGGGGGCGCAGGGTACGGCTGTTGAGCCAGACGGGGGAGCATGGGGCCTTGAAGCACCGGTGGCCTGGCGCCAGTGGGAGACCACGGAGCGAGGTCGCGGGCACTGCGTGTCCCAGGTTGGTTCGAAGGCCGCACCTCGCGCCGTCCGCAGGAGTTGCAAGAGACCTCAAATCCCGTCGCGCAGCCCGGAGTGCGCGCCGCGGGGCCCGCACGGGCTGCTGGCGAGTCTTACATCTACCTAGAAGCGGGCGGGCCGATGCGAGGGGCGCGACGGCCGCGGTGCAGGACGCGGCGAGCGGCATACTGGGACGCGCAACCGTCACGTAGCAAGGGCAGCTCCTGACACCGAATCGAGTCTTCCCGCGGTGTCCCGGCTTCGCAGACAGTAGTGCCCGTGCCGCTGGAGGCCCGAGCGCCTTGAACGGCGCCGGACCGCATGGAGAGCCGGCATGACGTGAACGGTAGTACCGCCAGTCTTCCTGGGGCTGTTCGTTGGGGACTCGCGGGCACGGGCTCATTGCGCAGCGACGATGAGCGCTCCGGGGGACGTTCTTATCGCTCATCGAGCAAAGCGCGTTCCTGCCCGCACGTCGTCGGCGCATTGCGCGAGCCCTAACGGACGGGCTTCTACGCGAGCTCACGCGGCGAGACGCGGTCTAGAAGGATCCCACGCCCTCGCAGCCGATAGCGATAGCTGTTGAGCTCGACCGGCCACAGTTTCATCGCCGCCTCGGCGCGCTAGGCGGCCTCTACGGCAACAGAGCACACGCCGAAGGTCGCCTTCGCGGCCAGGCCGCTCGAATCGGCTCGATTCCGCGGCCGGCGGCGCCATGCACTCGGCTCTCTGCCCGCTGGCTGCGCGGCCAGCCGCGGGGCGCGTCGTGCGCCACGGCAGCTCCAAATCCCTGCACTTTCGTCGCACAGGGGCCGCTGGGAGGGTGAACAGGGTGCGTTCTTCGCGCTGCCGCGCCCAGGATGAAGACGGGCCGTCAGGGACGTCGATGGAGTCGCAGGTGGGAGCGGGGCAGGCGGAATCTCCAAGTCCATCTTCCATCGGATCCGTAGGAGACGTCATGGACCCGTACAAGGCCGCGAACATCCGGCTCACGAACCTCCTGTCAGGGGTTGGCAGGTGCGGAGACGGCGCGCTGCGTCCTAGCCGCTGCGCAGCGCCAGCTCGCGCGCGATCCTGTCCGCTCTCGCGGATGTTTGTGCGGCCGTGTGCGGCGCCTCGCGCGGTGCCGCGCGTGTGTGCCCGCACGAGTGGCTGCATCTGAGGACGCTGAGTGCGCGTGTGGCTGCACGCAGCGGCGACGACGAGATGTTTGATCAAATTTTGCGGGAGGAGGCGCCGTGGACGAAAGTGGGGTTCGCGCTGGGCTCGGGCGGGCTCGTGGCGGCGGGCGCGAGCCTGATCTGCTTCCTCTGCGAGCTAGCGGGCCAGCGCGCCGACATTCTCGGCGGGGCGACGCTCACGCTCGACAGCCTCGCGGCCGCTGCAGTGGGCCTCGTGGCGGGCATCCCTCTCGCGGGGCTGCGCGCGGTGATATGGGGCCCGGACATCCGCAGCCGCCTGTCCTCGGTCAACAAGATGGTGGAGCTCGAGGAGGAGTACTACCAGCCCATCCTGGCGGGCATGAACGATGTACAAGCCGCGATCACTTTGACCTCTGAAGTGCTGCCCACGCTGCTCATCCTGCTGCCGGCCGCGCAGTACGGCCTGACGTTCTCCTACGGCGTGTACTGCGAGCTCACCGCGCAGCTGGTGCACGCGAAGGACCTCGACGTCACAGCGACCTCGGAAACATTGGCGCTGCTGACGACGGCGGCGCTGACGGCCATCGGGCAGCTGGTGAACGGCAGCATCAGCGAGGAGCAGAAGCAGACCGTCGACGACGCGCTCGAGAACGCCGACAGGTGCGCGCTCGGCCGCCCCGCCCCTGCCGCGCCAATCGAGGCGCGCCAGCGCATCCGCAGACTCTGATTCTCGTCTCGTGGTGCCGCGGAAGCGCAGGTACTACCGGCTGATGTGGATGCAGCCGGGGCGGACGCAGGAGGACGCGCAGGACGCGCGGCGGGCGTTCGAGTACGTCGCGCGCACCTACGTCGACACGTGGCAGGAGGCCTCGCGGTTGTCCGCCATGCTAGCCGCGGGCGAGGTCATCTACCTGGGGCTCCTGTGGCGCGCCACGGGCGACCTGTGGGCGCCCTTCGTCGCCGCGATGCTCCCGCACATGGTCGACTTCTACTTCGTGCGGAAGCGCATGGACACCGCGTCAGCCTAGTGTCAGACGCAGAGGGGGGTGTGATTGCCGTTGGGTGCCGTTGTGGAGCGGAGTGTGAGCCGCAGCGGACGTGCGTAGCTGTCACATACCGCACGGACTGCGGGGCGGTCGTGGCGTAGCGTGAGCGAGCGGTGCAGGGTGGGACAAGAATGGAGGGGGGGGGTGTTGAGACGAATCACGTGGTGCGTCGAGGGAGCGTCACGTGGCCTGTCTTGCCCGTTCTTTCTCCTCCTTGACGCGGTTCGGCCCGTAGAACAGCCACGAGTTCATGACGCCTCCGTTGAGCTCGTTGACAAAGTGGGGGTTCCGCAGCGCCTCGCGGAAGGTTCCTTCCTGGAGCTGCTTCAGGAACCACAAGCACCGCGGAAACACCAGCATGCGCGCGTACTCCGGCCTGCACCGATGCGCACGGCCTGGCAATCAGGACGGAGCACACTGAGCCCAGGCTGCTGCAGGGCGTGCCGTGCTCGGGTAGGCATGGGAGCGCGCGCGGGCGTCGGAACGGAATGATCGAGGTGTCTTACCTGTGCCAGTACTGCAAGTAGTCAAGATACGCGACCATGGCGGGGTCGCTCAGACGTTTTGTCATAGCCAGCCACTGAAGGTACTGTGGGTTTCCCAGGCACTGCACGAACTCCAGTTCGGCCGTGAATCGCTCCTGCTCGCTGCAACCTGTCTCGGACGGATCGACTCTGCGCACCACAGGGCTTGTGTCGCCGGCTCAGCCCGCTGAAGCCAGCAATGAGTGTCAGGGGCAACGCCGCTCGAAATTGGCACATGACAGCCTGTCTCGCGGCGCCAAGAATGGTACTACTCACCTGAGGGCGTCGGGCCCCGGAAACGAACGTTCGGAGCCCTCGCTCGCCGATGCGGCGTCAACCTCCATGATGATGAGACTTTTCTGCCCCGTTCCGTCACAGGATAGTCGTTCGGAGGCCTATGTCTAGCGTACAGCGCGAGTGGAGGGGGCACGCAGCTGCGCGCGCCGGTGGCGTCGCCGGCGCGGCGTCCCTGACGCGCCCCGGAGGCCACTCGCTTGCACCGCTGTCAAGCGACCGTGCCGTCAGGCTTCCAGGCGGGCGGAGAGCGCGGCCGCGCACCACTGCGCGGAAGTGCCGACACGGAGGACCGCGCGGCGATCGTCGCGGCAGACGTCTGCCCCGCAACAACGGCCCGCGGCCGTGGCGCCTGGGTGCGACGGAGCAAAGTGCTTTGCGGCGCGCGTGGCCCTTGGTTGGGGGCGAAAGCTCGCAGCGATAGCTCGCAGTGTAGTCGACTAGCTGGACATTCGACTGCCGCGCGGGCGCCATGTTTGCCAAGCTCTCTGCTCTGGTATCCGGGGCTGGGCTCCCCTTCACGCTCGGTGCGCACCGCGGGGCCGCGTGGGGGCAGTGGCAGCTGTACGACGGGACGTGGAAGGAGGACAGCTCGAGGTGCGCACGGACGTCCATCCCGCGCACCGCACCGCCCGTTGTCGCGGCCACGAACTTGCTTTGCGCAACACACGGCGCTCCGGCCGCCCCGTAGCTCGCGGGCCTGACCGCACTCGGTCACCATCGCCGCGCCTGCCTTTCTGCCGCATACGGCGACAGCTTGCGCGGCCGCGCGCGGCCAATTTATCACGCACGCACCCCTGCGAGGGATCCCTGCTACCTGCTTCGCGGCAACCTAGCGTCCCGTTCCGACACTCTCACACCGCCGCGATGCCGCCACCGCGCGCAGCGTATCAATCATGAAGATATCCTCCCGGGACCCGACCGACCGCGCCCTCGAGGCCGCGCGCAACGGAGTCAAGCGCCTGCGCGCTACGAAGCACCCCAACATCCTCGCATTCAAGGGCTCCCACGAGGTCCGCAGCCGCTCACCGTCCCCGCCACCCTAGCGCAGCTAGCGCTCACGCGCACGGGCCTGCGAACCGCCGCCCGACCGCCGTGCGGCCCCAATCGTTGCGCGGGCGCGTCGCGTTGCGTGCGCAGGCGGAGGAGAAGGGCGAGGCGGTGATCTACCTCGTCACGGAGCAGTTCCAGCCGCTGCCGATGGCGCTGACGGAGATGCAGCTCGAGCCCGCGGAACGAGAGGACTGGTTCGCAATGGGTCTCAAATCTATATTTCAGGCGGTGACGTTCCTCTCGAACGACTGCAAACTCATCCACGGCAACGTGTGCCTGTCGTCCGTCGCCGTCACGACCGACCTCGACTGGAAACTCTTCGCCTTCGACCTGCTCTCGGAGCACACAGGCGCGCCGCCACCTCGCTCTGCGCACCGGCCTGCACGCCCGCCCTTCGCGCCGCCTCGGCCTCCGTCCGCGCACGCGCTCTCTCTCAACAACCGCATCGCGCACAGCCGCGGATCGCTGCGAGCGCCCGCCGCCGTCTCTGCCTGCAGGCGCGACGTCCGGTGGAAACTTCCCGCTGTTCGCCGCCACGATCCTGACCTCGCCGCACCGGCTGCCTGGCGAGGTGGCCAGGGGGGACTGGGACACGGTCGCGCGGTCCCCGCCCTGGGCCGTCGACGCGTGGGGCCTGGGGGTGTTGCTGCAAGAGGCGCACGCCGGGCAGCCCCTCGCGCGGCAGGAGGACCTCCGCAACCTCCAGACGCTCCCGCACGGCCTGCACAAGTCGTACCAGACGCTGCTGGCGTCCACGCCGGCGAAGCGGGCCAACCCCGCGCAGGTCCTGGAGGGGTGTCACCACCTGCGACAGTCGCGCGCCGCCGAGGCGGTGGCGTTCCTCGAGGGCCTCGCGATCCAGTCGGACGAGGCGAAGGCGGCCTTCTTCAAGCGGCTGCCGTCGACGGTGCTCCCGCACATCCCGCAGCAGCTCGCCGCGCGGCGCCTCCTGCCGCTGCTGTCTCGCGCCCTCGAGTTCGGTGAGACACCCCCCCCCGCCCCTCTCTTTCCCGTCGTCGCTCATAGACATGATGGCAGACGTTGTCGAGCGATTGGTGGCGCTTATTTGGTGTTTGTTCGCGGGAAATATGAACCGAGGACCATTGTGGTGTGCGTGCAGGGGGTGCGCCGCCGACGGCGCTGGAGTCGCTCCTGGCGATCGGTTCGCGGCTCGAGCAGGCGGACTTCGAGGCGCGCGTGGTTCCGACGCTCGCGAAGCTCTTTTCGTCGCAGGACCGCGCCCTGCGCGTGTCGCTGTTGCAAACCATGGACAAGTGCGGGCACCTTCTGAGCGACCACGTGGTGGAGACGCAGATCTACCCGAACGTCTCCACGGGCTTCTCCGACACCGTGCCGTACCTCCGCGAGATGACCCTCAAGTCCATGCTGATCCTCGCGCCCAAACTCAAACAGAAAACCCTAATCAACAGTTTGCTCAAGCACCTAAGCAAGCTGCAAGTCGACAACGAGCCCGGCATCCGCGCGAACGCCACGATCCTCCTCTCCAACATCGCGCGGCACCTCGGCACCGCGCAGTGCCGCAAGGTCCTTCTAAACGCCTTCACGCGCGCACTCAAAGACCAGTTCCCGGCATCGCGGTCCGCGGCGCTCAACGCCCTCGCGGCGACGCTCGAGTACTACACGCCGCGCGAGATGGCCGAGCGCCTCCTGCCGGCCACCGCGCCCTTCTGCGTGGACCTCGACGGACCCGTACGCCAGGCGGCGCTGCGCTGCGTGGATGGCACGATGGCCGTGATGCGCGAGACGTCGAAGAAGCTCGAGAACGGCGAGGGCGGTATCGACGCCGCGGCCTGCGAGTCCGCGTCCGCCACCGCGCCCGGCGCGGCCGCCTCCGGCGGTGGGTACCTGTCGTGGGCTGCGGGGCTGATCAAACCCACGCTCGGCGGCGCGAGGGCGGAGAAGGAGCAGCAGGGCTCCGCCGCAGCTAGCGCGCCGCCCGCAGCGCCTCCGCCGCCGCCTCCGCCTGCGCGGCCGGCTGCGGCGGTGCCGGCGCCTGCGCCGCTGATCGACGGCGCTGCGGACGACGGCTGGGGCGACGACGACGACGCGTTCGCGGACATGCTGGGCAGTGCGGCTCCGGCCTCGACGGCCACGGCTCCGGCGGCCAGTGCCGCGCCCCCCGCCGCGGCGTCCAGTGCCACCGCTGGTGGGGACGGGTGGGGCGACGAGGACGCGCTGTGGGAGAGTTTGGCGAGCTCTGGAGGCGGCGGGGCTGCGGCGGCGCCTGCGCAGCCCGCGGCGCGCGGTGGAGGGCCGCCGATGCGGGCGAGAGCGGCGGCGGGGGGGCGCGGCGGGGGCCGGGCGATGAAGCTTGGGGCGCAGAAGCTGGGCGTGCAGAAGCTGGGGGCCGCCAAGGTGGACGACGACGCGTTCGGCGACCTGCTAAGCTGACGCTGGCTCTCTGTGACGCGTTCGAATGGGCCGGTGACACTTGCTATCATTTTGATATGATTTTGATATGATTCTGTGTCCGGAGGAATGATTTTGTGCGAGGGGCAGGTCGCGGGCCGTGGAGCGGGTGGCTGTGCAGCCCGCCTTAGTGCGCGCTCCCGATCCGCTGCGGGATGCGCCGTACTCCGGATTTTAGAAGGCTTCAGAGCACTTGCGTGAAGCTCTCATTGAGCTACGAGGCGGCAGCCCGCACCGTGCGGACTTCGTTCCCACCCGCTGTTGGCCGTGACGCGAACGAGACATCGTTGCCCAGCACCGGCCGCCGGTTGTCCGCCTAGACGACGCTGAAAGGCACCGCTGTGTCAGGCCAGGGGGCTGCTCTGCTGGACTCCCCGGCGCGGGCCTCGCCCGGCGCTTTCCGCAGCTGCGCGGCCGCCGCGCCGGCCAGTTGAGTTGCGAGCGCTGTCGGCCGGGTTTCGCGCCCGTCGGCGGCCTTGACGTCGCTCCCGCGCTGGCACCTGCAAACACCGCGTGCTCTCGCGCCCCCTCGCGCGCTTGGAGGGACATCTCAGGCGAGTTCGCGGGCCCCGACGTCACGACCACTAGCTGCACGCTGCACGTCGCCCCCTGTGTGCACTAGAGAGCGCTCGCCACTGCGCCCTGGGAACCTGCTGCCGCGAAAGTGCGCCGCTGCACACGCCCGCCTCCGCGCGCGCGGAGCCGGGGCAACGACCGACCGGTCAGAGCGCAGACGCGCAGATTCGTGCCCTTGCGCCGCGCAGAGCGTCCGTGGGTCGGTTGTCGCGCGGTTCACGGCGAGACCCATGGAGGCTCATTTCCCAGTCAAAGAGGAGTGGTTGGCAGATGGCGGGAAGGCCGCGCGCGCGCGCTTCCGGGCGCAGTTCGAGACCATGTGCAAGGACTTCGACAGGGACGTCGTGCTGGAGACGATGAAGCTGTCCCTCGAGCGGTACCCAACGCTCCACCCGATGACTCTGCTCTTCCAGGAGGAGCTCAGGACCATCGCGGCGGAGGCCAGCGGGGAGCCGGCCGAGGCGATGGAGATGGGCGCGGCCACGCCCAAGGCCAAGCGGAAGCCCAGGCGCAAGCCCAAGTCCACGCCCAAGCCCGCGGCCGCCCCCGCGGCCGGCATGAGTGTCCGCGAGCCCACGCGCACCACCCGGCGCACCCTCATGGGCAAGTGGACGGCGGTGCACACCGACCTGCCGCCGCGCGAGCACTGCCTCGCGGTGCACGAGGAGCTCCAGCGGATCGCCGCGGCCGCGAACCCGAAGTTCGGCGTCCTGCCGGGCCCAAAACACCCCCCCTTCCCCGCGCCGGACTTCTCGGTCGCCGAGTGCTCGCCGATGTTCCTGGAGTGCACGCCGGTCAGCGACGACGCCGATGTGGAGCCCCCGGAGGTCGTGCTGCGCTACGTGCGCGGGACGCTCATCGTCGACCCGGTGTTTTGCCAGGCAACGCGCACTCGGTGTTGGAGGACCAGCGGGGCAGCACGGCCGTCCTGGTGGTCGAACACGCGTCGGTGCTCGGGGACGCGCGCGCGCTGTTCGCGAAGGGCGCGACGCTGACGATCATGCAGCCCGCGCTGGCGGAGTTCGAAGCGAACGAGGTCCCGCACCCTGAGATGCCAAACATCAGCAAGCTGCACCTGAGCCTGGTCGCGGAGAACCCCAGGTGAGGCGCACGCGCGCGGACGGCCGCGAGCGTGCAGTCGAGCTGGACGGGCGCGTGCCACACTGTCCTTTCGAACTGTCTGTTCGATTTAGCCTCGGCATTTCTTCCTGGGGGTGTGTTTCGCAGGAAGGTGGTGTTCACGGACGGCCTGACGCCGCTGGACGCGGAGGGGTGGGTCGAGGAGGGCGACGACATGATGGCGAAGCAGCTCGTGCCGGAGGCGCCCCTGTTTTACGAGCTCGCGGTCAGGAGCGCAGACCCCCACCACCTGCTGTCGAGCACGATGCTCAACATGTCCGCGGCGTACCTCGCGACCGGCGAGCACCACGCCGCGCTCGCGATGGCGCTCGCGGGCCACGCCGTCGACGCCGCCAACCCCAAGGCGTTCTTCCGCGCCGGCTGCGCCCTCGCGGAGATGTCGCAGCACTGGGCGGCGCTCGCCGCGTTCGAACAGGCGCGCGACGCCGGCGCGGGCGCCGACGCCGACGTGCAGCGCCACATCGAGCGCGCGCGGCAGGCGGCGGAGGGCACGACCCGCCCCGACGGCCCGTTCGCGCAGCTCGCCCTGCGTCAGGTCGTCGAGGGGTACAAACCGGGGGATGTGTTGTTCGAGAAGCAGGACCGCGTTCCCCGCCCGGCGGCGCTGCGCTCCCCCGCGGCGCGGCTGGAGGCGATGCGCAAGGCCAAGGAGGAGGGCAACGGGTACTATCGCATCAAGAAGTACAACGAGGCGTTGCGTGCGTACGGCGCAGTGCTGGCGAGCGCGAAGCCCGTTGCCGGCGCGCTGGGGAAGCTGTCGCGATGCCGCGGCATGCTGTCGCGCGAGCGCGACGACCTGCTGGCGGCCGCGCTCGCCGCGCTGGCGGGCATGGCGATCGACGCGACGTGCGAGAGCGCAAAGGTGCACTTCGTGCAGTGCCTGATGCACCTCGACGGGTTCGCCAAGGCCGCGAAGGCCACGCCGGCGTACAAGGTGTTCCAGGCGGCGCGCCGCGAGCGCACGGCGCAGGCGGCGGCGGCGGCGGCGGCGGAGTCGGGCGCCAACGCGGCTCACGCTGCGAACGAGGACGCTGGCTCGCCGCAGACGATCAAGAACTCGCCTGCGCCGTCCCCGGCAGCGGCCGACCGCGGCGGCAGCGACAGCGACAGCGACATGCCCGGACTCGTCCCCTTCGACGACGCGCCGCCCTCGAGCGAGCGCAACGGCGCCGTGTCGGCAGCCAGCAGCGACAACGACAGCGACGTCGAGGTCAAAGCGTTCGACCCGCTCGGCCTGCTGTCCGAGGCCTCACCGATGCAGTCTGCCCTGAATGCGTTCAACGACATCCTGGACGACATGGCCGAGGCCAGGGCGTCGACAGCGCATCGCGAGGGCCCGCAGACGACCGTCCGGGAGGAGGCGGAGCGCGCGACGGAAGCCGCTGCGGAGAAGGTGGCCGAGGTCGACGACGGCGCGGTGTCTGCCACCAGCAGCGACGATGGGGCTGTGTCGGTCGCAAGCAGCGACGACGGCGCGGTGTCGGCTACCGGCAGCGACGATGGGGCTGTGTCGGTCGCAAGCAGCGACGACGACAGCGAGGTCGAGGTCAAAGTGTCCGACATAATTGACCAGCTGTCCTCGGTGTCCCTGACTGACCTCCCCGCCGGTGCGCTCGACGGCGTGATCGAGACCCTGACGACCAACATCGAAACGGCGGAGCGCCAGACGAAAGAGTGCCGCCAGATCCTGCGGAAGATCGTCAGACAGGCGCACGCCGCGCGCCAGGCGCAGGCGCAGGCGTCCGGCGCGGCGGCGGCCGAGGAGGAGCAGGACGAGTCGCACTTGTTCAACTCTACGTTCGCGGACCGCCTGCCCGCGCTGCTGGCCACCCTGCGGCAGAATAAGTCGGTGTTCCGCCAGTACGGAATCCAGGGTGTGCTGCTCAACCTGCCCCGGAAGGACATCGTGCGGTTCGACAAGGAGTTCGCAGCGGCGGGCCTGTGGCCCGAGGGCATCGACAAGAAGACGTGGCAGGCGCGGATCGCGGCGGCGTACAAGATGCAGGGCATGCAGGCGGTGCATGATGTCGGGGCGCTCGTCTGCCCCGGGAAGATCGCGAGGGAGGCGATCGCGCGGTTCCTGCCCGAGCGGATCGGCGTCGCGGAATTCGGCGACGAGCACCGGTGGTGGATGGACAGCGCGACGCTGCCGGGGGACGTGCTGCACGAGCACCGCCGTGTGTCTGACGGGCGCGCCGTGGCCGCGCACGAGGGCCTGCCGGTGTTCGCGGCGTTCGTCGGCGCGCCCGCGGCGCTGGGCGCGGCCGAGGTGTGCGTGGCGGTCGGCGCGACGGACCTGACGTGGCTCGCAACGTCCCTGGTAGGGGGGGTGTCGCCAAACGCCGAGAAGGCCGGCGCGCTGCGGTACGTGGCGTTCGAGGACTCGGCGTACGCTGCGGCGAAGATGATGGTCATCGCGGAGATGCTCCGGCACGCCGCGGCGCGCCTGCTGCCGGGGGAGCGCGTCTCGGACGACGTCGTGCGCGCCGTCGTCGAGGCATGGTGGAGCTCGTCGTGGACCCAGGACACGCACGACCGCTTCCAGCAAGCCGCCGCGGCCCTCAAGTTCTCCGACCTCGCGCAGGAGGAGGACGCGTCCGACGCGAACGCCGTCCACGGTGACGTCAGGCGCGTGATGCAATCCTGGCTGGTCGAGACCATCATCGACCGGCCGCATGCGGAGGCGGAGGCGCACCGGGCGTTCCGCCAGACGCGGGAGTTCAGCTGCGCGATGCCCGTGGGCGACTGGAAGTCGTCGCGCGACACCAACGCGCTCATCCGTTACATGCTGACGGGGGCGGTGTACGACGGTCCCGCGGCGCACGCCAGCGTGACGATGTTCGGCGAGGACGAGCCGTCCATGCCGGCCACGGCGACCTTCATGCAGGCGCTGTCGAACGCGGAGCTCGCGGCCGCGTTCGAAGCCGTGGGCGACGACGCGAGCGTGGTCGAGGCGGCGCGGTGGGCCGTCGAGCGCAAGGTCAGGGCGCTGGTCGACGCGGTCGCGGACGGGACGGTCCGCGTCGACGTGCGCTACACCGGCGAGCTGGGCTGGGATGCGTTGCAGAGGCTCGCGGACGACGTCGGGCGGATGGGCCCAAGCGTAGTGGTGTGGGGCGACAGGGTGGCCGACTCGTTCGGGACGCTGGACTGGAAGGAAGTGCTGGACCGCTGCTCGCGGCCGCTGGGCACGAAGCACTTGATCAACAGGTGCGCGCGCAGACCTGCGTCATGTCGATGTACGATCTGTCATGGTTGATTAATTATTCAATTGCTTAATCGGCGTTTCAGTGTGGACAGTTGGCGGCATTCCGCCGCGGCCCCGCGCGGACCCCGCGCCCCGATTGCTGGCTCGGGCGTCGTCTCCGCGTGACCCTCGCCCTCTCCGCCCTGTCCGTGCAGCGGCAAGTGGGCGAACCAGACGTACGGCACGCACATGATCGACTACCGCAAGCTGGGCACCCCGGAGCACCTTGCCAAGATGATCTACGAGGCACAGACGTGGATCAAGCAGCAGTACAAGGGCGACTGGCGCGCTGCGCGCCTCGTCGCGCCCCCGGTAGACTGCATGCGGGTGCTGACGCAGAGCCAGCTGACGAGCGTCTGGCACGAGGTCTTCGCCCGCGCGCACTGCGAGGAGGCGCTCGATGTCCCGGAGGACAAGTGGGCGGTGGCGCAGCCGCCGGAGCACTCTGTGTTCCGCAGCTGTCACGCGCTGATGACGATGGAGGTGGAGTGGCGCAAGCCGGCGACGAAGGCGGCGAAGAAGAAGAAGAAGAAGAGGGGGACGAAGTGAGGACCGCGTGCGGGCGCAGGCGGCCTCAGACGCACTGTGGCAGCCTGGCAACGCCCCCGACCCCCCCCCTGATGCGGGACAGCCGTTGAACGACACCGGAGTTGATGCTTAGGTTCACCGCCCTGGTGACAATGGAGCGGGCCGTGTGAGGCAGCTCCGCTGGTGCGCCACGGACGCGCCGGCGCCGCGGGCGAGGCACACGTAAATCGTTCGTCAGGCGGATGCCGCCTCGGTGGTCGGACTGAGACTGACGCCGCCGCGCAGGGCGAGCAGGTGGAATGCGCGCGTGGATCGTCGCCTCCCTCGCGGCCATGGCGGCGCAACCAGACGCGTTAGTCGCAACTGATCTCTCGATACATTGTTGGTCTGAACAGCAGCAGCAGCAGCGCTCGATGGGTCGCGCTCGAACAGGAAGGCGGTCCATGCGCTGACCGCCATGCAGGGGCGTCTGCGCCGCCCCGGCGGCGACTTGCGGTCCCCTACCGCGCCCGAAACCATCTCCTGTCTTCGAGGGAGGCAATGCGCGTGCGTCCGGGATTCGGTCGAGGCTTGCGGTGCCTGAGTGGCACGTTTCGATCCGTCCTCGCCTAGCGGGCGCAACCTCCGTGCGCGCGGGTGCTGTGACAGGCCGAACTGCGACGTGCAAGAGCTGCTGTTGTGCGTCGCCGCGCCGTGCTCACAAACACCAGACTAACAGACAGCTATCCACGTCCGAGTTCCGCGTCTCATCGCCGATCAACAGAGCCGCAGTTGCCCCAACACCAGGCGCTCGCCGCCCCCACGGAGCGCGCTGAAAGCACCGCCCAGTCTCCGCAGTGCCGGAGTGACGCGCCAACGCGGTGCGAAGCCGCCGCACTCGCCCACAAGGACCATCGGCAACGTCTGGTGCCGCACGGCGGCGGGCCGCTCCTCCTAGCACGCCGTGCCGCGCAGGAAACCTCGGCCCGTCGATTTGGACGACCACCGCTTCTACCTCAGCGCGGGCCGAGCGGCATTGAGGCCGCTGCGGTCCGCGCGCGCTGCGCAACTCGGATCACACGTGTTCAGGTAGCTCGACGTCAAGATGTTCGCCGCTCGTTTCGCCGCCAAGCCCGTCGCCGGCCGCGCCGTGCAGGTGCAAATCCCGATGCGCTCCCCGCACAGCCCGCACCGCGACGGCCGCTCCGTGCGCGTCCAGCGCGCGGTCGATATCGTACCGGCTCGCGAATCTCTGCCCCGCGAGCGCCAGCGGAGCCGCGCTGCCGTTCTTGCGGAAGAGCGCCTCGGTGCCGTCCCTGATGGGGGGGAAATCGAGGGCCGGTGGTCCCCGGACCGCTCCGCTCGTATCCGCGATGACACGCTGAAATCGCTGCCATCCAGCCTGCGCCACGCACGCCGCTCAAGTCTCTCCCCCCGCTCCGCCCTCGATGCAGGCTCGCAAGCCCGTGGCCGCCCGCCGCGTGGTGTGCATGGCCGTGGTGAGCCCCCCGCCCCCGCCGCAACTGGCAAACAAAACCACCAGCGCGCACCGCCGCGACGCAAATGCGCGTGCCGCGTCGCGCGCGCACCGCGGGCGATGCCCGTCTGCTCCCAGCGCCCAAGCCACCATCATCCAGTGCCCCTGCGCCCCCCACGCAGCCAGCCTCGCAGCGTCCTCACTCGCCATCACCGCAGCCGTCCAGCCCCTCGCCGCCCGCCACGTCGCGCGGCTCGTCCTGCCCCCACCGGCTCCGCCCGCGCACCTCCCCGAGCTCACCCACCAGGAGCCCCGCTCTGGTGGCTGCAGGACAAGGCCAGCGTGCTGAGCGACGTCCGCGGCATCATCGCCGAGCAGCTCGGCATGGAGATGGACAAGGTCGAGGGCTCGTCGAAGTTCGTGGACCTCGGCGCGGACTCCCTGGACACGGTGGAGATCATGATGGCTCTGGAGGAGAAGTTCGACATCCAGCTGGACGAGGAGGGTGCCGAGAACATCGCCACCGTCGACGACGCGGTGCGTGCCGCGCGCCCAGCCGCTCGCAGCGGTCCCCGGGCGCGAGAGGGCGTGGGCGGCGCGGGGAGGCGCGCACGCCCCCGCCGGCGCGTGCGAGCCCGCGGAGCCCTGACCGCGCCCGCACCGGTTCGTGCTTGCAGGCCAACATGATCGCCGAGAAGGTCGGCGCCAAGTAAGGTCGCTCTGGCCGCCCCGGGGCGCACCATTGTCGGGCGAGGAAACAGCGGACGAAGTTGACGGTCGCGGTGGTGTGATTCCGAAGACGCACTCGCGCGCACGCTCGCGACGGTCACGCTTCACACGCACTGTCGCGGAGCGCTCTGTCGCTCCCAAGGCCAATCGGCGGGCCGCTGAATCTCTGCATGCAAACGCCGGCTCCCTCCGCCGCGCCCTGCGCACCGCGAAGCGGCGCCGCGTCCGCCGCGCGCACCTCGGCGCCCACGCCGGGGCCGCCCGGCGGCCACCAGCGCTCATCTAGGTCGCCTCGGGCGTGCCGTCCGAGCTGTTCGCCGCGGTGTGCAGGCCGAGCGCGGCCTCTTCCTCCGGGGTCATCGGCTTGAGGTCGAATACCTGCAGGTTGCCCTCGTCGTCCTGGGACCACTGCACCTTCATCAGCATGCCCTCGAACTCCCCCGCCGCCATGCGAACCACCTCCGCGCCGAGCGGGATCTGCACCTCGCGCCCGTCCTCCATGAGGAACGCGAACGTGCGGCCCTCGCCCGACAGCGCGTCGATCTCGGCGTTCCGCGCAATCGTCAGGAACACCTCCTCGAGCGACGCTGTCGACAGCTGCACGTCCGCGACGCCCAGCGCCTTCCCGTGCTGCTCGAGCCCCTCCATGAGCGCGCGGATGCTCACCCCGCCCGCCGCGTCCCCGGCCTTGTCCTCGCGCGGCAGCACGTACGTCAGGAACCCGGGGGTCTCTTCAAAAGGCTCCAGCCCGCATTGCTCCTTCATAAACGCACGGATGCGCTGCACGCGCGCCGCGTGCTCGAGCGCCGCGGGGTCGTTGTCCTCCACGCCCGTGCGCAGCGCCGCGAGCGTCTTCCCCTGCACGCGCTCGATTGTCACGTACAGATTGTAACCGGCGCCAAAACGGCCCTTCAGGTGCAGCGGCGTGCCGACGCAGCGCAGCTTGCCGCGCGCCATGATGCCGATGCGGTCGCCGAGGATGTCGGCCTCCTCCATCGAGTGCGTCGTCAGGATGATACACCGCCCCTTCTTCGCCCGCTCGATGATGTCCCACACGAAGCGCCGCGAGACGGGGTCCATCCCGGTCGTCGGCTCGTCGAGGTAGACGATCGACGGAGACCCCAGGAGCGCGAGCGCGACGGACAGCCGGCGCCTCATGCCCCCGGAATAACTCCCCACCCTGACGCGCTGCGCGTCTGTCAGCGCGACCTCGTGCAGCAGCTGCGCGCAGTGCGCCTGCCGCGCCGACCGCACGACGCCCTTGATGCCGCAGTACAGATCGAGGTGCTCGAGGCCCGTGAGGCGGTCCCAGAGCACGTCGAACTGCGGACACACCCCCATGTTGCCACGTGTGCGATCGAGGTCCCCTGGGTTGCTGAGGGGGCGGCCGTCGACGAGGACGTCGCCCGAGGTGGGCGACGTGACGCCCGTGAGCATGTTGAACGTCGTCGTCTTGCCCGCGCCGTTCGGCCCGAGGAGGCAGAAGAGGTGGTTGCGCTCGACCTGCAGCCACGTGCCCTCGACTGCCGCGAAACCGCGCTTGCCGCGCAGGAACCCGCCGCCGAAGACCTTGCGCAGGCCGAACATCTCGATCGCGTACTCGCGCGACGCGGACGGCTCGTGCCCCGCGGCCACCTCGTGCAGGCGGTCCTTAGCTGCGAGGGCGGCGGCGCACACGTCCGGGTCGCCCTCGGAGGCGTCGGACGGGTGGCGCGCCGCGTCGCGCTCCACGGCGCGCACGGCGCCCAGGGAGCCCGCGGTGACCCGCGCGGACCAGTACGAGGGGTACAGGAAGTAGAACGGCGGCAGCGAGTTCCCTGCAGTTGCAGGGGGGGGTGTTGCGGTAAGGGGGGGTGTGTTGTTTTTTCGTTTTCTGGGCGCGCCGGCGCGCGAATGGTGTGCGATGCGGATCGGCGCGGGCGCGGGCGGTTCGGGTCTGACCTGACTCGTTGGTGATGACGTTGTCCAGGTAGATGCCAAGGATGGTATAACCGACCCACAGCGCGAACAAGATGTTGTAGATGTCGCTGAGGGGCATGATGCAGTTGCAGTCGACGTACTTGTCGCCCGGGTAGCAGATGTCCTCGGGCCAGTCCTCAGGGTCCAGGAAGAAGTAGTCTTTGCAGTAGCTCTCGCGCTGGCCCCACTCGAGGCCGTTGGTGCCCGTGCTGGCGGTGCCGAGGTCGCCGATGCCCTTGCTGAGCAGCGCCCAGGGCATGAGCGTGAAGATCGCGTACGGCAGGCCGCTCCCGAACCCGCTGAGCTCGGGCGTGAAGGGGAACCCAAAGAGCACGGCGATCTGAATGATCCACCCGAGGAGGAAGAGGATGAACCCGATGTTGGTCGCGACCTGCGCCGACTTGAGGAAGGCGGCGACGACCAGCGCGAACCCACTCATGGCCATTTGGAAGAGCAGGACTAGGAAAAACATGAGTGGGAAGTCGTTCTTCAAGAAGAGGTCGAACTGGAGCAGGTACCCGAAGCTGACGAGCGTGAGCGTCGAGAAGAGGTCGAACACGAGGTGCCACGACACCCACGACAGCCAGAACGCGCTGTCCAGCATCCCCATCGTACGCAGGCTCTGGCGCAACCGCTTCTCCTTCTCCGTGACGATGTCCGCGATCTGCAGCACGAAGCCGAACAGCGCGGCCGCGAACACGAAGTTCCCGCCCGCGGCGCCGACGATGCTGAAGCTGGACACGACCGGGTGCGCGAACTCGCTGAGCGACCACCGCCACGTCAACCGCGAAGCCACGTCGGCGCCCACGTCGCGGTTCACGAAGTACCGCGCGATCTCGCGCTCCACGGCGACCTGAAGCGGAACGCGCACGAACCGGTCCGGGCTCTGGTACTGCCCCTTGAAGAACTTGGGCGTGCTGTTTGTCTGAATGCCAAACTCCATCGCAGTCGTGGTGACGTTGACGAAGTGCACTGCGGACAGGAGGCGCTCCGGGTTGGCGAGCATCCAGTCGTCCGTCTCCGTGGGGTCGTTGAAGGACAGAACCTTCTCCTGCGGGCCGGCGCGGGGGCGGGAAGCGCGTTGTGTGGGGAGGGGTGTGCGCGCGGCGGCGTGCGCGGTGGGATGTGCGGCGGGGGGCGGGGGTGGGCGTGGGGTGTTGTGGGCCAGTGCGCGGACCTGCGGGATCGGCGGGTCGTTGTTGGCCATGACGCTGGCGATCACGGCGTCAACGGCGGCATTGTTCGAGGGCGTGTAGGCCAGGGTGTAGCAGTCGAACGCCTTGTCCTTCATGAACATGTCCTCCTTGCAGTCAGGGATGTTCCTGCGCGGAGGGAACCCGCATATTCGCTCAGGCGCGGGCGAGCGGGCCGCGCTAGCAGCACACGCAAGACGGGCGAGCCGGCCGCTGTCTGCGCGCGCGGAAAACGTCCAAGACTCACGTGATGGCCTCGACGCCCGGCTCACGGACGTCCTTGAAGCGGTCCTGGCGCTGCGAGTCGTTCTTCACGGCCCAGTCGATCAGAAGGAGCATCAGAAGGAAAAAGAACGACGCGCACAGCTGGATGACCGTCGCGCGCCAGTTCCGGTACCCCAGGATGGTGTTCTTCTTGAAGAGGGCCACGTACTGCAGCGGACGGGGGCGGGAAGGCCGTGGGGCAGCTGCACCGGCGCCACGAGAGCAGGCTTCACCGAGGTAAGCACACGCGCGCTCATGAGCGCACGCGCACAGCAGCGCCGGATCTCCCCGCGCCGCGCACCGCGGACCGACGCTGCGAGCAATGCGCGCGCGCGCGCGAAGGAAACGCCGCGAACGGGCCGGGAACCCCGCCGCGAAACCGCCCGGCCTCGGCCGCAACGTGTGGCAGCGCGACGGCCGTCCGCGGGCGCGAGGTGTGCGCGCGGGAGGCGCGCGCGGGCGGCTCCTGCGCGCGGGTACGTCCCCGGAGGCCGCGGCTGCTCGGCGGAGGCGGAGCGGCGCCGGCACTCTCTGTGGCTGTGACCCACCTGCCCGGCAAAGCGTCTCGGCCAGCTGCGGGCGACCTCCGTGATGTCTTGCCCGGCGCGCGTCGCCGCGGGCTCCCCCATCGGTGCGTCCATGCTGGAGTGCGACACGGGCACCTCCTGTCCGATCAGCTCCTCGGGCGACACCCTTCCTCGCGGAGAGCCTTGTGCCATCGACGGCTCCTGCGGTGGGCGGGAGCGACTCGTCTGGCAAGTCCTGCAGATGCCAAGGTCGTGTGGGTGGGGTTCGGGTGACGGAGCGAGCGAGATAGCGCGCGGACGAGGGGTGGCGCAGTGCTGCACGAGCTAGAGGCGGTGCTATGAGCGCGGCGGTGTTGTTGTCGTGTTCGGGCATTGCCGCGCGGTCGCTTGCGCGGGAGGTGCGCGGGGCGGATGCGTGGCGTCGGCGGCGACGGATCGGGTGCGATCCTCCGACGTCACGGGGCGGGAACGCGTGGCAGGGCTTGTCACGCACCCTCACGATCAGCTCCACGCGCTGCTCGGCGCGAACGTCGGCTCGCGCGCGGTGTTCCTGCCCGCCGCGCACCGCGCGCCGGCCCGGAGAGCGCGGGAGCGGCGCAGGGGCCCTGCGCGGGGTTATACTGACTCCCAGACACCGAACAACGACCCCCCCCGCCTCCTCCCTGCGTGACATGGGGCCGGGCGGCGGCGGGGCGCGGCCTGTGACGGAACGCAGCCCGCGGGACCACCGGAACCGATCTTGGGACGCCGCACGACCGCAGCCGGCCCGGTCTGTTTCCTTGGGTGCAGGCGCGGGCGGGAACATGGCGTCGACGCCGGGAGGGCCGACGAGCCCGTCGGTGGACAGGCTGAACCGCGTGCTGGTGCTCGTCACGGAGCACGAGGCCCACGTCCGCGAGCAGGTCAGCCGCGCTGCGCTGCGGTCGTTGTTGTTGCCAGAGCCAAGCTGCGCCCGCAGCTCCGAGCGCGCGCGTTTCTCTCCCACGGCCCTCCCGGCGGCGGTTTCGATGAGAATGCAGGACATTAGGCTGGCGGACCTCTCGCGTCAGCTCCAGGAGGTGCGTGGCCAGCTGCAGCGGGACGTGGGCGAGGTGCGAGGGGCGCTCGCCAGCGGGCAGGGCGCCGGCTGGGGCGCCCGGGAGGCGACGGAGACGCGCGAGGAGCTCGACGCGGCGCGCAAGGCCGTCGAGCAGCTCCACGGGCAGATCGTAGCGATGGAGCGGGACGCCGAAGTGATGCAGGAGAGGCAAGACGACCTGGGGGGTGTCGTCGCGGACCAGAACCTCGAGATCGTCGCCCTGAAAGAACGACAGGTGCGAATTCATGCTGCACAAGACGCGTTCCGGCCAGCAGGTCGACCCGACGCACCGCGGGCGCGCTCTCCTGGACACCTGCGCCTCGTGCCCGTTCCCGCCTCGCTCACGCGAGCTACGCGCTTTCGGAGCGTCGCGCGCAGGCGTCCATTGATCGTGAGCTCAAGGCGGCAGCCAGCGGGGACTCGGGCGCGAAGCAGGCCGCGGTGGCGGAGCGCATTCAAAAGGATTTGAAGGCGGCTCTGCGGCGCTCGCAACACAGGGCCGAGGCGGAGTCGCAGAAGAAAATCATGCACGAGGTCGGACAGCAGCTGGCCACGGCGCTGCAGAGCTCGCAGGCCGCCGCCGACGCCCGAATTGCGGTACTTTCCCCCCCAACACCCGCACCGCACGCCCACGCACGCCGCGCCGCAGCCGCCCGTAGCACACCGCGACCTGCCTTGAACTTAATCAACGCACGCACAGACGAGTCCGCGCCACCGGACGCGCGCGCACGCCCCCACAGCCGCCCCCAAATGCGCCGCGCACCGCACGCGTCCCCGCAGGCCCTCTCCGACGACGTCAAGTCCGTGTCCGCCACCCTCGCCGAGCTGGACCCCTGGGTTCGCCGCGAGGTCGGCGACATGGTCCGCCGCATCGCGGAGCACGTCCGAGCGATGCAGGAACACCAAGGAAGCCTTGCCGACCGCGTGCGCGAGTCCGAGGCGCGCTCCGAGGCCCGGATACGCGAGCTCGCGGAGGCTCTCGGCAAGGCGGTGGCTCAGGGCGAGGTCGGCGCGCAGCGGCGCGAACCTGCGCCGCCGCAGCACGACGCCAGCGCGCGACTGGCGGGGAGCATCGATGCGCTCACGAGCCGGGTGATGCGGCTCGAGCAGATGCTCGGGGGCGCGCGGGCGGCGCCGGCAGCGCAGCGGGGCTGCGGGTGCGGCGACCCGCGTTGCCGGTGCGGGCCATCGTGTCAGTGTGTGGGCAAGGGGGGGGGGTGTGGCTGTGGCTGCGGGGCGGGCGAGGAGGGCGCGAAGGGCGTCACGGACGAGGTCGCGGAGCTGCGGGCGGAGCTGAAGCGGGCGCGGTGCGAGCGGAAGGCGCTGGCGAAGAAGCTCGGGGGGGTCTCTGGCGCGGTGGGGAAGCTGGGGGAGTGTTGTTCGGACCGCGTGACGGAGCTCGAGATGCTGACGGAGGCGCTCGGGCAGCTGTCGAGCGGGCTAGGGCGCGGCGGCGGCGGGGGGGGGTTCGGGGGACTCCCCCGGGTGAACCTCAACCCCTACGGCACGTATTACACCCCCGGCGCCGGGGTGGGCGGCGAGGCGCCGGACGCGGGGCTGGCGCAGTTCGACAAGTTCCTGGCGCTGATGAAGCAGCGGCTGCGCAGCGCTGAGAAGGAGCTGTCGGGCCTCAAGGCCGCGATGAAGTCTTCGGCGTAATTACGATACAACGCACAGCTGCTGCTGGTGCGTGCGTGGGGTTGAGTCAGGCGTAGGTGCGGAGCTGCGCCGAGCCGCGTCGAGTCGGATGTGACGGACACCGCGGCCTGGCCCTCGTGATAGCCAGCGCATGCCGATGGAAGACTGCAGGCCATTGCCTGTCGTCATCAGCGCACGCCGCCGAGCAGCAGGGCTTCCCCGCGCAGCCCCACCGCCTCGCACAGGACCGCACGCACCCGACCGCCCGGCCCGGATATCCAAAGCCCCCACCATCATGGATTGTCGCACGCAGTACGATCATACTCTGTCCGACACAGGACCCCACACCTCCCCCCCTCCTCAACCACCAAACCAGCTTCCCCGCCACGCCCCACACCGTCACGAGCCACAAGCGACCGCCCCACCCCCCTCGCCACCCTCCGTCACACCTCCGTCACACTTTGTTCAGCTTGGTGCAAATGCCCACCCGAATCGTCTGGTCGAAGGACGAGCACACGAACAGCCCCTCCTTGTCCGGGCTCCAGTCGAAGCTCGAGATGGGCTGCGTCGAGAAGTTCCGGTAGTTCAGCACCGCCATCTTCCCCGCCACGCCCATGTCGACGCCCTCGGGGTCCTTCACGCGCCGCTGGTCGGGGTAGTGGTACCGGTACAGGTACAGCGTCCCGTCGCCGCCGCAGACCATCGACACGTCGCGGTTCTGCGGCAGGTGCCGCGCGCCCCACACCGTCGACCCCTGCGCGAGCCGCTCCGTGGCCGACGCGAAGCCCTTTGCGGGGTGGTGCGTGCGCGCGTCGAAGACGTGCAGCTGCGCCTCGAGGCACGAGACCATGAACTTGTTCATCTGGATGTCCTTGCGGTCGAACTCCACGCCGCACACGCCGTTCCCGACGTTGGTCTCCCATCGCACTTGGTTGGTGCGTAGGTCAAACATCTTGACGTCGCCGTTGTCGTAGCCGGCGAGCACGCAGCGCTCGTCGTCGTTGTAGCTGTTCCCGAACGCGACCGACCAGCAGTCGCGCACCTGCTCGCCCTCCGCGGGCTCGAACGCGGCGACGGGCGCGTCGCGCTGCCGCACGTCCCACACGCGCACGCAGCCGTCGCGGCCGCACGTGACCATCTCGGGGGACCCGCACCCGCGCGCCTGCCCGCCGAAGCCGTCGATCTGGTTCACGATCGACGCGTGCGCCTGCACGTCGAAGATCGGCTGGTTCGGCCGCTCCAAGTCCCATATACAAAGTTTCCCCGCGAAGTCGCCGGTTGCCAGCTGGCGGTCGAGCAGGCCAGAGGCGCCGAAGGTGCCGCAGCGGAAGGCCTTGGGCTTCTCGATCTCCAGCGTCTGCACGAGGTCCGCGCCGTCGAGCTGGAAGACGCCCAGGTAGCCCGTGTCGCGCGGGTACGACCCCAGCGCTACAAAGCGCGCGCTCGACGGGATCCATCTGCGCGGTTCGGGGCCCAGTGGATGTAGCGTGAGGTAGGGAGGGTCCGGGGGTGGGGGTCAGGGGCGGGTTGCGGCCCGGAGGCGGCGCAGGGAGCGGGCGAGGTGCTTGCGGGTCGGGGCGCGGGTCCGCTACGGCGCGTGTGTGGCGGGACTCGCGCGCGTGCGCGCGGCTCCGGGTAGCTGGAGGGCGTGTCGCATTCGCGGTGCAGGGGGAGCGGCGGTCGAGGTGTGGGCGCTGCGGACGGCGCGCCCTAGGCTGAAAGCGCGTGGCGGATGCATGGGACGGTCCACGCGCGGCGGTGACGCGGTGGTGCGGCCGCTGCGGCGCGGCGCTGGGGGCGGGCTCACTTGGTCTCGTACACGGTGAGGTTGACGTTCTTGTGGAGGTGTTCTAGGATCTGAGGGGCATTGGTTTTCGTGTCAATCATGATTCCAGGTCTCCCGGTGCAACCCAAGCGCTGCGCCGCGATCAGCGACGCGCGGTCAGCTCGCCGATCACGCGAGCACTCACAGATGCACGTGGGCCCAGGTCCGCCCCAGTATGCCGACAGCAACGGACGGGGCGCGCTGCAGGAACTCAGACGAGCACCAGTGCCGCTGAGGGCTCGCTCGCGCTAACTTATCAACCGCGGGGTGCCGTATGCGAATATCGAATATCAGGGAGCGCAATGCCGCGGCTCGCAGCCGCCCGCGTCCATTCACGGCCGAGCTCGGGGGTGGGGGTCCTGCCGGGGCTGACAGCCCCGCGGTGGCTGCGGGCTGCACGCAATGGATCCGCGCGGCACCGCCCGTGGTCACACTTGCCCTCCCGCACCCGCTGTACGCACAGAGCCGCGATTCGTTCCCCTGGCCGACTGGGCAAGCGCACCCACAGGCGCTGTGCTCCTGCAGCTGGACTGGCCGCCTTCCAAAATGGTGCGCTGCTCATACCCTTGACTCCCCCCCACGCCCCGCTTCCGCGCCCGATGAGTCCTGCCGCGCAACGGGCTCGCTCCGAGGCGGACGGCGCAGGCCCGTGCCGCAGCTAAGCGTGCTCGGGGCTGTGACAGCACTGCAGTGGCCGGTGGGCCGCGCAGCGGGCACGCCACGCACGTGATTTGCGCTCACGCGGTGCTCCGTGATACGTACATCCGCCTGCAGGGCTTGCTCAGCCTTCTTAGGAAGCTTAAGAAGTCGGACGGGGAGGTGAGCACCTGCGCGGGATGCGCCAGGCCAGGCCTGCCGCCGTAGCGCGCCTGCTGGGCGTCTGAGGCCGCGGCGCCTCCGTGCGTGCGCGCGTGGCCTGTATCGCGTGCGGGGGGGTCTCTGCGCGCCGCTGCGGTCGCGGCATTGGCGGAGCGGGCCCGCGAGGTGTCCACGCCTGGTGCTGCGCGCGGCGCACTTCCTGGCCGAAACGCGGGTCGCTCTGCACCGATTTGAGCGCTCTGCAGGCGAGGATTCTGGTTCTGGGGCTCGATAACGCGGGAAAGACGACTATTTTGAAGAAACTTTCGGAAGAAGACATCACCACCATTCAACCGACGCAGGTGCGCCCGCAGCGGCCGCTCCACCTCGCTTCGCCCCCGCACGCCACGCATCATCTCTCCCCCCTTCCAGCGCGCGCCACGCCGCCGCCTGAAGCGCCGTAATTCCGCGGCCAGCGGCGTGTGCCTGTCGACGCACCCGCGCGCCCCGCCCCCCGCCGCAGGGCTTCAACGTCAAGTCGCTGCTGCACGAGGGATTCAAGCTGAACGTGTGGGACATCGGCGGGCAGAAGACGATCCGGCCGTACTGGCGCAACTACTTTGAGCAGACGGACGCTTTGGTGTATGTTATCGATTCCTCCGACCGCAAGCGCCTGGACGAGACGGGCGAGGAGCTGGCGCGGCTGCTGGAGGAGGACAAGATGCAGGGGATCCCCGTGCTCGTGCTGGCGAACAAGCAGGACCTGATGCACGCGATGGCGCCAGACGAGATTGCAGATCTGCTCAACCTGTTCTCGATTCGAGAGCACCCGTGGCAGATCCAGCCGTGCTCGGCGAAGACCGGGGACGGGCTGCGAGAGGGCATGGAGTGGCTCGTGCGCCAGGTGAAATGATAGCCGGCGCCGCAGGTGCGGTGGCATGGGGCGGTATGTACGTGGATGGATGTGACGACGCGTGAGCGACGAAGGGGCGGTCGGGACGGCGAGCGGCGGCCGCGCGCACCGAGTGTGCTGATCGACGCGGCCGCCGACATGCTTCGCTGTTTCCGACGGGGGCACCGCATGACCTGATGACGGGCACCATCCCGTGCGTTCCACGTAACGCGCGTGCCGGAGCTCTAGGATCGCAATGTCACCACACAGGAGCCCCAGGAGGCAATGATTTCCTGTCAGACTGATCGCGCATTACATCGCCCGGCCTTGTTGCGCGGGCTCCGCCGCCGCCGCTGCTCTCCGGCGCCCCTGGGCTGGCGACCCGACCGCGATGCGCGCGCCGTTCGCTGCTATGTCGATTCGAAAGCGGCGCCAGCCCGCGCGGGTGCCGGATCAGAACTAGATACCTACAAACAAACACTCCAACCACATATATGCCAAAAGGTGTTTCTTTCTCTCGCCACAATCTATATGAGGTCCGACGCCCTGCCAGGGCGCACGCCGCCCGCGTGCTGTACCTTGAGCATGCGCGTGCGCTGCACGCTTGCGCGGCCCTCCTTGTACGCCGGCGCTGCGCCTGGCGACGGGTACACAAACTGGTGCGACCGAATCTCCCGCACCTCGCCCGTGGCCGGCCTGCCCGCGCGCCCGGGCCTCGGCGGCGGCGGCGCCCTCTGCGCTGCCTTGACGCGCTCCTGCAGGTGCGGCCCCGCGGCCGCCAACACACCCCCCCCGTGTGATTCGCGGCGCGAAGACGCCGCGGACGCTTCGCCCCACGCCGCCCGCACCGTGTGCGGGGCGTCGCCGGCTGGCGCGGGCCGTGCGCTCGCGGGCCGCCGCGAGAGCCCGCCCGCTGCGCCGGGCGCCGCGGCCGGCCGCGACGACATCGGTCGCGAAGGACTGCCGCCCTTGCCGCCGGGGAGCAGCGCGGGGCGCGTCGGGACCGCGGCGCTGACGGGCCGCGTTGGGCCAGACTCCCGCGACTGCGGCCGGCCGACGCCCGACGCGGGCCGCAGGGACGCTTGCGAGGGGGGTCGCTGTGTGCTGGACAGACCGGCAAGGAGACTCCCCCTGCTGAGGCTGGCCCGCATCGACGACGCCGCGCGCGCGCTCTGCGCTCGGACGTGCTCGGACGCCGTCGGCGGCGTCGGCGACGCCGCGCCCCCGCGTGCCTGCGCCGCTCGGCCGTGCCCCGCGCGAGAGCGAGGCACCTGCCCGCCGCCGCCCGCGCTCAGCTGCGACGCTTCCTCGCGGATCGCGACGAGCGACGGCCCCGCACGATCGCTCTCGGACTGCCGCGTCGTGTACAGCGCCGGCGGCTCCGGGGCCGCTCCGGACGCAGGCGGCCCCAGTAAGCTTTGTTGCTGCATCAGATCTGCCGTGCGCATCACCGGGGACGTGAGCCACGCGTCCGAGTCCGGCGCCTGGACGACGACTTCGTCCCTGGGCGTCGCGGGCCGCGTCCGCCGCGCCGTGTGCGGGCGCGAGGACCCGGGGGACCCGCTCGAAACACCCCCCCCGCGAGGTGCTGCGCCACCCGCGGCCGAGCGCGGGCGGTCGAGCCCGACGGTGACCGCCTGCGCGACGATCCGCGCCGTCTCGTCCGGCGTCTTGTCGGCCTTGTCCGCCGCGGAGAGCGCTTTCGCTGTGAGGTGAATCATGGAGGACAGATGCTCGACGGCAGGGTTGGCGCTCGACAACGCCGGCTCGTCGCGGACGCGCGCAGCCTCCGTCTCCTTCTTCTTCTTCAGCGCCGCGTGGCGGTGATGCGAGACCTGCCCCGGCCCCGCAGGCACCCATTCGCCCTTTGGCGGCGGACGGAGGCTCGCGAGGCGGTGCTCCTCCTGCATCATCGACATGCGGTCCTCGTACGCGCCCTCCATCGACAGCAGCTGCTGCTGGTGCTGCATCTTGAGCTCGATGACGGCGTTTCGGGAGTAGAACCCGGTGTCGGGCATCCCCAGGGCGTGGTCGCGTGCCGAACGCTCCTCCATCGACGTGCCCACGCCGCGGTCCGCGAGGAACACGTCGCCCGCCACGGCGTTCCGCGCCGGGCGCCGGGGACCGGGGTCCTCGGCGGGAGTCTCTTTCGGCAACAGTTTCGACAGGTCAAAGTCCTGGGGGGCCCGCCTCGGGCCCTCACGCTCCTGCTCGGCCGCCTTCGCGAGGCTCTTGACCCAGCCGGGCACCGCGCCGGACGCGAACGCCCCCGCGGCCGCCTCCGCCTCCACGACGCGCTGTGCCAGATTCGGGTCGGCGAAGCGGCGCAGATCCTGCCATGCCTGCGTCGCCAGGGGCTGCCCGAGCGCGACGTTCACGCCGCCCTCGCCGCCCATCGCGTTGATCTTCCGCCGCTCCGGCCCCGCGAGCCCGCCCGCCGCCGCCGCGATGTTCGCCATGCCGTCGCCCGAACTCGCGCTCGCCGCCTCCGCGCCGTCGCCGTCCGCGCCCGCGCCGCCCGCCGCGCTCTCGACCTGGCTCGCCCGCTCTGCCCGCTCCGCGCGTCCGGCCCACACCGCCTCGCGGTCCACCATCGCGCGCAGGTCGTGGGCGCCCAGCGCCGTCAGACTGTCCGGGTCGAGTCCGACCGAATCCAGCGTCTTCGGGAGCGCGGACTGCGTAGCGAGGCCTGCGCGCTCGGGGCCCTGCGCGCGGCGCTTGTTCGAGATCGCGTGGTGCTCCTCGAGCGCCGCAGCGATCACGGCCAGCCACTGCGCGCCCGGGCGCTCGGGGCGCCGCGGCACGAGCCCCGCTGCGAGCGCGTGCTCCATCTCCGGCTCCACCTCGGCGTCGAACTTGGCCTGCGCCAGCCGCAGGACGCGCAGCGCCGCCTGCGGCCACACAAAAACAGAAGAGAAGTAAACATCCCGTGGCAATCAAGATTCAAGGTCTCGCGCGCGCCCGCTGCCGGAGAGGCTCTCACCTGCCGCCACACCTCCGCGGACGTCTGCGGGCCCACGTACAGGCCGCGGTGCGGGTCCACGTTCTCGTGCGGCACCGAGTACGGACCCCCCCGGGGGGGGTGTCCCTGCTGGATCGCCCGCAGCCGCACGTCGCGCAGCGCGTCCTCGCTCGCGTACGTCACGACCGCCGGGTCCTTCCTCGGCACCGGCGGGTCCTTCGGCAGCTCCGTCGGCGCGTCGCCGTCGCCCGCCTCGGTCAGACTGTTGCGCTGACTCCCCCCGCTGATCCACGTCATCCGCCGGACCTTCGCCGCCTCCGCCTCCGCCTCCTCCTGCAGGTCCCGCATCGCGCGCGTGTGCTCCGTGTAGAACCCCTGCAGCACCTCGATCGCCTGCCGGTTCCGCGCCAAAAACTCCTCCCCCTCCTTGCGCGTCTCGTGCGCCGACTCCCCCCCGCTCGAGCTGCCGCTGTCCCGCGGCGAACCGGCGCCCTGGTGCGACTCCACCTGCGACCCGCGCCGTCCGCCGTACTCCGGACCCACCTGCGACCGCCGCAGCGGCGGGCCGTGCTGCGGCACACGCTGCCTGCGGATGATGCGCTTGGCCAGCTTGTGCTGCCGGACCTTCTCCGTCGCGTGCGTCGTCGCGTCCTTCCCGCCCGTGCCGGCGAACTCCGCGGGCACCACCTCCTGCGCCGTGGCGTACAGCTGCGGCACGTACGGCGCCGACGCTGGCCGTGACCCGCGCCAGTGCTCCCGCAGGGTCTCCACGTGCCGTTTCAGCGTTTCCTCCGCCTCCGCCTGCATCACGGCACGGCGGTTCTCGCCCGTCCCGGCCAGCATGCGCTTCACCATCTCCTTGCGGCCCACGATCTTCGCGGCGCTACGCGCTGCCGCCGCGCGGTTGGCGCCGGGGTCGCCGCCGCCCGTCGCCGCCGTGCCCAGCCCCCCGCTCGCCGCCAGCCCCACCAACCGCTCCGCGACCTCGGTCGTGTGCGAACGGATCGCAGCCATGTCCACGCCGGCCACCCCCGCGTCCGGCGCCAAAAACTCCGCCGCCGACCCCGCTGTCCGCAATTGCGCCTCGATCTCCGCTGCCCCGCGCGCCGCCGGCGAGCCCGCCTGCGCGCCCTCCGCCGGAGCAGCCCCCGGCCCTGACACCCGCGGCGCCGACGGCGGGCGCGGCCCCGGGCTCCCCTGGCGCGCCGACGCCCCCTCAGAACCGCCGATGCGCGGCCCCGCGCCCGCGCCCGCAAGCTGGCGGTACTCGTCCGGCTCCTCGCGCACGCCCTCCGCCTCGCGCCGCTCGCGCACGCCGCGCATCGCGCTCAGCAGCGTCTTGTCCTCGCCCGGCTTGGGCATCCGTGCGTAGTGCTCGGCGGCGGCGCGATCCGCCGCCCGCTGCTCGACCTTCACCTGCTGCGTGCGCCACGGGCGGGCCGTGTCGTACGCGTCGCCGAGCTTGTCCGCGACCTGCTCCGCGAGCGTCCGCTCGTCGCCCGGCTCCGCGCTGTCCCCCCCGGCTGCCGTCGGCGCTGGCGCTAGCGGCTCCGGCGCAGGCGCCGGGGTCTCCTCGTCGGCGGTGGACATCGTGCCGCCGGAGTCGCTGCCCTCCTCGTCCTCCTCCTCGATGACCTCCGGCATGCCCTGCAGCCCGGGGAGTCCGTGGAACAGACCCCCCCCCTCCAGCAAACCTTCCAGGATCGCATTCGTCTCCTCCTCGTTCTCCGCGTCCGGCGCGACCGACTCCCCCGCCTCCGAGGACCGCTGGCTGCCCGCCGAAGCGCGCCGCGCCCCCTCCGGCAGCTCCCCGACTGCGTCATCCTCGGCCGCCCACCCCGCGCTGTCCTGCGGCATCAACGGCTCGCCCTCGGGCATCCCGGCGCCCGGCTCCTCGCCGAGCGACGCGATGAGGTGGTCCATGGCGTTGGGCAGCAGGAGCTCGCCGTCCGGGCCGATCAAGTGCGACGTCGCGTCGTAGGACCGCGTGAACTTGGATTGGAAAGCATTCATGAACGATCCGTCGCGGATGAAGTTCTTGAGGGCCGTCTGCGCGCGCTGCTCGGCCGCCTTGATGGCGTGGATACCCTGGTCCGGCTCCACGGCCTTCTTCTTCGCGCCGCCGCGGTCCAGGGCGGCGGCGGAGGACGGTCGCTTTTTCGCTTGCGCTTTCGCGGCGCCCCGGCTCACGCCCGCGGTCTGCGGGCGGGCCGCGGCCCGCGAGGCGCTGGCCTTGGGCGAGACCTCGCCCGCCGCCGCGCCCGCGGACGCCGTGCCCCAGCCCGGGGGCCCCGCGCCGATGCGATGCGCCTTGCGTCGCAGCCACTCCGAGGTGCGGCCGGCGAGGGACCGCTTCAGCGCCTGCTCGAGGGTGCTGATGCGGGCCTCGAGGTACGCGGACCGCCTGCGGATGCGCGTGCGCTCGTCGTGGTCGAGGATGAGCCGCGACATGAAGCGCCACCGCACAGCCGCAGCACGCTTGTCCATCGTCCTGTTGTACCCGTCGCGGATCGCGACGCGGCGCTGCAGCTGCTTGTTCGTCTCCTTCGCCTTCGAGAGCTCGTCCTCGAGCATCCAGAGACGCTTCATCGTCTGCGCAGCGGGCGGAAACGCGGGGGCAACGTCAGGAGAAGTTGCGCGCCGCGTGCCGTCGCAACGGCTCTATGCGACATTGCGGCAAGGACGAGGCCGCCCGAGCTCTTCACGAGCCCGGCGTCGTGCCGACGGACTGGTCGGTCCCGCCGGTCAGCGGCCGGGAGCGATGCTTGAGACTTCGGGCAGTGGCTGTGCGCGTGCCTTGTGCGGAGAGAACATGTCGAAGATGCAGCCGAGGAGCCCGATGAGGTCCTCGAGGTCCGCGCTCAGGCGCAGCATGCGGCTCGCGCGGATCGTCAGGGACGACAGGAGCTCGACTGGGAAGTGCTGGAGGTGCTCGACCAGGCTGTCTTTAAAATCATCGAGCCCAAACACCTGCTCCTGCAGCCTCCGCACGCACGTCAGCCCCGACTCGACGTTCCTGCAGCAACACGCGTCCCGGGCGCGCCAATCAGGCCGGAAAGCGCGCCCACCAGCGCGCAGGGAGCGCCGCACCAGGCCTCCTGAACTGAAGACGGTCTCGCGGCGGCGCGTTCCCGCGAGTTGTGATTGACGCATCATTCTGCAGTGACGCGGCATGCTTGACGGAAGCGCCCGGGGCGGAACGGGGCGGTGCGCGGGCCCCGGTGCGCAGCACCGGCATTGGGCACGCAGAGACATGCACGGCGCACCCACGCGGGCGGGGCGGACGCACCGCGAGATTTCCTGGTAGACGACCTCCGGCGGGGGCGACTTCTTCGGCTGCAGGTCGGCCACGCGGCCCCGCGGCACGTCCTCGGTGTCGGACGTCCGCGACACCGTGATGGTCCGGCTGGGGCCGAACACGCGCGCGCCCGTCGCCTGAGCGCTCCCGTCGCCGCCCCTCGGCGACGCGAGGAAGTCAAGCTTCGGCGGCCTGCTCATCGCCGCGCCAGCCCTCGCGCTTGCACCGCCCAGGCGTCAGGGCCAGCGACTCTGCTGCGCTACGCGTGCCATGGTGTTGCGCTAGAAGCGACGGCCGGGCCCGGCGACACCGGATATACGCAGCCCTACGCGCTCGGCACTGACGGGCGTTCGCGGCGCCGCGGGAGGACCAGCCCGGGCGCCGCGGCGGCCCGCGGGCGCTCCCCGGAGGACAGTCGAGCAACACCTCCCAGGACGTCGCGGAGCGGCAGATGGCCGCGCGGTGGCTGGGAGGTGTTGCAGTGGTCGCGGCGGTGCTTGCGTTTCGGATGGCGCTCAAGGTCGCGGTGATCGGTGCGGGGGGCGTTGGGAGGACACTGGGAGCGCGCTTGCTGCTGAGTCCGAGCAAATTCAGCGTCAAGTACGGGGTTAGGAGCACGGAGGCGAGGAAGACGCGGGACCTGCTGGCGGAGCAGCAGGGGAGTTCGGCCGCAACTGTGCACGAGGCGCGTCACCAACTGCACCCAAGATTCCTCTCCCGCGCAAATACGCTCGAACCGGGAGTTTGGCTCCCAGTTTTCTGGTTCTGTATCTCTGCAAAAAGATAGTGTGTCCACTCATGCGAGCGCCGCGACCCCAAACACGCCCGTCCGCGCGTCTCTGACCGCCCAGCACCTCACCGCGCCGTTCAGCCTGCACGCGACGCCCCCGGCCGCAGGCAATCCAGTGGTCGGACGCCGCGATCGTCGCCCTGCCGGGCGCGCACGACGATGCGGACATGGCCGCGCTCGTCGAGACCCTCGGTCCGTGCGACGGAAAGGTCATCCTAGATGCCACAAACCCTCTGTCTCCGTTCCAAGACGGTCTGAAAGTGCGCTGGGGGCGCGACAGCGGCGGCGAGGCTCTCGCGAAGGCCGTCCCCGAGGCGCACGTCGTCAAGTGCTTCAACACCATCGGTAAGAGCCTGACAGACATACGGCGAGCTTGCTGACGCGGGGCTCGCCCCTGTGGCCCCGCCAGCCGCGCGAACTTCGCGCACACGTCCGCTGGATCGCACTCCATCGGTCGCACCAGCGGTGGCCGTGCTGTGGCTGCAGGGATGGAGCACATGGCCGATCCGGTGCAAAATCAAACCGGGCAGCCAATGACGATGATGTACGCGGGGGCCCCGGAGGCGCGCGAGGTGACGGAGCGGATCGTCGAGGGCGTGGGGTTCCGGCCGCGCTACTGCGGTCCCATCTACTACGCGCGCCATCTCGAGGCCATGGCGGAGCTGTGGATCCACGCCTCGCTCGGGGTGGGGGAGTTTCCCCCTGACGCGGCCTGGGGGCGGAACTGGTCCTTCGAGGTGTCGGAGGGCAGCTGCGGGGGCGACTGAGCGCGCAGGCGCACAGCGAGGGGCGAAAACTGGCATTCATTGAAACACCGGTGCACGACATGGCGAGCGTGTGAGCCGTCGTCCTGGATAGCGCGGCGCCGCGAGGGGCGCCGGCGCGGGCTCTCGTTGCGGCGGGGATCGCAGGTGACAGTCACGTGTTACACTGCTTCCACGCTGATTCAGCGGCTACGGCGCTGGCGTCGTCGCCTCTGGCTTTGCCTTTTCCTTTCCCTTGGAGTTTTCAGCTGGCTGTTGCGCTGGCTTGCCTTCTCCCCCGCACGCGTCCGCGAGGATGGTGTTCCGCACTGCTCCGACGACGTCCGTCTTTGTGTGGAACACGTGCGCCTTCCACGCGTCGGGCCGCGACTCGTCTACGGGCTCGCGCACCACCTCGCTGCTCTCGCTGCTCGGCACCGCCTGCAGGAAGTTCGTCATGACGACCGCGCCGCACGTGCGGTTCACGTTCACCCACAGCGACGTGTGGCACCCCATCGCACTCCCCTCGTGAAATAAATACACCTCCCCGGAGGAGTCCTTGTACGACTGCCAGACGCGCCCGACGCCGTTGGCGTGCTGCGAGTTGTGCGCCTTGCGTTCTATGAGCTGCTCCGAGAGCAGCGGCAGCGCGCTCGCGATCTCGTGGAGCTTCGCGGCCGCGCCGTCGTTCTTGGGCTGCTCCGCGCACCCCGACAGAGCGCGCCCGTACGCCAGCATGGCCGGGACGTTCGACACGAGCCCGCCCGCGAACTGGAACATGTCGAACACTGCACCGAGCGCGCACGGGCGGGGCGCCGGTCCGACCGCGACAGGGCAGAAGCGCCGTTGTCTGTGGGCCGCAAGTGCGAGCGCGGCGCCCGCCGCTCGCGGCGCTGCCGCAGCGCTGCACGCATCGCACAGCGCAGGGTACGGCGCGGCGCGGCCGAATCACCGCTGCGCGAGCAGGGGGGGGGGTGTCTGTCTCACCGGCATTGTCCGCGGCGCGCAGGAACTCGACGGTGCCGCCCGTGGGGTGACCGAGCACGGCCTCGCCCTGCTCGTCGACCCCGATGTCCTCCAGTTCGCCCAGCTGGAGCTTGTCGACCTTGTTCTGCACACTCTCCTCGTCCAGGAATTCCGGCGGGCCCGTGCTCGCCATCCCCATCGGATGCCACAGGTCCTCCGAGATGGCTTCGATCGCGCGCTTCGCGCGGATGGCCTCGACCATGCAGGCCAGGAGCGCGATGCCCACGTTCGACGGCGCGTACATGGTCCCAGGCTTTCCCAGCAGTTCGATGTTTTCAGTCAGCATTGCCAGCGCGGGGCAGCTCGTGCCCTGCGGCGGGGGATCGGGGGCGCGAGGCACCGTCGCGGGCGAGGGGCGTGAGGCAGCCGGGGCCCTGGCCGGCAACGGCGCACGAGCGCATCGTGCAGGGGGACGGGTGGGGGGGGTGTTGTGATGCGGGGGGGTGTCGCACCTCCCAGGAGCGCCGGACGAGGAGATCCTTGAGGTGTTTCGGCGCGGAGCCCGCGAGGGTCTCGAGCGGAAGGTCCCTCGGGAGCGCGGACGTGTGCGTGACGACGCTGCCGATCTCCAGGTCAGCAAACACCTCGTTGTGCTGAAGCAGGTCTGGCCAGTGGTGTCCGATCGTGTCCTGAGGGAGCGCACGGGCGGGGGACGCGGGCGGTATCGTCGCGTGCCGCGTGAGCGTGGGTGCACGTGGGCGCGCATGCGTGTGGAGCTGCGCGGCCGTAACGCACCGTGAGGTTGAGCATTCCCTTGGCCTCGAGCACCGCGATCTCGGTGCCGACGAAGGTCTTCCCCACGGCGCCGATGGGGTGCTGCACCGCCTTGTTCGGGTCGACACGCTCCTGGCGAGACACTGTCGACCAACCGACCTCCGCAGGGCCGGTGCCGTGCTTCGAAGTCCCGCCCGGCCCCGCCACCTTCCGGCTCTCCTTCTCGTCCTTGCATCTGCGCGGCGCGGCGGAGCGCCAGGAAGCACGTTGGCGCGCGAAACGAAGCGTTGCGCGGCGGTAGTTGCGTCTAGCCCTCGCGTGGACAGGCCGGGTGCGCACTTGAAGTAACCGGCGCTGATGACGCCCCATGGCCTGTCGAGGTTGTTCTCCATCTGAGCGAGCGCGTACTTGCGCAGCAACTCCACCCCCGTGAGGCCACTCAGGTCGAGTGCTGCAGGCTCGGTTGCCGTTGCCGGAACTGGGACCGGCGAGCGCTTGGCCTCCGGTGGGGAGTTCGGTCTGCTGGCGATGTGAGTCACCAGCCGATTCGTCGCCACGAGAAGCGCGAAGAAGAGCGCTCCCGCCATCACCAGGGCGCGCGTGCCCATGGGCGCCCTCTGGAAGCTGTGCCCATGGCGCCGCACGGTCGGCAGCAGCCTGTCGCGGTTGTGGTACTGCTTCAACGCCCACTTCGTGCCTTCTCGCCACGCCTGTGTCGCCACCCGCAGCCCATGCTGGGCGAGAATGGCAGCAACGGCAATGGCCTTTCGAGCCGCCTCCAGAGCCCTGAGCTGCGCCTGCTGGGCATCGAAGCCCGGAGACGACATGGAGGCGTATCCTAGCAACCGAAAACGCCGCCCGCTGATTCTGCGGCAATCAGCCTCCAGCGTTTGCTCTCGACGTTATGCCCTGTCCTCGCGTGACCCACGAAAGCACCGTCAAGGAAATTTCGCTTCCCCCCCACAATATTCGCTATCTAGAGATCGAGGTCAGCGCGCCCGCGCCGCAGCAGCGGCCCGCCCAGGCTCAGGCGTCGCAAAATACGTTCCAAATATCGCAGGCAGCTCTCCGAACGCCTTCCTCGCTCCTCAGCGCTCTAGAGCCCTCGACCTCTATCTTTCTGCCATGAATGGGCTCCGGACAGTGGGGACCGGGCGCAAAGGCCGCCCGGCAGCCCGTCCGCGAACGGCAACGGCTCTGAGAAGAAGCATCAACTCATTATAGACCCCCGGCACGGTCATCACTGATGGCATGGCCGGAACCAGCCCGCCGCTGCCGCCCGCGCTCGCCCCGGCCGCACGTCGCGTCGGCACCGCAGCGATTGCGTCCCGTGCACGCGCCGTCCGGGCGCAGCCCGCACCTCAACCAACGAGACATCGTCACAGAGTAGTAATTGACCACCCGCGCACGAAACGAAATGCGGGTGTGCTATCGTCCTGATCAAGGCGGCAGCGTGCTAGGAGTACTCGCGCGAAATGCCATGTGAGCGTGCCATCATGTGCCAAGGGAAGGCTCTGACCTGCAATCAGTTAGAGTGAGTGGCGGGCGTCGTCAGCAACAACGCGGCGAGCCGCGCGAGTACTGGACGACGCCCGCCAGCCGACGCGCCGAAGTGCTGGTCCACGTCCTAGGCTGCTTGTACCAGGGGGTGTCGGCAGCCGGCTGGGTGACAGCGGTGACTGAGTCTGCGGCATTGTCCGCGTTGTGTGGCGACGCGCCGACGGCTACTCAGCTCTCCTCGTCATCGCCGTCCCCCGCGCGTGGCCTGTCATGCGAAAAGGGATCATACCTCGGTCTAGCGGCCACGGAATACGCGCATGGCCAACATCGTCACCCCAAGCGACGCGCCCGCAACGAACGCTCGCGCGAGCCAGACAAGCTTGCCGTCCAGCACCGCATCCACACCCCTGCAGCGCTCTATTCACACCCGCACGGCCCACTGCCGTGCACCGGTCGCAGGCGGTGCGCACGGCCGGCCCCTCGCCGTTCACTCCCCCGCCCCCTCCGCGGGCTCGTGCCGCTCGTCGCGCTCGTCTCTCGGCGGCCGGTCGTACCGCGCCATGAAGTCCGCCTTCCGGTTCGTGTACTTTGCTACGTAGCGCTGCCACCGGCTGTGGCGCAGAGCCGCCAGGGACCGCAGAGGGGCGATCAGGTCCAGGTAGTCCGCGAGGCCGCGCAGCTCCGTGTCGTTCTTCCCTGCAACGCGCCCGCCCGCCCGACGGTCGTCGTGGCGCCGAACGATCGCCAGTTGATCAACGCAGCCTGATGCGATCGGGGGGGTGTTGGACACGGTACCTGTAGTGTGGCAGTGTCGGAACGGCACGCACTTGAGGCCCTGCTGCGGGTTCATGACGAAGTTCCGGCTCAGGTCGTCCACAATGAGCGTGTTGTCCGGCGTGTATGTGCCGTCGAATTTCTTCCAAATGTACTGCAGGGGCTTGCAGCTGAAGGACGGCTCCCCGCCGATGGACACGGAGATCATCGCGCGCGAGTCCACGAGCGCGACGATGCCGTAAGCGTCGTTGCCGAGCACGCCGAGCTCCCTCATTTTCACCTCCACCCACTTCATGCTCGTTGCCGACCAAATAATGATGTCGTAGTTCTCGTGCGCGCGCCTGCGACGAGGTTACGAGTCCGGCGAGCGTGTGCCGGGACGCTGGCCGGCGCGGCGTCGGCGCTGCGCCATGAGTGTGGTGGGTGAGTGCACGAATTTTAGAGGGCGAGGGTTGCGGCGGGCGTGGGCGGCGCACCGGAGGAACTCGTGCAGGTACGGCCGCGCCATTTCGTCGGGGCGCTCCGCCGTGCTGCCCAGGTCGAACAGCGTGTAGTCGATGTCGAGAACGAGGCACTTCTTCCCTGGGCGAGGCTGAGTGCGAATCTCGACAGTGGTCGCGTCCACGCGTTTCTGGATCCGCGCGTGCAGCTCCGGGTCCTCCCTGGGATCGTACTGCTACGGCGCACAGGTTCAAGGGGACAGTCAGCGCCAGCGCGCCCGGGCAGCGGCGTCCAAGCCACTAGCGTTGCGGCGTCGTTGCGCGAACAGCCGCGGCCAGCGCGCACCAGCTCCGTGCCGATCCTGTCGATGTCGAAGTCGTCCTCGACCTCCGGCGCCGCGGCCGCCTCCTCGGCCACCTTGGCGATCACTTCGTCCGGCTGCCCCATCATCATTAATTTGGTTGTTGCCTTCAGCGCCAGCTCCTCGATCCTGCGCCCACGGCCAGATCCATCCGATCGCAGTGAGCGGGCGGGCCGGCGGCTGGGCTGGCAGGGGCGCGGCGCGGCGTTGCGCGGGCGCGGGGCGCGGGCGCGCGCGCCTGTGTTGGTCGCTGGGAGCGCCAGGGGTCTTGAGTTTCAGCCCGATGAGTTTCTGGCGCTTCGGGTCCACGTGCGTCTCGTCCGCGATGCGCCTCTGCAGCGGGCGGCGACAAATCGGCTGCCGCGCTTCGTGGGACGGGGTGCGGTGGGCGCGAGAGCGCCGCCGCGCTGGAAGCAACGACCGGCTGTGCACACTGTCACGCGCGCAGAACCGTCGGTATATCCGCACTCCCGGGTCCTCTGATCTCGTAGGTGCGATTGTGACACGTCTCAGAGCGCGTCAGTGAGGCACCGCGGCGTTCGCGGCGGACCGACGTGGCTTTCACTAGGCAGGTCTCGCTCCGCTTTCTCCCCGCGCTCGCACCTTCAGGTCGCCCACCGTATCGGATCCCGGCACATTGAACTTGAACTCCTTCCCCGACCAGCGCACAGTGATCCCAGTGACCTCCTCGCCCGCCATCCCGCCTGTTGCCCCCACCACAGTAACCTCCGCGCCGTCCCGGGACCACCTGTCGCAGTCAGCTAGCCCACGCCTCGCTACTCCGTATCAGTGCCCCGCAACGTGCGCAGAACCGCGGTCGCGCGGCCCCTCGAGCGCCCACGCGGCCCACTGTAGGTCTGACCAGGGCACACCTTGTCAAGCGCCTAGTAAAACACCTTGTCCTGACATTACCGCCCTAGGTGGCGCCGCCGGGACACACTCGAGCACTACACGCGTACAAATCGCGCCTGCGCTCCGTCCTGCCCAACTAGTATCTTGATTCACAATCTACAATGCTGGTTTCCTATGTTAGGAAAGAAACGGACCCCAGCTCAGCGCAGGCTTGCCAGTCTCCGCCGCCGCCGCCGCCACGAGCGCCCCCACGACCTTCAGCCGCCGCTCGCCGTACCTCGCCGCCGCCAGCTCCTCGTGGCTTCGCATAAAGGGAAACGGCAACTCACTTTCCGCCCCAACCCCTCGATTCCCCGCAGGCGGCACCTCCGCAGCCGCCTGCTCCCCGCCCGCATCCATCCGCCACAGCCGCCCCCCCGCGGCGGCCCGGTACGCGTCCCGCGACGGCGTGACGTCCGACTGCAGCCCAACCAGGGTGACAGCAACCCACCCGCCGTCCATGGCCCAGACGTCGCTCCCCACGCTCTGGTCGCGCACGAGCCGCCCCCAGCGCTTCTTGAACACCCTCGGCCCGCCGTGCGCCGAGCTCACGTTGCCGCCCACGACGGCGTTGGTGCTCTTCGCCGCCGCGTCGCCGCCTGCGTCGTGACTCGCCGTCGACGCGTCGCTGCCGCCGCCCTGGTACAGGCTGACGTCCCCGGCGAGCGTCTCCGCGGGGCCCATGTCTTCGTCGTCCTCGAAGAAGTCAATGATCAGTGACGTCAGGCCCTGGTACGCAATGCAGTATCCCTTGATCTCGTCGTACGGCAACATGGGGAAGTTGAGGTTGATGACGGAGGCGGACAGCGCGTCGCGCACCTCGTCCTTGCTGGCGCCGCGCACCGGAACGAGCCCCAGCACCGCCTTCAGCAGCGGCAGCAGCATCCTGCAGCCCACAGGAGTGCGAGCGCGTCGCACACGCTCGGAGATCGACCGCGGACCAGCGTGCGTCGCACACGCTCGGAGATCGACCGCGGACCAGCGTGCGTCGCCTTTGCGGCCGTGGTTGAGCCGCGCAACGTACAAACAATGATATGATGTGTTGTGCTTCTGTTGCGTACCTCGCGGCGTGGACGTAGTCGGCCGGTCCGCGGAAGTTGTTGAGCGACAGGGCGAGGGCGGGAATGTTCTTCATCGCGGCCTCGCGCGCGGCGCCGACGGTGCCGCTGTACACGACATGCATGCCCGCGTTGTCCCCGCGGTTGATGCCGGTGACGCACGCGTCGAACGCGACGCCCGCGAACAGCTCCGAGCACAGCGCGAGCATCGAGGAGTCGCTCGGGGAGCCGTCGATCGCGTACGCAGCCACGGCGCCAGGCACCTGCGCGCCGCACGGAGAGCAGGGCCGCCCAACGTGGCTGCGTGGAGAGTCGCAGCGCGCTCATCGCCGCGTGCGCTCGCATGTGAAGTTTCGTCGCTCTGTGGGGGGCGAGTTCCATCGTTTCTTGCCTGGCAGGGTCGCGCGGTGAGCGGACGGCCCAGGGTGATGGCAGAGCTCTGCGCGGATCGCTCGCCGTCAGGTGCCGAGACGTACACGTCGCAAAATCCTGCGCGTCCGATGACCTCCACCATCTGCACGAGCCCGGGCGCCTCTATACCATCGTCGTTGGACACCAGAATGCACGGTCGCCTGCCTGCCATACTGGTCTGCGGTCGCTGACGGTTTGGACGTCCTCGGTCCGAGCGCAATCCAGCCTGGCTCGACAGCGCCTGTACGTGGCGACAAGTGTGGGCGCTCGACGTGCGCAGCGGCGGCCAACTGGCGCCGCGGAGCCTCTCGGTGAGACGGACAGGGGGGGAGGTCTCGCGCCACGTCGTCAGAGCCTGTAGCACAAGGCGGCGCGCGCGGCACAACAGCGGGCAGAGCAGGAAGGCCGTGCGACCCTTGGTCAGGTCGATATCGCGCGGCATCCGCGCCTGTCAACCAGTCTTCCTCGACTGCAAAGCAAAAGCCGCGACGCTGCTCCGCCAGCTGTACCTCCCGGCGGATTTCTTCACGTCCTCTCCTCTCGAGACATAGACACAGCTTCGCGGTGGATCAAACAGCCCCCTAGTCTTCCTGCGGCCGCGGGCGCGCGACCTACAGGGCCAGCATGGTCAGCTCTTCGCCGCTCGACTACACGCGCGAGGAGCTGCAGGGCAAGCTGTTGCACGCCGCGCAGCATGGAGACTCCATCGCCATCCTCGCGCTCATGAACCGGAAGGACCCGCCCGACATCAACTACCGGTGCGGTGCCCGCACAAACCTCTGCTCCGTACGTGCGCCTTTATTGCCCTGCCCGCGCGAACACCCCCCGCTTGCTCACGGACGCGCCGGAGGCGCGAGACATGTGCAAGGTCTGTCGCGAGAGACGCTTGTGGCGCGGATTCCGGCGCTCCCTGGCCCGGGACAACGCGACGATTGCTGCACAGGACCTCCCGCTCGTCCGGGCGTCCTCACCGGCGACGCATTCGCGCCTGCCGCCTCGCGAATGCACGGATCACGCACGTAACAACGCATGAGACCCCGTCGGCGCGTCGCAGGCACGAGGGGGGCGCCGCGGCCCTGCACATGGCTGCCCAGGAGGGCCGCGAGGCAGCCATCGACGCTTTGGTGGGGTGCGGCGCCGACGTCAATCTCCTCGACGGCAGCGAGTGCACCCCGCTGCACTACGCGTGCGCGCGCTGCCACGCCACCGCCGTGTCCGCCCTCTGCAGTCACAAGGCGGACGTGTCAAAACCAGACTCGTTCCACCGACTGCCGCTCCACATCGTGATCGAGAACCACGGCGACGACGAGGCCGCCGCGGCCGCCTGCGTCAAGGCCCTCCTCGCCGCCGGCGCCTCGCCGTCCGCCCTGACACCCCTCGGACACACCCCCCTGGCCCTCGCCATCGTGCACCAGGCCGCGCCGTCCGCCGACGTCGTCGGGGAACTCCTCGACGGCGGCGCGGACCCCTCCGAGCCCGACCAGCACGGCCTCACGCCGATCTACTACTCCGTCGCCCTGGGCCGCGGGGGGTGTCTCGAGCTCCTGCTGGCAGCCAACGCCGCTCTGCAGGCCGGCGGCGGGACGGGCCTCACCGCGGCGCACCTCGCCGCGATCCAGGGCTCGCCGGAGGCCGTCGCGGCGCTCCTCGCGCGCGTGCCGGACCCGGAGGCGCTCGCGGCGCCGGACGCGCACGGTCGCACCGCCGTCCACTACGCTGCGGGCCTGGGACACATGCGCGTGCTGGGGGACCTGCTGCGGCGGAGCGCCACGGCGGCGGTGGACGCTGCGGACGCGGAGGGCTGCACGCCGCTGATGTACGCGTTGGCGGCCGGGAAGGAGGACTGCGCACAAAGTCTCCTGAACCGCGGAGCGGCGGTCAAGGTGGTGGACAAGCGCGGGCGGACGCCGCTGCACGCGGCGTGCTGGGCGGGCGGGATCAAGCTGGTGCGGGCGGTGCTGGAGCACAAGGCGGACGTGAACTTCGCTGACGTGGACGGGCGGACGGCGCTGCACATGGCGGTGGAGGGAGGCACGGCCTTGCTGCGGCTGCTGCTGGACTACGGCGCGGACGTGATGGCGACGGACAAGCAGGGGCGGACGCCGCTGCACGCGGCCGCGGAGGCCGGCGCGGTGGAGACGGGCACGCTCCTGCTGAAGGCGGTCGAGCGCAGCAAAGCAGACCCCCGGGGGGGACTTTTGACGCGCGAGGGCCGCGGGCTGCTGCACCTCGCCGCGCAGCACGGCCGCCCGGTGTTCCTCGCGATGCTCCTCGACAACGGCTTCGAGGATCACGCGCAGAACCCGGATCTGCGCGGTCAGACGCCACTGCATGTCGCGGCGGCGCACGGCGACCCGGACTGCGTCGCGCTGCTGTGCGACTGCGCCGGCATGGACGTCGACGCGCGGGACCTCACGTCGCGCACGCCGCTGATGCTCGCGGCGGAGGCCGGCCACGTGGCGTCGGTCAAGGTGTTGCTGGACCAGCGAGCGAGCGTGAAGGCGACGGACGCGAAGGGGCGGACGCCGCTGCACGCGGCCGCGGCGGCGGGCAACGCGCAGGTGTGCATCGTGCTCTGCCAGCACGGCGCGTCGCCGCACGCCGCCACGGAGGGCAACCTTATCACGCCACTGCACCTGGCGGCGGCGGGGGGGCACACGCTGGCGTGCTTGTCGCTCGTGCGGGCGGGGGCGTCCGCGGAGACGCCCGACAGCCAGGGGCGGTCCGCGGTGGCCGTGGCGGTGATTGCGGGGCACCGCAGCTGTGCGAAGCAGATGGAGGGGGAGGCGCGCCAACACGCTGCGATGGCGGCGGAGGCGACGCTGGAGAAGGTGGTGGAGGAGGACGGGCCGGGGGAGGGCTCCAAGGCGGAGGAGGCGGCTGTGGCGGGGGCCGACGCGCGAGAAGCGGCCACAGAGGCGGCAGCGGAGGGGGGTGGCGCTGAGGGGGGTTCGAAGGCCGAGGGCGGTGGGGAGGAGGCGGGTGCGGCGGAGGGGGACGGAGGGGAGGCGCCGGCGGTGGAAGGCGGTGGGGAGGGGGAGTGAGGGGGGGTGTGATGCGACCTGACTCGTCGGAGGTTGTTGGCCGCGCGGGCTGTTTCTGGGCGGAGCTGTGCGGCGTCGAGAGTGCACTGAGAGGTTGTTGGTACGGCTGGGGGTACGAGAGAGGGTGTTCTTTGCGTATGTACCGTCCGTTGCTGGCTCGGTTCGCAGCTGCAGGTGCCGCAGCAGGAGCGGCCTCCGTTGCCGTGCGCGCCGTCGACGCGCGGCACGCGCCTGGGCCCGGCCGCGGTACAGAGAGGACTAGAGCGGACCTTGCGTGCCAGTCGCAGAGTTTGGAGCCCGCCGTATCGAGCAAAAGGTATATCCTAGTCACCTCGCGCTTGGTCGTTTACCCGCCCTGGCGCGCACGGCGCGCCTTCGCGCAAACGGAGCGACGTGCGATGTAGACAAAGATCCTGTGCAACTGTACATTCTGCGGCTGGTGTCTGACAAGGCCTGTGCGGGACGCGGCGGCTCTGATGGTCGTCCGCCACATCACCGGCACTCACGAACTCTCTGCGTGGACGTGCCACGCCCCGCGTGCGCCCAACCTCGACCCTCCCCCTTCACGTTCCTCCAGGGCCATGCAAGAGGCGAGAGGCGCCGAACGCGGCGCCCCCGTGCAAGCCTCGGAGCGCTCTCCACGCGCCCAGGCACGCGCGAACTGGTCGGTGACCTGCACGGGGTGCTCGGCGGATATCCGCCTCCGCGACGACGGCTCTCTGATCGCGGACCGCACCGGCGGCGCCGCCACCGGCAACGACGCGCCGCTCCTGCCCGGAAGCCCCCCTGACTCAGGCTGCAGGCCGCGGTGGCCGTGGGGGGGTCCCTGCTCGGCGTGCTCGGCGGAGCCTGGCGCGCAGGTGCTTCTGCCGGGCGATCAGATCTTCGGAGCGCAGGAAAAGGCCCCGGGGGAGTTCAAGGTGTATGTCGCAGCACCGGGGCGGCCCGGGGCGCACGGCGGGGACGGGCGCGGGCCGCGGTCGCTGCGAGCGATCGGGCCGCTGCAGGCGGTCGGCGGGTACCGCGCGCGCGACGCTGTGCGCGCAGTGCAGGTACGTGTGCCACCTAGAAAGCGAAAAACGAAACGGATTCGTGTCTGTGAGGGAGGCGGCGCGCGGGCGACGCCCGACGCGCGGCCTGGCGCTTTTTATTACAATGTGCTCGGTTCGCGTCGGTGTGCAGGCCGCGGCGGCGTGGGGCGGCGACAGCGAGCCGCCGAACGTGCTCGTCGTGATCAACCCGGCGAGCGGGCCGGGCAACGCGCCAACGACGTTCGCGAAGCACATCCGCCCGTATCTCGAGGACAAATGCGGCTTCGCCGTCCGCGCACTCACAACCGAAGCCCCAGGACACGCCACGAACTACATTCGGGACCTGTCGCAGACCGAACTCGACGCGACCTCCGCCATCCTCGTCGTCGGCGGCGACGGAACCGCAGCCGAGGTCCTCCAGGGCGCGATGGCGCGCCCGGACTGGCGGCGGGCGCTCTCAATTCCCGTCGCGATGGCGCCGGCCGGCAGCGGATGTGCGCTCGCAGCCTCAACTGGCATCCTGAGCTCGCTCTGCGCGGTGCACGCGCTCGCAAAGCGCCACGTCGTGCCCCTCGACGCAGCGTCGGTCTTTCAGCCGGCGATCGGCCGCCGGTCGTACGCGTTCCTCTCCGTTGTCTTCGGGTCGTACGCGAGCATTGACATCGGATCGGAGCGCCTGCGGGCCCTCGGAGCCGCGCGGTTCACGCTGTACGCGATCGCAGAGTGTCTGTCCGGCCGCCGGTACGGCGCCCGGGTGTGGTGGCGCGACGGCATCGCCGAGCCGTCGGTTGCAAAGCAAGGGGGGGAGTCGACGTCGCCAGCGCCAGAGTGTCCGGCGCTGGCGGAGCTGGTGGCGCAGGGGGCGAGCCTGGCGGGCGACACGGAGTGCGCGCAGCCAGCGAGCCTCATGCAGGCGTGCGGCGCGGCGGCGGCCGCGGGCTCTGCGTGGCGCGAGGCAACGGGCCCACCGTACAAGCTCTTCGTGCTCGCGAACCTGCCGTGGCTGTCCCTGACGACGCGGATCGCGCCGGGGCTGCGGATCGACGGCGGCACGATGGCGATGGTGTCCACGCGGGAGGCGTCCCCGATCGAGAGCCTCCGACTGCTGGCAGGCGCGGACTCAGGGGAGGACATCACGAAACACCCCCGGGTGTCGCACCGCCGCGTGTGTGCGGCCGCGGTGTTCCCGGAGCCGCGGGACGACGGCCGCGACTGGCTGGTGGTGGACGGGGAGCTAGCGCCGTACTCGCCAGCGCTAGTGGAGCTGCACGCCGGGCTCTGGAGGGCGGTGGTGGCGCCGCCGGAGGCGTCCGCGGGGACGCACGGCGGCGGGAAGGCTCAAGTGTGATGTTACAGGCGTGGCGGAACCGGAGCGCCGGAGTTTATGTACGTGCATGCGCCCGCTTTGTGCCCTGTCCGCTGTGTGAGCGTCGTATCGTTTCTTCTGCCGTGCTGTGTCGGTTGCGCAAGCGTCCTTGCGGCGGGGATGTGGGTCAGCCGAACACCGAAGCACGTGGCGGGCGGTTGGTGTGGGCTTGTTGGATGTATTACTTGCACGTACGGTCTGACTTGGACGCGCAGCGCAGGTCGAGGCGTTCGCTCGCAGTGAGGCCCTTGACCTTCTTCTTGTAGCCGTGGAGGATCTCAGGCGGCGCGCGGTACGAGCTGCCCCAGGGCGTGGCTCCCCGCGAGCGCTCTTGTTTCACGCGTTGCATCTCCAGATCGAAGATCTGCGGCAAAGAGCGACGTGTCCCATGCAGGTTACGTGCCAGAGAGTACGCTCGAGGCCGCGGAGCGCGGCTGCGGCGCGGTGAGGCGCGCGGGCGGCGTTGGAAGCGCGCTTGCCTGCTCGTACGTCTTCCCCTCGCGCGTGTCGACGGCAGCGCCGCTGATTTTCTTCTCCCCGGTGCCAGGATCGACCTCCTCGCCCTCTGGAACCGTCTTCGACCTCTTCTTTTTCTTGTGCTTCTGCACACCGTTGGCCGTGACCACCTCCCCGCCCTTGAGCTTCAGCTTGCCCCCCACGGGCATGATTCTGCGGCGTTAAAGAACGCCTGCCCACACAAGAGAACGCCTCCGAGTACAGGACCGAGCGAGGGGAGTCGGACACGGTCGCACACGCCGGCTACAGCAAGCTCCAGATGAGCACTGCTCACGCGCCGCGCCTGCTTGCTTTCAGTTGGTGTCTACACGCCGGCAGCTGACACGGAGATACTCGGACCTGCCAACGGGGACGGTCCGGCGCGCCCATGAGCTCGCAAGGGGTGCGACTGGGCGCTGACACACACCGCGGGAGGTGTTGATTTCGTCTCCGTGTGAGCCGCTTGAAGCGGCTTCAACAGCGGGGCCGGCTCCGCGCGTGCGGCACAGCTGTGTTGACGAAGAATCCACCAACCGGACGGCGTTGAGAGAGGGCACGGGCGCCTTGGACTAGCGCAGCCTCTAGAGGAGCTCGCCGGGTGAGGGAGAGGAGCTCGCCATGTCGACTCTCACGGAGCAGCAGCTCGAGGAGTTCCGGGAGGCGTTCAACCTGTTCGACAGGGATGGAGATGGGGCAATTTCCGCCCTGGAGCTCGGAACTGCAATGCGGTCCCTTGGAGCCAACCCCACGGAGCGGGAAATCAAGGCACGGCCCCGAAAGTGCCTGGAACGCGTGCATCATGTCCGTGGCGAGGTCCTTGAAACGATACCACGCGGCCAGAGGCCAGCAGCAATGCGGAGACAGGAGGCCTCGCTCCTGCCAAACAGCACGCTTGTGGCAGCAGTGCTGGACGTGTATCGCTGGTTTGGACGCGCGACCACTGGAATTCGAGCCTATTTGTGGACAGAGGCCCAGCCAGGCCCCGCGTTCGATCCTACGTTCCGCGGGTGAACGCACCACATGCTCACCAGGCTTGGGGGCGCTGGTGCTACCGCAGGACATGATGGACCGGCTCGACGTGGACGAGAAGGGGACGGTGGACTTCAAGGACTTTTGCGAACTGATGGAGGAGAAGCTTCAAGACGAGAACGCGCCCACAGAGGAGTCCTTGAAGGCTGCCTTCAAGGTGCGCTGTCTGACTGTCTGACCCCCGCCGAGCGCGCCTCACTGACGCCCGCGCCATCCTGAATGCTCCACCGTAGCAGCCAGCCAGCCAAATAGACGTGCGCATCCCTCGATCGCCGGCGGCGAGGCATTTTGCACGTAGCCAGTTGACACGCAGCGCGCCCACGGCCCGCCCGCTCCCCGCGAATTCCCGCAGGTGTTCGACAAGGACGACAGCGGCTTCATCTCCGCGCAGGAGCTCATCCAGATCATGAAGTCGCTAGGCGAGCCCCTGAGCAAGACGGAGATTTCAGACATGATGGCGGAGGCTGGAATCGACCAGGACGGGCAGGTCAACTACTCCGAGTTCGTCCGGCTGATCCTCGGGGAATGAACCCTCTGTTTCGCATGCGCGCGGGACGCGCGCCAGCTCGCCATGTCACTTGTGACACGATCAAGGGCGCTCGGAATGCGGGGGTGCCAGCGCCCTGGCGAGCGCGACGGCGTGCTCGTTATACCCGCGTCTACTGCACGCGCGTGCCATCATGCACACCACTTGCAAGCATAAAGTAGTAATTGACGAAGCATGATTCGCAATCGCGCGTCCTCACAGCTTGGCCCGCAGCGACTTCTTGTACTCGTCGAACGTGCCGTGGAAGGGCGTCACCCTCCCGTCGTCCACGATCCACATCTCGTCCACAGTCGCCTCGATAAGGTGCTGGTCGTGGCTGACCATGATCACCGCACCGCTGTACGCATACAGCGCCGAAATCAACGCGTCCACCGCCTCGATATCCAAGTGGTTGCTCGGCTCGTCCAGCAGCAGCACGTGCGGCCTGCAAAGCAGAGAACACCCGCGCCACGCGTCGATGATGTGCACAACACCAAAAGACCACACAAAAAGACCCACAACGCCGTCGCCCCGCAACGGAAACGCCGCCGCAGCCTTCCCCACCAGCATCTCGCGCCGCAGCGTCCTGCGCAGGCGGCAGGGCGCGTTCGCGTGCGGGCAGCGGCGCTTACTTGCTCCACGTGATGCGCGCAAACGCGACGCGCGACTTCTGCCCGCCCGACAGCGTGTACATCGGCTGCTGCGCCAGCTTCTCGGAGACACCGTACAGCCCCAGCTGCGCGCGGACCTGCTGCTCGTCCGCGCGCGTGAACAGCTTCAGCAGGTACTGGATCGGCGTAAGGTGCAGCTCGAGCCCGTCCACGTGGTGCTGACTAAACACCGCCCAGCGGACCTTGGGGTTGCGCTGCACGAGCCCCGACGTGGGCTCGAGCTCCCCGCACATGAGCTTGAGCAGCGTGGACTTCCCGATACCGTTGGCGCCGACGAGCGCAAAGCGCGAGTCCGTGCTCACGCCGAAGTCGATGTCGCGGAAGAGCGTCGGCCCGCCGTCGTAGTTGAAGGAGACGTTCTGCGGCGGGCGGGCGGCACGCGTGGCGCGCGTGAGGCGGTGCGCACGCAATCGACCAGTCCGCGGCAGGCACAGGCCCGGAGCGCGAGTTGGCATCTGTTCTGACCGTCATTGCGGATTGCCGTGGAGCGGTCGCGCGGCAGAGGAGCCGCATTGAGCGGCGAGGGCGATCGATCGCTGTTTGATCGTGCGCGGGCTTGGCGCGCTGTGGCGGCAGCGTGGGCGCACCTGGAAGGACAGGAGGCTGCCGGTGACGGCGTCGGGCTGCGGGAACTTGAAGACGTACTCCGGGTCGTCGTCGTCGACCTCGACGGTCCCCAGGCGCTCGATCGCCTTGATGCGCGACTGCACCAGGGCGGCGCGGTTGGCGTTGCAGCGGAACCGGTCCACGAACGACTGCATGTGCGCGCGCTTGCGGTCGTGCGACTCCTGCTTCTTCTTATCATTCAGCAACCTGCGCCGCCACGCGGAAAACATCGCACGCCAAGGTTGTAGCCACCGCTGCGGCGTTTCAACAGCTTGGAACGATCGCACGGCGCCGAGGGCGCGAGGGGAAGCGCGTGCGCGCGCACCTCTCAGCGCGTGCGGCCTGGAAGGTGTTGTAGTCGCCCTTGTAGTGGTTGAGCCGCTGGCTGTGCAGGTGGATGATGTCGGTGCAGACGTCGTTCAAAAACTCCCGCGCGTGCGACACCACGACGACGGTCTTCGGCCACGCGAGCAGGTACTGCTCGAGCCACAGCACGGCGTGCAGGTCCAGGTGGTTGGTCGGCTCGTCGAGCAGCAGCAGGTCGGGCTCCACAAACAGCGCCTGCGCCAGCGCGATGCGCATCCGCCACCCGCCGCTGAAGCTCCGCGTCGGCTTGTGCATCATCTCCGGGGAGAACGACAGCCCCGCGAGAATCACGCTCGCGCGCGCCTCCGCGCCCTCCGCATCGATGGCAATCATACGCTTGTGCACCTCCTCCAGCTCCTTCGCCATTGCTGCGTCGTCCCCGCCGTCCTCGCCGCCGAGCTGCGACATCAGCACCTTCTCGCGCTCGAGCAGCTCCGCGCGCTCCACGTCGCACGACAGCACCATCTGCAGCGCCGTCGTTTCGTCCGCAACCACCTCCTGCGCGACGTGCAGCACCTGGCACTGCGCCGGCATGCCCTTGAGCTGCTTGCTGGCGATCGCGCGCAGGAGCGTCGACTTGCCCGTGCCGTTGCGCCCGATCAGGCCGTACCGCCGCCCGTACGCCAGGACGACGGAGCCGTCCGAGATGAGGTCGGCGCCGCCGTTGGAGACCGTGATGGCCTCCAAGTTGATGTCGCGGACGCCCATCGAGCCCTCGCGGCGGTCGATCTTCGGCCGCTCGCCCGACATGTGCGCCGTCGCCCGCGCCATCTCTTGCTGCACGCACGCACCGCGCCACCGCCGACAGATGTGTCAGAAACAAAAGGGAAACCTTGTCTCGCTGCCCAACGATGCATGCGCGGCCGGCTGCGCCGCGCCCGAGCTGTCCGGCCGGCCCGAAGATAGATACTCGTCTGGAGCTGCTCAGGAACCACGAACGAAGGTCTCCGGGCCGCACGAACCTTCATCTTCTTCTTCGCGGCTTCCTCCTCCTGCGCCCGCCGGCGCTCGAGCTTCACGCGGTCCGCCGCGTTCCCGACGCTGAACTCCCCGTCGCCGTCGAAGCGCGTCTGCACGAGGTGCATTCCGCTGAGCTTCTCGTACAACACGTCGCCCTGGAGGTCGCCCATGCGGACGGGACCCGAGTCCAGGGCGCGCATGTCGGTCCCTGCGCGGTCCTTGCGCTTGGCCTCCTGCTCCTCCGCACCCTGCGAAGCGTGGCGAGGCGGCGCGGCGCGGTGTCACGCGCGAGCGGGCCGGTTGCGCGGGATGGTTTGTGCTCTGGGTGTAGGCCGTGGCAGTACCAGGCGAATTGCGAGGTCGACGCAGGCCTTCCTGGCCGCTGCTTCGTCCGCCACCATCTCGTGGTCGATCTGCGGCGAGCGGGATTGAGTCAGGGGCGTTTCGCGCGGAGCGCGGCGCAGGTCGCCCGAATGCGCTTCGCCTTGTGTGGAGCCGACGTGCGCGCAGCGAGAGCCCGAGGAAGACGCCGCACAGCGCCGCCGTGCACGCACGACGGAGTTCACGTTCGCTGAGCTGCTCGAGACCGCAGCGGAGTCCGCGCTGTCAGCCCACGCCGCCGTCTGGGCAGCGCGGCGGCCTCCGGCGACCCGCGACGCACCAGAATCTCGCCCACGGCCTCGTACACGGCCTCCCCCGCACTGTCGAGCTCCTCCTGGAACTGCTCGTCCGCCAGAACCGCCGTGATGTACTCCACGATGATCTCATCACCCCCGTGGTCACCAAACACCGCCTCCAGGTGCCCCCGCACCGCCGTAGCGGCGTCAGGGGCCATCTGTACCCGGTCACGCGTCTGACGGAGCAGCCTCCGATGAGACCTGCCGGCCTGGCCCAGCCCCTGCGCGCAAGACAGCGACTGCTTGCCAGCGCCACTCTTCGCCGCCGTGGACGCGCGTACGCGAAGATTTTGCTGGTTTGGACCTTCCGGCAAACTAGCTGCGCATGTCGGCCCGCAGGGGTCGCTCTGGAGCCCACGTCGGTCTGCAGCGGCGACGGGCGGGGAATGCTTCTATCCCGGGGACGCAACTTGGTGGGTCACGTCAGGCCGGTGCCTGCGTGTCGCCGCGGCGCGTGAGTGGGGCGCGCGGGCGGCACCTGCGCGCACTCGTTGACGTTGGTTCACCGCGGTCTCCCACTCGTTGCTCAGGCGTCCGTTGCAGGCCGTCGCTGCTCTCTACAATAGCACCTCGCAGCGCGGAGCCACGGACCCACCACGCGCCTGACCGTACGTGATCGGCCCTCCCAGCTATCGTGTGTCGCCTCGCTGGCAACGGCGAGGCGCGGAGGCGGGCATTCGTGCGGTGCGGGGTCTCAATTGAGGGACCAGGTGTTGAGGAACCGGAAGGCGGGGGATAGCGCTGGGCTGTGCACGCACGCTGCCGCTCCGTGATCTCCTACGAGGTAGAGCCGTTGTGTGCGGAAGATGCGGAGGACCGGGACCCGTTCTACGCGCAGTTGAGCAGCCTGGTGTTGCGCTGAGCGGCTCACTATGTCGCTGTTCGGGAACCTGCCGTATGTGGGGGCCTGGTTCGGTGACGGCGGAGGGAAGGAGGAGGGAGGGGGCGCCGTGAAGGAGGAAGGAGCGAACGGCGCGAGCGAGGCTGCAGGCCAGGTCCACGGAGCTGAGACCCTGTCGTACGCGCATCGTCCCGCGGAAGGTGAGCGCCTCTCCGACATCCGTACCACGTACAGCTCCAACTTATGCGGCTCCCGCCCCAGACGAGCTGGGTGGACCCACCCACAGGCCGGCAGGGCAAGGCCACGGGTGTGGAGGCGCTTTTGCGCGTGTGCGCTGGCCCATTTCTCGCAAGTCCCTCACGCGGGCATGCTGGATCGTTGCGGTGTCTGCAGGATCCCCGGGCGCGGCGTCTTCCTCGACGAGTGCTGCAGGGTCGCGCCTTTCCTTCTCGCCAACTGGGATCCCGGACCCTGAAGCCGTCAGTTCGTCTTTCGAGGACCCCTCTGGCCAGCCGGGAAGCCCCGCCTCTCCCACAGGTCGCAGCGGCCTCCGGAGCCGCGGAGCCCACGGCAGGCACCGCAGCGTGGTCCCGGCCGGCCTCCCGGATGCCCCCGAACACGCCGGGCTGGCCGCCACAGGCGGCAGCGAGATCAGCCACGGACGCTCCGGTACCATGGTGTTCGACGACGACGCCGGGGGCGCGGGAGCCCTCGACCTGCGCGCGCTGCAGGCCGCAGTTGGAGATGGCTGGGGCATCCGCAACTCGCAAGTGAGCTCGGAAGGCGCTGAGCGGCCGCCCGTGCCGGCAATGAGGAGCTCGCGAGGCCTCCTCATGACCACCGTCGAAGAGGAGGAGACCGGGCCGTCCGCGGTGGAGGAAATCGGCGCTGCGCAGCCCTCCGAACATACACGCCCTGCGGAGGAGCCCCCAGCTGCGGCGCCGTCGTCCCCGCCCGACGAAGGTGCGCAGCTTGCACGGCACGCCCATGCTCTGACAGCGCGCGCGACTCCCGGAGCATCGCGACAACGCTTTCCATTCCAGCCATAATGACATAATAACGCCTCCAGCACACAACACGTGCGTCTCCGTGCCGCTGTGCGAGCAGGGGCGGTCGTTGGGAGCGAGGCGGGCCACAGCAGCAGAGGGACCTCCGGGAGGCCGCGTCCGCAGGCCCGTGGCAGCAGCCGCAAGGTAGAATTCGGAAAGCTGGCCTCGATGCTGGCTGCGGGCTCCACGGGGTCGGGACTGCACGGATTCGGCAGCGTGAGCAACGGGGACGATTTGATCGACGCGGCGATCAACAGCTCCGAGGGCAATGACGGTTCGGCGCACATGCAATCGACGCGCGAGGGCGGACGCCCCCCGCGGCCGAAGCTGGAGCAGATGCGCTCGCGACAAGGTGAGCGCGGGCGGAACGTGGTCCTGCGGCGCATTGCAGGCCCGCCTGCGCGATGCGCTCTCACGTTGCCGCGGTTGTGTGTCCGCATGTTGTCTGTGCAGAGTCTTGGTCGCAGCCGGGGACCGGCGAGGAGATCGAGACGCAGGCTCGCTCGCGGATGACGGCGCTCGCGTCCCTGAAGCGCAACGCCAGCGGCAGGCGGCGGAGCGTGTCCGATGACGGCGCTAGCACACCTCCCACGCCCCCCGCCGCCGCCGCTGCGGGCGCGCCCGCGCCGCCGGAGGGCTCGCTCAGCGGGTCGGGCTCGCAGCCGCCTGCGGTGCGCTTCGGCCCCGAGGACTACGACTGGAGCGAAATGGACCATTACTTGCGCCACGTCAACATGCCAACAGCATTCGACACGCCGTCCGTGTCCCACGCGAACTCCCTGCACGGCTCGGCCGCCACGTCGGGCGCCACGGCGACAAAGGCGGACCCGGACCCCGCGAACTCGGCGAGGGCACCGCCGCGCCCCTCGCCGCTCGGCCTGGCGCTGCCGCTGCCGGCGCCGACGCCGGCAAACGAGATCACGAGCCCGACGGCGCGTTCGCGGCCGATGATCCTCCCCCAGCGCAGCAACGCGAAGTCGCACTACAGCTCCGCGCACAGCGGAGCGGGCGACGCGCCTGGCCCCGGGCTGCCGCCTGACGTGCCCGACGCCAGTACGAGCGTGCTGCGGGCCAGCATCGAGGCACCCAGGCCGGCTGCGCCGGCGGCGCAGGAGCGGAAGGCCGGGTTCTTCCAGCGCATGGTGTCATCGGGAAAAGAGAAGGCACGAAAGCCGTCCAAAAAGGGGGGCAGGAGCCCCGCTGCGTCATCGCACGAGGGCTCCGCGCGCTCGGGGCGGTCCGAGAAGGGCCGCCGCAAGTCGAGGGACGGGCGGCGGAAGTCCGAGAAGGGCCGGAAGAAGCGCGGCATTCTGCGCAAGTCGACCGACGCCGAGCGCCCGCGCCCGCGCGCCTCGCCGCCGCAGCCGGGGCGCAAGAGCTCCAACACGACGTTCCAGGAGGGCGTCGAGGTGCTGCTGCCGGACGGCTCGAAGGACTTCGAGCAGCTCTCCGGGGAACCGGTGTCGCGGAGCAGCCTCTCGCAGCGCCCGAACGTCCGCTTCTCCCTGTCGCAGCGCGACGGGGAGGACGCCGACGCGCCTGTCGACCCGCTGCGGTCGCTCCCGCTGCCGTCCGTGGAGGAGCAGCCCGGGACTGGGGTCCCGCACGACGGCGCGGGGTCGAGCAACCCGGTGACGCCGAAGCGGACCACGCGGCCGCGCGTGATGTCAGAAATGCGGTCGCTGGTGTCCAAGGGGTCCGGGGGCAGTGCGTTGCAGAGCGCGAGGCGGTCGGAGATATTCCCGTCGGAGAACGGGAGCGAGAAGGGGAGTTCGCACGCGGGCCGGCCGGGTGAGCTGCAGCGCGTGGGTAGCAGCAAGGTCAAGGGCGGTAGGGCCAAGGCGCAGCTGACGAAGGCGGAGTCGAAGCTCGGGAAGGCGTTTGCGAAGCTCAAGAACAAGCGCAGGGACCGGCTGGAGGCGAAGGAGGACGCGCAGGAGCCGATGCAAGTGCAGAGTCGTGCCAAGTCGCTGTTCGATGTGGGCATGCTGCGACGTGAGTGCGCCCAGGCCGCGCTGTGCGGCGCGGCTGCTGCGTGCGCACGCTGCTGCTGCGGCAGCGCGTGTTGGTTCGCTCGGAACTCGAGGATTCTCGATCGCCGGTGCTTGATTGCGTGTGGTGTTTTCTGTGTGTGTGCGTTCGCAGGCAAGTCGAAGCCGAAGGTGGCCGAGGACCCCACGATAGCGGCTTTGAAGGAGCTCAAGGCCGGGGGCGCGCGGAACCGCTCGTTCGCGGGCTTCATGCGCCGCGACGTGTTCAACAACAGCTCCGGGGGTCTGCGGCGGCAGGCTACGGACAAGGTCTCCATGGTCGAGGAGGAGGGCGAGGGGGAGCCCGGGGGCTCGTCGGCGGGCCAGCGCGCGAGCACGCAGCAGTCGGGGCGCGGGCCGAGGCAGACGGCCGATTGGTTCCGATCGCACATTCGCAAACTGCCCTTCATGGATGACATCCGGCGCTTCTATGAGGAGACGTACACGCACGTGTCGCACATCGAGCGGATGTACTGGAGCCAGGAGGCCGCGGAGGGCCTCGCGCGCATGCGCAGGAAGCAGGACGGCCTGCGCATTCTGCTTGGACTGGGCACGGGGTCTTCGCCAAAGATTGATCTGGCGCCGGCGGCGTCGCTGATCAGCCGGTGCTGGCACTCGTTCGTCGCGGTGATGCGCGTGCCGGAGCTGGAGGAGCTGCTGGTGAGTCCCCGCCGGGAGGGCGCGGGAGCGGTGTTGTCGTTGCTGCGCTGGGCGTCGGGCATGTTTGCGCGTCTGACGCCGTTGCGACTTGGTTGCTTCTTTGCGCGTGCGTGCAGCTGTGGATGGTCGAGAACTACCAGACGGAGATCGGGAAGATCGCGCAGGACAACGCGCGCGCCGACAAGGGCCTGTCGCGGCTGCGCGACCGCACGCGCGGCCTCGTGGACCGCGCCCGGCTCGCCATGGGCGGAAACGAGCGCCACCGCCAGGGCAGCGTGACCGTCGTGCAGGTCCTCGAGTGCATGGTCGACCTCGCCTGCGTGGTCCGCAAAAAGCACGCCTACCAGGCCGTGGGCACGTACGTATTGCAGCTGCTGTCTTCGCTCGGGTTCGACATATCTGAGAACCAGCCGGAAGACGGGCAGCCCCTGGAGATCTCCGCGACGCAGCAGGACGTGTCCGAGGAGTGCGTCATGCTCCTCATGGCCGCGGGGCGCCTGTACATGGGGATGGGCCGCCTGGACAGCGCGCTGACGTGTCTGCTGGCCGCGTCGGAGAACGGCAAGGAGATCTTCGGCCCAACGCACCCCGTGCCCCTCGGCGCGCTGCTCCTGGCCGCCGAGGCGCAGGCGGGGCTCGGAGACTACTCGTACATGTCTGCGGCGCTCACGGAGGTCCTCGAGTTGTGCCGGTCGACGATGCGCGGGTCCGCGGTGGAGCGGCGCAGCGAGGCGACGCGGAAGCTAGTGCAGGCGCTGCGCCTCGACGTGCGCCACACGATCATCACGGAGGGCAGCGTCGCCGGCGCGGAGAGGGCGGAGAAGGCGCTGGTGGAACTGAAGACCGTGTTCGGCCCGCACCACCCGGAGTCGTCGTCGCTGCTGGGGTTCCTGGCGGGGTCGAAGGAGCCGCGCGCGATCGCGGCGCTGCCGGACCGCATCCGGGACGCGATCGACGGCGTGGGCCGGATTCTAGGCACGCAGCGGCACGTGCGCGTCGCCTCGCTGCGAACGTGGCTCGCCGGGGCGCTCGCCGCGGGCGGGGACGTCGAGCAAGGTGCGTGGCGCTCGTTCACGCTCGTCGCGTGCCCGTCGCGACCACTATTCGTGGCGTCCGCGCTGCTCACCTCACCTCTGCCAGCATGGTGTTGGTCCCCTGTGTGCAGCTCACGAGCACGCGACCACCGCGCTGGAGGTCGCGCGCAGCTGGCTGGGGCCGCAGCACCCGGACGTGGCGGAGTTCATGGCGGTGTGCGCCGCGACGGGCCCGCCGGAGCAGCGCGTGCCGACGCTGACGGCGGCGCGCGACATCAAGGTCGTGGAGCTCTGGAACCACCCGGACAGCCTCAGCCTCAACCTCCAGCTCGCCGACGCGCAGTTCGTGGCCGGGAACGTCGACGAGGCCCTCGTCTCGTACGAGCGCGCGCAGCACTTTGTACAGACACGGGTCTTCCCGGCGCGGCGGCACCCGTCCGTCGCGGTCATCCTGCGGCACAAGGCCATCGTCCACCTGTCCGTCGGCGCCGCGGAGGAGGCGCACGCTGCGCTGGAGGAGGCGTTCGGGATCCTGAAGGGCACTGTTCCCGCCAACTGCCCCACGCTGGTCGCCGTGAGGGAGCTGCTCGGGATGCTGCTGCGCGTGGACGAGCACGATGGCAACAGCAAGGCCGAGCAGGAAGAGAAGGACGCCGGCCGGAACCCGCTGCGCGGCTCGAGTTCGAAGGGCGCCAGTTTCTGGAAGCGCGTCACGAAGCCGGAACGCGCACGCATGCTCTCCGGCGCGTCCGACATGACGCTCATGGTACGCGCTTCACCCGCGTCACAGCGCACCGCGTCCCGCGCGACCCCGTGTACGCAGCACCCACTTGCATGTCATCCTGAGCGATCTGCCTGCAGGATCATACGACCAGGAAGTCGCACAGCTTCACGCGGGCGTCCGGCACGGACGACGCCGCCGCGCAGCCCGCGAAGCCGGGGCTGTTCAAGCGCGCCTCGAACCGGCTGTTCGGGGTAGCGAAGCGGCGCTCGATGCGCCCGTCGGGGGATGAGCTGTCTCATCCGAGTCGGTCGCCGTCCGACATGGTCAACGCGAGCGCCAGCAGCGGGATGACTCTCAGCGGCCCGAGCCAGTCCAGATCGAGCCGGTCGAGGCCGGAACTGCGCGCCGCGCCGCTGTCGCAGTCGCATACGTCACTGCATTAGGTGCGGCCACGCACGGGTCGTAGGCGCCCGCGCGGACGCCTGGGAGCCTTCGTCGTGGTGTGTATGTGCGCGGGGAGGGGGCGAAGGGCGCCAGAATCCCTGGTGCGGAAGTTGAATACCGCAGAGAGGTGGTCTCGAGATCTAATTTCGTTGTAAACAATTGCGAGTCGAAACATGCGTCTGCTAGACCTAAGCTGTTCGCTGTGGCTACCTCGGTCCGCTCCGTAGGTGTTCCACGCCGTGTTCCACTTCCGGGCACCCGCTCAGCAAGCACGATGCCGCTACGTCCGCAAACACCACCCGAGCAGTGGAGCAAAAGTGGGAGTACGTGACCGACGAAAGGGCGGCCTCGCGTAGCGATGACGGTCGCGTGTCCCGCGGCACGGAAGCGTGGTGCAGACATCGACACTGAGGCTCGCCTGACGCGCACAATGTGCCGGCTGTGCAGTGCACCTGCGGTGAGACGTGCAGCGCGCCCCGCCTCCGTGATAATCGATCTTACAGCGGGCGTTCTGTGGGCAGGCGAGCGGCATTTTGCCGGACACGTTCGCGAAAACACCCCGGGGGGACTTAATTTGTTTTGTCTTAGCTGGTTTGGGTTTCGCCCCCGCCTGGTCAGACGCGGCGACAGGCTCGTAGCTCGCCGACGAGGGAGGGAGGAGGGGGGACGAGAGATGAGAGGGGGGGAGTGTGAGGGGGGCGGAAACATACAAATGCATGCAGCCGTCAGTGAGGCCTGCAGGGCCCTCGGCGCTCGTGCCCGTCGGCGTGCGCGCCGGGCGAATTTGTCCTGTTTGAAACACGCGCGCATCGGTCGGGTCACCTGTTTGTGTTGGCTACAGTGACAAGCGGGCAACTGTGACAGGGAGCTAGGGCAAACAGAGGGGTGTGTTAGCGGGGGCGTATTGGCGAAGCGGCGTCGGGCCCCTGCGTGAAGAAGCGCACGCGCGGGCCGGCCTGGACCGCGGCCTCCTCCTCCGCGAGCTTGCGCTCGAAGTGGTCGGCAGCCTCGCTCTGCTGCGCAGACGCCGCCAGCGCTCGTGCGATGCGGTGCTCGGTGTCCTCGATCCGCTGACCCAGGGCCACGCGCGACGAGTGCGTCAGCACGCTCATGTGGTCGCGTATCTCGTCGATGACCTGCAAGGGTCGGGCAGGGGCGCGTGAGACGAGACGCCGAAGGCACATGCTGACACCTGGCCACCTCAGGCGCCCCCGCAGTGCGCACCTGCTTCGCCTTCTGTGCTTCCTCGACGGATGCGCGGGAGGCCCCGATGGCCGCGGAGACGGCCGCCCGGCGCGCCCGCCTGAAGTCATCCCGTCCCTTGATGCCAGTAGCGGCCAAGGACGTCGCCCTGGGCAGGGTTCCGGCGTCCGCGTGGTGCCCCCTGGAGAGCTCGGGGCTTTCCCGATGGCAGGGAGCTCCCTCCAGGTGCGCACGGTGACGGTCCCCCTCGGAAGTCCGGTGGTATGTGGGCGCCGCGGCAACAGTGGGGGCTCTCGCATTGTGCTTCGTGCTAGGCAGCTTCATCTTCTCCACGATGGTCAGCGCGTACTGTGCGGTGCGGACCGCGTTCTCCGCTTCGACTGTCCGCGTCTCGAGCCGCGCCAACGCGTTCTCGAGGTGGTCCAGCGCACCAGCCCACGGCAACTTCTCGGAGCCCAGGGCCGAGCCGTACGGGCGCTCCGAGGTCGCCGGCCTGGCTTCCACTGGAGCGCGGGCATTGGCTCCTGCGCAGCACGGCGGACGGGGCGGCCTGCGTAAGTGGGGGCTGGCGCAACGGATTCCCCCACGCGCCCGTGGCGGCGCCGCGCGCGGATGCGGATCGTTTCAACTCGATCGTATGATCGAGTTCAGCGTGCTGCGTGGGCGCGCGGCGCGGTTCACGCGGCACCGGCGCGATACACGACGTCGTTCTGCTCCGCATCGACGCGCACCGTTGATCTTCACGACCGTGCGCGACGTCATGGCGACGTGCCCGGCCTATTCTTCGACCTGCAGTGCCGCATGAACGTCGACTCGCAGCGCAGCGGCCGCCCCGCGGCCAACAAGCTCGGAGCCGTCCGATGAGTAAAACTCCAGCTTCCGTCAGTCTGGAGGACTCCGCCTGGCCACGCGCGCCCAGCTACGCCCCTACTTCGCATGTACGACATCTGCAGCAGCGACAGAGCGCCGTTTGGACCGGCCTGACGTCACCAGTAAGCTGTGCGGGCAGAGACCCAGAGTACCTTCCAAGATGCCGTCTGACGTGTCTGCGGAGCCTGCCGAGGTGCAGGCGATCGTCTCGAGCCTCGCGTTGATTCCGCATCCAGGTGGGGCTGCCATACTGCGGAGTTCGCGCGCATGGACGGTGGACGCGGTGCACGACACGTGTCGCATTGCTGTGCCCCGTCTGACCGCACGGAGCGCTCGCTCTGGCCCGTACGCCTTGCAGAGGGGGGCTACTTCCGCGAGACATGGCGCGGCGGTGCTGAGCCGATGGCGAGTCGCGGAAAGACGGACAACGGCGGCGAGCTTATGAGCACTGTGCGCAGGGCCGGCGACGGCGACGAGGGGCAGCGGAACGTGATGACGTCGATGCTGTGGATGCTGACGAAGCAGCTGCCGTACGGGTGCTGGATCCAGAACGCATCTACGCACGTTCACTACCACCACGGTGCGTGGCACGGTCGACGCACGCGCGCACTCGCCTTGGCGCCGCCACGCAGCCCTCGTGACCCCGTCCCGTCAAATTCCACCAGAAACGAACCACCTTGAACTTGAGAAACGCTCCACCACGAAGATCAAGCTGCATCATGCGTGCCTCAGTCGCCCGCACGGCCCTGGGTGAACAAGCCGCGACGTGCACGCCCCGCGCGCGCAGGAGGCGGAACGATCGAGTACCACGTCGTGACAGCGGACGGGCGGCTCGAGAAGCACCGCCTGGGCCCGAACTACCAGGCGGGCGACGTTCCGCAGCTCATCGTGCCAGGAGGTTGGCTCAAGTGCGCGCAGCTCGTGCAGGGCGCGTGGGCGCTGATCGGGGAGGGCGTGGCCCCCGGGTTCGACTTCCGAGACATGAAGGTGCGCTGCAGCGCGATGCCGGCCCCGCCAGCTGCAAGACGCGATTTGCACTGGAACGACTGGGTGTGGCGCTTCTCTCTGCGCTGCACGTGCAGTCGGTGACCGCGGAGCAGCTGAAGCGAGCGTGCCCGGAGGCGTTCGAGGCGGCGGGGGCGCTGATCGATCCCAAGAGCGCGGACAACACCGACGCGTTCTACGAGAGGAAGTAAAAGGGCCACCATAATAAATAAATCATGATCAGACCAGCAACCAATAAGAAGACGAACTTCTCGTTTTTATTCTGCCCCGCACGGCATCGTCACGGACAGGCCTGCGCGGTCACGCGCCGTGCGCGACTTGCAGCCACGCGCGCCGTGCGAGGCCCAGCGCTACAGCTACCTGCTGCGTGCCGCCACACAGCCCCGACAGCCCCCCTGCGGGGCCGCTGACGTGGCTGGCCGCCAGCGGCCCGGTTGTGCGGACGTCACAGCCGCGGGGGCGGTGTACGCGACCACCGCGCCGGCGCTGCCACGTAAGGTCAGCATCATTGCAGAAAGGCGTCCGTTTTGTGTTGCTGGTGGACGGGTCCGCCCAGCTGCGCGTTCGCGAGGCCGATGTCCGCCTTGATGCGCGCGACCAGCTCGTCGATGCTCCCGAAGCGGATCTCCGGGCGCAGGAAGCCTGACACGAGTACGCGCATGCGCTGGCCGTAAAACTCCTCCGCCCCGTACGGGTTGCCGATGACGTGGACCTCCACGGTGACGCCGGAGCCGTCGTCGATCGTGGGGCGCTGCCCGACGTTCATCACCATCGGGTACACCGCGCCGTCGCCCTCCTCCCTCTGCGTCGCGATTGGCAGCAAATATCATCTTCGTGTCTGAGCGATCAGTCTATGCCAACGGCTCGGTGCGTGGCTCGTCCTCGGTGCAGAGCCGCTCCTCGGCGTGCCGCGGGGCCGCACGGGCGGCTCTGTGCACGTGTGCGCTGGAAGAAGACGCGCACGTGTGAGCGAGAGAGAGCTAGAGCATGGTGCGCCGGGGGCAGTGCTGGCTGCGCCGCGTCGCGCGTCGAGCGCCCGCAGCTGGCGAGGCGGCAGCGTTGCCGCCTTGGTTGCACGCGGGCGGCTTGTGCGGAGGCCACTGTGGCACTGCGTGTGGCAAAGGGGCTGCGGGAACGCACCCGCGCCCAGCCGAAGTACACGCCCGCGGGCCGCGCCGCGAAGACGTCGCCGCAGTCGGCCGGGTCGATGTTTGCCGTTGGCGTGCCCATCTTGCTGCTCCCACGCCCCGCGCCGTGCACCACCCTCCCCGCCGCCCGCAGCGGCGCGCCCTCGAACGTGTATCCCGCGGGGACCTGCGCGCATCGCAGCGAGGCCGCACGTCGACCGACGCAAAGAGGGGGAGTGCTCGCCGCGCACCTGCGCGGGGTGTTGTAACATACCCCCGAAAACACCGCTTTCGCCGTGGAACGCGCAGGGCGGCGGCACGCAAACGATCGAGCAGGCCTTTGTCTGCGTGCAAGTCGCAGTCTGACTCACGGGCCCAGCACACCTCGAGCACGGCGGCGTAGTTGTCAGCGTCGTCGATGAACGACGCAACGCGCAGCGGCAGGTCCGCTATCATCGCCTGGAGCTCCTCGCGCGTCGGGTACGACCACGGTACGCGCACGGGGTCGGCGGCGTGCAGCTTGTCGACGAACCCGCGGCCCAGGGGGTGAGAGAGCACGATGCGCGACCCGGGGCGCGACAACAGCGCGCTGCGGATAAGCGCCGCGCGCTGGTCGTAGATGTTCCCGAACATCGCGTTGAAGAAGGCGACGTGGAACGGCCCCATGTAGTCCGGGAGGTCGCACACGTCGCCGCGCCACGTGCGCACGACGGCGTCGTTGCCGGCAACGTTGCCGGGCTGGCCGAACCGGCCCTCGAGCGCTGCGAGCATGCTGCTGGAGAGGTCGATCGCGAGGATGTCGCTCGCGCCGGCCTCGCGGATGTGCGGAATGAGGCAGCCCGTTCCGGACCCTACGTCAAGCACACGCGCGTCAGACGGCATGCCTGCGAGCGCCGCAGCGACGGTGCGGCCGAGGCGCTCGACCACCTCCGCCGGCTGCTCGCCCTGGAAGAAGTCCACCTGCGTCGTCATCGCGGTGCAGCTGCAGCGTGTGTGTGTGTGTGTGTGTTGGTGCCGGGAGGCTCGTGCACTGCCGCGGCGCGCAGGCTGCGCAAGTGCGGACCTGCGCGTCGAAGAAGGACGCTTGATCCTTGTTGTGCGTCTCGCGGTCGGGGTGCGCGCCGGGGGGCATCGCACGGTGTCTCCGCAGCACCTGCAGATGGGGCAACTTCCTAGACTGTGTGACGACTCTCAGCGCGTGCTTCAAGCAAACGACGCCCCAGGGGCCTGGTCCCCACTGCTCATCATGGTGGCGTCCATGTCACGGCAGTCAGCTGCGCGCTGCGTGCGAGCGGCGCCAGCCTGGGGCTTGCGCTGTAGGTGCTGTGTGGGGGCCCTCACTTCGTCCGCATTGTCCGCTGGGGACGCTGACGCGGCGATCGGCGACCGCGCCGTGGTCCTGTATCCGCCCGCGATCGACCGGAGTGCCCGGCTTCCGCTGGAGCAGCGTGCCAGGGCGGCGCTGCGCCACATATCTGGTCCAGGTGCACAGGAGACGTGGATCGTCGATCTCTGGCAGTTGGAACGTTGTGCGACCGCCGGTGCCGCGCGAGGCAGCGTGAGAGCCTCTGGCCCCGTCCGTGGATCGCTCGCGACCGTGGCATGCGTCCCGCGGCCGCCGCGCGGGCGGTCGAGCCCCGGGCGCACGCGGCCGCGCCTGAGCTGGCATGAGGCCCTGTGAGTATGAACGGGGCCGTGCGCCGCCGCCGGGGCTCCTCGGGCACGCGCGCGGCGCGGCGGGGCAGTTGCTGGCCCGAACTCGCCAGGGGCACGCAGATCTTCGCGGACGTGGCCCTGAGCTGTCGGCGCGGGCGGGAGACGTGTGCAGGGTGTGCGCTGGGGCGCCAGTGGCCGTGTGCGCTGGGCCAGCGGGCGCTGCGGGGCCGTCAGCACTGCCGGGCTGACGCGTGGGATAGCGCGGCGTACCGGGTGGCGGTGGAGCGGCCTCGAAGAAGAGGGCATCGTCTAGGTGAAGGTAACAGGAGGGCCTGCCGACGCCCAGCCGCGGCACGTGGGGCTGGTCGCGTCCATCAAGCGGCACAGGAGCGTTCACTTGTATTCGAGCATTGCGTTAGGTCGAGCGTCTGGGCGGCGTTGAAGCAAGCGAGCCCAGTGGGAAGGCACGCCCGGTTGGTAAGTCCCGCGAGGACCCCGCCACGACCCGTCGCGCGCAGTCTGTGCGTCCGTAAGACCTCGCGCGTTCCCGAGCGAGGGCCCCGCGCGCAATGGACCGGACGAGCTGTCGGTGCCGAGCGCCTCGGCCAGCCGAGAGCTGGCGAGCTCTCCCTGGAGCGCCGGAGCCGGCGTTTCGCGGCGAAGGTCGTGGCGTTTGCACGTGCTCGACACGCCGGCATTGGGTGCCAGGGGCCCTGCGACCGCCCGCAGCTGCATGCCCAAACGCCCTGCCCTCCTCGATCTTTTCGGCCCCCGAGCCCGCGAGCGCGGCGGGAGATCGCTGCAGCGGGCTGCTCGCGTTTCTGTCGCGCGGTCCCCGTAGCGCTCGTGGACGTTTCAGACCGGCACCCCCACTTCTGCTCGTGCGAGTGCACGGGGTCGCCTGTGCAGGCCCCGTGGCGCGCTCCTGCGTCATGCACCGCACCCCAGCCGCCGCGTCTGCGTACGTGCTCCGCGTTTCTGCGGTCCGTTCCCGCGCTGGTTCCCCCCCAGCGGCCCTCGGGGCTGTCACCGTCGGAGCATAACCGAGGAGGCATGAGGGCGAGCGTCCGCGCCGCCCCGAGCTGACCGCAAACATGTCCACTTTTCGCAACGCGCCGGGGCGCCCACCCCTGGCGCGCGCGGCGGCCGCTGCCGCCTGCCGCGCGGTCGCCATCAGGCACCTGGCTCTTTAGCGCGCGACGCGCCGTGCGCCGGCCCTGCGCGCCCCCGCCGCACGCAACCGCACCCTGCGCCTCCGGCCTACCCTGCCGGACGCCCGCGCAGCCCCACTTTCGCCCGTCGCGCGGCAATCACTGTGCTGCCTGTTTGGGGCTCTAGCCGCAAGCGCTCCCCTTGCAACCCGCGGCGGTCCGCGCCCCCGGTACCCGCCTCTCGACGTAGATCTCCGCCCCTGCCGCGCACGGCGCTCGCCCGGGGCGCGCCCGGCCGGCGCGCTCGCCCGCCTTGTCGCCCACACCTGCACCGTGGCCCCGGTGCGCGCAGGGACGCGAGGCGCGGGCGTAGTATTTCTTCGGGATGCACAAGATCCTGAAGAAGAATCCAAAAAAGGGACGGGATGACGCCCCAGCGGGACCGGCGAAGCCCTCGTCGACGTCCAAGGCATCCGCCGCCCTGGCGCCGCGCTCCGCGGGCAGCTCCGCCGCGGGCGCGCGCTCCGAGCGGCCCAAGCGCCCGGACCTGACCGAAGCCTCCATGGCGCGCGCCTACGCGGAGCCGCTGCCCTCCTTCCGCGACGTCCCCGCCGGCGAGCGGCAAGCCCTCTTTGTGCGCAAGCTCCACCTCTGCAGCTTCACCTTCGACTTCAACGAGGCCTCGAAGCACGTCCGCGAGAAGGAGATGAAGCGCCAGGCCCTCCTCGAGCTCGTCGACTACGTCAACCCCTCGGGCGGCCAGGGCAAGTTCACCGAGGCCGTCACCGAGGACGTGGTGTTCATGATCTCGAGCAACCTGTTCCGCGCGCTCCCGGCGTCGCGCAACCAGAGCATAGAGGTCGACTCGTACGACCCGGACGAGGAGGAGCCGGCGCTCGAGCCCGCGTGGCCGCACCTGCAGATCGTATACGAGTTCCTGCTGCGCTACGTGGTGAGCAACGACACGGACGCCAAGGTCGCGAAGCGCTACATCGACCACTCGTTCGTCCTCAGCCTGCTCGAGCTGTTCGACTCGGAGGACCCGCGCGAGCGGGACTACCTGAAGACGATCCTGCACCGCATCTACGGCAAGTTCATGGTCCACCGCCCCTTCATCCGCCGGGCCATCTACCACGTGTTCTACCGGTTCATCTTCGAGACCGAGCGCCACAACGGCGTCGCGGAGCTCCTCGAGATCCTCGGGTCCATCATCAACGGCTTCGCCCTGCCCCTCAAGGTGCGCCCGCGCCCGCGCCCGCGCCAGGGATTCTGCACCCGGCCGTCCCGCGCCCCGGCGGCCCGGCTGCGCCCCGCCGCCGCGTGCGTGCTGTGTCGTGTTGTGTCCCGGGCGCGTCGGCTGACGGCGCGCGTCGCCGCTGCGTGCCGCGCAGGAGGAGCACAAGCAGTTTTTGCACAAGGCGCTCATGCCGCTGCACAAGCCCAAGTGCGTGGCGATGTACCACCAGCAGCTGGCGTACTGCGTGACGCAGTTCGTGGAGAAGGACGCGAAGCTCGCGTCGCCCGTCCTCCGCGCCCTGATGCGCTTCTGGCCCGTCACCAACTCCCAGAAGGAAGTGCTCTTCCTGGGCGAGCTCGAGGAGATCCTGGAGCTCACGCAGACGCCCGAGTTCGTCGAGGTCATGCGCCCGCTGTTCCGGCAGGTCGCGCGCTGCCTCAACTCGTCGCACTTCCAGGTCGCCGAGCGCGCCCTCTTCCTGTGGAACAACGAGTACATCGTGCACCTGGTGGCCTCAAACCGGCACGCCGTGCTGCCCGTGGTCTTCGCGGCGCTGGAGCGCAACGGCGAGCACTGGAACGCCGCGGTGCACTCGCTGACGATCAACGTGCGCAAGATGTTCCAGGAGATGGACCAGCCGCTGTACGACGAGTGCGAGCGGCGGTACCAGGAGGAGAAGGCGCAGCAGGCGCGGAAGGAGCAGCAGCGGCTCGCGCGGTGGAAGGCCGTGGAGGAAGCGGCCGCGGGGTCGCGCAAGTGATGGGCGGGGCGAGGGGGTGTGCGGCGGCGCGCAGCGGCCGGCTGCGGGCGGACGGAGGAGCCGGCGAGTGTGTTGGAGGTGCCCGCTGCTCGACGCTCGGTGCGGCTGTCTCGCACTAGCGCTGTAAGCGAGTAGACAGTGTTGGGTCAAGGTTTCGTGCGCGGGTGGTCAATTAATACTCTGCGTTGGGTCAAGGGGGTGTTTCACGGCTGTCAAATTACTACTTTGTGTTTCACGGCACATGCGAGCTCGACGCGCAGGCGCAGGCGGCGTGCAGGGCTGTCGGCCGAGCAGCAGCGAGGAACCGACGCCATGTGTGCAGTGCGTGTGCCCGCCAGAGTCTGTGCGGGACGGTCAGAGGCGCATCGCGCCCCCTGCCTCCTGCTCACTCGGCACCTCCTCCGCACGACTACTCTCGGCACGGTGCTGCTCCTGCTGGACGCCGTCCGCGCCCGCACGTCTCGTGCCCACGTCACTCTGTCGCGAACCACTCTCAAACACACTCTGTTGTGGTCCTGAAAGCAGCGCGGTTCAGCCGGCCGTCGCGCAGCACGAACGGCGACGCCTCCCTCACCCGAACGCGCGCAGCGACGCTTCGATCCCCGCTCCGCTCGCGCACGACGTATGACACCAACGCCCCACTGTCACAGTGGTATAAAACGCTCCTGAGTCATTGGCCCTCCGCGGCACGACAGTCCACGGGCCGGGCGCGCGCGGGCACTCGACGCGCGCATGCGGCCGGACAGCTCGCTCCGGACCTCCGCGCCGCCGGCCGCCGGCCGGGCGTCCGGCTGGGTGCGCGACCTGCGGTTCAAGGTCGTCGGCTGCGTCCTGTACAGCCTGGTGCTCTTCACGGGCGCTTGGGTGGCCTACCGGCTATGCGGCGGGTGGTACGCGCCTCTGCGGGCGGCGAGGGAGCTCTGTTCCGCCCGCGTGGTGCTGGGCTGGGCGGTGTGCTGCTTCGGGCAGGCACTGGTGGCAAGCGCGACGTGGGGGGCAGTGGAGTGCGGCGTTTACCCCAGGGTGCCTCCGAAGAGCGTGGCGGCGTGGATCCGGGTCCTCCCGGGCGGGATCCAGCGCGCGATCCTGCATGCCGCGGCCTGGGCGCCCGCTCAGCCGGGGCGAATTGCGACGCTGCTGGCTCTGTGCGCGGCGTGCGGGGGTGCGTCCATGGCGGTGCTGGCGCTGCTGTCGAGCATGAACCCGTTCGAAGTGACGTCTGCGGCGTCGTTCGGGGCGGTTCTGGGCGCCGTGCACGTCGCGCGGCTGCAACAAGGGGGCGGGCTGGAGGCTCACGCGCCCCCTGTGCAGCGCAAGAGGTACTTCCGGGCCAGGCAGCTCGTCCCGAGCATGATGTCACAGGTGCGGCCCACGCAGGCTGGTCTACGCGGCGACGCAAGGGCCGCGGACCGCGCGCCAAGAGCTCAGCTTGCCCAGCGTGCTCCTGCCCGCGCTGCGTGCGCGCGGACAGCGGGAGCAACGCGCTCCCGGGGCGCGCTAGCGATTGTTCGACGTATTGCCGCCAACGACGCGCCAGAACCCGGTCGCTTTCGTGCCGTGCAGGGCCTCACGACGGCGTTGGCGGGGACGGCCGCTTCGGTGATGCTCTCCTGGCTGTCCGCGCTTCTCCGCTTCCTCGGCGCCACATTCGCGCCTTCGCCGGTCGCAGTCGCTTCGCTACCGGGCCTCCTCCCGGCCGCGGTGCTCGTTTCGTTCGGGTGGGCCGCTGGTGCGGCGATGGCCGAGGTGGTTTGGGTGGAGAGACTCGACCTCGCGGGGCCGCCTGAGGACATCCTCGCCCCTCTCAAGGAGGCCCTCGATCCCTCCATGGACTCGATCGTACAGGTGAGTCAACACCCGCCCCACACATCCACCCCCGACCCCGCCAGCAGCTCCAGACGACCCACGCGGCCACACCACGCGCCGTCGCGGCGCGTTCCGAGCGCGCACGGCCGTTCCGGTCCGCTCGCGTGCAGGCGCTGGGGGCCGCCGACCTCGCCGCGATGGCTCGGGAGGCCGGCGAGGAGGCCCACAGGCGCCGCGCTGCGATCTTCGCCGACCATTCGGGCACGCAGTGGAAGCGCTTCGTGGGCCCGTGCGTCGCCGAGGTCCGCGCCGTGCGCGAAGCCATGCGCGCGGCGCTGCCGGCTGGGCCCGTGGACGGCGGCGCGGCCGCCGGTCCCAAGGCCCTGGGCTCCCCGCTGCGGTGGAACTCATGGCAACAGTTGTCGGCGGCGGGGCTCGGGGGGCGGCTGCGGGACCCCGTGGACGCGTCGGGGCTGGTGGACGAGGCCCTGTGGCACGCGGAGCGGCGCTGGACGCGCGTGCGCTGCGCGGTGCAGGCGCTGGGGGGTCTGGTGACGTCAGCGCGGAGTCAGGACCGGCTGGGGGTGTCTCAGATGCACTCCCCCCGCGCTGCAGACATCCTCGCGGACCTCGCCGCGCTCGTGCTCGCGGCGCAGCGCCTCCGCGTGCACTGCGGCGGCGCAGGCAGTAGACTGGCCCGCGGGGGGGGGGGAGTCGGGGCGCGCGGTACCGCGGCGGTGGTGGTGTCCGGGGGCTCGAGGAGCAAGGATGCGCCGACGAAGGTCGGCGCCTGGCTCGCTCGCGCGCTGTCGTGGCGCGGGGGCGGGCTGGCAGGGGCGGGCATGGCGGTGGTGCCGACGGGGCTGTTTGCGCTGGCCGCGATCGAGGACGAGGCGGCCCGCGTGGTCAACGCGATCGTGGCGCAGTACGGGCTGGACGTGGTGAAGGAGATGGGGCGCGAGAAGGTCAGCGTTGGGTTCCCGAAAGAGGATGTTTTCAAAGTCGTGAAACAGGCTCTGGGGAGGGAACTGTGAAGTCGAGAGGGTTCGATCGGGTCTGGGAGGGCGCGGGGGGCACCGGCCGAGGCGCTGCGTCGCTGGAGGGGGGAATGGGGCAGGGGGGGTGTCTCAGGAGGTCTTGGGGACACTTGCTGACTCAGTTGCTTGGTGGGGCGGGGCTGGCGCACGAGTGCTCGCGGCGACGGGTGTCGCGGTGGAGTTCACGATGGTGCAGTGCTTGTGTCAGCCGCCTGTGCGCCCCTCGGTGCCGGGGGCGCGTCTGCAACCTCGGCACGGCGCTCGCTCGGTATGCCAGCTGCGTGCCCGTGCGGGGGCGTTCGCTCAGCGGGCGCCTTTCGCACGGACTCGCCGGTGGCAGACGTGCGATCCGAGGGGCCTTGTGTGCGTGAGAGCGGAGGACGAGGACGCGGCGGACCCGGAGGCGCTTGCGAGGGTTGAGCAGGAGCTGAGGGGCACGTGCGCGTTCGTGGTGGACAAATTCATCAGCGACGGGATGGTCGTGGCGTTCGGCGACGGCATGCTGTCGGCCTTCGCGATGGAGTACCTCGCCGGCAAGATCGAGGCCAAGGAGCTGAAGGATGTCCAGGCGGTGCCCGCTACAGCGTCGGCAGCCGCGGAAGCGGCCCTCCACGGTGCGCTCCCGTAATTCTTACTGTCTGGTCTGTTCATCCCGGCGCAATGAGCTGCGTATCACGCCGTGAGTCCGTCCCTGTTGCCTCGTGATTCCTGAGCCAAGAGTGGCGCGTCCGGCGCGATGCTTGCGCAGGCCTGCGCTTGGCGATGCCTGGCGACTTCGAGAAGTACGACTTGTTCATTCAGGAGGTCGACGAGGTCGATCGGCACAATCTCGCGGTCATTGTGGGGCGGAGCAGCCAGCCGCGCCAACCGGAGCTCATGAAGCACCGTCTGGCGGCGCTCAAGGCCGACAAGATGATCGCGCTCGTGCAGGCACGTCGTCTACGCCCAACAGCAACCTGCGCACGCCGCGAACACGCGCCAAGAACACTGAAATATGTATTTACATAGATAGATATATATGTATATGTATATGTATATGTGCACACACTTCGCCACCCCTGCACCGCGAGCGCGCGGCGTGCGGCACGCATCTGTGTCGAGCACGAACTCCTCTCTGCAACGAAACCGACCCCCGCGTCCGCGCAGGGCAACTACAACGTGTCCGACAGACTAGGCTTCGCACTCCCCGTGCTGGCGGACGCGGAGGACTGGGAGGAGATCGGGGAGGAGATCGACGACATCTTCGTCGGCGACGCGGAGGTGTGGCGGCGCGGCAGCAGCGACGACGGCGCCGCGATGGACGCCCGCGGTGGCGCGGTGCCGTACGTCAGCGAGGACGGCAAGACGATCTTCGACGTCGTGTTCGAGAAGGAGGGCCTCGTGCTGTTCTCGAAGAAGGAGCCGTACCAGAAGATCGTGACCGAGATCATGGCTGTGCCCGGGGTGGCCACGGTCGGTCTGATCATGCACCCCCACCCTGTGGCGGTCGTGTCGACGGAGGACGGCCCGCAGGTGCTCGAGGTCGAGCGACTGACGGCCGAGTAGGTGCGCAGGACGCGGCGATGTGACGCGGCGCGTGTATCGCGTCGTTTGCCGCAATGCTGCGGGGCCGGGGGCGACTGCGTCGTCGGCGCAGCGAGGCGCGCTCGAGCCCACCGTTGTTGCGCGACGACGGTGGCGGGCGTGTCTGTTCACAGCTGCAGCTCGCTCATCCTGCGTGCGGGTACTCCACCGCGTCGTTGCTCTCGGCCACCCCTTTCCTTTAATGTGACCTCGTTACAGCGGCAGTGCGGAGGCGAAGCGGAGCCTGTCGGGTTGCGGGGCGCGCGAAATGCGTGCGGCAGCCTACGCAGCGACGGGCTTCTCCGCAGGCGCCTTGGCAGCAGCGGCGGCGACGCTGTCCGCGAACTCGCCGTAGCTGAACTCGACGCACTTCCCGAGCGCGACGCCCGAGACGTAGTTGCCCCCGAGGAGCACACCGTCCCAGCCCGCCTGACTCAGGCCCGCGCGGGCCTGTGCCAGCTGGTCCATGTGGCCGAGGTTGAACTGCGGGATGGCGCGGGGCCAGCAGCGGTAGCCGACCTTGACCGGCGCCGGCGCGTCGTCCTTCACGAGCATCTTCCGCAGGTCCCTGCACGCCGCGAACGCCAGGGGCGCAGAGTTTCACTATTGCAAACAGCGCAGCGCAGCGCAGCGCTTCGAAGCACAGCGGCTTCATTGCCGTTTCTCTTCTTTCGGATGTTTTAATTGCATGAGACGGAGCGAGGCAGCGCGACGCGCGCCGGGACTGCTGACTGCGAGACAACAACAACAACAACAACAACAACAACAACAACAACAACAACAACAACAACAACCAGGCCGCGTGGGATGCAGGCAGCCCTTACTTGTCGATCTGCGCGACGACCTCGTCCTCGGACTGGTCCTTGATGCCGCGGTTCGTCGCGCCGCCGATGTAGCACAGCAGCAGCTGGTACTCCTCGGGCGCGCGCCCGGGGAAGAGCGACGACGAGTAGATCGTGCCCAGCGTGACGATGCCCTGCGTGCGCGGGTGCAGCTGCCCGAAGCCCGGCACCTTCCCGCTCTCGTCCTTCCGGTCCTCCTTAATTGCAGAAAGCGGGTACGCGATGGTCACGGCCGCGACGGGCGGGTAGTCGAACGACGCAAGCGCGTCCTTGGCCGCTGGCGCGGCGGCCGCGAGGAGGTCCGCCGCGACGTACGACGGCACGGTGAGCGCGACCGACCGCGACGTGAGGACCTTGTCTCCCTCGGGCGTGCTGTACGACAGCTTGTAGAGCCCCTCGGGCGTCTTCTCAATGCCCTGGAGCTGCCACTGGAGGCGGATTTGGCCTTCCAGGTTCTTCGCGATGGCCTCCGGCAGCATCTTGAGGCCGTCGCGGAAGGACCCGACGGTCTGGCCCTTGGGCTTGGGCGGGAGGCGCGGGTCCCGCGGCGGGGGGGGGTTTTCCTTGCGCTCCTGCATGAGCTTGAGAGCCCCGCCCACGAGCGAGCCGCCCTTCTCCTCGAGCACGTGGATCTTGCCGAAGGCCGCCTTCATGGACAGCTTGGAGGGGTCGCCGGCGTACACCCCCGAGCAGAACGGCTCGATGAGGCGGTAGAACACCTCGTCGCCCAGGTTGCGGCGAATGAACTGCTCCACCGACTCCTCGCCGGCGGGCGCGGGGGCCTTGAGGCCGATCGCGCCGAGGCCCGCGCGGATCTTTCCGGGAAAGGACATGAGGTCGAAGGTCAGCGCGTCGGGGCCGGACGGCGTCGGGCGCAGGCGGCCCTCCCAGAAGACAAAGCGCGGCGCCTTCGGGTCCCCGAACACCAGGTCCTGCGTGCGAACGAGGACGATCGAAACGCGCGGAAAGTCAAGATGATATTCATGCACGTGCGAGGTGCGCTTGGAACGCGGCGCCAGGCCGGTGCGAACGGTTTCCAGTGCCTGAGTTGTTCGTTCGTTCGTTCGCGAGGGAAGTGTCCGCGCGCTGCCCACCTTCTCGATCCCAGCGTCGACAGCGATCTGAAGCATGGAGTCGTTCGGCTGGAACGAGTTCGGCCCCTCCTCCCACACGAACTGGTCGTCGCTGACCGTCGTAATGTTGCCGCCCACGCGCTCCCGCCCCTCCGTCACCAGGAACTTCCCGCACGTCGAGCCTGCGCGCAGACACGTGCACGCAACCTCAGCACGCTTCCACGCGAACCTCACTCCACCAGACACGCACCTATCCTAACTGCACGCGCGGGCATTAGCTAAGCTGCGCGCAGCGCGCATCCGAACCAGAGATCCGCCTTGCGCCGCGCGTCCTGGCACGAAAGGAATGGCAAAGTTCAGGGGGGCGCGTACCGTGGCGCGTCTTGAGCGCCTGAGCCGTGCAGAGGCCGGACACCCCAGCGCCCACCACCACAGTGTCAAGGACCTCGTCCTCCAGGCCGGCGCGCAGCGGGGCTCCGCGGGCCGCCTTGCTGTGCCGTGGGATCGCGGACGAAGACGGCGACGCGGAGACCGGCCGGGAACGCCCAGCAGGGCGCGCAGACACCTGCAGCGGGCATCGCCAGCCGCACGAAGGCTCCTTTTTCAGAGCATGTGGGCGCGTGTGTGTGACTGGCGTGGGCGCACGATGTTGCTCGTGTTACGAGGTATCCTCGGAGAGGGCGATCGTTCTGATTGGTGTTGAGACGACGCGAGCAGGAGTAGATGTTGCAAGCGGGCTGGCGGATACTGCTCACCCGAAGGGGCCGCGCAGCCGCTGGCGCCGCCGAGCCCGACCGACGGCCGCACGGCGCGACGCACGCAGCGTGAGAGAGGCTGGACGCGATCATGGCGGACCCCAGCTCTTCCGTAAACGTCAAAGATCGCGCGATTCCCCAGCCCTAGGCGCGGTGTGGGGGCGTGTGTGCAGCGCGGGAGAGCCACGGGGGTGGCGAAGCGGTTCCTGACGAGACCTGTCCAACGGCGGTCCTAGACTCTGTCCGGAGAGGCGGACGACGGCCCCTGAAGGCCCCGGACGCGCGGGGGCTGACAGAGGTAGAACTTGTGCTTGAAGCAGCTTTTGCGGGGCCACAACGCCTCGCGGAGGGCGCCAACCCGAACATATCGCATGTTGCCAGCGTGTTTGATCCGTGGGTCGCGAGGTTCGAGTGCGTCCCTGAGTCAGGCTTGCCGTTTGCGGGCACCCAGAGGGGCGGTTGCAAGGCGGCTGGAGGGGGAGTCCGGGCTGCTGGCCCGCGTGGATGGGATGCAGCACACGCGGGGCGCTGAGATGAGGGGCTGGCGCGGGGCGAGGCCGCTGTGCGGGCGCGCGTCGACGCGCAGCAGGGCGCCATCAACCTGTTCTCACCCAGTGCGGCCGCTCGCGTTCCGGGGTCGCGCGCGCCCGACCGTGGGGTCGCGGTCGATAGTTTATGCTTCGAAAAATGGGAAGGGGTACGGGGATGGCGGGGGGGTGGACGACGCGATCGACAGGCTCGCCGACCGAGAGGACATGGTGCGTTTCGCGCCCGCCTCCTTCTCCTGAGTCAGGATTCCCGCGTTTCTCTCAGCCTGGTAGGGCCTTGAGATCGTACTCGAACGCCAGAGATCGCTTTCCGAGGTCCCCTGGCATCGCTCCCCCCAGGACGCGCAAGAGCACCCCACTGCCCACCCCATAGCCGTCCCTGAGCCGCCACGGGCAGCTGTACACCCCCCCGCGCCGATACTCCGCGCCGCTGCTCGCGAGAACGCTCCGGGGGCTCGAACGCGGCGGTCGCGCCGCGCAACTGCGCCCCTCCCGCCGCCAGCGGCGCCGCTGAGGCCGCTCAGCCGTCCCCCGCCTCCACCGACTTGCGCCGTGCTGCCGCTCCTTGGCCCCAGGGCGCCGAATTTCTCCCTGTCGCCGTTCTTCGTTCCAGATAGCTCGCCAACGGTGGAAGAACGCCGCGTTTTCGTGCGTACAACCGCTCGCACGGCCGTCTATATACCTCGCATCAAAACGGCGCGCAACGACGCGCACGTCCGCACATTACGTCGCTGCTCCGTCGCATGCGCCGCGCACGTAACGATCCACGTGCTGCGGCCGGCGTTCCGGCGGACGGAGGGCGCTGCGGGGTCCAGGTTGCGCGTGGTCGCTCAGCGACGCAGCATGCGCGTTCGCTGACCCCGCGCCCGGCCCGCGCGCGCGCGATCGCAGGACGAGGAGGACGCGAACATGGCGCTGTACCCTGGCGACCACTTCGGGTCCGTGGCGCGGCACTACAACGAGGACTGGGGGGGCACGCAGCCACCACCACCTGACGCATCCCTCACGCTCGGGGAAGAGCAGCCCACGCTCAACAGCGTCGACTCCGACGACGAGTTCTTCCCGGACGACTCCGACCTCGCCGAGATCGAAGGTACGCCATCCCTCCCTTGACCCCCCCCCCCCGCAGCATCGTGCACACGTGCATACAAAACTTGCGCCGCCCGCGCCCGCGCAGCCGAGGCCGCGGGCCTCCTGAACTCCGAGGAGCTCGACGCGCTCGACCTGGACGCGGTGGAGGAGGGCGTCCTCAGCATGAGCGCGGAGGAGGAGCCTTCGGACCCTTGGGCAAACCTCTCGGCAGAAACGCGCCGCACGTACGAGGAGATCCTTGCGAAGTACCCGGAGACGCCCGCGCGCGCGTACATGCTCGAGGACCTCCTGAAGCTCTCGCGCGTCACGCCCGGGCCCGGCTCCGCGCTCGAAGGCGCAGAGGTGAGCGACGCGGCATGAGACACGGACGCGCGCGCCGGGAGTCGCGATTTCGTGGTTCCCGTTGCGTCGGATGCGTCCCCGGGCCGCGGCGCGGGTCTGAGCGGCGCTGCGCCGTGCGTGGTTCGCTGCTGTGCAGGGGGTTGAGGTGCTGGGGTTGGCGGATGATTCGCGGCAGGTCCAAAGCGGAGATCTGTTCTTCTGCATTCGCGGGTCCCGCAACGACGGGCACGACTTCGCGGGCGACGCGTACAACGCCGGCGCGGCCGCGATCGTCTCCGAGGTCGAGATGCCTGACATCGCTGCCACGGGGGACTGTCCGGTCATACTGGTGTCGGACACGCGCCAGGCGCTGCACCGCGTGGCCAACGCGTTCTACGACTACCCGAGCCGCAGGATGGCCGGCCTCCTCGACGAAGACGTACGCCCACTCCCCCCAAACCCCCCCTGCACATCCACCATACTCCCCCTCCCCCGCTCACCGCGCCCGCCGGCCCACGCGCGCGCAGGGCAACCAGCTCGTCGGCGGCGGCGTCATCGGCGTCACGGGCACCAACGGCAAGACCACCACGTCGTGGCTGATCCGCGGCATGCTGGAGGAGACGGGGCAACTTGTAGGCATGGTTGGGACCGTGGAGTACGCGCTCGCTGAGGACCGCCTCGACCCGGACGGCGAGATCTGGGTTCCCAAGGAGGAGGACCCGACGCGGGAGCGCGACTGCACCGCGCCGTACCGCCTGGCGCCCTATGTCGGCAAATATAGCGTGCCCAACACGACGCCCGACGAGCTGCGCGCGCAGCGGCTCCTGGCGGGGATGGCGGACCGCGGCGCGACGGCGGCGGTGTACGAGTGCTCGAGCATCGGGCTGGACCAGGGGCGGTGCGACGGGATCCTGTTCAGTGTCGCCGTGCACACCAACGTCACCCAGGACCACCTGGACTACCACGGGGACATGGAGGCGTACAAGCAGGCCAAGCTGCGGCTGTTCCGGTCCCTGCGGGACCCGGAGAGGCAGCGTGCGGTCATCAATTTGGACGATCCGAACGCGGACGAGTTCATCTTTGCGTGTAGCGAGGGGGGTGTCCCGTACGTGACGTACGCGATCACGGACATCAAGGCGGACGTGCGGCCGTCGCAGGCGGGCCGGAAGGGCAGCCAGGCGATCAAGGGCGTCAAGCAGTCGCTCTACGAGACGGAGATCGAAGTGGAATTACCCCCCCTCGTGGCTGACTCAGACGAGGTGTGCCGCGCCCGCGCCGCCGCACCCGCGCCGCCATCGCAACGATAGAGCTCTGTGCGGCCGAGCGCTCCGTATCTGCGCGCATTTACGCATGTGTATGGGCAGTCATGTTGACAGATGTTTGCACGAGAGGGTTTGATCGCTGCAGAGGGAGTCGATCAAGATCATCACGCCGCTGATCGGGAAGGCGAATATCTACAACGTCCTCGCCGCCGTCGCGACGGGCATCGCGCTCCGCGTCCCGCTCCCGCAGATCGTAGCGTGAGCCCCCGCCCCAAACACCCCCCCCACACATCCCTCGGCACCCCAACCGCCCGCTCACACCGTCGCGCGCGCCCGGCACCGCCTGCAGAGGCATCGAGGCGGTCGACGTCGTCCCGGGCCGCACGGAGCTCATCGACGAAGGCCAGATGTTCCCGGTTATCGTCGACTACGCACACACCCCGGACGCGCTGTCCCGCTTGCTCGACACGGTCCGCGAGTGCGGCGCGAAGCGGATCATCACCGTGGTCGGGTGCGGCGGGGACCGCGACCGCAGCAAGCGCCCCTACATGGGTGAAATCGCCCACTACAAGTCCGACCTGCTAATCCTGACGAACGACAATCCGCGGACCGAGTCCCCCAGCGAGATCATCGCGGACATCGTTGCCGGGTTCCCCGACGACATCCTCGGCCGCCACCAGGGCTCCGTGTACCCCTGGCTCCAGGTGAACACACCCCCCCCCCTGACATCGCCCGGAACTGACAGCAGCGGCTGGCACGTGGTCGGTTCCGCCGTCCACAGGCGCCGCATCCACGAGCGGGACCTTGCACGGCGCATCGCTGCGTGCGCAGCTCGCTGCGTGCGCGCGACGCTCACCGCGCACCTCTCCGCCGCGCCGCTCCCCGCAGGACCCCATCCACACGCCGATGTGGTTCGAGGAGTTCATCATGAAGTACCAGGGCGAGGTCAAGCGCTACGTCATCGAGGACCGCTTCACCGCCATCCGCGCGGCCATCGGCACAGCGCAGCCGCGCGACGTGGTGGTGATTGCGGGCAAGGGCCACGAGGACTACATCGAGCACGGCGACGGCAAGGGCGGCATCGTGCGCGGGTGGTTCGACGACCGCGTGGAGGCACGGAACGCCCTCGTGAAGTTGAGCGAGCTGGAGCAAATCACCTACCTCGATCGATCTACGATCCCATGGCGCAACACCAAGTACGACAAGGGCGGGGATGTGTAGCGGGCGCGCCCGCGCGGCGTTGTGATGCAGCGAGGACCGCCGTCACGTGTCGCTGTGGCGCAGTGTTGCGCGTTGGGGCTGCGCGGCGCCTGTTTTGCGTGCGCGGCGGGGGTTGACCGCCGGTGCAGCGGGCGCGCGGCCTCGCGTGGCGCACGGTCCGGCACGGAGACGGGTGCTGCGGCGCGCAGTCGGACGTTGCGGTCATGTGTTGGCCGTGTGCTGCGTCGAAGCGCGGAGATTGACGGCGAAACGTCGCATGCGAGTATTTGATTTCAAAATCAGAGATGCGAGGATGGTTCTCGCGGCGCCCGATGCCCGGAAGGTCCCCCGGGGAGTGCGGAATCCTCGATTGGTTTCCCCCAGGAGGGGTACTATTGAAACGCCCGCGGCTACGAGGGGCGGGCGCGCCGCGCGCGCCCGCGGTTCCTGGACGGCGCGAGCGTTTGCAGTGACCCTCGCGCCGATCATGAGCGGCACCATGGCTTTCTCCTCGCACCTGGGCGCTGCTGTGGGGCAGCGTGGCCGCACTGGCGCGCCGGCGCCCGGGCGGTTCGCGCGCGGCACGCTCGTGTGCCGCTCCTCGCAGGTCACGGGCGAGAAGGTCGAGGCCGCGGTCGCCACGCCCTACACGGCCACGCACGCGCTCGAGATGGCCGCGGCGAACATACCCAACCCTTCCAAGGCGCACTACGGCGGCGAGGACGCGTGGTTCACGCTGTCCAATCGCGGAAAGGGCGACTCCTTCGCGGTGGCCGACGGCGTGGGCGGCTGGGGCGAGAGCGACGTCAATCCGGGGGAGTATAGCGCCTTGTTTGTGGAGACAGCGAAATCCTTCATGAAGGTCCGTCACGGCGTCGACGCGCGCACCCAGCGCCGTATAACCGGTCTGATGGCCTGCACGCGATGCAGAGGGCCTTGGGATTCGTTTCGGTGCCGCGGAGGACCCCGGGGGGGTCCGAGCCGCTCGCTGAGAGCGTGGGGTGCAGCCCAGGGCCCGCGCCATCGCGGCGCAGGCCGGTCCGTTCGCTGAGCGCGTCGCGCCGTTCGCCGGTGGGTGCAGGAGTGCGCGAAAATCGGGAAGAGCCAGGGGACGAAGGAGTTTCCGCTCGCGATACAGGCGGCGCTGAACGCTGGGCACCAGGCGGCAAGAATCCCCGGCAGCACGACCGCGTGCATCGCGGAGCTGCAAGGCGACGTCCTGGTACGATACTCCCACACACCCTGCGCGCAAGGCGCGCAAAGCGCCCCTCGTCCGATCCGCTGAGCGCGCGCGGGGCCGCTCGATGCAAAATTCGCACCTTGCGCCCTGCCGCCGCGAACCCGATAGAGCTGCCCCGGAACTCCGCCGTCCCGCCATGTCCGGAGCGTTCCGGACCCGCCACGCCGCGCCCGCGCCGTTTCGTCTCACATCGGCGGCGCGGCGGCCCGGCTGCAGGTGTGTGCCAACGTGGGGGACTCCGGGATGATCGTGGCGCGCAACGGCCGCGTCGTGCAGCGCACGACGCCGCAGCAGCACTTCTTCGACTGCCCGCTCCAGTTCGGCGCCTACCCCGAGTACGTCGACGCGACCGACGACGCGTCCGACGCGCAGATCCTGCGCACTGCCGTGGAGGCCGGCGACGTGATCGTCATGGCCAGCGACGGCCTCTGGGACAACGTGTACGAGGAGGAGGTCCTCGAGCTGCTCCCGACGTCCCCGAAGGACGTCGCGGGGGCCGCGGAGGCGATCGCGAACCTCGCGTTTGAGCACTCGCAGGACGAGTGGTGGGAGAGCCCGTACTGCGAGAACGCGATCGAGGAGGGGCTCGACTTGCCGTGGTGGGAGAAGCTCGCGACGTTCTCGTTCGACGAGGGCCGGTTCGAGCTCGGGAAGCTGCGGGGCGGCAAGCAGGACGACATCACCGTCGTTGTTGCGTACGTGAAGGAGACGCCCCGCGGGGGCGTCGCGGGGGCGGTCAGCGGGGCGAAGGCGATGCTGGGGGGCGGAGATGAGGACGGCGGAGGGTCGGCCGTGCCGCTGGGGCAGGAGGAGGAGGCGGCGGAGGAGGAGGCCGCTCCGGAGGCGCGCGAGTGGATCTCACGGTGGCGGAACGCGTTCACGGGGGCGACGAACGGGCGGCGGAGCGGGTGAGCGAGGGCGGGGTTTCGAGGGCGTGCGCGGCGCGCGAGAGGCCGGGCTGCCGCCCCGGTGTACTTATCCGGCGGATTTATTGAGGTTTTGAAACAAGTGTTGACACACGGGTGCACCCCCCCTGCGTCAGGCAGCAGGCCGGCCGTGACGGGAGGGCGGGCGCCCCGAGGCGCACAGCGTTCGTGCGTCGGACAGACCGGACAGATGTGAGTTCAGGCACGGACACGCGCTGCCGAAGACTTCCTTTATGAGTTAACATGACAGGGCAGTGCAGGGGCACCGCCGCCACCAGACACCCGCACGCGCCCACGCGTGCCCCGCATCCGCGTCCCCGTTCGCGAGGACCGCCTGCCCACCGCAAACTCGCGCGCAGCGGCCTTGCTGCAGTGCGCGGCGACGACGACGCACCCTGCGTCAGGCAAAGTGGCCCCGCACGCCGAACCCTGCGGCCCCGCCGTGCGACCCCGCGAACATCCTGCGCAGCATCACGATCTGCAGCACGGACACGCTGACGAGCGCGCTGCCCTCGACGAGCGCGAGGAGGACGGCGCGTCTGTGCGTGGACCGCGACGTCATCATTTGCCGTTCGATGCGGTTCTCCAGGAACTGCTGGTCGCGCCTGACCTCGTTCACGAGGTCCTCGAGGTCCTTGAGCACGTCGAACGTCGCCGCGATGTGGTCGACGGTCACCAGCGCGCCCTGCTTGTCCGACCCACCCTTGGCACTGACCGGCTCCTCCGTCTTCTTGCGGTAGCGCTCGTAGTCGTACATGTGGTGGACGCTGAAGTAGACCACGTTGACCTTGATCGGCTTGCGCGTCGGGGACGTGTTGTACACGCAAAGCCGGTAGGACCCCTGCCCGTGTCCTGGAATGGTGAGCTTCTCGTCCTTCCAGATGTTCGGAACGTGGAGCAGGATCTTGCCGTCCGGCTGGAGGATCTTGACAGTCACGCTCCTGCGCGCCGGGCGGGCGGGAGGCGGTCGAGCGGCGCGGGCGCGGGCTACGTGCTGCTTGCAGACGGGCAGACGCACCGTCGCGTGGCGTGGCGGTAAGGGTTGCGTTCGAACAGCAAGACAGGACCGGTGTGAGGTGGACGAATGCACAGGCGTGGATTGTGGCGACTCCACGGCCTCTTCGCGGCCTGAGAGAGCGGAAAGACCATGCTGCAGCTAGCGCACCTCCTCCGGTCCGCGTTCGGCAGTCCCGGCCGCTCGGGCTGCTCCAGCGAGATCTTGGTAGACACCTCAGCGGTCTGAGACCACAGACCTTCCTTCACGGTGAACCTCTCGGACAAACACGTCTCCTCCCCTGCCTCCAAGTGCAGCTTGATGGCTTCCCCGGCCCCGAGCAACCCGCACACCCACGCTAGAACCAGCACAACTACACATCTCGCCCAGCTCCGCGCCATCACGCCCCCCGACCCATCCCCAGGCTGCGCACCTCCCCGCCTGTCTCGCCAGCAACCTTCTCCTCCGCGCCTCTGCAGCCCAACGCCTCCTGCGCGCTCCGCCCGCCACCAACGTACACACTTCTCTGCCGAAGCCACCGCGCCCCGCGCGGCGACAACGACCCCCCACACTGCCACTTCAAGACTCCTCCCCCAAATATTGATCCTACTGCCTCCACGCGCCGCTGAAGGCTTGACGCGCGCCCCGACTCCCGCCGAACAACAGAACCTGCTCGTCCTCGTCGTGTTGGCTGGTTCGCACGGTATCATTTTACCGCCCGCCGCCACGCTGACGCCTTCCCTTGCCCACACAGCCACGCCGCCGCGCCGCGCATGCACGCACCTTTCGGCGCGATCGCGTGCTGCTTCGAGGCCATCGCATAGTCATCGTCCCCTCGGTACCGCACATCGGTCGCGCGCGTGCCGCCACTGTGCCCGGCAGCCGCCGGCGCTGAGCTGCGCGGCTGTTGGGCGGGGTGATCAGAGCGCGCGCCCGAGCGCCGGCCCGGGCCACGCGCGCCCCCCCGCGACGCCACAATGGTGCGGCTCATCTGGCGCGTGCCGGGGCAGGACCGCATCGCGGCGGCAGTATCTGAGATCGCCCATCCCTGCAGCCCCCCTGTCACGTCGTTCGATGTCTTCGTCGAGACGCTGGACGCCGTCAGGGAGATAGAGGCTATTCTCACGATGCCGACGTGCCAGGCCGGCGGCGCGTCACCCAAGGCAAGCCCTCAGCACGGCCCCCGATGTCCTGCCTGGGCCTTGCTTTGCCGGCTGCTACCAACTGGCTGCGGCGCGGCAGCGACGCAGCGGGCCGCCGGGCGCGATCGATGCTGCGATGGCGTGTGCGTGGTGCGTATGTTACGGGCGGGCGCGGAGGCGGGCGTCGGCTGCGGTGCCGAGGCGCTGCGTGGGAGGCCGCGCACGAGGTCGGTGGGGGCCGATTGAAAAGTCGTGCTCCGTGCTATCTGTCGTGCAGGGGATCGGGGTGATCTTCGCGCCGGGGAGCGGGGCGCAGGAGTACAAGGGGAGGCTCATGAGTCAGTTGGCGCACACGTTCGCGCAAGCGGGCTGTCCGTCCGTGCGCTACACCGTGAAAGCCGGGGTGAGTCGCGTCACCGCCTACGTGTGCAACAACAACTAGTCTTGTCTACGATTCGCCCCAAGCGGCGCCTCCGGCGTCGAACCCGCGGCCGCCGGCGGCCAGGATCTGCTTGCACCGCGCCCAGCGGGTTCGAGACGTCCCCGCGGCGCGCAACGTGTGCGTCGTCGCGATTTACGGTCCTTGCCTGCTCACACACGTTCGCGAGCGACGCTGCTCTGTACGGTCCGGCGACGGCGCGCAGAAGGTCGTTGCGGAGGCGCGGAGGTCCATGGCGTTCCGGCTGGCGCTGGACACGCTGCGGTCGTCGCCGCACGTGTCTGGGATCAAGCGTTGGGTTGTCCTGGCGTCGGGCACGGGGGCGCGCGTGGCGGCGAACATCGGGAAGGACCTACAGCAGTCGGGAGACGAAGATGTCGTCGGTACGCGCGCCGACTACCGTGTCAGCGACGGCTCAAGAAGCCATCTGACCTTACGTGCCCGACATTATGTCCGCGCTATTCAGGGTGCGATGTCGCGACGTGAGATCCGACACGTGCCCCACTTCGCGCAGGCTACGTTTTCTTCGGGTGCGGGTTCTCGTCGGCGGCGCAGGAGGACCTCGACTGCCTGCGGGACCTGCAAACGTGCAGCCAGCGGCCCTGCTTGTTCTACGTGCCCTCCGACGACAGCAACGCGGCTCTGCAGGGGCTCCGCGCGGCGCCTGCCGCGAGCGGCTGTCCCATGCACTATTTGAGGAAGGATCATCTGCGCTTCGTCCACGCCAAGGCCGACGCCGGCATGAAGGTCAACGCCAAAAGCGGCAAATACTCCCCGGCGACGGTGGACGAGGTCGACGTGACGGTGGCGCAGTGGGCCGAGGCGGTCGTTGCTGGCGACGCCGCGAAGCTCAAGGACATCGGCGTAGCGCTCGACGAGGCGCTGGCCCAGGCACCAGCGGCCGCGGCGAACGACACTGAGGGCGAACCCGCACCGGCCGAGTGAGAGACCGCCCCCTGCTTGATCGGATTTCCGATTCTGCGCGCTTCGCCCGCGTCCTGCGACTCGACGCGACGTCGGATGCGCAACGTTCCGTCGCGTCCTGACCAGGAGTGCTGGCATTCAGTTCATCACGCGCTAGCATTCAGTTCAGGCGCGCGGGCCGCCGCCTGCGTTCTCAAGAGAGACGCGCGGCCCCGCCGTGTAACCACCAGTAGACCAAGCAACATCGCTCGCGACACCACCTCCAGCGCACGCACCGACCTCGACACCGCATCCGCGCCACTTGCGCCTTCCCGTTGCACGTGTCGTTGCGCCCTCCCACTCCCGAACGCGCCCCAGCACCTGCCCCCTGCGTCCCCGCAGCCCACACAGAGTAGTAATTGATCACCCGCGCACACCGTCCTGCGCACGCACGCTCCCCCGCTGTCCTCGCTTCCAGCCGTGGCGACGCAATGGCTTCGTCTGACAGGTCGCGCGTTACATCGTGATCACTGCGCGCAGGCAGTCCCCGCCGTGCAGCGCGTGGAACGCGTCGTTGATCTGCTCCAGCTTGAAGTGGTGCGTAATGTATTCTTTTACCTTGAACTCCCCCTTCATGTACCCCTCGACCAGCTTCGGCACGTCCACGCGCGACTTGTACCCTCCGAAGGCCGTCCCGCGCCACACGCGCCCCGTGACCAGCTGGAACGGCCGCGTCGCGATTTCCTGCCCCGCGCCAGCCACGCCGATGATCACGCTCTCCCCCCAGCCCTTGTGGCAGCACTCCAGCGCGGCGCGCATGACGTTGACGTTCCCGATGCACTCGAACGAGTAGTCCACGCCGCCGTCCGTCATGTCCACAATCACCTGCTGAATCGGCTTCTCGTGATCCTTGGGGTTCACGCAGTCCGTCGCCCCCCACTGCTTCGCGAGCTCGAACTTCTTGGGGTTCGTGTCGACCGCGATGATCCTCGTCGCGCCCACGATCCGCAGCGCGTCCACGCACGCGAGCCCCACCGTACCCACGCCGAACACCGCTGCCGTGCACCCCTTCTCGGCCTTGGCAGCGTTGAACACCGCGCCGAGGCCCGTCGAGACGCCGCACCCGAGCAGGCAGCACTCCTCGAGCGGCGCCTGCTCGGAGATCTTCGCGACGGAGACCTCGTGCACGACCGTGAACTCCGCAAAGGTGGAGGTGCCCATGAAGTGGTAGATCGGCGTGCCGTCGAGCTCCGTGAACCGCACGCCCTCGTCGGCCTTCATGATGCCGTTGCCCGTCCACTGCCGCACGGCCTGGCACAGGTTCGTCTTGCCGCTCTTGCAGAACTTGCACTCGCCGCAAAAGGCCTGGTAGCAGGGGATGACCTGGTCGCCCGGCTTGACGCTCGTGACGCCCTCGCCGACGCTCTCGACGACGCCCGCGGCCTCGTGCCCGAGGATGCACGGGAACTTGCCCTCGGGGTCCTCGCCCGAGAGCGTGAAGGCGTCGGTGTGACACAGGGCGGTGTGCGTGACCTTGATGCGCACCTCGCCGGCCTGGGGCGGCGCGACCATGACGTCCTTGACGACCAGGTCCTCGCCGGCCTTGTAGGCCACGGCGGCCTTGCACTTGATGGGCTGCGGCGATGCGGAGAGAGGGCAAGGGGTTCAAGCGGCTGCAGGCGCCGGACCGGTCTGTAGTTTGTGCAATGCACGGATGCGGCGTGCCGCATCGGACAGCGATTTCAATTCGTCACGGCGAGCACCGGGGGCCGGATGCCAGCGCAGGATGCCGCTGTACACGTGCCGAAATTGCGGCATTCTTGTTCGAAAAGTGGACGTGCGCGAACACGTGGCGCGTCTCGAAGCGATCGAGGCCCTATGTTGCGGTCGGGACTCCAGCGGCGGGAACGGCAGCCAGGGAGGCTGGGAGCACGCCACCTTCCCAACGAGCTCCTTGTAGGGCTCGAGATAGCGCTTCTGGGTCGCGAGCAGGAAGTCACGGGAGCGGTCGGAAAGCCCTTCGAGGTCGGCGGGGTTCGCGCGGGCGGGGCGCAGCGCGCGGGGGGCGGGCCGGCCGACGGCGTGCGCGGCAGGAGCACCGCCCGCCCCCACGGCCTGTGGCGCCCTCTTCGGGCCGGCCTGGGCGCGGACGGATACCACCTGCGCGCACAGGGCGCAGTGCGCGTGCGCAACGTCGCACGTGTTGCGCGAAATCGGCGCTAGCATGCGGCACTGCCAGCAAGAGTGCAGTTGCGCATGTGCAGCCGCCGGTGTGCGCACGATGCGGTGATGCGGACCGCGGGGCGGAAGAAGTGCTCGTGGGCGTTGAATGTACGGCGGGAGCGACACACGAGAGCTTTGAGAGAGCGAGCCTCAGGGCGAAAAGTGAGGCAGCCTCATCTAAGGGCACGGGAGCGGACGTGCGACGCGGCCGTACCTGCGCCATGATGGTGGACGGTCTCCACGGTCGGTGCTGGCTGTGGGTCGCCAGGGGATGTGCACGCGACGGCGCTGTCTGGGCGCCATGAGCCCGCGCGGGGCTTCTCCATGTGTCTCTCAGAGGCCTCTCAGTAACGGTCCCCGCGTCGCGACGCAATGTTTTGATGCGTCCGCCGGACCCGAGGCGTGGCCAGAGACGGAGCATCGCGGTCGTCGCCGCATCTTTGGCTATCTAGAAGCCAGTACACCGCGTTCGCAGACACCTAGCGGCGGCATCTGAGCGCTTGGTTGCGTGTGGCTGGCGCATAAGACCCGAGTTTGGCAGTCCGGCCGGCAGCTTCACTCCTGATCTCCGGGCTACGTAGGCTTCGATGGAAGTAACAAGGCCCGTGCAGGCTTGAACATAACCTGTCCTTTCAGCTCCCTCCTCTGGCGCGATGTGCACAGCCTGACGTGGCACAAGAGCGCGTTGCGGCGGCACGATTCTAGTATACGGTCGAAGATGACGGGCGGCCGAGACCCTGCGAATGACGGCTGGGAGCTGGGCGGCAGCAAGCTTCCGAAGTTGCCTGGGCCGCTTGGCGACATCTATTACGCTGATTCCTTCATCTCCGAGGAGGAGGAGACCCAGCTGATGCACTGCGCCGTCCACGAGAAGGTGCCGCCGTGGACGACGCTCTCCGGCAGGCGCTTGCGCGTGTACGGTGGCGTCGTGGGCAAGCGCGGGCTCGTGGCCGACCCGCGCGGCCTGCCCAGCTGGATGCAAGTCCTCCTCGACCGCATCCACGATGGAACGCGCGCGTTCCAGGACGGAGACGGCGCGGACGACCCTGCGCCCACAACAGGCGCACCAACAACAGTACCTCCCTGTTCTCCCCCGAACCACGTGCTGCTCAACGAGTATCTGCCGGGCCAGGGCATCATGCCGCACGAAGACGGACCAGCGTACGCGCGCTCGCCCGCTGCGTCCCCTCGCCCGCCCAAGACTTGCCTGTGCGCTTCTTTCAATAGAAAGTTGTTGTTTACCCAGGAGATGATGCAGCCTAATGCGTGCGCCGACTCGCCCGTGGCCTCCGCGCAGGTACCACCCGGTGGTCGTCATCGTGTCGCTCGGTGCGAACGCGATCCTCCGGTTCTACAAGACGCGAGACGCGAGCACAGCTGGAGCAGGTCAGGGGCCGCCGTCAACGACGGACCTGCCCGTGATGTCCGTGTTCCTGCGGCCGCGCTCCGTGATCGTGTTCAAGGGCGACGCGTACACGCGCCACATGCACGGCATCGACGCCGCGGAGAGCGAGACGGTGGACGCGACAGTGGCGAACTGCGCTCAAGCACAGGTGCAGCTGGGGGACAAGGTGCCACGTGGCGGGACGAGGCTGAGCCTGACCGTGCGGAGAGTGAACCGAATCATCAAGGGGCTGTCGAACCTCCTGAAAGGCAGTACCCGCGGCCCGGGCTCGCTGCATTGACACGATGCAACGATGATTCATCATTTCATGATATGCTTGCAACGGCAGAAAGGCATGGCCTGCGTGATCGGGTCAGCAGCGGCTCGCGGCAGCCGAGACATACGGTCTTGCTCACTTGGGTTACATCTGTGAGCCCTCAACGCTATTATCGGCACAGATATCAATCAAGTCTTGCCAATCCTATGCCCTCGCGCGCCAAGTCCCGCGGCGCGCAACCGTGCCGCGGCCCTGCTCGCCAGAGTCCACTCAACCTTATGTCACTACTTCACTCACGGCAACACCTCCCTGAACTCCCCCCCCGTGTCAACAACATCACTCCTGCCTTTCGTTCTCCCGCACGGCCACGAGACTCGACAGCCGGCTCCGCCCGAACGTCCGCGCCATGCTCGGCACGTACTGCAGGCTCGGCACTGCCGCCGTCTCCTCCTCTGGCGTCCTCGGCGCCGACGGCGCGTCCTCAGGAATCGCCCCAATGCCATCCCGGCGCGACGTAGTGCGCCACGCGAGCGACTGCATGGATCGCATCGACCGCCCGCGGAACGACGCCCCAGTCCCGAGGCCCGCCGGCGCGGTCTCGGCCTCGCGCTCAGCCTGCTCTGCCTGCATGAGCCTGGCCATTCCCGCCTGCGACAACGACGGCGTGCCGCCCAGCATCGCGCGGCTGCGCCCGGCCGAGAGCGGCGAGCGCGAGCGGTCGCCGTCCGAGTCACGCAGCGAGGCCGCGAGCTCCGGCGACATCCGGCTGTTGGCCTTGCGTGGGATCGGCGGCGGAGGGGTACGGCGGACCATCGCCGGCGACGCGCGGTCGCCCTCGGCCGCACTGTCGATCCGCGATCCCCGAACCTGCTCGTCCGCGAGCGCGATGCTCTGCCGCACGATCTCCTCCGGGTCGTCCTGCGGCAGGTAGTGCGGCCGCAGCCCGCTGCCCCCCCGCGACGGCGCGCCCCTGCCACCGGGCGAGTTCCCGCTCTCCTCGCCCTCCATCTCCCCGCTGCCCTCCTCGATGATCGGCTCCACGACCAGTCGCGGGCGCCCGCTGCGCCCGCGCGACGCCGCGCGCTGCTGCAGCGCCGCCATGTGCTCCGCAGGCGCCATGTCCTCCTCGTGATCGTCGCCCCCTTCCTCCTGCCCCTCAGCGTGCGGCGACAGGCGGCCCGACGCCCCGCCCATCGAGTCGGAGCTCTCGCCATGCTCAGGCTTCTTCCGGAATCCCGCCCCCTGTGGCTTTTTCGAAGCCTGAGCTGCGCGGTCCTGCGCAGCGGCGCCGAGGCGCCGGGGCTCGGAGAGCGCGTCGCGCGGGAGCGTTTCGGAGTTGAACGCGCTCGCGAGCGCGTCGAGGAAGATGTCCAGGTCGATCGTGACGCCCGACGTGCCGCGCTCGCGCGCCGAGGGCGCCAGCCTCTGCTGGAACACGGCCAGCTGCGTCGGGTCGTCCGAGTTCCACAGATTCGCGAGCACGTCGAGGGCGACGTTGTGCGGGAGGTGCGCGGGCCCGGCGCGCCACTCCTTGGCCAAGATACGGAATTTCAGACCCATGAGCTTCTTGATACACAGCAAGACCTGGAGCAGGAACCCGAAGGTCAGGTCGCCGAACAAGGGGTCCGACGGCGCGTCCTCGGCCCCGACGCCGAGCATCCGCGCGAACAGCGCGATCCGCGGATGGTTGTTCGCCATCATGTGCACCGACACGATGAACTGTGCCATGAAGCCCGTGTGGCCGCGGATGAAGATCCCGCCGTCGATCTGCTGCGCGGCGACGTACGCGAGCATCGCGTCCACGGGCACGACGACCTCCTGCGTGTGCTGCGCGGCCCCGTGCGCGCCGTGCTCCTGCTGGTTGGCGCGCGTGGCCAGGATGTGGTCCATGCGGTTCAGGAACGCCCCCGCGATGTGCTCGAGGAGCGAGTTCAGCCCGATCATGCGCACGTCCTTGCGCCGCGCCATCGTATCCTTGAGCCACGGCAGCCACTGCTCCATCATCGAGCGCGCCGTCTGAATGCCCGCATCGCGGCGCGCGCGCCGCTGGCCCTCCAGGGATGACATGAAGCTCTCGATGCGCTGCTCCTGCTCGCGCGCACGGAACAGCGCCTCCTTCAGCACCGACACCTCGTCCGCGGCCTGCTGCGCCCGCTTCTGGTACTCTCCCGCCACACGCTTGTGCACGTGCAGCTCCTGCATCACGCGGCGCGCCAGCGACGCCTGCTGCGACTTGAGCAGCTCGAGCGTGTCGATCTTCAGCCCGTCGACCGCCTCGATCAGCCCGCGGTTCTGCGCCTCCAGGTTCCCCATCCGAACGCGCAACCCCTTGGCCCATCCACCCATGATGTCGCGCCCCGCCGTCACCCACCGCAGCTTCTTCGTCAGCGCGCGCGTCTTCTCCTCCTCGGCCTGCAGCGCCGCCTTCGCGTCGCGCGACTGCGCGCCCTGCTCCCACAGCCTGTTCCGCAGGGACTCGATCATTCTTCCGTCCGCCAACATCTTCTCCTCCAGCTCCTTCAGGAGGTCCGTCGGCGGCCGCACGCGCGGCGCCGCGATACTCTTGCCCTGCGCGCGGTTGAGCGCCGGCTTCTGGCTCGGAGTCGGCGGCTTCGCGCCCGGGGTCGGGGGCGCGTCGTCCAGGTCCGCCACGCCCGGCGCCGCGCCCGTCTCGTACGACTTCTTGAGCCGCTTCATCATCTGCTGGACGATCTTCTCGTGCTTCGAGAACTCGCGCTCCGCGCCCGGGTCCACGCCGATGCCAGACTGCGGCGACGCGGGCTGCACTGCCCCCGAGCCCGTGCGTCGGTGCCCTGCGCGCTTGGCGGCCTCGCGCGCGCGCTCCCGCCGCGACGCCGCCGTCTCCTTGATGTTGCCGGACGGCGTCTTCTTCGGCTGCAGCAGCCGCAGCCCGGCCTCGAGCAGGTCTGGGTCCTCCATCGCCTCGCGCAGCAGCTCGTCTCGCATCTCCCTGTCCAGAGTCACGAGCTTCTGTCCTCCATATTCCTCGACCACGCGCTGCCGGAGGTCGCGCCGGGCGTCCATGTCGAGGTCGTTGAGGTCCGTGTCGACCTCGGCGCGGATGAAATCGAACACATTGGTGATCAGTCGAACCTGTGCGACTGGCTGGTAGTCGGACAAGGCAGTCTGGTGTTGGCGCATCGTTGCTGGCGAGGCGCCGCGCTCGGCGAGCACGCTGAGCCCGCCGGGCGACGACGGCCCGAGGCTGCACACGTCCACGCGCGCGTGGGAGCCTTCCGTGAGCGCGCCCGAGTCGTGGCCGCCCGGGATGGAGACCGAGAGACGCTGTCCCTGCTGGGGCTGCTCGCGCGACGCTGGCCGCCACCTGTTCTGCTGTGACGAGCTAGGGCGGAAGTCCCGGATGTCGTGGTCGCCGCTGGTGCGGGCCAGGCGGCTCGCAGGGCGGATGCTGCCGTCCCGGGACTGTGCGGTGCCGGGGCGGCCGAAGTTCGGCGTGCGCGGCCGCTCGGCGAAGCTGTCGCGGTCCATGCGCGCGGAGCCCGTGGTGTCCGCAGTCGAGGGGCGCGAAGATATGCTTGCGTTGTCACGCTTGACACGACGTGTGTAGGGGGAAGCCTGCGCGAAGAAACACAGGCGCGGCACGATTTTTTATGGGTTTGCATCGCAGTACGCGACACGAAGCAACGCACTTGATACGAGCACTGTGCAAAGCAAGCGCCGATCCCGGCGCCGCGGCGCGACCCGGCAACACACGCGGATGCTGCCGCTCACGCACCGTCATTTGCCGCACGACAGCCGACACGTCGTCGTGCTCCCTCTGGTAACGCGCCGTCTCGAACCGGCACGCATCGACCAGGTCTTGCGCCGTTGTCACCGCGGGGCGGTCCGACCCGGCGACCCTGTTCTCAATAGAAGACACAAGCTTGCTGATGGCCCGCAGGGCGTGCACCGTGCTGGCCAACGACGACACGTTCGCCTCCGCCACGGGCAGATCCACCTCGTTGAGCAGCACCACCGTGCGGCCCTTCTTCAGCATCTTCTCCCTCTGCTTGCGCGCATCCTCGCCCGGCGCCGCATCCCGCCGCGGCGAGTCCGCGCCCGCGCCGTCCGCCTCGCTCCCTGCGGCCGCCAATCCGACCGACCGGCTCGCCTTGGCCGCGCGCATCGAATCGCGCACGATGCGCACCTCGATGTGAGCGTCGCGGAGCGCGTCGGTGCGGTTGGCGAGTCGGTCCTTCAGGGGTTCCTTCAGGGCCTTGAGCTTCTCGGCGACCTCGCCTTGAAGTTCCACCCACTGCAGCTGCTGCTTGCCGGCCTCGCGGGCCCGCTTCTCGACCTGCGCGCGCCCGCCCTCAACTTTGAGCTCCTCGACGGCCTGCCCCGCCGCGACGCGCCGGAGCACCTCCTCCGCAGCGGCCCGCTGGAGTTGCCAGCGCGTGATCCAGACGTTGCACGCGCGCGAGGCCGAGTCGAGCGCCGCGACGAGCTGCCCCGTCGCGAGGCTCTCGCGTCGCCGCGCCGACGTCAGGAGCCCGCAGCACGTGTTCCAGGAGCGCGAGAGCGACTTGCGGACAGGGTGCGACGTCGGGAGCGTCTCCATCTCGAGGGAGATCGTCGCCGCGGCCGCTTCGAGCCGCTGGACGACCTGGTACGCCTTTAGGCGCGCGTCAGACAACGTCGACACCTCCTTGATGCGGTTCCGGTCCTCGACCTGCTGCAGCTCGATGCAGCGGTCCGCCTCAGCCCTCAGCCGATCCATGTCCGCCCTGATCCGCTGCTCCGCCGACGCCGTCGCGAGCCCGATGTCCGGCTGCATGTCTTGGATCAGCAGCAGCGTTGACCGCGCCAGCGCCGCCCGCCGCAGCGCGTGGCGCGTGTAGTCCTGCGAAATCGCCCGCTCCGACTGCCCGCGCCACTCGATCTTCCCGTCGAGCTTCGCGCTCATGTCCGCCACGGCCCGCATCGCCGACACCAGCTGCTCTGCCGCCTGCGCCGACACCCCTTTCGAAGGGTCCCCTCCGTGGTCGTGCTCCATCTCCTCGTCGGTCGCCGCGCGGCGCTTCGCGTGCTTGATCTGCACCAGCAGCCCGTTCACCGTCTCCCACAGCGGCCGCATGTCGTGCTCGGTCAACTCCAGCTCCACCGCAGATTGCGTCCGCGCCGCCACCAGGTCCTTCATTCCGGCCTCAATCGCCTTCTCCGTCTCCGCGAGCCGCGTCCGCGCGAAGTTGAGCTCCTCCTCCGCGGCCCCGAGCGCCGCCGCGACCTCGGTCTCCCGCTCCGACGGCGCCTCGTTCAGGTCCCGTCCGACCTGCAGGTTCGAGAGCTCCACCCCCAACAAATGCACGCGGAACTCCGTGCCGCGCGAAACCTCGGCCTCGTGCATCGCGAGCAGCCACCGCGCGTGCCGCACGAGCGACCCCAGCACCGCGGCCCTCCGCCGCGCCGGCTCAAAGGTCTTTTGGTGCACGCGGATCTCACCCTCGAGGCGCCGGACGTCGGCGTGCATTCCGGACTGCTCCGCGCGCGCGCGGTCCTCCTGGACGAGAGAGATCATCGATCGCTTCGTCGAGAGGTCCTCCGCGGCGCGCTGCACCGCGTTTTCGAGCTCCGCGAGGTGCGCCCGGTCCGCGGCGCAGATCTCCGCGACTTGCTTCGTGATCGCCGTCATGCGCTCGTGCGCCTGCTCGATGAGCGCCTGCGCCTCCTGCGCCTCCTCCTCCGAACAGTCCGTCTCGAGGATCTGTCGAATCTCTTGCGAGTCGATGCGGAGTTGTTCGTACTCCGCGACCAGCGCCCCGGCCTCCTTGTGCCGCGCGTTCGGTCCCGCGCAGCGCTCCTCGCGCTCCGCGATCGCCATCATGCGGTCGTTGACGTGCTCGAGCATCATGAGCTCGATGCGCTTCCAGGCGGCGTCGCGGTCCACGGTGCGCTCGGCGGCGTTGAATTGCTGCGCAAGCTGCGCGGCGAGGGTGCCGCGGGCCGAGTGCTGCTCCTCGCGCGCGCGGAGACGCTCGAGCTCGGCGTTGGCTTCGTCGAGGTCGGCGAAGCGGCGCAGTTCGTCCTGCACGCGCCGGCGTGGCATGTCGGTGCCGTCATTGTGGTCCAGCCGCAGGATCTCGTCCGCGGGCGCCATGGGCGTGTTCGGGTCGAAGTCGACGGTCATCTTGATCTCGGGGCTCCCGGGCCGCGACGGAATCTGCAGAACACGGCGGCGACGGCGCACGTGAGACTGAAACGGGCGTTCTGCAATGAAATCGCGAAACCGAGCCTCACGGGGCAGAAACTGCTTCAAAAGTGCTGTGGCGTACACGTGTGCACAGGGACGAGGCATGGGCGCACCAGGAGCACGTCAAGCGCGCCGTCGGGCCCGAACTGCAAGCCCTTGTCTTCGGAGCCCAATCCCATAGCCTCCAGGGTATCTTGGAAGAGCTTCTCCGGCATGGGCTCGCCTCCGCGGAAGCGCCGCACCATGTGCATCGCGAGCGCCTCGCCCTCCGCGGTCCCCGTCGCCACGACGCCGTGCGGATTCACCTGGTGCAGCTGCGGCGGCGCAAGCATGGCGTTCGGCAGCACCACCGACACCTGCGTGCCCGTGAGCGCGCCCATGATCCCGGACGACTGCAGCAGCGTCTGCGCCATCCGCAGCGAGCTGCACGCCTTCGTCGTCGCCGTCACGAGCGCCTTGTTCTTCTGCAGCAGCCCAGACGCCGCCGCCGCCATGAGGTCGCGTTCGTGGCGCAGCGGCGTGAGTTCGAGCTGGAGCTCGTAGTTGGACATGCGGAGGTCCCCTATCTCGCCGTTGAGCTCGTGGATCTGCGACTGCAGCTGCGCGGCGACGCGCGTGTTGTTGACAATGGCAATGTTCTTCTCCTCGAGCTGCAGGTGCATCTGCTTGCACTCCTTCGTCACCGTCGTCACGTACGACACCACGTCCTCCACCCCGGACACCCCCTCCACGCCCTCCTCCGCAAGCATCCCCTTGAGCGTCGAGTCCGACTCCTTGTACGTTGCAAGCTGCGCGTTGAGCTTCTCGACCTCCCGCGCCTTGCGCCCGAAGTTGCTGCGCGTCTCCGTCAGCTGCAGCGTGAGCCCGTCGACCTGCCGCCGCAGCGAGTCGATCTGCGACCGCAGGCTGTTCCACTCGTCTGCCATCTTGTCGTGCTGCTTCTTCATCAGGTCGCGCTCCCGGGCCGACTTCTCCGCCTTCGTCTTCGCGTCCAGGACCTCGTTCTCCGCCGTCTCCGCACGCGCCCCCGACTCCTGCGCCGCCGACCGCCACTGCGCCGCCTCGGTCCTCAGCTCCGACAAGTTCTTATTAAACCATTGAGTCGCATTCATCGCTGCCTGGAGAGTCATATGCGACTTCGAGTGGACCTTGTAGAACGCCCAGTCGCGGTCCAGCATGTGTAGCGCCTGCTGCACCGACTCCACCGACGACGCCTCGACGTTGAGCGTCTCCAGAAGCCGCCGGCACTGCCCTCTCAAATGCGCCACCTCCGTGCGCTCCTTCTCGAGCTCGCGGTGCGCCACGTCGAGGTCCGACTCCAGGAGCCGGCGCTTCTGGTCGAGGTCGCGCACGAGGGACTCGGCGCCGTCCGCGCGCGACCTCTCTCGGTCCACTAGGACTTGCATCTCCGCAATGTCCTGGTTGTGCTGCGCACGGCGCTCCTTGGCGACGTTGTCGCGCCGCTCGAGCTCCTCGCGCATGCGCTCCAGCATTTGGTCCTTCTCGCGGGCGTTCGCGATCTCCTTCTGGAGCTGCGCGCCGAGGGAGGAGGATTCGTCCTTTGCTGATTGCACCGCCTTGCTGCAGAGGGGGAAGGGACGTTGCGGCGTCGTTGGTTGAGTGAGCAGGGGGCGGGGAGCGCGGAGCGAGGGCGGTGGGAAGTGCGCGGGGTGGGGGCAGGTGGCGGGGGAATCAGTCGGAGGATCGCGATTGGACACGGCACCATCGTTGCGACCAGGCGGGCTGCGACACGCACGTGGCGGCCTCCACCGCGGCCATCGTCTCCTTGTGCAGGTCGCGCTCCTTGAGCAGGTGGTCCTTGGTCATCGCTAGCTCGCCGTCGCGCGTCACCAAGTCCCGCTGCACGCGCACCGCCATGTCCCGCTGCACGCGCAGGTTCTCCAGCTGCTTCGCGAGCTCCTCCTTCGTGTCCGCGAGGTCCTCGCTCGCCGCAGTGAACTTGATCGACAGTTCCTCGAATTCGAAGCGCAACTTGTCCAGCGACCCGTCCAGGTCGCTCGCGCGCGCCTCCGACGCCGCGAGCTTCTCCCGCAGGTCCGCCGCCGCGTCCTCCGCGCGCGCCACCTTCCTGTCATACCCGGCCAACACCCCCTCGACCTTCAGCCGCCGTGCAATCTCGTCCTTCAGCCGCGCCTCCGTCGCATCCAGGTCCTCCTGGAGCCCCTTCGCGCGCCCCTTCTCCGCCACGTACTTCGCCGCGATGTTCCTGTTCTCCGTGATCATCTGGTGCACCTGGTGGTCGTGGTCCCCCCGCGTCGACTCCTGGACACTGTCGGCCGCCTTCAGGAGCTCCTGCAAACGGTCGATCTCCGCCTGCCGCCGGCGACAGTCCTGCGTGAGCGCCTCGATCTGCGCCTGGTGCCGGATCGCGGCCCGGAGCTCCGTCAGACGGAAGGTGTGGTCCCAGAGTGCCCCCATGAGATCCCCCCGCTCCCGACACTCCGACGTCACCTGCCGCCGGAGCTCGTCCGCGGCGATCGAGTACACGTAGAGCACGCCGTCCGCCGCGTCGATCAGCGGCGTCTCGGGCGCGGCGTCCACGGACACCCCCGGGGGGGTGTCGGCCGCTGCCGACCACTTGCGGTGGACCTTGAGCTGCATCGCGTCCATGATGTCCGACAGCCACGCGCCGAGCGCGACCGCGCCGTCCCGCTGCGCCGGCTGCGCGGCCGGCCCGCGCTGCATCCCGGCCATGCGCACCGCGGACGGCACGGCCTGGTCCTGCGGCATGGACCGGGCTTGCCCAATCGCCATCGACCCGAGCTGCTTCGTGGTCGCAGACTTCGCGGTGGACATGCTGCGGCCGCCGACGCTCGAACGCAGCGGCTGGTCCGACGCGCTCACCAGCGCGCGCACCCAGTGCAAGCGGTCGACGTGCGAGTGCGCGTGGGCGCCTCGGCCGCCCTGCGCCGACCCGGGGCGCCCCGCGTCCGTCGCGGGCGGCATCGAGGATACCATCGCCGCGTGCGCGCCGCCCGCGCTGGTCGGCCGGCCGGGCGCCTGGCCCTCGCGCACGACGGTGAGCGCAGTCGTCTCCCCGGCGAGCGGATCGAGCCGGCGCGGGCGCTTCTGCTGCGCCCCCTCGCTCCGGAGCGTTCCGGCGAACTCGTGGTGGGTAACGCGCTCCCCGGGCGCGGCGGTGCCGCCGAGCGCGGCCGCGACGCCGCGCGAGACGGCCCCGAGCGGGCCGGGCGCGGGGCGCTTGGACACCGACACTTCGCGGGGCCCGCTGGCGCGCATGTCGGTGCGGAAGTCGACGTACATGCCCTGCGTGCGGTCGAGCATCGCGCCGAGCGCCTCCATGGCGATTTTGTCGCGCCGGGCGCGCGCCGTGGCCTCGTGGCGCGCGTCCTGCAGGAGGCCGCCAACCTGGTCGCCGATCGCGGTCATCTTGTGCCGGAGCTGGCCCATCGTGCGGCGGATCGCGTCCTCTCCGCGCCGCCCGAAGTAACCCATCGGAAACACGGAGCCTGCGCCAGCGCGGCCCGGAGACGGAGCTTGCGTCAACATCGCGGCGCACACGCGCTCCTGCGGGCCGCGAAACACGGCGACAACGACGCGAAACGCAGGACACTATGCGTGAGCGTCTATTGGGCGACCGCGGCCTCGCACCTCCGCGGTTCGTTGTCACGAAGTCGAGCGGAATGTCCATAGTCTCGTTCACCGCGCCCTGCCCGAGCGCCGAGTCCAGGCGCTGCAGCACCGCGTCCGGCCTGAAGCCGTCGTCCTGCACCACGGCCTGTCCGCCGTCCGGCGCCGCGTCCCGGATGTCCCTGAGGGGGTGGTCGGCCATCGAGTAGACTGGGTGCTCCGAGCCCTCCTCCTCGTCCCGGGCCGTGCGCACCATCAGGGACTCCTCGGCCGCCGGGCGCGCCGCGAGGAGGCGGTGCGGGGATCCCTTCGCAGCCTCCTGCGCGGACGGCAGCGGAGACGCGCGGAGCTCGCCGTGAGAGGACGCGCATGCTCCCATGGCGCGTGCAACACACCACGCGCGCGTCCCGTCTGCGGGAGGCCGGACGGGGGGGTTTCCGGGGCCGGGGCGCACCCTCGAGGTCTGCGCTGCATCCTCCTGCGCGTCATCGTCCGGCGCGTGCGGCGCCCGCTTCCCTAGCGTGCGTGTGAAGAGGGGCTCGGCGTTGAGTTGGTCTCTCCACTCCGCTGTCTGGCCCTGCGCGGCCCTGGCCTCCGCGGGCTCGAGCGGCTTCTGCGGAACTTCGTCCCGGATGAAGCGCGCGGCCTCGACCTTCGGGCCGGGCCCCGCAGGCTCCGAGGGGCCCGCATCGCCGCTGGGAGCGCCGCTCATGACGCCCTCAGAGCGCTCTCCGGTGGCTCAGACGGGTTTCACGGACGGAGTCATGCCTGGAGAGCACAGGCGGGAGGTAGAGGGGGTGAGATTGGGCGCGGGGTGCGCGTACGGGCCCGTGGGCCGTGCGCAGTGCCGTGCGCACTGCTCTGCTGGCGAGGCCGTGGCGCGGGAACCGGGGCGTGCGTTGCGCGTGTGCGGTCGCAGGGGCGTTGCGCTGCATCATGCTGCCGCGTGCTGTGGGAGGGAGGGGCGTTTCGGACGCTTCCCGGAGTGCCGGAGGGCTCGGTCATGCACATGCCCGTTCAACGGCCGAGCGCCTTCGAGGCGCCGCGCACGCGAGTCAGCGCGCTTGCACAGGTCAAATGGAGATAGTTTCCCCGGGGAAGCCGTTCAAAGCACGTCGAGCGGCCCCCTGGAGACCGCCAGGGTCGCAAATGGTGCAGAGTACTGCTTCACTCGCCGGAAACAGCGCCTCCGAGCATGATTGAGCCCGAACGAGCCCCGGAGACTCTTGATATCGCTACAGAGTTCAGCGTCGAGCAGGACAAATCGCGCGCGGGATGCGTGCCACGAAGCGACGCCCTTGCCTGCACTCTTGCCAAGGTCATCGTCCACTCAACCAGCCTCCGCTCGCAGTGTGCTGTCCTTCAGACTAGTGACCGCGCAAGAAGCTCGGCCGAATATGCCTGCGTACTGCGCCGTCACGCGGCCTCGTCGCCCCCCGCTCCAAGCGACGCAGGGCCCACAGTTGCACCAGTGTTGTACTGGGTGTCCCCTCCGGCGCTTGGGATCGAAGGCCGGGCAGGGCGGCGGAGCAGAGCACTCACTGAGTACGTCGTCGTTGCAGCGTACTGTTCGAAGCGGTATGATGACGTCGTGGTGCTGTTGAGTGTGCTCGCTCCCACGAAGGCGCAATGCGGCCGCTGACGCGCGTTTAAACGGCGTTCCGATGGACGAGGAGGAAGGTGAGATTCCATCCTTGACACGTGTTCCTTGTATAAGTCGTCGCTGCGCTGCTTCTCGCGCGCTGGTGCACGAGAGAGTCGCTGCGGGCTGGTTCTCACGCGTTGTGCCCCGTGACGCGCGTGCAGACGCGCGGCCCAAGCAGGCCGTGGGCGGGTTCACCAGCTTCGATCCCGCGGCGTTCGAGCGGGAGCGGGCACCGCAGGGCGCGAGCCTCGTGCGCACCCATGCAGCCGAGCTCTTCAGCGACAGCTCGAGCGACGAAAGCGGCCCCGCCACCGAACGAGCGCACGCTCGTGGCGACGAGACCGCGCGCCGCGGTCGCAAAGGCGAAGATACCAGGTCCGCAGCGGGGATTCTTCCTGCCTTGGTTCTTTCGCCTGCACACATGGCACGCGTCTCGCCGAACGGCACACCGAAACGGCCCGCGTCCCCTGCAGAGACTCGGGCGGGACGAAGCACCACAAGCACCGCCGCCGAAGATCGCGTTCCCGGAGCCCACGTGACCGCAAAAAGCTTCGCCGCAGCCCGGCGCGCGCAGCCCCCGCGCCCGGCGGCGGCGCGGCGCGCGTGGGCACAGGCGGCTACATGGATGTCGCGAGCGCGCTGCTGGGCGAGCGCATGGGCACCGCGGGCCACCTGATCGGCGCCACGGGCCCTGACGGCAATGCACGGGAGGACCGAAACAAGGACCGGGAGGCCCTGTTCCACGGCCGGCCGCTCAACTCCGAGACGCCCGCGTTCTCCGCCTTGCGTGTACCGGCGCTGGGGTCCCCGGAAGCCGTGCCCGGGCAAAGAGCAGCCTTCGGGCCAGCGTTGACGTTTGGCCCGCTCGGGGGGCACCGGCCGCTCGTTTGGGGCGGGGAGGGCGACAGCGAGGTGATGCCGGAGGGCGCGAGGCAGCGCAAGGGCACCGGGCGGTACTTCTGCTTCCGGTGCGTCCGTGCGTGGCACGGCGCTGCGGGCGCAGCGGAACCACGCCTGATGCTCTGGGACCACCCGACGCGACGTGCGAACGTGCTGTGGGGGATCGTTGGGACATCGGCCGCCGCTGGGGACGACGTGGCGGCGATGGTGTCCCCCGGGGGACTCTCAGTTTCCTCCAGTGACTCGACGCGGTACAAGTACGGGCCGCTGTCGCTCTCGATGGTGTCAAGGGGGGGTGTATCGGGCGCCGGAGGGGCGTGCGATGCGTCGGACAAGCTCGAGCTGGTCGTGGAGGGCCGCGGGTGGCGCGGGCGGCGGCTGGCGGAGCAGCGGCGGCGAGCGCGTGCAGAGGAGGCGAGGCTTGCGAAGCTGAAGCAGGAGGGCTGGACGATCGTCGTGGACGCGACGAGCTCGAAGCCCGCGGACGTGCCCGCTGGGGCCGGTCCGGCAGACGACGAGGTGCATGCGCGACGAAGATTGGGATTTTCCAATTGTGTCTGCTTCGTTGTTTCAGGATGGATGGCAGCGGCCGTGCGAAAACTTCGGGTGCTGGCTCTGCATCGCTCTTGCTTGAGCGTACAAGATGAGTCCGTGTCGTTGCGCTGCAGGAGAGGGACGAGACGACGTGGGCGGACGCTGTGCTAGCGCGCACGCGCACCCTCAACCAGCACCTCGCGCAGCACCCGGGTGACGAGTCCGCGTGGCTGCAACTCGCGAGCCTGCAGGAGCGCGCGGCGCGGGTCCTGCAGCCGCACGCGCGGGGCGTTGCTCGGCTGACGTCCGCGGAGCGCCGCGCGTCAGTGTTGCGGAAAGCCCTCGTCGCGCTGCCGCGCAGCGAGCGCCTCGCGATCGAGCTCATATCGGCGCTCGAGGTGATCGAGCCGTTCGCGGACGTCCGGGAGCGCTGGCGCGGGGCCCTGGGGGACTTTCCGGGCTCGTCTGACATGCACGCAAAATACCTCGCCTGGCTGCGCACGCGCGCGGGGATCTCGGGCTTCGCGCTCGAGGACCACCGTGCGGAGATGATGGACCTTCTGGCGCGCGCGGCAGTGGCGCGGGACCGCGTGTGCGGCCCCGAGGTGCTGCGTGCTGCCGTCGCAGCATGGGGCGAGTTGGCGGCGCCGCCGCGGGAGGTCCTCGCGATCGAAGCGGTGATGGCGGCGCTCGTGGCGGGTATCGTGGCGCTGGACGTCGAGGCCGGGCACGACGAGCGCGCCCGCGCCACCGCGAGCGCCGTGGTGGACTATTGTGCACTCCCCCCCATGATGCCCCCCCACGCGACGGAGGCCGACAAGCGCGCGCAGTTCCGGCGGTTCTTCCAGTCCGGAGCCCCACGCGCCGGAGACGCTGATCGCAGCGGGTGGGGGGTCTGGGAGACTGCCCTGACGTCAGAGCAGGAATATCCTCCCCCTCCGCCGTTCCCGCCGCCCCCCCCGGCCGCGCCAGCGGCGGAGCAGGGCTGGATGGACGTGAGCGACGTGGTCGAGAGGGTTGCGAAGGAGGTGGAGCGGATACGGGGGGTGTCCGGGGTACAACAGGAGCCGGACATCGCGCAGGGGGGGAGTGAAGGCGAGGGCGAGGATGGCGAGCAGGGGGCAGGCGACGACGGCGATGGTCTGTACGACATGCTCGACGCAGCAGCGGACGAGCAGCTCCGCGCACAGGTGCGTGCCAGCGCCTGACACAGTAACGATTACCCATAATGTTGTCTCGATTTTTTGTTTGTTTATGGAATGCCGGGGCACCGCTTCGACTCGCGCGGTCGTTCGTTTACGTCGTCGTGCAGCTCGAAGACGAAGCCGAGAGGGAAGCGGAGCGCCTCAACCGCGACGACCTGCTGCGCTGGCTGGAGCTCGAGGCGGAGAGGGGCGCGGGGGCGGCGGGGCGCGCGGACGACCTGGCGGACGTGCGTTACGAGGACGTTGCGGGCGTGCTGCACACATTCGTGTCGCGGGAGCACGCCCGGCGGGCGGCGTCCCTCGCGATGGCGGTGCTCGGCGCGCCTACGTGCGATGCAACGGAGGGCGTGCCTTCGGTGGTTGCACGCGCGGCGAGCGGCGGTGCGCCGGCGGAGCCGCACGCATGGGCGTCGTGCGGCGCGCGGCGCGCGTGGCTGGCCCGCGCGGTGCGGATGCTCGCGATTTCGGAACCATCAAACCCCATCTTGCAGCACGCACTTCTCTTGAGTAACCTCCCGGCGGCGGACGCGCCCGTATGCGGCGTCCTCCGCGCGCGTGACGCTGTGCAACGGGGCGACGCGTTCGTCGGGGCCGCTGCGCCGCTGTGGGCGTGGAGCCTGGCCGAGAAGACCTGTCCATTCGGGGCCAAGCGAAACGGCGGCGTGGCGCAAGCCTTGCTGGCAGAAGAGACGCTTGCGGGCGCGGCGGGGATCTGGTGGGGCTGGGCGGCGGCGCAGGCGCGGTCCGGGCGCGCGGATCGTGAGAAGCGTGCGCGGGCGTTGGACGTTGCGCTGTCCGTCGTGGAGCGAGCTGCGGCCGCGGCGGGGGAAGGCCCGGGCGCCGGCGTGGCGCGGTGGGACGCGGCGATCGTGTGCATGCAGGCCGCGATGCTCGAGCTGATCGAGACGCCAGCGAGCGAACGGCACTCGAGACACCAGGTCTTCGACATCCTTTCCCGACTGGCGCGGTTCCCAGGCGTCGGCCGCGCGCCCGCGGACGCCGAGGCGCGCGCGACGGCAGCGGGCCTCCGGGCGTCCCTGGGCGCCGCGATCGAGACGCTGCGCAGCCAGCCAGCGCACGCCAAGCACGCCGTCGGCGCCGCCTCCTGGATCGCGCTCGCAGCGCTGCACGACGCTCTGACGGGCGACCACGGCCGCGCAGCGGCCACGATACAGCACGCCGCGACGGCCACCGCACAGAGCGCGCCCGCGGCAACGCTGGCCCTGTGCCCGCGCGGCTGCCTGCCCGCGACGCCGCCAGCGAGTCCCGCGACAGGCGCGGAGCTTCTTCTTTCGCTCTGGACCGGTGCCGCGGCCTGCGTGTCCGGGAGCCCAGCGCCGCACGCGCGCATCGCGGTGCTCCGCGCAGCCCAGGCCTTCCCGGACAACAGCCGCATCGTGTCGTTGCTGCACGCGTGCGACGTGCCGCTGGCGGCGATCGGCGCCGCTGTCGATGCTGCGGCGGAGGACGCGCCGGACGGGCACGCGTCCGCGCGCGACGGCCTCCTCGGGCGCGCGCTCGCGGTCGCGGCTGCGCGGGAGCGTCGCGGGGCGCCGCGGGAGGTGCGGGCGTTGGAGCGCGCGGTGCGCGGGGTGGACGGCGGGGGCGACCCGGCGCTGTGGGCGGCGCTGGTGTGGGCGCAGGTGCGGCGCGGGGACGGCGAGGGTGCGAAGCGGGCGCTGATGCGCGGGGTGAGCCGGTGTCCGTGGAGCAAGGCGCTGTGGATGGAAGGTGTGCGCGCGGTGGTGGGGTCGGGGCGGGAGGGGGCGCGGGACGCGGGGCGGCTGATCGCGCTGATGCGACGCGTGGGGGTGAAGGTGCGGACGGACGAGCTGGAGGTCGTGCTGGAGCGGATGGAGCGGGAGGAGCAGTTGGAGGGGGAGGAGGGGGGGGAGTGAAGAGAGGTAGAACAACGATGTAGAATGGAGTTCTGGGGGGGCGTGAGGCTGGGAACGCGTCGTACGCGCCCATGTTATCGCGCACTGGACGTCGACGGCGGTCACGCCGTCGCCTGGCAGCACGAGCACCTCTCTCGCGTCGCGGGGGCACATGCCGTCTTGCACAGTCTACATTCCTCCCGGCCTACGAATTTCATGGTGATTTTTTCGATATTCGGCTGGCTTATAGGCGTCCCCACCGCATGGATGCTTGAGCGACCGCAGGCGAGACGCACGCAGCAAACAGGACAGACCACGTGTGCGGTCAAGCACGACGCCGATCGCCATGTGACCCCGATCGACATGCGCATCCTACCGAGCCGGCGAATCACACCACCAGGCCGACTTGAGTCAGCGAACAAACAACAACATACGGCGGCGCTGTTTCCGCCGCCAAGGCATCAACTCCCCGCGCGTCACCCGCGCCCAACGACCTTCTCCGACAGGAAGTGGATGATCGGCTGGTAGTACTGCAGCCCGAAGTCCGGCACGTCGTTGTGCCCTGCGCCCTCGATCTCCACCATCGCCTTGATTCCCTTCTCCGCCGGGATGGCATCAAACAGCTTCCGTCCGAGGCGCAACGGCACGAGGTCGTCCGCGGTGCCGTGCAGGATGAGCGACGGCATCTCCTTCGGCCACTTCTTGCACCACGTCGTGCTCGGGAACCGATCGCGCATCAACAGCCTTATCGGAAACACTTGCATCGGCTTCAGCGTCGCCGCCGCGTCGACCGCCGACGAGAACGGCGCGTGCAGGATCACGCCGTCGGGCGCGTCGACCGACGCCAGGTACGTCGACACCCCCGTCCCGATCGACTCGCCGTAGTACACGACCTTGTGCGACGGCGCCACGAGCCCCTTTCGGGCGTCGTCGGCGAGCCGGGCGCGGAGCCACTTCACGGCCGCGCGCGCGTCCGCGCAGAAGCCCGCCTGCGACGGCGAGCCCTCGCTGCCGCCGTACCCGCGGTAGTCTACCATCATGATGCCGCAGCCGAGGATGGAACGGAGCTCTCGGACCCAGGGGCGGCGGAGCTGGCGGTTGCCGGCGTTGCCGTGGAACATGAGGAGCGTGACGCCCGAGAGGGCCGCGTTGCGGGGGCCGCGCGGGGTGGCCGGGGCGGGCCAGTAGTCGCAGCGGAGGGTCTTGCCGTCCTGCGTGTGGACTTTGACGTCTTCGAGGCCCTCGAACGAGAGGTCGCCGAAGTACCGGCGGAGGATGTCGTCGCTCCAGGCTGGCTCGGGGATGAACTGCGGCGGCGGGGCGGCGTGGGGCCTGTGAGGCGCGACGGCGGTGGTGCGCGGAGGGGGGCGGGGGGCGCGCGAAGCGGGCGGGCACGCACCAGCAGCTTGCGCTGGAAGACGAACATCGCGCCGGCGGCGACGGCGTACAGCCCGACGAGGGCCTTGCCCCCGAACACGGCGACTTTGCCCAGCATCCTAGCCGAGGCGAGAAGCCAGGAAGTGCTGCCCGCCGACGGGGATTCTGCAGCCAGGGACGCCCGCGAGTTCGACGTGGTCAGTTCGCGGCCAACGCGCGCGGTTTTCGCCGCGTGTGCGGCGCGCACGGCGCCTCCTAGACAGGCGGCGCCCCAAGCAGGCCGAGTACGCACGCGCGCGCGGCCGCCGATGGCGGTGCGCAGCCGTGCTCGATCTTTCCGACGTGTGGGAAGCGGCGGGGCGGCCGAGAGCGATCGGGACGGCCACGGTGCCCGCGCAGCGCCAGTGCCCCTTGCAGGTAGGGTGCGGGCCGGTGGGGCGCTCACCGGTCATGGGGGTGTCAGCCGCGGCTGCGTGCACGCTGTCCGCCGTGCAAACGATGATCACGCCGGCGAGCAGGAACGGAAGGAGAGCTGCAGCGAACGCAGCCTTGAGGTGGGCGCTTCGTAGCAGCATTGGTCCGTAGCGTCCGCGGTGCTTCACGTCCGGAGCGCCAACGGCGGCGCGGGAATGTCCTGGACTCTCCCGAGGCTCAGGCGGCGACGGACGGCCCGGAGCGGTCCTCGCGTCGGCGCGAGTGGCTCCAGCAGGTGCTGTGGAGCAGTGCCCCGCTCTGGCTGCCAGCGACGGCGGCCCGGCTAGGTAGGAGCGCGGCGAGCGTCGCGGTGGACTAGTCGCGGCGGTGTGGCGACGCGCCGCTCGGGTCTGGACTCCACGGCGCGCCTGCTGCAACGTGGCCACCTTCAAGGTCAGGCAACAACGCAAGGCGCGGGGCGACCGGATGGGTCCGTCCTAGAGATTCAGGCGCCTCAGCAGGGATGTCAGTTCCTCGTCCTCCGCCTCGGTGCGCGCGGGGGCCTCCAGGAGCTCCAGCGCCTTCCGTAGGCACCGTGTCCGGGAGCGTGCGTAGAGCCCTTTTGGGAGGCGCTCAGCGGCCGCGAGGGCGTCTTCAAGGCGCTCGCGGAAGGCTTGAGGGGTCTCCTGGGCGTCCCTGACCGGCTGGGAAGCTCCGACCGCCGCGGGGTGCCTCCTGCGGGCTGCGACGGGAGGCGCAGTCCTGCGGCCTGTTTCGACGCGGGTCCCCTTTCGACGCCTCAGCGCCCTCGCGACCTCGCGCTGGTACTTCTCGTCGACACGATTTGTGCCGTTCTCGGCGTCCATGCACCGGCGGGTCGACGCGCCCAGCGCAGCAGTAAGCGCGCGTGCTCCGCCTTTGCCGTGGGGTTCGAACGGCTGTTCGTCCGCGAGGGATGCTCAGGGGCCGCGGCGTGCGGTCGCTCGCGCGCAAGATGCTGCAAGGACGGCTCGCTCGGGCGCCCAACGGCCCGGACGGGCGCGGCGGAGCGTCCGGCGTCGTGACGGACCCGTGCGACTGACGCGGTCGTCAGGCGCGCATCATTGAGGCTCGGGCCGGCCTTCGCGCGCGATGTCTCGCCCAGGACAAGCCGCGCCGAACGGAGCGGAGCGGTCGCGTCGAGCCGGCTTCGTCGGTCGCGGGCGCCGAGCGTGCTGAGGTTCAGAGGCACAGCGGCGAGCGTGGTCCGCGTCGATAGAAACGCGCTCACGGCCGCGCGAGGACCGTGGTGGCTCTGCATCCGCGCCCTCGGTGGTGGCGCATAGACAGCAATTAAGAGACACTGGCGAGGAGACTTGCAAAGGCGCACCCGCCTTCGTCCTGTCTGGCGTCCTCGCTCCGAGTTGTCGGGCGATTCTTGCATCTTCGCCTTCTCCATATCCTGAATTTCGTTCTACAAGATGAAGATCGGCGCGTTCGAGCCTCCCGGGCCCGAGCAGCGGTCATTCCTGCTGCGGATGGGGGCGCTGGTGGGCGCGGTCGCGACGACGTTGACCGCCATGGTCCCGATGAGCCACTGCCCGTCGCTCAAGGACGCTGGGAGTCTGGCGGCCTTCGCGCGAGCCTGGTTCGGGATGTACTCGATCGCCGATTCCGCGTTAGACCTTGTGCTGCTAGTGTGGGTGCTTATGTGCTCTAGGTGAGGCCCGTCGCCAGCCCGACACCGTCTCCAATCGCACACCAGCCACCTCTCCGAGGCTCCGTTGCGCCATTGTGGCGCACCGCGGCTCCTGCACGCGCCGCGGGAGCACTCATGGTGCCACGCGCGACCCACTCTCCCGCGCCCGCCCACCGTCCGCCCCGGCCCTCCTTCGTCCCACGCAGAGAGATCATCGCGTACATCGCCGCGGACGCGGCCGCGGGCGCCCAGGACGCGTCGGCGCGCGGGTCTGCCCGCGAGGCAGCAGCGGGCCAGTACAGCCCCCTGCCGCACTACGTCCTCGACGAGAGCGACACCCGGTCCCACGAGTCCGAGCAAGACCGCTTCGCGCGCACCACCAGGCTCGCCCGCCTCGCCGCGGCCGTCCTCGACTACGCTACACTCACAGCCCTCTGCATCAAGGTCATGGTCGCGGCCATCGTGGGCGGCCTCGAGGACCCGCTCCAGCACCCACCGAGCTACGTCGCGCCCGGCTGGGTCATCGGCTCCGCGTTCCTCGTCGCCGCGTCGAGCGTGTGCGGTGCGGCGTGGGTGCGCGCGCAACTTGCGGAAGCGACCGCGGTCGTTGCGGCCGCGGGGAGCGGCGCGGACGAGGAGAGCGGGGCGGAGGCGGAGGGCGAGGGCGAGAAGAAGGGGAAGCGGACCGCGATGGACACGATCAGAGGCATGGCTGCGATGTCGCGCCCGGACGTGTGGATCCTGCTGACGGCGTTCGTGTTCGGAACGCTCTCCGCGGTGGGCCAGGCGCTGATCCCGATGTTCACGGGGCAGGTGATCGACTACGCGTCGATCGAGCCGGACCGCGGCGCGTTCAGCCGCACGCTGCTGTGGCTGCTTGGCACGGCGCTGCTGTCCGCGGTGTTTGCCGGCGCGCGCGGGGGGCTCTTCTCGCTCTGCGTCTACCGGTGCGCACGCGACCCCGCTCGCGAGCAAGCCCGCGGGCACACAGCGCGAGGACGAGCGCTGCGGCTGCCATTGCTGCTCAATTGTGTTTTGCAATCTTCCTTCCGTAATCGGATGTCTTCCTGCCTTCTCGGACGCCGCCTCGTCGGCGCCCGAGCCGGCGCACCTCTTCTCTCCGCGGCCCGTCGCCACGTGCTCCGCACGCACGCACACGCGCGCCCTCGCCATCTCCGCGCGCCCCGCTCGCACGCGTGCGCAGGCTCCAGGTCCGCGTGCGGAAGTCGCTGTTCCACGCGGTGATGCGGCAGGAGATCGGGTGGTTCGACGTGACGCGCACGGGCGACATCACGTCCCGCCTCAGCGCGGATACCACCACCATGGCGGACCAAGTCGGGCTGAACCTCAACATCTTCATGCGGTCGCTCGTCCAGGCGCTGCTGGTGCTGGGCTTCATGCTGCACTCCTCCTGGCGGCTGTCCGTCCTGACGTTCAACATGATTCCCATCACCTATGTCTTGTCGCGCGTATACGGGCACTTCCTGCACAAGCTCTCGAAGCGGACGCAGGAGGAGCTCGCGAACGCGAACTCGATCGCCGAGGAGGCGATCGCGACGATGACGACCGTGCGGTCGTTCGCGGCAGAGAGCGTCGTGGAGGCGGCGTACGGTCGCAGCCTCGCGGCGTTCTTCCGCATCAGCGAGCAGGAGGCGCTCGCGTACTCGCTCTACGCAGTCATGGTGCGACGCTCCCCGCCCCCGCCGGACGCGCTCGCGCCCGCCAGGCCGTCCCCGCCGTGCAACGCGCCTACATCGCTCCCCCGCCGTGTGCCGTCGCCCGCCGCAGTTCACGTTCCTGCCGGCGCTGGTCACGACCGCCACGCTCGCGTACGGCGGCGCGCTCGTCCTCCGCGGCCACCTCAGCGCCGGCATGCTCGTGTCCTTCATGTTGTTCCAACAAACGCTGTCGAGCAACTTCCAGGCGATGGGCGACGTCTTCTCCGGCCTCGCGGGCGCCGTCGGGGCCGCGGAGAAGGTCTTCGAGATGATCGCGAGGGACCCGAAGGAGCCGCCGCCGGGCAACGCCCAGCCCGAGCACCTCGCGGGCGACATAGAGCTCCGCGACGTGACGCTGCGGTACCCCGCGCGGCCGGAGTCGACGGCGCTGTCGCACATGTCGCTGCGGATCAAGGCCGGGGAGACGGTCGCGCTCGTCGGGCCGAGCGGCGGTGGCAAAAGCAGCATCGTCAAGCTCCTCCAGCGCTACTACGTGCCGCAGGAGGGCAGCGTGCTGTTCGACGGGCGCGACGTCGGAGAGTACTGCCCGAAGTGGCTGAAGCGGCGCGTGGCGATGGTGGGGCAGGAGCCGGTGTTGTATGCACGGACGATCAAGGAAAACATTCTGTTTGGGCTCGAGGGCGACGAGTGTCCTTCGCAGGAGGAGGTCGAGGAGGCGGCGCGGCTCGCGAACGCACACGAGTTCATCCAGCGGATGCCGAAGGGGTACGACTCGGACTGCGGGGAGAAGGGTGTGCAGTTGAGCGGGGGACAGAAGCAGCGCATCGCCATCGCACGCGCGCTCGTGCGGGCGCCCCGCGTGCTGCTGCTGGACGAGGCGACGTCTGCGCTGGACACCGAGTCGGAGACGATCGTGCAGGAGGCGCTGGACCGCCTGATGCGGCGCGCGGGCGTGACGGTGGTGGTGATCGCGCACCGGCTGTCGACCGTGCAGGACGCGGACCGGATCGTGGTGGTGCGGGACGGGGAGATGGTCGAGCAGGGCACGCACGAGAGCCTGGTTGCGAAGGGGGGCGCGTATTCGCGGCTGGTTCGGAAGCAGCTGCAGAGAAACGCTGCGAGCACGCTGAGCCTGGCGAGCGCGGCGGGGGACAGCGGGCACGGCGGGGGCGTGGGGTCGCCGCAGGGGTAGGCGCGGGGGCGGGCTGGGTACGTGTGAGGCGGCGAATGAGTTGTTGTGCCCGGCCGCGTGGGTTGTTGTGCCAAGCGAAGGGGGGAGTAAAAAAGAGGTGTGTTGCGGTGGTCGGCGGCGAGCGCTTGCGTGCCGCGGTGGGCCGCGGGCGGCGGTGCCTATGAGGGGGGCGTGGAGCGTGGGCGGTGGCGTGCGTCCGCGTGCTGATGCCGTGATGCCATGTTTGTGTGGGGGGGAGGGGTGTTGTGTTTGCGGGTTCCGGCGCGCCGCGTTTCCTTTGGGAGCGGCGGCTGCGGCGCCTTGCGAGTCTGGGGCACCGGAGCGCTGTCGGGGGGCGGCAGTTGTTTCCGCGAGCGAGCGGGTGCCGGCGTGGAATCTCCCGCAGTCATTCGAGAGGTGGCGGCGCGAGGTCCTTTGGTGATATAGCGAAAAATGGGCTCCAAGGGCAAGGAGAAGAAGGAGAAGAAGGAGAAGAAGGAGAAGAAGGAGAAGAACGGCCTCTCTGTGTCCAAAGATGCCGGGGTAAAGGTGCGCAATGGAATTGCGTGCGGCGGTGCCCGACACCGGCGCCCCGCGGCCCTTCGAACGCGTCTCCGTGCACGGAACGTGTCGTTCATGGCGCACACATGCTCCTCGAGCGCGCATTCGCGCCCGCGCCGTCGGCATTTCCCGGCAATGCGCGGCGGCTGATGAGCACACGGTGGCAAGGGATGCGTCCTCCGCGTGCGCGCGGGCCGCGAAAGAGGCCCTCGGCTGCGCGTGCTGTCGCGAGCAGGTAGAGAAGAAGGCGAGGAAGGAGAAGAAGAAGGAGAAGAAGGTCGCTGCGGTGCAGCAGGCGGCGGAGGCCCCTCCTGCAGACACAAAGGACAAGAAGCCGAAGAAGGAGAAGAAAGAGAAGAAGGAGAAGAAGAAGGACAAGTCCAAGGTGGAAGCCGACGTCGCAGCCGAGGCTCCGCAGGTGCGCCAGCAGCCCCCACCTCGTTGCGGCTACGAACCATGTTTCCTCAATGTCTTTTCCGCGCTCACCGGTGTCTCCGCGCCCCGCACGCGCGCCCCCGCAGACCGACGCGAGCGTGCCGTCCGGCGACGACTCCGCCAAGAAGCCCAAGTCCGAGAAGCGCCCGACGAGTGCAGGCCGCTTCCAAAGGCAAGCGACACCACGCGACGCTGCACACGCGACAGCCCCGCCCGACGACGACGCTGCCCGCCTTCCCAGCGGCGCGCGGCCGGCGTCTTGCATCACGCGGCCCACGTTGCACGGCGCGCGGGGGTGTGTTGTTGCAGGGTTGACCCGAGCGCGTGGTTGGACAAGAAGGGGGCGTGGGACAACTCGTATGAAGGGAACTTCGGGAACGACGGGTTCGGCGCGAAGGCGCAGGCGAAGCTCGGCGTGACGCGCGGCAAGGTGAGTTCGCGCGGGCCAGGCGGGGCCGTTGGCGCGCGTGGATGTTGGGGGTGTGTCTTGGGGCTGACGCGGGCTGGTTGTCGCGTGCAGGGGTTCACGCGGGAGAAGAACAAGCACAAGCGGAAGAACTACATGTGCGGGACGATCGACGTGGGGTCGAACTCGTTCAAGTTCGAGTCGGACGACGAGTAACAGGGTCCAGTACTGCAGCAGTTCTACCGCGAAGAAGAGCTACGCGGCCGCACTCGCGCGACGCGCGCCCAGCACGCTGCACGAGGGAGCGCCTGCGGGGCGCGTGTGACTGCGATCCATCGGGGGTTACACGCCCCGGGGGGTGTCATGTCAGTGTTGCTTTTTTTTTTTCACGTGACGAGCGCTGCGCCGTCGCAGGCCGCTGCCGAGCTGGCTGTGCGCGGACCGCGCCCGTCTCCCGCGAAACCTGCCCCTGCGCCGATGCGGCGGCGCGACGCCCTCGGCGCGGGCGCAGACGTGTTGTTGCGCCGGCCGCCTGCTCAGCGCATCATCGCCGCGTAGTTCTGGCTGTTGTAGAGGTTGACCATCTTGTCGTACGTGTCCAGGTCGAACCCGTCCGCGAAGTTCGTCCGAGAGATCTCCTGCGCCGCGCGCACCAGCCCGCCGCGTCAGTTGGGCACCGGGGCGCGAACGGGGACGGAAACGCACGCAGAACGGCGGAACGCGGTGCGACCGAGCCTGAGAGCAGCTGTACTGCATCGCGCGGGCGCCTGGGAGGCGGGACGGCCCGTGGGAGGGGACGGAGGCCCCGCGCTGCGCACGAGGAGGGTGTGCGAATGCTGGCTGCGAGGAGGGGCGCACCGTCATGCTTCTGTGTCCGGAGACGGTCCCGACGACCTCGATGACCTGGTTGTGGATGGGGGTCGTGTTGTTGGTCGCAACCTCGACTTGGTCCCCGTCCGAGGTCTGTATTATCAAAGGATTCTGCTGGAGGACCTTCCCGACCAGCGTGACCTGCTTCCCGTTGAACTGCGGCATCAAGGCTGCGCGACGGTGCGGGGGGCGCGCTCAGGTCGACGAAAGCGGCGCAGCCGGAGCGCGCAGGAGCGCAGCATACAGCGCGCTGAGAGCACTAGGGCGCCCGCGGGGCACCGGACGCGGCCCTTCGGCCTTGGAATGCGCCCGGACGGGCGGTTTCAGCTGCTGAGGAGCGGTGCTCGAGGATATCATCGTGTTCGCTGCCCGGCATAAGCGGCCATTTCGGAACGGAGGCGAAGCGCGGGGAAGGCCGCGCGTCGCGCGCCGGGGCGCTCTGTCGGCGGAACTCGCGCGGCGGAATCGAGAGGGCGCATATTCTCGCACCTGCGTTGACGCGCGGGGTGGACTTGACCGCGACGGCCATGGTGGCCGACCGATTCCTACGTTGGCGGGAAGCAGACTAAGCGGCAGCTAGCGACACACGAACCCCGTCAAACTACGCAGCGAACAGTCCCTCGCGCACGCTCCAGCACTGCACGCCACGCGAGCGCCGCGCACTCTCGATCCCGGGCCCCCACGGGCCCTCCACCCCCCCCACATCACACAGCAACTCCCCCGGCGCCCGACCTCAGCGTCCCCGCGACCCAACCGCCCCCCACACGACCACACGCACGCCTCCTACGCACACGCCCGCAAGCGCGCACCACCGCCCCACAATCACCATGACGCCCAAAACGCAACACGTGCGCTCACAGGCAGCGGCCGCGGCTCGCAGCCCGGCGCCCCGGCCACGCTACGACGACGTCACCCGGCTGCTGGTCGCCCCGGCGACCGACGCCCGGGCGCCGATCTCGCTGTCCGCTTGCGACAGGTACTCGAGCGACGAGTGCTGCGACCCCCAGGCCCGGGTGAACGCGGCCGCCTGCGCCTGCGTGAACTCCGGGTGCATGACCAGGAAGGCCTGCCCCATGGCGCTGTTCCTGACCCAGGGGGGGCGTATTGTGAAGTCCACCCACCCGGGCTCGCGCTCGAGGCCCCAGTACTCCGGCACCTTGGACAGGCGGTACGACGTGAGCACGCCGTTGTGCTTGAGCGCGAGGTTCATGTACGCCTGGAGGCTGTCGCGGTTGTCCACGGTCGCCAGGTCGAACCGCGCGACGAGGCAGCCGTTGGAGTCGAGCAGGAGGTCGAAGGACGTGTCGGGCCAGTCCGACACGAGGCTGTTGCGCAGCGCGCCGAGCATCATGGGCAACATCTTGCGCGTGGGCGCCGACTCTGCGGCGCGCGGGGGCGGGGCGGGGCGTGAGAGAGTCGAAACAACGATGGCTGCAGGCGGGCGCGATGGGCGACGTGGGAGCGAATCTGTGGCGCCGATTCCGACTGTTTCTCCCACTGTATCTGGCCGTGCGCGACGTCCCCGGCCATTCGTCCCTTGCGCGCCCGATCGGCCCCCAACAGCAGAATCGTTGTTGCGGGAGATCCGGCACGCAAGGGACGGGTCAACGGAGACCGCACGGCCAAACAGATACACCGCGGCACAGTCTGCGACGGGCCCGGTCGACAGCTCCGCGGCGCACCTCCGGGGTCGCCAGCGGTGGCTCCGACGCCCGACGGCACGAACGCGCCGTAGCTGATGCGCGAGCGCGAGACGAACGACTCGAGGAGCTCGTCCTCGTCCGCCTGGTTGTACTCCCCGCCCAGGTACGGGTAGCTGTAGTCCTTCTTGTTCTTAAACATGTCTTCGTGGAACAAACGCAGACCAATGCGACCCGACGTTACGAACGCCTTCCCGTCCGCGATCTTCTTCAGCTTCTCCGGGTCGGGCTTCCGGATGTCCGCCGTCGACGTAGCCGGCGGCTCGTACGGCGTCGGAATGTACTCGAACTCACGAAACGTGCCCTGCTGCGTAGTGGCCTTCACCTGAGACGGCAGCTTCCCGTCCTCCCGGGCCGGTACAATCGTCCTCCGCACCTGCGCAGCGCCGTTTGTCGTCCATTTCGTTGGAACGGGAGCGCGGAGCCGTCGCGAGGGGCGCGCAGGGGCGCGGCGCGCGGCCAGCATGCACTCGCCGCGGAGCGCCGGCCCACCTGCGCGAGGACCTCCTTCTTCGCGTTCAGCACCGCGAGGTGCTCGAGCTTGTCCGGCAGGTCCGCAATCGCGTTGTAGTTGCCCGTGTGGAACGCCAGCTGGATCTGCTCGCCCTCTCGCCCGAAGAACTGCGGGAGGGCGTGGCTCATGTTCGGCATGGCATAGCGCGGCATCTTCACCGCGCCCGGCCCCTGCGACGCGTCCATCTGCACGTCGGACACCAGCGAGCTCTGCTCCATCCCGGCCCCGGGCGCCCCGGGCTCCTGCACGCTGCCCAGCGACGCCACCGACTTGTGCTCCGGCCGCGAGGCCTTGCTGACCATCGTTTCCGACGGCGCCGCGACCGCCGCGATCTTCAGGCTCTCCTCGCGCGACAGCTCCTTCCTGACCGACCCCGAGCCGCCGGACCCCTCGGCTTCTGGCCGTGCGGGCGCCACGTCTCCGCCCTGGTCCCCGGTCTCCGCGCTCCCTGCGGCGCCAGACGGCTCCTCGGCCGGAGCGCCGCCGGCTGCCATGGCTATCATCGCGTCCACGCCGGAAACGGCGGGCGCTGCCGCCGCCGCGCCGTCGTTGGACTCCGACATGCTCCTGCCTACACGCACGGGCCACGGCCCGGGCTAGCGCGTCGCCGAACGGGCGAATCCGGCTGTCCCAGAGCACGCTTGAACTATGGGGACGCTATAAAGGGACGCGAGCCGCCCCGGCGCGGCCGGGAGCCGCCGCCGCTGGCTGTCTGGTGTGTCCGCAGGAGCTATGTGGCTGTCTGTCGGCGGTGCGAGACGCTGGGACCGCGCCTTCCGCGTTGGTTCGACAGGAACTGGGCCGTGAGCGAGGTCGCGACCGCAACGGCCGCCCCGCGGGCCCGGCGCCGGTCACACACCCCCCTCGCACTGCTGCAAGTATAACGCGTGAATCGACGGCGACGAAGCGTCGCCTGCACCGCACCTGCGGCCGCCCAGACGTCTCCGCAGACGGTCCCGGCCGCGGCGGCAGGCGCACTGCGGACATCCTCCTCCTTGTGCACACTGCAGTGCCACACAGCGTCTCCCGCGACCGAGCATCCACAGAAAATCAGACATATGGGCCGAAAAAACACTTCATGTCAACTGGCAACCATCGCTGCACGAAATCGCAGCAGACACCCCCTCTCAAGCCTCGCAGCGGGCCACATGACACCAGTAGTCCTCCCCGCCACACAGCGGCCCCCGGGCGGGCGTCGAGGGCGCGCAGCGCCCCTGCCACGACGCACTCGCAACACAGCACACCCTGCGAGGCCCGTCATCGATTCTGCGACTCCGCCGCGTTCGAACGCGCCGCCAACCACCAGCATGGCGCCCGGTCCCGCCGACTCGGTCGCACAGGTACGCGTCGCGCCCTCTTTCCCGCCCGTGCGAGCCCTCGCGATGTGCGAACGTCCGGGCCGCGAGCTCCCGTCGCCAGGCGTTCGCGACAAGCCGCGAGCGCCGACGTGGCCCGTGCCGTCAACCGCCCTCACGCACGCGCCGCCGCGCCCGGCCACGCAGCACGGCGTGAGCGCGCGCCGGCGGTCTCGACATTGCCCCGTCTCCGGCGCGCGTCGCGTTGCCGCGAAACGCGCCGTTGATCCGCGAGGGCGGCCACCTGTTTCGTGCAGAGGGCCTTCTCGGACGACTCAGCGCGCCACGGCGCCGTGCTCGCCCCGCGCGCCTCCGTGGACCACAATGAGGTCACCGTGATCCCGCCGGAGCAGCTCGCGGCCATCGTCGCGGCGAAACTAGCCGGGCCCAGGGAGCGCAAGCAGCAACAGCAGCTGCTGCGCGCGCGCACCATTTCCAACGCGTCCTCCTCGCAGCGCACGATCGCGCTTTCGCGGGCGGTCTCGCTGCCGCGCGGCAAGCCGCAGCCCTCGCCCCACGCGCCGGTCGACTTTTCCGGGTTGGACGCACTCGAGGAAGACTGTTCGTCGGCGAGCCCAAGCAAAGACTACCGAAGGAGCCCCTCCAAGCCGCCCTGCGCGGCCTGCACGGGCGCCTTCGACGGCTTCAGCGACGACATCGCGACCGCCTTGCCGTCGGACGCGTCATCCGACGGCCGCACCTCGCTGGCGTCGCGGCCGCCGATGTTGCAGGCACGCGCCATCAACCACATCAGCCGCGTGGTCACGGACGTGCGGAAGACCGCGAACTTCTACCAGCGCGTGCTCGGGTTCAAGGAGGTCGTCCGGCCCTCGTCGTTCAACTTCAACGGCGCCTGGCTGCACGGCTGCGGAGTTGGTGCGCGCCCAGCTCATGGAACGTGCACACCTTCGGCGCGTGCGCCGCGGCACACGCCCGCCGCAACACCTAGCTTCGTCGCCGACCCGCTCGCTCAGACCACGCCGGTCAGCTGCGCCCTCGGCCCGCCGAGACTCGACACGCACGCATGCTCGCAACTTGACAGCGAAACGCCGCCTCGCGACGCACACGCGCTCCCCTGCTCCGCGCCGCAGGGCTGCATTTGATTCAGGGCAAGCCGACGGAGCGGCCTGCGGAGATCATTCCGAAGTCAGACCACACCAGCTTCCAGGTCGACATGCACTTGCACCAGGTAGAAGATATCCTGAGTCAGCTCGACATGCGGTACGTCAAGCAGATCGTCCGCGAGGGAGCCTACCTCGTCACGCAGCTCTTCTTCCACGACCCGGACCGCAACATGATCGAGGCGCGAACGCACTTACGCACTCGCGCACTCATGCGCGCAGCGGCAGCGCGAACGGCGTCAGCGCCACGCTGACGCGCGGCTGCCTGCTGACCTGAGCCGGCCGCGCCGCGCTGGAACGAATCGCGTCCTGCGAGCCGGCGGCGCGCGTGCTTCGTGCTTCGTGCACTGCTCTTTGTCTCGCGTCGTGGCGGTTCGGGGGCATGAGCGCTCCGTGCTTGCGTGGGCGGTGCGTGCGCAGGTGTGCGACTGCGACCAGCTGCCGCTGGAGTTCATCGCCGGTGCTGGATGGGACGAGTCGTCGCTGGAAGAGCAGGTGCTGGGATCGCGAAAGTTCGGCCCGTCGGGCGATGAGCTCTCCGAGGCGACGAACCGCGCGCTTGCGTAGAGCGTGCGCCACGCGCCCAGGCCGGCTCCGGCACCAAGATGTTGGAAGTGCATGCTGTGACGTCTCAAGACCTGCTTTCGTGTCTGTTTCGGTGCGCTTGGCTCAGTATCTCAGCTGCTGCTGCTGCCGCGCGGCACGACGACGCACGAGGCGTCTGCGGCGAGGCGGAGGGGTCGCGCCGGCACGTGCACGCGCGGGAGCGCGCAGACACCGGGAGATACTCTGCGGCGCTGTGTCGCGCCCTCACAACGGGCGTGCGAGTCCAGAGCGGCACGAACACGCGCCCTGGAGGCGCATCCGGCGGTGCGAGGGCACGCCGTTGCCGCGCTGCTCGTTCTTCGGCCAGGAACCCCGCGAAACGCGTCGTCAGCGGGCCCGAGACGCCAACTGGTCACAATGGGCCCGCAGTGCTGCGCGGTGCGTGAAATGTATCGACGAGCGCGTCAGGGCAGCTGGCAGTGTCGATGCCATCGCCCCCGTCGCGCCTGAGTCAGGCGGAGGGAGCCCGTTCCAGCGGGGGGAGTGGGACCCACGGCCAGTGGCGACTGCGCCTCGGCCGCCTCGACGGGCGCCGCGTGCGCCGCTCCGGGGCACTCGCGTGCAAGGAACGCGGCACTCCGAATAATTCAGCCCGCACGCTCGACGTCGAGCCTCGCATCGAGCAGCCTGAGACGGCGCGGCGGAAGTCTTTGGACTAGGACCAGCACAGGGGCGGAGGGCCAGTGAGGGCGCAGCCATGTCGACCGGCGGCCGCGACGTGGAGCCCCGGGCCGAAGCAGACGCGAACGGTGCGCACACCTCGGCACCCACGTCGGCCGCGCGCCGCCACGGCCGCGACGAGAAGACCTGGGGCCCAGGCGGCCCTCGGCGCCGCCTCCGCGCCCTTGCCGCGCCTGATTGCATCGCCTGGCCGACATCCGTTGCCTGTGCCGCCTACTCGCGCGCGCAGGGGCCCAGCCGGACTCCCCCGTCGGCGCGCGGGCAGAGCACCAGCGCGGGAGCGGCTCCCAGAGCAGCGGCGTGGTCACGACGGACGTGCCGGCCGCGGCGGGCGCGGGAGAGGTGTGCGTCGACCTCGAGAGAGAGGACACGCTGCCCACCGCGCCGGAGAAGACCATTCTATGCGACGGAGAGACCTACATAAAAGAGCGCGATGAGAAGAACCCTTTCAAACACAGGTGCGAGCGCCGCCCGACGCGCCGCGAGGCCCCCCAGCGCTGCTTCGTATCTGTACGGACAGCCGGCAGCTGCGCGCCGCGCCGGTGGTGCGGCACAGCGGACGGGAACGGCCGTGCTCACTCTGCGGCACGCGTGGTCGGCTTCGCGGCGCGAGCGCTCCGGGACGCCAACCGCCGCGCCGTGCGTGTTCCCGCAGGACCGACCTGTACGGGAAGGCGATGAACCTCGTCTGGAACGACTGGTACATCCCGAAGCGCGACATTCCTCGAGAGAGCCTGGCCGGGCTGGCGGTGGGCCTCTCTGTGCTTCCGGAGGTCGTCGCGTTCGCGCTCGTCGCCGGAGTGCCCCCCGCAAGTGCGTTCCCGCCCACACACTGCAATGTTCGCCTCCTGAGACCGTAACCTGCCTTGAACCGGCGGCCGATTCGCCGCGCGAACCCTGTTTCGTGCCACGATGGCATCTTGCGGCAGCTGCTCGCAATCGCGACCTCTGAGCGCTGCGCCGCCGGGCCCGTGGTTGCTGCGCAGTGGCTATCCACACCTCGGTGATCCTCGCAGCCGTGGGCGTCGTCACGGGGGGCCGGCCGGGCCTCGTACAGGCTGCGTCCGGCTCTATCGCGGTCATTTCAAAGGACGTCGTGGCGGACCACGGCGTCCCGACGCTCTTCTACGCCGTCCTCGTCTTCGGGTTCATCCAGCTGGCCATCTCGGCCTTCGGGGGCGGCAAGCTCATCACGCTTGTGCCCCACCCCGTCATGATCGGATTCGTCAACGGCCTCACCGTCATCATTGCGCTCGCACAGGTCCGCCCGGAACCCTCCCCCCACTTCCCGAACACCGCCGGCCACCCAGCCCCGGCACGCACAGGCCGCCCCGCTCCCCTTTTGCGCAACAACAACGCGCCGAAACAAAAGCACCCGCTGTGCGCGCAGGTCCGGGCGTTCAAGGCCACACAGGACATCCCCGACGACATCTGTTTCGTGCCGGGCGAGACCGACGCTGGGACCTCGCGACGCGGGCTCCTCCAGCTCGGAGGCTTCCAGGTGTTCGATGACGGGCGCACGTGGGTCGAGCCGAGCGAGGCGGGGTGGATGCTGTTCATCGTCGCGGTCGTCGTCGTGACGATGATCATCCACAAGTACCTCTGCGGCAACAAGAAGTTCGGCCGGTACCTGAACGTGTTCCCAGCGTCGCTCGCGGCGATCGTCGTTGCCATCGTGGTGGAGTTTGCCATCGTGCGGCCGGCGGGCGGACGCACCAAGTCGATCGGGGACATCGCGAAGGTCACGGGCGACCTGTACAAGACCACGTGGCAGGAGTGCGACATGCCGCAGTTCTTCGACGAGCTGCCGAACATCATCGTGCCGGCGCTGACGATGACCGCGGTCGGGCTGATGGAGACGCTGATGACGCAGCAGATCATGGACGAGTACACGAGCATGCGGACCAACTCCAACCGCGAGGTGTTCAGCCAGGGCGCGAGCAACGTCGTGGCCGGGATGTTTGCCGGCATGGGTGGGTGTGGTATGATTGCCCAGTGCATGGTCAACCTGCAGTCGGGCGGGTACCGCCGCCTGTCGACCTTCGTCGCCTTCCTCCTCCTCCTCCTCGTCGACACCGTCGGTGCGCCCCCACGCCCCCACGCGCAACACACACATATCGACACCGCCGCGCCGAACATCGCTGCCTTGCGCGCCGCTCACGTCCCGCCCGCGCCGCGCCGTGCCCGCAGCGTACGAGTTCATCAACGTCGTCCCGCTCGCGTCCCTCGCGGGCGTCATGTGGGTCGTGACGACCCAGTCGTTCTTCTGGCACTCGTTCAAGCTCATCTGGCTGTCCATCCACCCGCGCAAGTGGCGCGAGCGCTACTACGCCGCGGGGCACCAGAAGATCAACCGCGTCGACGTTCTCGCGATCGTCGTCGTCACGCTCATGGTCATCTTCACCAACATGGCCCTCGGCGTCGGCGTCGGCATCGTGCTCTGCGCCCTCGGGTTCGCGTGGAAGTCCGGGCAGAACCTCCGCCTCCTGAAGCGCGAGGAGTTCACCGACGGCAAGGGCCGCGTCGTCCGCGCCGTGTACGAGTTCTCCGGCCCTCTGTTCTTCGCGTCGGCCAAGCGCTTCCAGGACTACTTCGACCGGCGCACCGACCCGCCGATGATCGAGATCCACTGCCGGGAGATGTCGCTGATGGACTTCTCGGCGCTGGACGCCATCAACCACCTCGCGGGGGCGTACCGCGAGCTCGGGAAGGAGGTGCACTTGCGGTACGTGCGGGAGGAGTGCATGGGGATGTATAAGAAAGCGGAGGACATGATGGCGCACGTGGCGAGCGTGGAGACGTACACCGTGCGCCGGACGATCGAGGACCACGACGCCCCGATCGAGGAGGACTACATGGAGCACTACAAGGACCGTATTGTGGCCTGACGGGGAGTTTTGGGTTGGATTCCGCGGCTGAATGCTCGCGCGCACGGCCGCTGGGGGCCACAGATAAATACGGCCCGCGCTGTGACGCGAACGAGATCCGTCGACGCCTTGATCACGACGATAGCACACCCGCATTTCGTTTCGTGCGCGGGTGGTCAATTACTACTCTGCAATGTGCGTGTGCGGGTACGCCACCCCGTGCGTCCCTGCATGCGATGCGCTATCGCGTGGCGTGGGAGGACATCTCCGAGCGTGGCTCCTCACGCCCCGTCTTTGATTCATCAGAGACGTTACAGACCTCGAATCTCGACTGGCGCATCAGCCATCGTCGTCCGATGAGCTCACGCCGCCGAACGCGGCCACGGGCGCCGCCGCCGGCCCGCGCCCTGCCAACATGCCGCGGCCGCGGCCCAAGAGGCCCCTCCCACGCACCGCCGCACCCAGGCCGCCCCCGCCGGTGCCGCGACCTCCAACCTTGAACGCCACCGCCCCGCGGCTCCCGACCGGCGCGACCTTCTGTTCCGGAGCGGCCTCCCTCGCTTGTTTCGCCGCTGCCGCCGCCGCCGCCGCCGCCGCCGCCGCCTCGGCCTGTCGCGCGAGGTCTCGTTGTTGCCGCTCACCCTCTGCTCGCCGCTTGGCCTCTCGCGCCCCGGCGGTGCGCACCCGCTGCGCCTCGCGCGTCTGCACACAGCAGCAGCGCGCACAGCCCACTGTGCACGCGCCGACGAGCAGATATGCAAGGAAAGCAAACGACAATTGAGAATAGCTTTCATTCGTCGATCGCTTCATTCGCCGAGCGCCGCGGGCGCGCGCACCTCCTTGTCGCGCTTCTTGTGGTGGTGCGCGTACGACGACAGGTGCTCGTCGAACTCCATCGCGCGCTCGTACGTCTTGTTGCATACGTCGCAATGGAAGGTCTGTTTCGCCTCCGCAACGTCGGCCTTCACCACGGCCTCCGCGGCCGCGCGCTCGGCCCGCTGCGCCCGCCGCTCCTCCGTCTCGTTCTCCTGGAGCTCGCTCTCCAGCAGCACGCGCGAGACGTGTTCCGCCGCCGTGTATTTTGAGTCGATCGTCGCCTTTCCGAGGCCGCGGCGATACGCCTCGGTCTCCAGCGGCACGGGCTCGGTCCTGCCGCACCCGCCGCGGCCAAGACCGCGGCCGGGGCGCCAGCCCATCTGCGGAAACCGGGCACCGAACGTTGCGCTGGCGTGTCAGGGGCACGGTGGGGGGGACGAGGGCCCGCGCGCGCCCGTCAGGAGCACGGCAGGAAGACAGCGGGGTGTCTGGCGTGGGATCGTAGCGCAGAAGGCGCGAACGCCCTTCCAGTGACACGCACCATCTGCAGCATCATGTACCCTTTGTTGTCCGCGGGAATGTGTTTGTCGAGGGACGCTTGCTCCAACTTCGATGTGTCGAGGTTCTCCACGATCTGTTGGTTGCGCGGCAACCAGAATTCGCCCTCAGGCGGGTTCCCCGGCGCCGCGCGCTGCTCCGTCCCGGTGCTCACGGGGAGTGCGTACTGCGGCCCCGCGGCTTGCTGCGCGGCCGCGACCTCCCGGACCTTGCTGACCGCGGACGTCATCGCGCGAATGCGCTCCTTCGCAGCGAGTATCTGCGCGTGCACGCGGCTCTCGACGTCCTCTCTCGCGCCAGCCTCCTGCGCGCTCGCGTCGGCGCCTGTCGCGTGTTCCGACGCCGCTAGCTCTATGACCCGGGATCCACTCGATCTGAAGTTCCCGTACGCGCTCGAACCCTGGACTGTCCCAGCTCGCGCAGCTTCAGCATCTTGAGCATTTCGGCTCCCCAAACCTGGGTGCGCAGCCTGCCCCTGCTGCGCGCGCACAGACTCAACCTGGGCCGGCTGCGACCCATCTAACGGTTTGCTCGCAGCAGTCGCCTGTGCTGCGCCTGGCGCCGCTTCCTTGGCGTCCCAGCGCGACTGGCGACCACCAGAGCTCATGGCCAAGCTCGCCCTACGCCCATGGAACGTCACCTGCGTCGCGCACGCGAGTGCTCAGGCCTCCGAGTGCGTCCGCAGCGATCGGCCCGCGGAAGGGCGCGGAAAACACCCCGCGGGGACTGTTGTTCCTCCTTGCTTCCACTCACGTCAGTTGTCCCGCCGCGAGGGCTGCCGTGGGGGCAGAACCCCGTCCCCGCCGAGCTCTCCCTGCACGCTGGCGACTGACCGCGACCTGGGCTGTTCGCAATCGACACGAGCGGCACAGAGCGATACATTCAACACACCACGCGATGACATCAACGCGGCAGTGCGTGCAGCCTCACAGCGAGCGACCCTCGCGGCCGGCGCCACGACGCCGCCTCCTCGTCCTCTCGCGCCGCCGCGGGCCCACGTCGCGCCCGGTGCGACTTCAGACGACCGCTCTGAGGAAACACACCCCTCGAATCCGGGGGGTGTGGGCGCCCGACTCACGACGCCGGGGCCGGGACGCGCGGGGCGGCGTTGGCGGCGATCAGCGCGACCGCGCACATCGCGCCCGCGGCCCCCGTCCACCCGCCCACCGTCTCCACCCAAAAGGATGAGTCCCACAGGAAGCCCAGAACGCCGGCCTTGACGCCTGCGGCCACGGAACGACCTCGCTCCGTGAGCGGCGCGCGTGACGCGGCGGTGGAGCGCGAAACAAAGCCGCCCGGGGCGCGACGCGACATGCGGTGCGGCTGTGGGTGCACAGGCGAGGCGCGGCGGCGCGCGGCGGCGGCCGCGCGCGCGGCGACGCAGCGAGGCAGCCTGGTGCGGAGCGCTGCCGCGGGCCGGCCTGCGCGGCCGCTGGGCGCGCACCCTTCGTTCGCCTGCGCGGGGCCGCCGCGCGGCCCGCCGCCGGCGAGAGCCCCGAGGCCGCCCATGGAGTGCATCTCCTTCCAGATGGCCATCGCGCCCTCCTGCATCTGCGCGCTCTTCTTGTACACCTCGTTCTCAGGGTCGAGCTCGACGGCACGGTTGAACCCCTGCGAGGCCTTCGCGAAGAGGCGCTCCGCCTCGCCCTCGTCGCTGGAATTGAGGGCCTCAGTTGCGAAGTTGTTCGCGAGGACCCAGTGCGCCTGGTGCTTGTTCGGGTCGAGCTCCAGGCAGCGCTCCACCTTGGACCGGCTGTCCGCCAGAGCGCGCGCAGCCTCGGGCGGAGGCATCATCGTCGCGATCTCCAGGAGCGCTCCGCCCCACCGCAGGTAGGCCTGCAGTCGAGAGCGCGGGCGGGCGACGGTCGGCGCGCGCGGACGGCCGCGTGGGGGGCCGTGGCCTGAGAGGCGGGGAGAGGGCGGGCGCTCCGCGCCCGGGGGGGCGCAACGGCGCGGTGGTACTGGGCGTGGTGCGCGGAGGAGACCTCGGCGGACGTTGCGGAGACGCCGGACGTGGCAAAAGCGGGCCGTGCGTGCGGGGGGAGCGCGGGGGCTCGGCGGCTGGGCTTGGGGCATTACCCCGGCGTCATTGGGGTCCTTCCTGGCGTCCGCCTCGGCTTGCGCGCGCGCCTGATCGAAGACCATGAGTCTGCGAGGCAGAACACGCGGCCGTGGTTGCGTCAGGCCAGCCCGCGGGCAGCAGTCTCTGCAGCCCCAGCCTTGTGGGCCGCCTAGACGCCCGATCGGGGCGCGGGGCCGGTCACAGGCCGCGCCGCGAAGCATCCAAGCGAGTCATCCACGCATCTGCCAGCCCGCCGGCCCGCGCACTCACCGCTGGATGTCCTCCCGAGTCGCCATCCTGTCCCGCTACTCAACCACCACCCGCTCGCACGGCCTGAACTTCCCCGATCGCCTTACTGCACCGAAACGCGATGAACGACCAAAGTACAAGGCATCCAAACTGCCCCCAGCTCGCCACGCCCCACAACAACGAGCCGATATGCAGGTCTGTCTCAGAGTGCCCTGGTACAAGCCTTGCACGCCGTCAGACCCCAGCCAACCGTCACCGCAGCCCTGCGTCACGACGTCCACCCTCACATGTCGCCGCTCCCCGGCAGCCCACACTCTCAGGTCCAATCGCGCCCCACTCGCATCACTACGACAACGTTGCTACACGAAAGGACGCATGCACGACGGCAGCGGCCCCTCACACCACCATGCCCCCGCCCGGGACGTTCCCTCGGAGGATGTCCAGCACCTCGAGCTCGAACTTGATCTTCTTCCCCGCCAGCATGTGGTTGGCTGCAGACAGAGAGAGCAGGCGCAACAACTGATGACGTCAGCCCTCGAACGACGCGCAGGAACGCAGCCGGCCTGGAGCTCGGGCGCGCATGCTCGATGCTGGTCAACAGGGCGTGGCCACGTGCGTAGCCTGGGGCTGCGCTGCGGCCTGGTGCGTTGGTCGACGTGCGACAGGTGGAGTGCACTGTCATGTTTGCAAGAGGCCTCGCACCGTCCAGGACCACTTGCTTCTCGTCGATCTTGGCGATAAGAGCGATCCCGCCGTTCGACAGCTCCACGATCTTGCCCTCCTGCGGCCCGCCCGTGCTGCAAGCGGCGGCGATCGCGAAAAGAAACACACCAATCAATAATCCTCGATCTCTGCGCACACCCGGCAAGCGCGCCGCCGAACTCTCTCCCCTGCACCGCCGCTCACCTCTTGTACCGTCCCTCGAGCCGCTGGATCTCGGGGTGTTCCCGCGGCACCACAAACATCAGGTCCTTGGTCCACTCAGGCCCCTCCGCCTCCAGCGACGTCCTCTCCCCGATCCCGAGCCCCTGCACCGCGTCGTCGAAGCCCTGCGCGGGGAAAAACCGCACGCGCGCGCGCAGGTCGCGCCTCCGTCAGGTGCGCCGGCGGCGCCCGGAAGCAACAGTGGCAATGTAGGACCTGAGTCAGTTGACTGCTGTTCCGACGTTGCGCCGCGCGAGCGGGGCGCTGAAGCCCTTCTTCATAGAGTGGGCACGCTGTTCGCGGTACGTTTGGAGGTGTTGGTTCCCAATTGAGACCGTACTTGGAAGATTGGGTTGCCCACGACGTTTCCGACTCCGGACTCGAACTCCACGGGCTGGTCCTTCTCGCGAGAAGACTCGATCACGCTGCCGTCGTCATCGAGGACGTCGTAGTGCACCGCAACCAGATCGCCGGGCTGCACGCGCATCTGCTCGGCACTTCCAGCGCAGACAGCAATGCAGCGTCGCGTGCGCGGAACGCAGCCCGCGCCAGCGCGCCGAGCGCCAGAGAGTGCGCTCACGCACTGCCTGGTCGCGTTGCGCTTGCGCGCGTGCATCTTGCAGGCCGGAGATGCGCGCGGCGGCAGTGCGGGCCGGGCAGGTGCGTGGCTGCAACTGGCGGCCGCCGTGGGCGCCATAGTGCGTGACATCACCATACTCCTGCGCCGCTTATCCCAGCCTGCGAAGTGGCCAGCCTGCCCGTGGCGCGCACGGGTAGAAATCGGCTCGCTGCTGCACGGAGACGGGCCCTTCTACTGGGGAAGGGAGGAGTCCGCGTACGTGACTGACGCGAGAGGATGCCCCGCCTTTGCCCCGGGGCGCGCTCCCGGATCACCAAACGCACGCGCGCGGCGCAGCGGCTCCATCGTTTCTGCGCTGGATTCCAAGCAATTCTGTTCCCGCCTGCTGCGGTGGCGGGCTCCGAACGAAGGCTGCGCGTGCGGCCCGAGCCGTCGACGCGGAGGGCCGGCGCCATCGCCCAGGCGTTCTCCTTATCAGTAGCGCGATGCGGCTGCGTTGACCTGGGAATTTCGCCGCCCAGGCTGACCGGCCGGGGACAGCACGTCATTCGGCTTGGCGATGGACCTGAGCAGTTGTTCGCCCCTCGTGGCGCGCATCCTCGCTCCCGTTCTAGCCAGCCGGGGACATGCTATCAGCCTCTCGCAGCAGACCGGCGCGAACGCGTTCACACGCGCGGAAGATGCGGCAGAGGATTCAGTTCAAGGTCTTGATGGCGTGCTGCCCGCGGGGGACGCGCACGAGCTGGCCGACAGGGTGCTGGAGCTGCTTCAGCAAGATGCCAAGCGTCTCACGGCTACGGAGGCCAAGAACACCGCCGCGGCCGCCCCCAGGTGCGCCAACAAGACTTGCACACACACTCACGGGGACCGGCGCGCGCGGGACGGCCTCACCGCCGAACTCGAACGCGCGCAATCGGACGAGTGGACAGCCCGTCAGTCTTGGAGCGCAAAGCAAGCCACGAAAAAATCCTCGCAAGCGTTCTACGCTCTATTGTTTCATCCCAAAGCTCCACGCCCCACCCGCTGCGACCCCGGCCCCTGCCGCCTCCGCAGGACCCACGACATCGACAAGGGGCAGAAGGCGCTGCAGCGCATGGGCCTCGGCGGGCCCCCGACCGCACTCGACCTTTCTACGGTCGAATTCCCCCCCCTGGGGTCTCCCGCGACTCCCCCGCGCACACGCAGCCGGCTGACGCCTCAGCCCGCCACGAGCGGTCCGTGGCCCTCCGCGAACACTACGACTCCAGAGAAACCTGCCCCGACCCCGCAACGGCGGCCCGACACCCCATCTGCGACGTCGTCGCCGCCACAGCCTGCGCGCCGGAGCCCAGGGGCCGCGTCGGAGGGCTCCGCGAGCGCCTCGAAGGCTCGCAGCAGCGACGATGACGCGTTGCAGCGGCTTGCGCGGGCGCACGGACGCGCCATCGCGGCGCACGCAGTCACTCACCTCGACGCGCACGTTGCCGTGCTGCTGTCCCTGCTCCGCATGGCGAAGGACGCGACCGAGGCGGGCGCGACCGTGCTGCCCTCGCGCGCAGCGGCGATCACGTACGCCTGCGAGGCCCTGCTGGCCGCGGGGCGCGCTGTGCACGGCGTTGGCACTGCGGCGACAAAGGCGATGCTCTCCGCGCCGGGCGTGCAGGCGGCCCGCGCGGGGACGCCAGAGGCGGAGCTGAGGGCCTTGGCACAGCAGATCCAGCGCGAGGGGCAGCTCGGGCAGGTCAGCGCCGACAAGCGATACGACACAGTGGCCCCCGGGTACCGTCCGCCCAGCGCAGCTCGCACCGAGTCGAACGCGACGACGCGGACGCTCTCGGAGATCATAGCGAACCTCAACATCCTCGCGGCGCGCTGCGAGGGCGAGATCGCGGCGCGGTCCGCGGCCGGCAGCGCCCAGTGGGCCGCGACAGACGTCGAGGCCGTGTTGGAGTTCGGCCTGGACGCAACGGCGCGTGTCGCGCCGAAACACGTCCCCGCGCTGGCCTCGCGGCTCGTCGCGCACCTGCTGCAGGCCTCCGAGACCGCCCAGCAGCACCGGTTGGCGCTGGACGCGCGGTCGCAGCGCAAGGGCGCAGACGCCGCCGCGTCGTTAGAACGGCGGATGACGGGCGGGAGGGGGCCGGGGAGCGCGGCTGGGGCGCAGCAGGGGGCGCGGAGGGGCGGGCAGAAGAGGATCGAGGTGCAGCGGGTGCAGCGGGCTGCGCCGGCGCAGCGGGCGGCGCTCGGACAGGGGGGGTTGGGGGAGTTGAGCTCCGCGGCGCGCAGCAGGGCGGTGCGCGCGGCGACGGAGGAGTTGCGGGCGTTCCCTGAGCCGCTGCGCACGCACGCCGCGCTGCTGCTCGCGCTGGACTCGTGGAGCCTGACGTCAGCGGCCGTGTCGGACATGGTGCACCTGACCACGCCGCTCGTGGCCCCGTGGGCGCTCCCGGCGGCTGGCGCGGCCGGATCGTCGCAGCCGCAGCTGTCCGCGTCGCTCTCGCAGTCGCTTCGGCGGCTGCTCGCGATGGCGCCGTTTCTCGCCCGTTTCGGGGGCGCGATCGCGGCGGGATGTGCGCACCCTGCGCTGTCGCCAGTGCAGTTGTTGCGAGGGCACGCGGAGCGGCTGACGGCGACTCCGTGCAGCGAGGCGGCCCTCCAGGCCCTGTGCCTGGCGATCCCCTACGCCTGCGCGTTCGTCACTGCCATGCCGGCGCCGGCGATCGACGCGCCGGCCGGTTGCGTGCGCACCGCCGCCGCAGCACTCATCGCCATCCGCGAGAGCCCTGCGCTGCGCCCCGGCCACGAAGCCTTCTCGACGGGCCCGTTCGCTCTCCGCTGCGCCCTCGACCGGGTCCATGCGGAGTTCACACGGCCGGAAAACGCCGCGGGGGCCACGAGCGACGTATTGTTGCGTGAGGGCTTCGAATCACTGGACAAACGGAGCCTCGAGGCCCTCGACGCCGCGTTCGCAGCCATCGGCGAGCAGAGCTACCGCCTGCTCGACGCGGCCTTCGTCGACGAGTGCTGCCCGCGCCTCGAGAGCGCTCGCCGCGCCACTGTCGTCCCGGCCGCCCGCGGGACCGCAAGCACGACGGATGCTTCGTCGACCAGGTCGCTGACGTGGCAGCGCACGCCGGCCCCGGTCGAGACCCGCGCGGCGGCGTGGGTGCGCGCTCTGCGGCGCAGCAGCGACAAAAGACAACTCGAGCTTCAGCGTGCACTCCTTGACAGCTACTCCACGCAGCGGGACGTGGCATCGCAGCCCCTCAAGGTCGTTGTCGACCACGTCGTCGACGTGCTCGCGCGGAACGCCCTGGAGGTCGCCCTGCAGTCCGACGCGTCGCTGCAGCTTGTGCGATGCGCGTCTGCCGTGCTGCGCGAGTCGGTGAAGCTCCTGCGGGACCACGCCGAGCGTGCGGTGTCGGACGCGGTGCTCAAGTGGGTGGACGAGCGCGGGGGCAGGGGCGGGCAGGACGAGTGGCTCGATCGCGCGAAGCAGGACGAAGATATGCTGGAGAGTCTGAAAGGTGCCGCGCAGAAGGCTTGGGACAGGGTCATGCGCGACGGGCAGGCGTGCCGCAAGGTGCGCTGCTTCGGTGGTGTTTGGGACACGTGTGCGGACCTCTGGGGCGCCGTGCTCGCCCGCAAGCACCAGCTGGTGCCGCGAAACTCGAAATATCGAAAGCGCAATCATTAAGTGTAGTTGTTTTTCCCTGTTCTGGCGCAGGACCTGACGATGCTCGTCGTGGAGGGGTACGAGCGCGCGGCCGAGGACCTCTGCGCCGTCGACGCGCGCGACTACGTCCTCATGCGCATCACGGGCGCCCTGGAGGCCATGCTGCCTCCATCCCTGGACGTCGCCGTGAAACAGCTGACCTGCCACATCGCCGCAGACACCGCGCTCGAGTCCTGCCTCTCGCGCCTCGGCCCGACCGCGCGCGCGTTCGTCTCCCGGCACCTCGACCGCCTCGACAACTGCTCCTGGCCCGAGGTGCAGCAGAGACTTGTGGACAGGACTCGCCAAGACGACTGGGCACTATCTGAGCGCCCGCCGTGGCTCTGGGGCCAGGTCGAAGCGGCCGCCCGCGACAGCGCGGCGCGCGGCGTGCAAGTCGTCGACCGCGACATCGTCGCGCTGAGCATTCTCAAGTTCGTGGAGTCGTCGCCAGAGATGCGAATGTTTGCCGACAGCGGAGCACTGGCGAACCTCTTGCACGGCGTCGGCGGCCGGAAGACGCGGGAGCTGCCGCCAGCCGAGCCGCTGGCGCTGCCGGCGCTCGGTGCCGGGGCGGGGCCGCCGGCGCGGGGGCACGTAGCGGGCCAGCAGTTGCCGTCGGCGGGGGGTGCGGCGCGCAACGACGACGGCAGTGGGCTGTCCCCGCTGCGGGCGCGGATTCTCAGCAGCCCGCTGCAGCCGAGCGGCGGCCCCCGCGCGCCGCGGACGCACACGCCGCCGCGCGCCGTCCGCGGGCCCGGCATGCTGTGGGGCTCCAACACCGAGAGTGCAAACGACCAAGACGCAAATGACAGCGGCGCACTTTCGAGGGACTCGGCGTCGCCGACCGCCGAAGCCGCGGTCGCGCAGCTCATGACGCCGGTGACGGCGGCGCGCGAGGCGAGCGTGGCGCCGCCGAAGCCGGAGGCGCGTGATCGGATTGCACAGCTGGTGGCCGAGCGCGCAGCGTGTCCGGATTTCGTGGAAAGGCTGGTCGAGGAGCACCGCGGGGATCTGGCTGATGCGGAGGATGATCTCTTGGTGGCGCTGCGGGCGTGTCCGGACGGGGCGCGCGGCGCGCTGCTTGGGGCGTGCCAAGCGGTGCTGGACGTGGCGTGCGCGCGTGCGGGCAGCGCGGGCGCGGGCGCGCATCCGATGCCGCGGCTGAAAGTGCTCCTCGAGGTGCATGCGCGCGAGGCAGGGAGCGAGCCCCTCAGTGCCGTTGGGTGGCTATAGAGCCCCGGGGGAGTTTTGAGCTGAGCTGAGCGTTGTGAGTCACAACGGGCCAGTACGTCAGCTCGTCGCACGGACCTCCTGCAGCAAGCTTGCGTGTCGCAAGTCAGGAGAGGAAGACATCCCCCCGACGTCAGGTTCTGTTCGTTGTGGCAATCGTCTACGACATCAAGGGGGGGGTTCGCGCTCTACCGCGCCGCAGCCGCCTGCCGGGCCGCGGCATGGTAGGAGCTCATTCGTAGCAGGCCGGGGTCTATCCAGGACGCCAGCGACATGTCCGTCCTGCCGTCGCCGCCGGGTGGACCTATGGCATACACGCGCCGCGCGGAGGACGCAGGCACGGTCAAGCGCACGTGGTCCACGCCGTGCTGCGGAGACGCGAACGTCCGCATGCGCCCCATGCCCGTCCGGAACGTTCCCTGCCCGTGTATGTCCGCCCCCAGCGGCCACTGCAGGTTCTGCGTGACGTGCATGCTCACCTCGTCGACCTGCGCTCATACAGGCACGAATCAGCATTTCTCTCGTCGAAAAGCTGTGAGCGATAAAAGAGAAGTGCGACGATGTTTTATGATGCACGTCAGCACCCACCGTCGTCGGCCAGTCCGCCTTCGCTCCGTTCCCAAAGCGACCGTTCTCCAAATCGCCGTGATACCACCGCCGCAGATCCTCCGCCGTCGGCGGGCCCTCCCCGCGACGATAGTGCGCGGCGTGCTCCCGCGCAGGGTCCAGTTGCCTGCCCCGCGGCCCCGTCGCGGCCTCATATTCCGCCCTCGCCGCCGCCCCCGGTTCTTCCCCGGGGCCCGGTACGCCGTCGACGCCGGCCAGCGCCTCGCGCGCAGCCTGCTCCGACACGAGCCTCGCCTGGTCGAGGTAGGACTCGGCGTCGTTCTGCGGGTCGCCGTCGCCCTGGCCTTGCCCCGCCACTCCTGGCACGTCCGGGAGCGGTGCGAGGCCCTCCGCGACCCGCATGGCCTGGAGATGCCGCAGGTAAGCAAGGTACATGTCCGACGACGGGCCCCAGGAGTCGACAATCTCTCTGAGTTCGTCCGGCGCGCCCTCTGCCACTACGTCCTTCGTTTTGAATCGCATCGAGTCGCCGGCCGAGTGCGGCGTCAGAATCGCCGAGTCGTTCTCGCTCGAGACCGACGGCGACACCGGCGGCGTCGCGTCCCTCAGCGCGAACTGCCAGCCCCCTCCGACCGGCCGCCACCCCACAACGATGCGCGGCCCCGGCCACGCCCGCCAAAGCTTCCAGTTCCGCACCTCCGTCACCGGCAGCCGCCGCCGAACCCCGACTCTCTGCGCACGCTCGTCCAGCTGCAGCGACGGCTGTTCCACCACCTTCGCGCCCTCGTTCGTTGCCGCCTGCACCAACGTCGACACGTGCGTCCAACCGCGGCCTGGCCGGCCGCCGGAGCCCCACCCGCGCGTCCGGTCCCCACCGCCCTCCTCCTGCTGAGCCTCGGCGCCCCCAGCGAGGTCCGAGACGGCGGACCCGGCGGCTCGGCCGCCCGGCGTGCGCGCGGCAGCAGCAGCGCGGTTCATGGCTTTGGTGGCGAGCTCGGCGCTCTCTTGCAGCGCGGCTTGGATCCGCGACCGCGCTCCGGGGCGCTGCTCGACGACCGGGTCGAGCGTGCGGGCGCCGAGCGTGGACGCGTGCCGCAGCACGCGCAAGGGGGAGTCTGGAACACTCCCCTGGCGGCCTGAGTCGAGCGTGACGGTCCGCGGGAGCGGCCGGGGGCCTGTGGGGGAAGCGCGTGAGAGCGCGGTGCGGCTCCGGGGCGTCGCGCCCGCCGCGCTGCCCTCAAGGGAGGATGCAGGGAGAAACGCGGGCCGCAGTGCGTTGAAGAAGGACGGGACGTTCTTCTTGGGACAGTGCATCGGGTAGGCGCACATCTCCGCCGTGATGTCCACGATGGTGCCCTTGTGGAGCGGCCACGTGCGCGTGAGGGCCTGCGGGCGCAGTGTGTGCGTGTTGGGTGTGTCATTGTGCAAGATGGCGAGCGTGCAGTCTGTGGCGTGGACGACGAGGGACGCTGACGGCGCGAGCGGTGTTCCTCGGGCAACGCGGCGTCGGGACCGGCGGATGGGCCCAGCAGGCGTGTTGCAAGGGGTGCGCAGAGGGCCAGAGCAGCGCGCGAGGCGTACCCGCAAGACGGCCTCGATCTGGCGCTCCGAGAAGGCCGGGAAGTGTCTTGTGAGGAGCATCTCGGCGTCGTCCCTGCAAGAATTCCGCCGAATCGGGGCAGGATGGGCGCACGTCGACGGCATGCAACAACGGACCGTGCGCGGCCACGGACGCACAGACGTCTCTGCGCCCCACTTTGTTGCATGAATCAGATGTTTTCGTGATGATGCGCCGTTTCGTGGCACGGAACCACCACTTTGGGGGTTTCTCGGCCGTATGGAGCTCACCAGTAAAGCAGGAGGGAAGCAGGCGTCTGCCAGTTCGGGGTCCTGCCCTTCGCGTTCTGCGGCGAAGCCAGTCGGCGGAGAATGTCGATGGCTAGGTTCCGGAGCTCTGAAAGGGACTGAACGGTCGCCATCCTGCACCCGCGCGCGCGCCAGCAGCGCTGTGCGAAACCGCCGCGCCCGAGCTTGTCGGGACCTCTGTGCGCAATAGAATGCAGATTCCGGCTTGCTAAGTTAAATGACATGCCGCTGCGCTGCGGGGATCACGCGAACGGCGACTGTGCAGACCGGCGTGGGCGGGGCCTCTGTCGGGGGGACTAGGGCCCGTGCGGGGTCTGACGAGCGGCGGTGGAGGCTCTCATCGGCCCAGGCGCTTTGTGTACGAATGGAGTACACGCACGTGGCGAACACAACTTAGTTGCATGCACTCACAAGTGCCAGGGACGGCTGCTGAAACACGCAAGGCACGACTTGGCGCTCGATCACCATCATAAGCTCGTCAAGGATCAAAACCGTTGAAGGATTCGGTCATCATCCATCTAAGAGGCATCCAGCTGCGCCCAAACGCGAGTGATGCGGCGTACCGTGGGCGTGCTGCCTCTCCACACGTAGCGCTAGACCAGACCGAACCTGCGCGGTCCCGGGCCGTACGGGTGATCACGGCATGGCCGAGTGGACACAGACAACGAAGTCGACGGCAGGGAAGCTGCCGCAATGCGCCACGAGGGCTGCGCCGGGGGACGCGAGTTGGGAGCAGAGGCTCAAGGAGGAGCTGGCAGCCATGATTCAGTATATCAAGATGAACAAGGCGAAGGACGAGCACTGGTTCACCGTGGATCCGCCGCTGGAGGTGCGTTGGCTCGCGCGCGGGGCAACATGTGGCGACTGTACATCGCTGAAACATATCTGCCTTTCAATCCAATCGTGTGCTTATGATTTTGCTTGAACAGTCGGCACTTCTCGCATGGCGCTCGGTATCGCGGCGCAGAACGGTGCCAAGTGGTCGGGGACGTGCTGGATGATGCACGAGTACCAGAGATATGAGTTTCGGTGGCAACTTGAATTAGGGATCTCCTATCCAGCGGCGCCCCCCGAGATCGAGCTGCCGGAGCTCGAGGGCAAGACCGCGAAGATGTACAGGTGAGTCGCGTCGATCCCACGCCGTCGAATTATGCGCGCCCGCCACGCCAGTCGACCTACGGCCCATGCGCGTGCCGCCACCTGAACGCGACTGCAAGCAGCGCTCTGCAGCACCTCACGGCCTGCAATCGCACGACCGCAGGGGCGGACGCATCTGCACCACGATACACTTCGACCCCCTGTGGCGTCGCAACGTCCCTGCATTCGGGCTCGCACACGCCTTCTGCCTTGGACTTGGTCCCTGGATGGCCGCCGAAGTCCCTTACATGGCCGGCCTCGGCCTCATACAGCCCGTCTCAGGCACATCTGGCAGCTAGCCGGCCCCAATAAGCAAGGTGCGCTATCGCGGCGCTGGCGCGTGTCACAAGGTGGGCATCGCGTGCGGGCGACGCTCCCCGGCGCCGCCTGCCGGTGCAAGGTACACGGAGAGTCAAAAACGGAGGCGCAGCGCACGGTGGAGGGCCGCTCAGCGCTCCCCACGCGGCACGTGCGCCTGCGGCGGAGATGATACGGGGCAGCGCTGCTCGCTCGCTCCGAGCAGCGCGGCGCGCGGCCTCGCGCGCTCAGAAGATGCCCAGGGCGGTGAACGCGGCGAAGACGAGGAAGAGGCTGCCGCCGATGATGCCGACCTGCTTCTCGCTGATGTGGCGCGAGATGAGCGCGCCGCCGACGACCGCGATGACCGTCGCGACGAAGTGCCCCAGGATCGCGCCGAGCGTCACGCCGACGGGGTTCTGCGCCGCGCCGAGCGCGACCGTCGCGAGCATCGACCGGTCGCCCCACTCGGCAACGAAGATGAGGCTGGCCACGTCCCAAAAGGCCCCCAGGGGGGTCTTGGCCTTGGCCTTGCCGCGCTTCCCGAGCTCCTCCTGCGCGTCCTCGTACTCGCCCTGGTCGTCGTCCTCCGCGGCCAGCGCCCCTGCAGAAACAACCGGGAGTGTGAAGGAAATGTTGATCATGATTCGACGAGTGCGGTTGCACGCAACCCGCCTGGCAGTGCCACGGCGTGCGTGCAGTCTCGCGTGCGGCGGAATGGACAGGGCGTCGGTGAAGTGCCACGTCCGCGCGAGCAACCATTCGGGGCTGTTTGCTGCAACTCGAGGAATCCCGACTGTCCGTACCTCGCAGCGTCTTGAACCCGAACCACACCAGCAGCGCGACCGAGAGCCATTCTCCGATCGGCGCGGACGTGCGCAGCGCGTCGGGAACGTTCCGGAAGGCCGCGCCGATGACGACGCTGATCACCGTCATCAGGGACAGGGACGCCATGGTGCCCGCGAGGGTCAGCGCGCGCCCGAGGTCCATCGCGAGCAGAGCTGCACGAACGGTGAACGCGCGTGAGGGGTTCGAAGCGCGCTCGCGGAGCGGGGGGGCGCGACCGCGGAGTGCAGAGCACAGAGCAAAGAGGGCGCCCCACGCGGAATCCTCGCGGAACATTGCCTGTTGAATGAAGGAGATGGTAACGAGGACGATGTTCGTTGTGTGAGGGGGGCGACAGGTTTCGCGAGGCCGGGAACGCGGCGCTTTCGCCGTGGAGGTGCTGAGCGCCGCTCTTTGGTTCACGCGTGCCCTGCGCGTCCCTCGCGGCGTGAAGTCTGCGCGGGCGGCGCGTGGAGAACGCACCGGCGATGAAGAACGTCTTGTCGCCGATCTCCGAGAACAGAATGAGCCCTAAGGCCGCAGTGAAGCCTGATCGCCCCAGCACGTCCCGCAGCACCGCCATGGATCCTCCGCTGACTACGTACGCCGCCGCGCCCGCCGCGGCCAGAAGGAACACCCCTCCCATCGCCATCCACGACATAGCATCCCTGCACGCGCATTCCGGCAGCCGTCGCGGCGTCAGCGGGCGCTGCGCGCCTACAGCAGAGGTGGGCCTGGGGGCCGCGTTCCTCCTTCGCTGCGACTCCGCAACGGCGCTTCGATGCCCCCGGTGCAAGATATCATCTCATGTGATCGTATTCTTCGTGAACTAGGCCCCTGAACGCGACGCTCGCGCGGCGCAGCCGGCCCCGGGCCATCTAGGCTGCGCAGGGATCGGGGTGCAATTGTGGCGCAGCGGGGCCGCACCTCTTCTTCTGGTCTGCGTCGTCGTCGTCGTCCGCGCGCTCTGCCATGACTGACGACCCGCGCGCCGTGACTACGCGCCGCGACGCGGCCTGCTGCTCCGAACATAGCGGTGATCGACCCCCCACGCGGCATCGAGCTGCTGGGGCGCTCAGGGGCCGGGCAACGGCGGCCTGAGGAGCTGCAGCGACGCGCTGCAGGGGACGGTGGAGCGCCCCGCAGGCATGCGGGGCGTGCGCGAGCATTCTGTCCCTTGCCACCACAACTCGCGCTCACGGAGCTGTCTCGCTACACCCAGGCCGAATATTAGGACGCAGGGCCGGCTGAGATGCAGTTCTGTCGGCCGCGCGCGCTCCGGCGACCGTTCCAACCGCGGCGCGCTGCGGCCCGCGGCCTCACTCAGCAGGCACGGGGGTGTGCCGAGAGGCGACATGGGGGCTCGAGACGATGTGCGGGCGGCACTGTGGGCTCCTCGTGGTGCAGATACGTGGCTTGGAGGATCGTTGCGACGCCCGCGTCTCGCCCTGGGCGGGTGGGAACAGCGCATTGAGAGCGCGGTGTAGGGGGGGGCAGAATGGTTTGTTGGTGTCCGCACGGTCGCGTCGTGGCGATGCGGGCCACAACGAGGCCGACGTTGTGGCGCTTGATCGCCCGGGCGGCGACGTCGAAGTGCGAGAGAGCGCCCGGCGCCGTGGCAAGGCAGCAGCTCACAAGCTCGCAGCGGCCCGGAAACAGCCCAATTGCGACGTGCAAAGTGCTCAGGTCACGCATCACCTCAGGATCTCGCGAGGCAAGGTGTATGGCTTCGGCAACAGGTGCCCACGCGCGTCCCCAGACCGCAACGTCACACAGCTCATCTCCCCGCGCAGCGCCTGGCCAGACCCTCACCTGCGACGAGCCCGCCCTGTGTGAATTCATGCAACACCGAATTCCGCGCAAGCCGGACCCATTCCCACTTCATGCACCCCCCTCCCCGCAACCTCAGGCCGTCAGAGCGGCTCGCTCGACGTTGGCGCCTCGGTCGATGACTTCCCCGCCGAGAGCGAGAGCTTGCTCGGACGGCTGCACGAGAGCGCCTCCGCTGCAGCGGCCGCGGACGAGGACGCCGGCGGCTCGCAAGACAGCGCCGGTGCTGTCGCGGATGACATTGGCATCATGCTACACCCCGTCCCGCTCGACCCGGGCCTGTACCTCGTCGCCACGCCCATCGGCAACATGGAAGACATCACCCTCCGCGCCCTCAAGGTCCGCGCCCCGCGATCCTCCCGAGAGAGCCCCCCCCCACACTTGTGTTGCGTTTTGCCCACACTCCCCCCTGCCTGACACGCCTCGCACGCCCCGCCGCGCCCGCAGACGCTCGCGGCGGCAGACATCGTGCTCTGCGAGGACACGCGCACGACGCGGGTCCTGCTGGGCAGATATGGCATTCGCGCCGAGCGCCTCTTGAGCTATCACGAGCACAACCGCGCCCAGCGTGGAGACCAGGTCCTCCGCGAGCTGCGCGCCGGCAGATCCGTCGCGCTCGTCAGCGACGCCGGCACGCCGGGCGTGAGCGACCCGGGCGCCGACCTTGCGGCATCGGCGGCGGGCGCCGGGGTGCCTGTGGTGCCTGTGCCCGGGGCGTGCGCGGCGGTGTCCGCGCTCGTGGCGTCGGGCCTCCCCACGGACGAGTTCACGTTCGTCGGGTTTCTGCCGAAGAAGGCGGGCCAGCGCGCGAGCCGGTTGCGGGATCTGCGGGCCTACGGGGGGACTCTCGTGTTCTACGTCTCCCCGCACAACGCGGCCGCGGTGCTCGAGGACGCGGCGAGGGAGCTCGGCGAGGCACGGAGGTGCTGCCTGGCGCGCGAACTCACCAAGGCAAGCATACACCCCCCGATGACTGACAAGTGACGTTTGACTCCCCCCCGCGCGTGCGCGCGCCGGCCTGCGCGTCGCGAGCCCGTCGGTGATCGTCCGAGGCGTGTCCGGGTGCGAGGTTCGCAGAAATTCGAGGAGCACGTTCGCGGGAGCCTCGGTGCGCTCGCCGCGCGCATTGCGGCGGACCCAGAGCGGCCGCGCGGCGAGCTGACGCTCTGCATCGAGGGCTGCAGCGCGGACGAGGCCGAGCGGCTGCGCATCGCGGCGGCGGCGGCGGCCGGCGGCGTCGCGCCCGGCGGGGAGGAGGGGGGTTTGGAGGATCTGATACGAGGAGGGTTGGCGGCCGGGAGGGGGGTGTCGGAGGTGGCGAAGGACGTGAGCAAGCAGACGGGGGTGCGCAAGAAGCAGGTGTACGCGCTGGCGCTGAAGTTGGCGCAGACGGAACCCCACGGGACGCAGTAAGCAAACTGCAACTGTGTGTAGGTTCGGCGTCAAAATGGGGGTTGGCTGTGACGCGGGGCGGTCGAGGCTCGAGCGGCGGCTTGCGCAGGTGGCGTGGTGCACGGGGGGGCGCGTGCGGGGCCGGGCAAGGTGCGGTGACATGCGGGCGGTGCCTAGCTAGGCAAGGTGGGCCTCGGAACGGCGAAGGGCTCGCGTGGCGTCGAGGAATCTGCGGGTGATTCGACGGGGAGAATGATTGGTGTTCACCAGGCCGTTCGGCGAAACACGGCCGTGCTCGCTGTGGGCAGCCCACTGTCGGCCTCTCTCGTGCGACCCCCCCATGGCGCCCGTTGAGCGGCGACAACGGCCGGCCGCGCGGGCGCTGCACAGCAGGTACTTCTCGTTTTGTTTCTGGCTCGGCGCCGTGCGTAACCATGGCCATCTGCGCCGGCATCGGCCGCGCACCTGGCACTTCCTGCCCAGGGAGCGCCAGTGGCCGCCTCCAGAGCCTCCGGCCCTCGAAACCCGCATGCACGCCGAGGCGATGCTCCCTCCTCGCGCGTGCGCGCTCGGAGATGGCGAATGACCAGACAGGTCCGCCCCCGCACCCCGCAACTGAGCCCTCCCGCACTGCTGCCGTCCCGTCGTGCGCCGGAGGCGCGCGGAACGGGCACGATGAAGGCCGCCAGAGACGCAGTAGTTCCGTTCGTGCACGCTGGCAGCCTCTCGACCCCGCCGGACCGCTCGAGTCGGCCGTCGGGACGTGATTGGCCCGCACTCCCGGAGCAATCCATAATGTCGCGCAACCGGCGCAGCCCCGCGGTTTCCGTGCCCAGACTCCGGCGCTTCGGCTTCCGCCCCATCTACTCGTCCAATTGCCCAGAGGGCGTGCAACGCTCCGGGCCCCGCGAACAGCGCGCGGCTGGTGCTAGTGGACGGGTGCATCTACCGCGAAGCACTCCGTCCCAACGTCACCCAGCTTTCGTTTCCTCATCGCACCTCCCGCCCGTCTTCCATGCGTCTCCCTCGCCGAACCGCTGCCGCCAGCGTCCCGGAACACCCCGCGATGACGACCCCGGGCCGCGACGCCGGAGCCCACCATCTCTTTCCGTCGCCGCTGATCGGTTGGCCCCGCCGCACGCCCCCGCAGCGCTCGGCATGGACGAGGTCACGCGCCTCCGCGAGACCCTCGAGAGCCTCCGTCGCGAGAACGCCGAGCTGAAGACCCAGCTCACCTCGCTGCGCACGCGCACGGGCACCCTGACCGACGCCGGCGCGAGGCCCGCCGCCCAGGCGGCCCCGGCGCCCGTCCAGGAACCCCAGGAACTCCAGGAGGCGCCCCCGGCCCCCGCGGAGCCCGCGGCCCCGGAAGCGGACCCCTACCAGATGGACTCCGAGGCCCTCGTTGCGGCAATCAGCCGAGGGATCGCCTGGCCCCAGCCCGGCGAGGCCTTCTGGGAGCGCCCTGCGCGCACGGAGCCGATGCCGTTCTCCGTTGGCGGCGAGGACGAGTTCGGGCCGCCGCCCGTGGACGCGCGCCGGATGAGCATTGTGCACCTGACGGCGGAGATGGCCCCTTACGCCAAGGTCGGCGGCCTCGGCGACGTCGTCACGGGCCTCAGCAAGGCGTGCCTCGACCGCGGGCACGACGTCGCGGTGATGATGCCCTACTACCAGTGCCTCCCGGACGACAAAATCGAAGACCTGCGCCACGAGCGCGACATCCAGGTCCCCACGGGCAAGTTCTGGGACGGCGTCATGCAGCAGAGTGAGCTCCCCGCCACCCCCTACCTCCCGGCTGCCAGCACCGACCTCGCGCCGACCCCGCGGATCCCCCGCGCCCGCGATATCGCCCCGTTTTCGGTCCTCATGTTTCAACTCGCGTCGAAAGCGCCCGCACGCGGCCTCCCGCTTCGCCCGCAGGCAACCTGCGCACGTCGATCTGGCGCGGGAAGATCGTGGGCATCCCCGTGATCCTCCTCCGCCCGGACTGGGACCAGACGAACCTCTTCCGGGGCGACCGCATCTACGGGGGGAGTTACAACGAGACCGAGGCGTACCTGTTCTTCGTGCGCGCCAGCCTCGAGTACCTCGCGCAGATCGGCGTGTGCCCGGACGTCCTGCACGCCCACGAGTGGCAGTGCGCCGCCACGGGGATGCTCTACTGGGAGCACTTCTGCAACCATGGCCTCAACGGGGCGCGCGTGGTGCTGACCGGTGAGCGCGACGCGACGCCCGCGCCCTGCTCGCATCGCACCTTGCGCGGAAACGAGGAACGGCGTTCTTGCCCGGAAGCGCCTGCTCTATCGGGAAGAAGGAGGCGTTTTTTTTTTTCCAGAGTTGCTGTTCGGTCGCTTGGCTCCGCATCGAGCCTTGCTACCTCGTTTGCGTGGACGGCACAGTGCCGGAAGGGGTCGGGGCGGAGCGCCGCAGCCGCGCGAGATCTGGGTGCCCCGCACGGCGTCCTGCAGAGCTGCCCGACAGGACTCGTTGAGAGGCCAACCGTATCCGGCTGCACAGACATACACGGTCGGCCTCTCGCCGAGTTTCCTGGTGCCGGGCAGCTCTGCAGGCTGCTCTCCGAGGCGCGCAGATCTCGATCGGCTGCGGCGACCGCACCGCACGAGTTCTCTTGCACTGGGGAACTACGACCCTTGCGTAGTGGCTGTGCCGGACTGACACGGCGTGCGTGCGTGTCGCCGTGCAGTGCACAACATGGCCAACTCCGGCGAGGTGCGCCAGGACGAGTTCGCCGCCACGGGCCTCCCCGGCGAGATGTTTGCCAGCGTCGACAAGGCCCTGGACGAGCGCACCATCGGACACAACCCCGAGCGCCTCAACCTCCTCAAGGGCGGCATCATCTACTCGAACTTCGTCACGACCGTCTCGCCGACCTACGCCACCGAGACCATCGAGAGCGGTGCGCCCCCGCCCTCCACGCGCCCACGCAGACCAGGCGCTACCACGCATTCTTCGATTCTCGTTCCTCCGGGGCTCGGGGCGCGATGCGAAGCGCCTTGCTGGCCCGGCCGTGCTCCCTGCAGGCGCCGCGGGGTTCCTGGGCTCGACGCTCGCGCGCACGGACGTGCGCGCAAAGTACGCCGGCGGCCTGAACGGGATCGACCAGCAGCTGTGGCACCCCCCGCGCGACGACGTGCTCCCCGCGACCTTCTCCGGGGTGGGCATCTGGGAGGGCAAGGCGCTCTGCAAGCGCTACCTCCAGGTCCGCAAACCCCCCCTCCCCTGACACACACAAGCGCGTAAATGGCGCGCAAGACAGCACGCATGCACGCCCAGCTCGCGTCTCTGCGTCCGACGCTCGCGCCTGCGCCTTGTGCCGTCCTGCAGATGGGCCTCGGCATGAACGTGGACCCGAACAAGCCGCTGGTGGCGTGCGTGACGCGTCTGGTGCCCCAAAAGGGCATCCACCTCATCGAGCGTGCGGTGCGGCGCACGGCCGAGACGGGCGGGCAGTTCGTGCTCCTGGGTACGGGCCACGCGGACGGCGGGTTCCGCGGCATGGCCGAGCACGAGTTCAACGGGTCAAAGGATGTACGGCTCATGCTGTTGTACAGCGAGGCGCTGTCGCGGCTGATTTACGCGGCGGCGGACATCGTGGTCGTGCCGTCGATGTTCGAGCCGTGCGGGCTGACGCAGATGATCGCGATGCGGTACGGCGCGCTCCCGCTTGTGCGCGCGACGGGCGGGCTGGCGGACACCGTGATCGACGTCGACGAGAACGGTGCGCGCCCGACTGCCCCGCACACATGCACCTCGGCTGTCCACGCCCTCCTCGCGTGGCGGCAGAAGGGCGAGTCGATACGCGCGTGCTTGGCGCAGAGCTTCACTGCTTGCGTTGTGTGTGCGTGTGTGTTGTGCAGCTGACGGCAACGGGTTCTCGTTCCAGGGCACGGACGAGGGCGCGCTCGACCACGCGCTGTACCGTGCGTTCAAGCGGTACCACGAGCAGCCGGAGTGGTGGCAGGAGCGGGCCAAGGCGAACATGGCGCTGGACTGGTCTTGGGACACCAGCGCGGACTCGTACCTCGGCATCTACAAGAAGCTCCGTGGCTACTGAGCGCCGCGTCGCCCCGGGGCCCGCAGCAGAGCCGGACATATATCGCACCACGCTGGCGCTGCGCATCTCTGGCTGCGGGCCCGCTGGACGCGGCGGGGCACGTGCGCCCGCCCTGTACGTTGTGAGAAATTGTGAGCCGAAGATACGCGCAAGATATGCCAGCTCGGCGCGTCGGTCGCTCGGCTGTCGTTGCGAGCAGTCACACGCCAGCGACGCATACATGCGTGCGGCGCCGCGTCAGGATTGCGCGAAGTCCCGGACGGCCTGGAGCCACGCGGTGTACTCCTTCTGCTCTTTGTCCGCGAGCAGCTCGAACAGGTACGGCACGAAGTCCTGGTCGACCCCGCGGCTGATCAGCAAATTGTGCAACGCAGATTGCAATTCCTCGTCTAGCTCGTCGAAAATCGGTCCCTCGTACGGCTCGACGTCGTCCGCGAGCGGCAGGCCGCCCGCGGGCTCGCAGGAGACCGTGAGGATCTCGAGGTCCCCGGAGAAGGCGCGGCAGTCGAAAACCAAAGACTGCGAGCCGCGCGTGATGGTGGTTGTAAACGGCATGGCGATGTTGTGGTCCACGCCCTTCAGATCGTCCTCCGCCTGGCCCTCCTCCTCAACCTCGAACGGGTCCTCGTCGCCCCTGCGGCGGAAACGCCGTCGCGATGCAGAAAGAAGATGCTGAACGAAACAAGTAAAGGAAGACAGGAAACCGAGACTCAGGAAGCACAGAAGGGTTCGGAGGAGGGCGGGTGGCTCACCGCGTCGCGCTGGCCGTGATCTTGATCGTCTCGTCGCCGAGCTTGCGCGTGAGCACGACGCGGCAGTTCCCGGGCGCCATGGACAGTTCGAATCCGTTGGGCGGCGCGTGCGACACAGCCTCAGGACTCTGGTAGTCCCCCTCGTACTTGATCTCCTTCTGCAGCACGTTCGCCAGGTCCTCGCGCGCGCTCTCGAAGTCCTCCGGCAGGTCCGTCGCGTAGCCCCTGCGCCGCGCGAGAGCCAAAGGTCAACGTACACGTCAACGTAGCGACGGCGAACAAAGCCCAGCACGAGCACGAACCCGCGACGCCGTTGGCGTGTGGCTCCGCACGGACGGCGGTGCTGTCTGACGGGGTGCGGTCGCTCGCGGGCCGGACCTGGCGTGGCGCATCGGGTTGACGGCAGGTGCGAGGGACCTCAGGGCGAAGGACCGGGTTGCGGTCGTGGCCGCGGCGTCAGCGGCGACCGAGCTGACGATGCCTGCGGTGTGCGCGTTGGGGGCACGTTGGTCGGCCGAGCGCGCGCGCGGAGGGATGCGAGCGGAAGGGAGACCCCGCAGTGGTGCGGTCCGCGCCCGCGCGTTCCCGCGCGCGAAGGCCAGCGAGCCGTGCTGGATGGCGACTGCTAGGTGTTGAGGACTTCGGTGAGGCTGGTGGCGTGGCTGCATCGCGCCAGCCCCGCGCGTGAGAGCCGCGGCCCCGAAGCTGCAGGGTTGTCTCAGGTTTCGCGCGGACATCGAGTGCGCGCGAGAGACATGGGGCTGAGACGGTTTCCAAGTAACGGAGGACGGCTTCGCGGTGCTGGGACACGGCGCATCGCGCCGCTGCAGGCCAGGGCGCCGGCTGGAACCTTCTTGGCAACGTCTCGTGGGTCGCCACGGGGCGCTTGCGGCGATACGAGTGTTGAACGACGCGCGCGCGTGGTCGCACAGCTAGTCTGAAGCGACGGCCGCGAAGGAGAGTGGGCCCGTGTGCCGTGAGGCCGTGCCGAGCGCACCTTCAGCTCCAGCGCCACGCATCTGCCCCAGCCGGGCAAAGCGTCCGAGAACACGGCTCGCGCGGCGCATCCTGTCGACAGCGGTGACTCCACGCATGACCTCGGGGCGGCGCTCGCGGGGGCAAAGACCGCTCGGATGTGGCTGCGCAGACCGCCTGACGCGCAGAGGAGCGTGCCGGAGTCCTCTCCGGGCTGAGGCGGCGTTGCTGGGGCACGATACGGAGCGAAATCGATCGATCCGATCACTTGAAGTTCTGAACGACATCCAGCGATAACGAACGACGAGTTCTTTGACCCACAGCGCTGGAGGCAGGCGAGAGACGGGTGACCTCTGTCTTCGCGCGCCTCGTGTGTGCTCTGCGGCGGTGGTCGGAGTCGTCTGGACCCTGTCAGAGGGGCTTCACTATCAGGTCGAGGTGATGGTGAGGCGGTAGCAGTGAGGCATCGTCCAAGGGCGAACGGAGGGGAGGTTGAGAGCCGCAGTCGTGGCTGTTTGGACGGGCTCCCGCACCAGCCATGAAGTTCCAACTCGAGGGCCTGACAGTGGTCTTTCCGTATGAGTTCATCTATCCTGAGCAGTACAGGTGCGTATAGTGTGTCTGCAGTCGGCATTTCGCGGAAACAATCCAGGGAGCTCCCTCCGTCCCGACGCCGCCAGAGCCTCCGCCGCGGAGCACGCATGCGCGCAACCCCGTGACACGATGAAAATGCTCTTCCTCACCGTTCGCGCAGGTACATGCTCGAACTCAAGCGCTCGCTCGACGCCAAGGGCCACTCGTTGCTGGAGATGCCCACGGGGACTGGCAAAACCATCACCATCCTCGCGCTGGTGACGTCGTACCAGCTCGCGCACCCCGAGGTCGGCAAGCTCGTCTACTGCACGCGCACGGTGCCGGAAATGGAGAAGGTGCTCGAGGAGCTTCGCGAGCTCATGGCGTACAGAAAGAAAGTCATGCCAGAACAACACGCCGAGATCCTCGCCCTGGGTCTGTCGTCGCGGAAGAACATGTGCGTGCACCCGCGCGTCCAGGACGGCAGCTCCCGCGAGAGCGTCGACTCCGAGTGCCGCAAGCTCACGGCGTCGTGGGTGCGTGAGCGCGCCGAGCGCGGTGTGCCGAACGTCGAGCTGTGCGACTTCTTCGAGGAGCACGAGCGCCGCGGAGGCGAGGCGAAGCTCCCCGCCGGCGTCTACACCCTGCAAGACCTCCAGGTTCGCCCGTCAGACTCATGAGTGTCGCCAAAAGAATGATTTCGTCTATATCTGATCGCGGGGTTGCGTCTGACGGGATGTGCGTGGCCGCGGACGCGTGCGCAGGACTACGGGCGGGAGCAAGGCATGTGCCCGTACTTCCTCGCGCGGCACATGATATCCTACGCGAACGTCATCGTTTACAACTACCAGTACATGATTGATCCGAAAGTGTCCAACATGGTCTCGCGCGAGCTCGAGAAGGAGAGCATCGTGGTGTTCGACGAGGCCCACAACATCGACAACGTCTGCATCGAGGCCCTCTCCGTCAACCTCCGCCTCAACGCCCTCAACTCGGCCTCGAGCAACGTCGCACGCCTGCGGGAGAAAGTCGAGGAGGTGCAGGCCCGCGACGCCGCCAAGCTCCAGGCCGAGTACGAGCGCCTCGTGCAGGGCCTGCGCCAGCACGCCGCGGACGCCGGGGGCGCGGGCAGCGGCGGCCAGCGCACGGCTGGCGAGGACCTGCTCGGGGCGCCAGTGCTGCCCGAGGACGTGCTGAAGGAGGTGCCGGGGAACGTCAGGAAAGCGAAGCAGTTCGTGGGGTTCCTGGACCGGCTCGTGCGGCACCTGAAGCGCCGGCTCGACGTCAACTCGGTGGAGGTGGAGGCGCCGGGGGCCTTTGTGTCTGACCTGCAGAGCAAGCTCGGCAGAGACATGAACGCGCAGGCGCTGCGGGTGTGCTACGAGCGGCTGCAGAGCCTGATGAAGACGCTGGAGATCGAGGACAACGACCAGTTCATGGCGATTCAGCTCGTGGCGGACTTTGCGACGTTGGTGGGGACGTACGCAAAGGGCTTCGCGCTGATTATCGAGCCCGTGGACGACAGGACGGGGCTGCGGGACCCGATTCTGCAGCTGTCGTGTCTGGACGCGTCGCTCGCGATGCGGCCCGTGTTCCAGAAGTACCAGTCGGTGGTGATTACGTCTGGGACTCTGTCGCCGCTGGATTTGTATCCGAGGATCCTCAACTTCAACCCCGTCGCGATCCACTCGTTCGAGATGACGCTGACGCGCGACTGCATCTGCCCCGTGATCCTCACGCGCGGCAGCGACCAGGTCGCGGTGTCGACGCGGTACGAGACGCGCGACGACAAGACTGTGGTTCTCAACTACGGGCGCATGCTTGTGGAGCTGGCAAAGGTGGTCCCCGACGGCATCGCGTGCTTCTTCGTGTCGTACATGTACATGGACCAGGTGGTCTCGCAGTGGCAGATGGACGGCATTCTCGACGAGCTCATGGAGCACAAGCTGGTGTTTGTGGAAACGCAAGACGTCGTGGAGACCACCCTGGCGCTGGACAACTTCCGCCGCGCGAACGACCGCGGCCGCGGCGCCGTGTTCCTCTCCGTCGCGCGGGGCAAGGTGTCCGAGGGCATCGACTTCGACAACCACTACGGGCGCTGCGTGGTGATGATTGGCGTGCCGTACCAGTACACGCAGTCTCGGATCCTGCGCGCGCGGCTCGAGTACCTCCGCGAGACGTTCCAGATCCAGGAGCAGGACTACCTCACCTTCGACGCCGTGCGGCAGTCCGCGCAGTGCGTCGGCCGCGTCATTCGATCGAAGGCTGACTACGGCATGATGGTCTTCGCCGACAAGAGGTACCAGCGGCACGACAAGCGCGGGAAGCTGCCCGGGTGGATCACGTCGCACCTCAAGGACGCGCACATGAACCTGTCCACGGACATGCTCGTCCAGGTGGCGCGCGAGTTCATGCAAGAGATGGCACAGCCGTTCGATCGCGGCATCGTGGGGAAGTCGCTGCTCAGCGCGGAGCAGGTGGCGGCGATGGACACCGCTGCGGCGCCGCAGACGGCCATGAACGGCGACGCGCAGGCGGCGGGCGTCGCGTAGCTGCTCGGCGCATCGGCATCACACCTCGCACTGCGCGCCCACCGCGCGCGTGCGCTGTGAGCGGGTACGACGCGGCGGATTTAAATATTCAGCGGCATGTTGAGGTCGAGGTGGTGCGAGCTCGACAGCTGGCACTTCTGCGCCTGACTCAGCGTCATCGGCCCCCCCAGCGCCGCACCCACAACAGCGCCCAAGAGTCCCCCCCCGATCCTGTCCGCCCCGCCCGACCCCGTCGCCTGCTTCAGCGCCCGCGACATCGCCACGAGCAGCTGCCCGTAGCTCTGCTGCACGCCCCCAGCCTCGATCGCCTGCACCAGGCAGTACGTCGCCGCCCCAGTCGCGACCCCGCGGGCCAGGCGCCGGGTGTCCGCGGCCGTCTGGTGGTCCTGGCACGCGCCGAACTGCACCACGAGCCCGCCCTGGTGCTGCGGCATCCCGCGGCGCCCCTCTCGCACCCAGTGCACCTGCCCGCGCTCCTTGCGGGCGATGTACGGCAGGTCCATCGCGGAGCCGCTGTGGCACGCGTCGACCACCGCGTGGAGCTTCGCGCCGTACGGCAGCGGGCGCACGAGCAGCCGGTGGAGCTCGTCGTCCACGATGACCCCCGCGCGGTCATGGTCGAGGGGGAGCAGCGCCTCGTCGTAGCCGTCCGTCTCGTCGCCGTTCCGGTCGCGGACCTGCGGGTTTGCTCGGGCGAGAAAGCTGAGGCGCCGGGGCAGGGCGCCGGGCACGGGCAGCGTGAGCGAGCTGACGTCATGTCGATGTGTGCAAAAGTGCGAAGAAATGATGATTGAACATCGAACTAGGTGGCTGGGCGCGCCACGAGACGGCACAGGCTCGTCTGGCTGTGTGTGAGACCGCTGGACGGCTGTTTCGTGGAGTGGGGGCTGGGCCGCGCACCTGCGTGCCGTGCCCCGAGAAGGAAAAGAACAGGCTGTCCCCCGGCTGGACGTCCTGCATGAGCCACCCGATGGCCGTCATGATGTTGCCGCGCGTGGGCACCAGGCGCGGGTCCTGCGCCCCGTCCTGGAGCAGCACCATGTCGCTCTCGGGGAACCCGAACTTGCTGACCAGTAAAAAGTGCAGGAACTTGGCGTCGTTGACGCATCCGCCGAGCTGGTGCCGCGTGCCGTTGTAGTTGCAGCCGATGAGGACCGCGCGCCGCCGCGGAGGGCGGCCCGCTCCCCCACCGTGGGCGTGCGGGGGGGTTGGGTGCTGGTAGTGGCTGTGGTGAGGGGCGCTCTGTGGTGGCGCGTGGTGGGCGTGCGGCATCGCGGGTGGTGCCTGGTTCAGCTGAGGATAGCTGGGCTGGGGCGGCGGGGCAGAAGAGAAGCCGCCTGGGGCGTTGTAGCCGTATGTAGGTGCGCTGGCGCCGGTCGCGGGAGCGCCTGGGTACGGCGAGGGGAAGGGGTTCGAGGGCGCGGAGGGATACGGGTCGCTAGCTCCAGGGTACGGCGGCGCGCTCGGGTACGCTGAGCCCGAAGGCGGGTATGGAGAGGCGCCCGGGTATGGGGTGCTTCCTGGGTACTGCTGGCCTTGGGAGGGGGCGCCGTAGGTGCCGCCTCCGGGCGGTGGCTGGCCCCACCCGCCGCTCGACATTCTGTTCCGGTCGCCGAAAGTACCGAAAGTGCGTAAGAAGGGCTGGAAGGGCCTTGTGCGGTGGCGCGCTGGCAAGAGGACGCGGGGGTGCGGGCCAGGGACGCCAGTGCCGAATTGGGTGCGTGTCTGAAGAAGATACTGCAACGAACGACCGTCTGTGAGCGTTGAACGCACGCCAGCGCCATTGACCGCGGCGAGACACCGCGCAGTAGAACAGCTGGAGATCAATGGCCTGCGTCAGGGCTGCCTGCTTGTACCGGCGAGGGCGGGGCGGCGCCGCGACGACACGGGCTCGCCCTGCACGCCAGTCGCAGTCCGCGGACAAACGCGCACGGTCCTGCGCATGGTTCAAACAACGTCAACAGCTGCAGATCAAGAACACAACTATTAATATCACTGCAACATCTGGCCGACCAGCACTGCCCTTGCGCCGCACACGCCAGCCGCGAGACCTACCAGCCGCAGCGCCCTATCTCTTGCAGAAAGTCACAGTCGCGCCGCTGAGGCGTCCACGCACACCTCGGTGCTAGGCACCACCCCTTGCTATGCGCGTGCCGCCGCATCGCGAACCCAGCTCTTTGCCTCGCCGCCGTCGCTCACTTGCTCTTCTTGGCCTCGGCGGGAGCCTCGTCGACCCAGGGCTGCACGTCCTCCGGGCACAGGCACGGGCGGTCGACGAGCTTCTTTCCGCGCTTGGCTACGACCTTGAGGGTCGCGAACGCGACGCCGAGCGGCACGAGGACGTGCTTGGCGACGAACACGAGGTCCTCGACCGACGGCAGCCTGAGGCTGTCGACCGGCAAGCGCGCCGCAAGGCACGCGCGAGCGACTGCATACGCGACCGCGGCGCCCGCCACGAGGAGCAGCGGCGTCGGCGAGCCCTTCTGCTTGTCCGGGAAGCGCCTGCCGTTGACCAGGCGGAACCTGCACCAGATCACGCGCCGCGCGTGCGATGAGACCCGTGTCGGGGGGTGGGGGGGTAAAAGTGGGGTCGCTTCCGGCCAAGGCGGGCGGAGAGGGGGGCAGCACCTGCCGGAGAAGAGGTCGAGCGCATCCTGCTTCGTTCCGTCCGCGAAGTTGTTCAGGTAGTACCGTTTCAGCGACTTGTACCCGTCGTCCGCAAAGCCCATCAGCGTCCGCTTCCCCGTCCGCACGAACCCGGACTTCAGCGCGCCCGTCCCCGCGTACTGCGTCGAGATCGCGTCCCCTGCGCACGCACAGCACGCCCGCACGGCCAGTCAGGCCAGAACACGCCTCCGCCCGCACGTACAGCTCGAGCGCAGGCAGCGCCGGGCCTGCGGCCGCTACGGGGCGCGTCTGGGCCGTGGTCGCGCACCGTGGTCGGCCCAGAGGCAGCGCAGCTTGCGGTAGAGCTTCGGGTGCTCGTCTTCGAGGCGCGCCTCGGCGTTGTGCGCGTGGTGCACGACGTTGTAGCAGCCGTACATCGCGTTGATGTGCAGGTCCGGCATGAGCTCGGGGAGGTTCGCTTGGACGCGCAGCAGCCGCATGCGCTGCAGGATGTCCTCGATCGCCTTCTCGGCGATCATCGACTGCACGACGTTGGTGCGGTCGAGGCAGTCGACGCAGTTTGTGCGGAACACCCCCACCTGCGTCGCCAGAGACTCCGCGCCGACGCCCGCGTCGTAGTACAGCGCGCCGGTCGCGTCGTACAGCTCCTGCACGCGCAGACAAGCAACGCCGTGCGTCTCGTCGCAGCTACGCACTAGCACAACAGCATCGCCCCCTGCGGACATGTCCAGGGCGCAGCTGCCCGCGCAGGCCGCGCAACGCACCTTGAGCTGCTCGTTCCACAGGTTCTGCAGCACGTGGTAGTTCTTCGCGCCGCACTGCTTGTGGAAATCGAACTCGATGAGGTGCACGCCGCTCGCGACGTCCTCCGGCAGCAGCTCCATCGCCTGGCGGAAGCCCTTCGTGAGCTTGCCCTCGGAGGACCCGGGCTTGGACCCCGTCAGGTTGATGGCCACCACCCCCTTGTACTTGTTCACCAGCATCTGGAAGTGCTTCTCCGTCGCCTCGCTGCAGTCGTCCTCGTCGCCGATCTCCAGCTTCGGCTTGTACTTGATGTTCGGGACGTGCGACCACAGCAGCGGGATCGAGCCGCGGATCTGCACCACGCAGTGCACGCAGCGCACGTTGCCGTCAATCTCGAGGATCTGCTCCGACTCGACGAAGTTCGCGACGTGGCCGCTCGAGTCCGCCCCGCGCCGCCAGTGCCGCGTGCCCACGCGGTTCGTCGACCTGCAGCACGCATCGAACCAACGAACCACCGCACCGTCACCGCCACAGCAGTGCAGCGCCGCCGCCGCAGCTGGCGCGCAGCCACGCGGGAAGCGGTGCAGCTGAGCACGGGAGCGCAAGCTGCGGGGGTTCCGTGCCCTGGCACGCTCACCTCCTCGCGATGAGCGTGACGGTTGCCTGCGCCAGTGTCGGACCCGTGTCAACAGCCTGGCGCGTCTGCCCGACGAAGCCCTGGATGACCGGCAGCGCGAACTCCGGGATGCAGGCCGCGATGTCCTTGTTCATGGCCTTGTTCCAGCAGTACTGCGGGTCTGCGTGCTCCCAGAGGTTCTGCGGCGCAGCGGCGGTGGTGTTGGCCGAGGTGCGCTTCAGGGCGCGCCCGACCTGCACCTGCACGCTCGCGGTGAGGTCGTACGTCCAGCTGAAGTAGAGGTTCCGGCCCTCGCGCTTCGGGTCCGTAGCCTGCTCGAACAGCTTGAGGAACGCAGCGTCGTCGCCCAGGAGGCCGTTGCGCTGCACGAGGATCTCGACCTCCGTGACCTTCATCACGATGTGCTTGCCGACCGCGGCGACCTCCTCGGCCTCCGTGACCACCGCCAGGGCGCACCCGCCTGCGAGCGCCAGCGGTGGCGAGGGCGACCGTCAGGGCCGCGTGGGGAGGCGTTCCAAGCCACCAGCGCACACTGCCGGCCACACTATGCCGAGAACATGCGCGTGCGGTCGCAGGGAGCGGGGGGGCGCGAAGGGAAGCGCGTCGCGGGCGCTGCCAGGGCGCTAAGCGCGCACCGGTGAGCGGGAGAGAGCCGAGGATGCCGTAGACATTGGTGTAGCGCTGCGTCAGGATGGTCTGGTCCTTGGAGGTCGTGAAGGACCCGCCGGGCTTCGTGAGGTCCACGATGAGCGTCGTGGTGTCCGTGGGGTGCTGGATCCACAGCTGGTTGGGCCCGCCAGACGTGATGCCGAGAGGCCTGCGCGCGTCGATTTGCGGGGAGACATGCATTAGCGCCGCAGACCACCGGCCGGCCAAGCAAGAGCAGCGGCCCTGGCGCCGCGGCATGGGCTCCGACAGTTGAGAAGGCCACACTACGGCCTGGAAGGGAGGGCCGTGGCCGTTTCAGGGCGGATCCGGTACTCAGACAGGATGCTCGAGTGTCGTGGTGCCTGGTTGGTGCGATGGGGGCCGCACCTGAGCTTCAAGAGGCCCGGAAACGGCTTCACGGGCAGCTTCTTGGTGAGCTCGTCGAACGCCGTCGGCTTGCTGTGGTCGGCCACGGAAGAGCGCGTCATCGTGTCGGATCAGCGGCGTGCACTCGTTGGCGCTGGCCGCGTATTCGCCCGCGGCCTTGGGACTCAGGCCCTGGGCTCCTTGGTGGAGTGCTTGGTGGGCCGCGGCGCGCTGCCAGCGGGACCAAACCACTCCTGCGAAGACGTGCGCGCAGCCTCTTCACCGAAGATGTTGCGCAGGTCTTCCCGCGTCACTTCCGGTTCTGCAGCGAGGCGCACGGGAGCACTGCCACTGCAACGTCAAAGCACACCCGCGCGCGTCGCATGCGCGTTGGAATCCGTCGAAGAGCGCACCGGAGTACGTTACACAACAAGACGCAGCCGCAGCCGCACGATTCAAGGCGCGAACCGGCTCTCTGGGCTTGCAGGGCGACCGTAACTGAACAAGCAGCAGTCGAGCTCACCTTTCGGGGCGCTCCTGCCCTGCACGTAGAGCGCGCCGTAAGCAACACACCCCAGACACAAAGCAGCCTGCACACAACCGGTAACTCGCGACGTTCACCCCTTCCGCGCGCAGCAGCTGGCGATTGAAGCACACAGCGCAGCCGTCCGCGGTCCGCGTGGCCGCAACACTCACCGTGACGTGCTTGCTTCGCAGCCCCATCGACCAGTGACCCACGCGCAGTGCACCGCGGCGCCCCGAAGCGGCTCCATCGTGCGCCCCGTCGCCGCTGGCATCAGGTGACCTCCGCACTCACCTCCCCCTGGGCAATTGGCCCGCCTGCGCGGCCTGTGCAGGCAGAAGCGCCAGGGCACCGAGCGGCGCGAGTTGCATGTTTGCCAGCTGTGCGAGGGCGAGCGTTCCGCGGGGGAGAGGCGCGCGCAGGGGTCCGTCCAGGGGTGGGCCCAGGGCACGACGGATGTACCGCGGTGCTGCGTTCGGCCTCGCAACGCTATCCACCGCTCTGGTGGGCGTACGGGAGATGGGCAAGCCAGCGAAGGAGCTCCAAGGCGGCGACGAGCTGGTGGATAGGTGCAGCACCCCCCGCTAGCTCACCGTGGTCATCTCCCGCGCTCACGGCTGCAACAAACGGCGGTTCGATGCAAACATGCGCGCGATGTCGTGCCTCTCATGCGAACCACTCGACCAGCCTCAAGCCAACTGTTGTCCGTCAGCCAGAAGACGGCATTCGCCGTCGCTTTGCATGCGCTCCCCGGGTCCGGTCCTGCTGTGGCGTCGATTTGCGCCCAGCGCCGACGATCGCTGCCCGTCGGGAACGCACTTTGCAGGATTGAGACGCCGCAGAACCCCGTTCTGTTCGCCTGCCAGTCCATTTACCGCACCACGGAGTTTTGGAGGCGCGCCATTGGGATTTACGGGGCATACAAGGTCGCGCAGGTGAGGGACCCAGACGCGGATCAACGCACATGAGCCAGGCAGAGTCCTCTCTCGCGAGGTGTCGTGGCGTCCGTGGCTCGCGCGAACGCCCTCTGGAAAGCGACGCTGTGTGTTTGGACGTTGAGCGAGGTCCACGACGTTGACGTGGCCGCAGGTGAGGGCGGCGATACGGCATGCGCAGGGGGAGAGCGAGGAGTCGCTGCAGGAGGGGTTTTGGGCCGACCACCATGCGTGGGCGGGGAGGGAAATGTACAAGCTGAGCGTCGACTTGAGGTCAGTATCCCACCGCCCACGACGACCGGCTGCGGCTCGCGACCGCGTCAGCGCTCCGCAGGCTGTCTTGCTCACGGCGTCCATGAACGCACAGGCGTCGGCGCGACCGCACTCTGCCGTGAAACCAGGATGCACTCCCACGTGTGTTGTTTGTTTGTGGTGTCCTGACCGCAGGGGCTTCTACCTCAAGACAGGGCAGTTCTTCGGCGCGCGTGCCGACTTCATTCCGCTCCCGATCTGCAAGGAGCTCTCGAAACTCCACGACCAGGTGCCCCCGATGCCCGCCCAGCAGGCGAAAAAGATGCTCACCGAGGAACTCGGTGTTCCTCCGGAAGAGGTCTTCGAGTGGATCGACTTCGACACCCCCCTCGGCTCCGCATCCATCTCCCAGGTCCACCACGCCAGGCTGCGCCCCGGCATGACGCCCGAGCGCCTCGCGCAGCTGCAGCAAGAGGCCGCGCAGCAACGAGCGCGCAGCAAAGGCGCCGCCCCGGCGGCCCCTGTCGCGACCGTCCCGACGGTGACGGCGCAGGACGAGAGCGTCGTGCACCGCGCCGCCGCCAAACAATACCCCCCCGGAATCGACGTGGCGGCGAAGGAGGAGTTCCAGGACCCTGACTACGCCACCCGCGTTCCCGAGGAGGACCCCACGCGCCTCACGAGCAGGATCGTCTACGCCGCTCACGAGATCCCCCCGCACGCGCGTGATACGTTCGGCATGGTCCCTACGGGCGTGACGGGCGCGCGCGACGACGGAAGCGGCAAGCGTGGGCGATGGGGTTGGCTGCGGTGGCTGGGCTTCTGGCGCAAGAAGGGCGCGCTGACAAAGGAGGGGGCGGTGGGCGCGGAGGAGACGCAGCGGGAGGTGGCGGTGAAGATCCAGTACCCCGGGGCGCTTGATATCATGACTCAGGACCTGGTGAACATTCGGGCGGCGGCGGGGTTCTTGCAGCGGACGGAGATCCAGTTCGACATGGTGAGCGCGATCGACGAGCTGGCGCGGCAGATCCGGATGGAGTTCGATTTCACGCGGGAGGCGGAGGTGATGGACAAGGTGGCGGACGACTTGATGGTTATCGACGACAGGGTCACGTGAGTGCGACGCGCCCGCTTGCGGCGCTGCATGTCCACGCATGACGCCGCCGTGCGGCTGCGTTGCTGTGCTGGAGTTTGCGCGACGGAGCCCGGCTCGCAAGCGATGAGAAGCGACCGAGGAACCGTGAAACATCAACAGACATTGTTTTACGAACAAAAAAAGCACCGAACCCGAGGTTGCGTGGGTCGCTGCAGGGTTCCGAGGTCGGTGCCGGGGCTCGTGACGCCGCGCGTGCTCGTGATGGAGTACATCAAGGGCACGCAGATCATGAAGCTGGAGGACAAGTTCCGGGAGCTGTCAAAGATGCAACGGCAGGCCGCGGCGCGGCTGCTGCTCGACCGCCTCTCGGACGCGTACGGGCACATGATTCTCGGGTCGGGGCTCTTCCAGGCGGACTGCCACCCCGGGAACATCCTCGTGATGGAGGGGGGGCGTATTGGGCTGATTGACTACGGCCAGAGCAAGCAACTGACCGACGGTGCGCGCAGCGCCGCTCTCGTGATGCACACACGCGGTACTTGTATGCGTGTACGCTGAAGCGCTCGTGTGGGACCTCTCGTTTGAGTTTGCGAACTGAACTGGTTGCGTGCTTGCGAGGAGATGCTTCGCGCGCGGCCACGCACGCTTGACGCACGCACGTCGCGCACTGTTCGGATGCTCATGGGTTCGTTCGTTCGGCCGTTGTTGCCTCCGCAGAGGAGCGGAAGTCGTTTGCGACGATGGTGGTGGAGATGGAGCGGGGCGACAAGGACCGCGTGTGCGAGGCGCTGTGGGGCATGGGCGTGGTCACGGACAACCCGAACGAGCTGTCGGACGAGGAGTACCGCAGCACTGTCGCGGTGATGGCCACCGGGATGTTTGACACCCGCGGGAGAGTCGACCCGTTCGACCCGGACTCCCCCATCAAGAAGGTGCCCGTCAAGGCGTTCCCGGCGGACATGTTCTTCATCTTGCGGACGGTCCAGCTCCTCCGCGGCCTCAAGGAGGCCATGGAGCTCGAGAAGGACTACTCGGTGACGGACCGGTGGGTGAAGCTGGCACGCAAGGCGCAGAAAGACCCCGCGGCAAACAGCACCGCGGCCGCGGCCGCGTCGTTCAACGCGTAGCCAGGCTGCGCCGCGGCAGCCCACGTTGTAAGGCGCGCGAAAAGGGGGTGTGCAGGTTTTTGTCGATCTTGTTGCGGTGCGATCGATCTTGAGCTCACAGCCGCCGCATGACCATCTCGTACACCATCCACCCGACGGCGGATCCGGGCGCCATGACCCACAGCCTCGCCACGGCGCCGTCAAACACCCCCAACACCCCCTCCTGTTGAACCAGGCGTCGCGCGACGCCCCAGGCCCGCCACCGGGACCCGCCCGCGTCCGGGAGCACCTGGATACGCGTCTTGATCACGTCGAGCGGGTGCGTCGCGACCGCCCCCACGGCGGACGCCGCAGCAGCGCTGAACGCGAACGCCCATGGCGGCAGGTCCTCGGGGCCGGTGCGGTCCAGGGCGTCGGCGAGCGACCGCTTGCAGCGCTCGTACGACCCCGCGTATATCAAGCCCCAGGGAAACCACACGGAATTATTGATCCAGTATCCTCGGAACAGCCCCAAAAACCCCTTCTCGCGCAACGCAGCGCGCACAACGTCCGCCGGCGACGCGGACGCCGCAGCGCCGTCCGCGCGGAGGAACCCCGCGACCTGGATGCGCTCCTTGATCAAGTCAACCGGCGTCCAGACCGCGCCAGAAAGCCCCTGCGCTACAACGCCTGTACCACAGCGGACGACAACATACCTCTTGTGGCGTCGCGCCGGAGTCGATCGGACGCAGGGGAAGCCCCGCCAGAGGCAACAGAGGGCAGCTCGTCCCAGGAGCGGTGTGGGTGTGCGCAGGAAGGGCGCGGGCTTGCCTGCTACACCGTCTCGGAGCGCCGTAGGTAACATGCTGTTTGGGTCGGCCCATGCGACGGCCACCTTGCCGAGCTCGTACCCGGAGAAGTACGCGGCGTTCGCCGGCAGGACGCCGCCCATGACGGGGAGGAACCCGCGGTAGAGGCCTGCTGGGCCGTCGGCGCGCAGGATGGTGCTGACGGCGGAAACGAGGCCCGAGTAGCGGCCGGTCGTGAGCCCCGTGCCCTGGATCTGCATCCGTGCTTTGATCGTGTCCGACGGGTAGGTCGCGAGGCGGGAAGCGAGCCCTGACGCAGGCCCTGCGACGGCGGACCCCCACCATGGCGGAGCGGAGTCGCCCGCAGAGCCGTCGCCGGGCATCGATTCCGCGTCTACCGGACGAGGAGTCGCATGTAATGTGCCAGTGTAGGTCGGCGGGCGTTAGTTTGCGGAGGTTCGCGGCGGGTGGCTGCAGGAACGCCGCCTGGACCTAGCACATAAAGACGCAGTGTACGTCGCGGGTGGCGCAAATTAATCCTCGCTTCAACGGTAGTGTCGCAGTGTCTATCTGTATTGACAAGTCGGGCGGTGCGGGAGGGACTTTCAATCCTCGAGGTGATCCCTGGGGCACAATTTGCTGACCGCGCTGTTGGCCTGACGCTGTGCGACACAATCGCGCAGACGTCCCGCCGCCGCCATGTCCCTGCGCCGCACCACTCGCGCATGTCTCTTCCGGACAGGCCAGGGCCCGAGGCCGCGACGAACGCGCTGACGTCTGGTGGGCATCATGCAGCAATGACACTGAGCGGGTACGGGAGCGGCGACGCCGCGTGGACGGGCACGCAGGTCGCCGCCGCGGCTGCGACGGCATGTCTGCTCGGCGCTGCACTCGGCTACCTCTCCTCGTCACGGCTGGACGCCGCACGCGGCCACACTACGGCGCCCTCTGCATCTGCGTCCCTCGACGACAGTGCTGGCGCGCGTGCGGGGCGTGATGTCGTGGACGGGCTCGAAGGCTTGATAGGGAACACGCCCCTTGTGCGTATCAGGAGCCTGTCGGAGGAGACGGGGTGCGAGATTCTGGCCAAAGCGGAATTTCTGAATCCTGGGGGCTCCGTAAAAGACAGGGTCGCGCTGAGCGTGCTGCGCGAGGCGATGGACAGCGGCCGCCTCTCCCCGGGCGGCACGGTCTTCGAGGTGAGGCGATCGCCTGGCCGCAGTGATGCGAAACCTCGCGCGAGTCCAAACATATAAAAACATTATTTCTCGTCCCGCTCTTCGCGACCCTCCTGCCCCGACACGCCGCGCCTGCTCCCGCGCATCCACGCATACCCCAACGTCCGGCGCTCACGACGCGCCACCATTTCCGCGCCTGCAGGGCACGGTGGGCTCGACCGGAGTCTCACTGGCAACGCTCGCGCCCGCCCTCGGCGTCCGCGCGCACATCTGCATGCCCGACGACGCAGCACTCGAGAAGGTCGCCCTTCTCAACGCCCTCGGCGCCACCGTCGAGCGCCTCCGTCCCGTCAGCATCAGCCACCCGGACCACTTTGTCAACGTCGCGCGCCGCCGGGCCGCCGACGCCCCCAACCCCCCCGGGGGGGTCTTCGCGGACCAGTTCGAGAACGCAGCGAACCTCGACGCGCACCTCGCGACCGGCGAGGAGATATGGCGCCAAACCGGCGGCCGTATCGACGCCTTCGTCTCCGGCGCAGGCACCGGGGGGACTCTCGCGGGGGTGTCCCGGGCGCTCAAGCAGCGCGACCCCGCCGTGCTCACCGTCCTCATCGACCCCCCGGGCTCCTCGCTGTACAACCGCGTCGCGCGCGGCGTCGCCTACCACGGCGCGGAGGCCGAGGGTCGCCGCCTGCGGAATCCCTTCGATACAATCGTCGAGGGAATGGGCCTGAACCGCGTCACCGCGAACTTCGCGGCCGCGCGGATCGACGCGGCGATGCAGGCGTCGGACCGCGAGGCCGTTGAGATGGCGGCGTATCTGGTACGCAACGACGGGCTGTTTGTGGGGTCGAGTGCGGCGGTGAACTGTGTCGGCGCGGTGAAGGTCGCGCGACGGCTCGGGCCCGGGCACACGGTCGTGACGGTGCTGTGCGACGGCGGGCAGCGGCACCTGTCGCGGTTCCACTCCCCGGCGTATCTGGCGACGCTGGATCTGATGCCGGCGGCGCAGGGGAGGGGGTTGGAGTTCGTCAAGGGCCCGCGGGAGACGAACGCGCGGCCGTACGGGGCTGCGTTCAAGGCGGTCGGCGACGATAACGCCTCGTAGACGGCGGCGCGGGCGCCTCTGTGGCCTGGAAGCACCAGAGATCAATAAATAAATAAATAAATAAATAGCAATTTTCTAGTCGGGTTCTCATATTTACTCGGAAGCTTGTGAATGGCAATGCTCGTTGCAGCGAGGTCGCGTGGATCCCGTCACACTGCGCGGCTAGAGCTGCTTCGGCCGCCCGCGTTTTGCCTGCTTCCCCCTGGGCGCCCGCTTCTTGCCCGCGCCGAGGACGACGATCTGCGTGAGCAGAATCAAGTTGAGCGTCGCCCCGATCGCGTACGCGCGCACCATGGCGGCGCCCCCGCCCTCCTTGATCGTCGTGAAGATCCGCGCCAGCCCCCCGGCCGTCATCAACCCCGTCGTTATCCCCGACAGCTGCCCCGTGCTCCCCGCCTTGTAGTTCTGCAGCGCAACGGACCAACCAACGGCCGTGAACTTCCTACGAAAGAAACGGACGAACGACCGGACGAGCACACGAACACACAGTCGCATGCAAACGTCCCGTGCGTCATCAAAGCCGCCGGCCCGCGCAGTGGGCGTGTCGCCGACACGGCGCACGGCGAGGCCGACACGGACGCGGGGGTCCGCGCGACGGCCGCCCGCACCTGGTATATCTGCGGCACGCGCGAGAATATCACTGTGAGGTTGTTCAGTTCATACATCAGTTGCACCGCCGCCGCGGGCACATGTCCGAGCGCCCACGCGGCCAGGAAGGCCGCGAAGATCGCCGCCGCGAGCAGCAGGCGACCCCGGAGCTTCGAGAAGTGGTACACCAGAAGCGCCAGCAGGACGTTTTGCGCGGTGAGCAGCGCAGACTCGCCGTATGCGGAAAACGGGAGCCCGAGGCCGACGGCGTAGACGGACTGGACCGTCGTGGCGACGGTCTCGAGCTCTACGGCCATGGGCGCGATGCCGTCCGCGCTGCCCGCGGAGACCACCGCGATGAGCTGCGGCAGCTTGACGATGGCGCCCCCCAGCACCAGGCCATAGCTCAGGCCCTGCGCGCGCGCACGGTGATACGGGAGGTTCGGCTGAAGGATGGCGGAAGCTGAAGCCAAGGTTTGCTGTCCCAAGCAGTTTGCGCGTGACTTCAGCGCCTGCTGTGCGCCTGCGGGCGGTCAAGAGGGGGTCACCTTGGTTAGGAGACCCTGGAGAAGGTCTGAGGAGGGCATTTTCCCTTCCTTTAGCTCCGTCACGGCCTCCTCAAGGAGGTCGATGACGTCGGCCATGGTTCTTTCCCTCTTGCGCCAATCCGTGCGTGGCGCGCTTGGTCGACGTCAAATGCACCTCGAGCCGCTCCGGGACGGATCCTACGCTCGCGAGGGATGGAGTTTGGCCTGCTTTGCCAGAATGAGCTTACACCAGCGCCCCGCAGCCGCTGTGAGGGCCCGCTCGCCCCAGTCTGACAGCTGCGCCCGCAATGGAGGGGTTCCATCTGGTGCGTCCGAGGTGCCATTGGCGGGGCTGTTCGCCGTCGGTGAGAGACGCGTGGCCGCAACTAACGTCGGGCCCGGCGCGCTTGGTGTCTAGGTATCTTGTGCGAACCAGGCGTGGCGAACGGCGGCGACTTGGCGACGGAATCGCGGCGCTTCCATCTGTGGCCTGTTGCCCGGTGCCACATGCGCTGAGCGCGCAGTCTGACGGCGATCATGCCGCCCAAAGGGAAGAAGAAGAAGAAGGATCCAAACGCCATCACGGTGCGCCGGCCACGCCGCTCCAAGCACGCCGCACCGCCCGCATTCTCTTCCCCCGTCTCTCCGCCACCACGCGCACTCCTCGCGGCCGGAGCTCCTCGCAGTTCCGCGGGGTGTACCAGAACAAGGGAATGTGGAAGGCGCGCGTGTGGCACGAGAACGAGGAGATCTACTTGGGTGCGCAGCTGCCCACTTACGTCCCTGCCGCGAAGCATGTCTCGTCCGCCCTCCCCTTCCACGCACGCACGTCCAGCGCCGCCGACCGCGCCCGACGCTCCGCCTCATCGATGCGGACCCCGCAGCGCGACGAACCCACTCCGCCCGGCCCCCGACGCCGCGCCTTGCCCCAACAGTCGCCCGGCGCGTTGCGCCACCTGCGCGCGCCCCCGCGTCTCCCGCGCAGGGCACTTCCGCGTTCCGGCTCGAGCAGCTGAGGCGTACGACATGGCGGTCATCCGTTTCCGCGGCCCCATCGGCGCGGCGCGTGAGGGGCTGAACTTCCCTCTAGAGATCTACCAAGTCAACGGGACCGTGGCGCAGATCATGGGCATGGAGGCGGACGAGTTCCTGGACTGGGTGCGGCAGGAGCTGGCGGACCACTACCAGCTCGAGGGCCTCTGGGTCGACACGGACGCCCTGGGGGGTGGTGCGCCGTCGCAGGGCCGGCTGGCGGGGCAGCCGTCGCGCGGGGCGAAGAGCAGCGACGGGGGCGTGATGTCGCCGGCGAAGGGCAAGGCGCGGGCGGCGTAGGGCACCGTGGAGGCTTGTAAATACAGTGTGCGCTGACAGTTGGCTTTCGGTGGTTGCGGTTGCGTCGCGATCCGTGGCTGTGACGTGGGCGTGCGACGGGGCGGGGGCGCTCAGGCGGGCGCGCTGCTCTGGTTTGTAGGGGTCGAGCGGCGCCGTCCGGGGCAAATACACCCCCGGCGCGCCGCGGTGGTTTGGAAGACTGGGTCAGGTCCGCGCCGCGGCGAGCTGGGCTTTCGAGGCGGGCGTCTCGGCGCGCGCCTGCGTAGTTTGCGCGCGGATCTCGCATCTTCCGAGGCGGAATCGTCGTTGCGCACCGTGCGGGGCGACGCGGGGGGCAGAGGCGGGCCAAGTAGCAGTACCGCTCACGCGGCGCGTTCCGGGGCCGCGTGCTCGGCGGTAGCAAGATGACCTCGGTCGCGCAGAAGTTCGAGGCCGCGAAGGAGAAGGCCGCGATGGCTATCCACCGCTTCAAGAACCGTCAGTTCTTCGCCACCACCAAAAAGGGCGAGGTACGTGGCCGCCGCTGCCCGACCGCGCGCGGCAACTGCCTGCCCCGGTCTATATCTGGACAGCCATGCGCTGGAAAGCGCGCCGCGGGCCTCGTTCCCGCCGCCGACCGCGACCCCGCGCCCCACCCCACCTCTCCTCACCCGTCGCGCGCCCGGATCAGCCCGAGCGAGGGCCTCACGGCGTGATCCATCAGCGCCTGCCTCGCAGCACTGCTGCTGCGTCTCGCGCGGTCGACGGTCTCCGTTCCTGGCCGCGGACCACGCTCCGGTCGCCTTTGCGTGCCTTGCTGGCCAAGCCGGACGCGCACAGCTCAGCGGGACGCACGGCTGCGGTGCGCGGCGCGCAGGTGTCTGAGTTCCGCGAGGAGCTTCGCGCCCAGGAGCCGCGCATCCGCAAGGACGCCGTGAAGAAGGTGATCGCGGCCATGACGGTCGGCAAGGACGTCTCCATGCTCTTCACGGACGTCGTGAACTGCATGCAGACCGAGGACCTCGAGCTCAAGAAGCTCGTGTACCTCTACATCATCAACTACGCGAAAACCAAGCCCGACCTGGCCATCCTCGCCGTCAACACCTTTGTCAAGGACTCCATGGTGCGACGCACGGCCGCCCAGGCCCACATACGCGCGATACGGACGCCCCACTCCTCCAAGATCCCGGTTTCTACCGCCGTGCGCGTCCCCAGCGCGCCGAGCTGCCGGAACGTGTTTGCTTTGAGCTCTCCTGTCCCTCTCTCTGGTCTTCGCAGGACCCGAACCCGCTGATCCGCGCGCTCGCGGTGCGCACGATGGGCTGCATTCGCGTGGACCGTATCCTGGAGTACATCTGCGACCCGCTGCGCCGCTGCATCCGCGACCAGGACCCGTACGTTCGCAAGACCGCCGCCGTGTGCGTGGCAAAGCTCTACGACATCTCCGCGGACCTCGCCGAGGACCGCGGCTTCGTCGACGCCCTCGTGGTGCGCAGCCCCCCACGCCACCACCTTCCACCCAAGTCGCAATACACCCCACAGCGAACATGTTTCATACCCTGCGTCTTTCCGGTGCGGCGGCGCGCCTGCTGAGCACGGCGCCGCGCGAGGGGTCTCCCCCGTGCAGGAGATGGTCGGAGACAGCAACCCGATGGTCGTGGCGAACGCGGTGGCGGCGCTGACGGAGATCGACGACATAAGCACCGGCGGCGCGGGGGAGAGCCCACGGCTCGAGTTCCTTGAGGTCGGCAAGCTGCTGGTTGCCGTGAACGAGTGCACGGAGTGGGGACAGGTGCGTCGTGCCGCGGCGCCGCCGCCCCCCACGCAGCGCCCGCTAGCAGCGGGCAGGACACTCGCGGGCTGACGACACGCCCGCCGACGCAAACAGGCTCCCCGGAACGACGGCCGCACTGCACGGCCGCAGAGCACGCGCTCCATGGCGCCCCCGCGAGCAACGCACTTGCATCGCCCTTTCTCGCAAGCAGCGAGCAGCACTGAACACCTCTGTCCGTGCAACACACCCCCCACGCCCTTGCAACACCCCCCCCTCGCTTCTCCGCCGCGCAGGTGTTCCTCCTGGACGCGCTGGCGCGCATCCGCATGCACGGCGAGGAGCAGGCGCGCATGGTCATCGAGCGCGTGATCCCGCGGCTCTCGCACGTCAACAGCGCCGTCGTGCTGTCGGCGATCCGCGTCATCCTCCACTGCATGGACTCGCTCCCCGTGGGCGCCGCGCAGGCGTACAGCCGCAAGCTCGCGCCCCCGCTCGTCACGCTGCTGTCGGCCGAGCCCGAGGTGCAGTACGTGGCGCTGCGCAACATCGTGCTCATCGTGCAAAAGTACCCCGAGATCCTCGCGCACGAGATCAAGGTCTTCTTCTGCAAGTACAACGACCCCCTGTACGTCAAGATGGAGAAGCTCGAAATCATGGTGATGCTGGCGTCGCTCAGCACCGTCGACCTGGTGCTCATGGAGCTCAAGGAGTACGCGCTCGAGGTCGACGTGGACTTCGTGCGCAAGGCCGTGCGGTGCATCGGGCGCTGCGCGGTCAAGCTGCGCGACGCGGCGCAGCGCTGCATTGACGTGCTGCTGGAGCTGATTCAGACGCGCGTGACGTACCTGACTCAGGAGGCCGTCGTCGTCATCAAGGACATCTTCCGGCGGTACCCGAACCGATACGAGTCCGTCATCTCCCAGGTGCGCGACGTGCGACTGCGGGCCACAGGGCTGCCGCGCGCCACACTGCTCTGGGGCGGCGTCGTCCGGGGCTGCGGAGCGTGTCTCTCCGCGCGCTCCGCTGTTGACGCGAGACAATCGCTGCGCTTGCGCCCCGCCCCGCCCCGCGATCCACGTGCCCACAGCCTCCCAACACACCACACACCAAACCCCCCCCCCTACCCCGCGCGCAGCTCTGCGAGTCCCTCGAGGGCCTCGACGAGCCCGAGGCCAAGGCGTCCATGGTGTGGATCATCGGGGAGTACGCCGAGCGCATCGACAACGCGCAGGAGCTCCTGGACCTCCTCCTGGAGTCCTTCCCGGAGGAGACGCACGCCGTGCAGCTGCAGCTCCTGACCGCGGCCGTCAAGCTCTTCCTGCAGTCCCCGACCGAGGCGTCCCAGCAGATGATCCAGCTCGTGCTCTCGTCGGCGACGCAGGACACGGATGACCCGGACCTGCGCGACCGGGCCTACATCTACTGGCGGCTGCTCTCGACGGACCCGGAGGTCGCGCGCGCCGTCGTGATGTGCGAGCGGCCGGAGATCTCCCCGGAGTCGTCGTATCTGCCGCAGCCGATGCTCAACCAGCTGCTGGGTCAAGTGGCGACGCTGGCGAGTGTGTACCACCGCCCGGCGACGTCGTTCGTGACGCGGCACCGCCAGGCGCTGCAGAGCTACGAGGCGCTGCAGGCGCGCCGGCAGCTCGAGGACGCGGAGGAGTACGGTGGGGAGGTCGAAGACTCGGCTGCTGCGGCAGCGGCGCAGGCAGCGGCGCAGGCCGGGGCGGCGGCCGGGCCGTCGGCTGCGGCTGCGGCCGCGCAGGCGGTCGGAGGCATCTCGGATTTGCTCGACCTGAGCGGCGACGACCCCGCGCCGGCGCCGGCGGCGCCGCAGGGAGGGGGCGGTCTTGGGGGGGGTCTTGATGACATCCTCGGCGTGGGCGATGCGCCGGCGCCGGCGCCGGCGCCGGCGCCTGCTGCGGCGGCGCCGGGCGTGCCGACGCTGCTGACGCCGGAGCAGGGGCGTGGGATGCGGATTCTTGGCCGCATGGCGCGTGTGCAGGGCGGTGCTGCCCTGCAGCTGCAAGTGGACAACACGACGGGCGCGCCGGTGGACGGCTTCATGATTCAGGTCAACAAGAACGCGTTCGGGCTGCAGCCGGCGCAGGTCGTGATGAATCTGGCGTCGGTGGCGCCGGGCGGCTCGGGGCGGTGCGTGGTCCCGCTGGCCGTGTCGCCAGCGCACGTGACGGGCGCGCCGGCGCCGCGGCTGCAGATCGCGGTGAAGACGAACCAGCTGGGCGTGGCGTACTTCGAATGCGCGCTCGCGGCGGAGGCGGTGTGCAGCCCCGACGGCGCGGTCACGGGGGGGGAGTTCCTTCAAAAGTACCCCGGGCTCCCCGAGACGCCCCCGGGCGGCGCCAGCGTGTCGCTCCCCGCGCCCATCGACCCGGCCGCGCTGTCCGCGAAGCTGTCCGGCGCGGGGCTGCACGTGGTGCACACCCGCCCGACCGACGCCGGGCACGCCGTGTTCGCCAGCTGCAAGTTCGGCGGGACGGACGTGCTGCTCGACCTGCGGCTGACGACGGGCGCCCCAAGCCTGCAGGCGCACATCCGCGCGCAGCAGCCGGACGCCGGGCCTATGTTTGCGGAGGCACTGCAGCGCGTGCTGGGCCAGTAGTGCAACTGACTCAGGGGGAGGGTGCTTGGGAGGAGTGGGTAGTGCATCGAATCATGATGTGAGCGACGCACCGTGGCCAGGCTTCTACACGCGTCCCGGCGCGTGACTGTGGGCTCCAGTTGGCGCTCCAATTGAGAGAGGTCCGTCTGCTATTGCGATGAAGGGTCAGCAAAAGGCCGCTGCTGGCAGGCAGTGCCGAGCGAGAGCCCCCCCGGCATCGCCGCGCTGCTGAGGTTGCCGGAGACGGCGCTCATGTTCGTACTACTGTGCGTGTGACACAGTCCGTGATGGGAAAGATGAGTGGGCGCATGGACGTGGCCGTAAGGCCTTCAATCGCCTCGCTCGTCGCAGTGCGCTCGCTGCGCCCAGTGAGGAGAGGCGGGCCGGGTGATGCACTTCGGTAGCAAGCTGCGACGGTGGAGCACAGAGCAGCGCCCGCCCGACGCGTCGTGACGTCAACAGCGCAGTCCGCAATCGCCTGCACCGCCACTATTGCGCCAGGTCCGACGTCTCGCATCCACATCCGTGCGTCGCACCTGAATATGTCCGGGGGCGGGCATCTCAATCCTATGCCAGGGAACACCCCAGGCCCCCTGCGTCGCCGCCAGGTCATGAAGGCGGCTAGACGCAGCCTGTGTGCGCACTCCCACCGTGCGTGATAGATTGAGATATGGTGACGCGGCCACAAGCGGCTCTGTGCGGCCGCACCTGCCTGCGGGCATCGCACCAGCTCAGCGCGCGAGGGGAGCCGCCGAGGGGCATGCGCGCACTCGCTAGAGGGCGCGATGCCCTGGACACTACCCGTGGAGGGCGTGACGATGTCTCGCGCGATCGCTTCGCGGAGCACAGGGCTGCGTCTCCGCCTCCACGGCCCGAACGCACACAGGCGGCCGCGAACGCGGCACCTGACTCGTTTCATGGGCCGAAACGGCTCCTCGACGGACTGGTCTGCACGGTGATTGCCGTGGCAGTCGCTGTGTCGCCAGTCACGGCCGCGGGCGCCCCGGAGAGCCCCACGGAGGACCCGGCCGGGAGCCTAGTGGCGACGATCGCCGGCATCCTGGGACGCGACAGCGACGCGCCGGACTCCGACCCGATCGATCCCTTCACTCTCTTCGGGACAAACACGTGAGTTCTGCGCTCCCTCGCGCCGCACACCCCCATCTCGCCTTCCGTGCCGCGCCTCGCGCAAACGGGGGCCCTGCGCGGCGCTGCGCTCCCGCGCGGCCCCGCGACGGCGCGGCTGACCAGCGTCCGATGCGCGCGTCCCCGACCGCAGCAAGCAGTTCCTGGTCGAGATCTTGGACGGAGACAGAGTGACGGCTCAGCGGCGCGGCGTTACAGTGCGCACGTGCGTGTCCGCGGTGAAGGCCTCGCAGGAGACCCCGGCGTTCCAGTCGCTCGGAACGCGACAGAAGGCACGCCCGCTCGCCCCGCCCGCCTCCACGGACGAGGCCCGCCCGCACCGCACAGTTTCGTGCGCCCGTCACGCACTGCGTGCCACCGCCGCGCCCACACGTCTCCGCGCCGGCGCCCGTCCGGCAGAGCCCCCTGCTCCCGCCGCCTGTCCGACCGCTGCCGCGCGGAGCACGAGGAAGATGGCGCGGGGACCGCACGTGGGCCGAGTCGTTGCAGGTGGAGGCGGGATCCGGGCTGACGTGCGTGCAGACGCAGTCGACCGTGGAGGGCGACGTGGAGGGCACGTGCCAGGGCTCGTGCGGGGGCGCGTGCGAGGGCGCGATCGACGCGTACATCGCGCGGTACAAGGGCGAGTCGGGCTACACCGTCGACGCGGCGGCGCGCAAGCGCATTCTGCGGGCGTGCAACAAGGCGTGCTACCGCAACTGCAAGCGCGGCGGCCGGACGTTCGACTTCGTCGTCGCGAGCCGGAACCTGTTCTGACGCGGCGCGCCGCGGCGGGTGCACGTGGTGGTTGGCACGGGGACGTGGTGGTTTGAGCGGGAGCTGGCGCTCTGGGAGCGCTGCGGTAGTTGGGGCGCGTGGCGGCGCGAGGAGGCCGTCCTGGACTTGAGGTTCACATGCGCCGCGCTGGGCGCCGCAACGGGGGCGGTGCGCGGCGGGGCTGCGCGGCGGAGGCGGGTCGCGTCGCCCGGAAAGGACGCAGGTCCGCGGCCGCGCGAGGAGCGAGGGCGGCGGGTCACTTCTTGGCCCTGGAGCTCTTCTTCGCGCCGGCCTTCTTCGGCGTCGCGGCCTTCCCGCCCTTCGCGGCCTTGGCGGGCGTTGCCTTGGTCTTTTTGCCCACTCCGCCCCCCTTGGTCTTCTTCAGGGCCGCGTCCGCCTTCTTGGGCGTCGCCTTCTTCGCCGGCGTCGCCTTCTTCGCCGGCGTGGCCTTCTTCGCAGGCGCCGCCTTGGCCGGGGAGGCCTTGGTCGCGCCCGCCTTGACAGATGCTGCGGACTTGGCCGTCGTTTTCTTCGCCGGGGTCGCCTTCTTGGCCGGCGTCGCCTTCGCGGGGGTCTTCTTCGCCGGAGTCTTCTTCTTCGCCGCCGGGGACGCCTTCTTCTTCGCCACCCCGGCCGCCTTGGCCCCCAGAGCCTTGCGGCCCGTCGACTTGGCCCGTGGCTTCGGCGCGGGCGACACCGGCGCCGCCGGCTTGGGCCGCGTGGCGAGAGACACTGTTCGCACGGTCGTCGCCGCGGGCTTGGACCCGCCTTCCATCGTCACTCGCCGCTTCGGGCTCGCAGCAGGTTTGGCGCTCTCAACTTTACGCTTTGGCGCCGCTTTCGTCCTCGCGGCCTTGGCCATCGTGGCAGTACTGCAGCGGCGTGCGCGCCACTGCTTGCTGGTGTGGCCTGCGCGGCCCGCCGGCGACCACCATGAACGGGCGCGGCGCCAGACGGGCCGGACCTCCAGCAGGGTCAGCTCCCGACGGACAGGGCGCGCTGCTCGCGATGCGGGCCGCAGCGGCGCGTTTCGCGGTCGGGGGGCATGGAAACAGCTTGGTCGTGGTGGCTGGGGCGAATCCGCAGCATATCGTCGCTGCATGCGTCGCGCGAGCACGCTGGCCAACACGCGAAAGTGACGTTTGATTTGCTGAGAGGGTGGCGGCGACGCCCAGGGGGCGCAAGCGGGCGCAGACAGATGCACCGGTGGATACGGCAGCCCGAGGGGGGTTCCGGGTGCCAAGCACGGACGTGTCTCCACCTGGCTGCGCGACCTTGGCACGTCATGATGTCGTTTGGCGCACCGCCGCGCGAGTCTGACCGCCACGCGTCGGTCCGGGCGACCGCAGCTACCCGTGGCCGCGATCTGCCACGGGACGCGCGTCACAGGGCGCGGCTGGCGCGCACGTCGGCCTTTTCCCGCCTCGTGTGAACGCAACATGAGAGACGGCGCATGGCGCGATACAACAGCGCGAACTCCGCACTGCCTCGACACCACGATGGAGCTCGAGGTTCTCCAGCTGTCACTCAGTCAATCCAGGGACGCGGTGCCGTACGCGCCGTGCTGCGACCAGCATTCGAGCCCGACGCACTGCGCACGCCCACTCGACGTCGCCAGCAGCGGGGGCTGCCCGTAGCCCGTCGGCTTTCCGTACTTCTTGTACGGGACGCCCTTGTACGGGTGCGGGGGGGGCGTCGTCGGGTTAGGATCGTGCTTGTATGCCTTTCCTTCCTTCGCGACATGCTTCTTGCGAGAAGCGGTCGCCTTGCCGTAGCCCCTGCACCGCGTTGCGACGACCGGCGGCGAGCGTTCTTCCCGCGCGTGTTCGCCGGCCGGGAGGTCGTTCGATCGTCGGGCCTGTGCGGCGGTGACACGAAGCGTACCCTGCCGTGGCTCCGTAGTCACCGGCGCTCTGCGCAGACGAGTCCGCGATGGCTCCGTAGCGATCTGCGGCGGCACGGGAGCCTCGATTCGGCTTCGTTTCGGGCCTGCGTCTCAACACATCACGCGATATCGATCCCTGCCACCTCTCAGCGCTTGCCTGCGAACGATACGGCCTCCCCGTCCCCGTAGCCGTAGCCCTCCGCGTGCGTGAAGCTCCCCGCCTTCGCGCTCGTCTTCGCGATCTTGCTGCGCTTCCGCTTCGGGTCGTCACCGCGGTGCTTGATCATCTTCATGTGTTCGTACTTGGACTTCTTCTCGTGCTTCCGGGGCGGCGCGGGGGGGCCCTTGAAGCTCGTGTGGGCGCTCACGTGGCCACCAGAATTGTACCCGAGGACGTGGTACTCGCCGGACCCGTGCGCCTCGGCCGGAATGTGCCGTGGGTGACGACGCTGGTCCCACTCACTGCCGTCCGCCTGCGAGCAGCCGGTCGGGCATCATAGCCCCTCGCGCCGCGTGGCAAGCTCGCCCTTGGGGAGAACATCGTCTCGCTGAGCGATTCAGCAGCGGAGCGGGCGACCACGAACCTGGCAAAGTCCAGCACTGCCCGCTAACACCAAGGCTACGAATACGAACCAGCCCGCGCCTCGAAGCATCGTTGCTGACCACGAGGAACGATCACAAGCTAAGAAACTCCGCGAAGAGCGCCACTTGCCCAGGAAATGCCCCCCCGCAGAGCGATGATCGGGTGTTATACCACCCATGTGTGCGCTGCAGTCAGCATGTGGCGCACACGTGTACCGGCCTCGGACACAGCGTGTTCGTGCACACGGCGACAGGGCGGAGGTGCCGCGCCGCACCGCACAGCACGCATCGCACTCCCCGATGTCTCACATGTCCCGCCGACTCGCGGCCCCTAGCACCATGTTGCTGAAATTCTGCCGCATTCGTTCCGCCCGTCTGAAACCACCACGCCTCACGCCGGGGCGTCCGACCCCCCCGCGCCCCCCATCTCCTCCTTCACCTCCGCCCTGCACAGCTTCAGACTCCCCCACCCGCGCATCACGTACGCGGTGCAGCGCTGCGGCAGCACCTCAGGCATCTCCAGGCCGCGCCGCGCCAGGTGCTTCCTGAGCTTCCCCCGCCGCGCCTCCTGCGCCGCCGCCCTCCTGTCCGACATTTTCATCCTGTACTGCTCCGCCATCTTCCTGTCGTCCACGCGACGCTCGCGCTCCTCGTGCGAGACCACGTCGCTGACGTCAGCCATCAAGTAGTACGTCCCGCGCCTCCGGCCGAGCGCGCCCTCGTACCTCGGCAGGTCCTGGATCTCCGAGGCTTCCACCGCGAACTCCTCGTCCAGGGCTTGCGCGGTTTTGATGGCCCACGGCCCTGCCCTCTCCATCAGACATGTTGTGCAGATCAGCTCCGGCATGCCGATGCGCGGGGCCGTGTTGAAGAGCGGGTGGACGCAGACCTTGTATGAGCGCGTGCCGCCCAGGCACAGGGGGCACTTGGCGCCGCGCGGCATCATGGTGGGGCCAGTAAAGGGCGACGCTGGCTTGGTGCACTTTTGGCGTCTCCGCGCGAGCAGCTGCGAGATGGTCTCGCGGAGCTCGGGGACGGTGTCGGCGACGCGGAGCATCGTTTGGAAGCTGGTGGCGGGGTTGGAGACGACCGCGTCGAGGACGTGGTACATAAAGTCGTAGCGGCCTTCCAGCTCTGCGCCCTCGTCGTCCGAGGACTCCGCGTCCGAGCCGTCCGAGCTGTCGTAGAGCCCGAGAGATTTCTTCGCGGCGCGTACGCGGGCTTGCATCTTTTGTTGCCTCTCGAGCTGCCTCGCCTGGGCCCGTGCGAGTTTCGCGGCCTCCAATTCGAGCTTGCGTTTCTTCGTCGGAGGGATGTACTCCTCGTCCGAATCGGCGCGGCGCCGTGGCATAATGGCCTGCACGGCGAAGGCGTGGGGACGGGAACGGCTGGTTCGGGGCGTCGGTACGAGCACAGGAAAGAAAGACTTTGGTTTGTGCGAGTGCCTTGCCATGCCAGACCAGAACGATCGGTCTGGTCCAGCGTGAACGGTTGGAAAAATACTGCTGGCTGCCTCGAGGCTGCTTGCCGGACTTTTCGGGCGCGCGCGAGCGACAGCGAGCTAACAAAAGCGAACTTCGATCAAGGTGCGTCGTCGTGGGGGGTTCAAGCACGATGCAACGCGCACACGTTGGTATCAGAGTGATGCGTGCGAAGGCAGCGAGCATGGCGGCCTAGAGCGGCAGGACGCTCGAGTCTCAGCGGGAGACAGCACTACCTACCTTCAGTCGAGCACGGCCGAGCGTGAACACGCAGTGAGTCCTCGCAAAACCTCGCCGGCTAGTCGGGATGAACGTAGATAGTCGACAAGGGACGCGTTGGCGGTCCGCGATCCCCCAACGAGCTCCCCCGGGCTCAGCACGCACTGCAGCTCCGGTCTGTCTCACAGTCGCGGTGCCCGTCTGAGGCAGGACGCACAGTGGCACCGGCCATTCAGCCCGCTACGTGCAGCCAGCGCTCCTGCGGCCACGCACACCGCCTCTGCCGCTCCTCACCGCGCTGCGACGTCGTCGACCTGACGCCATCTGATCGTCAATGACGCACAAAAGCAACGTCGCGTACACAGCGCCGCGCGCATGCCAGCCACCGCCGGCCCCCCACCAGGAGCAGCACAGCACCGCGTTCAGCGCGCGACGTCGCGGACCTCCGACGCAGGCGTCACACCGGACCGGCGCGCCCACCAAACGCCGCCCTTCCGTGGTCCAGCGCGCCCACGTCCCGCTACACAAGTCTCAGGCACCGAGCGTCCTCCCTGCCACCGGTACCTGCTACGCAGAGCTGCCGAACAGGTCCCCGAACACCATCCGCAGCGAGCGGCGGCCCCACAGCGACAACGAGCTGCCCCCGCTGACGCCCGCACCGCAGCTCGGGTCCGTCGAGCCAGTGGTGCATGTCGCGAGGTTCTGAGCGTGCGCCGTCTGCACGTCCGGGGTGTCCTTCGACTTGACTGCGTACGTGCCGTCGGGAAACACCCTTACCTTGGCCTTGCCGTCCCACTGCGAGATCGTGGACGTCGAGTACCCGCTGCGGACAGAGTCACGGGTGGCGCGTGTCAGCTCGTCGACCTGTGGCGCGCTTGCGTCGCGGCGTCAATTCATGCCATAGGGCGCAGGCATGCCATGGGGCGCTCACCCCGCGGCCGCAGAATGCTGTCCGACCTGACCCGCCCCGTACTTGCCGTACGTCGTGTGGGGGTCGGCTGCGACGTGTGCGCTGCCGGCGCCCGCGCCGTAGCCCTGCGAGCTGCCGTGCGCGCCTGCAGTGGTGGACAGCACCGTCACGCCGTCCTTGACCTTGTACTCAAGAGTTCCCTTCTTCTTCATGTACTTGACTTTGTACGCGCTGCCGGACGGCTTGACGTGCGTAGCCGTCGCCTGCGTGCTGCCGCCAGGGTTCAGGCCCGTCACCTGCGCCCAGACGCCGGCGGTCGCGCGCGGCTGTGCACGGCGAACGAGAGAGACGGCCGGCCTCCGCAGGCCGCACGGGGGAACCCGGTTTGCAAGTCTCAGCCTCAGTCTCATAGAGACGCGACGTGCAGTGCAACTACCATGTGACATACCTGGTAGCCCCCCGCGGCGTCAGAGCCCGTGTAGAACGCGCCATACGCCGGGTACCTGTGCGCCTTGGGCGCCTTGGGTGCCTTGGCCTGCTTCGCCTTCTTCGCCTTGCGGCCCTTGGCCTTTTTCGCCTTGCCTGCATCCGCCACCTGCACCCACGCAGCAACGCGCCAGCCGACGCCGGTTCACACAAACCTCCACGGATCCGCGCGCTCGCACGCCATCCGAGGCCAGCACCCGCCGCGGGGGCCCTGGCGACGATTCCAGCAGCAGACTCACGCTGCGTGTGCCACGTCATGTCAACGTCCGAACCGCAGCGCGCAAGCGGAGCCTCGGCCGCGCCGGTCGGCCACGGATCGCTCCCGCAGAGCCCTCCGAGGCGGGGCCGCCCAGCGGTGCGTACCTGTGCGGTCAGGAGGAGGCACACGGCCAGCACGAGGAAGCAGAGCAGGCGGCGCGACATGGCCACCAACACCACACGAATTGGCTCTCGCGCGGGTCGAACGCGACTGCCGGGGCCAGCGCGGGCCGGCGGCTGACGCGGCCGCGGCGCGCGGGGGGGTTGAGTCACTCAGCGGCGAGCCTCGTTCAGCCAGCCAGGGGGGCTCATGCCAGCTAGGCTGGGGAGTCTGGCCCCGCCGCGGCCAGGTATTGCGCGGCCTGCTGCGCCGGCGCACTCCTGTTCTTCGCCTGCGCTGGTGCTTATTGTCGTTGCTTATTGCACAGGCGGCCGCGTGAGAGCTCCGACCTCGCGTATCCAGGCATCGCGGGTGCAAAGGACAAGCGGCCGCGCTCGGCCGCAATCGCGACAAGATAGCGCCGGACGGCGCGGCGGACACACGTCCCATGAAGCCGAGTCGCCTGGGCCGGACGCCTTTCGGGACGACACGACGCGCAGCGTTCGGGCAGCCCGCGCCAGCGCCCTCCGCGCAGCCCGTGCCGCCTGCGCCGGGCCCGACGGCACCAGCGCCTGCCCCGGACGGCGCTAGGGCGACGCCTGCACGCGGCACGATCACGGCGCGCGCGACCACTGGCGGCGAACCAGCGCCAGACCCGAAACCTCAAGGCAGGATGGTCAACAGGGCAGAGAAGCACTTCTGGTGGCCTGGCCGCGAGGCCACGGTGTCTGCTCTTGTTCTCTTCGTCCTCAGTCTCGTCGCTTTCCTCCCCGGCGTCATGCCGGGCCTGCTCGAGGCGCCGCTGGCCGCGCCTGTGCTGAGCGGGGTCACCAAGCTCTTCGGCGGCCCTGCGCTGATGAAGAAGATCGTCGGGGCCGTCCTGGTGATCCACGCGTTCGAGGCCGTCGCCGCCGTGGCAGCCTGCCTCAAGGGCCGCCTCCCCGGCTCCGCAACAGCGTGCGCCCCCGCCCACGAACCCGTCGCCACCCGGCAATCCGCACAGCGACAGCGCCGGCGCGGCGAGGCGCCGCCCGATCTGAGCTGCCACGCAGCTGTGCTCCCTCGCAGCCGCGCGTCCGCGGGTCCTTTCTTCTTGGCGGTGCGCGGCGCATTGACGATTGCTCTTGTGAACTGCCTGCTGTGCCAATTCGGAACTGACCGCAGGGCCTGGGCCGCGGCGACCTTCACGGGCGGCATGTACGGGCTGCAGGGCGCGCAGGAGGCTGCGAAGCGGAACACCGCCCGCCTCGCCAAGTCGTCCAGTGCATAGCTCGCTCGCTTGCGCGCCGCACAGGTTCGGGTCGGCGCACGTGGGCGTGTGTCGGCCTGGCTGCTCCGGCAGGCGGCACGTGAGATTCTGAGGCGCCGGCGCGTGCGTCACAGAGTTGCGCTGGGCCCTCAGGTCCGACGCAGCGCATGCAACAGATTCGTGACATTGTGAGTGCCGAAACATGCTAGTCTCTCTGTTTGGATCCCGGAATCGCTCCATTCGAGCATGCACGGTGCTGCCGAGCCGCGGACATGCGCCCGCGAGGCTGCCACGAAGTAGTCGTGGCGTGAAAATCAAATAGCAATGTTCAAGTGTCCTGAAACCGCAAACGACAGGGTCCCTCTCGCCGGTGCTCAGCCAGCCGCTGAAAAATCGCGAGCACTCCGCGGGCCCGCCCGCGACGACGCCGCCGGGGCCGGGGCGCGTGCCCGGCAGACGCGCGCCCGCCTCACCGCGAGTCGCACATGACCCAACATCCCGGCCTCGCCCAGCCCTGGACCGGCGCCCGGCGGTCCAGCCCGCCGTCCTCGTCCGTGCGGCGCTGCCAGTCGAGGTACGCGTGTCGCAGCACTTCGTGCTTCACGTACCCCTGCGCCTCTGCTGCCTCGCATGCATCGAAGGCCATCTCGCTGAGCCCGACTGTGAGCGCCCACGCGCCCCGCGCGCGCGCGTACTGCTCGGCCGCGCGCAGCGTCGCGAGGAACGCCGCCGTGCTGTTCGCGACGCCGAACCGGACGTGCGCTGCGCCGAGCGCAGCCTCGCTGCCAGGCCCCACGTGGACGATGGCGCCGCCGCAGGGCTCGACGCGGCCGCCGGATATCCTCATGACGATGAGGACGTCGCCGAGGCCCTGCGCCGCGGACGGGAAAGCGCGAGTCAGGCCAGACCCGCCAACATCAAAGCGCACGTCATGACCGTCTCAGCGAGGGAAACACAAACATCGCGTCTCGAAACGAAGACGGTCGAGAGCCGCAGGATCACGACGCCGCCGTTCGCGACGGGGAAGGAAGGGGGGGGGGGAGCGTGGGTTTTGGGGTGCCTTGCCTTTTCTACCGTCATGTAAGACTCCCCCATAGTGCACAGGCCGCGGTACCCGTGCGCCGCCGCCATGCGGTAAAACACCGCGCTCTGGCACCGCATCTGCCCCGGCTGCGCCAGCGACGACCCCAGCACCGCCCAGTGCTCCACGCCCGCCTCGAACTCCCCCCCCTCCCGTCGCACCGGAAACGCCGCGAGGCTCGGATCGCTCGTCATGCCGATCGCCGCCAGGCGGTCCAGCCAGCCCGGCGCTGCGAGCGCCCCCTCGCAGCTGCTCGTCCGGCTCCGCTCCGACCGGCTCGGCGTGCGTCGCCGCCGCCGCCACGGAGCCGACTTGCTGGCCGCCTCGACGGAGAACAGCGGCCGGCCCGCCGCCCGCGCCGCCGCCGCGACCTCCGCGGCCTCCCTGAGCTCGCGGGCGCGTTCCGATGCGCCGGCAATGGCGTCCAGGGCCGTCGCGCACTCGCTGGGCTCAATGGGCCGCAACGTGCACCGGAAGACAGCGACCGCGGCGCCGAACGCGAAGCCCGCGCGCTCGAGCATGCGCTGCGCCGCGGGACACGCGGCTGCGTCCGGCGCCGACGCGAGGACTCGCGTGACGCGGCGAATGCCCTTGGCGTCGCGCAGCGGAGCGAGGTGCTGCAGGGCGCTGTGGAGGAGCGCGGTGCCGACGCCGCGGCCCTGCCAGGGCGCCAGGACGCAGACGGGCCCGACCGTCGCGACGGACCCCCAGCACACCACCCAACACACTCCGACAACCTGCGGTGGCACGCGGCAGTGTCTGATCCATGATGGGAGGACGCGGCGCCGAGCGGGGTCTGCTTGTGGAAGGAAGTGGGCGTATGTGATTGATTGCAGTGCTTGGCGTCTGGACTGATTGGGTTTCGGCCCGAAACGCGCGTGAAACGGATGCGACGGAGGCCTGTGCCCCATGCGATGTTCCAAGGGGCACACCTTGCGTGTCTTGCGGTCCTCCGCGACCAAAGACACTTCGCAGGTCCGTGCCTCGTATCTGCAGATCACGAGCGGTGCGCTGCCGCGTGTGTGTCGCCGTTCGACCTCGAACGGACCTGTACGCGTGACGGCACACGATGGACGCGAGAGGGAGGCCGCGGCGCCTCTCAGGGGCGGCCGTGGCGGTCCCGTACGACCCTGATGCCTCCACTCACTTGGAGACGTGCCTCTCCTCGCCTCGTCGGGCGTCAGGTCCCGCGAGGACGGCGCGGCAAGAGCAAGCAGGAGCAGGAGCGCGACGACGTGGTGCGGGGGGGCTGCCGCGCACCTGTAGGAGTAGTTGTGCGCGCCCGTGGGCCCAGGGTCGACGACAGACTTCAGGATGCGCTCGGACTGGTCGATGTCCGTGATGGCCATCTCCCTGACCTCGACATCGGGTGTCATGCTGGCAACATCCTGGTGAGCCGGCCCGTATCTCAGGGAGTCCAGGGTCATACCCCGTGGGCACGTGGGCCATGCGCCGACGATTGGCATGCCGGCGCCACCCCTTGCCCCGAAATCTAGCCGCTCAATCGCGCAGAAAAGACCCCACTCCCCCCACTGCCCGCAGCAGCGGGCTCTCTCGGCCAGCGTGATGAGCGGCGCTCGCGCAGCACATTGCGGAGTTGCAGCTTCCGCGAGCTCGGCCTGCGAGGAACAGGGCGCCCTGACGTGATGCACGCTGCGTGAACCCGCGAGTAGTGGAGCCGCCGGACTTGCAATCGAGAGGCCGGAACACGGCCAAGGAGGGGGTTGCGGCGGGATGCGTTCCGTCGGCGGGGCCGAGCGGCCTCTGCAGCGCCTGTGGGCGGTGTGCGAGGGCACGGCGCGGCACCTCTGCGCGCTGACGGCGCCCGCGGAGGCCGGGGCTGTTGGGCACGGGAATGCGCGCCCTGCCGCGGCGAGCGGCGCCGGAGCGGACGTGATCCGGCAGCGGGGACGCGCCTTCCACCAGCTGGCGTCGAGCGTCACCGGAATCTCGTTCGGCGGGCAGTACGCGGACTTCGCAGACCCCAGCGGAGCTCGCACGCGGCAAGAAGCCGAGGCGAAGGACGCCAACTTCGACTCCGAGGACGTCCTGCGGAACGAGAAGATCCTCGAGACGTCCACGCCCGCCGCGTTCGTCGACCTGTACGCCAAGCACGGCCAGTACTTCACCCAGGTGCGCAGCAGGAGCACGTCCCGCCCAGGCTGCACCGCTGCCGCGCGCGCGCGGGGCCCGCGGCGCCGTCCGGATCGCCGCCTTGCATGCGACGGACGGTAGGGTGTCTAAGCGGCGCGGGCGGCCCTCAGAGCCTCGTGCGACCCGCCGCCGGGCGTCCACAAGCCGCGGGTGCGCAACGCATCCCCGCGGGTGGATTTCCCTTTTCGTGCAGGTCAACCGGGCGACGGCGATCATGCGGGGGGCGATCACGTCCGTGCGGCTCGCGATGATGCACAGGGACCAAGGCATGATGCACGAGGTCATGCAGACCGTCTCCAACATTGCGAACGGCAAGTTCCGCCCCGCTCCCGCCGCATCTCCGCTCGTGCACGCTCGCACGCGCGAGAGTGTGTAGCCAGGATGCGTCACGCGGGGCAGATCGAGCGCTCGGCGCGACAGGAAGCCCGCCCCACCGCAGAGTGCTTGCTTCTGAGCCTCCGCGCGGCGGTCCCGTGCCACTCGCAGACGCGATGGACTGCTGGGAGCGGCCTGAGTGGATATGGGTAGAGGACGATCTCCAGGCGGTGTCGAATTCGTTCTACGGCCTCGGAATCCTCCGGGAGAACCTCGTGTCGAACAACGGCGACGTGCAGGACATCCGGCAGCTCGAACGCGTCGCCCGGCGCATGATGCGCATGATCGGGAACCTCGACGACGACGTCATCAACCTCGCAAACGCACAGGCGCGCACGCAACGCTCCGCACGCGACCTTGCAAGCGCTGTGCGTGCCCTGCGCGCTCACTCGCATGACCCCACGCCGCAGCCTCCCCACACCGAACCGGAGTTCGCTGCGTGGAATTTCTCCCCCGAAGCAACACCTCCGCCCCCCCTCTTCATTGTCCCCCCCCGCAGGACTGCAGTATGATCGTGTGGAGCACCGTCAAGTGCTTCGACGCCGGGCGGTGCGTCGGCGAAGGCTCGGACATCCTGCGGATCTTCTCGCGCATGGCGCACCCCGAGAACCTCGCGCAGGCCGTCCCGCAGACCCTCTCGAACGCTCTGTGGGCCCTGGCGTGCCACAACTTGCACCCGCGGCACCGGGAGCTGGTCGCGGTGCTCGACCAGTGCCTCATGCCCGACACCCTCGCCGACGCCGGCGGCATCAACCTCGGCAACGTCCTGTGGGGGTGCGCCAAGCTGCGCTTCAAGCTCGACGCACACGCCATCAACACGCTGCTGCACGAAATGACGCAGCCGAAGAAGATCACGGAGCTGACCGCGAACGAGGCGAGCAAGGCCATCCGGTCCGTCGCGAAGCTCATGGCCAACCCTGCGGACCTCGATCAGGAGGCGTTCGGCGCCCTCCTGCGGTGCTTTCTGAGTCACGTCAGCGGGGCGCGGCCGATCGCGGCCGCCACCGTCCTGCACGCGCTCGCGGACCTCCGCATCCACCCCGGGAACGACGTCCTCGAGGAGCTGTCCGCGCTGCTCGTGCGCGGCCTCGACGACCTGCCGCCTCAGGCGGTGGCCAACGCCATCTACAGCTGGGCCGTGCTGAAGTACCGGCCCCCGCGCGAGTGGCTCGACCTCGCGATGTCGGACGTCTCGCGGATGCTCATCCTGCAGAACTTGAAGGTGCGCCGCCGGGACCCGCAGCTGCGCGTTCTGCCGCGCTTTGCGTGCACGCATCCGTTTTGCTCTGGCGCCGCGAGACTGCCCCCTGCCGCCCTGCGCTGTACGCGGGCGCGCCGCTCGATGAATGCACGTGCTGCGCGCCAGCCTCGACCGCCGTCCCGTGCACGACACGCACCTCATCCGCATCCGACCGACGCCCGCTGGTCTCCCCTGACGTCCCCCGCCTTCCGACCCGCTCGTCCCGCAGCGCAACGACCGGTCCCGGGACAGGGCGTTCGCGGAGACGACGCGCTTCAAGCCGATGGTCAAGAAGGTGGGCACCACGCGGCAGAACGGCTACCAACTCAATGTTTGGAACATCGTCAACCTCGTGTTCGCCGCCACGGTGCACAAGTACCCGAACCGGCCGTGGTGGGACGCCATGTGGGACCTCTGCTCCCAGCAGAACTTCACGTCGTACCGCGACACAGGCCTCCGCCCGCTCCACCGCCTGCACATGCCGATCATGCACGTGCCGCGTGCGCTCCGCCGCAACCTCTCCGAGCGACTGAACCGCGACGTCGTCGCGGACGCAATCGTCTTCGCGTGCAAGCGGCGCGACCAGCTCAACCCGCACCTCAAGGGCGCGCAAGCAGCGATGTGGGAGGCCCTCAGTGCTCACAAGGGACGCGTTGTGGCGTTCCGCGGCCTGAACGACCTCAAACCGACGCCCACCGCGCCGCTGATGGGGTACCCGGTCGACCTCGCGATCCTGGGCGCGAAGGACACGCCGCACGCGAACGAGCGTCTCGTTGCTCTGATGGTGCCTTCGGAGACGGAGCGGTTCAGCAACGCCCCGGGGGAGCTCACGGGCGAGGGCCTGCTGCGGAAGACGTGTCTCGAGAGCCGCGGGTGGCGCGTGGTCGTCGGGCCGAGCCTCGCGGACGTCGTGGCGGGCAAAGTGACCGTTCAACGCGCGCTACGAGCGCCGTGGATGGCCGAGGTGCAGCAGCACGTGGCAGAGTGCCTCGCGGAGCTCGACGCGAGCCCGGGGGGGCCGAGGGCCGTCGTCGACCACGTGGCGCCGATGAAGGGGCTCGGCCTCGTGACGAGGCGCGGGGGGAAGAAGGTGACCAGGCGGAAGCACCAGCGCAGGGCCCTGGAGGCCGCGGCGCAGGAGGCGATTGTGGCGTGACGGGCGGGCAGCAGGGGACTGCGTGGTCTGTGAGGCAGAAGGCACGGCTGCTTGAGTTGCGCGTCGGAGTGCATGTCGCGCCGCCGTTTCATGTCCTTGCGTGGACTGCTTCTCGCACTCCTTCGCCGTGATGTCGCGCAGGCGGCGCTGGATGGGGCCGAGGGGTGCGTGCGCGACAGGGCCGCCCCCGCGCGCCGGCTGGGGCCCCGCTGCTCGCGCCGTCGGGCGGGGTGGCCGGCGGCGCCTGTGTCTGACCACCAGCCCACACCCCCGGAGTCTAGAACTGTCGTCGCAGGTGGGTTCGGCGTACGTTGCCCGGGCGGCGGCGCGCGGCGACGTATACGGCGAGCGTTGTGTCCCAGCGACCCCCTGAAGCTGGCTGCGCGCGCGTGACCCCAGAACCGCGCGACGGCGGCAGCACAGTGCGGCCTCACCGGGTCGCCGTGCCGTGGCTGCGCGTTCCAGGGAGAAGCGGTGCACGCCGTGGTGGAGATACTACTATGGTCTGACCCCGTGGGTGAGGTGGACGATCGGCGGCAAGTATGCGGGCGCCGCGCGCAGCCCTGTACTTGCTCGTGGGCGTGCTCCTGCTCGGCTGGGCGCTTCCCCTGCTGGGCAAGTCCGACCTGGACGACCCAGAGGCGTTCCTCGGGTGAGTGCCGCTGCAATTGGCGTGCGGCGATCTTCAACCCACGTCGCACACGACGTCGCAGAGGCGCTTTTGCCGTCAGATGCAATCGCGGGCACCACGCACGCGGCCGGGAACGATTGCGCAAGCGCGCTTTGCTGGCAGCGAGGTACATGGCTGGGGACGCATCCTCCGCAGCGCGTCCTCGGCACAGCCCGCTCTGTATCCCTGCCGCCGTCCACGTCTTCTGTTGCAGAGTGAGCGGGGGCGCGCCCGCAAGGGCCGTACCATCGCGCCCGCGCCGCGCCTCTCGACGCACAACGTGCCGAGCGACCCCTCTCGCTGCCTGAGTTCGATGCAGGGCCGATCAGAAGATCAAGCGCGGCGACACACCAAGCCAGGTCTACGATGTGCCAATTGACGCCGACTCCGTGCGGCCGACGCTGGTCTGGACGCAGGCGCCGTTGTGCGCGAGGCGGAGCCACATCGTCAAGATCTCGAATCCGCGCGAGGACGCGGTGAGTCTGGTTCGCTACCAGACGTCGACGCCCGAGTTCTTCACCGAGGCGGAGGTGCCGGCTGTCCTGCCGTCCAAGGGCACGCTCGACATCAAAGTCACCTTCGCGGCGCGCTTCCTTGGCCTCGTCGACGGCGTACTCACGCTGGTGTTCGACACCGGGGACCAGGTGCGCCCCAGCGGCCGCGCTCGCAGCAGACCTCTGCCACGCTTGCAGGCCGCTGCGCGAGAGCCCGTGGGGGCGAGCCCGCCCCGCGGCGGGCCCGCGGTGCCCAGCGTCAACTCCACCTGCAGCACGCGTCCGCTCAGCCCGTCCCGCGCGCACGCGTGCCTGCAGGTGCTCCTGGAGCTGGCGGGAAGAGGCGTGGAGTCGCCCCACATGATACGTCCGCTGTTTGGGCACAAAGTGTCCGTGGAAAAGCCAGAGCCCCTTCTTTTCTCCATGTTCAACCCGATGCCGTTCCCCATCCAAGTCCACGAGGCGTCGGCGGCCGACTCAACCGTGCTGCTACAAGTCCCGTGGCACGACGACGCCATCCAGGTGCGCCCGCCCGCACATCCCCCATTCTGCATCTCCTCCGGCACCAGGCTCGCGCCCGAGCGCCCCGCCCCGCCCGCCACGCCCCGCCCGGCCCCTCCGTGCCACCCCGCGCCTCTCCCGGCCCCTTCACGTGGCACGCCCCGCCGCCCCCGCGCGCGTCCCAGCGCGAGCCGCTCCCTCCCACCCTCCGCAGGAACGCGTGGCCTTCGGCGGCGACCCGGGCGGCTCGGGCGCGGCGTCCTGGACGATTCCCCCGGGGGAGGCCCGCGACATCTTGCAAGTCAAGCTCGCGTCGCCGGTGCCGGGGCACTACTCGACCGTCATCACCATTTCCACCGAGGTCGAGGACTTCCTCCTCCCCGTCCAGATGCAGGCCGTCGGGCGCGGCGTCTACGTCTCCCCCGACGAGCTCGACTTGGGCTTCCTCCTCCCCCAGGACACGCCGTCGTCCTTCTCCGTCTGGGTCCTCAACAACGAGCCCACGCCGCTGCTGGTCAGGGATATCGTCGCCACGCGCCGCGACGGCCCCGTCCTCGACCTCCAGTCCGCCCCGGGCGCGGTGCTGCCGCCGTTTGCCAGCACGCAGGTGGCCACGGTGCGGCTCGCGCACGGCCGCGACCACGAGCTTCTCGGCCCGCTCTTCGTCCTGACCAACCACACGACGCACCAGACCATCCAGGTGCCCCTCATGGGCCAGGTCTCCACGGGCTCTCTCAGCTACCAACTCGGACCAGGCACCTTCCATCTGGCGCACGGCACGCTCGCGCAGGACCTGTACATCACCAACAACCACCGCACGCGCGTCGGACTCCTCGCCGTGCTCTCCGGGAGCACGCGCATGCACGTCTCCGGCGTCGGCGACGGCACGGCGTGGGCCGCACCGAAGCACAACTTTCCGACGCTCCACCTGGTCGCGACCGTGGGCGCGCGCTCGACGCGCCACGAGGCGCTCGTGGTCACGACCGCGGGCACCGAGGTCGTCTCGATCCCGATCCACCCGGGCGCGCTCGAAGTGAAGGTGCTCGACGGCGCCGTGCTGCCGCTCATCGACGCACAGAGTCTCCTGATGGACGATGCTCTCAGGGTGGACCACGAGCGCGCGGAGGCCGACTTCGGGCTCGTGGCGGCGGGCGCGAGCCCGAGGATGCTCCTGAACGCGACGAACAACGCTCCGACGCCGATCCGGCTCGTCAACGCGACGGGACCCTCGGGGCACGTGGACCTGTCCGTGTTGGGCGTCGTGGCGCGGGACGGGCGGCGGCTCGCGGACGCGGACTTCCCATTGGTGCAGTTCTCGAAGGCGGACACGCCCGTGCCGGCCTCGCCGCGGAAGAGCGTCGGACTCGACATGGTGTTGCCGCCTGGGTGCTCAGTGGTGCTGCTGGTGACGCTGCGCGCGAAGGACCCCGGAGCGAAGCAGGCGCTGCCGCGGCTGTCGCGGATATCGATCTGGTCGCCGCAGACCGTCGCGGGCGTCGTGCCGGTCCGCTGGCAGCGCACGCGCGCGGGGTTGACGGTGGTGTCGCGCACCCCGAAAGCCGCGCCGCCGGGGCACTTCTTCACCGAGGCGCTGTACCCCGGCACGCAGCAGATCTTCCCCGTCGTCGTGCAGTCGCGGCTGCCCGAGGAGATCCACGTGCACCGCGTCAGCACCACGGAGGCGTGGGTGGCTGCCATTGCGCGCGACGGGCGCCTGGGGCCCGCGGACGCCGACGGAGCGCCGTCGTCCGCGCGGCTGTTCGACCTCCAGGTCGCGCCGGGGCTCATGCCGCAGAAATACAACTACCTCTCGGACGGCGGGTTCAGCGACCACGCGAAACTGGGCGGCATGACGGACCCGTTGAACGGCTGGGACAAGGCAGCCCTGCGACGCCGCTGGGCCATCTGGGAGCAGGTGCAGGCCAAGGGGCTGCACAAGTCCACGGCCAAGGTCCTCGTGGACTTCACGGGCCACGCGATGGTCACGCTGCACGTGCACGTACGCATGGTGTGGCCTGCGCTGGTGCACGGCGCCGCCTTGGACGGCGACGGCGTGCCGCTGCCGGCGACGCTGCCGCCGGCAAAGGCCGGCCGGAACACCGGGAGCCTTGAGCTCGCGGCTGCGGCGTCGCAGGCGGCGCTGGGCGACCTGCCGGAAGGCAGCGCGCCCGTGCTGGGCAACGGCACGCGGCGATGGGTGGACTTCGGCACCGTGCCGTGGGGCGAGGAGCGCGCGGCGTACGTCGACGTCGTCAACCCTACGCCGTACCCCCTGAGCTTTTCGGCCGTGCTGCCGGAGACGTCCCACCAGACGCTCTTCGAGCAGAAGCGATTGCTGCGCGGCGTCTCGCCGCTGACTGGCGCCCTCATCCGCGCGAGGGACTCGGGGATCGAGACCGCGGACGGCTCCGGCGGCGACGGCACGACGTCGTTCGTCCTGCCGACGACCGGCACGCTCATGCAGGTCGTGCCGCCTGGCGGCGCAGCACGCATCGGTCCGGTGTGGTTCGTGCCCCGGGCGTCGGGCCCCGCGGAAGGCGAGCTCTACATCCGCAACAACCTCACGCTCGCGGAGCGCGTTTCGCTCGTCGCGCGGACCGCGATGCCGGACGTCGCGTTCGCTGCCGCGGGCGAGGAGGGCGACGACGCCAACGACATATATTCGGACGCGATCGTCCTCGGTCCGCCCGCGGCGGTCACGCGCATCGGCGGCCAGAAGGCTGCTGCGTCGACGCCCGCCGACACGCGGGCGCCCACCCCCGGGTCCCTGCGGCCGTGCCCTGCAAGCGTGCTCGGGAAGGTTGGTGCGGGCGCAGAGCATCACCAGGCGCCCGAGGCGCTCGAGTGCACGCGCTGGCGGCTCGCGGTGGTCAACCGCGGCGACGGCGGCGTGCTCGTGCACCGCATCGCGGCGCTGATCCCGCAGGGCGTTGCTGACGTGGACGTTGTTGTCGAGGATGACGCGGGCATCCGCGTGGCCGGGCGCGAAGCCCCGGCGCCCGCGGACCGCGGCGAGCAGCGCGAGATCGCGGACGAGTTCATGTGGTCGCCTGGGTTCAAGGCGCCGCGCACGTTCGACGCGGAGTGGACTGTGGAACCCGGCGAGACCAGAACCTTCTTCGTGTGGCTCGTTCCCGAGGCCGGCCGCGATCTCCCGCATGGCGTGATGGACGCGGGCTGGAGCGCGTCGGGGTGGCGCACGCGCACGCTCGCGCAGCAGAGCCTGCTCGCGCAGATGCAGCTGGCGATCGACACACAGCTCGGCGTGATGCGACAGGGCTTGCATGTCCAGGCGAAGGCGCCGGGGGGCTTCGCGGCGCTGGCGCTTGGGTCCGTCGGCATGCAGGGTGCGTCGACCGCGGCCGCGGTCGCCGGCTGCGCGGTCGCGGCGATGTGCGGCACCGCGCTGTACCTGTGGGCGCCGACGAAAGCGCGCAGCGCGCCGCACGCCGGCGCGGTCCCACGGAGCCCGTCGGCGAACGGCCGGCCGCTGCAGGCCACGACGTCCGGGCGCCGGGTCGCGACGAGCGCGTCGGGCCGCGCGAGGGTCTCCCGGACGCAGTCCGGCAAGCGTTTAGGGTCTGCCGCGCAACATCATTCCGGGGGGGTGTCTCCGACGTCGCGGAAGGCGTCCGCGTGCGAGGAACCGCCGGATGCGATCGCAGAGCAGCAGGACGAGCGTCCGACCTTGCCTGCGGGCCCGCCCGCGAGGAGGGCCCCGGGGGGGAGTGGGCTGTCGCTTCCGGCACTGCTTCCGGCGGCAACGGGCCACCTGCGGTCGCTGCTGCTGCTTGTCGTGAACGCCCTGGTGAGGGAGCTCGCGGGACTGCAGAAGCGGCTCTCCGGGGAGCGCCGCAGTCGGGCTGAGGCAGACACCGCCCTCCCGCCCCCGGAGAACCGCGCGAGTCAGTCGAGCGCCGCGGAGCGGCCTGCGGCGTCTCCCGACGCGGTTCCGCACGTCACTACCGCGCGTAGGCGCGTGCGGAAGTCTCCTGCGAGGCAGCGGCAGGACCCCGGCGGCAGGACCAAGGCAGCGGCGCCAGGGGAGTCCTTCGGCTCCACAGTTGAGAGCCCAGCGCAGGGGTCGCCCGGTGCCGCGCAGTCGGGGCAGCCTGCGGCCTCCGACGGCGCTGCGACGCCGGTCGGCATCGCGCGGAACCAGTCGGTCGGGGCGAACCTCGCGGGCGAGGCGGCGGCGGCGGCCGCTGCGACGACGGAGCCTGTTGCCGTGTCGGCAACGGAGGTTGCGAGTCCTGCGGGCGGGCGCGTGGCGGGCCGGCCGGGCAAGGCGCCGTCGCAGGTCGAGATCCTTGGGAACCCGTCGGGCGCGTCGTCCGGCAAGCACAGCTCCGCGGGCGGCGCGCAGCCCTCGTCGGTACGTGCAACGCAACACCACGCTGCTGTCGACCACGACGTGGCGTCCGAGCTCCTACACAAGGTCCATTCGCCGCGCGGGGCGGGTGTCGACGATGCCGCGAGCGGCGTGTCCTCTTTGGCGCGCAGCGCCACGTCCTCCGCCCGTCGCCGCGTGAAACGTGTACAGGCAATCGTTCCAACGACACTCGCGCACAACAAGGCCGGCACGGGCGACAAGGGCTCCGCCGCGACGGGGAGCGGGTCGCAGGTTGCGGGGGCGTCGTCCGGGGAGCGCCGCAAGGAGCCGAAGGCCCCTCCGACGCCGCCGCCCGCGCCGCCGCCGGCTCCTCCGCCGACCGACCGTTCCACGGGTTGGGGGAGTCTCGGGAGTGTCCCGGCGTCGCCGCGCACGGGGACCGCGATGTCCGAGAACACGGGGACCGACCAGGGCGACCCAGACCGCCCGCGTGCCGCCGGAAAGGGCGCGAAAGCGCGTCGGTTCCAACCAACATATTCTTCGATCGATGCGCTGCGTCCCGGCTCGATCTCGCGCGGGCTGGACTCGCGCGGGCTGGAGTCGCGGTCCCCTCCGCCGCCGGTGCCTCCGTCCGCGCGGCGATCGGGCGGCAGCGACGGTGCGCACGAGCCTGGACGGTTGACTCCGCGGCCAGTGACGCGTGCGACGGGGCCCGTGGGCGGCAGCCCGCGCACGGACGACGCGCGCGTCGCGAGCGGCGCCGAGCCGCTGGAGTCCCAGCTGGCCGCGGTGTACGACCTGCCGCGGGAGGACACCCAGGAGGGGGCTTTCACGGGAGCAAGGCTTGCTACGGATGCGTGGCAGGCCAGCGGCGGCGTCCTGCAGGCTGAGCAGGCGCCGGACGAGCAGTTCCCTTTCGACTCGGCATTCGAGAACATCCAGTCGGACTTGCGGTTCCTCGAGCAGACGTCGTCCGGCGCGAACGCAGCAACGGCGGGTGGCGGTGGCGGCTTCGCGGATCACTCCGAAATGATGGACCTCTCCGCGTCGTGGGCGACGACGGACCTGCCATACATGCTCGCCGTTGCGCAGCAGGAGGCCGGGTTCGCCGCCGCACCCCCCTCGGGGCCTGACGATTTCTACCTGCAACACAACCCCCAGCTTGAGCAGCAGCAGGCGTACGAGGCGTACGCGCAGCAGATGCGGCAGTTCAACGCCGAGGGCTCCGTCTCGTGGGAGGCGGGCCACACCGACGAGGCGGTCTCGTACCAACGCCTCCTGCAAGAGGCGCTAGCGCAAAGTCAGGCGAACGCCGAGGCGGCGCGGGCGCGCGAGGCGCTGGCGCTGTCGGCCGCGATGAGCTCGGGGTACACGAGTACGTACGATGACATGGTTCGACAGCCACAGCAGATGCCGATGGGCGGCTGGCTGCCCATGGGGAGGAGCATGCACGAGGCGTACCCGGGCGCGCCGGACCAGCTGGGGTACGGGTCCGTCGAGGACGCGGAGGCGGAGGCGGCGGCCGCTGCTGCTCTCGCGGCTGCGGAGGTCGTCGAGGAGGACGACAGCTGAGGGCGGAGGGGCGGGTGACGTGGCAGCAGTGCGTTGCTTCGCGCGCGACTGTCTGGCGAAGCTACTGTTCGTGCGCACGCGTGCTAGACGCACGCGACGCTCCGTGACGCCCTCTCCGGCCTGTGACGCCCTCTGTCTCGTGTTGCAAGGACAGGTCGTGTGCGGTGTGGCGCTGTGTCAACACTCGCGCGCACGCCTGCGGAGCTCCTCATCTCGCGCAAAGGTGCGCGGTGCTGTCGCGAATCTCAGTCCAGGCAGCCACCGAGAGCACGTGATGCGCACGCACTTTGTGTTCCTTGCGCTGCCCAGTGCAAGAGCGAAAAGCGCTTCCGGCTACAGCTGGCTCTCGTGCGTGATAGTACTGCTCGCCGACGACACCGCTCGCTCCGGGCACCACGTCGGTCAACCGAGCATCACAGCATCCAAGTCGTCAGTCCCTTCACGTCAAGCTTCCCAGCTACAGCCTCGAGGCGCGTCCCGCGATCTCCCTACGCGCCAGCGAGTCCAGGTGCACCTCGTCCGGCCCGTCCGCGAGCCTCAGTGTCCGCGCCGCCGCCCACGCGTGCGCAAGTGGCGTATCTGAGCTCACCCCCATTCCGCCGTGTACCTGGATGGCCACGTCGATCGCGGCCAGAGCTGCGCGTGGCGCAGCCACCTTGGCTTCCGCAACGACGCCGCGCGCCCTCTTGGCTCCCACGGCGTCGATCGCCGCAGCAGCGCGCAGCACCAACAGCCTTGCGCCCTCCAGATCGACCCTCGCGTTCGCAAGGCTGTGCTGCACGACGCGAGAAGGCACAAGAGCGCGACAGCGCTTGAATCCTCTGCGATGAACAAGGTGACTGGCCAAGGGCGGCATGTGCAACACCGTACGCATTGCATCAGGTGTGCAGCGTGCGGGGCTCACCCGCAGCGAGCCATGCTCGACAAGCTTCTTCCCGAAGGTCGACCGCTCCTTGGCACGCCGCACGCACAGCTCCAGGGCACGGTCCGCGAGCCCGACGAGCCGCATGCAGTGATGCAACCGGCCAGGCCCGAGCCGTCCTTGCGCGATCTCGAATCCGCGGCCATGCCCGAGCACCAGATTGCTCGCAGGCACCCGCACGTTGTCGAACTCGACCTCCGCGTGCCCGTGCGGGGCGTCGTCGAACCCGAACACGCTCAGGTGCCGCACCACGCGCACGCCGGGCGTTGCCATCTCTACAAGGCACATCGAGTGGCGCTTGTGGGGGGGCGCAGAGTCCGCATCCGGCCCGCCGCGGCCCATGAAGATGCAGATCTTCGTCCGCGGGTCCGCTGCCCCAGACGTCCACCACTTGCGACCATTGAGCACGACTGAGGAAGGGTCGAGCGGGTCAGCGGTGACGGTCGCGCGGATGTTGGTTGCGTCGCTGCTGGCGACGGCTGGCTCGGTCATGGCGAAGCAGGACCGAATGTCGCCCCGCAGCAGTGGGAGGAGCCACTGCTGCTTTTGTTGGGGGGTGCCGTAGCGGCCCAAAACCTCCATGTTGCCAGTGTCGGGCGCGCTGCAGTTGAAGATCTCCGCGCCGTAGTGGTGCACGCGGCCTGTCTCCGCCGCGATGTACGCATACTGCGCGGTTCAGCGACGAACAAATGAAAAGGAGAATGAAAAGGAACATCGAATAAGAGCTGTTCATGCATATCTCGCCGAGCTAGCCAGGCCAGCCGAAACAGATCAACGTCAAAGGGAGAGGGCGGTGTTCACCTCGTAGTTGGTCAGTCCGGGTCCGAGGAGGAGCCTGCTGTCTGGGTTACTCCCTGCCAGCTCAGGGACTCCCGCTGCCATCTCTCTCGCCAACGGAGCAGAGATCCACAGGTTCCACAGCCCCTGCTCCCTCGCGCGGGCTTTCAAGTCCTCAAGCACCCCCGGAACTTCCCACCTCTGCACCATCAACCACTCAACATGCCCGTCGCACAAACATCCCAAACGCAACATGCACGCGGTGGAAAGAACGCGAACAGCAGCGGCTCTCCGCCCCTCTGGTCCGTCCTGCGCGAACATCGGATGCACACGCGCCGCACCTGGTCCGACTTGGAGTGCTGAATCAGCTCCGCCTCCCGGGGCAGCAGCTCCCCGTCAATGAATGCCCTGACCCTCCCCAGCAGCTCCCTCACGCCCTCCGGCGGACCGAGCCCCATCGCGACGCCCCCAGTCACCTCCGCCTCTGCCGCCCCAGCGCCGCTCGCCGCAACGACCTCCAGCGCCCGTGCTGTGATCTTTTCGATCGATGTCAGACTTGCAAACTCCCTTGCGTACGCCGAGGAAGCCGACCCCGCCGCCGCCCGCGCGTGCACGCCCGCGAGGATCGCCGCGACGCGGAACAGCGCCAGCGCGACGTAGAATGCCCACGTCTGCTTCGCGGGCGGCTCCGCCGCCACATTCCCGCCGCTGCGTTGCGCACGGCTGCGGAAGTACTGAGCGACGAACCCGTGCTCCTCGGGGATGCCCTGCGGCAGTGCTGCTCCGCGGGCGGGCCGGGAACCCCCCCCTGGTAGAACGTAGAAGTGGGGGAGTCCCTCTGGGAGATGGTACGGCAGGCAGGCGTACGCCAGGTCAGCCAGGGGGTCTCCCAGGGTAGAAAGCTCCCAGTCGAGGATCGCCATGACGGATCCGGTGGCGTCGAGGACGAGGTTGTCGAGGCGGAAGTCGCCGTGCGACACGCAGGGGCGTGCGGAGTCAGGGGGGGTGTGTGAGGAGAGCCACTTAGCCAAGCGCAGGACGTCTGGCGGGACCTGCGGGCGAAGAGAGACGCCGATCTGAACGGTGTTTGCACGCCTCTCTGCCTGTTTGCAGCGCTGGGTCTCAGGCTGACATGAGGCGGGAATGTATGAGCATCCAAGCACAAAAAAACAAGGGGGGTCAAATTGAGAGCGTCGCACCTCTTTGCCGACTGCGCGCATGGAAGCAGCGTACTGCTTGGACCACCGCGCAACCTGTCTCGCGCAGTACCCCTCGGCCTTGCCGAACGACGACAGGCCCACGCGTGCAGGGTCCACAGAGTGCAGGGCTGCCAGCGCATCTGCCATCGACGCGTAAATCCGGGAGCGTTCCGCAGGGCTGCACGACACCGCGGCTGGGCCATGACATCAGACGCGCCGGCAACGGACCCTGCCAGGCCCGCGAACTGGCGGTCAGACTGGAAGTACAAGCACTCTGAGAGGCCCTGGCTGCTTTCGACGGCCGTGGGAGGCGCAGGTCGCGAGAGGTGGTCCTGCGCGACGCACCTTCGCGTCGGCAGGGCGGGGTCGACTTCGATGCGTCCGTCGACGAATTCCATGATCATGAAGGGCGTTCCAATGACCTGGGAATCCTCGCAGAGACACCGGGCTCGTGGCACCGGGACGCCGGTGGCGCCCAGGGCGTGGATGACTGCGTACTCCCGCTCGATCTGGTGCGCGCTCGGAAGGAGCTTGCCTGGCGGCTTCTTCCGCAACACGAGCCGAACGCGGCCTGCGGTGAGTGGTGCCGCGCGGCGTGAGCGACGTCGACGCTGGCACAAGCAACATCCGAAAGTGAGGCAGGATGATAGTCCATCCCCAGGACACACCTTGTTCGACCGTGACCAGGTACGTCGGATTGCTCTGGCCGTGCGAAACCTGCTTGACCTCTACGGTGGCTCCAGGCCGGATGAGGCCTTGCTGGACCATGTACAGCGCGAGCCGCTCTGCATCGAGCTTCATCGCTCCTGTCGGCTCGCGTAGCCCGTCGGACGTGCGCATGCTCCCCGTCATCGCGACGTGCAGGGGGCGCCTAAGGCTTACACACAGCGATCTCGGCGCGTGCTTGTGGTCCGCGGATCGGCCCGTATCCCTAGTGCGTTACCATCGTGCCGAGGAAGTTGTCGCGCACACGCATCGCCCGCGCACTGAACTCCGCCGCGCCCTGAGGCCGCAAGCATCCCCCCTGACACCGCGCGGCCTTCATCGGGGGCAGGCCGCGCGCAGAGAGATCGTCAGGCTGCGCTGCCCCGCCAGTGAGCACGAACAGTGGCACCAAAACGCCGGGGCTGCGGCAGTGGACGCGGAAAGGCCTTGTTTCAGCGTGCCAAGCATCGCCTTGGCAACACCACAGACAGGCCCTCTCGGGGCACAAGAGGCGGCTCAATCGCGCTCTGAATCACCCTGTCAGACTAAATACGTGTCTGTTGGGGGGAGACGCCAGGTTTTGAGCGCTCTGACTATCCAGGATGGCGCCGTGCGGGCGCTTCCTGGCGCCCTCACTTGGGGCGGCCCGTCGGGTCCCGGCTCAAGCCGCACAGGCCGAGCGTGCGACGGATCGCATTGATTCCAGACTGTCAAGACATGGTCCGCTTTCTCGCCACGTTGGAAACGGACTCCTCGCGCCACGGCCCCGAAGCTATCTAACCAACGGTTCGACGGCCAGGACGACCTCTGCGGCGGCTGCACCGCGCGCGGGACCAAATCAGGACGCAGATAGCAGTCAGGAGTCGTCGGCGGCGGCGCGTCCGGATCGTTCGTCCGCCGGTCAGCGCTCGGAGTCGTCTGCGCCCCGCCGCGGCGCACAAACTATGCGCCGCGGCCGCTTCCGGTGCGTGCAGTGCACCATTTTCGTACCCCGCTCGCACCCCAGTGATGCGCCATCGCTGTCTCGCGAGAAGCTCTCCGAGAGGCTCGTGCGGAAACACTTGTTGGCACTGCAGGAAGTTCCGGCGTTTCCGCAACCGAGGTCTCAAGGCGGCCATGGAGATCAACACCAGCATCGTCAAGTCCGAGACCCTGCGCGACCTCCTCCACGTCTGCGAGCGGCACGAGGCCGAGTTCAACCAGGTTGGTTGAAACTCAACCACAAAACCCCTTCTACCGTTCCATCTTACACGCCCTCACGCCGCCCGACCAGCACCGCCCAGCCCCACCACCTCCTTCCCGTCTGTCCTCACCCCCCTCCCACAGGTCAACCGCGCGACCGCCGTGTGCCACCTGTGCAAGCTCACAGTACGCTCGCGCACGCTGCCCCCTCAACGGGCCGCCGCGGTGCGCACGGCGCTCCGCATCACCGCCGAGGCGCTCGCCCGCCGGCAACAGGGCGAGCTCCGCCTCGGCGTCCGCGAGATGGCCAACATGTTGTACGGACACGCGCTGGTAGGCAACCACGTGCTTGGACTGGCGCGGCGGCGGCGACGACGGCTGGCGGCTCGCGGCGGGCGCGACGCTGATGCGTATGACTCGGAATCGGACAGCGAGGACATCGCGCTGCTCGCGGCGTACGGGAACATGTCGGACGTGCAGCTGTCGGCGATGCGGATTCTAGAGGCAATAGGAAACACCCCCAAGCAGGAGCTGCTTGACTCAGGCAACCCGCAGGAGCTCGCAAACATCGTGTGGGCGGCGGCGAAGCTCGAGCTGCAGGGTCCGCTCGCGGAGCACGCCGTCGGGTGCGTGCTGGGGGTGTGTTTGGAAAAACTCCCCTCGTTCACGTGCCGCGACGTGTCGAACGTGGCGTGGGGGCTCGCGACGCTGTCGTCGGGCGGGCCGTGGCTGTGCATCGACGTGGGCGTCGTCAGGGCGCTCGGGGAGGAGGTGCTGCGCGGGGGGAAGCTGGACCGCGCCGTGACGCAGGACCTGAGCAACCTGTTGTGGGCGCTGGCGACGATGGGGGTGCCGCCGCGGCCCCTCGCGCTGCAGCGGATCGTCGAGGCGGCAGGGAGGTCCGCTGCGAAGTTCAAGCCGCAGGAGCTGAGCAACACGCTCTGGGCCCTGGCGACCCTGGGCTACCAATCAGGTCCGAGTCCTGAAACGCCGAATGATGTTCCGTCGCAGCCCTCCACCTCGCCATGGCGCGGTTCCGCGCGGGGCCTCGCCCCGCGGCCCGCTCAGGACGCGCCAGCGGCTCGCCGGGAGTCTCGAGCGCGCCCTGATGTGCCAGGGGCGACCCTCCAGACACCGTTCCGCTCTCCTTCGCAGATAGGGAAGTCGTAGTGCATCTCGCAACGTCCATGGCTCGAAGCGAGGCGACGCTCGCGGACGCCGCGCCGCAGGCTATCTGCAACACGCTCTGGGCCACGGCCACGATGGGCGTCGTCCTCCCGGAGGAGGACCTGCGCGCGCTCGTCGACGCAGTGCTGTCTCCGAAGCGGGCGCCTGCGTGCTCTACCTACGACATCTGCTCCGTGGCCTGGGTCGCCGCGAAGCTGCGCTGGTGGCCCGGGAACGCGGCCATGTCGCGCATGGCCGAGATCGCGTCGGAGATGTTCTCGCAGATGAACGCGCGGGAAATAGCCACCATTTCCTACTGCTGGGCGGCGCTGGGGTACAATCCAGGTATGACGCGGAACACGCCCCCCTGCTGCCCGGAACACCCCTCGACCGCCTTGCACAGCTCGATCGGCGGCGGCCTGTCGAACCGCCTGAGCTGGGCCACAGTGGGTGCGGCGACGGGTGCAGCGTTCAGCACCTCACAGTGCTCGCTGCGTCCTGGCGCGAGACCCGCGCGGCGCCGTGCTGTGCGTGGCTGCAGGGCGCTCCGTGACGCTGTCGCTCATGGGCGCCGCGCGCGACCTCGTCGCGAGCCCCGACCACCTCCGGCAATGGTCCCTCGGGGACCTGGCGTCGGTGATGTGGGGCGCGGTGGTCCTGGGCGGGCACGACGACTCCTTCTGGTGGGCCATGTGCCGCGCGACGAACCGCGTCGCGCTGCAAACGGGCACGATCGCCGTCGCGCGGGACCCCTCGGTGGTCGCGTCGATCGACGAGGCGGTAGAACACGCCGTGGCTGACTCAGGGAGCTTCTCCCCGACGGGCTCGGCGGAGCTCGAGGAGCACATGGACCACGTCAACCCGCTCTGCCTCCTGGCGGACGCCGCGGGGGCCTCGCGTGAGATGCGGCACTACTTGAGTGTGGACCTGTTGGGGGCGGCGAGGCGCGCCTGGCGCGTGTCCGTGGCGTCCGAGGCGCGGTCGGTCGGGCAAACGCGCGCGGAGATGTCGCAGTGGGCGGTGGACACGCTCCGCGCGGCCGTCGAGGAGGCCACCGCCACGTCAGTGGATGACACCCCCCCTGACGACGATGCTGACGCGGACGGGGAGTCGGCGGGCGGGGGAACGCTCTTGCCGGTCGAGCTGTGGCGTGAATTCGTCGATTCGATGCCTGGGCGGCCGGACCGGAACATCATCGCGGCTGCAGTGGGGCGTGAGGGCACGCCCTTGGAACGGAAGCGACTCGCCGTTGTGTGGGCGCCGGAGACGCGGCTGTGGGGCGCTGCGGCGGGCGAAGAGGCACAGGCACGCGGTGGGTCGGAGCAGCTCGGCGGGCAGGCTACGGTGCTGGCGATGGACCTCGAAACGCGAGGGTGGGCTGCGGTGGTGGTCGGCGGGGCGGGGCGGGATGCGGAGGAGGAGCTGCGGCGCGCAGCGCACGCGCTCGTGGAGGGCTCGCTGTGGATCCAGCGGGCGATCGTGAACGAGGACGTGTGAGAGCGTCGTGGACGTCGCAGGGATGCTTGCGCGGATTTGCACGTGCTGGCGGAGTGTGCGCGGGCTGGCGCTTTTGCGCCCCCCTGCGTGGATGGGAAAGTGCAGACGACGGCGCTGGGGCGCGCAGCGGCGCGCACCCGCGGGGCACGCCTGCGTCAGGATTGTTGTGCGGGCGCAGGCTGACTGAGGCCGCCAGCGGCGATCGGATCGGACATTGCTATTCGGGGTTCTCGGCGTGCGTCGCGCAGCAGTACTGTGTTTTTTGCGCTCGCTAGTGCGAGACAGGGATCATCGTCCGTAGGCCGCGCCACGTGGTATCCCAGGAAGCAGCAGCAGTCTTTCGCTCCCCGGGCCATCGCCCGCGCCCGCCTCGCCGTCCTCGCCCGCGTCGCCCTCCTCCTGCTCATTCATTACTTCGCGGCCCATCACGGAAGCCCGTCAAGCCCTCCGGGGCTGTGCGTGGGCACGCATCTCTGCCCGCTCCGTGGGTGCGCACTAGCCGCTGCGCGACCTGCGACACAGGGGTCGGCAGGGCGCATAGCTTGAGGGTGCCGGAGTCATTGTCGTCTTCGCGCCGGAGCAGCTGCGCTTTCGCACCATGCTACCGGTCAGACGGTGCGTTGCCCTCTCCCTGGGTGCGCCGGACGCGCTCGCTCCTCCAGCCTGGCCGCCCGCGCCATCCCACCGGGCGCCCGAGCTCGCACACACGACAGACATCCATCTCGAATGCCCTGACCAGCTCCAGGGTCGTCCCAGTATTGCGCGCGAAGTAGGCACAGTCACTCGGTGACCAGCCCACCGCGACCAGCTGCGCATGTAGGATCGAAGAAACGGTCCGTCCTCGCTGATCACTGTTCTCCTCGACTGCAGACCACCTCCCGCGGGCACCGCGGCGGAGAAGCTGCTGACGCGGGGGTTGGGGCCGCGAACAACAATGGTGCTTCTGTCGCTCGTGCTGCTGTTCATATACCTCGAATTCAGTCCACCGCTCCTCCTGACCGCGATGATCTACGGATACGAGGGCGAGCTGCTCGAGCTGGACCTGACTAAGACGCTGGTCTCGCCGGCGAACACTCTGCCCTTCGCGCCGACCGTCTGCAAGCGCGTGGTGAAGCACGCGTTCAAGCACGCGCACGAACGCATGCCAAAGCTCGGCGAAGTGGCCGTCGCCAAGATGGACGGCATCAAGATGGCGATCTACGGAAAACACACAGACATTGTTTCAGGTCTGAAAACGCCCGCTGCTCCTCGGCTCCCAACGCTCCCACGCGCGCCCGCCCGAACCCACGCCTCCCTCGCACACGTCCCACCGCTCGCCAGCCCGTCCTGCAACTGCGTCGCCCACACACCCCGCGGCTGCTACACGATGACCCTCCCGTCGCCCCTCCGACTCCCCCCTGCACCAACTGCGGCCCTCGGCGCAGACGCGATCCGCGAGAGCGGCGACTGGGAGGCGAACACGTGGGAGATCCTGCAGTCCGCGATGGAGGAGGTCGAGCGGCAGGAGGGCGAGAGGCCCACGTTTGTGGACATCGGCGCCCACATCGGCTGGTTCTCGTTCCGCGCAATCAAGGCCGGGTACCGCGTGTTCTCGTTCGAGGCCATGCCGACCAACCTCGCGGCGCTGCTGGAAACGCACTGCCTCAACGGGCCCGCCAGGCTGCACCGACACACCCACGCGGTCTACGCCGTGGCCGCCAGCAACGGCAAGAAAGGTGCGCGCGCAAGCGAGTGCCCGCGTCGCATTGCCGGCTGGTGCACGCAACGAGCGGCAACGCGGCCAGCTGCGCATGACCACCGGCCCGGTCGCACGCTTCGTTGACGTATGCCACACAACGCGACGTTTGCAGACTGCAAGCTGGTGTCGCACAGCTCGAACGTCGGCGACGGCATCCTCGAGTGCGACGAGAACTGGAAGCCGGCCGACGGGTACCAGGCGATGCCGCGGATGGGCATGAACACCATCGACAATCTGATCAAGGACGAACTGTTCAACCCGAGTCGGCTGAGCGTGGTCAAGATGGACGTGTCGGGGCACGAGATGTTCGTGATGGAGGGCGCGCACGACTGGCTTGCGTCCAACCGCCGCCCGAAGGTCGTCTTCTCTGAGATATGGAAACTCTCTGGAACAACATCCAAGTACATTCGTCTGATGATTGAGCACGGGTACGAGGTGTACGTGCGCGAGAAAGACGACGGGAACGGGTTCGAGAAGCTCACGGAGAACATGGCGATGGAGTTCGCCAAGGCGTGGGAGACGGGCAAGGCGCTGGACCACGCGAACCCCACAACTGACGTGATCTTCGCTCAGCCGGCGTACGTCCCGCTGCTGGCCACGGGACACTTCCGCCCGCGGTATGTGGGGCCATCTGCTGCCGTCGGTGCCTAGGCTTTCAGCCAGGATCTCTCCCCCTGGTGATGTGTTAGTAATTCGCCGACTCTACGGGCACCCTCGCCGCGAGGAGGCTTGAGCGACCGAAACGGTACGTCCGCAGGGCAGCACGCAGCGTGTGACGCGCGTACTGCGCTCCTTACACGTGCCTACACGCGGTTGATTGACTCAGTCAGGCGCTCCTTCGGACATGATACGCCTGTGCACAAGACACCTGTTTTCATCACCGCGCAACGCGCAGCAAGTCGTCCTTCGCCTGCACCACGAACCGGAACGCCTCCTCGCACCGCTTCCGGTCGCGCGCCGGGTAGTCCGCCGGGACCTTGTCCGTGTGCAGCAGCAGCGCCATGCGCCGGTACGCCAGCTGCACGTCGCGGCGCGACGCACTGCGCCCGACGCGCAGCGCAGCCTGCTGCTGCTGGTTGCGCGGCCACTCCCGCTGCCGCGCGCACATCAGCACCCGCACCGCCTCCCACGCCCTCCGCCGCTGCTCCGCCAGCTGCACCAACTCCCCCCGCTCCAAACCCCGGCCCACCTCGCTGCCGCTCTGTTCCACCATCTTCCGCAACGCCGCCACAGACTGCTCAGAAATGTTGTCCGGCAGCTTTGCATCCGCCGCGGGGTACCGCGAGCTGCCCTTCTGCGACGCTGGGCGCGCGGCGCCGTTCCCGGATGCGGCGGCGATCCACGCCGGCAGCCCGCCGGAAGGCCGCCCGTGCGCGGCCTGCGGTTTCGCGCGCGGCGCCGCCGTCTCGGGCTTCGCGCGCTTGAGTTGTTCGTACACCCTCTGCTGCCACAATCGCCCCATGACGTTCCAAGGCTCCCTTGGGTCGTGTGTGGGGGGTCGCGCGCCGCCTCCTGCCGCCGGCTCCGGCTTGCAGCCGCTCGCGCCTTCGCGGCCGCACCAGAAGCTGTCCGCAGCGCTCGTGAAGCATCCTGGCGCGTGGTTCCGCGTGGCACACCCCTCGTTTGCAGGGCCAGGCTGGTGGTGCGAGCGCGGCTGCTGCGCGTGCTGCCGTCGCCGGTGATCGTCACGCCCGTCGTCGCGCCGTCCAGCGCTCTGCTCCGCCGCCACCGGCTCCTCCGAGTCCCCGCTGCCAGGCTCCTGTCGGTCAGACTGGTCGGGTTCTGACTCCCCCTCCTCTGACGACGTCACGCACACTACGAACGGGGGTAAGTGGTGTGGTCGACGCTGTTGCTGCTGCGCTGGCGCCGCCTGATGCTCCGTACCGCGCTCCTGCGACCCGCACACGTGCCCTGATGACTCGCGCGCCACAGGCTCGGCGACGCCGGCGCCTTCGTCCGAGTGGGCGGAAGCTGACGCTTCGCTGCGCGTGCTGTCGTCTTCGCAGGAAGTCCGCGGCGCTGAGCCGGAACGAACCGCCCCGCGCGGGGCCTTGCATCGCGGTGCGGCCTCATGGTCACTCCCTTGCACCGCCGCGGCCTTTCGTTTCGTCCCGCCCGCGCCCGACGCCGCACCAGCGCCCGCACGCTTCGCGGCGCGGCGCCGAAGGTGGTCGACCCGGACGTCGGTGGAGTCGTCGCTGATTTCTATCACTATAGGACTTGGGGGGCGTGAACCGTCGCTGACCCCCCCTCCCCCATCATCGCCGCCGCTGCCGCCGCTGCGAGTCCCATCGTTGCCTGGCGGGTCGCCCCTGCTGCCGCCCCGGAGCTCATCCGCGTCGTCGCCGCTGCGCTCAGCACTCACGTCGCCGTCGCTGCTGCCGTCCATGCTCTCAAGGTCCGCGGAATCGAACATGTCGTCCTCGCCCCCGACAGCGGCGTCGCCGCGGAAAGACCCCCCTGGGCTGTTGTCTTGACCCCCGGGGGAGTGCGGCGTTTCGCCGTCAACGTCGGTGCACCGTGTGCGGCCCCCGCCGGCGGGACTGCCGCGAGGTCGAGATCCGCCGGAAGCGTGGTAGCTGCCACCGTTCGACGATGCATCCCAGTTGCCCGACGGAGCGGGAGGTCCTCCCGACGGTCGGCTTCCCAACGCCTCCTGTGAGGAGGCGTCCGGCGAGGGAGACGGCGCGCCGTCGTCGCCATCCTCGTACTCCCCGCTGGTGTATGCAGACTCGCTCGCTGACATGGCGCGCGTGTGCACCGGTCTGTCCGGACAGCTGTGTGGGAGCCCTCTCTGGGCTGGGGTCGACCGAGGAACCTTGCGGCGCAACGGAGGGGCGTGCGGGAGTGCGCGCTTCGGAGAGAAGAGTGAACAGCCTGGAGGGTTCCTCGACAGGCCGGGAAGGCGCTGAACGCCCGCGTTGCGGCGCGTAGCGCCTGCGAAGCGTTGCGCTAATGGGCGGTCAGCTGCACGCCGTCTCAGCTTGCCATGGGCGGCCTTGCATCCAACGACATTCCTCGCACACGAGGCGTCAAGATTCCTGCATTCGCGCGGGCGGTCGGCGACGTTGGGCTGGTGGGCGTGCTCTACCAAGCGCAGCACAGGCGCCGAGCGGCCCTTGAGGATCAAACCAGCAGCGGCATCAGGTGCGTTCAGCGTGCCTACAACAAGAGCAGTCTGCCGGCGTCACCGCGGCCTGCACCGCGCCGAGAGAGCGCACTACTGCAGGCCAGGTGGGTTGTCGTGCCTGGTTGCTGGGTCCGAATCGTGATGCCCAAACGCCCGGGCCCGTTGCATCAGCTCTACTATGTCGGTCCATGCAGGTGCAGTCCGGGGCTTTTGAGGCTCGCCGTGACGCCTGCTCCGCCAGCATGAGGCCTCTAGCAAGCGCGCCTCCCTCGCCCTCCCAGTGATCTAGCTCCGTGTTCGACACATCCTGGGCGTAGTTCTCTCAATGAACTGTCCGAACTCCGGGCATGACGCTCCGCAAAGCCCCGAGGACGTTGTCGCAGGTCGTTGAAGATGACACCAATAGAACCAGTTGTGTTCGTCCGCAACACGCTGATTGGCCGTGCAACTGATTCGCTCCGATCTCAGATCGGCGATCTGTGCGTGCCCGCCACGCACCCACGTAACGTCGTCGCCGCGACCCGCAGGGCGTTCTGGACCGACCTGACATGAATTCCCCCCCAGGACATCTGTCAGACACACTGGGCCCCGCGCAGTCAGGCGGCACGAAGGCTCGCTGCTCCTGTGACCTTCGAGAGAACGTCCGCGCAAGTACTACAGGTTGTGCAGCGCAACTCCTACACGTGCTCTGAGACCTGCGTGTTCAGAACGGACGCCTCTGCGTCTCCAGGGCGCTCTGCGGCCGCATCCCCGCCACCCCGACCAACACCTTCCGAGAGCACATTCGCCAGGCGCTAGCTAGATGCGTATGATCCTGCCCGCGAGGCGCGCGGGGGCCGCAAAGCCATGACAGAGAAGGAGTCGCACGACGACTCCCACCTTCTCCAGCTCCCCACGGACGTCCTCACAGCGATACTCGACCTCTTGGACCCCGAATCATCCGTAAAGCTAGCGTGCACGTGCCGCGTCCTCGCGCTCGCGTGCAAGTCTCGCTGGTTCGACACCACCGCATTTCTCCACTACTCCGGCGCCGCCGCACGGAATAGGGCCCTCCACGCCGGCCGGTGGCTTGCAGCTACCGTCCCCGGGAGCCTCGATCTCGGATGGCGCGGACCGCCCCCCGTTGCGCCCCTGCACGCCCGCGTGCCATCTGCAGACCCTACTGTGCCCGCTTGGGGCGTCGCACTACAGAGAGTGCCCCGTCCAAGGAGCTGCAGGCTCTATGTCGACGCAGCGACGGCCTGCGCGCTGCTCGTCGACCAGTGGGGAATGCCGATTCTTCGATTGATTCCCAACCCCAACTCAACGACTGACATGTGGGAGGCTCTCGGGCCCGCAATCACGGCGCAGACCGCCGTTTCGGCGCTCATCGCCGCGAGGTTCCCTCTCCGGGGCCTCAGCATCCTCCCGGACGGGCGCTTCCGCTGTGGCCGGGCGTCGGCGGCGCGGCCCGCACTCGGCACACCCGACGCAGGGCCGCCAGCATGGGAGCACTGCGACGGCGCCTGGGAGCCGTCCTGGCCCAGCAAGCACGCTCCGCTGCTTGAGCGCGGGGGTTTGGGGCCGTGGGGTCCTCGGCCGTTCGTTGATGACATCTGGGACTGGCGGGCACGCAGCGTCGATGCCATGGCTTCGGACGCGCCGCCGGCGCCCGCACCGCCGGAGCCCGGCAGCACACTGTCGTCTGTGCTCGCCCGCGAGGACCTTCGCCCGACGCTGGAGGCGCTGGAGCTATGCAGCTGCACTGCGTCACGCACGATGCGCGTGCGCGGGATGGGGCGGCCGACGACGCCGAGCGGACAGGTACGACGCTTTGAAGCGTATCGCTGCGAGTGACGATCGCTGCAAACCATTGCTGTGTGCGGCCACGGTCGCCCATGCGAGATTTGACGACGACTTCCGCGTTCCTGGATCATGCAGGCGTCGCCGTGGATTCGTCTCCGCTGGCTGTCGCTGCGGGGCTGCCCCGACAGCGACCACGACCTGTGCTGCGCCGTCCATGCCTGCCACGCTCTGCAACATCTGGACCTCTCGTTCACGCAGGCAGGCACACACGTGCTCAGCGTCGTCACCGCGCTACCTTACCTCATATCGGTGCGGTTCGCCGGGTGCCGCGGCCTCGAGGACTGCTTCGCGCATCACATTTCGCCCGGCGCATATCTTGGCTTGCGTCACATGCTTCACGTCGCTCGGGTGCTCGATCTCGGCGGCGGAACGGTCGGTCGAGCCCTCGGCGAGGCACTCGCGAGCGCCTGGCGCCAGGTATCCGTCGACGGCACCTGCGGGGCCCTTCCTCTGCAATCTCTCGGGCTGGGGGATGGGGCCGGTGTGCAGTGGCGGGTCCTGCAGAGCGCCGCGAGGGTCTGTCCACACGTGACTGCGCTGTCGGTTGCGGGCTGCATCGCGCTGTACTGGCAGGGCGAGGGTACGGAGGCCGAGACAAGCGATGAAGACGGCGTTTGCGCGTCACGAGACTTCTTCTCTCTCTTTCCGAAGCTCCAGCGCCTGTCATGTGGCTGGGGGCTGCGGCGGTACGCTGGGCAGCTCGACCAGGACGCAGTGGCGCCCCTGACGCAGCTGTCGGTCGGTGTGGGCGCCGAGGTGTGCGGGGGGGAGTATTTGGGTCTGGTGCGGGGTCGATGCGGGGGTGTTGCCGGGTGCGCGCAGCTGACGTCGCTGAAGCTGGTGCGGTGCAACGTGGGCGAAGACGGCGAGGTAGCGGCGCTCCTCGCGGCGTGCTGCGGACTCAGGGAGCTGGTCATTGACGGCGTTGTTGGGGGGGGGCTGAGTCAGCAAACGGCGTCAGCGATAGCTAGACTCCCCTTGACGTCGTTGCAGCTGGCCGGGGAAGCAATACAGATGGAAGGTGTGCCGAAGACCCTCCGAGTCGTTGTTTGCGTGCATCAATATCTCGCGATATCGACGTTTGTTCACATCAATCATGGAGTGCGCTCCCCCTGGCGACGCCCTCTGCAGATCAGCACCTCGCGCAAGCTCTACGAGCGTGTAGCGAGCGCCTCGTGGACCTCAGCCTCGACGGTCTGCGGGGCTGCGGCGTCGTTGCAATCACGGCGTTACAGACGTGCTCAAATCTCGAACAACTTGCCCTCACAAATCTCGGGCGCTATCCAGCACAGCTCGCGAACGCACACCTCGTGCGCCATCTCGCAGCCCTCGACACCGGCAGCAACCCGCTGGGCCTCCCGGGCGTTTCCTGGGCGCATATTTGCCCCATCATTGAATCGGCGCCACGGCTGCGCAGGCTGGTGTTGCGGCACGTGTGCCCCGTGCCGCACGACTGTCTCTTCTCGCTGGTGAGCCAGGGCAACGTG